CCCCTTACTGCCCGAGTGAGATGCCGTCATGACCACTACCCACCACTCCGTACTATGTACGCACGTCAGGGTCCAAGCTAGCCCAACTAGGCAAGATATATTACCTTGAGCGGATGGTCGTGCCTTAGGAAGCGGACTTGTGGGTTGGTTATCAGGTCGACGGATGGTTCGGCAAAATCGGATCAAAATCGTTAAACTTTGTGTCACAACAACACCCTGCACACCCAACCTTTTGTCGCCCGCCCCTCCAAGAGCTCAAGGCGCTCAAGGCCGCAACCAACCCACTCACACACTCGTTCGCTCTTGATCAAGGCACCCGTCCGAGCCGTCCTCCACCAAGCAATCGTCCCGATTACCTCTTTCCCCTGCAATTAGTCATTCATCCCGTCCCTACCTTGCAGTATGCACCAGCTTTACCTTAAGAATGCCACTGCTACACTTGCCACACCAACCACTCCAGTTCTGGCGCCTCCCCTGTAGGCTTTGTACACTATTAATAATAAGCATGGGTAACCCATCGAGGGTTGATCCTCCTTCGCTAATAACTCCTGTTGTTACCTCCGATAAGATGCGAAGTACTTTGCAGCAAAAGAAAACAGAAAGACAATGCTGGTTGCTGATTGCTGACATGCCTAATGGGGCACTGGTTCCGATTTCCGGTTCCATAACTCCCAGACAGGGAAGGTGTGGCGGCGGTCCTGCGGATGATGATGAGATAACCTTGCAAGTGGAAAAATAGAAGAAATAAAAGAAACATCCCGAGACCCGGCAACCTTAATTTAGTCGTTTTTCCTTGGAGAAGAGACAATAAAAGCCTAGGCGATGGGCATGGGGCAGCACCGAAACCAAAGCCTTGTTGCCAGCCTTGCTCACGTGCACCATGGAAGTTACGAGTATCCCTGAATGTTAGCTCGGGATTTTTTTCTCGAGACGCGAAAGAGCCGAATCGCCTTTCACACGGCTCAACCCTGGAGGCCCCCCTGAGAGAGAAAGATATCTTGAGAGAGAAAGATATTTGAAGGCCCCAATATGAAATCACAAAGCTTCCATTTCTTCCTCTTACAAAAACCCTCCCAGAGCTATTATTACACATGCGCATCCGGTTATACGTATCCGTACTGCACTCACAATCAGTTAGGATTGGATCGTTCCCGGAAATGAGATTCCTAGCGCGTGCACTACTTGCAACACGCCAAGTTGACCGAATGGGCCCCCAAAGTCCGACCTTTCCGAGAGACCACCAGGCTTGTCTGAGAGAAACAATGAGAAGAGCGAGACCAGCCGTCCACCGGCCTGTCCATCCATACCTGGGCTCGGCTAGAATGTATAATAGCTAAATGAATACCTTTGACTACCTCATGGAGCCGCCAACACCAACAAGGCCGAATGGTTAACCTAAACGCGGAACCCAGAGAAGAACCGAGACAATTAAACCACAACAGTCCGTTGGCCACTCGAAGCAAAGTAGCGCTGCAATCGACAACTCTCCCTGGATACGGACGGACTCCGCCGTTGCACCAACTGCCAACGGTAGTAACTCCCGAACCATAATCCGTACAAGACCAAGGGAAGATCCGACAATGCATGTGGTATGTACCCCAGTTCGTGCGTGAAAAGTGAAAAGCCGGGGCAGCGACTTGCCTGCCGCCGCGAGACCTGCTCGGCAGTCGGAGCTATCTGGTAGGTTCGTCATCGCCGACAACCACATGTATGTACATACGTTCTATATACATAGGTAAGGTAGGATGGAGACAACTCGAAGCACTATCTGCACTAATAGCATTATTCGACGAAGTCGGGAGTCGGGAGTTCGGAACAGCAGCCCCTGAAGCGGACGGATCTTTGGCCTGTCAAGCTATGACTGAGCGCCCAGTGTTTTGTTGGTTCATTGGTTTGTTGGTTACAGGACGACTTTAGGCAGAGAACTTGGGCTCCGTAAGGAGTACGGTGTACTCCGTACGCTGTCATAAACGTTCCAGACGGAGAAAGGGGGGAAAAGTGACAGGAAAGAGAACGTAGCCAACAGCCAAACCGGTTAGCCTGCAGCTCGGTTTCGGTTGGTTGTTGAATCATATCGTCATCAGACATCAAACATACAATCATTGCTGTTTCTGGCAAGGCAGCCGCGCCGCTGCTAAAGAGACTCCGCGGTAGGGAACAAAATCAGCCATAACCGAGGCAAGGACGGGGTCGAATGGAAGAAAATGCGCCTCTGCATTTCTAAACTATGACATCTCGAAACTGCGACGGCAAACACTCGCAGACGCGCAGCGACAGGCACAAATACCCCTTTGACTCTACAAGGGCAACATCATACAACAACAACAACAACAACAACAACAACAACAACAACAACAACAACAACAACAACAACAACAACAACAACAACAACAACAACAACAACAACAGTAACAGCAACAACAATAGCAACAACAACACAACGCAGCGAGAGAGCCTCAAAAGAAACGGATATCTTCACTGACCTTCGGGGCCGAGATGAACAGCTAAGGTAGTTTGGTTTCGCGTGTTGGTGGGGGGTTGTCAATATCAAACCTTCCCTCCCTTCGGATCGAAGCGGGGGCGGCAGCAATACGGACAACACTCCAACTCCATCCAAACCAGGGTATTCAGTCCACCCAATATCCAACCGTCAATCGTCATGTATACCCACCGCCTGCAGAGCTACACACGGGAGTAAAAGAGACTAGAATCTTCACCTACAAAGAGACGGATAGATAGATAAAGTACGGTAGATTGACTGACTTAATTGCCCGCTTCTGCCCGCCCTTGGCGTGGGTGACCTACCGACGCGAGAGCGCCACCCGAGTCCCCCAGGTCTGGATAAGGTTGCCGTGGTTGTGTCTTCCCCTATCTGCGGGAGGGAACTCACCCGGCATATATCGTCGTCATATGATTAACTCGTAATATACAGCGGGCAGGTACCCAACGGAGAAGGGGGGGGGGGTGTTTGCGGTTAGTTTTGCCATGTTTCTTCTTGTCTTTCTCTCCATTGGCCGGCGGCATCAATCCCGGTCCCGATCCCGGTTACAGCTGCTGTTACTGTTGCTGCCAACCGTCCGTTGTAAACGGAAGGTAGTGGCGAACAGAAACATCCGACCGTACCTAAGGTAGGTAGGTAGGCACTTACCCACCTAGCCATGCTTTGCTACACACTCGCTCGATAAGATGTGGTCACACTCAAAACGAACTCGACCCAAAAGTCTGAGGGGGAAAGAGAGAGAGCGACTGCGCTGCTCATCTTGGAAACCCCCCGAGGGAGGACTGAATAGCCCAAAGGCATGGAGGAAATAATCGAAATGTGACGCACGATAGCATTCATTGCCAAACGTGTTGGCAAATGCAAGGTTACAATGAGACCGGAAAAGAGAGTGTCGGATTACCTCTTGTTCCCTTTTTTAGAGGGTGGGGGCGGGGGACGTATTAACCAGGCCGCTCGTTTTATACCTCGTCAGGCAGACACTTATGACTGAGCTGGCTCGGACTCAAGATGCCCGTTCAGGCAACTGAGGAAGGGAAGCGGTCTTCTTCTCAAGGGAGGCACAATCCTCCGGAGAAAAGACCAAACCCGTCCTTGTGTATTTAAACCATCAGCATGAAACGACGGATGTGAAGAGGGAGGCTACCGGCAATGGGGGTTTCTAATATCACAACAATTATCCTTATCCAGAATATCGATATTCCATTGGCTGCAACCTCAACACCCTAGCCGCTGCTGTGCCCAGACAAGGTAGCTTGAGAAGATAATCGAACATTGACGCCCCATATACCATGGGAACGCGGCGTCCTTTATGAGAACGGACAGCTTGAAAAAGAGGATCAACCTTCAAGTATCCCAAGAAGATTGAGAGTGACAACTGCGGACAGGTTTTGTAATAGGCGACGGCATGATAGCTGCTTGGAAGACAGCCTGTGTGATTACCTGTTAATGTTACCGCATCCATAAGAGGTGATAACTACCTTGTACCAATGCGCCATTACTCAAAATCCGAATTCGTGTCTAGGCTCTATGGCTCCGAACTTGAAGAGGATATGCATCGCAGAAGAAGCTGGGTCCAACACAGACCAGAATGAGTTATAAGTTGGGGCCAGGCTGGAAGTGAACAGCGAAATGAAAGATGCAGACTGGATTCTGGAATTGGAGTGACTAGAGGCAATACTCGCGGTCGCGAGAACGAAGAGTTTTCTCAGCAGGGGAGACGCGAAACCACTTCTTTCTGTAAAGCACAATGCGAGGTTAGCTTTCTTCTCTTCAAGAGCACGACTGCAACTGACTAACGTTGAAGAGTTGGCTGTCTTGGTCGCGAATACGAACGACGTGTCATATGAGGTGACACGTTTGGCCCTTGGCCCAGTCATAAAAGACGATTGCAAATGCTGTGGATTTGGACATGTTTGGAGAATCTGTTATACACATTTTGAATGGTATCAAGACTGAGAGTCCAAATACAGGGGGAGGCATCGCAAACCATCGCCCGCAACCTGCAGCCTTTGGCTCTCTTACGCAGGCTAGCAGTTGAGCTGCGAGGCAAGTGGGTTGTTTGTAAATTCGTTGGTGTTGTGTGTTATGTGGAGAATGATGGTGGACTTCCAGAGCTTGTGATGATGCGGTATGCGTGTAGCCGATCTTAATATCTTGACTCGCAAGGTCGCAGTCCGCTCTGTTCTTCATACACGCCCTAGGTATATAAGGCCGTAAGGTGGCTGTGGTCGCACAGAACAGATTGGCCGCGGGCATAGTGTCAAATCTGTCACATTCGTGCCCGATCTCACGCCTTAGCGTGCGGAGAATAGCGAGGGCGACTGCATTACGTACGGCTGTTTAAGAATGGCTGCGAGATTCGCTAAGGATGAACTGCGACAGTATCCTCGGCCAAGCACTCCAAGCTAGGAAAGCCTTGACGAGCACGGCATAAAAGGTTGCACGAGAACGCCACAAGCACCAGGTCTGGGACAATTCATCTCGCGCGAGACTCGCTTGCTCAACAGTCGCATCGGCCAAACCAACGTGGGAAGGCGGCAATGTCTCGTATCGTAGAGACACCAGATAAGTAGGCAAGAAGCCGATCGAAGCCAACACCGAAGCCGCCATGAGGAGGGCACCCCCATCGACGCAGGTTAACATACCAGTCGAGGTCGCCGTCAGACCTGGGGCCAGCATTTCCTGTCGCATCTAGTGCTGGCGCTGCGAACCCTTGACGCTTCATTGCATCAACGAGTGGCATCAAGCGATGCTCGCGCATGGATCCGCCAGCGATTTCGCACAGCTCGGGTACCAACAAATCGAAGCATTCGACAGTAGGACCGGGAGAAGATGTATCGGAGCCGGATTCAGCGGAAGCTAAATCTGGCCGAGCCGCGCGCATGTAGAAAGCTTTGATATCACGAGGATAATCGGTGACGAAGACGGGCGTTTGGCTGCCTCCAACAGTCTCGGCGAGATATTTCTCATGTTCGGCGCCTAGGCCCACACCCCAGATCGGTTTTTGGGAGAACATGTCTGCATTCTCCTGTAACAAAGCAACAGCCTCCGTATACGTTATCCGGGGCCAGGTCGGTCGCATGAAACCTTCCCAGCGTCGCCTGACGATGTCAACCGGGGCAAGATCGGAACCGGTCTGGCTCGGTCTGGAGAGAAGTTGTTGTACGGTAGACGAACCAAAAAGATCGGTGCTCAAAGACCGCAGCATAAGTTCGGCAAAGTCCATGATGCTCCCAAGGTCGTCGACAAAACTCATTTCGGCCTCGAGCATGTAGAACTCGCTGAGATGGCGAGATGAATCACTCCTCTCGGCGCGGAACACTGGTGAAAGTGTCCAAACATGGCCGACAGACTGCGCTAAAGCCTCGAGATGGAGCTGTGTCGAGACAGTCAGATACTTCTTGGAACGGAAAAACGGGGGTTCTGGGATAGACTGGTTGGGAGCGCTGGAGCCTTTGGTGGCCGGCTCCAAGGTAAAGACCTCCCCGGCTCCTTCACAGTCGGATGATGTGATGATGGGTGGGTGTGTCTGTGTGAAGGCTTGACTGGCGAAGAAGTGAGTCAAGGACGCGATAGCATCAGAGCGCATCCTTAACAAGGTGGCATTGATAGGAGTTCTCGGCCGCAAGTGCGGCATGGTGCGGAGGAACTCGGACGTGTGATACTTCTTTTGGACGGGGAAAGTCTGGGACACTAGTCAGCCGCTGGAAAGGTGCTTTGGTCTAGCGTTCTCGATCTGCGGCAAGGAGAGCAGGAAAAGAAACAGGCATACCTTGGCATCCGAGGGACCAACAATCTCGACACTGCTGGTGTGCAGCTCATGGGTCTGGCCAGTGCCAGGCGATGGCAGCCAGGAGCCAGTGAGCCGGACGGCCGCGCCGATGGTCAGGCTGCAGAGACCGGGTCAGTACTTGAAATAGCCGAGACACGCAGGTCAGAGCAGTTGCGCGCACCCTTCGCCTTGGTCAATTGGCACGACGGCTTGTAGAGGCGGGAGCGAGGACCCGTCTCCGAGCGAGACAAAGCGATGCCCCTTCATCGAGCGGACCGAGCGGACGTAGCCATTGACGACGACACCAGCAGCCTCGCCCACGGGCCTCCATTGGAGAAGCTGGGCAATGGAGCGATTTGCATCTTGAGAAAGACAGCGGCGACTTGGAGTGGCTGAAAAATCTCCGACGGCGACTCGCCTGGATGACTGGCAAGCACGTCCCAGGACGGCGAGCCGTATCGCCATCACAACACAGGACGATGGCCAGAGAAGACACGCCTTCAGGCGGGACTCCCACAAAAAAAAGCAATCAACGAGGTAGTTGGAACGGCCAACGCAGTCAGACAGACGTAGGTAATTGCGGCCAGCTTATAGAGGGAGAGTAGGTAAGCTGCTGCAAAACAAGGTTATATCGGTGCAGTTGTCGCGTCCAAGTGTGGAATGATTTGCCCGTTGCGATTGTAGGGCTAATCGCCAGGAAAGAAGTTCGAAGCTTGACCAACGCGACACGACACGCCTAGCTTGAGCTTAGGAGCTGGGGTTCGCGAAAATTTGGGTACCTTGGCTCACTAGCGCAATAGCGCGTAAAGGTACCGATACGAATGTAGCTTACGTTACCTTCATAAACCTATGAATCAGCCCAATGGAGACGATACATTGAATAAACCGAACAACCATGGTTTATCGAGTGCGGATACCCACCAGGTACCGCCCACTCCGTTAGTCGCACCACCAACACCAACTCGATGACCACCGACCCGGGCGCTGGGTCTGCTCAAGATAGCATGTATGGTTTCTCGGGTAGGCTGTCCGTCCGAGGTGACGGGAGCTGGGTAAGCCCGGAAGACACGAGTACCTGTGGACGGGTGTTAGATCCATCAAGGTTCAAGTTTCAATCTAACTCGTCCGATCTGAAGGAAATTGAATTGATCCGGACTCACACGCACGCAACTGACCGAAGTCAACGCAAGCGCCATTCTTGAGACTGAGGATTGCCTCAATTGGATGGGAGCGGACACTGGTCGGCACCTGCCATCCGCGTCGCACTTGCACCTGCCAGGGGATGTAATTAAGGGACACCAGGCTCGCGCGTAGCACACCGCACTCACCCTACCTCGGCAGGTTCTCTGCACGCCTTACCTTACCTATGAAGGGTAATAACCTGGAAACAGCCTCGCGACTTCCTTCCTTTGCCGTGCTTTGGCGGGATGTGTAATGAGGAAGTTACGATGGGAGATGAGCGAGCAGCCCGGTTCCGGGTATGGTCATTCAGCTGCGCACTAGTAGGTGGCCGGCAACACTGCACACGCACTAATAATACCTGGAAGGGGAGAGGAAAAGAGAGATAATGAAAAAAAAGGAAGGAAAAAAAGATGGACAGACAAGGCAAGCCCACCAGCCCACACCTACCCGGTACCTAAGCTTCGAGCTTGGCCAAGGAAGTCGATTCCATTCCCGCAATGCACTCTTGCCGATCATGGCAACAACCCCTCACTGCTAACCCTGCCCGGTCAAGCAGGTGCGAGCACATCCGTCACACAATTTGGACTCTCTCTCGACATTAGGCCAGCTCTTCAGCCTCGGGGGAGACTTTCTCGGTACTCAGACTAGATGCACCACTTCCTAGTCAACCCAGCTTGACTGGCATCACCGCTATGTTATCCTCACCGGCTTCGTTCGCGCGGCCCACACGGCCAGCCCCCCCACCCGCTCGAGAGCCCATCCGAGTCGACCCATCCCGTTCAGTGACTACGGGGGTGTCTTGGACTTGGTTACATGTCTTGTCCTCATTGGTCTTCGCGGCAGGCCCAGTCGAGTGAGTGAGGTGGCTCGTTTATCGGTATTGGCGCCTGCGTTATTGGTTTCAACAGGATGCCGTCGACGGCTCGAACACCTGCCCGGCTTCACTTTGGCTTCTCCCACCCTACCTACCACTTACCTCCGTGCATGCAAAGCACAGCTTGGGCTAGATGCCATGGGGCACGAGCCCCGCGAGGTCACCCATGGGTGTCTTACTGCCAGTCCCGAGAGGCGCAGGAATACCAGATTGACTCACGATGGCGCATGTGCTGGGCACACAGCAGCACCTTGTAATCACACATAGTCTCGGGAGTCGGCTTCGGCGTCTTCTTTTGTTTGGGTACGGAGTGTCTTCTGCGGGCTGTCGAGTTAACAAGCGAGCCCGGTGTCCATGGTCCCGAACCCAACTTGTGCGCCAGGGGCGTCGTGAGGTGTTCATTCCACTGGCGTTCTGACAGTTGCCTGGTACTTCGGACACCTGCCATCATCACCGCCAGCAGCATGGCATCTACGAGCAAACTTCTGGCCGTCCTTGTTACAATATGAAACAGAAGCTGGTTGCCCAGGCCCTCGCTCTCTGTCTTGTTGGGTATATATACCTACCACCTCTCCAACTATTCCTCCATGAACCCGTATTCTCCCACCCAAGCCGCTCTCCAGAGCAACAACAAAGACCTCACGTAGCCCCTGAACCTCTGACACACCAGAAGATTCGCCGCCAGCCACCACCAGAACCAATCCTCCTCGTGCCCTTTTTCCCACACTGCAGAGGTGCCGCCCCCGTTGCCATTCCTGTCTTTACTCCCCGCAGCAATGCCTTCAGGAAGCTCCCGGCTGTCCAAGCCCAAGCCTCAGGAGATCGCCTCCGAGACCAAGAGGCATTGGATTCCAACTATTAGAGACCAGTACGCGCACATATGGAAGACATACTCGTACATTTACCTTGATCCACTGAGACAGCTCAATTTTGTCGAGAAGCCGATCAATCTCTCGCCTCCCCAGTTCTGTGAGTACCGTTCTCTTCTCCTACACCCTGAATGCTGGCGGCGTCTGACACATGTTCTTGGCTAGATGTATATACGGGAGATCCGGTGGACTGGGCATTGGACTGGGCAAAGACAATCAACCGCCAGATCCCCTTTATTTGTCCGGCCAACGACAAGCGTCCCGGGGGAGACTGGGAGACGGGCGTTGCCGGCTACGAGGAACGATTGTGCCGGCGTAGCACCCTCTCCGCGACCATGGCAACTCCTGCACCCGATCAGGATGGGGCGCATTATCCCATCCCCGACAGCGGTGCTCTCGTGTCGAGTGATGTTGGTCCGTTCTCCTTCCTTTCCAATCAAGCTGTATAGTATGACTTTCACCTGACACTTATTTGATCCAGTGGTTTTCCGCGGCCCCCACGACAAATATGACATGCTCCCATTTGACCAGTGGCATGCACTCCCGGTCGTATCAATGACTCCGGCGCGCCGGCCAAAGCTGACCCAGAATGGTACGAAGTACTCGTTCGCCAACGAACGGGCCATGGTCATGGATAAGCTACGGGCTGCCCTTCGCATCTGTGTTTACAACGATTTTAGCAGCGTCGTGGTCGGCGACTTTGGCCTCGGCAACTATCGCAATCCGCCTCTAGAGCTCGCCGAAATCTGGCGGGAAGTCATGCTCTACGATCCCGACCTCCGCGGGCGGCTTGCCTCTGTGGCCTTTGTGTTCGAAGACCCCAGACAGAGCACCGTACAACTAATCCTGGATGACCTCCAAAAGAAGGCAAAAGGAAAGCCCCCAGGAGCCTCGTCGAGCGCGAGCTCCTCGTCTACTGCTGTTGCTCCGACGGACTTTCAGATCTTCTCCCAAGTCTTTGACAACGAGGAGATTAGGAGGTTCCTCGGGCAGCCAGACGCGAGGTACGGCCTAAACAACCTCCTGGCCGAATAAATTATTACCCATTCACTCCTCCTGGAGCTGGGCGTCGGCATTCGCCCCAAAATCTGCTACGGAATATGCCGTCCTGAGCGCTTTCTTTGCCTTTTTCCCCTAAACCATTTTCTGTTTCTTCCCGAGGCGTATATTCTATGGAGTCTTGGATTTCAGTCCTGAGACATATCGTGCACCAGGAGCCTTTCTGTTTAAATCGCTTATTCTTAAACTTTGTCTATACAGCCTGGCAGATTGGCTTGGCTACAAGAGAGGCTTGGATCTGGGGGTTGGGAGGAGGCGCTTTGGTTTTAGTAGCCTTTGCCCATATCATAGTCACCTCTTTCTTCGACACCTTCCAGCAAGAGAGACGGATAAGCTGTGGGTTGTCCGTCTGTGAGTATCAATCGTAATACACTGCACTCATCTCTTACGCTTGAGCTCCCGTGTTCCAGACTGGCCCTCTCAAAAAAGCCATTCATTGTCAGCCACAGGAGAACATACATCGCTGAATTTCCTGAACCCTTTTCTGCCAAACCCATGCTTGTTAAAACGTCACCCACTAGAAGGACGTCACCCGTGATCCGACATGGCAACTCAAAGGCTGTGATTTCACAGACAAGGCTTGGCTTTAGGGTGGCGGGCCGAGAGTAGTCGGCTACTGGGGGACCCTCCTGCCGATTCGGCCAGCACTGCGACGTTCAAGACATCACGGTTCAGCTATTGGCTGCCATCAACATGTGGCTGCAGGAGCGTCGTTGTGGTCTTTCACACGGCTTAAGGCTGAGGCAACCCAACCACCAATTTGTTGCCCCACCGGCCCTTAGAGACGGCCCTTCCTCGCATGGTTCATCCGACGTTTGTACCGTCTGGTTCCACATGGGACGAGTGCCGACATTACAAGCTGAATACACAGTACAGTACGGATCTCTCTCTCTTACTGTGGTGTCCGAAGAGTCTCGCGGTTTCAACCAGAACCAGTGATAGGCTCGCCCAGCCCTTCCCGCATTTCACGAGCAATCCAGCTCCCAAATCAGACTGTCGGGCTATGGGCACTAACGGGACATGCACCCTGGGAGCACGAGGCAGCGGAGAGAAGAAAAGAAAACAATGAGCGCTAATGAGTGGCGAGTAAAATGTCGCACTGGGAGGAAGGAAGAGACATGCATACTTCTATTTTGTTTTTCTTGACCACACCGGCCGCGCTTGTTTTTCGCCTGGCTGGTGATTGGTTATGCGTACCGTCATTATCACGCCATGACTGCGTTGATTCGCACTTCCTGTTCAAGCCGACAACGTTCGCATCTGTACTTGTCGGCGTGCTTGCGTTCGGTGGCGGCCCGGCTGTCGTCGCTATACGTCGTCTACCTGCTTTTGCGGCAGGTGGGTAAGTTCCAATTCAGCTAGCCTGGTTAGCTGAATGGAGCGTACATGCATATCTGCGGATAGTGTGTTGGATGGGATGATTGGATTTGCCCGGACTCGCATCCGCGAGCTTCCCGTATGACAATCGAGGCAAAGTGAGAAAAAATAGGAGGGAGAGAGGCATCGCTAGGATTGGCAAATGCCATCCAACCCCCCGGCCCGGGTTCCCCCGTGCCTGTCAAAACCCTGGCTGGTTCCCTCTGGTATGCAAGATGAGGCTACTGTCCGAGCCGGATAATGCAATGGAGCGGGTCGGAGCAGGCCAGCGACAGACTAGCTATGCCTGCAGGCCACGAAAAGGGGAGGGGAGGAAGGGAAGCAAACTTTACCGCATGACATGGAAGCACAAGACAGCGATATCTTGCCAAATTGGTATGCATGTACATACGAAGCACCTTGCTCCTCTCCTTCTTTGCTTATTTTCAGGTGGTTCCAATGAGCGAAACCGGGGAACCAACCCACCACCGGAGTCATTGAGGCGAATCCAAAAGTTGGAAACTTGACGCTCGACGGCCTCATTGTGGCCTCGATAGTCCCACCGTGTGCCGTACCTACCCCATTCATTCAAAGGTCCCGCTCTGTTCCTCCCATGTCTGTCATGCTGCTTCTTGCTGCAGGCCATCTCGCGGGAATCCCCGTTCCCCGCCTTGTTGAGACGTAGACACCGCGCATAGTTAGTTGCGTCTTTTTCTCCGCGACACTTGGCTGTGCTCGGCTGCCTGCTCAGCAAATTGGCCCAGAAAGTTGACTCGACTTGCTGATCGGTCGAGCCGCCCGCAAAAAGATCGCCGACTACGACCCTCTCTGCCTCATACGTATACCTGCTGATCACCTCCCACTCTCCCCACCCACCCATGTCCTTGTTTGTCTGTTGTGCATTGTCCCACTAAAACAGAGATACAGTAGCACAGTATCATGACCACCCCACCACCACCGACAGGCCGGTCTCCCAGCAAAGGAGTGGACACAAGGTTTGAGATCAAGTCCCACAGATCGAGGACTAGCGTGTATTACGCCAGCCAGGCCGGGTTGGTAACTGACAGACAGCTACACAAGCCACGCGCACGGTAGGACACAATCTCTCCCTAGAGACACACACGTCAGATAGAACGAGCATAGAGCATAGAAACATCCAGCCCATGTTTTGGTATCTGCTGGCCATACCGAAGTTCGACACTGCTGCCATGCCCGGATATATAGAGCGCAGGTTCGTCTCCTCACGCCTTAGTTACTTCCCTTGGAGGAGAGGAAAATAGCGGAGCTCTCAGACTTATGTATGTGTGTGTCTGAAGCAACCCGACAAACATGCCCCATCCCCAGCCGGCTTCCCCTCTTCCGGCCCCCGTCAAGAAACAGCCACATGCATAGTTGCCCCGTAATGAGCCGAACTGTTATTTTTTTGCGACGAACGGCTTAAAGGAGAGAGTATGCCATGATAGTCCGTAATGCTGCCATCATAGCCAATGTTGGACGCTCGTCTCTCTGTCTGTTCTTTTCCAGACCCGCAGGCATACGGCTGTGCACTGGCACCGGATATACAATGTGTTATGTATATCAACTTGAATGATCTACGCACTTTTTCTGCGCAGTGTATTGGCGTACCGGAGGCGAGCAAGTATGCGAACGAGCGATCGTGTGTACGTGTGCACGCGCGTGTGCTTGGAGAGAGCTGGAGTTGACCTGCTCCCGTTTGTTGGGTTTGTACGCACGTAGTAATGTGTAGCACATACAATACATGCACACAACAATAGGGCAGGCAAGGGAGTAGGCGGTAGCAAATGTAGCTTACGAGCCATGCATGCGGGGGGTCGTGCGAGTGTGTGTGGGAACTTCTACTCGCTTGCTATAGCAATAAACGGGGTTAGCTTTGTCTCTCGGCGTCCACTCGCTCCGGCAAACAACAAGCACAGCCCGAGACAAACAAGAAGTCCGCGAGAAGGGTGCATTTGTGGACCTTGCTGCCCGTCTCCCTCTATGGGAGATGGTGTGTAAAGCAATTAGTTCTAGACCGGGTTCAACGAGAGCCAGGACCGGCGATGAGCGGCTTTTCACAAGGCGAAGAGAAGAAAGAACAAGATGCAGCACGTAGTCTCAATCCTGGTGGCACGGTTCATGTGCTCTAAGACAACGGGAAGCTGGGATTTTGAGAACCCGTTTCCCGAGTCGACGGCACGCAACTGGGCGCCATACCACACACTAGTGGGAGTCTAGGATATACCCAGGTTTGTATGAAGTTACTTTTAGAGTACCCGGACTCTGGAGTGGGAGAGGGAGGTGGGGCGAGGGGGGGGGATTGAACCAAAAAGATGAGAAACGGGAACATTTGGTCTGACCTGTCAGTTTCCCAAGTCTCCATTTTCTTCCCCAATTTCCTTTCAATTGTGCGATACGCCGCATGGAAGGCGGAGCTCATTTCCATGAGCCGCCGAAGCCCACGTGAAAGATTCTAACAAAAGCAAAGGGTAAGGCAGCTGGCGGGTGCATGTGGTCTCAGCCGGAACTGAGACTGACAGATACAAACCGCAACTCACCGACACGCACGAGACAGAAAAGAAGAAAAAGAGGACGCCGCCTCGAGACTGCCAGGTTGCCTCACATATCAAGCAAAGTGAAGCAAGAAGAGCCGCTGGCAAAAGCTAAGTGGAGAGAAGGAAGGAGAGAAGAGAGAGAGAGCATAGAGAGAGGGCCAAAAGTCTATGCATGTCTCTGGACGAGACCCTTGGCCTGATTGGCGGTCATCATGCGTTCGCCACCTAAGTCACACACACCCCCAGAAAGTCGAGCCTATAGAGACCTGAGATTTGACCGGTGAATGGTACGCATGATAAAAGGCCTCTCCGAGCTGCAAGGAGAAGCAGAGACAAGAGAAACTGAGCGTTTTCGGTTTGTTGCGGAGAGGGAACAGGGCGCTGACCACTGAACTGCTAGCCGACTTTGCGAGTCGAATGAAGCCCTGGGGGTCACCGGTCGTCAGGTTCAGATATTGACCGCTCGAAATTGCTATACGTATATCGACTGACCTAGAACAGAGAAGATAACCCACAGCCCAGGCAGCAAGGCAGAGAGAAATGGGGGGGGACATCTTAGTCAAAGGAATAGGATATAACAACATCATTCAATTTGCACTACTTGGGCCGTCGGACCGGCAGATAAGATCCTACCAGTATGATGGCCTGAGGCCGGTGAATTGAGATAACGATGATACCGAATCGCTTGTCTCTTCCTTCTTCCGGTGGCCACCCAGCTTGAGCGTGTGTGTGGTTAGCGGATGGGAAAACTCAAGAAAATACGTAGATATGAGAGGGGAGGTGAGGTGAGGAAGGAGTGGACAAAGACCACGAAGACGACGAAAAGAGGAGTTATCGTTGCTTACCTCTAATTGTACCGCCTTGTGAATATGCACCAGCCAGTCCACATACGACTGCGCCTCATTATTCCTGTCCTCAACCAGCATACGAGCAAATTCGTACTCGGCGCCGTCTATACCTTGCCTCGCTAGCTGTATCGTCAGGCCCTTGGAGCCGCGCATCGTCCTCAAGAACTCAACAATGTTGCGCACCTGGGCGTTTAGGTGGGTTTGCAGAACAGGGAGGTTCGATGTGTAGGCATCAAGGCTCTGCAGGCTAGTCTTGTCCTCCCCAAACAGGTCTGCAATCAGGTTGGGAGACGTCTGCGCATGGAACCACAAGAGGCACTGCTGGCCGTTGTCTACAAGATAGACGCCACCCGGCTCTACCCGACTGAAGGACGTCCGGATGGAAGGCGGCATTTTCAGATGGCCCGTCTTCTCATCCGGGAAGCCGTCATCGGGCTCCAGGTTGTGGACGGGAATCATTCGCGGGTACAGGTAAAGACTCAGCTCAAGGGCGCCCATTGACCTAATTAGCCGCAATTCATGCACTCTCCGGTCCGTCGTCTCATTTCCACCCTTGAAAGCGCGGGACTTGATCATCGAGAGCATGTACATCGAGAATTCCTTGAGTCTTTCGGGCATCACGAGCTGCCCGGGGGGTGAGACTGCGAGAGAAAGTTTCTGCGATATCCAGCAAGAACATCAATTGTCTTCTCCGTCAGACCGAGGCGAATGTCTTTTAGATTGCTTGACGTTGTTGAGAGTTTGGTGGCCGCTTCCTTGGCTAGGATGGTGTAAACCGCATCCTGGTCAATGAACTTAAGAGTGTCCTTGGCATTCTCACTAACGCCGGCAAGGACGTTGCAACACCTTACCCTGCGCTGACCAGAAGCCGTCGTATAAAGCAACGCAGCCTGAAAGTGGGCGTCAAGCTTCGAGTCGAGTTTTCCGTCGTAGCCAAAGGAAACAGCCAAGGCCTTATCTGCATCAATGACCCCGATCTCGAGGTCTGCTCCAAAGGTGTGCTGAATGAAGTTGCCGTGATAAGCCGACACCTGCAGCCCGTTTGAGCATCTGACCTTCATCAGAGCCTGGTAACCGGTCTCGCGAGTAACGGCATGCTTGATCTCGAGAGACAATCGCGTGTTGTCCCGTGGGGCGATAAAGTTGGGATAGTAGAAGGTCTCTCCACCCGTAGTGGACGAAACATGGCCTGGCCCGAGTCAGTCAGCATATGGACAGAAACAAACAGGAGCATGTCAGCAGGGGGGGGGAGACTTACCGACAGTGGCAATGTCAAGATAGCCCCCGGACGGCGCCGCCATGAAGAAGTCGACACCGGCACCGATGGAAACCATCTTTTCGGCTATCTTCCTCCATGCGGGGTGCTCAGTGGTGAACAGTTTCTTGTCGGGCTCTCCGCCGGGATGCTTGCCATCGTCTCGCAGAAACAAGCGGCCAGGCCCCCAAGTAGACAGTGCAGAAACTGAGCAGAAGATCTTGCCGCCGGTCTTCTCAAGGGCAGCGAAGGCCGAATTAAGCGTGGAGAGGAGTGCAGGCTCGGGGTTCTTGAAGTTGGAGAACATTTGCGGGAGTCGAGTCAACAGGGCCGAGATGACGGCTTTTGCCTCATATGGATCCACAAACAGGCCTTCACTGAGCGGCACAAATGGATCTTCAATGTCGGGCATAATCATCATCTGGGCCTGCTCGAGCGCCGGGCTCACGTTGTAGAAATGAACTTCCTTGTCGAAGGTGACGAACCCAACTTTTGCACCGGCAGGAATTCTCCGCTTAGGCTCGCCGTTATCATCCTTCTCCTCGTCCTGAGCGCCGCCGTAGAGAGCGGCTAGAATACCCTCGCAAAAGGACTCCAGAAACCCCTTGTTGAAGGACTCTTGGGTGACATCAATCACGAAGAGGTAACGCATGCCGACCGGTTCCTTGGTCCAGTACTCTTTGGGCACCACGAACTCGACGGTTCCCCGTGTCAGCTCGGGCCGCTGATCACGGTCGACGCGGACGCCTTGTGGGCTGGTAGCACAAAAATATTCGGGAGGGGTATCATTGGCGTAGTTGCAGAGGTTGCAAACGAACTTGTTGCCGCCAGAACGAAACATCATAAACGGGTTTATGTAGGCCCTGCACCTGTGACACCTCGGAGGCCCGACATCGCCAAAGTCTAGAACGGGAATCGCCAGCTCGCCGGCCTGAAGAGGCGCCAGAGGCTGTAGTAGCAGGCCCAGAGGCAAGGCCGTGCTGCGCAGACCCTCGGCCGTGGCGGGGAGGTTGTTGAGGGTGAGACGGGCAAACTTGGGCGAGGCATTGCCCGAGTCAATGGCGACAAACGAAACAGTGGCCGGAGGTGGCACGAGCCGCTCAAAGGTTGGATACACGTTGGAGAGAAAGTATTGCTGCACGGAGTCGCGGGATATGGGCACGCTGGGCATCTCGTCCGGGGACACCTTAGTCTGGCCCGACGCCGGAACGACTGTGGGCGACGGCACCGCCTCCCCAAGGCCGCTCCTCGTGGCGAACTCGGCAGTTGAGGCAACGGGTGGGTTGAAGTATGAGTTCACGGGCGCCGGAAACTGGTTCATCTGGGGAGTTATGCCAGCCAGCGAGGGGTCCGCATTCAAGTAGGCCGTCACCGGGGTGTCTGCGGGGGGCATGCCATTGAACGGCTGTGATGAGCCTGCCGGGGCATCGACGGTATGGTATGCGTGGCGGTCCTTCTTCTTTCTCCTTGCCGTGCCCGTATAAGGATCGGCGCCAAGCGATATGCCGCCCATCTGCGCGGCCAAGGCACTGTCGTCGGGAGACATGGAGGCGGCGTGCAGGTGCGGTTGTGGCTGTGGCTGACCTTGGAGGTAGTCGCCGTGGGCTTGAGGAGGCGCGTGGGTGCTAACAAACTGCTGCTGCCCGGGAGGCGCATTGTTGTAGGCGGCGGCTTGCTGCTGGTAAGGGTTTGTGGCGACTGGAGGCTGGAACTGGGGAGGAGCTGGCTGGGAGGTGCGGTTGGGGTTATTTGGGTCAACGTTTTCGCCCCGGCCCAGGGCGTGGTACATGGAGTAGTCTGCCATCTTGCTGCTGGCTTCGCTTCGTTGTTATTGCGGCTCTGCAGTCCCAGCTGCGCTTCTCGGAAGGATTGGGGGGGAGAGGGGTTGTTGACAATCGAACGTCACTGTTGGAAGGACGAGAGAGTCTGGTGCTTATTGTCTGTTTGTCATTCACAGCGGCCAATGCTCGCCAGAGTCGCCAGGAGACCGTCACCGAGGACTCTGTGCGTGTGGGTTGTTGTAGTTCATAACGAGAAACCCTCAAGACTAGAAGCTCTGGGTTAGGTCTGCGTTGGGTAAAGTGGCCTCAATCGCCCCGTCTCGCAGCTAAGGTGGGTTCGAGTTGCTTGCCGTCGCGGGTTGAGCTGTCCTTTTTTCGGCTCTCACGTTAACAGACTAGAAATAGAAGCTGCAGGGGTAACTGCTGTCCTCCCCAGCCTTGGCGCTGCACGGCACTGGGCACGATTTCGTTCCGGAGTTTAACCAGACATAGACCCGCCCAACGGGAGACCTAAGCTCTGCCAGTGGCTACCGCCTTTTGAGCTTCAAGAGCCAGCGCGAGCCGCAACGCGAACCTTTAATAAGTACTATACTGTGTATTTCGGCCTGCGAATGAACCCACCCTATCTACCACGGCATCCCACAACGAGAATTGAAGACAGCTGCGGCCACTCTTGCCAAAACATAGTCACAAACTCGGCACTGCTCAGACAGAACAACTTCTTGTGCTTGCGCGCGGAATACACAGTGACGTCTGCCCGTCTCTGGAGGATGCGCCAAGCCAGGTAGGGTCGTTGCGACGAACGAGAAGCAAAAATAATCGAGAGAGCCGAAAGAGTTGGAAGAAGCGAAAGCCAACCCACAGCCATGTTCACTTTTTGCCCGCTGCAAGGCGCCCTCTCCGAGTCGACGGCGTCGCAATCCCTGCTCGAGCTTGATGGAGGCGTCAAGGTGCTGATCGACGTCGGTTGGGACGAAACCTTTGATACGGAGAAACTCAAAGAATTGGAAAAGTACGTATGGCTTCTGTATGGCTTTTGCACGAAGGAGCCCGTCTCGCTCAATCCAACAATCTCAACCAAGCCCAAGTCCCGAGAGTCACGCTTTGCAGTCTGCTGACACTGTCTTGCGACAGACAAATTCCCACTCTCTCCCTCATCCTCCTTACGCACGCGACGGTACCTCACCTTGCAGCCTACGCGCACTGCTGCAAGCACTTTCCCCTCTTCACGCGCATCCCCGTCTACGCTACGCGGCCCGTCATAGATCTCGGTCGCACCTTGACACAAGACCTCTACGCCTCCACTCCGCTTGCTGCCACCACCATCCCATCCACATCGCTAGCCGAGGTATCGTACGCCTATCCGCAGGCCTCGCCTGCCGACCACACCTTTCTGTTGCAGGCCCCGACCTCCGAAGAGATTGCTCGCTATTTCTCTCTAATCCAGCCCCTCAAATATTCGCAGCCTCACCAGCCGTTACCTTCGCCCTTCTCCCCTCCGCTCAATGGCCTCACCATCACAGCCTACAACTCGGGGCATACACTCGGAGGAACTATTTGGCACATACAGCACGGCCTCGAATCTATTGTCTACGCAGTCGACTGGAACCAGGCGCGTGAAAACGTCTTCTCCGGCGCCGCCTGGCTGGGCGGCGGTCACAACAGTGGCGGCGGCACCGAGGTGATTGAGCAGCTGCGCAAGCCAACCGCACTCGTCTGCAGTAGTCGCACACCAGAGACGACACTGGCGCGAAGCCGGCGCGACGAGCAGCTCCTGGAATCCATCAAGCTATGCATCGCTCGTGGCGGAACAGTTCTCATCCCCGTTGACTCGAGCGCCAGGGTCCTTGAGCTTGCCTACTTCCTCGAACACGCTTGGAGGGCCGAGGCTAGCAAGGGAAATGATGTCATCAAGGCCACGAAGCTGTACCTCGCCGGGCGCAGTATTGGAAGCACCATGAGAAACGCGAGGAGCATGTTGGAGTGGATGGACGACAGCATCGTCCGAGAGTTTGAAGCCGTCGCCGACGAGTCGCGGAGAGACAACCGCGGCGCGGATCACGGCAGGGGCAAGGATGGCGCAGGGCCTTTTGACTTCAAATACCTGCGGGTTCTAGAACGCAAAGCCCAGATTGAGCGCGTGCTGCAGCTAGCAGTTGACGACGCCGAACCGAAGCCCAAAGTTATCCTTGCAACCGATTCAAGCATAGAATGGGGATTCTCGAAGGGGATTCTGAAAGCAATCGCAGGCGATGCGAGAAATCTCGTAGTTCTGACCGAGAAACCAAGTCTTGGCACAGGCAGCAAATCCTCTCTCGCTCGCACGCTTTGGGAATGGTGGAAGGAGAGGCGGGATGGCGTTGCTATAGAGCAAACAAGCGGCAGCGACACTTTCGAACAGGTTTACGGTGGTGGACGAACGTTGGAGGTAATCGGTGCCGGGAAGCAGGCCCTTGAAGGGGGCGAGCTGACCGTCTACCAGCAGTGGCTAGCGACACAGCGTCAGCTGCAGGCAACTCTCCAAGGAGGCGCTGCCACAATACTGGAAGCCTCGGCTGATGTTCTTGACGATGCCTCGTCGGAATCATCGTCGGATTCCGAAGGGTCTCAGATAGAAAAGCAGGGTAAAGCTTTGAACGTCTCGACGACCCTGGGACAAGCTAGCCGTAAAAAGGTCGTCTTATCGGACGAAGGCCTTGGCGTTAACATTATGATCAAAAAGAAGGGCGTACACGACTTCGACATCCGTGGAAAGAAAGGGAAAGACCGCATGTTTCCTATTGTGATACGGAGAAAACGGAATGACGAATTTGGAGAGCTGATACGCCCTGAAGACTACCTCCGAGCCGAAGAGCGAGAAGATGCCGATGGTCCCGAAACCGCAGGTACTGGCCAGGCTGGAAACCGGCAACAGGAAGACGGCCTAGGCAAGAAACGCAAGTGGGATGATGTCGGCACAGGGCCCACCAAAGGATTCTCTAGGCCTAACAAACGTCCCCAACTTACTCGAGCCATATCGGCTGACGAGCCCGACGCGGCGGCGCTCGCACACGGTCCAGCCGGGGATGAGCTCGATAACCTGGAAGACGAAGAGGAAGTTATTCTCGGCCCGTCCAAACTCGTCTTGACAACAGACCTCATTACGGTCCGGCTGCGCATTGCTTTCGTCGACTTTAGCGGTCTGCATGACAAGCGCAGCTTGAACATGTTGATACCGCTGATCCAGCCGCGCAAGCTTGTTCTCGTAGCCGGCGGTGAAGAAGAGACGCTCACACTTGCCGCCGACTGCAGGAAGCTTCTCACAGCGAAACTCGGCACCACTAGCGACGGTCACGCCGTAGAAGTCCTGACCCCGGCCGTTGGTGCCACTGTCGACGCCTCAGTCGACACCAATGCCTGGGTCGTCAAGCTGGCTGATCCTTTCATCAAACGCCTCAGGTGGCAGAACGTGCGCGGGCTCGGCATTGTGACCGTGACGGGGTTGCTGCTGCCTGGCGGCGAAATTGCCCTTACTGATGTCAACCACGACGAGGACACAGCGAACAAGCGCCCCAGAATTGAAGGAGGTACCGATGACTCAACAGAAGTGCCGGAACCGATCACTACCACCTCCGCCGACAGTAAGGCACTGGTCACCAAGGTCATTTCTAGCGCGGCGATGGCTGCTGTCATCCCGGTCTTGGATGTGCTCCCAACGAACATGGCATCAGCGACGCGCGCAGGCGCCCAGCCCCTTCATGTTGGCGACCTGCGCCTCGCTGACTTGCGTCGTGCGATGCTCAATGCTGGCTATAAAGCCGAGTTCCGCGGTGAGGGGACCCTGCTGATCGACGAGATAGTCGTGGTGCGCAAGACATCTACGGGTCGCGTAGAGCTTGAGAGCGCCGGCCTGTTTGGCAGCGACATGTTAATGATACCAACAGCGGCAGCAACAGCAATGGGAGGGGGGAGTACGTTTTACGCCGTAAGGAAAAAGATATACGAAGGGCTAGCAATAGTCGCAGGCGCTTAATGGTTACGATGGAGCTTCTGTAACCTATTGCATAGCAATGTATACTATGAAAGAGCTTTACTAACTTATAAATTTTTTTTTTTAAAAAAAAAAAAAGAGTAATAGAATTTCTATTCGCGATCCTTCAGTAACTTAACAGAGTTAAATATTTTCTACTAATTACGTTATAACTACTCGCAAGCCCGAGAGTTGCTAGCATATGTGAGGGCCTGGCCTTCCAGACCTCCCAGACGCTCTGACTAATCAGACGCCAGTCGGGTGGATCCACCCGACTGACCAATGGAAGCCCGACCAGAGCCCCACCTTGAGACACCCTGGAAGAATCTCGCGAGGGGAGACTTTTGAGCTTCTTTTCCCTTTTCCCTTTAGTTTAGAATCTTCGTCAATAGCGCCCAAATAGAGGAGTTCCGCCCTCATTCCAAGCCGGCCGTGACAGCATAACTAAACGCTAGATTGGCGTGTTGGTTGATGTAGTGCGTCGCGCGAGCCGACTAAAGCGTGGATTAATATGTGTATGCTAGATTAGGGAGACGACGCGAAAGAGCGATGAAGCTTGTTAAAATCTTACTACCTGTTTTCTATCTTAACGCTCCAGCTGAAAGTATTACAAACCACTCGACTGTTAGGGTCGTCTGTCTGTAAGGGAGCACGGGCTCCACAGAATGCTGGGGTTGGTAATTATGAAGATAGAACAAAGGGCAAGCTGTTACGATCCTGGTTCAGGCTCGCAGGAGGCTGCACGGAGCCTCCCGTTATTGGCTGACGCCAGGAAGTGGGGTATTTCCCCGCTTCCCTCGAGTGCAGCCAATAACGAGGCGGTCAGTACGATCAGTATGGTCAGGGCGATCAGTGAGAGAACTGACCGCACTGAGCACACTGACCACACTGATCACCCAGGACCAACGCTCTGATTGGTCCGCCTTAGATAGATATATACGACGACCGTAGCCACGGTCTTAGATAGTTCTTGCTTGGTTCTTCAAGCAAGCAATACACATTCGCTGCACTCATACATTTTGAGTGGCATTCCGATTTGACTGTATTACCCGTGCGATAGGAGCTTGCCCTTTGTTCTATCTTCATAATTACCAACCCCAGCAATCTGTGGAGCCCGTGCTCCCTTACAGACAGACGACCCTAACAGTCGAGTGGTTTGTAATAGGTAAGACTTCATTCAACCTGGTGTCACGAATCCCTGTGGATTCCCTGTGGTTATGCACAAAGGTGGGGCATGCACTTTTTGGCGCGGGCCAATCAGGAGCGTTCCAGGGTTCCGAGCTCTGGAGCTCGGGGACGCGGGACAGGTCCGGTCGGGCGGTGACCCGGACGCGGAACCACGGGACAACGGAACCACTGTTATTGGTTACGTAGATAGATATATACGAAGATCGTGTCCACGGTCTTAGATAGTTCTTGCTTGGTTCTTCAAGCAAGCAATACACATTCACTGCACTCATATACTTTGAGTGGCATTCCGATTTGACTGTATTACCCGTGCGATAGGAGCTTGCCCTTTGTTCTATCTTCATAATTACCAACCCCAGCATCCTGTGGAGCCCGTGCTCCCTTACAGACAGACGACCCTAACAGTCGAGTGGTTTGTAATACCTGGCCCTTGCAAAGGAAGGGGGCGAGGGCCACTGTTTATATACATGCTCAGGGGCTCAGTCCTGCGTGTGACGGCCCGCCCTACGCAGTAGGGATGTCAATGGTTGAAGGCAGTAACGAATGTGGATTTAAAGCTAAAGAAGAGAAAGGAATCTATCGCCAGGTCCGCGCAGGGCGCGGAGAAATAGGTAGTGGTGCTCAGTGCGCACAGGCCACACCCTAAGCACAATGCAGCCAATAGAATCAATTCTGTCACATGAGCCCTGTGGCGACCGTGACACTGCGTGTGCTTGTGAAAGCTTATGGATTGTGGCGCCGTAGTGCGGCTTAGTGGCTTGTGCCAACGGGCAGTGGCGGCCAGTTGGTGCTCTTTCCTTACACATACGTACCGTACTAGGTAAGCTATCGAATAGGCTACCACGTATACCGGCTTAACCTCGGCGAGGCCGAAAGGGGCAGGAATAGTCCCCGTCTTTGGAGATGGCTAAAGGCGAGAGATGGGGGCCGCTTTGCCGTACAGTACTGAGCGACAAGTACTGCCATCGGACGTATCGGGTCGGATAAGTCTGGGTGAGCTTTCAGCCCCAAGCACAGGGCGTATCCTTCAAACTCCACGGGCCCACACATGATACGGACGTGTCGGGCTGCGGCCACTCCTTGAAGCACCTGCAAACAGCTTTATTAGTGACTCTGGTTGATCAGCTTAGAGGTTTGCAGGCCTTACCCAGATGCGCTGAAACCACGGTCGAGCAAGGAGGTTGCTAACTGCCGCCGGGCTCAAACTTTTGCCGGAGGGGTTCTTAGACTCGTCGACTAGAGCACATATGCTTTGAGCGTGTCCTGATCCTCCACTTCAGCTTCCCCAAGCCAAACAATGACACGGCTGGCTTTGGAATAGATCTCTGCCATAGACTGGGCTTGTTGTGCTTGCTCATTTATATTTTCTTGGTCGATGCAGACCGCATTGGCCCATGACTCGTCCAATGAGGCGATATCGAAGTCGTAATAGTGCGGCGCGGAGGTTTGCTGTGATAGGCAAGTAACAGTCGCCTATGGAAATAGAATAGGGCTTGGCCAAGCCGCCCCAACAGTAGGACAAAGCCTCGTATAAATCTGCTCTTTCCCAGGTCTCCTGAATAGGATATTCGAAGAGCTGGCAGCGTATGAGATCTACGTTCCCTCTGTGTGGCATCAAATGAAGCAAGCGAATGTTTCCAGGTGGCAACGGCGACTACTTGTACTTCTTGCCCAGGCTGTCGCTATTCTCGGAAAAGACCGGCTGTTGGTTTGTAGGTTCGGTTGCCGAAAGCTCGGCTCGAGGGTCCACAGGCACAGATGGAGCCGGGGGTTGATGATCGGTGTCTCTCATAGCAACATTGGCCGGTGTCGGATTCGCATCAGCGACAGAGTGATCGGGAGAAGCATATGGCTCTGGAGCGGTGACGGAAGACATCTCGGCCTGTGTTTTACGTCACTATTCGAACGATCGGTATTTTCTGGAATTGTAAGCTTCCAGGATGCTTGCGACCTGCGTCTGACTCCACATACCTGCGTGTTGTGCGGTAGATGGAGCCCGCAAGGTAGTAGCTTGAATGCCCCTTGGTGTTTTAAATGCCGTCCAAACGATCTGCAGTTCGCGGCTGTTAGACTAGACGTAATCGCGACAGCTAGGTGGTCTTCCCAGTCGAGCTTAAATGCCCCGCTAGACCACGGTCCACACTCGGACCGTCCTCAATACGTTATACCCAAACCTTCACACTCTATCCACTCGTTCACTGCACACGAAATTGGCTAATTGCCAGTGCTGTAGACCAGGCTCTCCCTCGCAGAAGCCAATTATGTGTATTTTTTCAATATAGTCGTGCAATACGGAGTAACTTTTTTGTCAATTGAACGAGTGGTACGGCATGTAAGTGCTGACACGTGCCCTGCCCAGTCTCTTTCTAGGGGTAAGCCTGCAAAAGTGGGGCCCTTCAAGGACAGAGCCCAATAAAACGTGGGGGGGTCTGGTCATCGAAAGCTGTAACCAAAGGTGGGTCCCAGCTTGATCGACGTATACTGGGCGCGACAACTAGCGCTACGGATGCGTAAGCACTAGAGCCCACTATAAGCTACAATTTCATTTATCTCAATATTCTGGCATCCTTTTGCAATCTGGTGCCCTAACGGTGGTAGGTGTTCTATCACGTCGTCATAACTCCCACCCAGCCTATCATGTACGATGTCCTCGTGCTCTAACTGGGTTATAATCGTCGCTCTCATTTAGCACGTTTGTCAATTCCTTCCCTTGGTTCAAAATTTAATTAATGTCCTTAACACGAGAGTGATAGCTTTTGCCATACCTGTCAGTCATCATAAAAAAACATTTGCGCCGAGTCGTTTTTTCAGTGTCAGTTGTGGAACAAACATTCAAGCCGTTGCTAGCATACAGTGAACTCGATATATTAGTTGGTCTTGTATCTATTCGGTCATGATCTCTTTGATCAAGCGCATCTCGTATAAGACAGCAAACTATTGATTGCCGCCTCCGTGACTGAAGTCGTCAGTTGTCGCAACAAGTCGGCGTTGTGTCTTTGCTCGTTCTTGGCGTGTATTTAGAAGTCTGTTAAGATGCACCACTGTAGCAAGAGACTAAGTAATTGATGGGCAGGTTGTGAGAGACGCGTATATGTATTGGCGAACTTGCAGGTCAATGCCACTGGCAGAGAGGGCAACGCAAGACAATGCAAGGCATGTCTTGGCTTGACAGACGCTCCCTCTGCCATTGTCCCTGATATTAAGAGAGGGAATCCGCTGGACGCAGGGTGAGAAAGGGCTGGCGTGGAGGCCGAGCCATTGGATTTGAGGTTGGAGCTAACAGCTCTCATTGACCTGGGACTGGAGTTCTACGATACGGTAACATGATTCAACAATACTCAATAAAACGAACTGATAGCTTGGGGGACTGCATGATAAGATAATTCGGGTATCGCCTTCAAAAGATGTCTTGAACTAAGCAATCGCAACCGTCCAAGTGGCCATCATCACTGGTCAACGCCATCCACCTTTCCCTCATCTGTTCCGTCCAGTGGGGGGCCGTCGTTTCCGCCCGTGGTGGCCCTCTCTTTCTCGTGCTCGTCAGGAGTTTGACACTTGGCGCTCCAGGCGTGGATTTGTGCGATTTCGTCCTTGAGCGCCGAGTTCACCAGCCGGTGCCTCTTGAGTGAATTCTTGCCGGCAAACTCGGGAGACACTATGAGCGATGTGAAGGATTGACCGCAGCCGCCTGGCATACATTCTGCAGTGTCAGTCTTGGTCGCTGGTCATCACTCCGGATCGGTTGGTGCTTAGACAGAGGGCGCTGCTCATAGCGGGGTGGGGTATTCCATGACTGCACCGGGGCAAAGAACTCTGAAGGATCTGGCCTCGTACCGGACATGTCGGCCACCTCTACATAGGTGGCCTTCAGTCGCTCCGTCAGCGCGTCTTTGAGCGAGCTCTCTGTTATCGCTGTCTCGGCCATGCTGTCCGTTGATATCAGCGTGTCGCGGATGAGGGTACTGAGAAATGAGGCAAGAGCTAGCGAGCATAACTGCGCTGGGAGCTTGCCAATGTCCCGCGCAAATTCTCGGCGGGGCTGGATCTATCTCCATAGGTGGGGTTTCGTATTTTCATACAACCATACCCACTCAACAGGGTTGGGGTTGTATGGTGCACATACCGAGTACTGTCCATAGGTACGGATACAATAGAAGCTTTGATCCAGTTCTACTCAGGTTACCATCTGTTTTTATAATTTCTCCTATATACCGACTGGATCTCACGGTGCTCGCGCCCTTCTCTTGAATAAGCTAGAGTCTGATGGCATAGTGGAATCTGTATACGTAGGTGCACCATTTCATCACGGAATGTAGCCTTGCTCAAGACGGCGGCTGCTAATAAACTTGCACTGGCTGGGGCAGCGACGGAACACAGGCTCGAACACACACACCCACACAGCAAGTCGCTCCTGTCTAATGACTTTCGTAAAAAGTCTCGCCAACTTTACAAGGCGTCTTTCTGTAGTACCGGCAGTTCTCACAAAGTTAAACGCCTTCCCTTACTCGACCATGACGTCCATCATCCAGAGCCCCCTCTTCACTCAGCGCGTGGTGCAGGCGATGCGGTCCCTGTAGGTTACGGCTTGCCCATGTTCGAAACCCGGCCACTCACGCCGCTCGCTTGTTGTGCACTGCTGATTATCCGCCAGATATCCCGAGGAGCTGGCAGACAGGGCCTGGGACAACGTGGGCCTGCTTCAGGAGAACATTGACTATTCACAGTCACCGTCCTCCGCGGCACGCGACGTGTCGCCCATCGTGCTTCTGACCAACGACCTCACGGTCCGCGTGGCTGAAGAAGCCATCCGGAAGCGTGCTTCGGTCATCGTCAGCTACCGTACGGATACGGCTCTTTCCTTCGCGTCGGCTCGCTAGTCCCATGTAGCCGGGTGCTAACTAACCGCCGCCTTACCTATCAGACCCCTTCATCTTCCGTGGGCTCAAGTCCATCTCGCTCGGCGACCCACAGCAGCGTATCATGCTTCAGCTCGCCCAGCATAACATTGCCGTGTGTAAGTCGGGAATTAATCTATACTAGGAGGGCCCCATCATCAAGACCCCTTGCTGGAGTCGTACTTCATATCGTGTATTCGTTCATGGAAAATGGCCACGGCATATTCATCCATTGACGTTTGGCTTGCAGACTGCCCGCACACCGCCGTCGACGCCGCGCCCGGTGGCATGAATGACTGGCTAGCCGACATGCTGGACGGCCACGGGGTAACGACAAAGCGGTCCGTGGTGCAGCCCACAGCTGTGCCGGTGCCTCCGGGGTTTGGGGGTGCCGGATTCGGGCGGCTCGTTGAGTTTGGCCACGTCGTCAACCTCGGACGGATTGTTGAGGCATACGCCGAGGGCCTGGGCGGCCTGCGGTACGTGATGGTGGCGCGGCCAAAGCAGTCCATGCCCCACCTCATCCGGTCCGTGGCTATCTGTGCCGGCTCCGGTTACGACGTGCTCAAGGACTGCACTACCGCCGACCTCATCGTGACGGGCGAGATGACGCATCATAATGCCCTGCGGTTGACCATGCTCGGTCGCTGCGTCCTCACCGTCTTCCACAGTAACTCGGAGCGCCGCTTCCTCAAGAAGCGCCTCCAGCCGCAGTTGCATGGCATCCTAGCGAGTGAGGACGCTGAGACCGAGGTGCTGGTCAGCGAGGAGGACGAGGACCCGTTTGAGATCTGGGACGTCAAGAACATGCCACTACTGGCCTACGACAAAAAGTGAACAGACGCTGTTGAGTACGTGGGAGGGTGTCTGGAAATCCCTACTCTGGCTTCAAGAGCGGTGCACGCCGGATTGTATGACAAGGAGGACACATACATATGTACTGTACATACAAAAACCCTCGAACTTAACGGGTGCACATTGTACATACATGAAATTGCATACAAGAACCCCGCCAGGGAGATATCCAGGCTGATGACAGCATTTCGCCAGAAGTCTTCCAGGCTCACTATGAGCCCTGATCCTAATTTTTTTTTCTTTCTTCAATTCATTGGTATCATATATGAGTGGGGTGGAATAGGTCGTAGACTACGCCGTGCTCGCGGCGCTGTTCTGCTCCAGGGAAACCCTGCCACTTAGCGCTGCATCACCCTCTTCAAGGAGAGCGACGACGTCGTCGCCGCCGAGCCCTTTCTCTCTCCATCTCTCCAGCAGCTGTCGCGGCAGCTCCCACTCGCGCTTGGCTTCGTGCTCTCTCCCCTCTTGCACTAGCCGCCTCACCCTTTCCGGCACCTCAAGCACTCCCAGCACGAGTTCCCTGGTCCTCCGCCTTCGCTCGACCGCCGCAATTTGCTGTCTTTTCGTGTCTTGCTCCCCGCCCTCGCCCTCCTCTTCCCCTGTCCGTTCCGACGAGTTTCTTTCCTCTTGCTGAAACGAGTCTCGCAGCGGACGCTGGACCTCGCGGCGCATCTCCTCGCGCATCCCATTGGCCTGCTCGTAGATCTTGGCGACTACCAGGTCGAGAGTGCTAGCCATGGGGTTGAGGGGGTCCATGGTGGAGCGCATGCGGCGGATGGTCTCGGTGGCGCTGATGAGCTTGCTGTAGTTGTCGTAGACGAGCGCCTTCTTTTCAGCATCGAGGGCTCGCATCTCGCCCAACACGCGCGCATAGGCGCGCAGAAGCTCCGTCAAGCTGCTAGTCTGCAGCGTGCGCGCGACCCAAGCCGCCGCATCGAACCCGGCCGAGTCCAGCTCCGATGTGGCCGTCATCATGTCTCCGCTCCCGCCCGTCGCGCCGGCTCCGGCGGCACCGCCAAAAACCCCATCGAATGGTGCGTCAGTCACCTCGACAGTCGGGGTTCCCGGGCCTGACGAGCTCGCCCCTGTCGCTGCCGCCTTGCGGATATTGTAGTACTCGCGTAGCGCTGCGCGCGTGGCTCGCTTGTTGGGGGGGGCCGCGGTCGAGCCGCTGCCAGCAGCGGCATTATGGTTGGGTGACCCCGAGGCAGAGGCGGGTAGATCGAGACTTGGGCGTGTGGAGGACGTGGGTGTGGTGACAGTCACGGGCTGTGACGAGTTCATGCGCCGCGCCAGCGGTGTCGATGGGTCGCGGGGCGAGGCGATGGTCGACATACCAGCGGCTACAGCTGTCGCCGTGGTAGTGTTGCTGTGTTGGTCCAAAGCAGACACATCAGACCATTGATGGCGCTGCCATCGACGACTTGAATAGTGTGCGGGTTATCGCTAGCTCGTGGGTGACAGGTAGAGGGGCTGACCACGGACGGAATGCGGATGTTGATCGAGAGCGAAAGCTGGAAGTTGTTTTGGGAGCTGCTTGAAGTAAGGCCTGAACCTGCTACGTAATCATGTATGTACGTACTTTATGTACGGTAAGTTCTCTGTAACGCAAGCAGGGAAGCAATACGTACGGAGACAGGGGCTAAAACTCTCCTTACCTTAGCTGCTTGTGCCAAGCAGGCCCCGCTCCACATTTCCCCACGACGAGAACATTCAACACTCGAGTCGAGTATCCCGTACCTCTAGCTAAGGTATGACACTCTAAGTACCTATCCGAATAGTACCTTGGGGAAAGGTGCAAACCCAACGAACGAGATTAGCTCCAGAGGCCTCTTCCCGTTAGTCTTCTACACGCTACCTTCCAGGTTATCAGGTACGACACCAACTTGCTAGGTACCGCTCGTCACCGTTTCCGAGTGACCAACAACGTAGACACTCGCCGCTGCTCATGTTCTCTCTCTCTCCTTGCAAGGCAAGGCAAACTTTGGAAACCCAAATTCTTTTGGTTAGGTACTGGAATACCTAACTATTCACCAGGAAATATTGAAGCAGGGATAGAGACTCATGTCATGTCAACTTCCTTCTCGCCTCGTCGTCTTCAATCATTCAACCTTGTTCTCACTATTCTTCGCACACACCTATTCTAGACCTAAACATTATGAGCACCTCGACATGCCAATCAGTTCATCTAAAAGCTGACCTCGAATCTTCAGTCTACACTTGACGTGGGTACACAGGCAGCAGCAAGGCGTTTTCATTCTACAAACTCGCTCTGGTCCCCTTTATCCTTCTGAGTTCTCTCTGCTTTTTCCCTTGCTCACCAACTTCTTCGAGACCCGCGCGCAGGCGAAAAAAAAAAAACAAGAGTTCAGTCTCAGAACGACCGCAGAAGGGCAGGCGAGATGGAAGTTGCAGTGCAGCTACAAACGGCTATGCGCTTGCAATCTATTCCCGTGCCGTCACTCTCGTGGCTGCGCGAGCTGGTGCAGAGCCGGCGCCCACAGCCACTAGTGGCACTGATAGCGACAGCGCGCACGCGGTTACTGGCCTCGGACCTGACGACGGAGGGGCTGCTAGATGATGAGTACGTGGCGGAGCACTCACTGGCCACCGCCACGGCGGGCAGTGGGCGCAACAACAACTTCACCGTCGAGGTCAAAGAGATGAAACTTGGGCGGGACGTAGTGGTGCAGGTGCTCGACGTGGAGAATGTGACGCGCAGTCGGTGGGAGCAGGTAGAAGAGCTCGAGTCGATTGAGCGCGGGGAGCAGACCAAGGGGCGCGAGATGATTCGGCTGCCTGTGGGAGACGGAGACGACGAGTTGGGCGACAACGCGGCTACTCAGAGGCTGTCGACACAGGGAAATGCTGCCGCTGCTGCCACCACCACCCCCAAGAACGCGACACACAAGCTGGTGCTGCAGGATAGTGAAGGTCGAAAGGTTTACGCGCTAGAGCTCCAACGCATTGAGCGCATCGCCGTCGGCAAGCTAAACATTGGCGAGAAGATCCTGCTCAAGACCGGCACAACGGTGGCGCGCGGCGTCATACTCCTCGAGCCAAATCATTGCCTCATGCTGGGCGGCAAGGTGGAAGCCTGGCATCGGTCATGGCTTGATGGGCGGCTGGCTAGGTTGAGGGAAGGCGTTGGCGCCGACAGACAACAATAATGGGGAGAAAATATGGCTCGTATTGGCAAGAGATATATATCTATCTCTAAGTCCAAGCTTGACGATAGCTGTCCAGCCATTTTAATAACCCTGAGTGGCATTTCCCTTCCTCTGCACCCATATCCACCATGCTATCTACTCCACATTGGTGCACATCTTCATGGCCACATTACCTAAAGGGAGAAAAGCACGGCTCACCATCATCCCATAACTGCATCGACCAGCCCCCGCCATCCAAATTTGTCCCACGGAGAGACCATAACGGCTATCTGCGCACCAGCCACGGTCCCTGTCCCCGCGTATGCCCTCGCTAAATCTTCAGCCTCTAGATCGCCTCGTGGAGCCACGCCCTTAAGCGCGACCCGCAGTGCTGTGGCCGCGGCGACCTCACCCTCATTGCCGCCGCGCACTGCTAGCTCCGACCAGCCGTGCGGCAAGTACGGGTGGAGCATGACGTTAACCTGCGCTTGGTTTGTCGCCAGTTCCTCGGCATTGTCCTCACCCTGCCCCAAGGCGGCAATTGCTCTTAGCACCTCGCCTAGCTGGCTTTGTTCCGAAGGTGTCACACCCTCATTACTAGCTCTTAGGGCTTGCAATTCTTGCACTACCGCCTCCAGGCTCTCCCCGTCGGCGTCTAGGAGGGCAATAACGCCCAGAAGACACACAGACTGCACGTGGTGCGGAGCTCGGCTGATTACGTCAAAGAGAAGTTCTCGCGCCCGCTCTCTGGACTCCTCATCCCCAGTAGCCCATAGGACCTGGGCTAGAATGCAGACCGCGTCTGGGTTTCCTTCTGACTCCTCAATAACAGCCTCGAAAGATGCCAAAGCCTCGTCAAGCTTATCGATGTAGTACTGAGCCAGGCCCATCGTGACGTGTGCACTAAGACGGAGTTTCTGGCGCTCTTCTGCTATCAACTCACGCCCCGCCGCCACCAACTTAGCGTAAGATGCGTCGTTGCTCAAGTGAATAGCTTTCTCTGCCGTCAGAATGGCTTTCTTGTACGAGCCGGCCGCTAGATATGAGCGGGCAAGGTCGGCTTTGGCGAGAATGAGATTGTTTAGTGATTGGGTATTCTGCGTTTCCTCATAATTGGCTTCCGCGGTGGAGCAGATACTCTCGAGCGTGGCGGCAGCGCGGACGTTTTCATTCGTCCGCTCCTGCAAAAGCGAATAGAGATGGCCGTAAGCCAAGTCCAAGGGTCTGAGAGCCTGTAGTTGACTTAGGGCAAGAATGGGCTGTAGCAAAGAAGCAATCGGAACCCCTGTTGGGGACGCCAAGATGTGGTCAAACATAGAGACAGCGTAAAGGCGTCTGGCTGGCAATGACGAGCTGTCGACAATCTCCATGGCATGAGCAAATAACTCCCGTGCTTTCCCGGCGTCTCCAGAAATCAGCACCGTCAGGCCCTGCCCGAGCCAGGCGTGCGAATAATCAGGGTCAGTAGACTGGGCCCTGGTAAAGGCCTCATAAGCAACCCGATCATCGCCTTCCATAAGAGCTAGGGTTCCTAGATTCGTCCAGGCATGGGCGCTTCTCTCGTTCAAGTGGAGGCTTCGGACAAATGAGTGCTGAGCCACGGCTGGGTTGATGGTGCTGGTGACCACTCCAAAGGCGTTCCAGAATTCTGAGTTGCCGGCCTCGAGCTCGATGGATCGCTTGAAACACGCCATAGCTGCCTTTAGATATGTGGTAGACTTCTTGCGCAGGTGCAGCGAGAGACACGTGTGAGCTCGGTATTCTGCCCAGCCCAGATTATAGTACGCCACCGCATGGGCGTGCACGTCGTTGGCAGACACATAAATCGCACGCTTGTGGGCGAGAATTGTTGCTTGGAGAGCCTTTGTCAAGTCCACTCCAAGCGTCTCAACCTCGGGAAAAACTCCATCAGTGATGACAACGGCTATGCCAACCCGGTCGATATCTCGAACGGCTTGGTACTCGGGCGCTGCGTCGTCGCGACCAATCAGGTCCCGGACCAGGTTTGCCGGGAAGCCCGAAACGCGGCTCTGGATGCTCGAAAAAATCGAGCAGGCATCCGCGACGGCCTTCCAGAAGTTGAAAGTCTCCTTGATGGCCGAATGGGCTTGTGTAGCAAACTCAAGCGTCTCTATTGCGAGAGCAACAGACTTGCCGAAAAACCCCTTTTCTAAGCTGTCTAGGGCATTCTCTACTAGAGCTTGCATCAAGGCAATCGTGACACCCTCTTCGTCGGCATGGTTGACTATGACTTCACGGTAAAGCGAAATGGCTTCGTCGAAGTCGCCGAGCTCACCTTTGATTTGAGCAAGTATGAATTTGGTAAACCAAGTCTCGCCGGAGATTTCGGCATCAGCGGAACCCTCCAGCTTCTGCGCATTCATGATCGCCTTGGTCGCTGCGATGTAGCGGCCAGAGCCGTGATAACTCTCGCCCAACCCCACCCATGCATGGTAGTCATTTGGTGAAATCCTCAAGGCCGCCTGGAAGGAAACGATTGCCTTGTGGTAGTCCTGCTTGTTGAGCTCCGCCACGCCGAGGGCGGCTAGTGGCCAGCTGATGCCCTTCCGTTTCGAGCCGGGCGGCGGCTTCACTTTCCCAGAATCAACCACCCTTTGCGCTACAAGCTCGACACGGTCCCAGTCTCCATCATCCGCAAACGACCTTGCGAGTCTCTCTGCCGAAATAACCTCGGACGGGGAGAGTTCGACGGCTTTCTGAAAGCACCTCCGCGCTCTTTTCTTGTCCTTTATGTAATCGGCGTAGTACACACCAAGGCTCGTGTAGGCGGGCGCGTAGTTCAGATTGCTCTTCAGCGCCTCGAGAAAGTACGCATAGGCACCGGTGCGCCTCTTCCTTGCCGATTTAGACGTATCGAGATTCCATATGCAATATCCGAGGCGATATTGTGTCTGTGCAAGGAGCTCCTTTGACGGCTGGCCCTTCTTCGTGAGCGGTGTTATGCACGCTTCTAGTTCCACTTTGCTGGTTTCAAAATCTCCTTTCAAGGCTCTGACCCACGCTGCTTCCGTCCTGACGCGGAGGTTGTCTGGATCGCGCATCAAGGCCCGTTCCAAGAAGTCGATGGCCTCGTCGAACTGTTCCTCCTCCTCGTAGATCAGCCCAACACCAATGAGTGCAGAAGTCGACGAAGACTCGTGGGCCAAGACTCCGTCAAATAGACTCTTCGCTTCTTGGTGGTGACGTGGAGACTGATAGAAGACGAGAGCTGTCCCAAGATAGAGAGAGATTGCATCTTGGGTGTGCCGGAAACTCAAACCTGTCTTGGAGCGCTCTGACTTCAGGTGCTCTAAAGCTTTGCGCATGAGCTCGACGTTGCTTTCATGCTCTTCGAGGTATTGTTGATATTCAGCCATCAGTCTGTACGCCAGCAGAGAGTCTGCGGTGCTGATGCCTTCTGTCATCATGAGTAGCCGGTCCTCCTCCGTCAACGGAACGTAAGTTGTCTTGGCACCGCCGTCTTCGTCGTCTTCGCTTTCATCCTGAGCATCGTCGCCGGCGACGGAGGTGCTGTCTTCCGGAACTTCCTTTGGAAATGGCGAGACAGTACTCGTCAGGAATCCCATCAAGACCCTGTTTAGATCGCTGTCGGGGAAGAAAGAGCAGTACTGCCTGAGCACGGTGACGTCCCATTCTTCAATTTCCTTGTGATCCTGCCAGTTGATTGCAATATCCCACGCGAACTTAAAGGGGTGCCTGATGATGACCATGTCGTTTGCTAGTTTCTGCACAATGTTTGCCTCTCGCTCCATTTCCTCGCCCGGGGGCCATACTAGGAGCCGGTCGTAACAGTACTGCAGCAGCTTCTCCTCGTAGGTGCGACGCAACTCGTCGTCGGATACCCAGTTGATGAGCTGCCTGAACAGATATCCTAGCCTGCTTTGACGGTAGACTTCTCGTTTTACTTCGACTGTGACGTCGTTGATACGGGCACCAATCCTAGTTCGCCGCTCGCCAATCATGGTGTTGATGCGCTTCTTCTCGTCTGTCTCAACGATCTGAGCCTGAATCTCGTATGTCCGTGAGGGCCTGGGGAGGCGGCCCTCGAGCGCCTGGTAGATGGGGCTCCCGGGCAAAATGAGATCGAGGGCTTCAACATACTGGTGGCGCTCACCCTGAGCGCGAGCTTGGTCAATGAAGGCGTCCACAGTGACCTGGCACTTGTGCATGTCGTCGGCATCGCGGTAGATCTCGGCCAGCTTAAGAGCAGCATGCTGGTACTGCTTGAGCTTCCTACCAGCCTGCCGCTGGTAGATTTTGATAAGACCCTGCCATGCCTGACTGTCGGCAGGCTTGAGAGCAGTGGCGGCAAGGAAGGTGGTCTCGGCCTCATCGGGCTTGTTCTTCTTGTCCAACGCAAAGGCGAGGAAGAGGTGGCTACGGAAAGACAGGTCAGACGGGCCGGCACGATGTGATGGAACACGAGAAACTAGGGGCAAAACATAAATAAAAGAATGCACGATACATACGCTTGATAGCTCTTGGCGTCTTTTTGGAGAACGATATTCGCAGCGTCAATGGCAGCATCCCATTTCTGCTGCTTAACAGCGTCGGCAACTGCTCTCAGCAGTGCTTTCGTGCTCACGCTCGTATTCGACATCGCGAAGCTGCACCAAATGGTAAGGTTGGTGATTCGCAGTTAAAAGGAAGAAGGCGCGCTCATGGCTGGTGCATCTTTTTTGCTCGAAGTCTTGTCCAAAGGCACAGAGCTCAGGTAGTAATAATAAATGCCCCTGGGGAAAGAAAGTGTGGGGTAATGACGAGAAGGAGGGTGTCTCCACTATCACTTATCATCTCATCACCCCGCACCAGCCTGCCGGATAACGGCAAACCATATTCCTTTAGTGCCCTTTCGATAGAGGAGGAAAAAAAAAAAGCCGAGAAGGTCATTGGGCAGCACTCCGCACCAGCACCTACTGTGTAACCAGAGCAAAACTTCAAGGCCGCCAATTCAAGCACCCTGGAAGTCGGTCGCAACCCATCACCTACCAAGCAACGCCAACTGCAGCTAAAATGGAGTCGACATCTCCAAAGAGGCGGAAACTGGACCATGGGGACGAGGGCGCCCACAAGGTTCTCATTTCAGGCGTGTCCACCCGATTTTCGAGGTCGAGAGCCTTCATTCTTGAAGCCGAAGAGCTCCTCGAAGAAGTTCGCCTGGACCATACGGTTGCCTTGGAGGGCGTAGACGATCTGCTCCACAGGATCAAAGGCATAGTCGAAGCTATCAAGCCACATGAGCCTCGTCTAGTAAGGCAGCCAACAAACGAACCAAGACCAGTCGGCGAGCTCCCAGCTAACCTCGTGCTAGATTATCGAAGCTGCATCGAAGCTCGAGAAAAAATCCCGAATCATAGTCCCATTTCCCGAGCCGCGCCCTAAGGACGATTCGCACCTCAAAGCCTCGTTTGCCAAGCCGCCGCAGTTCAATGTCGTCGGCAGCTATGTCTCCAAAACCATGGCCAAGACCCAGAAGGCGCATGCCGTGGACATGGTCGTCGTCATGCCTACCGAGATATTCCAAGACAAGGACTATCTCGATCTGAGGTACTTCCACAAACGGGCGTACTACCTGGCTGTTATTGCTGCAGCTCTGCAAAAGGACCTCGGCGGCGAAGCTCGCCTATCATTCGAGAATCTCAACGGAAACCCCCTCAGTCCCATCCTATCCATTCAACCCAAGATCCCCACAAAGGTCTCGAAAAATGGACCTAAAGTCTCAGACAGCACCGAGGCTAGCGACCCGCTGGACTACAGGATACAAGTTATACCATGCTTGCCGGACGCGCTCTTCCCTAAGGCCAAGCTTCACCTCGGAGCTGCTCTACTCCGCAAGGCCTGCGAAGAGGCCGCAGACGTCTCCGCGCAGTCCACCCCGTTCTACAACTCAACACTAACCGCCGAGGGCTGCTTTCTACCCTACTTGCGGGTTATGCGACAGACGGAGAAGAAATGCGCTGCCTTTAAGAATGCCTGTATCTTGGGGCGGGTTTGGTTGCAGCAACGAGGCTTTGATGGCAGCATTCCTGACGGCGGATTTGGACACTTTGAATGGGCATTACTGTTGGCGCTTTTGCTGCAGAGTGACAGAAGCGGAAATGCCACTCTATCCGCCTCTCTCAGCAGCACGCAGCTCTTCAAGGCGCTCATCCAGTTCTTGTCGGCGATCAATTTCGCCGAAACCCCCATTTTCCTGGGCAACGGGAATGAAGATGTGAACTCTGCCACTCAGGCCTGTCCTGTTATTTATGATTCTTCTCGCCAGCTGAACATTGCGTTTAAAATGAGCCCGTGGTCTGCTGCTCTCTTGCACCGGCATGCCAAGTGGACCCGGGCCGTTCTGAGCAATAATGCCGTCGACCAATTCAGTCCGACCTTCATTCTCAAGGCCGACATTCCCCTGCACAACTTCGACTTCATAGCTCGCCTCAACTACGATGGCTCGTCTATGGAGGCGCCGGGCACTGATTCTCGAGGCAGGGTCTGGAGATTCGGCGAGAAGGTGTACAGGGTCTTGAAGAAGGCGTTGGCTGACAGCGAGCTGGGCGAAAGGGCACGTTTGATTCACATCAAAACCCCTGAGAGTTCGTCTTGGTCGCTCACAGGCAGTCCGGATCTGAAGGGTATTGCCACCCTGGAAATTGGGATTCTTTTTGACACAGTCAACATGGCTCGCACAGTTGATCGAGGCCCCTCAGCAGGGCCAACTACGGAGGAGAAAGAGGAGTGTGAAAATTTTCGTCAATTCTGGGGTGAGAAATCAGAGCTCCGCCGCTTTGAACGGGACAGTATTCGTGAAACCTTGATATGGACGTCGACCTCGCCCTTTGGTCTCTGTGAAGAAATCGTGCGGTATATCCTCAAGCTGCACACGGGGATCGGCCATATACACCAAGAACTGACAGTCGACGGCGACGGTCTCTCAGACCTGATTCCCCTGAAATCTACCGACACAGCTATGTTCAATGCGGCTAGGAAGGCCTTTAGCACCTTTGAGCAAGACCTTCGCGAGCTGGATAACTTACCGCTCCATGTCCGACAATTGGCACCCATTTGCGCCGAGCTCCGCCACACGTCAATCAAGCCCCCATCTCTCGAACCTCCCAAGTCAAAATTTGGACCGCAGCCCATGGAAACCGTCATATCGTTTGAGGCATCGGGAAAATGGCCCGAAAACATCGTTGCAATTCAGCGAACAAAGGTGGCATTCCTTCTTATGATTGGGAGTCTTCTAGAGAAGAGCAAGGTCGGCCAAGTGAAGACGTATCTTGGACTAGAGGATGCCAAGTATGAGTCCGAGAACCTTGCTTTCCTCGACGTCGTCTATGATTCCGGGGCATCGTTCCGCCTACGCATACACAGTGATCTTGAGGAGACACTCCTGGAACGCCAAGTCAAAGACAAAACACTGGAGCAACATGTTCGGTCTAAGGCGACTACATTGCTGGCAAAGCTCAGGCGCCTTTACACAAATCTGCCTCTACATAACCAAGCGATGACCACCTTTGCCGCGCGTTTCCCGGCTTTCTCTCCATCAGTCCGACTGGTGAAGCACTGGTTCAACGCCCACAAGCTGTCGTGCCATTTCACGGACGAATTTCTCGAGCTTGCTGTGCTCCATGTCTTCTTATCTCCCTATCCGTGGGATGCTCCATCGAGTGCCAGCACAGGCTTCTTGAGGACGTTACTCTTCCTTGCGCATTGGGACTGGCGTTCTGACCCACTGATAGTGGACACAAGCGGCGACATGTCAGCAGCCGATCGAGTTGCTATCGAAACGCGCCTAGAAGCGTGGCGTAAACTTGATCCAAACATGAACCACACCGTCATTTTTGTTGCCACAGGGCAGGAATCAAACGGGATTGCATACACGGTGCTCGCCGGAGAAGCTAAGCCCTCGAAAGTAGTGGCGGCGCGGATGACAGCACTGGCTAAGAGCGCTTGCCGCGCAATCAGGGAGCAGGACGTGTCCCTTGATGCCAGAAGACTCTTTGTCCCGTCTTTAAATGACTATGATGTCTTGATTCGCCTCAACGGAAAGACCATCAAGAATGCGTCAATAACATATATCACAGGGGAGAGCGAGGAGAGCAAGAGCATAGGACGCTCAAAGTTCAAGAACTTGGATGAGAGAACCGGCCGAGACCCTCTACCCCTCACCCAGCATCCCGCCGAGGTCTTCCTGAAGCAGCTGAATGCTGCTTACTCCGGCCCACTGGTGTTTTTCCGTGGTGTAGTGCGAGACACCACTATTGGGGCAATTTGGAATCCCCAGATGCAGAGGCGCAGTTTCAAGGTGAATCTCCCTACTTCGTACAAGCCTGTTGGACGTGAACCAGGCCAGAAGGTTAGTTTGACTGGAATGGAAGACAACCCTGAAGAACACGAAGAGGTTCTTATTGTAAATAAAGAGGCAATCTTGGCGGAGATTGCACGGATAGGGGCTGAGTTGATCGAGAGCATCGATGTGAAGGGGCAGTAATTTTTTGGGGGGGGCTAGCAGTAATCCAAGCCCAAGTACTTGACTTTTACATTTTACATACCCGTACTAGGTATCAAAAATACAATTGAAAACTTGAATAGTGTGCCCTTTTCCATACTACAGGGGAAAAGAGGGCCCGCCTGCAGCATTACCACGACGAAGCAGATGGCCATCGTTGCAGGCTTGCGACATCAGTTTTCCGTACGTTGCACACCCGTACGGGAAATTCAAATAATCTAGGGTATGATAGTCGCGACTAAAGTTATTTCGCGAAGAAAATAATGCACGAAAACAGTGTGCCCAAGGCAAGAAATCGTGTCCAGGTCCCTAAATCTCCTGGCTCTTGGCCAACTGGATTACTGAACCATGACCTCCTTGGCAGCTCCCGCAGGCGCCCCCACTTTGTCGGTATCGACATCCATCTCATCGACCTCGGCAGCCTCAGCCTCGACTTCCTCTTCCTCCTCTAGCTCATCCTCACTCTCACCCTCGATATCAACGCTGCCGTCATCCGACATCTCGTCCTCTTCGGCGCCGATTTCTACTTCGGGCTCGCCGTTCTCGACTCCGACCATCTCGGCGTCCTTATCGACAGGCTCTGCGCCGTTGGCATCGGCCGGTCCAGCCTCCACGAGCTCCTCTTCCTCCTCGGCAAGTTCCTCGGCGCCATATTCATCCTCGTCGGCGACAAGATCGGCCTCGGGCTGCTCAGGAGGGAACTCAGCGGGAGCTGAGGCCTCAGAATCCCTGTAGACCCACGCGAGAGGCAGTCAGCAGCTGAAATACTTAGGGTAGTGTGCAAAGGCATATAACACGAAACCGTTGACAAAAAGGTACGTGAAATACGAAAATAGGAACAGGGCCTAGCATACCATTTGATATTGAATCTCGTGACACGCGGCTTCTCGGCTAGCACGTTGCGGCGGATTTTCTCAATGACGGGCTTGGTTGGAGGGTCGTTAACCAGCTCCTCGCTATCATACTCATTGTTGACGTAGTAACCGACGCGCACGAACTCGCGGCCGTCGTAGGCGCATGTCAGGAGAATCACCGTGACACCTAGCAGCTCGTCGGTAGGGATGCGCTTAGTGTTGGGAGGGTCGGCCTCGAACACAAATTTGTTGATACCGACGGGGATCGGCCCCACCAGAAGCGAGTCGAGTTCTTGATCGTAGTTGTCCGACTGCGCCGAGCCAACGTAGGTGAGCTTCCACTCGAGGTCTGCCCTCAGGAATTCATGGTCAGCGTAGGCATTGGGACCAGTGGGGAGGGATGAAGAGGCGCGATGCAGAACAATGCAAGGCGAGGGGGCACAAGCAGCGCACCTTTCTCCAGCTGCTCGAGGCATTCAAACGTGATCTCGAACTCGTATTTGTCCGTGAACCGAGCGGGGTTGTTCAAGACGCTGACCCCAAGGAGAGATACGACAGACATCTTGGCGGTACTTCGTGAGAGATCACTAGAAGATATTCGATAGTAACGGGCTGGCTCGTGCAAGGGCTTGATATTTAAGCTGTTAGACAGCTGGATTGTGAAGTGTTTTTCGGTCGCGCCCTTTCCTTTGCCCAGCAGAAGTGCAAGAGAAAAGAGGTGAGAGAAAAATAGAGGCAAAGGGAGATGGTGGTGGCGGTGGTGTTGTGGGAAAGCGCTAATTGTTTGTTGTGGACGCCGTCGCTTTAATCCGTAAGATGAGGGTCAAAGGCGGCGACAGGCTGTCCGCGCTTCTGGGCATCCAAGTGCGTGTCGCGGTCTGGAGAGTTTCGAGTCGCGTAAATTGGAATAAAGCCAAAGCAAAAGCGCGCTGAGCGGGGGCAGGGCCCCTGGCCCTGCCCCCCACCTATGCCATCCCGCCTGGCGCCAAAAACGACTCGGCTCCCGGTCACCGTGGATCTCTTCCTTCGGTGGAAGGTAAGTAGGTACATGGTAAGTAGGTACATGTACATACTTACCTAGATGACTATAGGCAAAGAACGACCGAGTTCGATTCCTACGCTGCAAGCTTATTGAGGTTTGGGCAAGTGGCCCCCCACATTGAAATACCCCCGAACCATTTCTCAACCTAGTGTTTTGACATCGAGGCCCAATTGGGTTTAGACGCAATTGTTTTCACCTGTGCGGATCTGCGACACCGCCACGACAGAATGAGTTGAGCCACACTTCTGGTTAAGATTTAACAGTGGAGACAGCCAAGCCTTGTCCCATCTGCATCCTGGTCTTGCCTGTTCTGGACAGCAAGCTTCGACACTGCATAGTTTCTCTTTTTTCGAGAGAAAGATCGCCGCCGTCGCCCACAAACCCCCATCACAACCATCATTCAGCCTACCGAGCAAGAACTGGGAGAGTATAGCTTACCACAGCATCGTTGGGCGTGCAGCGTCGAGACCGCTAATATTCCCGGATCGGGTTCTTTGTTCCACGACTGTCCCTTTCTTTCAACATCCAGCATGCAGCACCCGCTTCGCATCGCCAGTCGTTAGATCCTTTGCGACGCAGGCCTTCGTGCCCCAAGCATTCGCTTCCGACAACTCTCCGTTGTCGCTGTTTTGTTCTCTTTAACGTGTCAATTCAGCCATCTTCTATCCTCTTACGCGCCTTCGACCTTGTAACGCGTCGCCGATCGAGGCCCGCCCTCGAGAATCTCAGCCAACTGTCGAGTGCTTCTGTCGCCTTGGCCATCAAACACACGCCGCGTGCTGCCCACCTCAACGTGTGCCGCTCTCCAGGTGTCGTTTTTCTTCGGTTTTCTAGCCGAAAACACTACACCCAGTCGCGACGAGCCGTCGTCTCACGCGCGGAGACGATTAATTCCCACGATGGCCGAGTACGACCCTGGTCGCCAGGGTGCTTGGGAAGATAATGAGGGCTTTGGGGTGACAGATGGCGACGACCAGCAAGATCATACTCAGCATAGCAGCCTTGAAGATCAAGCAGAATATTCCGTTGACCCAGCCCCTCATGCTCCTGGTGACCTTCCATCTCCTGATGGTGCCACCGACGATGTGGGTGACTACGATCCAGCATCAGTCGCTTCTGCCCCGGCTCATGATCTCACCCCCAATATGGCTGTCCATCCAGGCCCTCTCAAGCCTTCTCCTCAACCCGTTACGAAGAAGCCGCGGACTGCTGGGGGTTTCATAGACGATTCTTCAGACGACGAGCCGTCTGGGCCTCCTGTTCCGGCCTCTCTACAATCCCCTCCAAATACTAAAGACTCTGCAATCACCCCTTCCACTGCGCCTCCTGCTACTCAGGCGGCTGCGGCCGCAGCTATCCCTATGGAAAGGATTGGGAACCGCTCGGTAGCTGCTCCCTCCCCTCCACCCGCCCCTGGCTTTGCTCAACGAGCCCCTCGTGACAGAATAGCCGCTCTCGAGGATCGCATCAGGGATGACACGAGGGGCGCCTTGGACGCTTGGAAGTCGCTGATTGCCGAGCATCGGGCGAGGAATAATGTCCAAGAATTGAGACAGGTTTATGATCGCTTCTTCGCCATTTTCCCCCAAGCAGTTAGTAGGATCCTGGTTCGTGCCTTGATGTGTAGAAGTGAGGCTAACCACTACGTAGGCTGACGTCTGGGCCTCATACCTGGAGATGGAGTTGGCCATGAATAATTTCCCCGAAGCGGAGCGAATATTTAGCCAATGTCTCTTAAGCACCCCCAATGTCAACCTATGGACCAAGTATCTTGACTACATCCGCCGCCGAAACGACCTCAACGACGGCTCTGGACATGCCCGTCAGACCGTCTCACAGGCATACGAATTCGTGATCGACAACATTGGCCTGGACAAGGATTCCGGTAAAATCTGGACCGAATACATCCAGTTCATCAAATTTGGGCCTGGAGCGGTTGGAGGGAATCAGTGGCAGGACCAGCAGAAGATGGACCAGCTGCGCAGGGCTTACCAACGGGCAATTTGCGTTCCCATGGCTCACGTCAACGCTTTGTGGAAAGAATATGACCAGTTCGAGATGAGTCTCAACAAGTTGACCGGTCGCAAGTACCTTGCTGAAAAATCCGCTTCGTATATGTCAGCCAAGAGCGCCAACACGGCGCTCGATAACATCACCCGGGGCTTGCAGAGAACAAATCTCCCACACCTTCCACCGATGCCCGGGTTCGACGGCGATCAGGAGTACATGGAGCAGGCCAAGATCTGGAAAAGGTGGATCGAGTGGGAGAAGTCTGACCCCTTGGACCTGAACGACGACAAGGAGCAACCTGGCCTCTACCAGAAACGCATCCTCTATGCCTATAATCAGGCTTTGATGGCTTTACGATTCTGGCCTGAGATGTGGGCCGATGCCGCCCAGTGGTGTTTCGACAATGATATCACGACCACGGACAACAAGACTCCGCGAGATGGTAACACTAACGGTCTGGAGTTTCTCATCAGAGGTATTGAGGCGAACCCAGAGAGCGTTTTGCTAGCTTTGAAGCACGCCGACCACATTGAGTCGACGTACCCGGCAGAGGAAAGTGATGACGCCAAGACTATCCGGGGACAGGCTGTGCGAGCTCCATATGACAAAGTCTTGGATACGTTATACGGCATCATCCAAGCCGTTAAAGATCGGGAAGCGGCTCAAATTGCCATGGTCGAGGAATCATCTGTTGGCCATGCCAAAGCAGAAGATGAAGAAGACGGCGAAGAAGCTGGGACTCCCGACATGATAACGAAGGATAATAGTGCTCGGAATGACCACAAGATCAAGGCTATTCAACAGGGAGCCGCTATGCAAACCCAAGTGATCTCCCGCACCATCTCCTTTGTCTGGATTGCCTTGATCCGCGCAATGCGTCGGATTCAAGGGAAGGGCAAGCCTGGCACAGCTCTTGGGGGCATGCGGCAAGCATTCACAGATGCCCGCCAACGTGGCCGTCTCACCAGCGATGTATACGCCGCCGTGGCGCAGCTAGAATGGACGATATATAAAGAGGCTGCAGGAGGCAAAATCTTTGATCGCGGGGCCAAACTCTTTCCCGAGGACGAAAACTTTACTCTGGAGAACATCAAGTATCTCCATTCACGAGATGACTTTACTAGTAAGCGTGTTCAGCGCGGCCCTTCATAAGCAGACGGGCTTTTGGTCTAACAATCTCCTAGATGCTCGGGTCCTCTTCGAAACTGTAGTCAATCGCCTCACCCAAAAGCCCGAATTGGTCCACAAGGCGAAGCCTCTATATGCCTACTTTCACAAGTATGAGTCGCAGTTTGGAGAACTAGCCCAAATTGCCAAGTTGGAAAAGCGCATGACCGAGCTCTTCCCCGAAGACCCAACTCTTTCGCATTTCAACGCCCGGTACTCGAGCGATAAATTTGACCCCATCGCAACGCGCATCGTCGTATCTCCTGCGACACAGCTCAAATCCAAGCAACTGGTGCCTTCGATCGAACAAGCCAATTCGATGCCCAACTCACCTCGCCCGCAACCATTCGTCACGCAAAATAGCCCTCGCCCTCAGTTCCTTCAAGCTACCAACTCTCCAAAGAGGCCACTACCCATCGACGACTTCGACGAGCCTAACCCGCCGCGAAAGATGCAGCGCAATGATTACCACGAGTTCCAGCGTGGCGCATCGCCTCTCAAGGGAGCTGCTGGTCGCCGACTGGATCAGCAACGTCGAATGCAAGGCCAGGGCGCTGCCTCGTACAGTGCCGCTCCTGCCCCAATCGCCCGAGATATCACATTCCTCCTCAGTCAAATTCCACGAGCGGAGACATATGACTATCATCGCATAAATACCGGGAAAATTATTGGGCTTCTGCGCGATACTGCGGTGCCAGATTATGGGGTGTGGAAAATCAATAGGGACGAGCCGGGGAACCCAGCTCTTCGCGGAGGCCATGCTCCATCACACAACCGACAAGCCTCTGCCGAGTATCCTTTGCAGTATGGCTTCCAGAACCGCGACTCGCCTGCTCCCCCGGGCCGTCCAATCAGTCCTTATGCCGGATCCCGCTTGACGTCCGGCTCTGCTACTTATAGGCAAACATCTGTGCGGCCGGGATCTAGCGGGTCCTACGAGCCGCCACCTGCTGCATACTCACAACAAGGCATTCCGCAGTCACAGGCTCCCTATACTCACATGTCGCAAGCAGCATCTCAGGGGCAATTCGAGGGTAATGTTTGGCCCGTCTACAATGCGCCTGCCTCTGCTCCTGCACCTCCTGCCATACAACAGAACTACGGGGCACCGCCACCGATGGGGTATAGCCAAGCTGCACCTCAGCAGGCTTTCCAACGGTATCCCTATTGAGAATTCTTGCTCAGAAGGCTAGGGTGGTCAGAAACTTATGGTTTCTAAGGGGCTGAAGAAGTTGACATGGCTCGGTCTTTTTCGTCCATTTCCGAGGGCAGTCTTGCGCATCTGGCCCGCTTGACTCGCTACATGAAACTAGGGAACTACGTAGTATTTGTGCACAATTTAATTGGCACTCTGTATAAAAGAAGTGAGGATCAGCAGCTCAGTCAATGGAGGTCTGTTCATGGGTTGGCGTTTACAGGTTGGCATGCTGAGGAAAACAGCTTATTTCGATTAGCAGATACAGCAAAGGTGGAAAAGGGGATGGTTGCGCTTGTCTATCGTGTCCGCATTCTAACCTCTGCCCGGAATTCTAGTTATCGAAGGAAACCAACTCTTATATTCGTATCTGTATTCTGGTTACTAAGTGTGCAGTGCATATTTCTATGTGACCCTGGTACACTACCTAGTACCTGCTCTGTGCGTAGTGTGGTAGTGTCTTCTCCTGTCTACGTTACTTAAGGTGTTAAAGTACCTTGTCTAGTAAAAAGAGAACGATACCGAAGACTTGTTCAGGTATATAAAGTACAGCCTGGGAAATAGGATTTGAATAAGACGGGAACGTGAAACATATGTGAATCTCTTTAAGCCACATGTCTTTTGTGGCCATGCCCACCCTATTATCAGCGAGCCAATACTCTTTTTTCTTTTCGTAAATTATTGTTCTCTGTCTATAAAAGAGTTTACTTATTTTGGGGGGCTCTATTATGCCATGACTAGTCACCCAAATGAGTACCGTTTTTCCCAGATGGTGTGAAGGTTGAGTGTTTTGTTACTTCGCTTGTAGTCATGGCCTGCAACCATCGGATCACCCTTCTTTTGATACCCCCTCCTCTGACCGCTACCTAGATCAAACTGATAAATCTAAATTATCCTAATGGTAGACGTAGATACACTGATACAATAGAGTAGAAGAATAACCCGAAGTGCTGGAAAAGCCAATAGTCTTTCACTCCGCCTCTCGAGAAGAGATCAAAAAACTCGGCTAGGCTGTAGCGAAACTGCTGCTCCAAAATTCACACAGCCAACCGCTGCATATTGGCCTTCGGCATCTTGCTTCCCGGTACCTACATGGATTTGTTTGATCGTGTTTCTCCGCACCCACTACCCAATATTATCACCCCTATGGGGGAAAGCCCCGGGTCCCGGCGTCGACAATTTCGCGTCAATACGTCTTCCTTAGGGTACAGAATCACATCTTTTTGTATGATCCCCCGTCTTCTTGATTTCCTTTTTGTGACAAACCTCTTGCCGCCACTATCAGACATATCTTTTAATATCCGATACTTCGATGCCGTGACTATCCTGATTGTTTGGGAAAGCTCGCGCCGAATTGTGACTTGAGCGGCGTTTAAAAGAACCTTGAAATAACCTCGCCGTATTTAAGGTACCTTGGTTTATTAGTATCGATTCACAAAATCGGGGCGTGGACTTAAATCGCATATCACGAGCTACAGACGCTAGGTGACTAGTGCTTCAGTTCCATTTTCTGGGAGCCCCTTTGTCTGTATTTCCAATGGCCGTTTTCGTATCACTCACATGTACATTCAAACTGAATTTGGAGCCTGTTGGATCAGAAATTCCTGAGAGCACTTGCTGTGCTGTGAATTGGATATGCAGCTTTCCGTGCCTGCCTCTTTGGGTAGCCCCCGGACACCAAAGTCTCAGAACCGTATTCCCGCCACCGCTAGGAAGGAGTTGAGGAGGTATGGCGACGTAGTGACTGCCTAGTGAACTTGAAGCAAGCCTAGTGTGAAATTTGCCCTACCCCGAGTCCTTCAAGTTCTCGGTCTGCCTGTCTTTCATCCAAATTAACATACTAGGGCCGGGCCACCCTACCTACCAAAAAAACCGTCCTCTCTTCTAGTCGCTCTCCAATTCTTCGCCTCTACTTCAACCTTTCAACCTTCATACTCACACCACCACCACCTTCATATCTCAGGTTACCAGTGAAGCGCTTCGCGAATGAAAAGCCAAGACGAGAGCAAAGGTGAATGATATTTCTGGTCTACATTTTCTCATTGGCCTTGGCTCGGCGTATCTGGTTCATGGTGCACCTGCATCGGCCAGTTGCCCCAGGCTACCGACAGGCACAAAATATTTAGATTCCCGTCTTCTCCCTGAAGACTTGGGCATCGACTTTCCCTCTGCTTCCTGACTCCTTTAATTTCCCACACACCAGCCATCGAGTACCTACCGTACCTTCCCCCACCCGAAATGCTCTCGTCTGGCAAGTAGGCCTTGCTCGAGCTATCTCTCTCCTTGGGATCTACTTTCCATATAACCCAGGCCGTGATGCCGTTGAGCTGGAGCAGCGCCCTAAGACTTTCCGTCTGAACATGAAGTTCTAATCGCATCACCTGTCAACCTACTTTATCTCACATGCCCTGTCCGCCTATCTGCCTATCTGCCTACCTGCCTACCTGCCTACCCGCCCGCCTGCCCCTCCTCGGTTTGCCTTCAAACATTGGATGAATCGGAAGAAGAGCCACTCGGTGCGCCTGCTTTCCGGGTATAAAGCACCCTTCCTCAACCTACCCCCCCTTCGTTACCTTTCTTCCTCCTACAACCACACCACACTCACCCTCATCATCTCGCAGAGATCGCCGTCAAGCACACCATCTCTGATTCACATCTTCAAGTGATCGCATCTACAGCGGTATGTATCTTGCAGCTCGATCTACGCAATTAGCAAAGCTGATTCGTGTTTCTGATTCCTCACGCCATCATTCTCCTCACCTAGACTCAACTTCACAGACAGGGCAGCTTGTACCTACTCCTTCTACATTTAGCATCCTCCTTGCGTGCCTTCTATTCATCATCTGCCCTCGATTTCGCCACCTAGCTTCCTACGTGTGCTTGGCAAGTTTTCTACCACCTCAGACCGCTTGCAAGCTTTCTCATTTGCACCCGGGCTTCCTCTTCCATGGTTCTTTTACGCTTTTTTCTCAGCGCTGTTCGTTTTCAACACTCGTCATCCATCACATTCACGAACTTACCTCCATCGCTGATTCCTGCCGTGAATATTTGAGAGATCCAATACTAACGGCACATAGCATACTCGGATTTCAAGGTCGACAGCGACTTGGTAAGTCAAGACTTTTTTCTTCATTTAGCGCGCTCCCTCAAAGGCATGTATCCAGTTCTCATCCTGGTGCTTTCTCAAATTACGCCTTGATCTTGGCCGTTGAATGCTTGGCGGGCTGTAATTTCCATTGCTCTCGCTCAGTGACACCTCATCGAGAGCCTGTTCCTTTCTTCATCCTTCTCACCGCGAGCGCTTCCTTTTCTTTTCAACAAGATTGGAAGGTATCCTCGATTTTCCTCGACTCACCTTCCTCCACTTCTGACCTTGTGAGTTTTTCACAAATCACATCTTGCTCTCTTCACGTGGTGCTAGGGAAGCACTCATGGAACGCGCTCCTCAACTTGCACCACACCTTCTACGGCTCTTTGTCGTCGAATACATTCCAAATTTCTTGCGGAGATCCTTCTGCCTTCCCAATTTGAGGCTGGAGGCATAGCACCACGTGTCTTTTCAATTCCAGCATCCCGAACCTCCATACCTCTTCCTAGCCCGCAGTGTTGAAAGGCATCTCGCAAATATCAATTTCACTAACGTTAGACCTAGCTAAAATTGTCCTGACTCGAGAGGCTGCCTTAGGACTTGCTATTTCCTGAAGTAAGTATCTCAAGACATTATTTCCTGAGCATTCATTTCACGACACCTGTTCCCGAGCATTCATTTCACGACACCTGTTCCCGGCACCAGCCATTCCTACCACGACCGTTCCCACTTTCAAAATCGTCACTATTGCTCGACTTATAATTAACACGCTTTTGCAGGAGTAGATCTTCACCATGGCCTCTCGTGGTGCCACGCCTTCGGGTGGCGCACCATCTCAGACTGGACAGCCCCAGCCAGGTTCGACCAAGGAAGAGTTGCTCGGCGCCGGCGAGACATTCTGGACCAAGGACTACTTCAAGATCCCCGAGGGAATCAACAAGCGCTGCGACCTACCTCCAGAAGCCTACGCCGTAAGTGACGTCTCGTCAACCGTTTGTTCACAGTTGATATGCTCATACATTATCTGAAGGTTAAGGAGCGCTACGACACACCCTTTGCGCGTCGCCCCGCTTACAGCGCTACGGGCGACAACATCAAGGTCCAAGTCAACCAATTCCGTGTTGACAATGCCATTAACCAGGATGTCTGGCAGTTTGATGTAAGTAGCAGGCATACTCAATTCGACGGCGATCCTATTATACTAATACCCTGAACCAGGTGAGCATCAGCCCAACGCCGCTGGCTCGCGTCGTCTACAAGAAGGTTTGGGACAGCAACACTATCCAGAGCAAGCTCCAGAGCTGCAAGGATCCATGGATCTATGACAGTCACAAGCTGGCCTGGTAAGCACCTCCATTCCCGTCTAGTGAGCTTGGTTCTGACAAAGTAACTACAGGTCAAAGAACAAGGTCCCAGAGTTGCGTGTGACAGTCGACCTTGACGCCGAGGAGGGAAAAACTAGCCGGAAAAACAACACTTTCTTGTTCCGGCTGAAACCTACCAGCAGAATTCGCCTCGAGACACTCTTTGCCTACCTGAATGGCCAAATGGACTGGGACAATTCGATACTGGAATGCATGAGTAAGTAGTGAGAAGCCTCCCTGTATAGTCTCAATTGCTAACCAATTCCGTTTAGGCTTCTTCGACCATGTCCTGCGTCAAGGCCCATCGGAATCCATGAAGTTGATCAAGCGCACCTTCTTCCACCAAGGCGCTGAAAATATGCAACTCAACCAAGTCACAGAGGCCATCAAGGGCATATATTCCGCCTTCCGTATCAATGAGGTATGATCTCTATTCGCCCTTGCATCTATATATACATATATATATGCATTCACTTACATTGTTGCCCTAGTCCATCAACTCAGGCGGTTCTGGCCTAGGTATCAATGTCAACGTCACCAACCAGACCTTCTGGATTGGCCAACCATTTGAACAGCTTGTTCGCAACTTCCTTGCTTCCATCGATCGGAAGTGGCAGAACAGTAAGTTTAACAATCCTTTGAACATTACCTCTACGTTGCTAACATCTGTAAGTCCGATACCCTGATATAGCCAACTTGCTCGCTCCGGTGAAAATTTCCACTCCGTCCGGGGCACAAACCTGGGGTATGTCTGAGGCATTCAAGGCTCTCCGTCGCCTACACAACATCCGCTTCCGTGTCAAGCACCGCGGAAAGACGCAGGACAAGAAGGAGTACAAGATCAAGCGCTTTGATTTTGACTCCCAATACGGCGCCCTTGGCGCTTGTGCCAAGACTGTTGAGTTTGACAAGGTCATGCCCGATGGTAAAATGAAGAGGTACTCCATCTATGATTACTACAATGAGCAATACAAGGCCAAGCTCCAGTTTGGAAACTGGCCGCTCATTGTGACCACCAAGGCCGGAAAATTCCCGTTTGAGGTCTGCGAGGTTGATCGGTTCAACCCGTATCCGTACAAGCTCGACTCTGAGCAGGTATGAACCCCATCTCATACTTTCTGCATTTTTTTTCCTGGTCAAACGGACCGCTAACGATTAATAGACGCAAATGATGATCAAGTTTGCAGTTCAGAGACCAGCGCAGCGCAAGCAAGAAATTATGAAGGCAGTCTCGATGCTGAACTGGGGCGCCGACAAGTACCTCCAGTCCTGCGGAATCAAGATCAAGCCTGAGATGCCAATGGTTCCCTCAAAGATGATCAAGAACCCCTTGATCGAGTTCGGCGCGAAGAAGACCATTGATCCGAAGGTCTCTGGGCACTGGGATCTCCGAAACATCAAGTTCGTGAAGTGTAATCCCGTACCCCTGAAGTCTTGGGCTTTCGTTACCGTTGACCATTGCGTCGACAAACCGACTCTGGCGAACTTCATCAATGTCTTCAAGACTACCTACAAGGGCCATGGTGGAATAATCCAGGCGGAGCCCATGATCTTCGAAGCCCCATCCGGGCAGGATCATGCTCAAACCGTCTCTGACATCTACCAGGCTTGCGGCAATCAGAATAAGCAGACTCCCCAAATCATCTTCTTCGTTCTGCGAGACAAGACTGCCTGGGTCTACGACCGCCTAAAGAAGAATGCCGACTGTCGCTGGGCGTGCATCACCCAGATGATCCAGTCCTCTCACGTTCGCAAGGCCCAAGGACAGTACTGCTCGAACGTATCCATGAAGGTCAACTCCAAGCTTGGGGGACAGACATCGAGGGTTGGTGGTGGTGGATTCTTCAAGGTGCCAACAATGATTATCGGCGTTGATGTCTCGCATGGGTCGCCTAGCCAGTTGCAGCCCTCGGTGGCTTCCATTTGCGTTTCGATGGACAAGGACGCTGCTGTTTTCGAAGCAGCTGTACAAACCAACGACTATCGCACCGAGATTCTCACTGCATCCAACGTCAACAACATGCTTGGGCCTATGATTCAGACCTGGGTACAGAAGAACAAGACTATCCCACAGCATGTCTTCTACTTCCGGGACGGCGTTTCCGAGGGGCAGTTCATTCACGTCATGGAGTACGAATATGAGCAAGTCAAGAAGGTCTTCCAGCTCGTCACCAATGCGACTCCAAAGATCACTATAATCATCGCGACCAAGCGCCACCATATTCGATTCTTCCCCGAACGGGGTGACAAGAATGGAAACCCTCTGCCCGGTACGTTGGTGGAGCGTGAGGTGACTCACCCCTTCTACTACGACTTCTACTTGTGCTCTCATGTGGCGATTCAAGGCACCGCTCGGCCTGTGCATTACAATGTCATCCACGACGAGGTTGGATACAAGCCAGATGATCTCCAGCGAATGATCTATCACCAGTGCTACCAGTACTGCCGCTCAACGACCCCGGTTTCGTTGCACCCTGCGGTGTACTATGCGCATCTGGCTGGCTACCGAGCACGTATCCACGAGAATAAGGCAGTTACCGACCAGGTGCCCTACCAAGTCAAGGCTCAGGTAATGTCGAACCCTGGCATCATGGCCAAGCACGACAGTATGAGCACTGACTCGGGCCCCATGGGACCGCCTCCTCCTCTGCTGCCAATGGGCGGCCCTAATGCCCGCAACGATGCCAAATTCACGTTCAAGCACACTATGTGGTGGGTCTAGGGAACGAGGAATGAGGGATCCAAATGGGAAGCGGATATTTTACAGCCCCTTGACATACTGCTGGGAGGCTACGTTGATTGCATTTTCACGCACTACACACTCACATATATGGAACTAGTAGTCTAGCTCTAGACGGGACGAGGGACTTGAGCATCTAGGCTCGCTCCTCGATTCGGCCTCTTGCATGACGTGGCAACCGTATGGCTGCTACAACACTAATACAAAAGTCCATAGCGCATAATACAGCCTTGATTCCCCTAAATCTTGCATGCCTCGTGATATCAAGCGTGGGAGAGTATGACCTGCCTATGTTCTATTGTCATTGTTCTCTTTGCTCCTGGGATGCGAATGTAATTGTGAACTCTGTTGGTGTCGGGGATTAAGGCTGTAGCTGTATCAAAACATCAAGGGGCAAACTGATGAGGAGCGTGGGATGGGTGAGGTGAGATGAGGGCTTGTGTTGATATTTGACATGTTGACGCTGAGAATATCTTGGGGGATGATAGGCGGACTGGGGAGACGAAGTTTGGCTCGAGCCCCTATTCCCAGCCCCTATTCTTATTCCATGTGGAACACTTGGCAGAATGGTGCTGCGATATCCGTAGCGACGTCACTTCTATAGGGGATCTCGACCCTTAAACGAAGGCCCACTAACTGTCCAACAAGACTTTAGGCTGTTACGTAAATGTGGCGCAGGCTCAGGTATGTATGGTCCATGACTATTATTGTACAGTAACTCCGTATTGTGCAGAGTACGTAAGATATGTCCCTTTCTAGGCTTAGGTTGAGGATTCATTGTTCAATTAAGTTTAGCCAACCGTTGAAATTGGATGAACCCCGGACCTGCCCCTCCCTCACTGGAAGCTTGTCGCAACCGTTGCTCGCTGCGGGCCACAGTACGGTTGTAAGTTTCAACTTCCCGCATCCGTCAGATGGGACGGTGGGTTTCTCGGACCAAACAACAACCACCACCACCAGCACACGCATTCGGGAAAATGGCTGGGTTTCTTCGCGGGAAACAGGCAGGCATCCAAAAAGACCTCTCGGCTGGCATTTTACCGGGACGGTTTGCTATAGACGAATACTCGCGCTACGGCATCAACTCGCAGGTCAGGTAAGTCGACATGGATTCCATTGTTTCGCACCACACCGCACCAGTTCCTTGTCCATCTATGCCCAAGCACGATAGCCTCGCATCGCATGGTGGGGCAGTTATCGTCACCGATAATGCATCGTCATTGGCATCAACCCTGGATGCAGTGCAGTGGAGTGCAGCTTACTAGCTGAATTAAACCCACCAACAAATAAACTAACCTGGCTGCTACGATGCGCGCATCGTGATTTAGCTGCCTCGCCTACGACCCCGTACAGTCGCTGCTCGCCGTGGGCACCAAAGAATCCAAGTTCGGGCCTGGCAAGATCTGCGTCTACGGGCGGCGTCGCATCCACAAGATCTTTGTACCGCAGCTCCCGGTCTCGATCCGCCAGCTCGACTTCGTTGCCAACCGCCTCGTCAGCCTCGACAGTCGCAATGAGATCACCATCTGGGATCTCGACACGGCCGCCCCGCTGGCCAAGTATACATATGGGCGCGCCGCGTGCATGTTGACAGACGCCATGCTGGACTGGGTCTTTCTTGGCTCCAGCTCTGGCGATGTCTTCGCCTACGATCTCGATCGAGAACGCCCCTCATCCTTCCGCATCCCCAACTTTTGGCGCGAGAAAGACCCCATGGCCATGTCTGTAGGATTGGTGGGCTTGCAGCTGCACCCGAGGGACATCGGCAAACTGCTGATTGCCTACACACATGGCGCTGTCATCTTCTCGTTCAAGCAGAACGTGCCCACCAATTTCTTCGAGTACCAGCTCCCACCCGGTGCTCCTGGTGGGAACGGCGCGGCCGTCAACGACGTGCGCAAGCCGAAGCTGACGCACGCCTTGTGGCACCCTTCTGGAACCTTCGTCCTGACCGCCCATGATGACGGCAGCCTTGTCTTCTGGGACTCCAAGGACGGCCGCATGCTCGCGGCGAGATCGCTTTACAAGACCAAGGTCAACATGCCGCTCCCGGGGCCCAGTGCGGCGACGCCAGTGGCGCCGTTTGTCAAGATCTCGTGGTGCTGCAAAGAGAACCCCGACGACACTGCGCTCTTAATCGCCGGTGGGCGTGTCGCCGATGACCCTGAGAGTGGCCTCACGTTCCTCGACTTGGGTCTGACACCAGTCTATGCAACCTCATCGTGGGAGATTCTCGCAAGCCACTTTGACGGTAAGCGACGATTGACACTGCCGACACCTCCTGAAGCCAACGTCATAAATTATTGCCTCGTGCCCCGTTCCTCGCCACATTTTGATGGTGCCCAGGATCCCATTGCCGTTATTGCCATGCTCTCGTCGGGGGAGCTGATCACAATGAGTTTCCCCTCGGGGTACCCCATCAGCCCTACAAACATGCTGCACCCTAGCTTGTCTTTTGTTCATCCTTTCGTTCAGAAAATTGCCGTGTCGACGGTACCCCGAGATCGCTGGCTGGGGATGGTGGAACAGCGCAACAAAGGAGCCTCTATCCTCGAGGGCGGCTCCGAGGCCAGAAAGCCAAGTAAAAGATCGGGCGGACGGAACGTCATTCAAGTCGTCCACGCTGACAGCATAGTGCGCATATGGGATGTTGGGTTTGATGATGAGATAGACAATTCCGAGCTGCTCCAGGTCGACGTCGCCAGGGCTCTCAATCGGTTCGAGGACGTCAGCATAACCTCGATAGACATGGCGGAAGTCACGGGCGAGTTCGCGGCTGGCACGGCAACCGGCGAGGTGGTCGTCTATCGGTGGGGATCCAACAAGTACTTCGGCGGAGACGCGTCTCAGCCAGCCCCAGCGAGCCCCGGCCGTCTTACTGACATAAGCTCCAGGGCCGAGCCGTCACTGAGAGAGGGCCTCCAGCCTTTGGTCCTCTACGAGATGGCCCAGGGTCCCGTTACTGCGCTGTCAGTCTCGGATATCGGGTTTGTAGCAGTCGGCTCGGAGCTTGGTTTCTTCAGCATCATCGACCTGCGTGGGCCTTCTATAATTTACCAAGCCTCGACAGCAGAATTCACAAAGGAAGAGAAGAGGTCATTCCTCAAGCGAGACTCCAAATCCGCACAGGGGAAGGATTGGCCCGTTGTCATCGAGTTTGGTGTCATGACGTTGGAGAACGACAACTACTCTAGCATTGCGTGCTTCGTGGGCACAAACTCGGGCCGGATTGCCACATTCAAGCTCTTGCCATCGGCGAAGGGCTATACGGTGCAGCATGTCGGAGTGGCAAGCCTGGACGACAAGATAATCGCCATCTGTGCAATGGATGCCGATAGCGGCCGTCCGGCTGCTGCTACAGGTAATGTTGTGGCAAGTCTAAGAGAGGGGTATCAAGTCAATGGCGTTCTTGTCGCTGGTGGGTTCACATATCCGTCCTCCAAAGTTGCTTAACCAACGGGGAAGTCCGCTAACGCGCTTGACAGTCACTCAAACCGAGATACGGGTATTCAAGCCGGCGACGTCGAAGGGCGCCTCAAAGTCTTTTGGCGACCAGTTGTGTGATGCGGCGTCCGTCACCGAATGCCAGCTGTCGGGCTTCGCGCTTGTTGCCCTCTTCGGTGACCGGACCGCTCGTGCCTACTCGTTGCCGGGCTTGAAGGAGCTTGGGCGATCTACGCTCTCCATGCTTGACCCGAGCCGGACCATGTCGGCTGTCGTTACAAAGACTGGAGACATCGTTGGATGGACCGGGCCCTCCGAGATTACCGTCCTTTCTGTGTGGGGGACCGGCAAGGGCCTCGAGAATACGATGGACACATTGGTCAACCCCGAGCTCCTCATGCCACCCCGCCCCACCATTTCCAACCTCCAGTGGATCTCTGGAACGCAATATGTCAGCCCTACAGACCTAGACCTGCTCATAGGCGGCCCCGATCGCCCGCCGAGCAAGCGCATGATTGCGGCAGCTGCAGCAGAGGAGAGACAGGCTAGGTCTGCCGGCAGTGCTCGCCGGGGCGCTCGTGCGGGCTCGAGCCAGCAGCAGGGCTGGGGTGAATACCTGTCTCAGCAGCTGAGCGAGCGGACCGAAAAGCTAAATTTCATGGGTACCATGGACAATCTTCAGGCGAGTTCCGGATGGGCTGATGACGTGGGTAAGTACGTCCAGAGCACGAAGAGAAACATGCTTCTTGGCGGGCTCAAGAAATCCATTTTATAGACATCGGGGGGTTGCAGTTGATTCTCCTGGGTGGCCACTCTTTGTTTTCCTTAAAATTGGGGGCCTGGGACCTGTGGACGGAGTTAGAATGGTTGGTTATTTTGTATTCTGCTTGGAAATTTGGATGCGCTCGCAAGCTCCAATTGGTTACGATATGAATGATGCATAGTGTGCCTCTTGTCGACGCGTCCCTTTCAGTCTCCATTATCCCTCTGCAGTCTTCAAAATTGGGCATGGTTCTGGCAATCTGGTGCCGGCTACTAACTAACAAACTGCCCTGCATTTCTGATTTTTTGTCGGCAGACTCGTCGGGAGCCGAGCGGGGATAACCGGCGGATAATCAATCAGACACGAGGCGGGCAAAAACAAGAGATGCTACATGAACGTCTCTGCACAGGGAACATCCAGTCCCGAGGAACGGCACTATGGCTAAATATACTCCAACGCGCAGGTACCAATAGTGCCAATATCCTTTTCGTGCGATGCGCTGGAAGCTGAGCCGTCGTCGTGGCTATCATGGAGTCGAGAGAGAAAGAGTCGCGCTAGTCAGGAATGTGCTCGCGCGGCCTCTCTCTCGGTGGTTAGTTATATTGCCCCGAATCACAACTTCCGGCGCAAGATGCTTGATATCTCCTCCCCCGCTTATAACAACTCCAGCACCCCCGTTCGTCGGGGAGGCGGCGATGGGCATACCACTCTTTGGGTTGTTTGAGATCTGTGAAACAGAAAAGAGGACCCAGACTACATAACTCAGTTCCCCGACCTAACTATACATTCTTTTTGCCCTATTATCCCCCCTAACCGCAATCATGACGGCCCTCTTCGGGCTCTTCTTGGTTATCCCGGCAGTAGTGATCGCTTCAACTGGGGCAGACACGCCGTTCGCGCCTGGCTTCCCGTCGCCTTGGGCCAGCGGCGGTTCTGGCTGGGATGAGGCCTACGAAAAAGCCAAGAAGTTCGTCAGCAGCCTGACGCTCGTGGAAAAGGTCAATCTCACCACGGGCACCGGCTGGGAGGCCGACAGGTGTGTGGGAAGCACCGGATCCGTGCCCAGGCTCGGGTTCCGCGCCTTTTGTCTCGAGGATGGGCCGCTCGGCGTCCGCTACAGTAGGTCCATGGTGCAAGGGAACTGGGGCTGGGACTGAAACTGGAGCCGCAGCTAGGTTTGGAGCTGGAGCTGGAGCTGGAGCTGATGGTGGTGCGGCACTATAGCGGATCACAATTCGGCTTTCCCGGCCGGCATCAACGTCGCGGCTACCTTCAGCCGGGACCTTATGCGGCGACGTGGCGAGGAAATGGGCGAGGAGTTCCTCGGCAAAGGCATCGACGTCCAACTCGGTCCCGTTGCAGGGCCGCTGGGCCGAGTACCCGAGGGTGGCCGGAACTGGGAAGGCTTCAGGTAGGCTCACTGGAGCTTTTCGGAGGACGATGTGTTGTAGCTGCTAATGGTCCGGCGCGGCGCAGTCCCGACCCCTACCTGACGGGCGTCGCCATGGCCGAGACAATTAAGGGAATTCAGAGCCGCGGCGTCGTAGCATGCGCAAAGCATTACATACTGAACGAGCAGGAGCACTACCGCAACCGTATCGACGTTCGAATCGACGACCGCACCATGCACGAGCTGTACCTGTGGCCATTTGCCGATGCCGTCCGTGCCGGCGTCGGCTCTGTCATGTGTTCGTATAACAAGATCAACGGCGCCTTCGCTTGTGAAAATGAGTGGACGACAAACTACCTACTCAAGAACGAGCTTAGCTTCCAGGGTTTCGGTGAGTGAGCCACGCGTGACTCCAGTTATGAGAGGCTAACGCCCGAGTGTCGCCTCAAGTCATGTCGGACTGGGGAGCTCAGCACACAACTCTGGGCTCGGCCCTTGGGGGGCTCGACATGGCCATGCCGGGCGATGGCGGAGGTCCGCCGTACGGCGCTCTCTGGGGAGGCGCGCTGACCGAGGCTGTCCTCAAGGGTCAAGTTCCGCAGTGGCGTCTAGATGACATGGTGATCCGAATCATGGCTGCCTTCTACAAAGTCAAGAGCGGCAACTACACTTCGCGACCCGACGTCAATTTCTCGGCGTGGACGAACAAGACGACGGGACCCCTACATCCTTTGTCAAACCAGTCGTCGATTGGTGTCGTCAATGAGTTTGTCAATGTGCAGGGAGACCACGCGGCTCTTATCAGGGAGATTGGTGCCAAGTCAGTCGTCTTGCTGAAGAACGAGAAGGCGGCCTTGCCCCTGAATAAGCCACAAAGCATGGCCGTCATCGGCAATGATGCCCAAGACACGCCCGGCGGACCAAATGCCTGCCCCGAGAGAGGCTGCATCAAGGGGACCGTGGCTATGGGCTACGGATCTGGGACGGCCGAATTCCCGTACCTCGTCTCCCCAGCAACGGCACTCGAGCTTCAGGCAGCCACAGACAATACCGTCTTCACAAACACGACGGGAAACTGGAACCTGGCCGCCGCAAAAGCCGCCGCAAGCAACGCCTCGGCGGCCATCGTGTTTGTCACGGCCACGGCGGGAGAGAACTTCATCACCCTCGACGGAAACGCAGGAGACCGGAACAACCTGACTCTCTGGGATAACGGCGACGAGCTTATACGGGCGGTAGCTTCAGTCAACCCCAACACCATTGTCGTTCTGCACACGGCCGGGCCCGTCATTCTCGAGTACGCAAAGCAGCACCCGAACGTCACAGCCATCCTCTGGGCCGGGTTTCCCGGCCAGGAATCTGGCAACGCACTGGCCGACGTGCTATACGGAAGGGTCAACCCGCAGGGCCGGTCCCCATTCACGTGGGGAAAGAGTGTAAAAGACTATGGGGCTCAGCTGATGTTCACGGCGCCCAACCCGGCCCTGCCATCCCAGACCTTCGACGAGGGCGTCTTCATCGACTACCGCTACTTTGACAAGGCGGCCATCGCGCCCACGTGGTGGTTTGGCTCCGGGCTGAGCTACACGACGTTTTCGTACGCGCGCCTCGAGATTGTGGTGCACAACACCACCAATCCCTACCAGGCCGCAGGCGGCTTGACGCCGCCGGCGCCCACCTACGGTACCCTAGACCGGACCGCCGGGGCAAACGTGGTTCCCGACGGCTTCCGCAAGATTTCGCCGTATGTCTATCCCTGGGTCAGCTCCAGCGCCAACGTCTCCGGGCCGGCAAGCGTCAGCCCTACCGCCGCAATCAACGGCTCCGCACAGCCTGTGCTCCCCGCGGGCGGTGCGCCTGGCGGGAACGCCCGGCTGTTCGACGTGCTATATACCATTTCGGTGTCCATTACGAACACGGGCAAGGTAGCCGGAACCGAGATTCCGCAGTTGGTAAGTTTTCTCCCGAACCTTGCCCTCTTCCCCTTTTTTTTTTATTTTTATTATTTTTACATGCTGTGCTCTACCATAGCTGCAGGTGGTGCTAACAACGTCTGCTAGTACGTGCAACTCGGCGGCGAGGACAACCCCTTCAGCGTGCTGCGGGGCTTCGACGAGGCCGCTCTCGAACCGGGCCAGTCCAAGACGGTTGCCTTCAGCCTCACCCGCCGTGACGTCAGTAATTGGAATACGACGAGCCAGAATTGGGAGATTTGGGACCGCGAGAAGTTTGTCTTTGTCGGCTCTAGTTTTGAGGCCATTCGCTTGAACTCGACGTTGCCACCGCCGCCCGCAAGCGCCTAGCCCAAGGGAGTAAAACTAGACGAGATCAAAACAGGCGGGGGAGGGAGTGTAGTAGGTGACAGTGGATGCCACCCCAATGAGAGCGTTTATCTTCTTGGCGGGCGAATTTACTTTAATTCAATGCTGATGTGTTTTTTTGGGGGACTAGGGAATACGAGAGGGAGAAAACAAAAACGTCCATCAATGCTGTGATGACTCATAATGGCTAGAAGAGTGAAGTCGAGTTATTTCTTGGACATGGCTCAAAGACGATAGCAGACACTCCCGCATGGCAGAAATTGCACCTCGCCCATCTGACATGAGACACCTAGCCCGCAGATTATTAGCCAAACACTTTCACTAATAAGTATAGCGGAACCCGGGTTGGTAGTCGTCGTCCTGTGGTTTTTGCAAAACAACGATGCGAGTTAGTTCCACCGAGAATATATCATGATCAGCGAGCAAGTATGTGATGGAGAAGCACTCACCCCTTCGCACTCGAGCTCTCTCTCGCCCCTATCCGCCTGGCGGTTGAGGAAGTAGAAGGATATGCTCAAGACGGCGACGATGATCAGGTTAAGGAGGCATGTCGCGATGCAGGCATAGAGTCCTGGTCGATAGCCTGGCGCGTCCTCGGATCTAGATGTCGTGTTCAGGGCTTTGTCAATGGCTGGCACGGCAAATAATACGACAACCTCTCCCGATCCTTGCTCACTAAATCACAATGAAGGAAGTTAGGGAGGAGGAGTCTGCTTACCGGAACACCAAACTGCCTGCAATGCCGCCAATGCCGCCAAACGACACAAAAGTGGCGCTGCAAAAGGCGCGCTTCCACTGGCCGCGGATGTTGTTGGCCTGGTACGACATGGCAGCGGGCACATTTGAGTTGGCCCCGGCCGTGGTCAAAAACACGCCAAAGTACCGCACCGCAGGGTTCGGGTGGAAGCCCATGATAGGCAGACCAATCAGGCACAGAATCATGTTAAAGGCAACGACGGGCCCTCGGAGATGGTAGCGGTCCCCCCACCAGCTTGTCGCGTCTGTACAGCGGCGGTGTTGGTTGGTAAATCACGAATACAAAAACGAAAGAAAAAAAAGGGGGAAAGGGGGGGGAGGGGGGTTGGGACAACTTACACATGACGATGCCAGCGAGAACATAGGGCGGTGCACCGAGACACTGGGCCTGTGCCACAGTAAAGCCCATGTTCTGGACGAGAATCAGGGGCAGGAAGTAGGCGAGGGCGTAGGTGATGGTAGTAGTATTGAAGAAGACCATGCCGTACAGCCAGATCTTGGGGTCCGTCCCGGCCCCGAGGTAGCGCGCGAACGAAAATGGCTGCGGCTCGACGTCGCCGCGGTCGGCCTGCACGCGCGCGCAGATCCACTCGCGCTCTCGCGGCCCGAGGAAGGACCACGTCTTGCGCTTCGAGTCTGGGAAGTCGACGAGCAGCCAGTACCCGCCAACCCCGAGGATGCACGTCAGGAGGCCCTCCATGATGAAGATCCATCGCCACCCGTTGAGCCCGGCCAGGCCGGCCATTTGCATGATCTGGCGGGCGTCTTGTTAGCGGCGGGTGATGTGATGAGTAGGTGACTTGGACCGCCGCCACCCCCCTTTTTTTTTCTTTTTTTTTTCCTCCCCCCCTTTTCTTCTCCCTTTTCCGGGGTGAGGGAGGTGGGCTTACCCCGTATGCCAAAATGCCCGCAAAGGCAGCAGCTATGCATCCGACCATGTAAAAGACCGAGTTGCGCTTCCCAAGCTCGTATCGAGTATACCACGTGCTGAGCAGGTAGACGCAGCTCGGGAAGAAACCTACGGCGTGAGGTAAGTGTGCGTGCCCAAGTCAACAAACGCCATCCCTTGCGCGCGAGCTGGGATGGGGGTGTGGGTGAACCTCACCAGCTTCGAGAATACCCAAGACAACGCGCAGGCCAGCCATGTGCTCCCACTTGGACACAAAGCCCATGCCAATCATGCAACTCCCCCAGAGCACCGTGATGGCGGCCAGGTGGATGCGCGGCCCGATCTTCCGCACGATGATGGTCGACGGAGGCTGGAAGACCACATAGGTGACGAAGAAGACGAGCGAGATGATGGACTGCATTCCGCAATCATTAGGCCGAGGATCATTAGGCCGAGGGAGTAGAAAGACGTGAAGTGGGGGGGGGATCTTGAACTCACATAGTGGTTGTTGTTCATCAGATTCAGGTCGGTGCTCATGCCGGCAATATTGGCGGCTCCCAGGTTGGTTCGGTCCATGAGGCTGACGCAGTACAGAGCGCCAATGGTCAAGACGAGGCGCACGTCGACATGGCGGATGATGCGCCTCTGCTCCTCGGGGGTGAAGTCGAAGTCGCTGAGGCCGGCCGCTGAGTACTCGTGCTTCTCCGAGTCGCCAGCTTCGTCGACGGGGGTCCTCTTCTCCTCGAGCGGCACTAGCTGCGGCGATGGCGGAGCCATGTTGATATTCTCCTTTTTCTTGAGACTTGATGTTCAGGAGCTAAGAAAGAGGTTTTACCTAACCCGCTAGAAGAGCTCTCTTAGACGTCTGGTGCCTTTCTGTCTGCGACAGGCTGAGGGGATTGGCGAGCGGGCGGCAGATGCACGTAGGTAGCCGAAGCAGAGGAGACGCGTGAGAGGGGAGAGGGGAGAGGGGGGAGGGGAGATGGGAGATGAGAGACGGCGGGGGCTACATGCGTGTTGTTTAATATCTCTCTGCCGTCCATCTGCTATTCTTGTCCGCGGTACGCACATGTTGTCTTCTCCCGAGCCATCGAAGCTTCCATGTGCGCGTGTAACCTTCTATCGGTATTGGTTTCCCGTACCCCATTGTCACCTGCCCTCGCTGCCACTGCCGTCACCGCTTCGTGTTTGGCTCCCCCCCCGGCTTCGGTCACACCAGGAAAGGGTCTGCAATCAGGTAGACGCGAGCTACCTTTGTGGGAGACGGGAGGGGAGGAGAGGGGAGCGTGTCATTCTCGACCGAGGCAGACAGACGTATCATGGCCGGAGATCATGTCCGAGGCTCGGCTCAACCCCGAAGATGAACAGGGAGGTCAAAGAGGTAGGATGGTCAGTATGTAGCTATGTGTCGTCGTCACAGGTAGAGGGTGGGGTGGTATCAATCCATGTCTCTTTTGTTTATTCTGTTCATTCGTCCATCTGGCCGGCCCAAGCTCCCTTTTCAAGCCGCCAAGGGCACCCCGCACTCATCCTCGTGTGTGTTGATGGCATGGGAATTGTAGCATCCATGCAGCAAAAGAAGCGCATCTGATGTCGATGGCCGCTGCCACTGCCATTGCCCGAGTCCGCTCCAATGGAAACGCAAACATTGACAATCGATCCCAGCTCGGCCGTGCGTGAGGCCGAGAGCCCAAGCAAGCAAGCAATAGATACATCCATGCAACGGACGCACCTCGCTTGGCAGAAGTGCCGCTGCGTGTACCGTAAACAAACCCTGACACACCACCTCCCCGCTCTGGACTGTCGTTGGGTTGGGGTAAATCACGGGGATAGATTGGATCGGGGCCCAATCCCGACCGCTGATCGACGATGGGACTTGGGGTACCCTGCCATATAGTAATTCGGGGTATATCCCAGGCTAAAAGGTGGCAGCGGCTAGATACATACCAAAGTAACGTATCTAGGCATGGTATCTCAATAAGAGTTATCGATACGTCTAGAGTCAAATCGCTAATTGGATAGTATTTCTAAGAGAGCAATACGCCTCGAGGATTCTAGACTAGGCGTTCTAAGAGTTACCGCCTCTTTTCTCGGAAATTCTTTTGAACAAGCCGTAGAGTGCCAAGGCTTTCCATATCTTAGAAAGTCTCCCGCTGGTAAATATTTGGGGATTATTAAACTATCGTGAACGCTACCTAGTCCTAGTAGTTGGACGGCGGCGGTGCGCTATCCATTGTTATAAAGGGCCGTGTTCTAGGAGTTGACTTGGTGTCTAGGCAAGTTCTTTGTTTGGGCTCTTGGTAAGGAGCCACCTTACTGAACACCAAGGCAATTGTCTTGACTTCCACTTCTTTGTCTTCTATACTTTTGGTCTTATTATTTACCCTAATTCTGAGACCCTCGTCTCGTGAACAGCCATGTCGTCAGCTCCATTTAAACCCAAGCGAGCGCACTCGGATCCTCCAGCCACCACCACAGCCGCACTTGACAGGAAACAGTGACTGGAAACAGTGACTAGAAACAACCCAAGTCTTGCCGCCGACAACATGTTCGCCCACAGGATCCCCACCCACTATCCACGCCAGGAGCCAGCGACAGAGCCTCAGCCCTCGCCTACAAGCGGAAACCACTGGAACGTGCCTGATGCAGTCATTGGGGTCACCGTCGTCGTTGTGGCAGTTTCTTTCGCAATCGGCTGGTGGGTCATACACGCCCAGTTCCTCCGGGCGCAAAAGAGAATGAAAGCCATCAACACCGAGCTCGGCCAGGCTAAACACGAAACCGAGCAGCTGAGGAAAGAGTTGCTGCGTCGAGACATGTACATTGCCCGCAACATGCTCCGTGGGCCTGAGGCGTACTCGACATATTCGCCAACTGACGAACACTTGGAGCATCCCCAGCCGCCTCCACCGTCTCATCAGCCTGTCCTTGCTCAACCAGCAACTCCCCCACTTCGAAAAGTGCGGTTCGCCTTCCCCAGCGATGCGGGTGATAACAGCAGGCGCGACCACGAGTCCGACGCCATCACGCAGGATATCAGTCTCATTTCCGGGGGCATCAGCCCCGCTGGAACTGGCCGGTTCGGGCAAGCCTCAGCTCGACCAACATCTCCTCCGCCTGGGCAGCCACCGTTCCTCTTCGTAATCGATGAGAGTGAGGACGGCGAAGGCGAGCACAAGGCTGACAGCCGGGCCGTCAGCCCTCTCAATCAAACTGATCTATCTGAGCAAGCTGAGGCCGAAGCAGGGCCAGTTCTGGCCCATCCAACCCCTCTGCCTCCGAAAATACGGTTCCCGTTTATCGGCGATACGAGCGATGGTGATGGTGGTGGTGATGGCGACGACGACGGCAACAATGACGACGAGAGCGAGCACGAGGCTGGCAACATCCAGCATGGCCGTTTTTTTCACGGGGGAACCAACCCCGCTGACGTTGAAATCCGCCGAGGCAACACGTCCTCACCTAGGCCTGTGGTGATTGTGCCCGGAAGTCCTAGAGTCCACGACATGCTGGAGCAGACTGCAGTATTAGATTTTGCTTCCCCAGAAGACCTCGAGTATGATGATCGAGTCTCGTCTTCAGCGACTGAGAAGGTGTCATCACTAGAGGCCATGTCATCGCCAGACCTCGAGGACGCCAGCCGCCGGCTTCCAGCGCTGCTCAATGTCCCTAGCGTGTCCGAGGAGCTTGAGGAAGCCGGGCGCGTTGTAGAGACCGAGTACCAAAGGGAGCGCCGTCGCTTGCTTGGCAAGCTGGCTGGGAACGGTGAGTTCGTGTCTGATCCTGACGAGCACCCAGACGAGGACAATGTCGGCGAGAGCCCCAACGAGGGTCCTGTTGATAGTGCCGCTGCAGACGACGCCGAGTATATGGAGCATGTGGAGGAGGACGAGGAGGACGAGGAGGCCGTTTCCTCCATGTCGTCGGATGATGCAAAGTCTCTTCGCAGCGTGTCTTCCGGCACATCCACCAGCCAAACGACTGAGCCCAGCACCTCTCGTCGCCTGCCCTCCCCTACCGCGTCTCAACTAGCTCTGGAAGCCACTGATATTCAAGACGGTAAGTAGTCGGGTAGGTATTCCCGCAGCTCGGTGGTCCCGAGCCCAACAGTAGAAAGCAAAACAAGACATGGCTGTTGGGCTATTGTGGTAACGGAACTCTCTTTCTTTTGAGATTCGCCTTGTTATTAGATTTAATTGATGTTTTTTACCCAGACACATCTTGAAACCAGTAAAAGATTGAACCCAACGTGATATTATATATATATATAGGAAACGGCGGTTTCACCGATTCGTTTCAATCGTAACTCCCCCATATCTTTTCACTTTCTATAGCACTTAGATTCCGTGAATGGCTATTATCTGGGCTAGGATAATCTAATTATTAAATATTTATTAGTACGGCATATTATAAGATATAGAACGCCTAAGCACTTTACCACTCGTTTTTGAAGTTTTCTTCGAAAGGCCTTGATACTCACGGCTCGCCCTAGAGGTCTTTCGCCGAGGGAAGTAAAAAGCTATTACGGTACCGAAATAAGGTCTCCCGAAACTGGGTTATAATCATGCCGTCTTGACTACTTGGGGGAAGATGTGCCAAATGGATAAGGTATTGATTTGGTTAGTGTTACCTTGTACATTCTCCTGCTGTATATAAAATGGCGGCATCCAATGCCTGCGTATTTGAGACAAATGCCCGCATCACTTTAGGCACACGGCACGACACTACGCTTCCCCACAGAAGTGAACAAGCACCACGGCCGGGAATCTCTCACCGGGATTTGCGAGCGGCAGCCCGAAAGTTGAACCGGGAAAAGGTAAATGGGCGTGGGAAAACCCCCCCACGTCTTCTGCAAACAAGCCCAGCCTCGAAAACTGCCCCGGTCGCAATTGCGTGCGCATGTACACCATGACGACAGCTGTTTGCTCAGAAAGCATGTTCCTTTGCGTGTGCTTCTAGAAGGCGGTTGGCGGGTGCCCGTAGAGGGAGGCCTTTCCACTCGATATATATGAAGAACCCCGTTGCGGACCGTCTCGCTCCGCCCTCATAAGCCAAAGCGTGACTTGGTGTCGCAACCAAGGCATCTTGGCCCTACCGGAGTGCATTGCATTTGTGGAGGACTAGATATTGACCAAGAATCCCGGAGTTGGGGGGCATCTCTTCATATTGATTTGGGACATGGCGAGCACCCCTAGGTATATACCTATATATATGCATAGCTATCACCTACCCAGCCAGCCTCAGCAATACATCATACCTTTTTGTTTCTTTGTTAGGTATTAGTAGCACACCGCGAGTCCTACAGGTTTCTGCTGCAGCCCTCACGTTTCGTGATGAAGGGCCTCGTCCTCCTAGCCGCTGCCTCGGCAGCGTCTGCCCATACCATCTTCGTCCAGCTCGAGGCAGAAGGAAAGAGATATGGCGTCTCGCACGCCATCCGAGACCCTACCTACGACGGACCCATCACCGACGTGACCTCCAAAGACCTCGCATGCAATGGCGGCGCAAATCCGACGACGCCCTCCAAGGACATCATCACCGTCACCGCCGGAACCACAGTCAAGGCTGTCTGGAGACACACTCTGACGGCCGACGCAACTAATGTTATGGATCCGAGCCATAAGGGGCCGACGCTTGCGTACCTGAAGAAAGTCGACAACGCACTTACCGACTCGGGCATCGGTGGCGGATGGTGAGAACAGCCCACGGGCCGCCACATAGCTCTCACACGAGTAGGTAGTCGACTGACACGACCAAAAAAAATAACAGGTTCAAGATCCAGGAGTCGGGTTACAATGGCGGCCAATGGGGCACCAGCACCGTCATATCCAACGGCGGCCTTCACTACATCGACATCCCCAGCTGCATACCCAACGGCCAGTACCTGCTTCGTGCCGAGATGATTGCTCTCCACGGCGCTGGATCCTCCGGCGGCGCACAACTCTACGTGAGTATACTGCGACCAACCAGCCCCTGCGAAGAGGCCGCGCGCTGACGGTCCTGCAAAATAAAAGATGGAATGCGCCCAGATCAACATCGTCGGCGGCTCTGGGTCGACTGTCCCGGCGACGACATACAGCATCCCTGGCATATACAAGGTTAGTGCGCGTAGAAACAATGGGGAAGACATTTGGCGTCGGTTGAACAGTCGGCGGGGAGGCAAAAGAGCGCTAACCGGCTTCCCTTTTTTCTTCGTCTCCAGGCCAACGACCCCGGCATCTTGGTCAACATCTACTCCATGACGCCCTCGACCACCTACAAGATCCCTGGCCCGTCTTTGTTCTCCTGCAGCGGCGGCAGCGGCGGCAGTCCGGTCGCGTCACCCGCCTCCCCGGCCTCCCCGGCCACGACTCTGCTCACGGCTACCAAGGCGCCCGCCGCTGAACCCACCGCCCCCTCCCCGGCTACGGACGGCCAGACTGACGGCTGCTCTGCGGCTCAATGGGCACAATGCGGTGGCTCCAGCTTCAGCGGTTGCACCCAGTGTGCACCAGGGCTTTCCTGCAAGGCCATCAATGCATACTACTCGCAATGTTCGTGAGTTGGGGGGTGGGGGGATTCGCAGTGTAAGGACATATCGTTTCGTGGTCACTTAACATCGGAGCGACATATTAGCATCTGGAGAACATTAATACCTTGATGTTTATATATGTTGCATAGCTTGGCGGGACGCAGCTGCTTCTCTCTTTAAATGCTCACGGGGAATAAAGGAACGTTGAACGTCAAAGAACTTTCTTATATTCGCTTTGCACGCTGTCAATTACGGCCGAGATCCCTCCTCACGCGCCATACGCGCGACCCGGCTGACCGTTTCTGGCTGCCGTGAAGCATTTCCACCCACGGGAACTCGGTATGCTGGCTGCTTTGTGCCGTGGAGCCACTGACTCCTTCCTCGGCCGAGCTTTCCTCGCCTTCGGCTGAACTGCTGCTATCTCCGTCTTTGTCGCTGAGAGATGTTCGAGCTTGACTTGTTGTCGTGGGAGCGGTTGAAACACGTAGTGAGGACGAGCCGCGATAATGCAAGTCCTCGGCGTAGGCCCAGCTCGGCGTATCGAACTTCCCTGCCACCAAGACAAGATCTTTGCCTCCAGTAGCAGTCGCGGGAAGTATCACGTCACTCGGCAGCGGCGTAAGTAACTGCAGCTCACCGCGCTGCCTGTCAATGCCGCGGACGAGTACCAGGCCAAGGGCGTGGCAATAGCGGGGGTCCAGCGTGCATCCCTGCGGGTTGGGTATCAAGGGGACTTCGCCGCTGATTTCTTCTTGTGTATCGGTGTTGTTGTTGCTGTTACCATTCACGTTACTGCCGTCGTCACTACCGCCGTCCTGCGACGGGTCCGCTACACCGAGAAAATCCCGAAACGCAGCGGGGTTTTCCACATGCACCAACGCCAGGACCATTCCATTGATGGCATCAGCCAGCAGTTCCGGCGCGGGCTGGTGGTCGTAGCAGAGCACGCCAACGAATCCACGGTCGGCGCCGCGGTACCGGACCCTCCACGGCCGCCGCTCGGTCAGGGGCACGGCATTCCAGGCCTGCTGTTGCTGTTGCTGCCGAGGGCTGGTACTTGGAGAGTACCAGTTGCGGTGGAAGTATGACATGGTTTGCATGGTGCGTAAATGCAGCGAAGTCCGCGACGGTGTAACTTCACTTGGCTGGGAGGGAAGGGTATAGAACGGGATGACATTGCTGATGCCGTTGCCCCGGCAGACAGATTGAAGGCTGTCCACCGTCTCCTCTGGCCCGTCTTGGGACATATAAATAACCTCGGTGGGGCGAATTTCTCTGACGAGCTCAGATAGTATATCAAGGCCAGTGCCCTGGATCCACCCAGGGGTGTTGACCACGAGCGGGTATCCGTTGCTGTTGCCGTTGCTACTGGAAAACCTTTGTTGGTAGTGTGAGAAAAGTTCCAAGGCACACTCGATGAAGTGACCTGGATCGTGAGCCGGAGTGACGGCTGCAATGGCGTGAGCTCTCAGCTGACAGTGGCCACCTGCTGCCCCGGCAGCTGTGTGCTCGAGATAAGGGGTAGGGTGGCAGAACGAGGGGGATAGGTTGGGAAGTAATATTTTGTACAGCGAGATAACACCTGGAGGCGCGTATTCGGGCTGCCCTGGGTCAAGATCGAGAACTAATACGGGCAACCACGACTCCCTCTTCGAGCTTTGTCCCTGGCCTGTCAGAAGTCGATTTGCCAGTAGCTTTCCGAATGTCGACTTCCCCGATGATTTGGGTCCGCATAAGAAAACGACTGGCGGGGTTTTCTTTCTTGAGGCTACAAGTCCGGCGAGCTTCCTGTTCCACTCAGCGGGGGAGACCAGGTCGTGGAGGACGGCTCTCTTCGGGCTGTCCTCCAATGTGAATATCTAAGCATCTCAGTAAGTCCCAGTGTCCTAACTGGCAAACGGAAAGCTGGGATACGAACTATCTGGAAGGTGGCATCAGCCTTTGAGGCTTTTTCAGAGATACGGATAGTTGGCGACTCTTCGTTCCAAATATTTCCAAACAGGGGGCTGAGCTTTGCGAGCCGCCTGAGTTCTTTGGAAGCCGGATGGGGATGGAGCTCGATGATGGAGTCTTCGGTAGTCCTGAGAACAGGGATTGCATGGCAGTGGGGAGCATACACCCAGTAGATGGAGTCAGAAGCCGACAGGACGGCGCCGGCTATGGTAGCTTCGCCCTGGCGGACCCGGATGCCATAGCTCCCATGAACAACCAAACGCTGTACCTACTGGTCAGGCTATTTGCGGGTGGTGGTGAAGTTCTTGGCAGCATAGCTTACCTCTCCTTCAGCGGCGTTCAGTAAGACACGGCCGTCTGCCTTGTCTTGGTAATTTGCCTTGGTCGGTTTGAAGGACGAGCAGTGCGTGCTCGTTCGCCTCCTGGATTCGGGACGTGTCGGCCCCAGGCTACTTACTGCCTTGTCAGAGTTTTCATATCTTAGAAACGAAGAAAGAAGGGATACGAACATTGGGGTCAGGGTTGGCGTTGATGGCACCGAGTCTGAGTTTCCAGTCTCCTTCTTGAAGGCTTGGCTTGGTTTCTCTGTATGCAAGGTGTAGGAATCGTCATCTTGCACAGACTGGCGCTTGCCTTTGGCTCTGCGACTTGATTCTGGTCGCGCCGGCAATGCCGAGCCAGTGCGAGCTTTGCCAGTCTGAGACTCTGCAGCAGACAATTGCAATTCCACAGCTGTCTCGGCAGCCTTCTGGTCCTGATTCTGGTTCTTGGTAGCATCGGCGCCAGGAGAAGACAAGACGTCCCAGAGACTCTGTCGGGCGGCAAAGGCGCTCAACACTGGGAGCGACAGACAGGGTCAGCGCACTGCCTCACTAAACGAAAGGAACCTCACTCAAAAAAGACGCAGGTGAATAAGAAAGACAGGACTGCTCGTACTGGGCGGGGATCCGGGATTGTCTATCTTCCTTTTCTTGTTGCTGGCCATTTTTTAATGCCGCCTTCTGCTGCTCTTGGGCCCGGGCTTTGAACGAATGGAAATGACCGTTCCTTCGAGCTTCAGGTAAATCCGGAACAGTATTATAATAGCATTCCCCGCACAGTTTTTGTTTCCGTGCACTGAACACCGAGAGCATGCAGCCGGAAGAGGCAGCACCTAAGTAGGTAGGATGGTAATCGACAACTGGAGGAAGGTACGTCGGTGCTGCCTTTCTGTTACCCGTAGTTACCTGGACAGGTATCCGTAATTGTCTTGAAATTTCGACCGTATTGTTTCGCTCTAATCGGAACCAATCATAATCGCCAATCGTTGATTTTACTGCTGGGCAAGCTCAAGGGCCCCACTACCCGTCCTTGCATCGGCAGACAAGCTCACTGTAACCAGCGTAACGGTAATTTTTTTTTCTTACTTTCCAGTTCTTGGCGGCGAGCTTTTGGCGATCGTAGAAACGTTAAAATCAGTTGAGAAAAATATTGATTGACCCGCAGAGCACCGCGCCTTCCCGCATCTACATACATCAACGCGTCTCTACACCTCACGTACTTTCCTACCTTGCACAGCATTCCGTCTACCGAGCCTTCCATCCTTGCACTCCCCTAAGCAGCATTCAAGCAAATCAGTGAATTCATTTCCAATGCCGGGGCCACGCGCGCCCATTGGAACTCTTGGACAACATGCGACTTCCGGCGTTGGCCTGAGACGTGCTGGTCCCTCTGGACTCTTCGCACCTGCCACAACGTCGAAAAACGGCCTAGTTAACAGTCAGGCTAGCGACAGCGACAGCGACAGCGACAGCGACAGCGACAGCGACAGCGACAGCGACAGCGACAGCGACAGCGATTCGTCTGGCGGTGGTGACGTCAAGCCCGATGTGAGAGCAACCTCAGCTGCGACCAAATTATCTTCGAGCCACAGCAAAGCTAGCTCTTCCGCCCTGGAGTCCTCGACATCAGTCAACAAGAAAGGTGGAAGCCAAAAGCTAAACATGGCTTCTCGAACCAAGGAAGCAAAGCAAAAATCTCGCCGAATAGACTCCGACTCCGACTCCGATTCCGAGTCTGAGGATTCTTCATCATCCGACTCGCAAGACAGCCCCAAAAATGCGAAACAGAATTCAAAATCGCACCGTATCCAAAAAGGCGCCAAGGTCCAGATGAACGTGGAGCCAGATACCGATTCGAGTTCCGGTAGCGAGAGTGACAGCGAGAAGGTGCCTAAGGCGAAGGTGACAGCAAAGTCAAAGGCAAACACGAAACAAGCGCCAGATGCCAGAACAGAGAGTGACACAAGCACTGAAGATTCGTCATCGTCAAGCGAGGATTCTAGCTCTGAAAGCGAGGCAGAGAAGAAGCCTGTCAAACAGTCAAAGGCAAAGACAGCACCGCAAAGCCCAAAGCCGGCCAAAGCAGCACCCAAAGTTTCAAACGGGGATCAAACGTCAAAGGCCTTGACGAAGACCAACAAGGGGATCAAAAGCCAGGAATTTGTTGGCACGTCGGATGATGGGTCAGACGACAACGTGAATGAATCCATGGCTGTCGAGAAACGGAAGTCGAGCGCTGCCATGTTAGTACAACCCCCCTCGGCCGGAACATTCAAAGGATATGCTGACAACCACCGCAGTCATAAAACTCCCGAGATTATCGCACAGCACTTCCACTTGCGTAAAGCTGAGGATAACATGGATGCGTTCAAGGTTGCAAAGGTCTTCCGAGACGCCAAGGCTCAGGGCAAGCAGATTTGGTTCTTCACGACGCCAGTGTCTGTACCGATCGAGGTCATCCAGGAGCAATCTCTCCCGCTTGACAAGATGCGAGATGGAAAAACCATCTTCTCCCACGATGGAGCCGAGTACTCGGGGGACCTTCAGGAGGCCATGGACCACACCATCAAGGTCTTCATTCCCGGCGAGGCGGGTCAGAAATATGAGTCATGTACGTGGTCTCCCTCTAACTTATCCTTGTTTTACCTGCTAACAAAGGTGCGTTCAGTACAACGGCCCATTGACCGAGTCTTCCATATCAAGCGGGTGACGCACTTCAACATGGAGGGCGAAAGCGCGCTTCTAGCAGCAGCGCCGAAACTACCGCGACCTCAACCAGGGGGTCTTAAGGTTCGGTATCGTCCCATCGGGATCTCAGATGGTGCGGACGGCAAGACGGGCACGTGCACATCATCACCAGAAAATGACAACGATGTCGAGATGACACAAGCTCCATCTGCGGGGACCTCTTCTGAGACGCCAAAAAAGAAGACCAAGAAACGCAAGCGTGACGTTGTCGACAAAGGAACTCCCAGTCTTGAGGACTCGACTTCGGTGTCGGCCACGAAAACGAAGAAGGTCCGAGTCGGCAAGTCCAATGCGGCGGCGGCGGCATCACAAGTCTCGACTCTTGCAAAGACAATTAAACAGACCCCAGTTGTTCCCCCAACTGTCCCATCAGTAAATGGCAACTCTGTATCTGCTAGGAATGCAGTGATTACGAAAGAGAAGAACGCCGAAACTCCTTCCAAATCGTCTCAGTCGAAGACGATCACCGGACTTAAGAGCGGCTCCAAGAAGGTGACGCCGGTCCACCCTCCTTCCGTGCCGGGCATGAAGAGCGCTTAGGGAGCTACTTCGTCCGCGAGCGTCGTTCTGGAAGGACAGGCTGTAGAGAAGCCAGGCGCCAAAAAAACCAATGAGCCAACGAGGAACCCGAAACAGATTTCGGCCACTCAGCCTATTTCCACTATCATTGCATCTAGAGCTCGTTTGGGCACCTCATCTCGACCAGCTGCTCCGAGAATTCCAGAGAAGAATAATACTAGAATGCGCTAGTTTGATAACCCGGCGACCCAGTGTGAAGCTCGCTAGCGCTCCTTGTCGACGCCCAATGCCAAACAGCAAGAGAGCCATATATAGAGTAAGAAGTGGCACAAGAGAGGCTCCTTCCAGCGCTCGCTGGGTTCATCGCCTGTATCAAAGCGTAACTAGGGTGGAGATGTTTGCTCAATCTTACAAAGCCTCCTCTTCCACAGGCAGCTCAATGTAAGCGACATAGCCAGCTCCTTCCTTCAGCAGGATTCAGTTTCTCAAAGCTCGGTTTCCTCAGTGCACGGTTCTACATGGCTCGGTTTCCCAGGCCTAGGCAAATCAATAGGTCCTCTTGAAACGTCACCCAGACACTTGAGTTCGGGCTCTCTAATACAGCAATAGGCGGGGCAAGGCAAAAATCAATCGTTATTTTTCGTCACACTGATGAGCACACGCACAAACATTCTCCACTCGGAGGTGCGACAGCTTCTCGGCTTTATCAAGCTGCACACACTCCGTACCAGATGGCCTGTATTCTTTTCAGCAAGGAACGGGAAGCTCGGTTAATATTAGTGTGTGCTCGTCAATCATATGGTGGGATGGCGTTGCAGATCTTTGGGAGTAAAGCGAAGGCAAAGGGAAGAAACAAGGCTTTGGGGTTGTGAAGGTGGTCGAGGCCTTCCATTTTGCCCTCCTCTTTGCGTTTTAATCTACGTCTAGGTAGGTAAGGTAGCTAGGTAGATACACTGTACAAAGTAAAAATGGGTAACTTACCTAACACTGGAGAAGAACCGATTCGGGCCTGTAGACTATAGAAGACATTTTCTGTCCTGTGACAACCCGTACACGCAAACGCCAATTAGCACCACAGACTGAGCTGCGCTTACGATAACCACACGAAACAGATACGCCCCGGCACACCGGCCCGGGCAGTAGCTGACCAACAGCATATGGCACATTCAGTTCTCGAGAAAGCTTCCTTAAAATGTGCACTACTTTACGCCTTTTGACACTTCCCCGTGGAATACTCGTCATCAAACTCTCATCAAGTCGACATGTCAGACCTCGTTGGTGTAAATATCCAAAAGAATCAGCTGAGAGGCATGGGCAATGGAAGAGAAGCGAGATGGCATATCTCCCTTGTAAGGCAATGAATGATAGACCGTCAATCATCCAAAACCCGTCTGAATGGTCCGTCTCGTAGTTTTCCAGCGAGTAAATATGGCTTGGCGGGCGGAAAGTGAAGGCGGCGCGGTTTCTAGGTTGTGTCAAAATACGCTGCATATCACGCTTTGAAGTTGGTTTGGGTTTTCTGGGCGGGCCGGCGGGCAGCGAGGAGGGGGTGATGAATGTCTTAGCATGTCATCTGACTGGTTCAGCCCATTGCCAGAAATGGTAACCAACTGTCTTGTCTGTCTATTAGGTGGCTCCGATAGGTGGTGTGGTGGTTGTGGTGGTGCGAAAGAATTGGGGTTTGCGGCTGAGGTTAAAACGATGCAGCAGCACATGCAGCAAGCATGGGCGGCGGCACAAAGATACACGCCCGTCGGCGTAAAACACATAAACGTATGCAAGAGTCGAAACAAGAGTTCAGATAAAATGCGACAAGGAATCAATCAATCAAGCCAATAGAGACTCGAGTGGCTTTGCGGCTGGGCTCTACTGGCAGCGCGTGCCAAGAGAGGCGTTGTCCTCGAGGGGCAACGAAAAGCAGCTGCGGCGGCAGGCAGGCCTAAGGGCAGGCTGCCCGCCCGGCTGGGTTATAAAATCTTGAGCGCTTTCAATCGACAATGGGCTCAAACAGACACAGCCTGGTCTGCAGCGACCTGGCGTCCCTTTTCATGCTCTCCTCCCCCACCTCCTGGGATTTTCTTTTTCTTTCCTGTCGTCCTAAGGTATTCAGCTGATTTTACGCCTCTAAAAGTCTTTTTCTAATCCATTTTGTTCATTATTGTGCCGTCTACCTACCGTTATCTGTCTCGCAGACAGACACCCGCCGCCACATCGACTTTGTTTCGACTGCTACTACCTCTCTCGCGCGCGCCTGGCTCTTGTTTGAGGCTGGCCTCGAACCAGTTTTGTTGACTTTGGACCATACAAGCAGGCATAAGAGGCAGAGAGACGGCCAGAAAACCAGACAGCAAGGCTGGAGGTAGATGGTAGATAGGTAGTAATAGGTAGGTGGAATCATCGCCCATCCTCCCACAGTCCAACCCAACCTAATCCTGTCCAACCCAGTCCAATCCAATCCCGTACTATCCTATCCGATCCACATGGTGTTGACCTTGCGGTCACATTATCATTAAATCTTATTCAACGACTCATCCATCTCCGTCTTCCCCTATCCCAGTTTTCCCCAGCCCATCCTAGACCAGTCATACGTGCTGATGCTAACCTGGGGAAATTCCTTCCTATAGATTGTTGTCTCAATTTTGGCTGTTTCAGGACATGTGCCTGGTATCCAAGGAGTACCAGCTACAGCCCAGCCGAGCAACCAACCCAGAAAATAAACGATTGTTTCCGTTTTCGCGCCATAACCAAGTAACGAATGGGGTATGCTTTATCTCAGTGTCGCCACACAGTTTGCCGAGAACCGAACCGCGATGTGTCCTAAAAAATGCTATGCGACCAACCCAACGCCGAGCAAGTATTTGTCGCTTGTGTAACGAGGGAGGGATAAAAAGAAGTCCGATCAGGGCTTTCCGGTCTTGCCGAAGACCCGCCCAATATATCTTCCAAAGGTCAAAGCTGAAGAGATGAATGATGTTTCTAAACCGCCGAAGGTTCAAGAGGATCGAGTCCTTTGAGGATAAGCCGAAACTCTGTTCCATCGCCAGTGCGTGGCGTGGGAGGTGGGAAGCTAGCTTCCGCAACGCCCGAGGGTTTCCTGCCAGCCAGCTGGTGCCGAGAGAGAGTGGGCACATTGCCGCGAACCAAGCGCAGAAACGGAATTTCGAAATCAGAACAAGCTGTCTTCACCTGATTATGACAACCTCGCTCAACTCGCTCTCCCTGCTAAGCCTTTCGCCGTTCCAGGCATCTCCTTGGGGCGCCAAGCCGATTATCGAGTGCCGAAAATCGTCGGGTGGCGTGGTTGGACTCAGGATTCCCGGCGTACCGCTGCTGCTGCTGCCGCAGACCGTCTCCCCGTGGCTCATCGAGTCGAAGCTGGAGCTGCTGCCCAGCGTCCACTCATCGCTGTCGCTTACAGCCCAATTCTCGAGGACTCCGAGGCCGTACCCATTCGCATAGCCGTACCCGTACTCCTCATCGATCATCTTGGGCCGGTCGCCGAATTCGACATACTCATACTCCCAACGCGTCGTCTTATCCAGCTGCGGCCTCGGAAGCCATCCGGAGCGGGCAATGTAATACACAGCGGCCGCAATCAAACTGCCGCCCACTAGATCTATCGCATAGTGGTGATTGAGATACATGGTCGCCCACCAAATCCAGCAGACGTACAGGATGAAGAAGCTCCGGAAGCGTGGGAAGCAGTGTTGCATGAACAATGCTTCCAGCACCGCGTTGGCAGCATGAAGGCTCGGGAAAGCGCCGAATGGCAGCGGCGCCGTCGTAAAGCTCGTGGTATACATATCCACCCCAAAAAGCTCGTCCACTCGCGCTAACCCGGCCGGAGATCCTTCCATCCCATAGTGAGCAGGCTCGAGCCCGTGCGTTTTCTCATACCAGGGTGGTGTGCAGGGTAATATTAGCTGGATCGTAACCCCCAACATGCACATGTACCCAAATGCTCGGGCGAACACCGGGGTCGTGCCGGGCGCAGCAAAGAGGAAGATGAAAACGCTGCAAATGGCGGGCAGCGTGAAGTGTCCGATTCCGTACGGCAGCCAGGCTAATATATCGAGGAACGGGTGGTTGTGGGCTGAAAGAATGTTGGACAGGTTCGCTCCGTAGAGCACGTTCTCGAGCGCAGGGAGGACCTTGACCCAGATATGGGGCCGATACTCGGGCGCGATAAATCTTCCAGGCGCCTCCATGTCAGCAAAATGCCATTCCACTGTCACAATGTCCCAGGAATATGGACAAGCAGGCCGCCAGGCGAAACCGTTGAAACTTACCGGCTCGAGAAGAAGTACAGGAGGTACGTCCATATCGGAAGAGATGGAAGAAAGAATTGCTGGGTAATGGGCATGAGGAGAAGCGCTGCCAGAACCACCATGGCACCTGTTTTGATGAGCGGCGCCGATGGCATGATGCACAGCGAGAATATGATGTATCCGAGCACGACGATATGCTGGAGGTCGTAAAGCCGCCATTTATGCAGACGCAGTGCCCTCAAGCTATCTAATACGTTGAAAGACGTCTCGATCCTGGTGACATCGTCCAAGGCGGCGGCACTCGATTTCGCCTTTTGCCGTAAGCGCAGTTTCCGACTCGGCCGGTACTTTTGCGGAATTGGGTTGAGCTGCGCGAGGGTGAAAGACCCAGGCCAAGTGAAGTGAAGCATCGGCTTCGTCTGGCCGAGAAAGGAAGCAAATTCCTGCATTGCGGCGGAAGGAGGGCTGCTCGGCGCCAGCCTTTCTAGTGATGGGGCCAAGCGAGGCCTTCGAAACGGCTGACCGACGGGAAGGGGCCGGAAGCGACGTCTGTCCGGGGAAGGAAGGGAGGGTGAAAGCGGCGAGGCGTGGAATCGGCTATGCTATTGTCGCTGCATACGCATGTTCGTTGGTGATTCTACCTGTTTATATTTATTTCTTCTTTCTCGCTCCTCTTGACTGTGGAAATAACTATGGAGATTCCTGGGCGGAGCGTTGGTGGGAAACAGGACCAACAAGACGGGGTGATGATGTCGTGACGGCAGCGGCGGCGGCGGTTGTGGTAAGTGTGGCGGGAAATGGGCCGCTTTCATATGCAGGCTTTTGAGGTGATGGGTGGTGAAAAAGCGCCAAGGCAACCGTCGGGTTGGTCGGCCAGGGATCTTTAAGGACTGAATAATCCGATCCAGATGGAAAAGCCCAGGGTAAGTCGAATGTTTATGGAACCGTGGAGCTTGGATTAGTGCCGACCGAGTCCGACAGGCGAGAGCTTCGGCAGGCCTCAAGGATCCTTTACTCAAGACCGCGGGCTTTGCAGCGCTGGTTGCGGGCAGGGGAAAGAGCGAAGCAGGAGTCTTGCAAATATGCATTATCGCCAAGGTTATGCAACTACACGAGCATTCAACGGGATCTGAAACGCCTCGCCGCCTGGTTGCCTACTGACTGGCACCTGGCAGAGGAAGCTCTTGGACGACCCAAGCAAATCAGGGGCCTGCAAATGGCCCCACAGCGGGGTCTCATCGAGATCGGGTCCTGCCCACCCAACTCTGTGAAGAGCTCCGCGCTTCCTTCCTTGTAGATTACTGAGTAAGGTACATTCAGACGGACTTGCGGAGTACATCCACACGGAATAAGCTTACAGTACCTCAAGTCCTGTCTGCACGCGAGACTGGCCCGATAATTACGCGAGGCTGTCATCGAACCGAAATGTGTTACAAGTACACGGCGTACTTACAATTGCCCCGAGTTACGGGAGGAGGGTTTGGCAAAAAAGGGGGACAAGAGGAGGACCGGAGGGAAGCAAATCCAGAGGAAGATTGCCAGGTGAACAAACTCCGCCATTGGGCCCCAAGGTTGTGTGAAATTTGAGAAATGGCGGGCACTCAATCAAAGGTACTGTTACATCAGGAAAGCCTTACAAGCGAGCGATCTTGAACCGTGTTTGCTTGCGAGAGAGGGCACGTAAAAACGACCCCGCCCTCAGGTTCCCTCCCCTGCAGGCCGATCCGAGCTTTCCGGGAGGCCAATGCTCCTCAATCCCTCGCAACGTAACCTGAGTGGCTGCACCGACCAAGAGGGGCCGTCGAAATATTCCCTGTCCAGCGGGATTTGAGACGTGGTTTGACCGGCGCAAATCATTGTTCATAATCTTGAGAACAGCTGACACCTCCTACCGCAAGTTCTTCGATAGCCATGAAAGCCAGCGAAGAGCTAAAATAAATCAGACTAATGCATCCATTTGTTCCAACTGGAATGCTCAGTTAATAAAGCGAATGACTCAGGTCATCCCTGGGCAGGGTTTTCTTTGACAGCATTTCACTGGTCTACCAGTACCGACCCGGCATAGCAAACACAGTAATCAAGATGCGCTGACAATAACTGCGCTACTAGTAGGTAAGTACTAATGCGAAGAATGACAAATACAGCAACATGTGCAGAGAATTATACGATAGATGACCTTTTACATCGTGTCCCATTGTTTGAAGCATGCACACGATAGAACTCGGCGGTGGTTTTGATCGAGTGAGAACAACAAGTCGATGTGGCGGCGAGCCAGATCCTAGGGCACATCTTTATCTTACAATAGTATGATGGATAGTTTTTTCCCTTGTATGTGTACTGGTAAGGGCATATTGGCCAGCGCAGTCCCTGCTAAGTTTGCGAGCGCTATATTACGATTAAAGGGCGCTATAATTTTCAAATCGTAGCGCTTATCGGTACCCGAGCAGGGGGAAGACTTTGGCTCGCAACCACAGTATGTCATCGGCACCTTGACCCGAAATCGAACAAGCGTGAAGGGCGGGTACCGACGAGGGTTCTCTGTCGCCTCGTCACGCGAGTGCCGCGCGAGTGTCCCGCGAACCACACTCAGTACAACCCGTAATTTTGGCCGCTGCATGAGTCCCTCTCTTTGAGCCTTCCCAGCTTCTAGGTCGTCGTTGATCACATCTAAAGCCAACTTCAATTATTCCATTGTAATAAACCCGAAGGCTTAACCGCAATGCTAGAAACGCCTTGTAGATAACTTCTGTCTCCAGCGACGCGGTGGGGGCTGAATGTAGGTCTCCGTACTCAGTATTCGTACCTTATTTACTCAGGTATGGGGTATACACCTCTCTGTAAAAATGCTCGAGACTTATTGAGCTCAGAAAGAAAATGAATGGTATCCTATGGTCTGACATCTGATTTAAAGGTGGTTGGTATCTCAAGGAGGTTCAGAGTCGACGACGAATTGAAGTAGAATGTTGCCGGCTAATTTTATTATCCCGATCGATCTGCAGTTGGAATCAGTATGATCTACCAACAGAGGTCTCTTCTATTCTTTCCGTTGAGGCTTGTTTACTTTGCACAAGCAACAGGGCCCCTATTGCATGGCTTTCATCACAGCAGTCAAGACAGTTATGCTGTTGAAGTCAATAAGCAGCGAATGCTTCGGAGCGTCGAGACTCAAGAGTGCCGGCCATATGCCACGAGGTACATGATCATTAGGTAGATAAAAGGCGCCCAAGCGCCCACATCGAAGAGGCGGGCGGGAGGCGGCACGAGTGTCTTGGCACTAGTTTGTGCACTTACCGCAGTAGTAAGGTGCATCCGTGCAGCGCTGCAGTACCGAGAAAGTGGACCCATTCCATGGCACCAGGTAAAATCAGGTTTAGCTGCGCAGGCGGTATCGCACCGTGCTAAAGTCCGATACCCCGTCATAAACTCCAACCGCCTTTCTCTTCGATTTGTTGGATCGCTACCGACGACATCCGCCGAACGGACTCGGCGGGACGGCGCAGGTCATGGTCTCCCTGCCATTGAAGGATAACCTTTCTCTTCAATACAGACCCCCAGGATATCGCAGATCACCCTGTTGGCGCCAAGCAGTGCCTCAGCCGAGGCAAAACGACTGGGCAATGTACCTAAGCTTAAAGAGTTTTCCGTCATTGTGTGTCGCGTGTCCATGTCGCGTGCCCGAAGATGAGAAAGAGCACAAGGGTTGTTTTAGGGTGTAGGTATGAGGAAGAGCTTAGATGCATTTCATCAATTTGCATACACTACAAATCATGGGCGACAAACTTCTGACAGGCGAACGAACCAACTCACTGACGGTCTCACCCGGGCGGCGACGGCGGACGGAATTCCTGTCGCTCAAAATTCTTCTTTCAGTCATCTCCGAGGTTTCCGTGTGGCACGCACGCGCCAGCATCTAGCTTTGGTGCTGGGCTAGGGTGCAAGGTTGGGCCTGGTTTAATTGTTAGTGCGTGACTGCCAGGCTGAAACTTTTTAACGCTTCCCCCCTTACGAAATAATGATTCATCATTTAAAGATGGAAAAGAGCTGGTGAAATGTCATAAGTCCTTTCCTCGATAGTTGATTTCATTTACGCCGCTCAAATCAGATTTTTCTAGCAATAAATTTATGAGGTTTTCATTCTTGGACCTGGGCCGTGTCCTCAGGATCAACCTAACGAGCGGGAATAGCCCGAGCTGGTTTTTAGGAACTTGGAATTATTAGCGGATGGCTCGGAGTCGGGAAGACCCTCGGGGCGTTGCGACTTCCGACTTTCCATGCAGCGGGTCACAACCCCTGCTTAAGCAATGAACAAACTCGCTTATAAGAAGCTCTTAGCGCCAATCTTTATAAAAGGTACTTCTGCCAGCTGTCAGGTGAGATGGTCGGTCAACTGTTGTTGGTTGGTCATCATCAGACCAGCGCCGAACGCAAGCCCCAATCACCGACCTACCCAAGGTAGGAGCTACCTTCTGAAGTACCTTAACCAACAGGTTCAAGGTGATCAAGAGACGCCCTAGATCTCCGTGCTTGTTGGTGAAAAATGGACAGATGCTTTTCTCGTCTTCTTCTTTTTCATTCTGTAAGCTCACTTGGAAGCTTTCTGTCTGGGCTGATATTGAAGATCGGACCAAGACATCATACTCTCGTACCTGAAGTACACATCTCACTCGACGAGGGTCCGCGATTAGTGATCGCGGTCCAATTGCAAAATTTTACAGTACTACGTATAAGCAGCAAACATATCCAGCATACCCGAGACGGTGAGGCTGACGAAAAGCTCCTGTGACAGGCCGTCAACTTGTCAAGGTCATCAGCCAACAAACTGCAAGGCTGAGCCAGGTACTTGGCTTCGCGCTACAAACCCACCTTACGTGGAATGGTGGCTGTCAGGCAACGCCTCGTCCCGAGACAGAGTGTAGGCGGCCAAGATAGGGCTGAATATGATGACACGGATGGACAACGTTATCTGTCCCATCGACCACAAATTAAGCCTTCTCTACATACAGCAAAGTTACACAACGGGGAAACAGAATTATCCGTTCCGTTGCGCCCCGCTCTCGGGACTTTAACGTTGGGTTGGGGGACATGGCCATTAGCGACCTACTCGAAGGCCGAGACACCTTACTGAAACCTCGTGTGGGAGGATTGATGGCGGATGCTGGCTCATGCTAATACTGGTGTTGTGTGATTGTTATTTGATGTAGTGTCCGTAATACCAATAATATCAAGACAAGGTGAGAGAACATGAATTCGAAAAGTGTCAGAACCACCGACGCACTTGGTCTATCAGCACAGTCTTGCTCAACCCTGGACAAAAAATGATGCCAGAGATCCGTTCTTATTCCCGAGGGATTTCCCTCGGTGCTTTGCTCTCTCACAGCAGGTACGCAAAACATCCAACGAGAAAACCGACAAGCCAACGACGATCTTCGCCACCGGCACGACCTTCCCGTGCCCCGTCCTCTCGCTATACCATCATCTAGCTTCCTAGGGAGGCAAAACATGAATGTAATAAAATAAAATAAACAAGCAAACTCCGATCGTTACCCTCATTGGTATTATAAAACCCCAAGAAAAAAACGAGAAAACACACCAGGGGAAAAAGGGGAAAAGGGGAAAGGGGGAGAAGGGGGGTTAAAGAAAACCTCATTCCATCATTCTACCCGCTCTCACTACTTTATTTCATGCTTCGTATTTCATAGAGCGCACGCTCCGCCAACTAAAACACAGACGAAAACATGACGAAAACATCCTACCGCGGAAATAATTGAGAAAGACGGCAAAAAGAAAATGGCTATGGATATATAGAAAAGAGCCCAGCAAAGAAAAGAAACCCCCATTCAACCGGCACTCAAAGTCATCCTGTTTTTTTTTGCGATTGCCGCTGTTGTTCCCTCCTTTTATCCTTCTTTGAACTCTTCTCGTCCTCCTGTCGCAGCGGCTATTCTGAACAGGAGGCAAGGAAATAGGGGAATATGAAGAGTAAGTGAACAGTATGTAGCAGCTTCAACCACACCCAAGAAAGGGAGAAGGAAATAACAAAGAAAGTGGGTTGAAGGAAATGAAACAAAAAGGACCCCCTTTATCACTTATCTCCAACTCTCTGCTCCGTGTTTCTCGTCACCTTCATCATTGTCGTCGCTGTTCCGTACGTCTCTCGTCATCACCGCCTCGTGGTTCCCACCCCGTTCCACAGCCCCTTACTCGTCTCTACCACCCGATTGGCCTCGCTGCCTGGCCGCAGACTCGCCGGCACTGACAGCGATGCTGCCGGAGCGTCCTGCATGGCGACGTCCCCGCTCGCGTCAGTTTCGGGCTGCGTGCCGTAGCCGCTGTCATTGCCTTGGCTGCTGTTGCTACCGTTGACGCCTGAGATGGCGCTGTCGGCTTTTTGCAGCTGTTGTTGTAGCAAGGCTGAAGCGGTGGTGCCTGCGGGCCCCGGGACGGTGACGGTGAGGTCATTAGTGCCCCCCTGTTCTCGCTTCGGCTCGCGGCTCTTGGCACCGTTCATGAATTGGCCCTCGCGCAGCTTGTTGATTGCGCGCACCGTGTCGATAGCCGCATGCAGGGTGCGGCGAGCGTTGAAGTTCTTCTTAACCGTGGGCAGCAGGTTTTGGCCCTTGTCAGCATCACCCAGGCCGCCGGCGGTAGCGCGGGCCCACCCCGCGACGAAAGGGTGCTGCAGGGCCTCATGAGCCGTCATGCGCCGGCTTGGGTCTATGGTCAGGCAGCGCTTAATGAAGTCCTTTGCGCTGTCTGACACGCCGCGCCAGTACTCGAGCGGGGTGAAGCCATAGTCGGCGTTGAGGATGGCCTGCATTTCCTCAAAGTCCGAGTCACGGTCAAAGGGAGTATAACCGCACAGCAAAAAGTATGTGATGACACCGAGGGCCCATAGATCCACGGGCTTCCCGTGGCCGGTCTTCTTGAAGATCTCGGGTGCCATGTAGCCGGGCGTGCCGCACGTCGTTGTGAGCACATGAAACTGCTCCTCGTCCATAATACGGCTGAGACCGAAGTCGGCGATTAGTAGGTCCGCGTTGTCCTCGGGCGTGCGGAAAAGGAGATTCTCGGGCTTGAGGTCGCGGTGGACGATTCCGTGGTCGTGGAGGTAGGCAACGGCAGAGAGGGTGGCCCGGATCAGGTCCGCCGCGTCGGATTCGTAGTACGAACCTTTCCGGCAGATGCGATCGAACAGCTCGCCGCCCAGCGCAAGGTCAGTAACCAAGTAGAGGTTGTTCATCGTTTCGAAGTAGTCGACAAGCGTAAGGATGTTCTGGTGGCCCATGGACACCTTCTTGAGTACGGCAATCTCGTTTCGCACCTGGGAGCAAGAAAGCAAGCAAAGCCGTTAGACACTGCCGTCAGATTTGGTGGCATGCCAGCATCTCAGGCGCAGAGCAGCTATGGGGAAGAGGTGGAGGGGATATATGTATATACCATGTGCTCCCGGCCGGCCATAAGCCGCTTGTTGATGACCTTTGCGGCATAGTAGCGGCCTGTGTCGATGTGGACGCATTCCTTGACGACCGAGTATGACCCAGCACCCAACGTCTTTCCGACTTTGTAGCGGCAAGGCTGGATTTGGGGTTGCGGCCGGTCGCCATTGGCCGACGCTGATGTGTTCATAATGGGAGCTGGCGGTGCGGCGCGGAATAATACAGAAATATAATGTCGTGCACTCGAGGTCGCGCTCTTCTATCATGCAGTCGAATTGCTCAGCAGACTCCTTGCAACGTCGACGCAGCACCTTTTTTCTTCCCCCACGGCTGGCGCGGAGAGTCCGACGACCCGAGGTGTCTGTCGATGAGGTTCTTCGAGAGCAGCCTTATGGGCGAGACAAGAAGGCAGAGAGGTAGGCAGGAGGACGCTACGGAGTATTTGTATGGAGCAGAGGGCGCAGGGAGGCAGGCAGCCTCGCCGTGAGCTGTGGTCGGGGGGAGCGCAACTGGGTTGGAATGGGCGATCGCAACTCGCTCAGGTTGTAGATGGCTTCGAGTGAGAATGGTCACTCGTGCTAGGAACAGGCCCGGGAGTGTTGTTTTGCAGTATCGTGAACGTGTTGAAGGGAAAACAAAAGGATTTGCGCTCGTCTTGCTGCTGGCGGGGCTGTTTGTCAGTCAGCCGCACGGTGGGATGGGATACGGAGGCGCAGGTCGACAACCGTCGTAGTGCCTTAAAACTCGGGCAGGTTTCTCAATATACCAACCCCACGAACACTTAACCCCGCACCCCTTCAATTGGCTCTGTAGCTTTGCGGCGGAAGGCCCACTCTTTGAACCAGTAAAAGCGCAAGCGCAAGCGAGCTGAGAACTATATATGTCTACGGAGTACAAGAACTAGATTTCCAAGACCAAAACTACCAAATCCAGGTGCATGTGGTTAATATCTATATCATGAAGATGGCTTGTTTAAAGCGCTTCCAATGATATTATTTTTATTATGGTCTAATTACTAGAAAATGTAAATTAAGAAAGAAAGTTAACGTAGAATCGATGAAGAGCTATAATCTTTTTATCGCTTCAGACTCAAATATATTCAATGAAAGACAAGGCTTAATAAAATTAAAACAACACATACTACTTACTTTCAAATATGCGGAATCTTAATGTATATAGGAATTACCAATCAATCAGGTCAGCGCACGGGCCACAACCGCCCAACACGTGGCGCAGCACGTGACCGCAGGGCACCCTGACTGAGCGCCTTCGTGTCCCGGTAGTTCGTGATCCTTTTGGTAGACATAGAAGAATACGAGCAACACAACCACCTCACCCTTTCGCAGCGGTTACTAGAGCGGCTAGCACGAATGACCTTGTCATTCCAACACTTAATATATAATATATTTTAGAAGCTTGAACCGTTTGGGTGGTTATTACTAAAGAAAGAAATAGATATAAGTTCCTCGTTTTAATTTATATTAAGCACGGAGAATGGAAGTGAAGGCAGGTATGCCTGATCAAGGTGGTCACAATGAAGGTACTGAAGAGAGCGAGCAATGACTGGTATTAGTAAGAGACTTCAACCTGGCCCTCGCAAAGGAAGGGGTGAGGGCCACTGCTTATATACATGACAGAGTGCAGGGCGGGCAATTGACAGAGGAGTAAGGTCTTGGCTCGCTCGGTACGCGTGTAAGTTGGTCGTGTGTGTGGGTTGGGGTTCTTTCCTTACAGAGAAAGGTCTTAGTTTATTAAGATAAGACAACTCTAATTATTGCCTATTTTGGCAAAGCCCACGCATGTGGGCTGCGGGCTGGAGTTAAGAGTTTAGCTATTCCAGCTTGCAATTTTCGCTATTCTTTTCTTTGCTTCATATACTCAAGTTCTTCACGTTTGCTACAATACTTACGCACCGATTTAACTATTCAATATGGAAGTAATCTCAAAGGCTTAGCAATATGTAAAATAATTATAAAAAATTTTCTAATTATACTTATCTTCAAATCTTATGTGAACCTTGACCTTAACGTGCTCTGTGTAAGTGCTGTTAGATCACACCATTGGTGGTTAATCAGGTCGACGCACGGACTTTTTTTGTATGGGCGCTGTAGGAATAGCGAGAATTGAGTGGGAGAATAGCTAGACTCGGAGTTAGATGCATTCCCCGGTAGCTGCCATCATGCAGGTCGTTCATCATTGCGGTGTTAAGGCTCTAGGATGAAGGGACAACGGGATCGGGCAGCTGGAAGATGGGACACATGGATAGGGAGGAAGAACTATATAAAGGCACGCCAATGCCCGTACTCCAGCTCGGTTTCCAACTTATTGCTGGCGCCTCCTTACCGAGCTCGTTGACCAGTATAGCATCATCATCTGGTTCCCTTTCTTCCTCGCCCAGCTCCTCCCCTGGCCCACCATGTCACCTCCAGCATCTCTGCCCACCAAGCCTCTCGGCAAGACGGGGCGGCAGGTGCCCGCCCTCGGCTTCGGAATGATGGGCCTGAGTACGGCCTACGGACCCTTTGGGTAATTTGTTCCCATATATGCCCTGACTTGAGACACAGTTCTGACACTCCCCTAGAAATGATGAAGAGCGTCTGGCGCTACTGGACCGCGCCTGGGAGCTCGGTTATACGAATTGGGACACAGCCAACAGCTATGGCGACAGCGAGGTCCTAATCGGAAAGTGGTTCAAGCTACACCCCGAACGTCGCGCCGACATCTTCGTGGCCACCAAGTTCGGCATCAAATTCACAGTCAACGACAAGGGCGAGTGGGACATCTCGGCCGACAACAGTCCCGAGTTCTTCAGCGAATGCCTCGAGGGCAGTCTGCAGAAGATGGGCGTCGATTGCCTTGATATCCTCTACATCCACCGTCTCGATCCCAAGGTGCCTGTCGAGAAGACGATAGAGCTAATGGCCAGGGCAAAGAAGTAAGCTAGGGCTCCAATGTCCTATCCAGGAGAGGTACTTACCACACCCATACTGATACCTCCATATTAGGGATGGCAAAATTAAAGCCATCGGCATCTCGGAATGCGCCTCTAGCAGCATCAGACGGGCCTACACCGTTGCGCCCGTCGACGCCGTCCAGGTCGAGTACAACGCGTTCCAACTAGACATTGAGAACGAGACAGGCACGAACCTGCTCTCCACATGCCGCGAGCTCGGCATCACCGTCTTCGCCTACGCGCCGCTGGGCCGCGGCTTCCTGACGGGTCAGATCAAGAGCACCGACGACTTTGCGCCCGACGACTTCCGCCGCATCGTGCCGCGCTTTAGCCCCGAGAACTTTACCAAGAATCTAGTGTTAGTTGACCGCTTTAAGACGCTCGCAGATAAGAAGGGCTGTACGCCGGGCCAGCTGGCGCTCGCGTGGTTGTCGGCGCAGGGCGAGGACATCATACCGATCCCCGGCACGAAGAAGCTGCAGTATATGGAGGAGAATGTCGGGGCGCTCAAGGTGCATATCTCGAAGGAAGAGGTCCAGGAGATCAGGGACGAAGTCGAGAAGGCCGATGTCGCCGGTCACCGCAACCCGCCGGGTATGTTCACCGAGTATTCGGTGACTGTCGAGCTCTGAGACCTCCCTGCGATTTATTTCAACCCCTAAACAATGGCAGAAGTCGATTAGAAGCACCAACTCCTACTGAAAAGCTGTGTTGAATCTGACAAACCCGATAAGTCCCGACGAAGGGTAGAATCACGACAAGGTTAACGATCAGTTGAATTGGTAGCGGAAGACAGTGTACAGAACTTCGTAAGGATATTATTATACGTATTGAGCGTCAGATTGCTTGGTACATAGGCAGCTATGAGGCGCTACCTTGGGTAGGGACCTTCTACACACCCGTGATGTCGACCCATCGGACTTTTTAAAGCGAGTCCAGGGTACCTTTCCGCTAAACCCGTCACCGAGCAAGCATATAGAGGAGAAACACTGAAAGCCGGTAGATGTGACCGCGCCGATGTCGGCTCCATGATTGAGCTTCGAGTTTGGTTAGATTCGTGCTGCGAGATCTAGCCGTTACAAGGAACCTGTTGGTAGATAGTTCAGCACCAGCACCAGCACCATCCGTTGCTTTATTTGCTTGCCGCCGCCCTAAAAAGAATTACCTCCGTTTCCCCCATCGGGTATACCCAACCACCACTAACACACCACCGTTGGTGGATCATGTCATGGCTACGTTCCCGAGCGCATGGCCCGCTTCACCTCCTCTTTTCCTTGTCCTTCCTGGCCTTCTTGGATTTTCCGTGTCCCCTAACTCCAAACCCATCGTCCGCTTTCTCTACAGCTTCGGATTCGGCCTTTCGCTTTACCTTGTGGGTCTTGACACTCACCAGCGGGTTGGATTGGCCGCTCTTGGTCGCCTTCAGAACCCGTTTCTCGGCGTCTTCCCAAGCTGCACCATCGCCCTCAATTTCGTATCTTCGTAGAAGTAGAGGGCGTCATGTTAGCCTTCACGCCCGCCTGCCCGTCTGTGTCTGACGGATGAGCAAAAGGTTTGTGAAACAAATTGACTTACTGGTCCAACGGCAAAGAGTCGATGAGATCTCTCTGCCTTGCTCTCAGCTCCTTCATTGCTTCATCACCGCCTTCCGCCAGTTCGTCGTCGAGATTCATCTCCAGCGGCAAATACTTGTTGTCAATGATCTCGTCATCGTGCACCCCGGCCGCATTCTCAGGATTGACTCCGATTTTGTTGGCGCCTGGCATCTCGGCCTCGATGGCTCCCGAGATGAGTGACCCGAGGTGTAGGGTGATCTTCCGCATGATCTTCATGAAAATCGCTAGGAGCTGCGATGACGGAACTGAAAGCTCTGTTGCAATAACATCCATCTCCTTTCGCTGTAGGCCGACGGCAAGCAAAATAGCCTGCTGCAATTGGCTTAGCTTGCTATCGGACTTGAGGCGGCCCGTAAAGTACAGGTATGCGACAGTCGGTATGAGATCTAGAACCACGTGGTAGTCCAAAATCCCATTCGAGTACGACTCGAGTCGTTTGTGGTCGAAAGGGGTCAACAGCCCGTCAAGATCAGACTTCTTGATAAGAGCGGGCTCGTTTGTCGGCTCCAGTTTGGCTCCCTCAATGGCCGACTCTTCGATGGTCAAGGCCAAAATCGAGGGAAATTCTCGAAATTTGTAAGACAAAAGCGAGAGAAAGCGCCGATGAAAGTCTTTTGCAAAGGCCCCAAGCCAACTTTGGTCGTTGCCGTCTTTGAGGGGTCTCAGCATGACACACGTGTGCTCGCCTGTGAGGTCATTTGCCGTTTGTCTCTGTGTTCTTGTTAACGCAAATCCCTTTTGCCTCACTCAGTGTCTCGCGGGAGAGGGGGACGCACGAGGTAGACTGGAGCAAAAGACGCTCGCTTCCAAAATTTGTGCAGAGGTTGAGTGAGTCCGTAACTGACACCAACATAATCAAGCCGCCGTGGCCGTCTTTCGGCCAGTTTGGAGAAAAGTGGCGGCAGCTCGTTCATGTCCCTGACCTTGATGTCATCAAACAGGCTGGCTTCTGCAAGCTCGGCATCAGTCACCCTAGGAATGGAGCGCTGGACAGCAGTGCCCACATCCTCGGTGAGATCCGCGAATTTGCCCTCGTAATAATCCACGAGAAGCTCAAGGGCTCTGGACCCGTATCCCATGGACATGTAATCTGGATTTGTCGCTATCCGAACAACCCGGGCCCCAGAAAGAGAAGCAAACTCGTCGTCCTGGAACTGTTGGCTCACAAGCCAAGGAATCAGATCACCGGCAGGCTGCTGGCCCCTGCTCAAGCTATTCAAGATGCTCTGTCTGCTGACCTTGCCCTCGAGAGACACCTGGATAACGCACAAAGGTTCGGGAAGCCTGCCTTCGACAATAGGAGCAGTAAGGACGAAGAGTTCGTGAGCCGGGGCGTCGCTCATGAGCTGAAGGTCGTTGGGCGAGTTCTTATAATGACTGGCCACATATAGCGCTACCATTTGTTGCAGGAATCTCTCCGAGACTGGGTGAAAGGAAAACAAAGTGTCGCGGTTTACATGCAACAGTTCACACTGTGAAGGATCCTATTGCTCTCATTAGTTTCGTAGTCCATGGAAGAAAAGACGTTACTTGCGTCGTGAGGTTTCTACTTACCGGACATCCCTGGGTATTGAGTTTTGATTTGGGAAGTGTTGCATCCAAGCAGAGCAAAGTGTTCAGCCATTTCTCAACCGCATCGCCTTGAGCGTAACGGATAGGCTCAGAGAGTGTGATTTCCTTGAGAGATCGTCCGCCTTGGAATACCGAACTTGTTTCTTTCGCCATCTTTCCGCTTGACCTGTCCACCTCAATAGCACCACCACCGTTCGCAGTGGCACTAGATCTGGACTGTTCTCTCAGTTGCTTTATGAGCTTCAGTGACAGCGACCTGCCTGTGCCTTCGTATCCACTGATGGTTGACGCCATGAACACCAAGTAGGGGCCCATAAGTTTGCGAACCAGCGGCAGCGGGATGGCTGCTGCTTCATCAATAACGACCAGCTCGGCTTGTCCGAGCATGTGGCTATCCTGCGGGCGGATGTATTGGATCGTTTGCCGATGGTTCCTGTGAATGTTCACTCTAACAATGGCCTTGTTGAAGTCGGGGTTTGTGGATTGGATAATAGAGTAATCCGCATGATCCTTATAATCCAGCGCGTCAAATCCTTTGAACACGAACTCGAACAGCGTCTTCAAATTTTCTGGAGACGGCGAGGTGATGAATATATTGCTGTATCCATAAGCCACGGCAGCCGCAATTGCAACACCCACTACCAAAGAGAAAGTCAGTATAACACGAGAAGGTTGCGCCTACACCCCCGAGTGTACGTACTTGCTGCCGATTTGCCTCGACCACGAGCTGCCGTCAACGTGACCGTGTTTCTGAGTGTTTTCTCGGCAATTGCGTCGACGAATGTAAGCAACGATTTTGCTTGATCGGTTGTGCGCGCTAGTTGCACGAGTGATCCGATGGGTTGTGAATCTATAAGGGAGTCTTTGATTTTTTGCAGTTCGTCTTTTGTCGTGCTCGACGCCTCGTCTTGGTCTGGAGGCGGGAGTGGTTTTACCCCCTTTCCACCGGATATGGGGAGAACGTTCAGCTCATCGTCAATGACCAGGCACGACTCGCAGTTGCCCAGAGACAGGATGAAACGCTCGTTGAACCTCGCAACGACATCGTCGTGGGCTTCAGTCCGGTACCGGGAGTGGACATCCATAGACATGGTGTATAGCTGTTTCAGACTGTTCATGCCTTTCAGTAGCAGAACGACCAAGCCTCCACCCTCAACAGTCTCGATACACCGAGCGAGAATATTCGGTGTAATGGCCTCGAAGTCTTGTAGGATGCACTACTCACAGTTAGTAGATAGTTACAGGGCAGGTTTGTAAGTTAAGGGGGTAGCGATTCTCCTTGGCGCATTCGCTTCACGTGTGCAGATATTTCCTTGTCTTGCACATTCGAAAGAAGAGAAAAGACCGGCGAGAGACTGACCATGCCATATGTATTGCCTAGAATCTTCTCCGTCTCCTTGTAGTAGACATATCGAATGTCGTGAAGAGAGATGAAGAGTTCGAAAGGATCTTCCGAGTTGGCCTCCCGGGTACCACGCTTGATCTCCTTCTTTATCTTGTTTTCGCGCTTCTTCCGGTGACTGGTGAAGCCGAGCAGTTTGTTCTTGTACGCCCAGAGAACCGACTTGTTTTGTCTCATATCCATGCTGGACATGATATAGTACACTGGACAGCGGGTTAGCGTCCTATATGTAAATGGCCGCTAGCGCGCTCAACGGAGACATGGGGAGGAGGGTGTGTTGGCAGAGTTGAGAGGCGTACGGTGAACAATGGCATCTTTGGAGCGATCGCCCACGACGACGAAAAAGCTTCGCTTTTTCTCCTGGAGGCCATTACGAATTAGGGTCGGGATACGTGAGTCTCTGGTTTGGACATAATAGATTAGTATTTGGACACCTCGTTACATATTCGTCGCCTAGCATTCATTTACGTACACCGTCTTTTGCGACATTTTGTCGGCCGCTGGCAGATTTGGCGGCAGAAAAAGTGACAGGGCGGCGAGTGAAATGCGCCCGAAATCGCGGTTCGAGGGGCCTGGAGAAGGGATCGCTGGAACATGGACGGCAGCACTTTTTTTATATTCTGCCGGGCGGTGTAGCCAAGTTCGCCCGTTCAAATAAACTTCGCTGCAGATCGAACAGGGATCATCTCCACTGGTGCCAATCCGTCCTTGGTACGTACCTGAGCCTGGTATGTAGGGCTGGGAGCAGATGCCAGGCGAGACCCCCCAGGTACCTACCGTACCCATGTGCACCAAGTACTCTCACAGAGAACCGACGAAAACGGCGAACAGTACTCCGTGCGTGGTTCATCTCAGCGCCAGCTACGTATCAGGCAAAGTACCTAAAGTACTTCATAAATATGGAGCGATAGAGATACCTAACCGGTAGGCGGGGCGCCGGGCCTTACTTGCTTGCTCCCTACTATAGATATGGACCAAAACATAATCGACAGGATACCTCATTTATGGCACTGGTGAATGGTGGCCTCTTGACGCTTCTAGATTGTTGAGTGGCTTTGAGTGGTGTTGAATGTCATCCGGATATGTACCCTATCCCATAGATTACCAGATGACTGTGAAAACAGCCTTGTCATCTGGCCTGACGCGTGCCTTAAAATACAAGCTACTGTTTCGAAACCTGAAGTGAGGTTCCACGGCCCGATGTTTTAGAGCCTCAGAAACTTGTAGTCGATTGAACTTGTAGATTCATGGTGGATTCTGCAACTTCAATTGCCGGCCATGGCCAGCAGGCTGAATAACATGTCTTGGTACGTATAAAAAAAGCGTCCTCTTCAACCATCAGTCTTGCCGTTGGAAGAAAGCAAGTAGAGAGAGTCGGGCAGGACGGTCAAGGGATTTCCCCTTTTCTAAAGGATTTTTTAGAGGCCTGGTTCTTCTTTAATTTTATTCGTGACTCATTGGCGCTTTTCTTCCTGTGTGAGAAAGTATTAAAGCTGGGTCGGCAAATATGTCAACCCCGACGCGGGAAAACCCACAACGCTTCATATTTGTGAGTCTTATCTGGGCCGGACTCGCCAGGAACTGTATTCTTGTACAACCGCTGGAGCTCCTCAAAGAGCTTCGCATAGTTGTCATCTATGTTGGCGGTGCGACTGCGCTGGGTCTGGGCCTGGATGGAGATACTGTCGCTCCCCTTAGAATAGTATTTGGACGACCGCACCACGCCATGCAAGAGCTTTGGCAGGGAGGGCAATAACTGCGAAACGGGCCAGGTGGTTGTCGCCTTGGTCTCTGTCCTGCATAGGTAGTCTATGTAAACACAGTTGGCTCCCGGCTGGCTGATAGGGAAAAAGAAAATGCGTGGACGAACTTGTTCACATGTTGGCCTCCAGGGCCGCTGGATCTTGAAAACGCCGTGTTGCCTTTGGGGAGACTGCTCAGCTGGAATGTTTGGTGCCATTTTCGGGCATCGACCAATTCATCCTGGTCGAATGTTGCGTCAAATGCTTGATGCCTCACAGTCCGCTGGATATTTGTCAGGCCGATACTTTGGCTGGGAGGCCAAGCACGCACGCGGCCAAGTGCCGGCCGAAGGCTGTAAAGACGCCACATGAGAGACAGTCTCCTACGTCGCCGAGATAAAGGTGACTTGGGAATGAGAAATATAAATGCAGTTGCGGAAAACCTAGTGCAAAAAAGACACAGCTCCAATGTCCGCTGATCTATAAGCTCAAAACAGGCTGGCAGATGGTCATCTCTACCTCCAAGTCAAGTGTTGCCACGGAAGTAAGCCAACAGTCACAGATCGCGGGCAGTGTAAGAAAAGATACTTCCCTTACCCAATGTAGGGTATTTACTTAGTATTCCATGGAGGCGGAGATTTAGTTGCGATCTGGAGTAAGGCGCTGAAGGAATTTTTGAAACTGGACCTGTACAGTACAAATACAACGGAGTTGGCGGCGGAAAGTCAACGCTTGGACCAACAGCCACTCCACCCCACCTCGAGGTCCCTTCGAGTGGGGCAAACTCCCAAATCATTTTCAATTTTCTTCCATCTCCCACTGCAGCATTGGCTCAAACCAAGTTCTTCACCACATGAGGTCCTACTTTCAAGGACGGAATACCGAGTAATCGAAACAATTCAGGCTGTCTGGCTCTTCGGAAGTCGTTGTCCCTGAGAAGAATCAGTGCTCAATCGTTTCCCAAAACGGATGAGCTTAACCTTCGGACCGCACACTGGACGTTACATCACACCTCGCTGTTGGTACTAACCCCTCCAACCTCCAACCTTACTTGTCAACGCCGCAGCCGCCTCTTTTCCTTCGCCCTGGCACTCTTTCTTCTTGACAGTCGACCTTGCCAAATTAAAGCCGTGCTCTTCCCTACAAAACGTGAAGTCGCTCCTGCTCCCTTTTGCCTTGACTGCCTTGCCCACCTTTAGGTACAGAAAGTCCGGGATACCTAAGGCACTTTGACTCTTATCCTGGAAACGCCGCAAGCTTGGCCTCGCTTTTCTCCTTGAAGAAAATTAGCAATCGCCGCAACTATCCACTGTCAAAGGCAAGCAGAAACCAGAACTCCGCGCTTTGATGACTAGACAATCGCCAGAGATACTAGCTGCTGCCAATCTCAGCCCTCTTTCCCTGGTGCCGATTCCTCTCCATTCGCTGGCTATTGTTGCGACACTTGACCACGCAGCAGCTCCGGACCCCGCCATGTCGTCCCCCGCGCCTCCGCATCGCGTCGCCATTGATGCAACTGGAAATGTTCCAACCCAGGGTCCTCCAGCCCAGAGTGTCGCTGAAATCTCCGACACCATAGTAGTTGGCGGTGATTACTCAGAGGAATCCCCAGACGAGAGCGACGACAGCTTTGACGCCTATGGAGAAGACGATGGGCAGGATCAAAAGAAGAACGAACCGGTGTCTGGTAACGATGACTATGCGAGAACCTCTGATTCGCCTGGACATCGGGATAAGGGTGAGGCTAGCGAGGCTCAACACGATGTATCAAAGGCCTCAGAATCCATGAATAGTTCATCCGCTCCTGAAACGTTAAAGAGTCAGTCCCCCGCTGCCCCTACTTCTGATACTTCATCGCTCCGGGCTGCCGAGAGTCTTCATCCTGCTTCTCTGTCTGCCTCGTTGGCCGGCGCCGCCTCCTCCCTTGCCGCAGGCCTCCTCCCGACGGCTGCCTCAGAGGAGCTGCCCGCCGCGTCCGCCGTCTCTCCGGGGTCCCCATCGGCCCATGAAGATGATGCCGCTGTTGATATCCAGAAGCTGGTAGACGACATCACTGCAAGAGCTGCCGCTTCAGTTCCATCCCCTGTGTCGCTTGGTCAAGCCCCGCCAGCCGCTTCTCGAGCTATCTCGCCTGCATTGACTACGTCTCATTCTTCCTCTCTCCCTCCCAAACCTTCCATATCTCAGCAGCCAGAGCAATTGCCTGCCCTTCCCCAGGGCCATGCGTTCCAAGCCCAGCTTCCGGGCTCGCATGCATCTTTGATGGATTCGATGCCCACAGAGGACTCTGCGACTCCCCATGGCACGTTCCAGACTATCGGCGCTCCCGGTACTACAAGTGAACCTGTTTCATCTCTCCCGCTCCCGCCACCCACTTCATTAAATGGCTCGCATGCCCAACCAGATGCCTCGCTGTCGAGCGCCACTCCGGTCCCTGCTACTGGAGACGGTGCAGCTGGTAACTTGCATTCCGTATCAGAGCAGCAGCAGGCGTGGGAGGACTTTCAGGCCGACGAGAAGCGCTATACTTCCGAAGCAAAATGGGAAAGATTCCCCGAGAACTCACGTATATTCATCGGTAATTGCCCACTTTAACTTGTCTGGAGGAATCTTAGCTAACCCGATGCTTAGGAAACCTATCTAGCGAGCGGGTTTCTAAACGTGAGGTATTCGACGTTTTTCATAATTACGGCCGCTTGGCCCAGATTTCGCTGAAAAACGCCTATGGCTTTGTCCAGTACCACACCAGAAATGAGGGCCAGACAGCCATGGAGAATGCCCAGGGCATTGAGCTTGGCGGTCGTAAAATACGTGAGTTTTTATCCCCTATTGTGACTGTTCTACCGCTAGGCTCGTGCTAAAAACTTTCAGATCTCGAGTTTTCCCGTGCTCAAAAAAGGAAGGACAAGGAGAAGGATGATCGAGGCCGATCTCCGGAGCGGCGGAACCAGCGCGGTGGTGGACGTGGTAACGATCGCGGAGCGACCGATCGATACGACAAGAGAGATCACCGACGGCGAGATGATTATAGACCCGGGCGATCGCCTTCTCCGCGGCGTCATGATCGCCGAGGTAGCCGGGACGTCAATTATCCTCGAGAACGGGATCCACCTAGCGTCTTTGACCGGCGACGATCTCGGTCGCCAACACGATTTTCGGATCCCTACCGACGCAGATCCCCGAGCCCACGCCGTCGTGCACCGTCCGATGCCGATCGTCTCGACGTTGCTCAACGCTTTGGAGCCGACGTTCCAGATGTTCAGTTCTTTGTGCTTCCAGAGGTGTCAAGAGAATTCATCGACTGGGTCCAGCAACGCTTCCATGAGCGAGGCCTCAGAACCAATGTTATGTTTCTCAACCCTCGGTTTCCGCGAGACGCCCTGGTACAGCGCCAAGTCCTCGAGGGAGTTCACGCCATAGTTGATCTCGACCACGCCGCTCAAAGCCGCGCCCGAATCTCAATCCAAGTCTTTATTCGTTCAGGTGGCAGTGCTCATTTCAACACATACCAGGACATTGATCCTGTGACGGCAGTGGGCCTTGTGATTGCACAAACAGGAAATCGCCTTACCTCTCCTCCGACCCAATACAACCACGGTCACTCCTATCTTCCTGATGCCCCTCTCGCAGGATATCCATACCATGGTCCTCATGCTTCCGCCCCTCCTGTCCATGCTCGGCCTACCGCTTCAGCGCCTGATCTCGCAAGCATGGTGGGCCAGTTAGATAATCCTACCCTCCAAGCTCTCATTGCCTCACTACAGGCCTCGCAAGGGCATGCGGGGCACCAGTCTGCGAATCCCATGCTGCCGGCCACGGTCGGACCTCAGGCGCCTCCCATTGACCTTAATGCACTGCTCGGCAACCTTCAGAATCCTGCCACAGCTCAGCCAGTCCCAGCGGCAGGATATGCTGGTATGCCGAATTACGGATCTGCTTCCGCGTATTATCCACCTCTGGGACAGGCGATGACGTCTGCTGTCCCTAATGCGCCAGCCGGCATGATGGGTTATGGTGGCCCGGATGCAGCACAGCAGGTCCAGACCATCATGGAATCACTGAGACGGGGTAGCACGAACTAAACGCCTCGGTATCTCTACAAAATACCCAGTTGATATTACCGCGTCGTTGTCACCGTAACTTAGATTAATCCCTCCATTCGACATTAGCAACAATATTGCCAAAACTGACACGTTTGGTAGCTTATGATATGGGTTTGCTGCCGCGGTCTAGACCAAGGCTGGCAATTGGAACAATCGGCGCTTCACTTGCTGCAGACGTTTAGGAGCCAGGCATGGCTGCGCTGGGTGGCCGCTTTCACAGTTGCGAGCAAGTCACAGAATTGATTTGGCGGAAGAGCAATTAAGCTATTCCTAATTGAACATGTTAGCAAACCGAAGCCGACATGCCCAGACGGCCGATTGAAGGACATCGATATGGCCGAGCTCTGGCAGTTTACGAGACAGAACCCAACTCGATTCAAGTCTAAGTCGTTGGGCGAGTGCGCCGACCCCTCGAAAGCATTTTGAATTGGTAGGAAATTGGAGTCGACTGAATCGATATCGACAATTCCGTCCATTAGTAGTACGTCGTACGGTGTGGTTAGCACACACTTGATCGCCGCTATTAATATTACACAGCATATAATGAAAACAATGGGCCAACTTCCAATCTTACAATGCATCGTGCGTCATTCGCTGTCAAATATACACTGGCTTGCAAATACCGCGATTTTCAATCTATACGGGCTAATTTAAACAATGTAGAAGTATTGTCTTGTTTTAGGTTATATATATTTTGGTACACTTTAAACCATGGATCGGCTCAAGCTGAACTATTGAGATTTTTTGTCTGAGTGATTCGCAGCTTGATACGCGTCTATGCCCAAGATCAACAACCCAGAATCACACCTTCAACTCCTCTTCCCAAGGCCAATTTTCAGTGCTCCGGGACAGTAATATCAGCATCCGCCTCTCTCGCTCCTCTACATTATCTGTCACCGTCGTCACACGTAGCCATTGTTCTAGCAACCCTCGCAGCTCGTCGTCGGTACGGCCAGTGACGTTTACCCCACGATCATTCGCGGCTAGGCGGACCTCCTCGGGCTCCAGCGCAGGTGCGCCCCCTGCCTGCACCAACAGATCGTCATCCTCAGCGAGACGGTGCAGCCTCTTGCGCACGCGCAGCTCCGCCAAGGGTCCAGGGGCACCCCCAATCCGCTCCCAGTATGGCGACACCAAGCCCAGCGACCGTGCCACCACGTCGGCCATAATACGGGCCGTGATGATTGTCGCGTTCACGTTGTCGTAGTCGACCAACAGCTTCCTCCGTGCGGCGTCGCGCTGCGCCTCGAGCCGCCGCTGGAGCTTGCTCGCGTGCGCGGGAATGCGGCACGTGTAAGGCACCGTCGACGGCACCGCCAGCACGACCAGCGGCGTGAACTCGCCGCACACGAACATCAACAGTCCGAACAGCGGGAGACGGCGTATGTCATGCTGGAAGCGCTCGCGCAGCAGTAGATGGCTGCGTGTGGTCGTTGCCGCGGGCAGAGCCCGCACCAGCTGCATGTTGGTGAATATTTGGCCTAGCCCCGTTTTGTAGAAGGTCAGGTATGCCTTGCCAACGGAGAAGAGGTGCGAGAAAGTCGAAGTCTCTGGCGCCCGTACGGGCACGTCAAGCGGCGGTGGCCGGGTCGACGCGGGTGGGTTGGCGGCATCAGGCGAAATGTTGAGCGGAACCGCAATCTCTTGCTGCTGCTTCGGGGAGGCAGTGGCGGCGACGGAAGAAGAGGACGAGGGCGAGGAGGGCGAGGAGGGCGAGGAATAGTAACGTGCTGAGGAGAGGCGCCCTGTCGATTGCCAGGCTGTCCTGGTGGCGGGGAGTAATAGAAGCAACGCGTGACTGTCGTGGCTTGAGTAAATACAAGCGCGCAGGACCGAGAGGGGGAAACCGCGGCCAATTGCGCTGCTGCTGCTTGTGTGGACCATTTTGTGTAAGGCGTGCCTTGATCTGGGGGAGATCTTGGGCTGATAAGGTGGTTTGAACACGGTTTGGAGCACTCTAGGTTTTTTTTTTAAACCTCCCGAGAGCTCAACGGTTGTTCAATTCGGTGTGTGGTGCCGTGCAACCGGTCTCAAAATCTAGGTGTTACGTCAGGGCCAAGGTGCGCTACCTTACGGGACCCGCTTACGAAACTCCCACATTTCACATGTGTGATCTAGGCCAATAATCACCCCCAAAAAGAAAGCTCTTGAAAGAAAAAAGAAAGAAAAACAATTTCAAGAGTAGGACATAAGTGTCTAAGAGGTCTTTACCGTGTGGTAGTGAACTCTCTAGATGGCTCTCGGCTTCTTGAAGACGGGCTGCCCAAGCTCGCATCGAATCGCTCAAGAGTAAGGGACAGGAACGGGAACCGGCTCCAAGCTCCACAAAGGTACGCAGTGGAGTAGATTTAGAACACAGACCAATCTCCAATCTCTCGGGACAGGTGGCGCGCCGGTTGCTCCACGTCCCAGTGAATGCCGCGGCCCTGCATAGCATCGTCTGGCATTAAACAAAAGGAAAACGTGTCAGTGAGTGTACAAAATACCTTACCCACCAAGCGGCACGCATATGGGATTACTCGGCTAAGGTATCCGTAAACGGGCGTAAAATTACCTTGCCTAACTTTCCGTCCCTACCTTAATTTTACGAGATTAAATTTGCACAAAGGCACTCCCGTCGCTACGTGGAGAGTGGGATACGTAGCAGACATACAAACAACACACGCACATTAACACCATGGGCTGGCCATATCGCTTCCTGGATCTCACCGAGACGGAGAAGCATTTACGGCGTTTGGCTCTCGACCAATTTGCCAGCTACGCGCAGCTCTCGTCGCTGCTTCCACTATGCTTGGCCATCCTGTACAGGATAATACAACAATGGGCCACTAAAGAGGAAACATCGCGCAAAGGCGTTTCGCCTTTGATCAGGGCACAAAGCCAGAAGGCTGATGGAGTACGCGCCTCCCAGGTCCGTAAGGTGCAGTGGTGGTTGGGAGAGGAGGTCCTCATATTTGGGTCTTCATGGGGCCAGCGGGACCGTATGTGTTTCCTCTCAGCTTCTGCTCTGAGAAGTCCCACCGAGAGCTGACGGCGTGAACAACAGAGTGGCTTGTCGGATTGCTCTGGGGCAGCTGGTTGCTGTTTCTCTGCGTTCTCGATACTGGACATGGTAAGAGGTCCCAACTACCTACCTACCCGGTCATCAGCACACCAATGACTCCTCCGTCTAGACAGGTCGCGACGGGGACAGGTTTGAAGCGCTGGGAGACTCATGCGGCGTATGCTAATCGCTAATAGACTATCTGCACCTGACGAAGAGATTGGGTGTCATTGCGGCATCGCAATATCCGGCGCACTACCTGCTAGCGCTCAAATCCCTGAACCCCTTTAGCTATATTTTCCGTTCGTCTCACGATCAAGCCAACCGTTGGCATCGCGTTCTCGGCCGCATCATCACCACACTCATTGGAGCCCACGTCGCTCTTTACCTCAACTTCTTCCTTCAGACGGGTATTGCTGCCCAACGGCTGCTCCGCCCGGTTGTTTTTGTGGGCGTCGTGGCCTTCTGCGGGCTATCCCTCCTCAACACCACATCGCTGAGGGCTGTCCGTCGGTATTCCTACCGACTGTTCTTTATCATCCACCTCTTTGTCGCGCTTGCGATGCCACCACTCCTGTTCTTCCACGCCCGTCCAGCTAGATTGTTTATGGCTGAAGCCTTCTTGATATTTATTGCCGATTTGGTGTCTCGAAGGTCGAACACCGTGCTTGCAGACGCTACGCTAGCTCCTGTACCAGGCACCGACCTGGTCAAGATTTCTGCCTCCATACCTCGGACGGAAGTCAATCGATTTCATGGGCACCCCGGCTCTCATATATATCTCACTATTCCGTCCGCCGCACGCAAGTCAGCCCCGGCGTCCATCTCCCCTATTTTATACGAGTATCTTTTCAATCCCTTTACAGTAGCAGCTGTGGACGAGGAGGGCGGCCATCTAACCATTGTGGCTCGGCACCGCAAAGGCCCCATGACGGCCACTCTAGCACACTTGGCCTCCAAAGCAGCGGGAGGTGCCCTCTCTTCTGGTAGCAGCTGCGTCGCTTCGACGATAAGAGGGGAAGGCAAGATCCCCCTCAGCATTGAAGGTCCCTACGGAATACAAACGGTAGCGCATCTAGCCGGCGACGGGGGTTTTGATCGAGTGCTACTCGTCGCCGGAGGCATCGGTGCCACCTTCACGGTTCCGCTGTACCGCTTTATACTACGGGAGAATCGAAACGCAAAAGTCCAGATGGTATGGTCAGTTCGCCAAACCGGTGATATGACTTGGGTGGCTGCGGGTAGCGGGGCCAGGGGCGATATAATGGATGACGAGAATGTGCACATCTTCCTCACCGGCGGTGGTGTTTCTGACACATCGGAGGATGGCGATCATGCCCCTTCAAAGAAGAAGCCTAAGAAACCCGTTGGTAGTCAACGCACTGAAAGCCTCGTCAGCAAGGGCGTTAACGGCGTTGGTGTTGGCGGTGACGGCGGGTTGGTGGAGATGACCGCTATGTTGAAAGACCGTCGGCGGAATCGACCTATGCCGGACCGCCCTAGGAAGCGTCCTGACTTGAGGACAATTGTCGACGGGGTCTTTAAGAAAAGCCAGGAGGAGCGTGTGGCAGTTATTGTCTGCGGCCCAGCCAAGATGGCGAGGGAATTGAGGGGATATGTTGGGGTGTGGGTCATGAAGGGTCGCAAAGTCTGGTGGCACAATGAGGGTTTTGGGGTTTAGAACTTAGAAAAAACAAGGATAACTCGTACATATAATAGGCAGGCATATGTCTATCCGTACGTAAAACTGTATCCATTTTCTTTTGCGATATACGGCCATAGGCATAAGTAAGGTACCTGACATTGTGATTTATCTTCTTGGAAATGCGTTCTTTTAGAGGTGCCGACGAAAATAAATTGATATTATCAAATGTACAGTACACACGGCATCTTGTTCTTTCTTTCACGTAATCCACGCAGAAAAATCCAAGCTGCACTGACTCCCTTACTATTCGCTGATTCGGCTTCTGTTGACTGCAATATGAGTAGATGTTCAAAGCTTGCGCTAATACTGGACTGTGAACTTTCTACCTGAATAACCAAATGAATGCATCCTTTTGCACCCTCCTATCCTCGTAATATCTCATACAGTAAGTCTGTGCTGGAAGCCTCCCTTGGCTTCACCTGTGGCCCATTCTAACACAAGCATCGAGAGAAAGTACAGAGCCACAAAAACGCCGATACATAGAGCAAGCCGTAAATACAGTACATTCGGCGTCGATGCGGGAACAGTAGCCATAAAAAGAGACAAGTGGAAGGTACCATCTCAGTATCAATCGGCCCTTTTCTTGGAGCCTCCGTGATCGCCGACGTTGGCCTCCACGTCCTTGCCGGCCCCGACTGAGCTGATGCCTATATCGCCCCCAAGATCATCATCATCCCAATTGTCGACTGCATTTTCATCCCAATTGTCGACCTCGTGCTCTAGCGAGGTAGTCCTGACTCCGGTAGCACTCGTCGGGCCGGCCGCAGTAACGCCTTCCTCGTGGTCACCCGTGCTGACGGCAACACCTTCCCCGAGCTCGAGGTCCTCCTCGCCCAAGTCCTCGCCGGGGACAGCGTTATAATGTTTGCGCAGGCGCTTCCGCTCTAGCATGCGTTTGTGATACCAGGAACACAAACCCAGCCCGACCAGCGAACCGACTACGTTAGCGACGAGGTCGAGGATGTCGAAGACGCGCCCGAGCGGCGCCAGTGCCTGAAGGAATTCGGAGCCGACGCCCAACCCGAGCGTGCACACCACCAATGTCAGGTTCAGCGTGCGCCGTCGATTCGTATCGATGATCCAGTAGAAGGCCACCGTCAGCGCGAAGAAGGTCACCAGATGCAGAAGCTTGTCGTTGATGTGAGTGTCGACCTGAAGTGTGGTGAGCCCGGCATAGCCGGCAAGCAGCAGTAGCAGGAAGAAGACTCCTGGAGAGGCGCGCAACAAAGACTTTGGTAAGTGATCAAGACGGTGTAAGGTAGTCGGGCAGATTAAGAGCAAAAGATTTGTGACGGTGGATGCTAAGAAACAGCAGTCCCAGCCGCACAGCTCTTAGAACATTTGCAACACTCACCTGCAAAGGGAAGCCGGATCTTCATCGTAGGATTTGTGTGCGGCCGATCATAAAGAGGGGTTCGGAGTTCCTGCGATCATGGCAGCGTGCGTAGGTTGGTAAATCTTGGTTTGTGCTGCCGTGGGCTTTGGGAAAATGTTTGGGCACTGTTGCGACCAAGGTTCTTGGATGCTGTCCCCCAGCTGCGGTAAGCAGCTACAGCAAAAAACGAGGGGAATTGTGGCGCACCTCTACAGGTCGGAACAGGACACGGGGGGCTGGACGACGGGGCTGAGGAAATAGTTAGTACGGGGGTTGTTCAAATGGGGCGAACGGGGAAGGTGGGGCGAGTTCGCTGACACCACGGAAAAAGGAAAGCACCAAGGGGAAAGCTCCAGCTTGCCCAAACAGCCATCCCCGCATTACAGAAACGCAAAAACACATGGATTGAACTCTTACTCAATCACCAAGACTTTATATTTTAAGTAAGGAGGAGTTCTATTCTGTTCAGTGGGGTCTAGTATCTGGGAATATCCTAACCTGGCACCCTTCGCGATCCCTGTCGCCATCAACGGCAGCTTTTGAACAAGGACGAAGCAAGTCGTTGCACGTGACCTCGGTTCCTGAGTTCTCCAGACTGTTGGGTACATCGACGTCAGTACAACAAACCCTATGCCAAAGGTCAAGCTTCATGCCATACATAGCTAAAACTAGAGGTCCCGTATTCAAGATTACTACCAAGCGTACAGACCAGTGTCCGAGACTTGGCGGCCGCAAAATCAAAATCGCGATCAAGTGGGAGTCGCCGCGTGGAGGTACCTCTAGGGCAATCCTCCTCAGCCCAGCAAAATTGGCCCCTTGTCCAAAAACGGCACGAGCCTGCTCCTAAACTCGACCTCACGTCCAACTCCCCCCGAAATCACCCATCCTAGCATCTATCGAAGCGCAGCCACAGCGATCGCGACCGCCTCGAAAAGCCGTCGGCCATCTCTATCGATGTCGCTCTTTCTCCCCATGTGACGCTCTCGCTCGGAATTGCCCTGGCGCCGGCTGAACACGAGCGCCTTTTTGGCGCATGGCGACGGGCCAACGACGTCGCCAACAGTCAACCCGGACCGACAATGTCCATCACAAATGGCCAGCATATCTGGCCGACATCCGCTCTCAACCATTCCAGCGGCATGAGGATGCACCATGTCGTCGAAGATGGCCTGGCGCGCACACAAACCCCTAGCGACAACCCGATGACGCTGATGCCTGAGGCATCCGATCTGGACGAAGACCAGCGCCGCGCCCATTTTGCCGACATGTTCCGCAGAACCGAGGAGAGGATCGCGCAGCTTTTCGGCGACGATGGATGCTATGATGAAGCTGCCATCGACACCTTCAAGCGCGCCCCCCATTCCCCCAACCACCTCCCCCCTCCCGCGACCGACCACGCGCCCATCCAAGAGCCGCCCCGCAAAAGAGCGAAGCGCGTCATCGATGAGGACGATTATGGCGATGATGATGATGATGACGATGACGAAGACGAAGACCAGGGTCGAGACGATGACGATCGCGACAACACGCAGGCGTCGCATCCCTATAAGTCAAAGCACGCCAGTACCGCTGCTGCCAAGACCCTCTTGTCCCCCTCCAAGTCCGGTAGCTCGCCTGTTCACTCCGTCCCGTCGCCGGGAAAGCAAACAGACAGAGCCAGAGATGATGGTTCGCGCGGTCATGCGAAGACATCGGAAGACGCGCGCAAGGAACTCGAGGAAGCGCGCAATGCGACCGAAGGCGCCGCGAAGCAAAGCTTTCACACTCTCTTCTACACACTGGAAAATGACCGAACCACAATGCTGGAACAGCAGCAGCTCGAGGAGTCTGAGAAACAGCTGCAAGCAGAAATGGACAAGACAAGCCACCAAAACCCGAATCAAGGTCCTGGACAGAATCACGGCTCGCTCAGTAACGCCAATCTGGGCGCGTCAAGTCTCACCCTAAAACATCTCATCGCGAGGATAGATCTGAAGCGCGACCAAGTCCGTGCGTCCGATGCTGAGCTGCGCTCCCTCATGAACGAAGTGCGTAAGAACAGGAGTAAATGGGCAAGCGAAGAGAACGTGGGACAGGAGGAGCTCTACGAGGCGTTGGAGAAGGTCCTCAGCGAGCTAAAGGCTCACACGGAGTACTCGACCCCTTTTTTGAATCGGGTAAATAAAAGGGACGCGCCCGACTACTATAACTGTAAGTGATACTAGACTAACACCACTATAGCTCTCGCTCTAACCGCATCGCAGTGATCAAGCAACCCATGGATCTGGGCACCATGACCAAGAAACTGAAAGGGCTTCAGTACAAGTCCAAGACAGAATTTGTCGTCGACTTGAACCTTATTTGGGACAACTGTCTCAAATATAACGGGGAAATGAACCATCCGCTTCGCCGCCTGGCCAATGCCATGCGCAAGGAAGCCGAGAAGCTCATTCCCCTTATTCCCGACGTCTTCATCAGACCGAGGGCCGAAGTGGAAGCGGAGGAGCGACGGAAGCAGAACGGTGGTGACGACGATGGCGGCGACGACAGCGACGACGAGCCGATAATGTCGTCTCGTGGACGTGGAGTGAAGGGAGCGAACAAGTCCCGAAGAGCGCAATCGGACCAAAAGGAAGGCACTCCGAACGTGGAGCAGAAGCCGTTGCTACAGTTAAATGGACTCCTTGCAAAATCCCACAGAGAGGGTTCAGAGGTTGATGGCAGCAATGGCTTCGCAACGCCTCCAATCGCCGGCTCCATCACTCCCAGTGGGTTGAACGGCCATTCTGGTGTTAGCAATGTTGACGCCATGGATATCGACGGGCCGTCATTGAACGGCATGGCCTTGGGTCAGGCCCTCGGAGACGCGGCAGAGCAGGTTTACGAGGACGAAGCGTACAAGATCTGGAAGCAAGTCACTAAGAAGGGCCGCGCTCTCATAGCCAAGGAACGCTATCAGCTATTCAGAGGTAATAAGCTCAACGTCGACGCGCCTGCTCTGCTAAGAACCAAGGCCGGAATGCGTCGCTTCATAAAGGCTCGAAGAGAGGCGGAAGCAACCGGTATCTTACACGCTTCCCAGGTTGACGCCTCAGCCGCCGGCCCGAACGAAGGCGCAAAGGCGGGGGAAACGCTAGCTGAGGGCATGGAAGACGAGGTTGACCGAATAGTCCCCGAATACTATGAGCCACAAACCGTGATCCCAGACATTCCTCCGAAGCTTCAGTGGATTGAGGACAGCGAAGGACAAGTGACCAACCAGCATGAGGAGATTCTCAGGCGCGTCCCCCCTGGGCAATTCATTTCGCCGCCTAGTCGGCTCACCAAGAAATTCGACGCAAACCTCCGGCAGATGCAAGAGACCCGCAAGCTCTGCTCCAAAATCAGCGTCATCAAGCAGATGCAAATACAAACCCAGGTGAGCATTTCTTGGCGAGGCTTCTTCGCGCGAATAGCTACTAACAATTTCTAGTTGTACACTAATCAATTCCCTAAATATAACCCGGAACCTTTTCTGGAAGCGGATATAGAGCCGCATGTTATTGCCGGGGAGGGGCCCGTCATGGCTCCTGAGGTCTGCAGGTCAGCCATGCAGCGCTCTGTTGCAAAGATATTCTACCACGCAGGGTTTGAGGAGCTCCAACCCTCAGCTCTTGATGCCATCACCGACATTGCGGGCGACTACTTCATGAAAATAGTTCGGTCGTTTAACGTGTACCGAGAGGCCGAGAAGAAGCCGGCCACCGGGACCTGGCGGGCGAATGGCGCTCGGTTCCAGCCTCGATACACCCCAGAGGAGGTCCTGCTTCATACCCTTTCCGAGAGCGGACATGACATTGAGACGCTTGAGACCTACGCTCGGGATGACATTGATCGACTTGGCTCAAAACTTGGCCAGATCCACGAACGTATGAGGGCTCACCTTGCCGATCTTCTCCGACCGGCTCTCACCGACGGCGGCGCAGATGGGTCTGGCGCCTTCAACGACGACAGCGAGCAATTCGTAGGCGGCGACTTTGCTGAGGAGCTCGGCGAGGACTTCTTTGGCTTCAAGGCACTCGGCCTCGACAAGGACCTGGGCCTCGAGATGATGTCGGTTCCGCTACACCTCCTCCAGTCACGCGTCCGCAGCCAGTACCAGATGCAGACGCAGACCGCTGGTGTGGCCGCCTCGGATCTCTTTGAAGCATTACCTCCATCAGAACCCGTGACCAAGGAGAACATACAGGAGCAAATCGGCTTGGTCAAGAATTTCTTCCTTGCTAAACTCCACGCTAACGGGGATCAGCCACTAGTTGAGGATGAGGATCTGCCAGTCAAGCAACGGCGCCCTCGACCTCGTCTAGGTGCAACGGGCAAGATCGTGTCTCCGCAAAAGCGCCCTCCCAAGGAGCAGATTGCTCTAGCCAAAAAGAAGAAGAAGCTGGAGTCTGGATTGGCCCAGATAACGGATGGGAAGGGTGTCAACGCCTTGCCCGAGAAGGGCGGAGCTGGTGGCACACCGTCAAAGAATAAGCTCAAGGCCGTCATGAACGGAACGGGCCCGAGCAGCCTGAATCTTGCCCCTCCCATGGAAAGAGTCGAGAGCATGCAAAGCCAGACGAATGCCAGCCAGACAGATAAGGATGACGGCGTGGGCATGATGAGCCCAGAAAGTCTTGAGCAGAGATAGGGGGGTGCTTGGGAAGGTTGATGGCAATTCTGGCGTTTTTCTATGTTCTCGGTATTTCCAGCGTATCCCAGACGCTTTTCGGCCGCGGGCTCACCCAAGCGCGTGGCACAGTGCACATTAGTTCGTCTCTATTTTCCAGGTCACGGTTCTCATTCCTTTTTTCCTATTTCCATTTTCATTCTCCTGGCTCGAGGCAACCACTGTAACAGGGCTTACAGTCGCCTAAGCTCGTTTTATGTTGCTCTTATTCTATTGTACATGTTGTTGTTGGCCTACAGCCTATCCTTATTCTCGTTGCTGTACCCTTTGATATGACGTGCCACAGATGAAATACATACAAGGATGTCTTTGGCTGGTGGCTTTTGTTTACTTTGCTGTGGCAAGACGATGCTTACATGTATGACTGGAGGAGCGCTTCATCAATTGTTGTGGTTATTAAAAGAGATACGTACATACCTACTACGTTACCTATACTATAGTTAATTATTCTTTCCTTTTCCATTTATATATTATCTCCCTCTTTGCTTGTGTCGCTCGTCGAGGAGTAGTACACTGTCGGTCTATCATTCTCCACGTTTAATATTCAGTTACAGTAGATATACTCGTCAGATATGCAAAAACACCCTAGCTGCGGAGGCAAGCTCCTTCTATAGTGGAATGCTAGATATTTCTACTCGTTTCCTCCGAAGCCATGTCCACCCACCTCCAACACCCATCTGCCACAGGACTGCTTCTCCACTTCAACAAATCTATTGCGGGTATAGCTCAGCTGGGAGAGCGTCAGACTGAAGTCAAAACTTCACTGTCTTATCTGAAGGTCATGTGTTCGATCCACATTAGCCGCATTAAATGTGCTATTACCGAAAGTTCTTCATTCGAAGGAGCGAAAGTTTAAGTAACATCTTTTTTGTTATTTTTTTTTAATATAATTTGGGTATGTATTAATCCTGCAATGTTCATTATAGAAGCACACGGCTACCCAGACGGTGAAGGCACGTAGAGCATTTATTTACGTTGCAGGCGGAACTGCGTTGAAGCAGCCTTCTAAACAAGTACGAAAACCAAACTCCCCGGTACCGAAACTGGTAAGTTGAAGACCAAACACTCAGATTGCAACGCCTGATAAAATGCTTGCAATATGGTGATTTTTCCGATGCCCGTAAATTTTCCATGTATGCCTTTCGTTGAGATTGCCAGAACCCTTTGGCGCCCCTTTTTCCAGGACCCCTTCCCCACCAAAGGCCAACAAGAAGCTTTGTAAACAGCCCATTGCCCACACACCTATTGTTGAAACACAACCCATTAATGACACGGCATCCGTAAATGCCCGAGTAAGACCTCTGTATGGCCCCCACTCAATCTCAACCCTCTCAGAGACCAGCATCGGTCCTCCAGCCCTCGACGGGGAGGGGGAAAGTTTGAGACCACGAAGCAATCTCCTTCCTGAGCTCGTTGATGCGGGGCACCTCGCCACCTGCAACCTTGAATCGGAAATCCTTGAGTTTGTTAGCCTCCTTGGGCAGTTCTGCCTGGACCTGCTTGCAAATCTTGATGCTCTCATCGATGTACTGGGCCACCTTCTCGAAATCGGGTTCCCCAAATCCACGGCTGGTCATGGCGGGGGTTCCAATGCGCAGGCCACATGGCGAGAGAGCGCTCTTGTCGCCCGGAATGCTGTTCTTGTTGCAAGCAATGTTGATCTGCTCGAGAACAGCCTCTACACGGGCGCCGTCGAGAGCCTGGGGGCGCAGGTCAAGGAGCACCATATGAGAGTCGGTACCGTCAGACACAAGCTTGTATCCAAGCTCCTTGAACTTGACCTCAAGCGCCTTCGCGTTGGCGACTACCTTCTCTTGGTAGGCCTTGAATTCGGGGGTTGCGGCCTGCTTAAGTGCCACAGCAAGCGCAGTGATGGTGTGGTTGTGTGGGCCGCCTTGGTGGCCAGGGAAAACGGAGAAGTTGATTTTGTCCTCTAGGTCGTACAGTGTCTCCTTGCCCGTCTTGTCTGTGGAGCGGACTCCCTTGCGGAAGAAGATCATGGCGCCGCGAGGGCCACGAAGAGACTTGTGGGTGGTGGTGGTGACAACATCGGCATAAAGGAATGGCGTGGGGATGACCTCAGCGGCAACAAGACCAGAAATGTGGGCAATGTCTACAACAAGATAGGCGCCAACCGAGTCGGCAATCTTGCGCATGCGCTCATAGTCGATCAGGCGGCAATAGGCCGAAGTGCCAGCGACAAGAATCTTAGGGCGGAAGAGCTGGGCGTTCTTCTCAAGCTGGTCGTAGTCAATAATGCCAGTGTCGAGGTCGACACGGTACGGCATGGTCTCGAAGTAGGTGGAGACGGCTGAGATCCTAGGAAAACATTAATAACGCCGGGCCTTCTCTCACGATTGTTGTTCAGAAAATCCTTACTTCCGCTGAGGAGTCTGGTAGCCATGGCTGAGATGGCCGCCGTGGGGGAGATCCAAGCCCATGAGTCTGCCGTGGGGAGGCATAATGGCCTGATAAACCTGAAGGTTTGCAGGGCTACCACTCAGACACTGAACATTGACACCCCACTTGGCTGGATCAAGATGGAAGGCCTCGAGAGCGCGCCTCTGGCACAAGAGCTCGATCTGATCGATGTGCTGATTTCCGCCATAGTAGCGAGCACCAGGATAGCCCTCCGAGTACTTGTTGGACATGGGCGAGCCAAGAGCATCGAAGACAGCGCGGGAGGTAACGTTTTCGGAGGCAATGAGGATGATAGACTCCCGCTGGCGTTGAATCTCGTGTTTCTGGCCTTCAAGTTAGCCTCCCGACTGGCCCAAATTCATATGAATGGGAAAACACCAACCATAATATCGGCAACCTCGGGGTCAGAATCGATCAACGACTTCTCGAGCATCTGTAGGCGGTGAGTCAGTCAAATCGCCGAGATAGAGCGATCGGAGGTGAACGCGGGATGAGGGGTAAGGATGGTTCGCACCGCCTTGTGCTCCTCTGAGAGGGCGTAGGATGTGCCACCGGTGCCGTCAGTAGCCATTGTGAAGGTGTTGCGACTGAATCAATTGGCTTTGTCGGAGATTGGAGTATTGCGGCAGGGCAACGGTGTAGACGGCTGAGAAAGGGTGACGAGGTTTAACGCAGATAAACAGGTCTCCGGACGAGCACTGCGGGGCAAAAGTCGAGGGAAGCTCGAGGGGGAAAGAAAATTTACTACCCCACTCAAAAAACAAAAGGAGGGGCTCCGAATCGCCCCAGGCTTCGGAGCTGCCTCGACCTGCCAAGCCCGACTATATACGAAGTACCTCCTGCCCGGACGTTAGTACGCTTCTAACGCAGCGACATCGGTCGGTCAGGCCCCCGATTTGGTGTTGGGGGTCAGGCCGGACTGACTCGGTCGAGGTCAGATAACCGTCTATAGCACTATGCTGTATAAACGATGGTACGATAGCTAGTCGAACTTGGGTACGGAAATCTACCTACCTCAGGTACCTGCCTTGCCCACCAACTACTTTTTCAGATCTGAATGACATTACTCTCTTGCGGCCCGCCTTTTCCAAAGCTGGTTCATTTTCCAGAATCCATTCTTCCCAAGTGCCGCGCCAGCAACCATCCGGAATGCCGGATCAGGCCGTTGCCAACCCGAATAGGCACTTCCCTAAATGACAACCGATTGTGCTTCGTATAATTACAGCGTAAATGGGTACTTGTGTTGTTATGTTCCCCCACACGAAAACGCCAAGCGTTCAACGAACCTCCTCGCCTGTAAGTTGTCTGACCTGTATGTTAATGAAGTAGTTAAGGTAGATACATATGCAGTATTTGCTCTATTCAACATTCTGGGCATGGTAACTTCTGTTAAGTGGGTATGGAGGTAGGTATCTCGAGAGTTGAGGTTTGAATATCAGAAGGCCGACCGAAGCAGCTTGGAATGCACGGATAAAATCACCACATAATTGCCCAAGGTAGGTACTTCGTACAGTACCTACAAGTCAAGGCAGATAGAGAGTTAAGAACCTTTTAGAAAAGGAGGTACCTTAGGTACTTATTAACTGCTACCCAAAACCGCGAGACGATGAGCAAGTGCGAGTGCACGTTGCAAAGACAAAACTGGGAAATCCAGCCTGTAGTATTCTGTAATTTTATCGACATCCCTTCCCTTGACCGACTAGTCACCTACTATCCAATGTCGTTCGGTCCTGCTTCGTTACTAGTCAAAAAAAGGAGAACCCAGCTGGGTTGGTACCTTACCCATTTACCTTCCGTCCTCGGTGACTGAATTTCAAGGCGGGCGAGCCGAGGAAGTTCTTCGAGTAATAAGGTTCTGCTGAGCTGACCTGGCAGTAAGTGTAGACTCCATTTCACTTCCATTGAGTAACCGGATATGTGCTGCGGTCACATGACTTATGTCTGTCCACCCAGCCACCGCCCTGGTACCCACGCAAGCTCCCATGGATCTGAGGTCTTGGCTGTCCAATAAACGCTCGTAGTCAGAGGCCTAGTGGTCCCCCTTCCCCGCGCTACATACCGCGCATTTGAGCAGTTGTGCCTTCTGACCTGAGTGCAAGGCGGCCTGCGTCATTGGATTCTAGGTTGCCAGGCACGACAGGCAACGCAACCGGCCCTGCATCCACACCAAACAGCACCCATCTGCCCGCGCTCCCGTCTGCTTGACCTTGGCCTCGACCAACGTGCGCCCCCCCAAGCTCGCTCGCTTCTTCCTTTCTAAATCATTCCGCCCTCGCACCCAACAACATTCTCTTCATCACCATTCATCATATTCATTAGCTGGCGACAGTTGCCTTCTTTTGCATTCGTTTTTCATTACTGTTCCATCTTTTGAGAACTTATCCGATTGCGCCGCCACCATGAAAGGCGCTCTCTTGACAGCAGCTATGCTGCTCGGGTCCAGCCAGGCCGCAGTTCACAAGCTGAAGCTCAAGAAGGTGCCGCTCGCCGAGCAGCTCGTAGGTGCACCTCTTTGTATGGTGTCGCTGCAAGGATACTAACGATGTCTCACCCCACAGGAGTCGGTCCCAATCGATACCCAGATGGAACATCTCGGTCAGAAGTACATGGGAATCCGACCCCAGTCTCATGCCAATGCCGTTTTCAACGGTTTAAAGGCTGAGGTCAAGGGCAACCACCCGGTTCCTATTTCGAACTTCATGAATGCTCAGTGTATGTATCACATATCGCGCTATTTTGTCACGTCCATGATTGTGGGTTCCTGACACGGTGATCCAGACTTCTCCGAAATAACCATCGGATCTCCTCCCCAGGACTTCAAGGTTGTTCTGGACACTGGCAGCTCCAACCTCTGGGTCCCATCATCTCAGTGCGGCTCCATAGCGTGCTACCTGCACTCTAAATACGACTCATCCTCGTCATCTTCGTACAAGTCGAACGGATCGTCTTTTGACATCCAGTACGGATCCGGCAGCCTCAGCGGTTTCGTTTCCCAAGATACTGTCAGCATCGGCGATATAACAATCAAGGGTCAAGATTTTGCGGAAGCGACTAGCGAACCCGGCCTTGCCTTTGCCTTTGGACGCTTTGATGGTATCCTCGGGCTCGGCTACGATACCATCTCAGTGAACGGTATCGTCCCACCGTTCTACAAGATGCTTGACCAAAAGCTCATCGACGAGCCTGTGTTTGCGTTTTACCTCGCCGATACCGAAGGCGAGTCCGAGGTCACATTTGGAGGTGTCAACAAGGATAAGTACAAGGGCAAGATCACAACCATCCCGCTCAGGCGCAAGGCCTACTGGGAGGTCGACTTTGACTCGCTTGGATACGGCGACGACGCAGCCCCTCTCGAGAACACGGGAGTTATTCTTGACACCGGCACCTCTCTTATTGCTATCCCGAGCAACCTTGCCGAGATGCTGAACGCGCAGATCGGAGCGAAGAAGAGCTACAACGGCCAGTATACCGTTGACTGCAGCAAGCGGGATAGCCTAAAGGATGTGACATTCACTCTTGGTGGATTCAACTTCACTCTGGGCCCGTATGACTATATCCTGGAAGTCTCCGGCAGCTGCATTTCGACCTTCATGGGCATGGACTTCCCAGCACCCACCGGCCCTCTTGCTATTCTTGGCGATGCCTTTCTCCGCAAATACTATAGCATCTACGACCTCGGGGCTAACACAGTTGGTATTGCCGAGGCGAATCGCTAAGCCATTTTGACGGGCAAGGCTGATCAAGCTCGAATTTTGGGGTGCCGGTTTCGGCAAGACAGGACGAGATGCAGACGCGAATAACCTTTTTTTGCAAAGTGTATTTTTTATGTGATTCGGGCGTCGTGTTTGGGTTGTCTGACAAACTTTCTCCACCGATCGTTAAACATTTGGGTGGCGGTTCGCCTCCTTTTCCAAGGTCTACTTTTGGAGTCTATTGTCTCTGCCATGACTGGACAGGATGAATCGCAGGTTTCCTTTTGTGTAAAGTAACATTCAAGTCACTGAACCCAATGCCGCTCCGCTCCATTGCCCCATTTGTGCCTTTTCCTAGTTAGCATATTATTATAGCTTTATCTTCTCAGGAGATCTGTTCATTGATTGTGTTTGTGGATAATTGCCAGGTACGTATCACTATCCTTCGTAGGTAAGGTATCGTAGGCACCAAGGTAATTACACCTCGAGCTCCATGTAGGCTGCAGCGCAAGCAGCTGCCTCGACTAAGATGTTCCTACCTGGGTAAGGTAGGTAAGATATCCATGCGTTGGATGATGAAAACTCTCCAGCTGCCTACCTTACCTAGATAGATACCTAGGTTAGTTGTATTCCGTGAAGGAGGCAGGTGTGCTTAATTCATATGCCCCTGCTTGACAGCTTTAGCTTGGCTTCCCGGACAAAGTGGGTGCTGTGAAACGCGGGTGTGCTCTGAACTCCTTGGAGGCTAGAGTACGACGGCCCACACAAGAAGATCACGTGATACAATCGTGCACGCCCCTTGGTGTCTCCACTAATTTCCGGAAACGGACTTAGCGCAGATTTGCCTCGCGCTGGCTTTTCGTACCAACTCGTGGTGAAGGGAACGACAGCCCTCTTAACCTTCCCTCTCTGCACACAACGCCGCTTCATGGGATGACCATCGGATGCCGAATGCATTCAAAGACAGGGCTCTAGTTGAACCCTGGGATTGTCTTGCCCTCCTGTGTGGCGGTTTTGGATGATTTCACCAGTCTAGCGTGCCGGCCTATCAACGACAAAAGTTTTTGGACTTGTACCTGGCCTAGAGCAAGCACTGCACACTTCCTCCCCTTCGCGAACGCGAATCGCGCGACATCCTAGCCAAGAGAACCACCGCCAACCATCGTGCCCCAGCCCCCGACCTCGACGGCCCATCACCACTCCCCTTCACCACTCGCCATGGCCTCGCCCGACGTCGCCGCCGTCACGGCGCTCCAGGTCAACGGCGTCACAGTATTGTCACGTCCCGACTCACCATCTTCAATCAATTCCTCCACTAAGCGGAAGCGCGATTCAAGTGACGACTCCTCACAAGTCAATGGCGCCGATGCGGCAAAGGCTCAGGTTAATGGAGCGCATCATCTCTCTGACCAGCAGCCACTTATCCGCGATTTCTTTGATGTTTTGAAAAGGTATACGCCTGTCTAGTTGTGTTACTCTTCCTACCTCCTCAATTGCCCTCGTGGTAACCTGCCTGCTCCCTGGGTGCTGGATGCTGACTTTGTCACTATTCCAGCCTCGACAGCTCCGATCTTGGCATTCTTGGCCGTCCGCTGCCTGATCCCCTTTCTGATGGCGAGCCGGCGGCAAAGCGGGCCAAATCCGAAGACAGCAGTAAACCTCTTACCATCACCGACAAGACTCTACAGGGCGCCTACAGCGCTCTGGACGAACTTGTCTCCGACGTGTCCCAAGTTGTCAACGCTCAGGTCAGGGATCTTGAGGCTGCGTCTGGGTCCGAAGTAGACGACACCAAAACTGAGAATGCCATTGCCAAGGCTGTCGCGTTCAAGAGCAAGGCCATCGATCTCGCCCGGAGGGAGATGGCGTATCCATATGTTCCCAAGGCGCTGCCTCCGAAGATTAGCCCTAGGGAGCCGCTTCCGCTGAGTTCCACTGGCGGTCTTGTCCTGACAACCGTCGGCGCCGCTCCGACCTTGAAGCCGCTTTTTACTAGCCTTCAACATGCCGCGACCCCTGACGGAGTACTCAAGTCGATTCCCGATGGCTTACTGCCGAATGGCGTCACTACTACACAAATACTTCCAGATGGCCCTGCTTCGACTGAAAAGAATAACCGCCCTCTGACTCTCGGGGAGCTTTTCCCATCTCCTCGGAATCTGCCACCTTTGCAGCCTCCTAAGGTGCCAAAAACCACGACAAAGAGCACCGTTTTGACTTTCTATCACCCGGAACTTACCGAGAAGTCGAAGTACAGGACGGGCACCTACTTCTCACAAACCATATCGACGGGCAATTGGCTGGACTATAGCAATGCAACACCAACTGCGCATGTGAAAACGAAACAACGAGAACGGGCCCAGAGCCTCGCAGGGCATAAACCGTCCTCGACCGAACTTGAAATGTCCGAAATGGAAGCCCTATTCAGGGGTGCTTTCTCTAGCTTTGCTCCTTGCAAAGACGACTCGGCTGCAATCGTTCCATCCAGCCAAGTCAGCCGGATATGGTGGCAGCGAGTTGGTCGGAGAAATTTTGACAAGATACTCGACTCGGACGCTGCTGAAGACGAGAATGAAGATGGGCCAGTGTCCGACTCGGTTCTCTCTATAGAAATCGACGAAGAGCAAGTTAAAGCGGCCATTGAGGAGTGGGACGATAATGCGATCGACCCAAGTCTCGATCATGTTCTAGGCAAGAAGTTGGACGAAGACAAGGAGATTGACGATCTTCTCGAAGAAGTCTCAGACCTGATTGAGACTCTTGCTTCTTACCAGCGCAATCGCAATTTGACTTTGCCCACCAGTCAAGACCGATACTCGGCAGATCCGGTCAACGGCGATATGCTCCGCAACGGTAGTCTCTCCCATCAACCGAGCGAGGAGGAGATGATGACGTATCAGACGCTGAAGTCTCAGCTATCATTGATCATTCAGACCTTACCGCCGTATGCAGTTGCTCGGCTTAACTCGGATAAGCTTGAAGAACTGAGCGTGAGCACGAAGATTGAGGTCCGCACGGATGAGTATAGGGGTGTCATGGAGGAAGACGAGCCGGCGCGTCTTGCGCGCCAGGCGGCACAAGCGGCGGCGAGCAACAGCCAGCGTCAAGCGCACAGGGCACCAAGCGTTTCTGCCACTACCCCGTACGCTACGCACCAATTTCCGACCCAGTTTGCCACTGCAGCCCGTCCCATTGCGAACGCCCAGCATTATCCGCAAACACCATCCCGTTCTCAACCCATGTTTCAACCAAGACAGCCGTCAACGGTTCCCATCCCGCAACCCCATCACCAGCCACAGCAGCGCCCACCTCCCCAAAACCAGTATCGGCCACCGAACAGCTACGGATTCACACCGCAGCTTGCCAAAGCCCAAACACCATATGGCCATACCGGAATGCCTCAGTACGCTTCCAGTCCCACCCAGCCACGAATGTCGCCCCATCCCGGCTACAACCAAGGACAGGCAGGCAACCATAGTCCCCGGTATCCACCTGGATATCCTGGGGGTTACCCTCAGCAACAGCCACAGATCCATCCTCAGCACCAACCGCAGCCACAGCATCAGCAACTCGGCCAGCATCACCCACACCCGCAGCACCAGCAACACTTACAACAACACCCACAACACCAGCCACACCCGCAGCACCAGCAACTGCAACAGCACCAGCAGCTCCCGCAACACCAGCAGCTCCCGCAACACCAGCAGCTCCCACAGCATCAGCAGCATCTCCCACACATTCAGCACTCGCCCCACCATCCACCACTCGCTCAACACACTCAACACCTCCCACAACAGCCGCCCTATTCTCCGTATGCAAACGGAGGGCACGGGGCCAGAACAATCTCACCGCAGGTACAACAAGTAAATGCATATGGGCAATCCCCGACGCCACCTCCACAGCACCAGCAACTTACGCGTTCGCCTTACGGAGGCCAAATGCACGGCATGCAGCCCAACCCGGCTCAACGTCAGTATCCCGGTACCCAGCCTGGCATGATGCCAGGCCAAGGCGGTAGGCCGGCAGGTCTGGTAGGGTATGCTACAGTAATGCCGGAAGTCCAGCAGCGGCAAGTGATGGAACAGGCCCGGGCTCGAGCGGACGCCGAACAGCGAGTCAGCGGGCACATGGGTAAAGTCACGCAGGGCGAGGTGGTCGGACTAGCCGGTATTGGTCTTGGCGGTAATGTTGACGTTCACAAGATCGCTGCTGCCAAGGCGATGCACATGGGGAACAACATGTCACCAAGTCCCAAGATGCCCATCCACGGAGGGCCAAGCCCCGTCAATGGCGCCATGAATATCCCGCCGCCTGCCCGAAGTCCTTTTTCAGTCCACCCAAACATGGCAAGCCCCGTGTCGGGTCCAGGGTTCAAGCCTCCGATTTGAAAGAGCCATTTCAACAAGGCTTGATGGCACAAGTGCGATACTCTACGTAGGTAGCTCGTTGGGAATAATGGATTCTGGATTAAGATTTTCTTATGGGATGGAGTGATGGATGGGCAAGGAGCGTTTTGCTGAGATTCTTTTTTTCCATTTCCATTTATTTTGCTTTCTTTCTTTTCCTTTTGGGGTTGGAGAAGTCAATCTCTTTCATCATCGTCACAAGGAGACATGCTATGATGAGGAGTCGGTAAGGGTTTCAAATTGGTGGTCGTCCTATTGGCAACTACTGCCACCTTGTTTTGTTGCTATGGCTGATTAGGGTAGACTAACGTCGGCGGTAAGACAGATGGAGCAAAAAGAGAAAGACGTACCCTTAACTAAAGGGGACTTCATTTTCCTTTTCTTCTGTTAAGCAGGAGAGTCTATTCTTGGCTTCAGCTGCTGGCGCGCGATGGTAATGGAATCTGGAATGGAGTTGGATTCGGTATTTTTTCACTTCTTTTTCCCTTCCTGTATTTCTTCTCGGTTGATTTTAACTTGAGGGCTGGCGGATAGATCGGATCAACAAGTTGGCCTGTATTATTACTATCATGGATGCCCTTTCTGGGATTGAATGGCTTACCTAGGTTTCCGGTATGAAACGCTTGTCTTTTTTCACTTTAGCGAGACAAATGTAGGAACCTTAACTTATTTCACTGGGATACTGGTGAGCAAGTAGGCCGGCAAGCTACGAAGGGACTGATCAATCCGAATGGCCCATCCTTCCTAACCGCGAATCCTGGGAGTGTTCCTCCTAACGAGTCACTTGCCCTCTGATTTGCGACTCCGTGGATGTGTGTGGTGTGCTACTAGAGGTCACTCTTTATTAAAGCTACCACCGACATAGTGATGTAGCTGAGCTCCTTTACATATTGGAGCGGGAAGGCGGCGGTTTTGGAAAACCACCCGCTTGGTCCAAACGGAGAGAAAGGTTCATAAGAAATTAAAGGGGGTTTTATATTTGAGATAGATGGTCCTAATATACTTGTTTCTGTTTGACTGGGCACCTCTGAAAACTAGCAAGCAAAGCGGGCGTAATGAGTTAGCCAGAAACCGAAAGCGGTTACCTGGCACGTGGTGAGAAACCCTTCCTATTTCACTCTCGTCTCTGCGCTACAACGAGGCTCTTCATATCAGTATTGTGGCCCATGGCTTTGTTTTCTTTTTATATTCTGAGTTGGGTATCATTTCACTCTCGACTTCCTCTCACCCTGCTAGTTGCCTTTGTGCCATATTTTATCGAGGGCTGGTCGCGACTCTTGTGCTCTGGTTCATCTCCGCCCGCATAGCGCGCAGTTCGGCTAGCAGCTCGTGCTGAAACGTGTCTTCCTTCTCTATATACAGTCTCCTGAGCTCAAAACCGACTTCAATAGCTATCAACACGATGATGATCCACTCGAGCCGCGTGCTATGTCTCTCGCTCGACATTTTCTCGCTGATATCGAGCACATCCTGTGCCACGCTGACGACTTGTTGAGCATATGTCATCTTGTCGTTGAGCGTCTTGATGCGGACGCCGACGTCCAAGGCCTTGCCAATTTTGGAATAGTACGTCTCCAACTTCTCCTCGGTATCCCAGAAGATGTCAGGAAGTGCGTCCGTCAGGTCATTGTAGTGGTTGAGTTGACTGCGCAGGTTGAGCAGTTCGCCAGTCTTCTGCAGGATCAGGCCGCGGGACAGCGGTGCCTTGAGACCTTGGGAGAGCCTATCTGGGATGTGCCGTGTGCTCTCGAGGTAACGGGTGAGCGAGCCTTCCAGGACCGCCAACTTGGTGCTGCGCGCCAGACCCGACGAGAAGGCGATTTTGGCCAGAGTAGTGTCTAGGCGGTCGCCGGCTACCACTTCGCGCTGCGTGCCAAGCACCACCACGTCACCGCTCACTCGGCTTTGCTCTTCCTTCGGGTCCACTATGAAGTCGAGGTCCTCGACTTCTTTTTCGGCTACAAAGGGCGATCCAGCGGCTGGCAGTAAGTGCTTAGTGGCCAGTGTGTTGACGATGTCGGGCGGCAGCGCCCACGTAACCACGGTGCCCGAAGGAAAGACAAAGATGTCGCCTTGGTTGAGGCCGCGCGCATGTACCACCTCGTGCACCTCGAACCCTGTGTTATCCGGGTCGAGAGAGAAGCCGTGGTGGGCTAATATGGACGCCACCCTGTCCATATCGAACGACTCGGCTATGCAGACGGCGCTGATGGTGGAGCTGCCATCTGTGACGGCGACTGGCGCGTCAGAGGGAGGTGCGGAAAGCGGCTTGCCGGGTACGCCCTTCTGCGCGACAATGGCCAGGCGGTGAAGAGAGCTCTTCAAGGGGGGCTTGCGCTTCTTTTGGGCGGCCGACTTCTCGTCGTTGCCGTGGCCGTTGGCGTTGGCATTGGCGTCCGTCTCGGAGCCATTCCTTCTGCCAACTGTCTGGCTTCCGCTGCGGACAGACTCAGTGCCATCCTGCTGGAGGAGGGCATTGGAGGTGAAGAAAGTACGGCGGTGTGGGAGTCGGACGGGCGGGGTGCGGTGGAACTGTCGTTGGCGGAGCTGCGGTCGCGACAACGCTGTCGATGTAGAGCAGATGCTGCTGCGTGGTGGTATTGGTCCGAGTCTCGGCAGAAAAGACTTCATGGCGGTCCCATTGGAAACAATCCGACCTCTAACGAGCCGCATGAACAAGGTGAGGGGTTGCTATAGTTGGGCTAGAGGAAATAAAGGAAAATCGATGGGCTAAATAAAGGATGGCGTCACATTTCTATATCCTTTTTTTTTTTTTTTGGAACTGAATGTGCTTTAATCTGAAGGCCATATACCTAGTGTATGTACTGTAATTATAGTGCATGTTTAGAAATCATGGCGGCGGAATTTACCAAGGTATCCGTAGTTGGGGGGAATATGTGTGTACTATACAGTATCGTATATACAGTATGTAATTATTTCACAGTACAATACAGCATGAAGATGCTCTATCTACGTGCCTTAGCTCGGTAAGTATAGCACAGTACTCAGTATAGTGCACACAGTATGAAGATGCTCCATTCACGTGCCTTAGCCAGGTAGGTATAACACAGTACTCAGTTTGTCAGTATAGTGCAGGAGACAACATTATCCAAGTTGAACAAATCTCGAATTCATCCACTCAACACGACCAGCTGCAAGCCATGGCGGAGGCCGATATTCGCGTTGAGGACTATCTCAACGATAAGTTGCAGTCGACCACAGACTTTGAGCATCTCGACACATTGCTCAGCAGCGTCGAGTACCAGCGCAGCCAGCTCCAGTCGCAGCTCGACGATGCCACGCGCGAGCTCGACGACATCCGCCGTTCTGCTGAGGATCGCAACACCGCCCTAATTTCCCAGATACGCGAGTTCGAGTCGCTGCAGCAGAGCATTGACATCCGCCTCCAGATTGCCGCCGCATCCGATGCCCCTGACGATGCCATCCAGCGCCTCGAGCCGCCCATGAAGCGGCTGCACAGCGTCAATCTGGCCCATAGCTACCTAGTCCTGCTGCGCGACGTCCAAGATTTGCGTCAGGCCGCCCGCGCCCATTTGCCGCAGAGTCCAAAGGCCGCGCTGGAGCCCTACACGAAACTGAAGCGGCTGTCGTTGCGCCTCAGGAAACTCCAAGTCCAGGCCGATGGCGCTGCAGTGCACCTCGTCACCTACGTCGAGTCTGTGACCGACATACTCTGGGACGAGATGAAGAAGACTATGCGGGGCGAGCTTGAGGCTGTCCTGAAGGAGCGCGGCTGGCCAAATGTCAACCCGGATCTGGAGGTGGATCAGGACTGGCTTCGCTGCTTTGAGAGGTTGCTCGATCTCCAGGCCCCCGAGATTCTCTACTCCCCAGGCGTAGTCACACTTCTACCCGTGGATGTCATGGCGCAGATTTTCGTCCACGAGTTTCGCTTTCATTTTATGAGCGGCAAGCCAACCAGCCTACCGCAGGCTATTGGCACCCATTGCTTCCCGTGGCTTCTAGCTCTTATCGAGAAATGGGAAGGCTTCTTCCAGGAAAACTTTGGGCCAGTCCTAGCCGCAAAATTCAGCGACACGTCTGTTTCCCACAGGATGGTGTACATGGACCCCGTGTGCGCCTTCGTCGCATCCATGCTACCAATCCTAAGGGAGAAGATTGCCTCAACAATGGCTGACGCGACCAAGGATCCCGTTTTCCTCAGCAGTCTTATGGCCCAGCTCATGGCTTTTGATCAGGGGCTCAGAGTCGGCTTCAACTATGACGGCGGAGATGCCGACAATGAATGGGGCGGCCTCGCCTCCGAAGTGCTTGACGAACACTTCAGCACATGGCTGGAGGCGGAGAAAAAGTTTGCTCTCGAGAGGTTCCAGGCTATAATGGCGCCTTCGGACTCGCGAAATATTGACTATGACTTTGCCGCGGGCGGAAAGACTAAACCTACATTTGCTACGGTCCGCGTTACTGATCTACTGCGATCAGTCACGGCGCAATATGAGGGTGTTAGACGTTTCTCCCACAAGCTACGGTTTCTTATAGACATCCAGCTTACTATACTGGACGAGTTCCACGACCATCTCAGGGGCATACTTGAGGCTTACCTCGGCATCATTTCAACCGTCGGTAGGGCTTTTGGTGTGACTAAGGAGCAATTGGCGGCCTTGGAAGGCACTGGGGCGCTCGAGACCTTGTGTAAGGTGTATGGGAGTGCAGATCACATTGTCAATACACTGAAGGACTGGAGCAATGAGGAGGTAAAATTGCGCTGACCCTTTTGACTGGTGGTGTGCTGACTGGCCATCTCAGTTCTTTGTGACGCTCTGGGAACAGCTTCAGTCGAGAGCCAAATCCCGCGAGAACCAGAGCAATCTAGCAGGCGAGATGAGCTACGACGACGTTAGGGACCGGACCTCGTCAGCCGTAGGCACCGAGGAGGACGGCGGCGTTCTTTTTGACGAGACAATTGCTGCATATAGCCAGAGAAGAAAGCGCGCCCAAGAATTCCTCTCAGAAACTCTCATAGAGTCTCACCGAAAGGTTTTCAAGGCCTATCTCCACCGGCCGCAATGGAGCACAATCGTAGACGACTCTTCAAGTGAGTCGGCTCCTATAAGTACTTGGACTGTTGTCGGGTTTGCTGACAAGGAAACGCCAGTCGACCCATACCAGCTTACCGCTGTGACGCCCGAGCTGGATGAGCCATTAAGAGTAAGTGAGACATCCGCAATTCAAATCTTAGGTGTACTAACCCAAAGAAGATCCTCAGGCGGGATCTAAAGTTCCTGTCGCGGGCTCTTGGGACAGCCGTCTTCCGCCGCATCTGGCGCGAGGCACTGGAGCGGCTGAACAGCATGCTGTGGAGCGATGTCTTGATGAGTCACAGGTTCACAGCCTCTGGGGCCGTCCAGTTCGCGCGCGATCTGCGAGCTCTCTGCTCACTCGTCGAGCGCTTTATACCCGACGGTTCCGGCGCGCTTGGAGGCCTGACTGATGCTCTCCGTCTCCTGAATCTCCCCATCGCAGCAGAGGAAGGTGTCATGTCACTCAGGAAGGCAACTGATATGATGTTTACCGACAATGCCGAGGCCAAGAAAGCCCTAGAAGAAATGGATATTGACTCCCTGACTCCGGCCCACGCCCGGCAGATTTTGAAGCGCAGGGTAGAGAATGCCGAGTGACGGTCAAAACAGCCCAAACCAGGAGAATCCGGCGTGTATCTCAAATATCTACAAATAAACAAGACTAGCTTTGGCTCCATGCATCATATCATCCCAGCCCTGTTCCGGCAGCCCGTTGAGGAGCTCTGCCACTCGCTCTGCCGGTTTTCTTTCCGAGTTAGCCAGCTTCTTTGTGGTTGACCTGATAGTCGTGGGTTTCGCGATCCTACGCAAATGCGAATCATATTGAGGATAATCGCCCGCGTCGCCCAGCTAGATAGAACTCGCTTCAGTTGATGGCCCGCATCGTCATCTCCACGACGGCGAAGGTCCCGGCGCTCACGGGCATGGCCCGTAGTAGCGTAGGGCCTATGCCCTTCCAGAAGCCACGTGCTCCCTCGGCGCGCCAGGTTTGGGAGAAGCAATCGCGCATCGTCTTGTAGCGCTGATTAGCGCCGAAACCGTCTGTCTGCATCTTGCTCTTGACTACGTCAAAAGGATAACTGGCCAGCCAGAGAGCCTCACCAGCCAGCCCACCGTACAGAGCGACCTTGTAGCTGGGCACGTCCTTGCGCGCGATCTTGTTTCGCGCCGCGTCGGCGTTCATGAGCCACTCAAACGCCAAGAACCAAACGCCGTACGCTTGTGCCTCGCGCATCACTGTCACGGCCTCACCCCGGTACAGGCCACGCATGACGCCGCCGCCGTCGGCCGCCACGAGTTTCCGAACGCAGTCCAACGGCCCCGTGTATAGCCGCCCGGCCCCGTGCGGTTGTGTCTGAAGGCGAATGCGCACGTGCTCGATGGGCCCCGAGATGACGCTGTTGGCCACGCCAGCAAACGCTCCCGCCGCGTAGTATTCTCCGTAGCCAAGCGTGCTGACGCCCGGAACGAAGCCTGCTTTGCGCTGTTCCAGCCACCGCCGTGCCGAGTGGAACGCACCGAATTGGATTGACACACAGGCTCCGATGCCCAGCAGCGGTGTCAGCGTGCCCTTGTAAAAGGCCAGCGGGCCCTCGTTCTTCCAAATGGACGCTGCCGCTGCTGCCGCCGACGGGTATGCGTTGGATGTCTGCAGGCGCACCTTGACAATGTCGAAGGGCTGGCCTAATGGTGTAGCAAAATGAGTTGTTAGACAGTTAGTTCTGCTTCCTTGCCTCGCTTGCCGGCTCCGAGAACGGTGTCACCCAGTCAGTTGGCCTGTAACTGGTCGTAGTGCCTTACCTATCAAGACTTGGGCAATACCCCCCGCGGCGCCCGAGAATAAGTCCTTGGCCGTCTGGAGCGCGCCGCCTCCCCCGCCTCCTTCGTGAGCATCAATGTCGACCGCCGAGTCAGCCATGCTGCTGGATCTGTGTGTTATGCCTGCCGTTTTTTGCTGTGTCCCTAACACTGCTCCCGTTGCCGTCCCGTCCCCCGCCAGCCAAACCGGCCCACGTCGATCGTCACCGCCGCGACGTCGTGTACAGTCTGGTGAGCCTTGTTGTGCGCTTGACTCGGCTAGAAAGACAAAAGGTATGATTGATCGGGGTTTGTGATGCGATACTGTCTTGTTTTTGGGACGCACCGAAGCGAAGTCGGTTAAAAACCTGTCACAGTATAGGTATTTGGCACGAGTCTCGGAGGACGGCGGTCTGGTCTCGGTCGGTTTTGGTGATGTCTCCGATGTTCGGGCTTCACCGTTTGCGGGCTTGAGAGCTGGTTGTGGCTGCGGTATCGAGGGAGGGTAAGGTTAGGTATGTATGTATGTATGTATACATGCCTGGTACGGAGAAGTACCCTTGCAAGTGGGGTAAAATGCTCGAGTTTGAGACGGAAATGGGACCGACCAGGTACCTATGGTATGTACAGTACATCAGAGTACTCCGTACGGATCAAACTATGAAATATTGCGTGCTTCCGGGGCCACGACCTCGGCTATGAGGGGGGTCCAGCGCTGTGTCCGTGGTACGTAAGGTACCTTAGGTAAGGTACGAATACGTTACTAACCTTGCCTTTCTTTCATGATTTAGAGATATTCAGATATACGGTACTCCGTATCTTGACCCATTTCTGCAGACGGCATTGCCGTCGTCTCATGTCATTCTTAACCATTCCTAACATCCAACTGAAAAGATCCAGAACCTATGACACCGAGGTAATCTGTACGTTGGAAGTCCAAGGCATCCAAGGTGATTTCTCAAAAACGTAGAGCTACCGATGATGAGATATTCTTGAAAAAGTCCCCGGATACCAAGCTGGGTAACTTGGCCGTAGCACATCCATCTGTATGACTTTGGTAAAACTCGAAAGGGCAGTCATCTAACCATACGCCCCGAACATCCAGCCAAATACACAAGGTACCCTAACCTTCTGCCCCTTAACTCCGCGTCATTCGACTCCCGCTCTTCTCTTTACCTGCTTCGTTCTGTGCCTGTACCTCGATTTGTATGGCTTCCTTGAGTTTGGCCACTACTTCGGGCTGGCTACTGAAGGCATGGTCCAGCATTTCATCCAGTTCTCTCTCTATCTTCACCAGATTCTTCCCGCCAAATTTGCGTGCGCGGGCGTCATTCACGGTAGCAGCCCATCGCTGGGTAAAGGCGTAAATACTTTGGCGCAGTAGCTCGTCGAGCTGCTCGTTGGCGTCCTGAATTTCGTAGGCGGCAGCGCCGTTATTAGATTTGCCTGTACCGCCCGGCGTTGTAGATCCTAGCGCTGGGGTTTGAGTGCTTGCCCGAGCCCATAACGAGGAGCCTGGAATGTAGTTGCTAAAACTGGCCAGCAGGCCAATCAGATTATGTGGCCGTAGTGTGTCCCAGATCTGGCCAAAATGCTGCAAGCCCGCAGTCTGACTGCGCACGTCTCCAATCTCCAAGGATAACAGTTCGTTCTTCAGGATAAGAAGATTCTTGACCATAAAGAGATCGGGATCTGTGCCATTTTTGGTGGACTTTATCCGTGCTTCAGCGCGTTGCAAGGCCGCGATTGACTCCTTTACCAACTTGAAAACCACGGGGCTGTTGCGTTGCTGCAGAAGAGAGAAGCGTTAGCGTTGTCTTCAATCAGTAGAAGGTGAACCATGCGGCAATAGCCAGCACCAACTATGTTCCAGACTTACACATCGCTCCTTTGGCATCGATTGGTCGAATAGGACCAGAAGTTCGACAGCTTGCTTTACAATTGGAAAGGCATTTGAGGCCCCATCGCCGTTGACCACGGGCCCGATCCTAAGCGCATCTGGCGCAACGACGGTCCTCGAAATTGACTTGGCGATCTCGGCCTCGAAGAATGCATCGGTAAAGGTCCACAGGTGCTCCGTCAGAAGTCTTCCCGTCAGTTCTCGGCAATGACGTGTGAACGTTGTTTCGTCTTCGTCGTAGTCTAGGAGGAGATATTCGTTTGTCATCCACCCAACCAAGTTGCAGATGGTTCGCAGGTCATTCGTCTGTAGCATCAACTGCAATGTGGTAGCAATAGGCGCAATATTCATGCCCGTTACCAGTGACCGCTGGTGTGCTTTGAGAGCCGTAAACGCAGACCTGGCATCGGTAGAGTACTGCGGGTCTATCGAAAAGACCTTCCGGAAGAGAGCAGCTTCATTATAAGAGCGCTCAAAGCATTGCTTAACAAAGTTTCTGGCTGCCGTATCTATCGATGACTCTTTTGCCTCTGTCTTGAAGGTATCCAAATCGTGCTGTACTATTGGCTTGAGGTCCCGATCTCTAAGGGCGCAGTAGGCCTGGAAGAGATTATTTACCGTGTTCGAATAGGTGTCGAAACTTGGCCCCAAGACAGGCTGGCCATTCTGGTCATAAGCGCTACGCGTTACTCTCTGGACATTTGGAATCAACGAGTATGACTCCATAAGGGTGTCCTCAAAGCGGCCGTAGGCGAGGGCGTGGCGGGCCGACTCGGACTGGGTAGCAGCAATCTGCCTAGAAACTTCGACCGACACTTTGTTTAGTCGGTTCGAGAAACCAACGTCGAGGAGATGCAGTGCTTTTGTGAGGAGGGCCTGGTAGCGCGCGAGATACGGCTCAGAATCCCGATATGAGGGCTACACTGCGTCAGCGCCCTGGTCTGAGGCGAAAGGCCTCCAGGAATATTTCCTGGCATCGAGAGAGGCAGCCAAAACAAACATTTCGTGCCATGAAAGCAATGCATGAGTCTAGATTAGACAAGACTTCCCCGAACCCATCGTCATCAACAAGCCGGCCTGCGCCGGGGGCATTGAGGCGCCTTGTGACGGTGTCGAGATAGGCGTAGTAGTGCAGATCGGTACCGACGTCGTTAGCCAACGTCTGTAGACGCTTCTGCTCTGTCAGTAAGTCGTCACACTGGGACTGGAAGGAGCTCGTCTGGTCGTCGACGGCGCGGAAGGACTGGCAGAGAGTCTCGATGACCTTGAGAGCGCCATTGGCGTCTTCTATCAAAGACCCGAGATGCCTTTCAGTCATGGCCAACTGGTCGTGGTAGAGGCTGAACCACAAGGGTCAGCAGGGCCGAAAATAGGCGCGTCAGAGTCCTTTCCTTAACATACGTGTACTTTTGTTGGCTTGCCCGCAGCAACTCGCTCCGAAGCTTCTCGTTGACGATGTCTTCCCCGTCATCTTGACCCCAGTCGGCCGTCATAGCATGAGCTAGCTGCGGCGGAACCGCCAGAGCCTCCCACGCAATGTTGCCACGGCGCTGTCCGCGCTTCTTCTTGGGCGCGACACCCGAGAGCCGAGCGCCCGTTACGATGTCGTAGAAGTCCGAGTAGGACTTTGCCCTCTGGATCGGGGTGGCCTGGGGGGGGATTTTGTGTCTTCGCCATTCTCGAGAAGAGCGGGCAAAGGGTCTACTGCATCCGGGTGCTCTGTGGTGCCCTGCGCGACGTCCAGTTCAGGTATAAGTCAGCACAGCCAGTCTCTACACAACCAGCCGCAATACGACACGGAATCACGAACATTTGGCTGTTGCAGTAGAGACTCGCGCCGCCGGTGTCCAGCACCCGACGCACCACCGCCAGCCGGTCGCCGAGGCTGCTGAAAGTCGGGTACAAAGCTATACCACGAGTCATCGTACATGTTGGGCGGGCGGGACGGTGGGTTTCGCGCCTCGAATTATTCAGGCCCAGAATCGAAGGTTGTTAGATGTGGTAGCGACAAGCAAGGTCCTTGAGGTAAGGTGATGGACGGTATGTATGCTCGTACGGGATACTAGTCTGGTGTGTGTATGAGGTATTGTACAGCAAAAATGGACACATCCAATACCTTTGGTAAGGAAAGGAGCTGTAACTGCCCCCCACCGTGGGCCAGGTAATTACCTGAGGTATGTACGGCATGTACATGTATCCATTTAAGGTATGTACGGATATGTACAGACAGGCTTCACACGCTGCCAAGACAATTCTCGTCCCGCGCTCATCACTTGAACAGTTCAATTCAAGAGACGTGGGCCAAAGCTTCCATCCTAGGTAATCTCAACAAAACAGGTGACCTCATTATTGCCCCAACCCGCATCCATAGCACTTGTCTGCGAATACCAACACACGTACCTAGTGTCAGAAGATTCAGAAGATGAGCGAGACCATCTACGTAGGGTAAGCAATACCTTGTCAAGTGCTCGCAGGACGACTCAGCGGTTCCCAATCCGCCTCGCAGCCTCTGCCACAGCCCCGGCCCCGGCCTCCACATGGCCTCACCCATGATATCTCGGCTCGCTCTCCGGGCACGCCGTTCTCACACACTGCCATTGCAATGGGTGCGGCGTGCGAGCATGAAGCCGCTGCCACCCCGTTCTAGCCGTGCCAGCGGTCTCGCAAAGCTGGCTTTTGTCGCCGCCTTGGGTGCCGCCGCTGCCTGGGCTTACACTCACGTCTCCGACGGCAAAAAAGACGAGCTTCCACGATCCGAAAGACCTGAGATTGTGTTTGAGGCGCCGCGCAAGGATCCCGCGTCCAAGGGAGAGAACCGTGACCAAGTAAAGAGAAGCTGGGAGCAGCCCGGTGTCTATGTTTGGGGTTCCAATGCCGGCAAGGTCGTCGCTCCTGACTCCAACGAGGCCGTTGTCAAGACGCCGAGGCGCCTACCGTACTTCAACGGCCAGATCCTGCGTGATCTGAAGCTGGACCGTGATTTTGGCGCTGCCATCACCGAGACCGGTGACCTGGTACAGTGGGGGGTGGGATACTCCAAGACGACCAACACACCGGCCGTTACACTACAGGGAAAAGATCTCGTCAAGTTGGCCCTGTCGCGGGACCGCATCATTGCCCTTTCATCTAGCGGGTCCGTTTTTTCCATCCCTATTTCCCGCGCGGATCAGGAGTCGGGCGATAAGCCCATCATCACGTCTTGGGTCCCTTTCTGGTCCCAGCACTCTCCCCTGAGCTACCGCTCCCTCGTCCCCCAGAACCTGGGATGGGGCGAAAAGGTTGTCGACATAACGGGTGGGTTGGATCATTGCTTGCTCCTGACATGCAAAGGCCGCGTTTTCTCGGCAGCGTCGAGCACCGTGGATTTCCCTTCAAAAGGACAGCTAGGCATATCGGGCCTCACGTGGCAAACCCGCCCGGAAGGCCCCTACTACCAGCCCCACGAAGTAAAAGCCCTTCGTGGCTCACCAATCAAGGCGATTGCCGCCGGCGACTTTCACTCTCTTGCTCTGGACAGTGACGGTAGCATGTTCTCATTCGGGGATAACTCTAGCGGCCAGCTCGGGTTTGACCTGGAGCCAGGGTCTCCCTATATCGCCAAACCATCACGTCTACCCGTGAACAAGCTTTATAGCGGTACGAATCTGTTGCCGAAGGTGACCTCGATAGCTGCTGGTGGCATGAATAGCTACTTTACCGTCGATGCAACCAAAACGCAAGCGACAACCAGCGACGGAGAGCTCATACCAACCCAAGATGTGGGCAAGATTGTTGCGGATACGTGGGCCTGCGGTGAAGGCATTAAAGGCAGTCTGGGCAACGGAAAATGGTGGCACTACTCCAAGGGCCCGACCAAGGTTAAGGCTCTGTCGAATCTCTACGAGTACAACGAGGCTATAAAGAGCCTGTCGCCGATCCGGCTCGCCTATATCTCGGTGGGTAGCACACACGCTTGCGCCATCATGGACAACGTTACAACCCTCCTGGCTTCGAAGCAGACGTCCAAGTACGACAGCAACAGCGGGGCAGATACGCTATGGTGGGGATTCAACGAATATTACCAGTTAGGGACAGGAAAGCGAAGCAACGTGAACACGCCAGTGTATATTCGACCGCTCGATAGCAGCGATGTGGGGACGAGCAACAAGAAGGGAGTGGAAGGAGAGCGCCTCCAGCTCGCACCGAGAACAACGATTCGTCTTGGCGAGGGGGGCGTAGGCAGGAAGGCGAGCGTGGAGCAGCGGGTCGAATGCGGGCGTCATGTCACAGCTGTCTACTCTGCAACATGAGACTAAGTCCGCAACTATCGGCGATTCCACAGCGGGATTTCTGCATGGCGGTTCATCTCTGCGGAAACGCAGTCGAGGCAGATGTCGTGCGTTCATGGAGGATTTGGGACTATGTTGGGTGTATGATGTATCGATTAATATCGTGGGTTCACGATGTGTAAAAAGTTATTGTACCTACACATGTCCTATTATGTATGGGTAGCGGAATTTTTAATCCACTCATCTCAACCTTTCTGCTTCTAGATATTTCTTGACATGTTCAAAATTAAGGCGCCTTAGGTGGTCACAGACAGTATCTAATATGGAGAAATTTGTAACCTCTTTTCGCATTCACCGATCCGATTAGAAAGAGGACCTCAGTGTTCTAAAAAGCCCAAGTGTTCCTTCCCTTGGGCACTACGAATTTCCAGGTATATGGGAACCTTGGTACCGTAACTTAGGTACCTTAGGTTACCTAACCTAACGTTGAGATGAGTATTACTACAGGTGGTACCAGTACCGTGGCTCAATTACATTTTTCTTTTGCGGTCATTCTCGCCGTTGATGCGGTTGGTTCCTACCTTTATTCACCCTGCCGTAGTCACCGCCCGCCCATATTTCGCGGGTTTTCACAAGAGAGGAAGGGACTTTTGACAACGTTTATGCATGCTGTGAATGTATGGCTTGGCCAGTTGCTACCCCTTGCTTTCAGGGCGGTCCATTTTGTCGTGCAGCTCGCGTTGCTAACCCTGCGGACACAACAGCACCGACTACCGGGCATCGAAGACGGCCACAATCCCCTTCACCTGCACCGGCGACGCAGGCGGCGTCTGCCGAGCACCAAAGGTCGTCGTGCGCGGCGAGCTCCTCCGGCCTCTGAAGCTGACGCCGAGCTCCTTCCCGGCGCCGCCCAACGCGGACACCAAGGGCTGCACGGCCAATTCGGCCGCGCCGACGTGCGTTCAGGGTCTGGGACCTTCCAAACGGATTGCCGCGGTACCTTACCTTACCTGCCAAGCGGTAGGCGGGGGACCACTGGGAAAGGCTCCTGTGCCCGGGGTGCAGCAGCGCAACGTTAACTGGGCCGCTCATGAGAGGTTCCCACGAAATACCCAAAAGCCCGGTTGATGAGGTAAATTACTCGGTACTCCACTGTCTGTACAGGACCTGAGTAGGTAAGGTACCTAGCGCTACGGCGGCGTCTTCACTCTTTCCCTCCGCCCTCAGACGTCACCGCAATGGATCTAACGCTCCATTGAAGACGGAGAAGAGCGCCTCAGGTGCAATCCTTCAGCGCAAGACCGGGATTTCGGAATTGGTGCCTCTGCCATACATTCGACTTGGTAGTGCGCGACTTTTCATACCTCTCCTAGCTTCTCTTTGTAAAATCTCCTTTCACAGTCAGCCTGCAGCTGGCTCAACAATATCCTCCGGCAGGTATGTACTTCTACAGGCTGATCGGCCCGCGCACATCAACGTTGACTGCGTGTCTGCACGTGCCGTCCTTCGAGACTCCTATTTCCCCGAGGGTGCTTTCAATCGCTTTTCTGACCAGGCAAGATCGTAGAATCTGCCTATTCACACCGACTGACGCCTCAGCCGCCCGCACATCCTCCCCTCGCGGTACTCTTCCAGGCAACCCCTCTCCACTGTTTCAACAGCCACTCTCTTGCCTCACGATCGGATAAAATACACGACTACCACGACTGACACGCTGAGAGACCTGAGAGCGGTATCCCTTGGCACCCTCTTCTCACCCTCTCCATCCGTTCCCCAGTTCACCGAACTCTAGGCACCCCATTTCGACATGGACCACTTTCCGCGCTTCAGGCGCAAGAAGGACGTCGCCATGCCTGCCATCATTACTTCTGCTACCAGAGCTGATCTTACCAGCAAGGCGACGCCTTCTCCATCCGATCTCCAGCCCCCTTCTCCAATGCGCACAGCACGAAAGCTCAGTCCATTCCGAGTCTTCCATCGCTCCTCTGGAAAACGGGCCCGTGACTCGCCGCCTGCCTCGCTGCCGCACTCGCCCGCCGCCGCCGCCGTCTTAGCCCCGGACAGTGCCACGGATCGCCCAGTCTCGCCATTGTCGCTTCGGATAGATACAACAGGGGAAGAAGAGTCAAGGGCTGGGAATCCCCAGAGGATTCCTGCATTTCTTGATCTGACCGAGCAACGTGAGTTCCGTTCTCTTGTAGCTCTCTGCTTGCCCTGCTGTATATAATTAACATCGGCCGGCTGATTCTTCTGTAGAAATCGAGAGCAAATTCGTAGAACTGGTTTGGCTCGAACGCAACCGCATGGTGCAGTCAATAACTAATCCCTCGCCTGATTTCCGCTGGGCACGCGTATCGGGTCATCATCTCAAGACATTGGACAGGTACATGAACATACAGCCATGGCACAACAACCGAATAAAACTGCGGGTCCCCGACGGTCATATCGACTACATCAATGCGTCCCCGATAACACTTACGCCATCACCTCGCCCAGCAACTGACGCTCCTGCAGGAGAGGTGCGAGAGCCTGACCGCTACATCGCCATGCAAGGCCCCAAACAAGCGTCTATCGACCATGTATGGCGCATGATAGTCGAGCAACTGGAAAGCCCCGGGGTTATAGTGATGTTAACAGAGACACACGATGGTCACACGGAAAAGTGCGCTCCTTATTTCCCTCGCCATCAGGGTGACCCCCCACTTGAAATCAACCAGCATGACGAGTTCGGCGATGGATTTCGGGCCACAGTGCGCTGCGAGGGCATTGAGGAAACGCCGGCTGGGGATGCGATCGAGTTGCGGAAACTGGTTATTCGTGTGCATCGGCGAAGCAGCGGCCCCCCGGCTCGGATGGCTGAGAATGAGCGGCACAGAAGCGGCAGCGCAACCCCAGAGCCAGCTCAGGCCGGAGAGACAGATGTGGATCTTGATGTTAAGATGAAGTCGCCTTTGGGGGGGCCCGAGCAGCCAGAGTCTGAAACAGCATATGCCAAGGCTTCTTCAAAGCACAACATCATCGCATCTCAAGATGCAGGGGACCAGAGCTTTGAGGAGGAGCGCATTGTATGGCACTTTTTGTACAAAAAGTGGCCCGACTTTGGAGTGCCTGCACTGCCGGATCTCGAAAGTTTTTTTACACTAATGCGACTCTCCCGAGAAAAGAACGCCGGACCCCACAATCCCCGGGTTGTGCATTGCAGTGCCGGGGTAGGGCGTAGCGGCACATTCATTGCGCTCGAGCACCTGATTCGGGAGTTGGACGCTGGGGTACTGGAGCATTACGACGAGCGGGTTACTACACCGTCGCCTATTTCCGGACATTCGATAGACGGGCAAGAAAAAGGGGCTAGCGGCGATGAATATAATGCGTCACCAACGACGATAAGAGAGGAGCAGGGCGAGGATCTCATCTTCTCCACTGTCAACCAGCTACGCGAGCAGCGCCGTACAATGGTGCAGGCAGAGAGCCAGTATCTTTTCATCTACCAGGTGCTGCGCAAACTGTGGCAGGACAAGTATGGCGGTAGTAGCAACAGCGGGGAGATGGGCGAACGAGCGGCTAAGAGGCTAGAAGTCGATCCCTTTATCGCCGACTGAACCCGGAACATGTGACGGCAGACAACGATGTGGACAAACACTGAATGGCGGAAATGGAAAGAGAAATATTTTCGACTCTGTACGTCTTTCGGCACAACTTTACAAAAACGAGGCTCAGAGGACAGGGAGTGGCTATTGCAGCATCGTGCAAACTCGCACTAGCGTCAGCCACCTCTTTGGAATATTAGAGGAAAATCATAGAAAAAGTATTGGACAGGGCCGGATGAGATGGACAAGAAAGGGGAGTTTACTGACATTTCTTTCCGATTTTATTGTTTTGCCCTTGTTTCCTTTCTTGTTGCATGGGTCTGCATATTTTTTTTCAACCTCCTCCCTCGTACGCCTCACCCTCTCTTACTCTAGTTCACATTGCATATTCACTTTTGGTTTCCCAGCTATCACTATCGTTAATGGGAGAAGTAGCGGAACAATAAGCGTAGGAAGCCTGGCTTTAGATACCCGATCAGTTTCCCCCTCTCTTATTTCTTTGTCTATTGCATATTAAAGGGAGTTGAGAAGGACGGACTTAGCCAAGAGGGTGAGACATACAGTCATGATGCTTTTTTTTTTTTCGTTTTGATTGACCCCCCTTCCTTCCCCTTACCTGTGGTTTGGTATTACAGCATCCTCGACCGTTGGGTTTTTGCCGCCGATGCCTCTCGATTTGCTTGTTTCTGAAGCTTGATGTTGATGAAGCACGTTAGGCTCTTTTGCCGGCGCTGGTTACCGGGCGAGCATGCGAGAGGGCAGTTGAGGGACGGTGGACACGATCCTCTGCTGATGGTTTCTTTGTTTAAAGTCCAGTGTATCAATCTGTAAGAAACTTGGGCGGGCTTTTGCTCATTGTAGAGTTGGACTTGAGTTGAATTCTTTTCACACTTATTTTGCTACAAGTTTGTTGCATATTTGCCTGAAATGACGCCCTGCTTGGTAGTAGTAGATACCTGGTATGCAGCTGCTGCTCCAGGACCAGTTTATGTCTACTAGTTGAGTGAAAGTTGAGCTTTAGAATGGCCCGCGTAGAACCTTTGATATTCCGAGGCCCAAGCCCATTACCCTTATCCGACTTCCCGGCAACAAATCTAGTAGTTTGAACATTGATGCATATCTCCATAGCTTCTTGTATTCCGCCACGGGTCCTAGACTCTAGAGTCTGGAACACGTGGCAAGCGCACACATCAGTTGTATTTCCCTAATTAAGGCGATACCGGACTAGCTAACTTGTCTTCATTTTTTTGCCCCAACGTGGAGAAAACTAAGATCCTTCTTATTAATTGTTTAATTGTTGTGGACGGCGAGGGAGCAGCCACAGGATCCCGGGTTATGTGCGCATGCACTTACTTTACATGCACGTGCAGTACTGCACTTCGCATCCCCCCTACAGGGGCTGTTTTTCCTCGTGTGTGTGGCACTCTCTAGTCGGTACGAATGCGATGTGCCTGGCTTGGCCAGTTTCATCACACGCGAGGGCCAAGTGGGCGGGCCGCCGGACGAGCTTCTAGAACAAATAAGAGGGGGGGCAATAGTAAGCGCATTGTGTCTTGCGTTCCTTGTTCGGGTCTCTCCCGTGCCATCCATGGCTGCCATGTGCCAGGTAGGACAATTACACTACCGATACCCAATACGCACAGTATCCTATCCGTACCAGGGGCATGTATCCATCCAAGATGGGGCCCAGACGGAGCGGATGGGGCCGGTGCGGCAGAGCTGTGGGGAAAGGTTTGGCAGTGGCGCACAAAAGCGGCTCGTCGCTTGACAGCCTAATGTTTACATTGAGCTTTCAAGAATTTATCGCTATGAATGCAAGAAACGAACAAGGCAGAAGCTAACCTACTTACCGAGCCTTTTCTATACAGCTACGTGTTGAACATAGGTAGTTATCTTTAACTCTCGAGCACGATTTCTCCCCAATCGGCTTTACGCAAAGTGAATACCCACGTACGAATACCTGTGTACAGTTAATGTTGCAGGCCCGCTTCCTTGCGTCACTTTGAAAGTTCTCCCTGGCCTCTACATGATGTACCCCGGATATCAGCTGCAAGCCATGCTGTACGCATGCGCTGTGAAGGGGGTTAGCGAAAGATGCCGAACACGCAGCATGGTGTGTGGGCAGACAGATGATGCGTGGGAACCCTCAGGATGTCGGTCCGCTGTGGCTAAAACTGTTGTCGATGACATTGTCTCTTATTTAGCCCCAAACACTAGCGGTTCGGTGCCCCGTGGACCAAAGTCCCGATCCTGTGGTAAGATCTCCAGGGAACAGTTCACTCCTGGGTATCACGGCCCGGGACGTTGGGGCCAGTGCCATCTTCGAGGACATAGCAATAGTACCTAGGTTCCAGGTTTGGAGATAAGTCAAACCGCTGGTGACTTGTGGTATATGCATGGTCACATGACTCGGTTATTATAGGGCTCATCTCTGCCTGTAGGACTTACGTAGTAGTAAAAGGCAGCTATTACCCCAGAACTGGTTGACCAGCGTTGCAGAGTTTTGGGTTACATAAAGAGCTTGAGTCACGTCTTGTCGGATGGAAGACGGAAGTGTTCCGACGCGGTGCCCACCCTCAAGTTCCCTGCCGTCCGGTAAAGCAGCTCCTACATTCCGGGGGGGAAGGCGGGAGCACCTGACATGCAAAGACGGCATCCGTCGAGGGCCCAGACCGAAAAAGATTCCGTCACGGGGCAAGTAAGTGGGCTCCAATTGAGACGCTAGAAATTCTGTGGTATGGGATCAAGGGATGTCCGAGATTTTGCTGTTGTTGGTCTTTATCTGTTGACAATCGACACGAGTTTATAATGAGATCCAAACGGATATATCAGAAAATGGGCTCAGCACCGGTTGACACAATGGCAGAGCGGCCACTGCTTGCTGCCCCTAACAGATCATCGCGTATCGCGGATGGTCGAAGAAATGGGCGGCACTGTAAACTCCATACACACGTCCCGGGGTTCTGTCTGGGCTGTGCAGGTCCTAATGGCCCAGATTATGGGGGCGTATTGCGGGGTGCAGAGCTAAATTGTCGTTGAAGCGGCATCCCTTCGGTTCCGGAACGAGCCCCGCTGGGCCCATGCCCGGCTGGAAGGCCACGAGGGAGCAGACGTTGGGCTTGTACTGAGTAGGAAGCACCTTGTCTCTCTTTCCCTAGACAATTTCACACTAACAACTTTGAAGCTTTGGTGCTGCGTGCTAGTTGCATACAGTACCCGGCAAGCCTTGAACGCAATGGAAATGCATGTGTGCAATGTAGTGTACAATTATTCAGTGCTACATGCCCTAGGTGATAATTAAGAAAATAGTCTGGCCGAAAAGGCGCCATCCATTCTAGGGACTCCCTCCGCCTTCCCCAATTCCCATTGCGCGCCTAATCTCTGAGCCTCCGCCGTCCCGACGCTTGGGCGCTGACCCTGTCAGTTCGATAAAGTGCCTCGAGTAAGAAATGGGCCGACTTATTTCTCTGGGTATTGCAGGCGCCGGGGTAACATTTCGTTCGTCTCGTCTCAAGTTGAGCGGGGCCCTCCACCTCGCATGCAAACAGCCCGAGCCCTCCCTGCGATGCGGTGGTGTTGTGTGAGCGAACCATGAACATGTCATCGTTGATTGGTCTGGACTTATGTCCAAGCAGGAGAAGAAAGAAGGAAAATGGACTGGTTGCCGCAACCGTCCGTGATATCAAGGATTAGTTATTGTGTGGGTAGCGGATAGCCCGGCGACCCAATTTTAGAAGAAGCTAGCACCCCATTCATTCATCTCCGACCTTCTAGAAGGATTCTGTTAAAGAGGCCGCAACCAGCCCTGCATCCTACCCGATCTGTGGATGGAGTCTAGAGTCTATGGACTTAACTACGTCCCCATAACCCTTACCCGTACAGTCCTACCTACCTACATCTCACGAGATCTGCGGCCGGCTCGACACATTCCCAACTTTAGATCCATCATTACCTTCCTTACCCGCACTTGTTTGTGTGCCCGATCAGGTCCAAGCTGGCCCCTACCACGAAGGGCCCTCCAAACTCGGACGGAGCCGGACGGAAGCTTGCCAACGAACGAGTTACAATGTCTTTTGACGCTCACTTCCGAGGTTGACGACGCCCTCGACCCGCCCCCTCCCTAGATCCACACCTTGTCGGCACGGGTCCTGATTCCCACCTCAGGACGTTGAGGCCATCAAGCCGAGGCTTTCTGATCCTGTCGGTTGACAGGCCTCTCCCTGTCTGGACTTGACGACCTCGAGCATCCTGGAACCTCAGTCGTAACTGTTTCTCATTGTCGCAAGCAATAAACACTAGTGGCTCAGCCCGCCAGCCCAGGTGTTTGTTTGCTGGTCTTTGATAGTACTAGTACTAGGACTCACGGAGACACTCGACGACACACAAAATTTGTCGCATTCCATTCCAATCCGATTCAGCCAAGGCAAGCCAAGGCACAAATGCTCTCAACAAAGAGCAAAGCGTTTCTGATTTGATTTTACCTCTAGCCAAGGTTTTGGGCTTGGAATCAGCAGCTCACGACTAGGGCATCATCCACCGAACTCACAAAGGACTCTCACAAACACGGCAGACACACCGCACAGGCATAAGCAGTCCGCGACGCGCCGCTGGTGCTGTAACAACCGGCGTTGTTGTTGGTCGTATCGAATTCAATTTTTATTTTGGAATAGTTTGCAACATAACGGCCGCGCTTTACTCCTTCACAGGGTACTCCGTTTATTATTTCTTTTCCCAGAGAAAGACTGTCACGATACTTGGCTGTCTGCACCCACCCCTCCCTCCCTCAACTTTTTGGAAACCCTACCTAGGATTATTCCGCAGCTTCCCGCGCCTATGGGCGCCCCCCCACCCCCCCAACCATGACGTTAATTGTGAGTGACCCCCGTTGTCCCCCTCCCCTCCCTCAGTGTTGCCAATGCTCGCCCGATGGCGACAATGAATGCTGGCCGGCCGCAGTGTCCATTCATAGATTGGAGGCTGGGGCCTGCATGCTGTGTGTTTTTTGCCTCGTCCAGCGCCTGGCTAATGGCGATCAATGGAAACCGGCTCCCTCGCTCACCGCCTACTTCTTTTCATTGTGTCTTCCACGTTTCTTTCTTTCTTCCATGTCTTGTCTTACCCTATGGGGGAGGGCCCTTGGGAAACCCTCACCCCCAACGACGTTGCAACTTGCAACTTGCAAGGACCAGAACCAGAACCACATTGCGCCAGCCGCACCAGGGCCGGCTTCTTGGGAGCGTGCCCCCCGCCGTCAGTATCAATGATCAGCATTACTCATCGGGGGAGCAGCCAACAAGGAAAGTCTCCAGGCTAGATTAGTGGTCGGTTCTAGCCTAGCCCCAGGCCAGTCGCAGCCCGGCCGGGCCTAGTACCCCGGTGCCACTGCCGAGCGTTTAGCCAAGTGCAGTGCAGCGCCCGAAGCCCAAAACACATTACACAATTCCCACGTACAGTTGTTTCATTCAAACGGCGTTTGGTGCCCTTCTCCTATGCCAAGCCGCCCAGGTTCATGCCTGCCAATCTTCACCTCATCACCTCGTTCACCCTCGGTTAGATTCTGGGCATTGATGCAATGCATTCATTGCCCCGGGCCTCGGCTTCACTTCTGATTACTTCCCTCCCCCAAGTTAAAAGACAGCTGGTTACACATCTTAAAGCTATTTAATCCGAGCCCGATCAATGTCACATGGAAATACCGCCCCCTCGAGAAGCTCGTTGTTGAACGAGACGCGTCGGCTACCCCAGCATAACCATGCTAATTTCTACTCTTCAGTTATGTCTCGCCCACTATTGTGATCTTCACGGGCCAACGCCTCTGATGGTCACTGAAGGACTTCCCGTCCCTTGTCGCGCATGCTTTGAGGACGATCGGTTGTCTGAATACACGGCCCGAGAGGCCGGCGAAAGGCCGCGCACGAGTGCCCCAACGTCTGCTGGGGAAACACGCCAAGCTTCCTCCAACACCACCTCTGAAGCCTTCCGTCGCATGAATTTCACCGGGTCGCCTCGCAGCTCGTCCGTCCCTGCATCAGAACAAGAGGCGCAAACCTTCCGAGCTGCGCTTCTCCGAGCTGCACTGCCGGCTGCCGGCTCGGGCTCGGGCTCGGGCTCTGCCGTCGAAACGCCACCTCAGAGTCCCCGGCTACCCCAAGGGCTGGGCCAGCAGCAGCAGCAACAACAGCAGCAGAAGCCTCGCCACGACTCTGGTTTCCGCAGGACCTACGATGAATATGTGACCCGCCGGGCAGGACCGTGCGATAACTGCGCACTAACGTTACCGAGGCGCCAGGAGGGCGGCAGGGAGGCGGGCGCCGACTCGCGTTCAGAACGCGGCCCCACGCTACGGACACGAGCGCCGTGCGCTCGAGTCTATGGGGAGGCTGACAATGCCTCTCCAGCTACGTCGCAGGCCTCATCGTCGAGCCAGTCAGAAGACGAGTCGGCGGCAACCCCGCCGCGGTCCCATCGACGCACTGACACGGCAATCTCAGTAGCATCGTTCTCGAGCACCAGCTCTGCTGCCGGCGCAAACACTCACACTCACTATCTCGACTATACCTCAACTCACGAGCCTGTTGCGCCGACATCTTTCTCCATTGTACGGGCCTCCTGCCTGCGCACCCTCTCATTGGAGACGCTTCCTCGCGCATCTGCAACAGGGACTTCGACTGCTGGCAGTTCCATGTCTACACCAAGTGCGTCACCCATCACGCCCGCTTTTGTCACAACACACAGCACTGGCTCCGCCTCGTCCGGAGGCCCCATCTTCTTCGGAGACCCTGCCGCCGGCTACACCACTGCCTACATCTTTCGGATTCCCGACGTGCATGCTCGTGGTCACAAGCGCGTCTACGCCTTCCTAGCACTCAGCACACATCGGGAGCGACTTGCTATGAAGGCCTTCGGCTTTGTGGCCGCTGCCTTTCGTGACATGGCAGCATGGATTCAGACACTGGCCGAAGCTGAGGCAGAACGCACCCTTGCCGAGTCGTCCGGCTCGGCGGCAAGTAGTCCTGTCATGCCAGGGCCAGGCTACGGTAGTTTCCAATCGGAGCACGCCCCCCCCACCTCGGCTGGAAGCGGCAGCAGCTTTTTGATGGGTGGCGTGGGTGGTCTATCAAGGCGGATGGGCAACAGTTTTGGGGGCTCTGGAGTTGCCCTGAAGCAACGAGGACTGGCCGAACTCGTGGGCTTGCCAGACTTTTTTATCGAACTACACGCACGGTTTGTCCGACTGTTGCTCGAACTGGGGGTTGTACTCGGCTCATGAACCAACTCCGTGGATCATCTCAGCATACCACCCTTTCGATCGCCCCAACTTCATGTATAACTGAATAACGGACCGGCGCCCCTGGTTTTGGCCCTACACTGCGGATCGGCGCGCATCTCATGGAGCACATTTTCCTGCCCATTCTGCAGTTGCGACGGCCTGGGGTTTCCCCTTCTAGACACGAGACGCACGTGTACGATAATGCGTAATGAGTAATGACGGGTAAAAAAGTGATAAAGGGAGGATTTGTATTCTTTGGACTGGAAATAGAGAGGGTGCAGAAGTAGTATTCGATGATAACAAGTAAAGGAAGGACAAGGAGGATATACCCCAGTCATTGAGACGATATAATACAGTAACAGAAGGATGGGCCCAAGCCCAAGGCATTGTGAGGAGTATTTTTTTGTGTCTGGTGGCTTTAATCACACCTTGTCCCAAATGTGAAGAGAATGGTATTATGTGTGAAGATATAGAACTGCCTTATTCAATTGTTTTAAGTAAACGGGCAGGTCTACCATAGCGTATACATGTCAAAAACCATGCCTATTCGTGAGTGTGTGTAACCTTGGGCCTATGCCACAAAACAATTATCGTGATGCAAGAAAAAATCTTGGTTGAAAGCATTATGGAGTTGTGAAGGTCATCTCCACAAACTGAAAGATTTATGGGTGTTTTTAATGGCGATCTGCCCTGAGATTTCACCTTGGAGTGAGAGCTTGAAATAAGTCTCCGACGTAAAGTCTTGCAAACAAATCTAAGGAAAATATTATTCCGTGTCTGAGAATGCATGGCTGTATCCTCGAGAGGAAATCTAAAAGGATGATGACGCCTGGTTTCTAATACTACCTAGATACTGTACAATACGGTCGGACTTGTAGGTGAAGCCTTCGACTTCATTCACTCCTTCGAGATTACCTCCACACGTATTCCCTCTGCCATTTTCCCGTGATCTCTGAGGGTTGAGACAACGATGAATACCAAGTTTGTCGGTAAAATCAAAAAGAAGGATGGAATCAAGTACTGAGCGACCCGCCCGAAACTGCCCCTTGTTCACTTGTAAAAGTCAAACTTGTTCTCGTCGCTTGTTCCCTTGACTTGGCTGCTGTACGCATCCTCAAGATCCGCTTGGATGATATTGTACCTGTTTTTCCGCACAGCACGCAGTCCGGCCTCCTGCATGATGGCAGCAATCACAGCTCCGCTGAGTGCGTCATTACGGACGATCAAGCTATCCAGGTCAACCTCTGGCGCAAGGCTCATCTTGCTTGCAATGGTGGTAAAGATCAGGCGGCGCTCGCGGCGGTCGCGCAGGTTTGGGAACTCAATCTTTCGGTCCAGGCGGCCGGGCCGCAGAAGGGCCGGGTCGAGCGTGTCGGCGCGGTTCGTGGCCATAATGACCTTGACGTTGGCCGTCTGGTCAAAGCCATCCATCTGGTTGAGCAACTCCAGCAAAATACGCTGAACCTCGCGATCGGCACCCGTCTGGGCGTCGAAGCGCTTAGTTGCAATGGCATCGATCTCATCAATGAAGATGATGGCGGGCGCGTTCTCGCGGGCCATTCGGAACACATCGCGTACCATCCGTGGTCCTTCACCAAGGTACTTTTGCACAAACTCGGAGCCCACGACACGGATGAAATTGGCCGTGGTCGAGTTGGCCACAGCCTTCACCAGCATTGTTTTGCCTGTGCCCGGCGGCCCGTAGAGCAGCACACCACGCGGCGGGTCGATACCAATTTGTTTATATAGGTCGAAGTGCGTCAACGGGAGCTCGACGGCTTCACGGATCTCTTGCTTTTGCATATCCAGCCCTCCAACGTCGGCATACGTAACGTCGGGCTTCTCATCCACCCCAAGCATAGCAATCGATGAGTCGGCCTCAGGCGGGAGGATATCGACGAGGGCATTGGAGTGACGATGCAGCGCGACGGATGACGATGGCTTGAGGAGCTCGCGGTCAAGGGTCGATAGGATACGTACAACATAGTTGGAGCCGGTGCTAGATTGGACAATACCCGTACTAAAGCTAAAGTTAGAGGGATGGACTGCTGTGTGAAGCATGTAGCTTACTTTTGGTCAATGGCTTCCATAAATTGTCCGATAACCAAAGGGACGCTCTGGATGCGCTTCATCTCTTCCTGAGCCCTTACAAGCTCCCGCTTCAAGCTCCTACAAAGAAAAAAAACAAGATCGGTCAGCGCACGCCTTCTTTAGTCGGGGTCAAGACGCAATAAACAATGCATACCTCTGCTCGTCCTTGATGTACTCCTCTTGTAGTTGAATGTACTCCAGCTGCCGCTGCAGCCGTTTGAGAGTCACATAGTCATCACCGCCCTCTATTGGTACACCCTCAAAATGCTCGATGCTGGGGATGGTGGATGGGCCCGACTTCTTGTGCAGTTGGACCTGGTTGGCCGCAAGAACGTCGCCCATTCTGAAGGCCTTTTATGTTGCGGCAGCTGACGTGTGGAAGGAAAGAGAGGGAAAGGGATTATGTAGCGGAGGTGATACGGAGGCGTTTTGCTAAATTGGGCGGTATCGCGATAACTTGCCAAGTTTGGTAGTTGATGTGGAAGCTGTACGGAGTACGAAGTATGGATTTGGTGATGTTCGGTTTGACGGCGCGTTGAGTTCAGGTGCCGAATTTTGGCGCTAAGTTCTGAACTGGCTCGTCATCTGCTTGGAAGCCTGAGGTGGGTGGCTTCGTTGGAAGCCTACTTTGATTGGCTGCTGCGGCTGCCTGACTCAGAGAGCACCGGAGCGGTATGGTGGTAATGTATGGCCCAAAACCAACGCCGCCCTATATGCAGGCTAGTGCACACAAACAAGCCCCGCAACTTGAGGTCGTCGAGCTAGATTATTGTCCACCCCGTGCGAAATCGAGTATCAAACTTTAGTGGTGTGGGAGCTTTTGTAAGGAAAGAGCCTTTTTCCCTAGCATGTAAAAGCGTATTTTATTTCCACCATGCCCTTTCTTAGCACAAGCTTAAAAAGGCACACGGTAGCAATTTCCTGCCGATTACTAATTCCTCCTCCTCAAACCAACTTCTCTACCTAACGACATTAATTCCTACCGCTGCTTCCTCCCACAACCATCTCCTGCTTCCTATATCCAACAAACGTCAATCCCTCCAGCTGGTTCCTCCCACAGCCACCAGCCGCCGACGATATCACCGTAGGTATTGCCCATCTCTACACTGCGCACCCTACCGTTGCTGACTCGCTGCAATGGCGGAGCGAAACCCACTGGTTGCTGGTGGCACGCACAAGGGGTTGTCTTCGCACCCCGACACCTTCCTCACCCATACTCTCCCGGTAATTCACGAAAATACCATCGTCGTCGCAGCGACCCATCCCACAGTCCAAACCGGCGACCAGAAAAAGAATGGATAGTTTCTGTCCGATTTCTACGCTCTCAACTACCTGCTCAACAGCTCTGTCGCGGATCAAACCTGGCTCACAGCTGCCAAGCCAGAGAGGCTGCTAGAGAAGCACGGTGACTTTCTCCATGGTCACCCCCATCGAGGCCGCAAGGTCGTCTTGAGTCGTGACCTCCTCGACTCAGATATTACTCCAATAACCCTTGTCGAGCCTGCGGGGATGATCGACAGGTTTCTCGATGAGGTTAGCAAAGCGTCGCTCCGCGCTAAGAAGGCCAGATCCTCCCTTCTTCTCATCGTATTCTGCCACGGAATTGAGGGCCATTACCTGTGCCTCGATAATGGCGATCGACGCAGGGGTCTTAGCATCGTACGCCTCAAAGCAGCCCTGGAGCCGGGTGTATTCGTTACCCTATTCACAACAGCCTGTTTCTCTGGAGGCTGGGCTATCACCCCCGAGCTGAATATCACAACACTGGCTGCCGCAACGCCTGACGGTGAATCAGTCTCGTGGCCAGTGTCAAATAGCATAGGGCGAGCTTGCGGATCTGTATTTGCTGGAGCTACTATCTCAGCACTCTCAGATACTTCCACACCGCTACTTAGACACAGCAGCGCGGAAGAACAGGGCAGCCGTTCGGAAATCCCAGGTACAGACGATACCTGCCTCCAACCTAAGGAGCCTACCGAGTTACAGACAAAGACATATAACGAGTTTTGTCGCACGGTTACTAATGTGCTTGGAGCTTCGGGGTTCTCTCGCCTTATATCTGAGGACTTCCGTTTCAGCGCGCAGAATGACGATTGTGAGTTTTCTTGGACTAGAAAATCAGGAATCCCATTAGCTCATTTCAAAGAGCGTTGGGAAAGATTGGCAATATACCCCAGGCAGCCGGACACCGACGATGATACCATGGCTACTACCCATCTCACTGGCGGCGTTGATACTGATGCCATCATCGATGATATGACGCGTGCGATGGTGCACTCACGAATAACTAGTATGGCAAGGCTATTCTTTGACAAGCTTTGCCCTGGTGATTGGAACCGAGGACAGAATGTCGCCGTCGCGGGTGGGTTCTTTCAATTTCTTCACGGCGACCCTGACGCACCGTCTGCTTCCGAAATCGCCAATCTCCTTCCGGTGGGACACTTGTCTTCTCGTAGATAGATTTGTGCAAGATCACAACCTACGTCGCCCATGCGGTAAGATATGTATCCTATGGGACTCTCTAGAGGATTATTGGGCTCCGAGCGAAAAGTATGGCAGGGAGGAATGGGGGGCACGCTATTCCCCGGTATGGCAGGCATTGTTGGAAGGTGGCGCCAAGATCCACCCGGCGGATCATCAGGGGCCCGTGTTCTATCGCCCTCTCAAATACATCGCAACAGCCATCGCCGAAACGTGCACGACCAAGGAGGACACGGACGAGATGATAGAGAAGTATTGCGAATTCGTTGCAAGCATCCGGCAGTTTCATCTCGACCGTGTCGTCAAGTCAATACCTTTCCGGCGCAAGGGTCATAACTAGCTGAGAACGATTAGTCGATGCCTCCGCCGCTCGCTGTCGCCCTCCAAGAGTCTTCACCCTTCACTGGAGGCTCCTCCAACTGCCGCCAGCGAGACCGATGACGCGCCGTCCGCCAGCAAGAAACTTAGCAAGGCTCTTGCTTTATGACAACCTTGAGGTCATCGACGTCAACGGTCACAGGGAAACGAAGCAATGACTCAAGGTGGTGGGATGTTGGACGGATCTGCCCTTTGCCTTTTTCCTCGCAGTGCTGGTTTTATCAAGTTGCTTTCCACAAAGGTAGATAATTGTGATTAGGTAGCCTCAGTGTGACCTGGTAGTGGAGACAAGTCGTCACGAATAACAGGTATTCTACCTATTTATCGTCTGTGACGCAGTTCCCACGTAAATCTCCACGTTCGCTGCAGCTCACAACTATCAGCTAGAACAGAGGTACCGTCTATGAAAGTGTGCGATCCCATTGATAATCTATCCAATCCTTCAGTCTACCAGTGCCGAGGCCCAGCCTATTCATGTACGAATATACTTGGCTTGTATTCACTGTTGATCCCCATGGTCGGATTCACCAGTTCTCAGGCCCAGAGTATTCACTTTGTGTCCTAGACACGATGGGCGCGGAGCATTAGGTACATACCTACCCTAAAAATGGCAGATCCCCCACAACAACCTGGAACGGATCATCGCTTACCGACTGTGGACGCTGGAGGTAAAGCTATATATATGAAAGGTGTGTACAATACTAGTACCTTAGGACCTGTTTTCGTAATACCGGTTCGCGGGTAGGAGTGGTTGCAGACACCAGATCTTGTATTGGTTAAGTTTTGTCGGTAAGTATACGTACCAAGGTATTGTACCTTACCTTACATGCCTCCATGGCTTCGGCCAGGTTACCTAGCTAACGGGATCCGGCGGACTCGGCGCGCAACGGCACTTCCACGTAGCTCGTCAATGCAATGGCATCAACACAGTAGTGTCTGCGTTAGAAAGGCAGAGAGCCAGTAGTGAATTGCGGGGTGTCGTTGGGCTCCCAGTGCCCCACACTCCCGAATCGGATGATATCGATTGCTGTCATTGCGGCCACGCAGTGCGGCGGGTGTCGTAAGGTTCGAGACAAGACAAGACGAGACAAGACAAGACAGGACAGGCTAGGCCAGCCCGGTGCCAACAGCCACATGCGCTGAAGAGGGCTACCCGACCTTGGTGTTACTTCCATGGGGCTGCTTCAGTTGGCCCGACTGTGCCCTTTCCGATTGACCTGACCTTGCCTATTCCGTCGTTAACACAGTGCAAGGTTTCTTACCCTGCCTTGCCTGCCAGTTGCACGCCCAGGCAAGCAGGCGCGGGCTGGTTTGGGTCAGGTCAGTGTGCACGCAGCCGAACTTACTGTGTACTACAGTCCCATGCCCCAGCTTCACGCAGCCAAGCTGAGGTGTCGCCGGTCTGCCGTTGGGACCCGGCAGCAGCCTCCTTCACAACCGCTGGTACTGTGCTCACTCATTCCCAACGGCCTTCTTCCTTCTACAGACGCCCATCAGCCTCCCACACGGCCACCCGCTGACTTCTACACTTGGCAAACTGCCGCCGCTATATCGTCAGACCTGGTTTGTGGGTCCATGTTCAGACTTCCGTTGCTTGCCTGGATTCATGGTTCCTCGGCTCTTGCAGCTCCGCACGTCCCGTCGGTAGCAGCATCTTCTCCCGTCTTGCCGCCTCCTGCTTGACGCCTTTTGTAGTGTACAACATAAACGTTTCGGTGCCTCTCGACCTCTCACGCCTCTTTCTAGGTCGCTAGACACTATGTCTTCCTCTATCGTCATTCCTGCTCCGTCGCCGTCAGCCATGGACTACAATCATATTCGACAGTCTGGTAAGGCTGATGCAAGCTCGTCGTCGTCGTCGTCGTCATACTCGAGCTCTCCCACGACACCTGGGATCTCTCCCAAGAGTCCTCATTCTGCTGGAAAGCAAAAGACGCCACATTCTCGGCGGCCCAGCCTCTTGAGTAAGTTAATGCTAGTCTAGTTTGAGGACGCCCACATGCGTATCTAGTCCTGAGCTAACTTATTAACCCTCGATAGGCTCAGCGCTCTCCAAGCAAGAGTGCACAACTATCAACATCGCCGACGATCCCGAGGGCCCTGCGCGACTGGTAAGTCCACCACTATTCCCTCCCTCGTTGTGTTACGGGCTCTATGACTCACAAGTGCTTTCTAGATTTCATACCTCTCCTCTAGCCAGGGTTTTGCATGGAACCCCGAAATCTTCCTCCCCTCATATATCGACTACGAGTATGTGCCACTCGAGAACCGGCGAGAGCCGGTCCACGATATTGTCCTCAGTGACGACGAGATAAAGAGGATTCTACCACAATAGACGCCAGGTGGTACGCATCTGGCATGCGACTACAACTGACAAAGACGCGCACACAAATACAAGCATCAACCTAGAGTTGTCGTCTATTTCCCATACTATACGAAGTCCCATGCGTTGTCCGGGGACTACATGGTGTTGGGAGCATTATTATATTTACATGGGAATTGGCTTCTCCCCGCCAGCTCTGGAACGAGCTTCGAGTGTTATAGTAGCCTGGTGGTTTTGTCTTTCTTTTTAGCCGGTTCTGTTCGTCTTTCATCTTTCATTATTCCTAGTAGGGGCTAATCATAGGACGCGTGTAATGGGGATGCGACTGGGAGCTGGGAGTTTCTGCATTTTGGTGGCTAGCGGTGGCTTTCTGATCCCTATTTGTTACACCTGTGCTTGGATCTAGGCGCTGTTTGCCTGTGTTGCTTGTACCAAAGAGGCGAGAGGTCTCATTTACAATCAGCCTCAAGGGTGTGGTACTTGCCAGCTAGGTCTTCTCCCGTTACAAGCGTGGACTTGGGCGGATACATCCTTTTGGCTCGTTTGTAACATACAAGCCTGACTTGGAAGTGAAGAAATGGAAGGAGAAGATTGCATAGCCCAGATATCATGGGAGTTGGCTCAAGGTGTACGGAGTAGTTTGCTTACATTGCTCTCGGTTGAGTTCTCAGTGTCTTTCTTTCTCAACTTGCCCTATCCATAATATCACAGTCTTGAGTATCTATTAGTTGCTTTAGGCAGGACTTTATCACGAATGAGTCAAAGTCGTTGGTTTGCTAGGCAGGACAAGCTCCAGTTTGGTCTACAGCATGATGACCCCGCCCCCACCAAACGGGCCGCCTGTCTTGAACCCACTGGTACATACATAGCACTTCCGCCTTTCTAGGTTAGCGTTCCCGTCTTGAACGGGGTGCACGGGCCCCGATAAGCTAGATAAGCGAGGAAAGGCGGCAGTGCGGGGGGTCCCAGATTGTTTGTTTTGTTTTGCTGATTCGGGAACGAGAATGCATTGAGTTGGGAAAGTTGCACAAGTCGACACTTCAATCTTTCATCGGCGCGAGCAGATGATTAGGGTGACCGACTAGTAACTGGCACTACAGCTTTCAAGGTCAGAATCGGGAGGCGGAGGGTTAACTGACCACAATGACCACCACTAGCCATCAACCAAATTGACAAATCCACGCTTGACTACTCTCGCACGACGGGCAATTATCAAGAGAACGCAGTTACGAAACCGCCCCTGCCACGACAAGAGAAACTGGAATAAAATAGCAAGAGAGGCTACAAGCCGCCATGGAATCGACATCGACCGTGCACCGGCGCATCGAGCTCCAAGCGCCTGAGGACTTTGCCTATCTCATCAACAATGTACGACGTGCCGCCGCCGACAGTATCAACGCGGCCTTCCCGCCAGTCGAGGGTGCCGACGGCCAAGAGGATGAGCTCCGCATACGGATTGAGGAAATGGTCAACAATGTAATGCACACATATTCCGCCGCCCCCCCCCCCCCCCCCTTTTTTTTGGCGTCTTGCCTTTGTTGTTCTTAGTTTCTGCGAGACCAGGAAATAGGAGTGTTTTTTTGTTCGTTTATTTCTTTCCCTCTCCCCTTGGGCCCTTGTTGAGGTCGCTGCTAATCCTGTGATTCAGTACATTATTCAAACATTCACGCTCGCTGCGCCAAACTTGACAATTAACGGTATGCCCGTGGACCCAGAGCTCTTCTTCTCGTCTTCTTCGTCACTGGCATCGCCAGCAGCTGGAGGGATATTCCTCACACCGGCGCCGGAAGAGCAGTACGAGGTATTCGACAGCCGCAAGCGGGCGCGGGTCGAGGATCTGGCGCGCGAGGAGGAGGACTTGCTGCGATCGATCGCGGCGCTGAAGCGGCGTGTGCCGCAAGCGACGGCGAGCGCGTGGGCGTTGGCCACCAAATCTGGATTAGCAGCGGACGACGCGGCCGTCGAGGCTGTGCGGACCTGTGTCGAGACGGACGGCGCCTTGTCTGGCAAGAAGACGCTCGAGGGTCTCGGGCCACTGGACCGGCAAGACGTTGTAGAGCAGCATTTCGAAACGGCAGTGGAATCTCTGGGTAGGCTGAAGCGTGACATGCCTGCTACTGTGGCGAAGATGGAGAGGGCGCGGGTCGCCGCCGGCTATGTTGCTACGGAAAGGTAGCGTGTTCACAACTAAAGCGGGCAGCTCAATGGCGTTTGGGGTGTCGATATTTTGTGCATATTGTCAGAAACGGCACGGCGTTTGGAATGTGTAATTAGGAAAGCGTCCGAGGACGCCGACGTTTGTCTATTTTATACTCATGCGGGACTAGACAGCTATTAAGAAAAAGGGAACCTGAAAAAAGAGTCTTTGCTCTTCCTAGACAAGAACCGTCAAAGACACCGCCATGGCTGCTTTCTGTGTGTTTTGTCCCAACCGTGCTACTTGTTTCTCCTCCGCTCTATCACTGGATTCTGGATCACAGCACTGCTAGAGTGCTCTTATGTCGCGGCAGGAGCCGGGGCCTTGACTTCGGCAACATCGGTGACAGCCGTTTCAGCAGCTGGCACGTCCGCACCGCCGTCCTTAATCTCGCCAGGGGTGTTGTTGATAGTCGTCTCCTCTGTCTCCCATTTGGGAGGCTTAGCCCATTCCTTCTCGCGCCACGGGCCCATGTCGCTGAGCGGACATCCGCCCGCGCACTCGCAAGAGCCTCCAAATTGCTTCGGGAGGTTCTCAGCGGGAACCTGCTCAAGTAACTCTTTCTGGTAGCCGCTGCCAAGCACGTGAATCTTCTGCACCGTGACGGGGTCAAGCCAGCCCTTGATGATACCCCATACAGTACCGAAGCCCCATGGCGCATTGATCAGGTACAGCCGCCCGAGGCGCTCGGGATAGTAGTTCTGGCTCAGGCCGCTGGCCTGCTTCACATAACTATAAACCTGCGGAGCCTTGCTGAGGCCCACGCCCTTGAGATCCATGATAGTGCAGCAAGTCTCGAGCAGTACGCCGCTCTTGCGGCTACACGCCGGAAGCCGCGGGTCCGCCAGCCGCTCGTATTCCACGGCAAGGTTGGTGAGCATGCGCTCTGCCGTAGTGATCTTGTACATGGCGGTCAAGTCAATGCCACCGAGCTGCTCGATGTAGACGGGGCGGCCATCCTAGAGGTTTCGGTACACACATTAGCACCGCTCGCAAACCACGCATTCTCACATGCGGAATCAGCGGCCGGCTGATTGCATACCTTGTCGGTTTTATGGTAGTACTGGGGGTAGTACTTGAACATCTCCTCCTTCTCGGGGTATGTCCACGACGGAACCGTCTCGTCAAGCTTGATATCTTGTCGCCACTTCTCGCACTCGACGAACCTGAGATCGTCAGCAAGCGTCTTGCGGGGACTTGGGGTGTTGGTTTATCACATCTTCTTGGCAAGTGCCACGTCAAATTTACGGGCACGGAGAAAGCGCAACTGCAACCGACTGTTAGCGTCATTGCCCGTCTCGAGACCGCAAGCACTGAAGAGCCCGCCTCACCAGTGTGAGCGTGTCGAGACGCTTGGTGAAACCCTCGGCCTCAAGCATCAGGCGCAGCTGGTGCACCAGCGCCTGTTGCTGCTTCGTCAAGTAGCCGGCGTGGCCATTCTGGGGGACTGGGGCCGTTGTCGGAAAGTCGTAATCATCGTACTTGGCATCAAGCTCCAGGGTTGTCGGTTCAGCCATGGTGTTGAGAAGTGCGGGCTCGTTGGATACGATCGTCTGGGACTTCGGGCTGGGAATGATTAGGTTGAAGAAGGACGGTGGAGGTCTAAAAAGGGCAAAATAATCGATAGGTTCTACTATGTAGAAGCCCGGGAAAATTCAGGCGACGCGATAGCAGTGCAGAGCTGCAGGACAATTCCAGGCAAAGGGGGGGGAAATTAAGTTGACAGCAAGAAGCAAGAAGGAGCCTACGTTGGGAGTTATTTGACAAGGGCTGAGGGTGAGAGTCGCTGGCGGCAGTAAAAGTATTGTACGGCGGCAGGTAAGATACCTAAGGTACCTTACTTTACCGGACTACCCTAGGTAAGGTACTCATACAGAGCAGCATTCCAAAATTCCCGTCGTCGACTCGTCATTGGAAGGCGCTGCGGCGGTAGACGCGTACTCCCCGGAAATACGTATTCACTTGTACCCAAGAACATACAGTACATACGTAGTAGTTACCTAATAAAACAGTGGGAACCCCGCCGTTGCCCCTCCTACCCTTTTGCTACTCTATTATAGAAGTAAAGAGCTATTCTTAGGCAAAGTGTTAACCAGATCTCAGCTTTACAAGACCAAAATGTACACTATCTGCGACGGAGAACAGGTTGGTTGGTTGGGGCATGACCAAGACGCCGCAAAATTCGGGCCTGGGGTGGTAGGCAATGCTTCTAAATAAACCCCAACCTAAAGCACCTTTGCCATCTTACAGCGGCGTGTTTAGGCACTGTTTGTCTCAGATCTTCGCCGTCAGGGTCAGATCCACCTTACAACCGGGGCCAACGACGACAACACCCATGAGTCATCTAATGCGTGCCCGCGGCTCAGTCATGTCGTGGCAGGGTGCTAGATACCGTGCCTTGCTATCCATAAGTTGTTATTAGGGAACGCACCGTCCTGCATTCGCATTCCGTTCGGTGACGAGCACGGCGGCGGATCCAAACCAGTCTCCAAGGTTTCTAGTAAGTAAAGGGGCCCCAAGGAGCTGCCATCGAGATCAACTCCCTTCAGACTGCCGTTCGCACGCCGGGTTGCATCTCCTTTTCAATCACTCAACCTGGTGGTGCATCCGTACCATCCGTACCTTTACCTTTCCGTGTGTCCGCCACCTTTTCCCCTTCGTCTTTCTCCTTGCGCTTCTGCACGACATCCCAGTTATACACCCTCGCAATCGCCACCTCCATGGTCTGTCGGTCAAAGGTCAGCATACACCGCATATGATGGCCGACGTGGCGCAGCGAGGTACGCACTGTAATCTGTTCTCTCAGGAAGTCAAGATCTTCTTCGCAATTTGATAGACTTGTAGTCGCAGCTTGGAGCTTAGAGCTTAGAAGCTCCTCGGCTTCATTAATGGGATATGACAACATTACGTTGGCCTTTTGTTGTTTTAGTCAGATATAAACGATCGACTAGGCTTATCATGGCACCAGGGGACAGGGATGGGAACGTGAAATCGTACCCCGAGCCATATGTAGACTTCATCTGTCGGCGGTATCTCTGCCTTTGCGTAGAGCGTATCGTTGAGTTCGAATGTTGTCTCTATGGGCTCGGGTTCGTTCTGCCAACCGTTAGTCCTATGCGATCGTTCACGGCCTGGCTATCCTCCAAGCATTTATTTTCGAGCTTGCCTTCCTCAGCTCCAAAAATCGGACTGTGTCCAAAGTCTTCTGGATGTCGGGCAGCTTGTCTTTCAAGCTAGCGACACGCCGCTGCAGATTCTGTTCCATGAACTGGTATTTCCTGCCAGAAGTTGCCGCGCGTTAGGAACAGCGAAACAGGCGAAGCGCTTTGGTTCCGTCCCTCGCCATGAAACTGCGTCACAGAACCGACCGGCTAGCGACAACTCACGCAATCATTTCCTGGAAATTTCGTAGCGTTGGCTCAACATCCGCATGCGTCGCCACATAGTCCTCGACCTTGTCGACGAACGGTGCATACGGGATGCCTCGGGGGTTGGAAGGAGCAACCTCCTTGCTGTTCACAGAGCATGTCAGGATACCACATTCACCTCCATCGGATTATTCGTCGAGGAAGACTGGGCTCGTAGTTGGAATGGAGTGCCTCGCTTACCCAGTCGCGGATTCTTTGCCTTTACTAGCCATTTTTATGCCTCACATGCTACGAAGGGGAAGAAATAGAATAGACGGCGCTGTACTCGTCGCAGAGTCGAACAAATGACGTGCCGAGATTGATGCCAAAGAAGCAAGCAGCAAAATTGGAATGGTGGGGGGTCTAGGCGCTGAGCTTCCTGAAGTGGGGTGGAATTATTATATGTGACATCGCCGCTGTCGGCCGGTTTCTCGACTTGCGATTTTACTGATACACAATCTGTACTGTACGGTATGTAAGATACCTTACCCACACCCTCAACCAACCTTTCTATTGCCTTCTCTCAATCAATACCTCTATCTTGATTCATAATTTCCATACGAATACTGGGCAGTTTCAAACCTTTGAGCTTTTGTGTCTGTTATGAAGTAGGCAAATGTGATGACAGGTATCTTGAACCAAGTAAAGTAACTAACTACCTGTAGGAACCACTAGGGGCATATTCAAAACTGCCATAACAAATGCTACCAAGACTTAACATATATCCTGTAGGTCATGAGCCAGCTTTCCGCCTCAGTAGTATAGGTCGCACTCTAAGAATTGGCAAACTCGAGGGGCGGACACTTTCGAAAACGAGATCACAGGCTGATCTCTACACGTCATACCAACTCCAAAGCAACAACCTGAGTCCCCAAATTTCACCACGCTGCTCAGCTCCGTATATTATCTGCTCATTCAGCTCCGTCCTCAACAGAGCTATTATAACCACTCTCGGCGCCGCCAGCAGTAGCTACTGAGCTACCCGTTCGGACGAGATTTACGCCCTTGTGATGGTTTGCGTTTTCAATGCTAGCGCATTAACGGGGATAGGGTGCGGGTTTGACGGCTCGCTCTCATCAGGCATGGCATCGTCGTCGTCTTCTTCTTCGTCACCGCTGTCATCTTGACCAACTCCCTTGCCATCGAATGATACGTCTTCTTGCTCGGGAAATGTTATTTCGGAGTGGTGCGGATTGGCCCGCTGAGATATCAGGGCCTCGGAGAGTGCATCTCCACCCAAAATACCCTCTTCATCCGAGTCAAGCCAGTCCAAGCCAAAACCAGATTCTGAGTCAGTGCTAAATGGTGGGAAGTAGTAAGCTGGTGGCGGCAACGCAATCGGCTTAAGTCGCTGAATCTTTTCAGAAACATATTCAATTCTAACCGGGATGTCGACGCCAACCGTGTGCCGTCGCAGGGGAAGAGGTGACGAGGTTTTCAATGATTCCAATCGGCTGGCAATAACCTCTGCAATGTCGTCCGAGCCAGAAAAACGCTCCGATTGGCGTGTAACTGCAAGTTTGGATAAAATGGTTCGATGAGTAGTAACCAACACGTCAAAGTGGTCTTCAGGGCGAACGCCGCCAAGACCGCAAGGCTCCAAAAGTGGCTCAATCGGGTCTTGTTGATCCATTTCCGGATTGTCACACCAGGGGAAATATATCTTATCGATGTTCAGTATATCTCCGTCATTGTCGGAAATATCAGCAAAATCAGAACCTGGAGATTCCGAGACTGTTGGGTGAGAACTGTCAAGGGGCCGAACCGGGAGAGAAGAGCCAGACGAGGTTCGGTGCACCAGGACATAAGGCCTACTTCGGACAGACGAATCAGGCTCCTGTCCTGTCGAAGTTAGGTATGTTGTTGGTGAGACGTCACCAGGATCTCCTGAGAGATCGGTGCAAAAAGGAGCACCACTATAATATATAATAGCACCACCAGGGCGGCGTCTTTTTCGCTGAGACGACCTAGAGCCTTCATATTCCCCAGCATTTTCGATGTTGCTGTCGTCCACCATGCCATCCGACGGTGGAGAATCCGTTTCCTCTGTTGACGTTTCTGCCGACGACGATTGCTGAACAAATAGGGGCTTGTAGTGAAAGCTCTGCGACCAAGACGACGGTTGCGGTCCAAATTTGGAGTCCTTGCTCGAGGTTCCCGACGCTGTTTGCTCTCCCAACTGAAGAGTCTTCCGTTTCTTTCTTTGACGGCCATGATTTGAACCGTCTGATTCATCGGTTGATGTACTCTTCTGAGAATTGTCCACGCTACTGTCGCTGCTAAACTTTGTCCCGTCGCTCCCCCCGCGCCAGCGTATTTTTCGGCCGTCGGGTGAGAGCTGGAACTTGGCACTCTTCTCACAGACGGCCGAGCGGATAAAGCTTGGTGTCACGTTGACTATGTGCATCTGTGCGAGATTGCAGAGCAGGTTAAGGTAAACCCAACCATCAGCGTCTGGAGACACATCTTGTCGGCTTGCCTTGTGGCCGACCATTATTTCCGGAGGGTCGAGGCCAAGATGTCGAATATAATCCATGTTCTCGGATGGTACTTGCACCCTGTCAGGATCTAGGTCACGAGGCCGGGTAGGCCGCTGCTCCGGCGGTAGAATGGTCGATGGTGAAGTCTGGCTTCCGCTCCGCCCCACACTTCTATTTCCATCGCCGCTTCCCGTTCCGTTTCCGCCAGATTCTGTCTGGTCGCCATTTGAATTGGACGATGATACGTTGTCACGTAACCGCAATTTCTTCTGCTTAGGATCCTGAGGCTGTATTCGAGCTTCGCGTGCCGCCTCCGGATTCCGCGCGAGAGCAACCGTCGGGAGCTCCGACAAAACCTCGACGCCCATGGCGGGAGCCAAGCCATTACGCGTGACAACTTTCCTACTTAGTTTTCCAGTGAAGAGTTGTTCTAAGCGTCGAACCACCAGTTTCTTCTTCTCCTTATCGGTCAACACCAGATGGCGAGGGAATAACCCGTCTGGGGTATCACGGAGATAGTGTTCCACCTTCTGCTGTGAGAGGTGCTTGCCGCGAGAACCAGTCGACGGACGCCCTTGAGACGGGCCAGATGATTGAGGCGCATTGGAACTAGGCCCTATGGACATAGAGGCATAGGCGGAATCCACGGGACGAGAATGTGAAGAAGAGGATGATGCATGTTTGGACATGGACTCTCTGGACGAGTACACGTTTTTGCCATGCCTTCCCGGTATCCTGCGTTGTGAGTGAGATTCACTTGGGGTATCCAGGCCAGCAGCAAATTCACGGAGCGTGGCCTCAAGCTCGCGCTTCTTCCGTTGTGGCAAGCCATGAACCTTGATCTCAAAAAGCGTCTCCCTCTTCATCATTTCCGGTCCAAGTTGTTTGTAACGTTTCAACTCCTTCTTGAGGCGCTTATTCTCAACGGTCAAGTCATCAATGACGCTTCGGAATCCATCCTCGCTGCTGCTCTGTGTGTCCGTTGGACGAACCGCGGGCATCTGAGGAGCTTCCTGTGCGAATAGATGTGCGGGATCTCGGAGAGAGGCACTCAGGCCCCGTTCTTCGTTGGCCAACCCCATCTCATTCTGGAAAAATGGGGGATCAACATCCATAGGACCGGTGTCGAACGTTGCTGTTGGATTTCGATTCGACCGGTCGAACCACCCTTTTGGATCACTGCGACTTGTGTTGTGGCTCTCGCTAGAGGAATTCCTTCGCGGCAAGCTCCGAGCCCTAGCCGAAGTATTGCCCGGTGACGTTTTTCTGGCAGCATCCCGTGCAAGCCGATGGTGGTAAATTGTCGCCGAATTCTCCGCCGAGGTCCTACGCGGCAGCGGATGAGTGTTTTGGAGCGGGGGCTGGCTGCCCTTCGACACGTCCTTGCTATCCGCCATATCTCCAACATAATATTTTCCTGGTCGTGTCCGTCGGCACCGCTCTCGCAGTTTTACAGACGCATGACGTTTTTATCTTCTCGATCCCAAGGTGTTGAAATCTTTCGTGGCGGATGAATGTTGTGTGTTTAACACCTCCAGAGCAGTAGCAAGTTTACGGGGGTTTTGGCGCCGGCAGGCGAAGATTTCTTATAACTGGCGTAAATCGGGTCTAAAAGAGCCAGAGTTAGGGTATCAAGGGTATATGGCTCAGCGGCGCTAAAGACGTTGGATGAACGACGAGCAGGCAAGCAGTGGTGACGGTTGCGATGACGGATTTCGCAAGAGGCAAGCCCGGGGAGAGAACACTGTCATGATTAGATGCCTGCCGGTCTCAAATTCGAAAATGGGCAGCCGCCGCTGGCGAACTGCGCGGCAATGGGCGAAATGTCAGGGTCTCGCGACTTGGTGGTGACAATGGTCTGGTGGCGATATATGTTAAGGTGGAGAAAGTCGCTCCAAGCCCTCTCTTGCGCTTGTCTGATGCGTCCTGATGTCACGGCAGGCAGATTCTCCACCTCGGCGACAGGGCTGAGAACTCGGTATGCGGGGGTCTGGAAAGGTTCGGTTGCACTTGCGATGTAGGCAAAAATGAAATGAAATTAGCATACCTACCGGTAGCTTCTACGACTTGAGCGAGATAAAACGGCTATCGGAAACTTTGCCGAATTGACTGGTTTATTCGTAGCAGCGTGTGGACTGGCAAAGCCAGATACCAATTGATAATAACACCATGGACGCGGGGGACTTCTTGAGGTAGTCAAGCCACGAGGCTGCCCGTTGGTCGAGATGATATTCGGCCTCAGGTTACGGAGTTGCATGCGCGGAGAATGGTAAAAGAAGAGGCACTGGCAATGAGCGAAGAATAAGTGCGGGCAAGCCCAAGGCAATCGAGATTGGCATTCATAGGTGGCCTGGCGGGATGCTTCGGTATGTCTAGAGCCATCGACGCGCTTCTAGTTGATTCACAGATGCAACATGGCTTGCTCCGATCCTTTGGCTCCAAACGGATCGAAGGTGATCGGAGAAATCCAGGGTCCTCACAAGGGAGGTAAGCAACTACCCTCAAAAATGGGGTGTACAAAGCAAGTCGGGAACAAGCCGCTACAGGGGTTCACCTGCACACCCATTTTTGAGGGGTAGTTCGTAAGGTAAGGTGTTCGACTCTTATTGTGGGGCATTGCCCTTGAGCTGTGGATCAGTTTGTAAAGTCACCCCACAACGAAAAGTAGTGGCCTTTACGGAGTCCTCCGTACCGTACATGGCACACTACAACGCTATCGCGTCTCGACACATTTGATCCCAATGTCCTATTTATCTTCGCGTATATTGAGACCGCACAAGGTACTCCGTAGCAGCCCTGGTACTTTGGTAAGCAAACCAGTTCTCAGCTCACGATAGAGGTAAGCGTGGACCTATGACAACTATTTTATTCAATTGACCTATGGTTAAGACCCTAGGGAAGACACGAACCGCCATGGTATACCTAGGTAGGTGTTCGAAGGGTGGTTGAGCTACGATGCCAAGTGGCGCCTTAGCTTCGAGGAGTAGGCGCATCGATTCACTTTCGATCACTTGTCTCGGCATCCGCATCGGGGCCTGGACCTCGACGTGGGGATTCCCAAGTTCCCAGCCAGGGGCAGCAGGCACTGTTCTTTTTCCCGTAAATAAATAGATACACAGTACGTACAGTACACTGAATATATCATGAAGTTAGGGGATAGACAGCAAGGGCGAAGTCCATGGACTTTAGTTGCATAGTTTTTCGTTTCCAAGATACTTGGTTCATTCCGTCTCGGCCTCATCGGTTTCGCCCAGGCCAATGACCTTCATTTGCAACTTTGATCGCATCTAGATTGACAAACTCCTGGCGTGTAATTAGTGAAATCATGCATTTTGAACCCAACGGCTTGCAGGAGTGTTCCAGACCGTTTGCAAGCTCACGAGTGTGGTGGCACTCACCAGGCGTTTCCTTGTGGATCTGGCTTTTGGGTTGCCATCGCCGGAAGTTTGGCTCAGTGGGTGTGGTGAAAAAGAAGGGATGTCGAGACACATAACCATTTAGGGGCTAGAAGGGCCGAGCGGACCACATTAACACCGATTACGGACTGGATTTACTCCGTACTATCGGCAGCAGTAGAATCAACCAGCATCATAGGTGCAGAGTCTCTGTCTTTGATACTTTGGAAGGTATTCGTACATGAATCACTGAGGTGGTCACCTATGGGGTCGGGAGACGACTATAAGTAACAATCGAGCGTTCTTCTGCAGGGTCCCCGCAATGGACCCCCGCCGGGATGGGCGACCGCCGAATTACGCTCACCCCTACCGATATCAATCCCTCGCCGGGTAGGCGAGTGTGTACATGTACTGTACGCGTGTATGGTATGGCGATACATACAAACACTCCGCTCGCAGGCGGTATGACCGAAAGTGGAAAAAACAGAGGAATGCTTTGTATTTGAGAAAAACATGTCCAAGTTCTGGAGGGGGGGGGTGTGGTTTGAGTCTATGTTGTCCTTCTTCGTAGAGATTGGGCGTCCAAGTGCGTAGTTTATTGACTACGAAAGGGTGTGGCGATCACTAGACCAAAGGACGATCGTCCGAGATTTTCCCTTTCAGTTCATGGTATAGTCTAGAAGGAGAATGGTCTTGTTTTGCTCAGTGCTCTTTCGGTTCCTTGCGGGGTGCGAGGCGGAACGTCTCTACACTAATAACTGGACTAGCGTGTTTTCACAGAGCAGCGTCGTCAAGCGGCTGCTAGTCACGTCACGTCACTATCAGAAGACGATCATGGTACTCCGTACCATCGTCCACTGTGCTCTTGCTCGTCCCAACACCAAAGTCTTCTCGAAATTTAAATTGGTTTTGGGGTAGGGCCGCTAACACACTGGCTTTGCGGCGATGTTGTGTAATTCCGTTGCTGTGGTTTGGCACGTACCTTTGACCCAGTTCATCAGAAATTTGGAACAAGCGCATACAAGGAACCAAGGCAACAAGCCCGGGATAAGTCGCGTTGGCACCGAAGAGCAATATTCTCTTTGTTCATTCCGATGCTCAAACGTACGAGCCCGGAACCAAAGAAACCCCTTTCCCAGCAAACTCCACGATACTGCAGGGGTAAACTTTCAGAGGCCATACCAGAAGAAAGGGGCCAGGCTCCCCGTGCGAGGAAGGATTTGAGACGGAGATTTATGCACTGCATTGGAGGCCGGTGGATATTGATTCTCTCACTATAAGCACCATGCTTTGGTGATTATGGCTTCTGACAGGTAGTCGTCCAAATACACTATCCTCGATTGGCTTGTTGACACCTATTTCTTGAATGTCGCCGTTCTTCCAGACTTCTCGTAATTGAGCTGCCTCGCCCCACGAGGACCATCGCCCGACTTCTTAGTATACGGATCAAACTTCCCCCCCTTCTTATCACCGGCACTGAGCTTTGACGCCGTTTGCAAAACAGGCGCGGCCTTGCTATAGTCAAACGGCCGCTCATCGCCGTCTTCGTCCATAGCACCGGCAGGTTGTGCTTGCTGGGCGGCTCTCATTGCCGCCTTCTTTGCCCGCCTCTCTGTTTTCCATGTAGCCCTAGCCTGCTCCCTTGATTCGATCTTGGCCAATTTCCGGGCCTGTTTTTTTCTAGCCTTCTTCTCGGCCCTCGACTCCTTCGCTGCTGCTGTCTCGTTGCTATGAGACCTGTCGCCGCTCAAGTCGTTATCCTTTATCCCGTCCTGTGGTGGGCTCTTAACGGACCCAGAGACATTACCGGATCGAATCTCAGAGTCAGGCTCTGAACCAGCATCAGACTGACCATCTAGTTCTGAATCTGTTGCGTCGTCGATGTTTTTACGCTTCCGTCCACCTTTGAGCGTAAAATTTTGATCTTCTAAAACCTGAACTTCAGGTTGCGTTTGATGAGGATTCGACGAAGCGGAATCCGAGGCAGCCTTTTGTATCTCCTCCCCGCTTCCAACAGCGCATGTGCCCTCCACGAATCGGTGATAAGGAAGTGAGATTTCTAGTATTTCGTCAGACTCGTTTGCCTTCGTAGACCCATCCCACAAAGTGCTCATGGCCATGTTTCCCCATAGTTGGGAGTGCTGGGCCCTAAGATCTTGGATGTTGGTGGACTTGTGGTCCGATTCCGGAATGGTTTTCGTTGGAACCGAGTCCAAGCTATTTTGAGCTGTGGCTCCGGGAGCTGCTCGGAAGAACTCTATCACTGAAGGGCCATTCACCCCGCTGGCCTGAGCTGCTTGGATCAGCTCAAACAGCCCGTCAAAATGTACCTTTAACCCCTTGGCATTGCTATCCAGCAAACTCCACAAAGCTTTTTTATCAGATGGGAGAATTCGAGCAATGTCCCCGAGGACCTGCTGCGTCATGATGAAAAAAGGGCTCTCATCGTCATGACGGGCCAGGTCATCTCGCCACTTGTGCACAGCTTTGTATACTGAGAACTGTTCGCCGTTGTATAGCGTGGGCGACTTTACCAACGTGTTGAACCAGCCACGTGGACCGAGACCGGTTTCGGAATCGTAGACCGGACTCTCATAGCGTTGCAAAGACACGTCCTTGGACTTCTGAATCACCAATTCAACCAGGTTCTTCTCTGGGTCGCTCAGACCTGAGCCACCGACAAGTTCATTGCGGACCATGTCGAATATATAGAGCAAGTAGTGTGTGTCGGATTGCGCATAGTAAAACATCTCTTCCGGTAGTGGCCTAACGAGGTGTCAGTGTGATTACTTAATAAAACGAGTATGTGCCTACCTGATCCGCCAGTCTGCTAGTTGGTATCTCTTGTCCGCGTCGAAGTCCACAAACTTCTTCAGCAAGTATGCTAGGCTTTTCCCTGGATATCCAAGCACACCGCATGCATGATGGGTATCAAAGAGACCGACCACGTACAGACCAAGGTCTCTTTGAAGCCAAATAATATCCATAAATGCCCCATGGAGGACCTGCGGTTGTCAGCACCATAAATGGCCTCTAGTTTCGTCTGGCTTACCTTTATAATACCCGGGTCGGCAAAGACTTCATTGAGGATCTCCAACTTGTGCCTCCACGGGACAAGGGTGTCGACTATCCAGTCCTTGTCTCGTGTGCTTATCTGCATAAGGGACAAGAGGCCCGTGTAACTTCTGTAGTCATGGTGCTCAAGATCGAGAGCAATTTCCTTGGCCTTCTTCAGTTCTTCGATCATCTCCAGCACTCCCTCGTAGGTATCAACCCATATAGCTGAAGTGGTCTCAACGGGAAGATACTCCTGAGCTTCCTGTTGCTGATACACTTGTTTGGGGTATTGCATAAAGCGTATCTCAGTTTCGTAAGGGTGCTTGTACCTGAGTAGGTAGTTAGCTCTGCGTCTTGATGAGTTCGTATTCTTATTTTTTTCCATCTTATTTTTCTCTTGCTGCAATTTAGGCTCCTCTACCACGCCTGCACCGCCTTCGCCACAATGTTTTGACACCCCCATACTTGATGCGGCTCTAGCAGGCCCCAAGATAAAATTTGAGGAAACTTGATCTTCATACTCTGTCTTGTTTTGCTCCTCGTCGGTAAAAGTTGACAAACTCTCTCCAAGAGGTACCACTGCATGAGGTTTCTTCGTAAGCAAAGGTTTCCACGGGCCAGGTTCGAAATTGTCGATCTTCTTCTGGAACGCATTCTGAGGCTTGAGGATGTTGGCTCGCTTCAGTGATTGGTCAAGGCGTTCGTGCGTCGACTTCGGCCGTTTGCTGTCACGACCCTAAGTAAGAGTTAGAAGTATCCGCATGGTCATTCGGTAAGTTCTTATACGCACAGATTCATCTACCGGTAGATTCTTCCGCTTGATGAGCCCAGTGTATTCGTCTAAGCAAGTGTCGGCTTTCTCGAGGAGCGAGTCGATCACGTCGACAATACCTTTCCATTGAATGTCCACGTCATCCACATCCTCGAGAGTAGATACTTTCTGCCCAGTTGCTTTCCCTGCCGATGCGAGCAGATCGCTGGCCAGGCGAAGGAGGCGGTCCGTCTTGTCATCCAGCTTGTTTGCGACGGCGGGATCCACGGTTCGCTGGAATTGGAGGTCTTCGTTGGCAAGTCCGTTGACCGATCGCGTTACGGTGACCAATGCGCTCTGGATTGTCTCGCGCAAAGCGCCGAAACTTTGGGAGGAATCCATCATGGCCTGTATGGGCCGTTGTTAAGTGCGTCGGCAGCTTGTGAAGCTGGGAAAAGGTGTGTCGGTCAACTCTCAGATTTCTAGAACTTTTGGCGTTGCTAAAATGTAGGAAGTGGGGTGGAGAGAAACTTAGCAGGAAGACTAATTGAATAATTGAGCCAAGTACTAGAGGTACCTGAGGCTAGCACACACTGTGGGATCAATTTGGCGCTAATATGTTCCCAAATGTGGCCAAAACGACCTAATATGCGTGCATGGGTAATATCCGTCAACCAAATTATTCTTATTATTACATGGCTACGAACGATAAGATAACAATCCCTGTAGGAAGGCACGTCCCGTGAATGCCCCCTGGTACTCAAATTCTCAACCAAGCGGTTGGGTGCGGAGTATTCTGTGTTCAGGAAGCATGTATACAGACCCCCCGAAAGTGGCCAGCATGCCACAACCTGGAAGTTGTTGTCCCATAACAGAATATACCAGCCCCATATTTTCGCCCCTTGTGTGAACATTTCCAGCAACAAATTACCTACTATTTAATCGGTCGGCCAGGATATGGACTTGTGTGCATCTCTGGCCTAGGATTGACTTCGGGATTCTCCAGGGTGTCCAAAATAGAGACTGGACGGGAGTGGCGTTCTGTCTTGACCTTTGCCGCCTTCTCCGGAACCAAGGGGATTCATCATTCCATACTAGAGATTCTACCTTCTCTTCCCTTCCCTTCCCTTCTCCATCTCTTCATATCCTCGGCATTTATAGTAACCCCTAACTCGATTATCTTGGTGCCTACTCGGCGGCAGCTTTCAAGATGTCACAGTCGCTTGCGAAGCAGTGTAACGAACTAAAGGAGTACGCACTTATCTTTGTTCTTCAAGCTTGATACTTGCTAATTATTACGTACGTAGACGTTATGATACCTGCTTTTTAAAATGGTATAGCGAAAGTCTGTTTCCTCGAATGCAGAGTCCAGCTTCGAGCCTGACCATTACTGATACCTGAAAAGAATATCTCAGGGGAATTGGCACTGCGGACAACAATGAATGTTCTACGCTCTTCAAGGAGTACAGCAGCTGTTTGCAGGTACGGGCTGAGTGGGCTGCTGGCCAGAAACCGGACTAAACGTTGAATATGATCTTTCTTAGGAGGCCCTTAAAGAGCGAGGCATCGACAGACTGTTAGAGGACGCACGGGAAGACAATAAGGAGAATGACGCTGCATTTCTTGGGAGAAAAAAGTGTAAGCAGATTGCCCCTGCCCTGCTGGTGCCTCACCAGTATTCTAACATGACTTTCCTTTTAACAGAGACGAAGGACAACATCGTGATGCCCTACAGCGCCACATCCCGCCCCATCCACATTGCGCGTCTGTTTACACGTCCTCTACATATTGTGCAGAGCAACTGTATTCGTATTGGTCTTACACCAATATCCTCTTTGGGAGCAAGACTTTTCTATTCGTGGCCTGAGAATCGGATGGCAGACAGATACATTAGCTTTCAAGGATTGGTCGTGAAAAAAACGCAATACTTGTTCAAGGTCTGATACCTCCTTGGTAGTGCCATCTGAAGGAATCGTGAGATCTGCACAACAAATGGGCTCTGAGGTACCTTAGGTACCAGACGGCATTGGTGACGGGAGTAGAGGTACGAGCGCACGGTCCACGCAGTCTGCAATTGGCTCTGGAATTCGAAGCCCCACTGTCGACCACAATAGCCGAAAGCGCTGCGGATGCACACACACAGTTGAGGCACTCGCAACTTCATCCAACCTCCAGCTGTAACAGAACCGCACCTGCGTCTTTCCCAACGAGCTTCTTTACCCAATTTACTACTGCTCACGCCACAGATTCGACTTTGCAACCCCTCAATCGTATGCGAAAAGGTTGAATCCGACAGAGAATATCGCGGCCGCACACTACCCACAAGCCAGACCCGTCGCTTCGTCCCTCTCTCGGCATGCCCAACTCGTAGAAGACGAGCGCGTTCATGCACCCATTCTCCACTCTAACACTCGGCATATTCGTAGCTGGCTACATCACTGCTCGTTGGGATCTTGTTACTCGCCTTTATGAACTTGCCATCTTTGCCTGGGATTACGGAGTGGTTGTAAGTGCCCTTTGCGCCTTGGCTGCTAGAACTTGCTCGGATCCTGACAGTTGTCTTATACGTGTACAGTCTCGCGCCGCCAAAGGTTTCGTCGTGCTCACCGTTGTGTTCCTTGTCGTTTTTCTCCCTGTCGAACGTCTCGCCACCCGGGAGGCAAATCTGGTACACCTATACCTCGTCCGCCAACTTGATTACTTGCTGATAAAACCCGCCTAGCACCCGCGATCCCCGGGTTCCGGTATCTCGGCCAGAGAACAATTGAGGCGGCGTGGCTCCTTTTAAGTGCCTGGTCGTGTCCCCGCCGTCTGTCATGCCAGAGCATGATGGATTGATGCGCGTATTCTGGCCGGCCGACCTCATAAAATCCGGCCTGAAGGGCGTCGTTGTGGGTTGGAGAAACTCGGCACTGGATGTATTCGTCCTAGCAATTCTGGACGAAGTTGAGGTCTGTCTTGTCTTATCAAAGCGCGACGTTAGGCCAACTAACACCTCTCTAGCCTCGCAATGTTGAAAGCGCCTTGAAAATAGGAACTCTTCTACGAAATGCTCCTCACCCGGTCAGCCGCATCTACGAATTATGTGGCCAGTCAGCGTTACATGTCCTGGGGCTAGCAAATACACCCGACACTGTGGAATTTGATCCCCCATGGATTCGTGTCGCAACAGTACCGGGCAACCGAGTGCCCTCTGTCTCATGCGCCCGAGCTTTAAGCATTCAAGTCGTTCTCTTCGAGAGGCCCTTGCCTGGGCGGATGCAGTATATCTCCCTAAATCCCATTGCTCTCGCCTTGGGGGATAAGCATGGGAGTGCCAGGCAGGACTTTCCAGGAAGTGGAGAGGAAGACGATGAAAATGAAGAACGACGTAGAAAGGAGAAGAAAATGCAACTAGTCGAGAAGCTTAAACTCCACTCGGTGGTGAAACGCATTCCTTCCGCCAAGGAAAAGGCTTTGGCCAAGATCGTGAACCAGATCAACTGGGCATGGGAACTTGAAGATTTGCTTCAAAAGAACGTCTCACGCATTGGCACGCGGCCCAAGAGGAGCCTCAGCGTTTCCGAGAGAGTGGTTGAATCCGCGACGACGATGCGGGATATAATCCTTGTATGGTTGTGGGATTTCGTCACCGTCTACGTCCTGCCTATCATCAAACGAGTTTTTGTGCTGGGCTTGATGTCTCATCGGATTGCTGCCGAGATACTATTGCTTGTCTTGGAGTGGCGAGCGCGGCCAAGGTATGCAGCACTCAAGGACATCTCCGCCACAGCTCAACAAGTTGAAATCCGGCTCCAACAGTTCTGTTACTGGCCAATGCAATATGTGACTCTCCGATTGAGAAAGAATGATTGGGAAAGCGTGACGACAAGTCATCCCGATTATATACGGTTCTACAATAGCCTGTGGCTCGTTGCAAACGATGTCATCATTGGAATTGCCCTCGGCTCCTACATAATCGACAACTCTGCCTGGGTCGCCGAGGAGATCAGTGAGCTCCTCAGCCAGTACACGGTCGAGGCATTGCAAAGCAGCATCTCCTGGCTCATGGGTTGGCCTGCAGGCCTGAAACTAAACAACGAGCTCGCAGCATTTCTCGGGGATTTATTCCTATGGGTCATTGACTACTGGTCAAGTAGGCGTCTTGTTTGAGCTGTTTTATCTAGGGGTCTCGCTAATATGTCGCCAGGCTGCATCGATGCCCTCCGCCCAGCCTTACCACACATTATCTGGTTCATCGGCTTCTCTAGCTTCGCTGGAGCAAGTATGCCGATAGCCTTGTTCTCGGATCTCCTCTCTATTCTAACGATCCACATCTACTCATTCTATCTTGCCTCGGCGCGAATCTACCACTGGCAGTTGAATATTTTAATCTCGCTCTTCCATCTTTTCCGGGGGAAAAAACATAACGTTCTACGGAATCGTATAGATTCGTGCGACTACGACCTTGATCAACTGCTAGTCGGTACAATTCTCTTCACCCTCATCTTCTTCCTACTTCCGACAGTCGTCGTCTTCTATTTGAACTTTGCGATTGCCCGGATGGCCATTATTTTACTCAAAGCCGTCTTCGACACTATGCTTTCGTGCCTAAACCACTTCCCCCTTTTTGCCCTCATGCTCCGAGTCAAAGACCCGGGGAGGCTACCAGGTCTGTAATATAATTTCCAAGTCCTCGGCCGAGGCTTAGCTTACCAGACATTAGGGGGTATTCGCTTTGAGCTTCGAGATACCCAAGATTTGGGACTTCTCGATGAAAATGTCTCAAAGCAGTCATCTTCAACCTCTGTTATATACTTGAAAGTAAGGGCATTCTTGACTTCGCTCAATTTGAACTGATCTAACTCGGCTTCTAGTCCATTCCCTTGAACTTCAAGGCCATGTTTCACCAATATTTTCAAATGGGGAACCGGATCCGCAAGCACTATCTCTCCCCACGTGTAGTGCTGTGCCTATTGACGGGCAAGTTTGTTCCGCCTCTTAACAGAAAGAACTTATACAGCCTTCAGTACAGCATGCTTCCAGCTCGGAGGGCAGGATTTATGGAGATGTGGGATGCGGTGAACTCATTGCCATCAACAGCAAGGAGACGGTCAACCCCAGTGTACGCGCCCGCTTTTGCGAACGGGAAGAAGTACTCTAGGTTTGAAGGGGTAAGGGCACGAGGCAACGGTCAGGCCATTGGACAACCCCCAATGTAGCATAGCATCGCATTGCAATGGAAATATATGAAAAATTTTCATGATTGCTTCTCCCCGGAGTAGTTAAACGGGTGCTGGAATCCCACCCCGTTCTGTAGCCGCTGACCATGTGGCTTTCGAAGACCAACCGCCTGCCTGCATTACAACTTTGGCCGAAAGGGCTAAGGTGGTGCCAGGCGCTCCCGTCAGGTACGAGTCGGAATTTCGAAGTATTAGAAGTTACCTTGGATGAGTAAGGTAAGGCAGGTGAGGCAGGTAAGATATGTAAGGTACTAGTAGTCTACTAATAAGTGGCCGTATCAAGACTTGTGTGAAATGCAACTCCCAGCATTGTGTTCAAGTAAGGCAACTTTAGTGTTGAAGTGTCCAGCGGAAGAAACGACGTCACGGTGCATAAGGTAAGGTACCTAGGTACCGTAGGTGCCTTATCCTGGTACCCAACTGTGACGGGGAAGTTGGAAAAGGAGGAACTAGTTGAAGCCTTTTCCCTGCGAGTAATAGACACCGCTATAAATCGATTAGGTACCTACACGAGACAAGAAATAGCGACGACTTGTTCGCAGCCGTCTCCAGCGGTGCCTTCTTCCAAGTCGGGACCAAACTTGCAGAGAGGAGGTGCGTCACATCAAGTCTCCACCGTAGCTGTTTTCTTGACAGATGATCACTCTCATTCGTCAACTGAGGCTTCTTGCATTTTGCCCCTCCATGTACACACCATGTATGGGGAAAGTGCCCGTTAAGGTGTGGGGAGGGGGGAGGTCCCCAGCTCCAAAAGAAACCGGGCACACCTGTTCATGGGACGATTCTTCTCCGCAGTCTCCTTCGCGCAAGTTACCTACCTCACTGGTATTATAAGACCCATCCCGCCCATCTATCTCCCGAAAGGAGAAGACGAAATTCTGGCAGTGTGCATGTAAGTGGCACTTATTTCCTCGTTGATTGCCAAAGTTGTGCAGATGCAGATTAGTTACCTAATTATCCAGAAAACAGAAGCTCGATGGATGCCAAAGAACGGTTTTACCGCCAGTTCCAGGCAACGACAGCCCGTAAGCATGGTTCTGGAGAAATCAAGAAAGAGACCCGCGCTCACCTCAAACCCAAGGACTCCAGGAGCAGATTAGCCAGCTCCCAACTCTCTCGGTCGCCGGGGGCGAGCGCCAAGATGCCATCGAGCATGTACTTGCTGGCATCTCGCGTCTTTCGAGTGAGGTTGCTGACTCCAGCGACTATCTGCCAGCTTACGACCAGCGCACTTACTCGCAGACGCTCAAGACGCTGAACGACCAGTTCAACGATGCCATAGCCACACTCACACCCAAGAATCGCTTCCAGTTCAAACCTCGTGCTGCTGCTCAAGCCACTGCCGCTACCGATCGTAGGCAGGACAGTCGGCATCTAGTTCCCACGGCCAACGACGGCCTCGCGGCCGAGACAACTACACCTAGCACCACATCCACGTCCGATTCCCTTGAGCCTTCAGATACCCTTAGCTCTCTCCCAGTATTTTCTGGGAAGAATTACAACGAGGAAGTTGCGCGACCTACAGCATCTGGGATCCGTAAGCCGAGCTTCTCAGCTGCTCGTGATATTGTCTTGTCTGACCATGACCGCCTGCACATCATTCTCCCTTCGTCGGCGGCACGGGCGACCTCGGCCGGCGCCCTTACGAATCTCCGCGGTTGTGTTGTGGACATGTCGGTACCGACAAACGTCTCCGAAGGCGCTCCGTTTGCAAGCTTGGCATTAAAAAACATACAAGGAAGCGTCGTAGTAGCAGGCCATGTAAACGGCCCGGCACACATCACTGGCGTCCACAATAGCATACTGGTGGTGCTGGCACGACAGGTCCGGATACATGAATGCGAGAATGTCGACCTGTACCTTCACAGCACAAGCCATCCAATCATTGAAGACTGCAAGGGGATGAGATTTGCACCAGCCCCGACATACTATGTAAGTGCAACCCGGGCAAGGCAGACGGGGTTGGACACTAACGAAACGGCTCAGATTTCCAGCAGAGATGAACAAGAAAAAAACCAGTGGGATCAAGTTGATGATTTCAAATGGCTGAAAAGCGACCACTCGCCAAACTGGAGCATCCTGCCGGAAACCGAGCGCATCCCAGTAGATGTCTGGAAGAGCGTCCCCGGGGCGCCTGGGGTGGGTGTGGAAGATATCCTAAAGAAAGTAGGTCTCTGAATTTGAGCGAAACGGGAGAATAGGCTAGATTCAAATGGCAGACTGTAAAATAACCCAAAAGGAAGGCATCTTTAAAAGGGTATCGATTGTGTCGGTATTAGGAGGTTTTCCGGAAGCGTGATACCAGTCCCAAAGCTTAATCTAGCATTGATTATAATATTAGGCAGCCAAATTTTCTATCTGCCAGCCGGCTCGTTCTGAACCCTCGGTTAGAGAAAACGGCCCGCAGCGATGGCGGAATAATATTGAAATCACAAGATCGACTGATCTCAGAAAACGGCAACGGCAGAGACTTTACTCACTCCCCTCGTGCTGTACTCTGTCTTGAGCAGCAATGCCTCCAATTCAGCGTCCTCATTGTCTCAAGAAAATCTTGTCGCCCATGAAAAGTTTCGAAAGGTCCTCTGTTGGATGGGGTGGCCGCGATCTTCAGACAAGCGGCGTGCTGATAGTAGTTGGGGGCCGAAGATTACTCTACCATCCGCTCTCCCTCATCCCTCGTGCTCTGCTCGGCGCTCGCAAACTGTAGACCCTCATCCTTAATCCTTGCGAGCATAGCCACCTGTCTCCTCCTCCGCTCTTCAAGCTCGCTGATCTCTGCCTCCTGCTGCGCAATGCTCCGCCCTACGTCGGGCAGAGTTTTAACCAAGGCGCGCGCCCGCTGAAGCTTGTGCTTCAGGTTGTCAGTTGCGGCGGGCAGCCCCTTGATGCTGAGCATGCCGGTCCCGCTTCCCGCGGCGCCGATCCCGCCGGCCAACGGCGTGGATCCGGTCATCGCACCCAGGGTAGGTGTCGCGCCGCTTGGCCCTCCAGCAATAGACATGGCGCCTGTGGTTCCGCTAATGTTGGGCAAGCCGACAAGATTGCCAAGTGCCGGTGTTGACATGCCCCCGCTAGCTGCCGCTTGAGCTGAGCGTAGTTTAACAACGATGGACATCAATTCAGTGAGGGTGTCGACCGAGTCGGGCGAGAGCCCCTCTGGAAGATGAGACGCCATTGTGTAGATGCAAAATAGGCAGGTAAGTAAGTCGACGACGTGATCAAAAGTCTCGAAGCGGCGATGGCCAGTCGGCCACAAGATAAATTTTGCCTGCCAGACCCTGAGACAATAGAAGCCGTAAGAGAACTCGATGAAGAAGCAACGAAAAATAAGTATTCCATAGCCTGGTTTGCTCAACGAGATGGAATGAACGTCAAACTTAAGGCGCTTGAATAACGAAGGTTTGGTAAGGTACCTGTATGGAATCAACTGTTTCCCAGAGCCGGTAATCCGTACGAATGTTCTGTACATCCGTATGTATCGGATGTTGGACGGGGCTAACCAGCGGAAGTTACCGAGAGTGGAGGTCGGGCAGACTAATTACAGTGAGTGTGCATACGGATACGTGCATAAGGTACAATATGTATGCATGTGCATACGGTATATTTCCAAACAGTACCAAGGTAAGGTCAGTTCTCCTAGCGACCAGGAGTGGAGGGAGGCTACAGGTACCTTAGGTAAGGTCTGTAAGTGGGGTTCTCGAGAGGCCTACTCTACTCGCACCTTCCTTAGTCACAAAGTTTACCCCGCGCTCCCGAAATCTCTCAACAGTACTGTTGTAGCTCTACAGTAGGCAACTTGGATAGGAGCTTCGTCCCATTCTCAAATCAAGTTTTTATCCCGCACTCCGGGATATCTCTGCTCACCCTAAACAACATTCTCTCCTTCAGTCATCGTCTTACAAGCCTCCCTAACGGCAAAACGACTACGTTATCTCTCTCAGTTGAAACTTACCTTACTTAGACTTCACCCTTGAACGACCCCACCACCAAGGACAGGATGGCCCCCGATCACAAAGCCTGCCTGAGTACGTCTCGCCGTCCTAACTACCCGCTGGTCGCCTGCTATATCATTGTGTACCTAGAGCTTGGGTGGCTGATCATGATGGTCGTACGATTATATAGTCGTGATTGACGGCTGGGGCATTCCGTCGGACGAATCGCCGAAAAATGGTGATGCAATCGCTGCCGCCAAGACTCCGGTCATGGACGAGCTCTCTCAGAGCGCGACCGGATTTACCGAACTCGACGCCTCATCGCTTGCTGTGGGCCTTCCAGAGGGTCTCATGGGCAATTCCGAGGTTGGGCATCTCAACATTGGTGCCGGGCGAGTTGTCTGGCAGGACGTTGTCCGTATCGACCAAACAATCAAGCAGAACAAGTTCGCACAGAACGATATTATCAAGAAGACCCTCGAATCGGCAAAGAACGGGAATGGACGTCTTCACCTCTGTGGACTCATCTCCCATGGTGGTGTGGTCAGTATTTAACTCCATATCCTCCTATATCCATGAGATTCGGCTCTAACAATCCTGCAGCATGCGAAGCAAACACATCTATATGCCCTTCTCCAGGCTGCGAAGGAATACGGCGTCCCGCACGTTTATATTCACTTCTTTGGTGACGGCCGCGATACCGACCCCAAGTCTGGCGCCGGCTATATGGAAGAGCTCGTATCCAAGCTAAAGGAAATCGGCAGTGGGCAGATTGCCACGGTTGTCGGTCGATACTATGCGATGGACCGTGACAAGAGATGGGAACGAGTCGAGTTGGCCTTGAAGGGCATGATACTTGGCGAGGGCGAGGAGAGCAATGACCCGGTAAAGACGGTCAGGGAACGGTACGAGAAGGGGGAGAATGACGAATTTCTCAAACCCATCGTGGTGGGAGGCAAGGAAGCTCGGATCCAAGGTTCGCAGTCCCCCAGATTCCCAACCATTCCATTGACTTGGTATGTAGCAGTAGCTAATTCTCTTCACAGACAACGACACCGTATTCTTCTTCAATTACCGTTCTGACCGTGTTCGGCAGATCACTCAGGTTCTGGGCGATGTTGATCGGTCGCCTTTGGCCGACTTCCCGTTCCCCAAGACTACTCTGGTCACCATGACTCAGTACAAGCTTGACTATCCATTCGAAATTGCCTTTAAACCGCAACACATGGGTAATGTACTAGCCGAGTGGCTCGGAAAGCAAGGTGTCAAGCAGGTGCATGTTGCCGAGACTGAGAAGTACGCCCACGTCACCTTTTTCTTCAACGGCGGCGTTGAAAAGGCCTTCCATCTCGAGGAGCGCGACGAGTCGCAGGATCTTGTGCCATCCAACAAGAGTGTTGCGACATACGACAAAGCCCCCGAAATGAGTGCTGACGGGGTTGCAAATCAGGTTTGCAAGCGCCTGGCAGAGCATACTTTCCCCTTCGTCATGAACAACTTTGCTCCTCCGGATATGGTTGGCCACACGGGCGTGTACGATGCCGCGATTGTGGCTTGTGAGACCACAGATAAGGCAATTGGAAAGATCTACGAGGCATGCAAGCAAGAGGACTACATCCTCTTCATTACCTCTGACCATGGAAATGCCGAAGAGATGAAGTTCCCTGACGGGAAGCCAAAGACGTCGCACACTACCAACAAAGTGCCCTTCATCATGGCGAATGCCCCCGAGGGCTGGAGCCTGAAGAAGGAAGAAGGCGTCCTGGGAGATGTGGCCCCGACAGTACTGACAGCCATGGGACTGCCGGTGCCCTCGGAAATGACTGGCGCTAGTTTGTTGATCAAGTCTTGAGGGAGGACCTGGGCTCGGAATTGGACTTCGCAATGAATAGGAACATGAAACGAGCAGGCATATAGACGAATAGACGCCTAGGACACAACATTCGGGACGAAGAACCACTATGCTCAATGCGGAACTAGATTGTATGGGAAATGAAACTTGGGAGTAGACTTTGGCCGTGGTAAGAGGCAAACGGAGAAATAGCTATGAAGAAGGGACTTTGTTGAAATCGAATTTAAGAAGTGATCCCTGCTCTTACACGACGACCTCTTATATCACACACAATGAGCCCGCTGAATATTATCGGCCGGAGAAAAGCCGCTCCACGAAGAGCATTATTTATATTCAATATTACACCTGGGATTGCATAAAAACGACTAGACTTTCTGTTCGCGTAGTTGATACTTTGCCTTAAGGACATACATTACCTTGCATATTGGGGAGGACAAATACAGTCCTACAAGGCCAAATGTTTTCAAGCAACTTCGAAGCACCTGAGATAAAAAAGAGTCGGCCTAAATGACTGGTAATATGTGTGTTGTACCCAAGTTCCCTGAACCTCACGGCAATCACGTATCGTATTGTAAGTAGCTGTCTTAGGTACCTTACTAACCTTTACCTACCTGCATCTACATTTTCCCTTGTCCTAACCTGTTTCCGTGTTTGACTTTCAAACGCGGGGTAAAGACGAAAACAACGGCTCTCAAGCGGCAAGATCTCCCGTCTCTCCTTCCAAAGGCCTGCATAACTTCCACACAGGCCCTCGTTCTCACATGACGCGGCCGTGAGGGGAAAGGGCCAGGGGTGGTTCGAAGGAAGGCCCGTCCCTCCTCAACCGCCTTGTAATAAAGCAAATACCTCGGGGACTTCGAAGGCAGGTAATACGCTCCAACAACCTCCGGATTCCTGGTGTTAATTTTGACCTCATTTTGATTCACATCCTGTCTCCTCCCATCGACTACGAAGGGAAAGCGACACAACTGTCGCCCATTTACATTACCTACTAAGGCATTTGTTTACGGCACATTTGTTCCTCTGGCTAGGCCGTTCCTAGAGACGACACCGACCGGAAGCCCATATCGGCCCCGGCCTCGGAATCACGCCCGGCTTCGGCCGGCTGCCGCTATCCACCTCATCCTCGCTCCAATGAATTGGTCAGGAGCAAAGGTGGATGGTCTTTGTCAATATCGAGCCGGTGCGGTGTCCTTGGCGTCCATACTACACAGTCGGCGGGGTGCTTCCCCTCGCATGACTTTATACGACAGATCAACCGTTGTGAAGCTCGAGCAAGTGCTCACGCTCTGCCGCGATGCTGGGTGCGAGTTCTTTAATTCTGCCTACTTCAATTCTCGTTCCCTCTTTCCCTAGCATCTTTGCGAAGTCACAATAAAACGCCCATACAAATCAATGTCACAAACTCGATTTGATGAATTGAGCCCGTATGGCGGAGTGGAGATTGTGTCTGTCATTGCGGGTGACGAAATGAAATAGAGGTTTTGTTGGATGGTAGTCCCTCGAGAGGAACTAGGGTAGAATCGCGATTGGCTATTGTACAAGTTGTCGGGAAGTGTCGACAAGACGGACTTATCGCCTCCGTGGCTTTCCCCAGTCTAAGGTCTATGCCTCCCCCGTCTATGGTACGATTCTATTGCTATTATGCCACGTTCACACTCGGCCCCATTCCTTTCCATTCGTCATCTGCGATGTAGGTAATATCGCAGAAGACTCTCGTGAAAAGATCTTGGTACACACCACCTTGCTCCTTCTCCTCCGCTATGTACAGGCGCAACCAGATTACGTCGAGAACGCGCCGCAAATCATGTCTGTACGACGTGGATGAGATGCTTAGGTCTGCAGAACAAGTCAAAGTCAGCAATGTTGAAGGATGCGACGCAACAAAACGAACTCGAAGTCATCATTAACTTACGAACTTGGCCATGAGGGCAACCATGAGATCGAAAAGACCAATGGCCTCAACGAAGGCGAAACCTAGAATGGCGTACGAGAAAAGCTGGCCGCGGAGAGCAGGGTTGCGGGCAACGCTGTTGAGGAGGGCAGCGAAGACAAGGCCGATACCGATACCAGCACCGGTTAGACCGATAGCGGCGGAGCCCATACCCAAGTTCTTGGAGACCTCGACCATGGCCTGGGCAATCTCGGAAGAGTAAGCGCGGCGAGTCTGGAGGTTAAAGGCATTGCGGGTCGTAGCGTTGACGATCGAGGTCATCTGCTGGCGCTTAAGCGTCTGGAGAGGGGAGGCCTTTGTGGCGCCTGATAGAGGAGCGTTGTCAGCTTCGGGTCGGGTGGCGATTACCCCTGGCACAGAAGGTTACTGACCCGACATGGCGCGCTTGCTGCCGTTGGACAGCTGCACGCGGAGGGCAGGACGAGCGACCTTGGTCGTCGCTGAGGCCATCTGAGAGGCCAGTCTTGAGGCGAGAACACGGGTGGAGGCCATTGTGTGATGGAGAGATTGTGGTGGACGGAAAAGGATGGACGAGGTCGGAGACGGAGAAGGCGAACAGGAAAAGAATATGTGGGAGATGGAGGGACGTAGGTTGACTTGACTGCTGAGTGAGGGAGAAAAAGAGGAGGAAGGGAAAGAAAGGAAGAGCAAGTGGTCAGTCAGCTGGGGAAAGACACTACGGGCTGACCCGGGCAACAGCTCCCACACCAAAGCGACGAATATCACTGGTCAATTCAGCTCCCATCGCGTCCACTTGTGCAAGCTTAGGTGTGGGTCGGACATCCCGGCCAAGCGGAAGAAAATTTTGCCAGGGCACATTGGGGATTTGGGATGCTGGGGAGTCGGGGACAGCTAACTCGGGATACCTAACCAAGAATCGGGCAATTTCGGAGCTTCCAGAGGGCTTCCATAGCCTTAGGTTGGCTGGGTGCTGGCCCCCGCCGCCGGTTAGAGGGCAACGTGAGGTGTTTCTGGGTCGTTATTCCAACGACACGAGCACCCTAGCTACCAACCGTGCTATCACTTCTTTGCGCAGTCACTAGCATCTACAGTATCTGTACTAGTAGCATCGTGCCATCCACAGAGCCAGAATGTATCTGCTTGTGTTGGTTTGGCATTGGTGGCACGGATCTGCTTCTCAAGTTGTGCCGCTGAAAATTTTCACGAAGCTGGGATTGATGTCTAAGGCAATGAGGCTCCAAACGTGTTGCATGCATGCAGGGATTACCCAAGCCCCCACGAGGCCCCCACTTCGCGGCGAAAAAACCGGCCCTCACCCGCTGCGGTTACAACATGCGACCCAGGGGCTAGCAGATGACGACAGCATGAAGAAAAAAAGGACGTCAACGCGTTGGTATTGAGAATAAGAGTAAGAGCTTGCCAAACACATTGCGAGCATCGGCAATTGGCATGCAAATATTCGGATACGATTGACGGGAGTCTGTATATCGGAATGCGCAGAATTTTACGATTCTAGGCATATTGGAAACGCAATTCAAACGACTCCAGCTCAGGAGATTAGCGGTGGGTATCGGGGAAATAGCTGGTTGGTGATATATTATTTGGTTTGTAGGACGGAGCTTGAGAGCCTACGTAGAAGGGCTTAGAGCTTAGAGCTCCGAGTAATATTTCGGAGTATTGTATTCGTACTGTACGGATTACCGTAAATTGCGCTTCCGGACACAAATACGGAATATCGGAGCCGAAAGAGAAAATGCGCTCTAGTCAACTCCGGTATTCCTTCGTATTTTCCATGAACACTCGAAGCTCAAGAACTAATTCGCATCTATCGGCATTCTCAATGAATAATTTGTCAAGAGAACAGCCGAGCTTCTACCTTTAGGTTAATTTTTATTTTCAATTCATCTTAAAAAGAAATATGGGAAAAGGCAGGGGCGTTGATCGGCAGCACTCGGTTCTCTCCTTGAAGTGAGCTTTCGAAGCTGAAATGGCTGTCTGAATGGAGATGGTAGCTGTCAGGTTCGCTTCACAACTACCGTTCCCGCCGTCACTGTCAAACCTCTAATAAAAGCTTCGGCAGCGATCGCCGTCAAATTGTCGATGATACTTATTGCTCCATTTTGTGAGCTAAGATAGCTGGTTGCAGGGAAGCTTGACCCCCTGAGCCGTTCAACAGGGGATAGCTTCAAGCATGCGGGAACTTTAAATCCGTAAGCTTCTCAATTGAATGACCCTCATGTTGTATAACTGCACTTCTCCAGCACTTCATACTACCTGTACATATGTTGATATCCGGATACCATGTCACTGTCGGGTTGGTTGTGATTGTGGCTCTGCTAATAATGTTCGATGAACGCCTGTAAATAGAACCCATATATTTTCTTACTAGTAGGTATCATAAGGTTCTACTACGTCGCTCTCTTTAGATCTTGGAGACGAAAGCAGCGTTCACTTATATAACAAGTGCTAAATATTGGTTTAATAAACACGACTGACCCAACAGAGTATGAGGCGACCTCCTCTACATACCTAAAGTATGTAAGGTAAGTACCTAGGCAACTGAGGAGAAATACACACATGCACCTCTCAACGGAGGATGGAATAAGAAGCCACATTATTCAACAGCACAGGCCTTCAGTTGCCCAGCTCCCAAGAATGCAGCTTCTTGCACTTCTCGATCATCAAAACTGACAGTGTTGATTTACGAGAAACCAAAAGGACATATAATAATACTTTTGCATATCCATATGAAAGAGAGGGAGGGGATACTTTCGTCTTGGGTTGTGCTGGTACCCGTAATGTAATAAGACTTGACTGGTTTGCACTTGCACATCCTATGCCTTGATTGGAGACATCGTCAACTGGCCAGCCATGGACCGGATATCACAACTGAGCGGGTGCTTCGGGAGCCGCGTCCCGATTAGGCTGCGTCCTCTCCCGACAGGGCCGCCAGTCGCTTCACGGCATAGCCCTCAACAAATCCCTTGGCGTCACACGTCTTCTCCAGACTGATGCCGTTTGCCGCTACCCATGACCGCACGGCTTGTTGGGAAATCCGGACCCTCTGCACCTCCACTGGTTCTGCGCCGCCATTCTCATCCGTCTTCGGCTCCTCCACCGGGGGCGGGCCTTTCCCTGCATCTTCCACAACGCCCATTTCCCTCAAAACAAGTAAGCAATCCTCCGGCGCAATCCACGTTGCCTTGCTACACTCTTCGATTCCCACCACCGTCTCTCCTGTCGAATCTCCAAGATCCAGTTCAAGGATCCAGCGCGCTATTTCGCCGGCCCAAAAGCGCCTATATCCCTTCTTGCCCAGGTCAGAGATGGGCTTTTCAGGCCCCCCCAAGATGCCTTCTCGTCGTGAAATCTCGTACGAGACACCCATGAGGAGAGCTCCAAGCCCTTTACGCTGCCATGGAGGGAAGATCAAGATACACGCAAGATTGTTGTTGTCCCAGGACATCTTCTCCTTGGAAAAGAACCCTACAATGTGGCTTCGCGGCTCCGCAGCTCCAGCAACGCCGGCAGCCAAGTCTAGAGGGCGGGCAGGCGGGGTATGAACAAGGAGAAAGTAGTTGAAGCCGGTCACGTCGAAAAACACCGACTTATTGTCGAGGAAGAGCTTCGCAAACAGGGAGAGATTCTGGCAGAAGAGCTATAGCAAGTCAGCGCGGAACGGGCTACCAAATATGAGGGGGCACAGGAGTTGTGCATGCTCACTACATTGTTCTCGCCATCTACCTCCCAGATGCTCCACTCCCCCTCATCCTGAACCACCTCCTCGACCAATTTCTGTCCTGCGCTGCCACGCTTTCCCTTTGCTGGCTTGGGGCCCGGGAGCGGGCCCGGGCCTGACGGCACGAGGACGGTGTGGTGACCCTTTGGATGAACGTATATCTTCTTCCCAGGCACAAAGTTCCGCCTCTCGCATACGCGAACGTGCTCCCACCAGGTGACCAGTTCCTTGGAGTACTTGAAGCAATGCGGACAGACGCAAAGCCGGTTGAGTATTAGTGAGTTGTCGCGGTCGCGCCGTCCATGTCCCTTGGCCCCGCCGCTCGCATCGTCGCTAGTTCCAGCATCTATCCCGTTTGTTGTGAGGTGACCAGCATCCTTCCCCCCCTTTGTGCCGTTTGCAGAGGTGTCGCCCAGAACCTCTTTCCCATAATATGACGGATACCACGTGCGGAAGCAGATGTTCCCCAACACGACCTTATCGATGTTGCGATCCGGCTGGACTCTATCTACGCGGTCTGGCGTCTCTCCCCCGGCGGTGATTGCTGGGGAAAGTTGCTCCGGCTGGGTTATCGAGGTGGCCATCGTGACTGCGTGTCGATGAGGCGCGAGGGGAGGCGGTTGGGTTGGTCCCCGTGCAGGTGATGTCAAGCGGCTCCCGACTTCAGCAACTGGAGGGGCTGGAACAACCACAGCACGAGCGCCGAGGCGAACTGGACGGCGGCCTGGCTTTAGAGGATGTGTGTCCGACTGTAACGGGATATTTTCCTTGCCATTGGAAGGTACGGGTCCGGGCTCGGGCTCGGGCTCGGGCTCTGGCTCGGGCTCGAGCTCGGGCTTGGGCGGATTCAGGTCGGCGCGACGTCGGCGTCGTTGTGGCTCATTGGATTGTTGTATGGGTAGGGAGAGCGGGGCGAGGGATCGCGTCTCTCGGCGCGCCGGGGCTGGAGCGCGTGAGTGAGGAGTAGTCTCCGGCGCATCGCCTAGGGCACGTTTTCGTTTAAAAGCAGCTGGCATCTGTGCTATCGTATGAGGGTCTCTTTCTAGCACGAGGCACAAGGTGAGAAAGTTGATGTTGTGGGTGTGGCGGGCTGGGCGTTATCCGAATGTGCCTGTGGCCCGGTACTTCGTACGGTGTGATCTCCATAGCGGTTCACAACTTAATTACTAAAGGTATGTTACCTAGACTTTGGGTGCCTTTCCCACTGGTATGTGCTGATACCATACCGTAAGTACGATTACGTACTGTTTGTATGTATTGTACCAAGGTTCCGGGTTCGTACGTTCAAAGCACGGACAGACTGGTCGTAAGGGCCAGCACGTATTACTATACGAGTACTATACTGTAATCGAGTACGCACATGCTCTATACGAAGTATGTAATGTACAGTTCGTACTTTTAATACCGTCGCCTAAAATTTCGTGGGAGGTCAAAGACTAGTGACCTGAGCCTCGAAGATAATGTCCTATTGACACGCACCCCCCCAACACTCTGGAGTCGACAAGCAGCGCACGATGCAAGAATGCAGGTCCAATGGTCACTGCTAGGCTCGGCACCTCACATCGTGCTGCGAGGCATGGCTGGACACAGTGCCTAGTACGTTGCGACAACCTCCTGACTCTGTTCTCCAAACAGCTTCTGACTGATACTTCTAGCAGTCGTTGCCATCTACACCTCTGACCCGCAGGCAGTTGGCTGCTGTTTCTACAGTTGCGACCTGCGCCGACAGCGATAACACCACGTTCTCTGGCCCAGCTCCTCGAGTTCCTCGCATCACCCAGACAGCACACGAAGAATGGCTTTGGTTCCGGCAGCAGCATCTGGCTACCTCACCAGCGGCTCGCAACCCGGCTCCTGAAACGACAACACACAATGTCAAGAAGAACGAGCGTGTTAGGTTGTCCGCAATTGTGGCAGAGATGGTGCTCAGAGACCGACTTGCGATGACAGGCGAGATAATTTCCGAGGACTCGTGTCACCTAAGCAACGAGTTTGAGTGGCAACGACGCCTGGCCAGTCTGGCCTCTAGAGGCATAACGGCTGAAGACCTTGCAGATTGGGCCTCTATCATGTCGGCAAACGACGGAGATACAAAGCTCCAAAGGTTCATTGCCAGTGACCGCCCCAAGCCTACCTTTCTGCTTCTGGCACTAGTCGGCAAAGACAATGCCATTCATGACACCACAAATATCCTGGCCCTACTAGATTACGTTGACAAAACGTACATCAAGAACAAACCTACTCAGAGGTTCGGCAAATCTACCTTCCTTCTTGGACACCACAACTTCCTCATCTTCGTCTCCCGGCTGGCATGGCAGTGTTTGCGCAGATGGCCTTCGGGCCTAGTTTCGGTATCGCACCTTGTGGTCTCCTATATCGAGTCACTTGCCTACCCTTCGCAACCGGAGAAATTGGCCCCAGCGCGATGTCTTGTTTTCAACGAAGCCATCCGAATCCTATCCTGGCCGGCCATTGGTGGGCCCATGAAACACATGCAATTCAACTGGGAGGCCCAGAAAGTCCTTTTGTCGTTATCATTAAATACACAGCCGCCCTTGATCCTGAACCGGGCCAGCTACCGATCTATGAGGAAGGTTCTTGTCGCGTTACCAAAAACTTTAGAAGATATGAGGGCTGCGCAGCGAGGAGGCAAGACGTGGCCGCCGTTCCGCCAAGCCTGGGATGGCACAGATGAACAACGCCAGCCAGAGGAGGACATTAGCAGGAGTATTTTAGCGGGGATACTCATGAAAGAGGCTGGTTACGCGCCTGAGTCGGTCGATAATGTGTTGACGACACTAGGCGGGGGAGCCCCTGGCGAGCCGCCGACAATACAAACGAGATCCCTCGTACCTCGGTGGGAGACCAACTATCGCGCCGTTTACCTGGAATGGGCAGCCCACCTAAAAACGGCGAGGAATGCGAGGGAAGCCTGGCAAATATTCCAGCAGCCACCACAGCCCAAACTGAAACCAAACGCTCAAGTCTATGCCGCCATGTTCGAGAAGCTGTTCGCACGCCCAGCAGACGTGTCGCCGGCGATTGTCCCGGGAAACGTTAAGGAGACATTTCCGGTGCATAACGTCAATCTCACTCCCTTCGAGATAGCAAGACTCGAACCTCCATCGAGTCTGGAGCTATACGATATGATGTTGAATCAAGGCATCAAGCCCGATGACGACTGTCTTGCGCTTCTGCTCCGAAATGCCCGCTCACGAGAAATGGGAATGCAGTTTTTCAGGGCCAGTCATTACGAACCATTGGCTCGTGCCTTACTGGAGCCGACGACCGACGAAGAATCCTGTGAATTGCTTCGAAAAATCCCGCTCAAAATTTTCAATGCTTGGATATTCAAGTTATGCGAGACGAATCCAAACCCAGTGTCGAAGAAATCGCATCGTCATGATCACAGGCTTGACTACTCTTATTGTCATATAAGTGAGGCCATTCAGCTTACCATCAAGTATCAGAACCTAGATGGATTTCTTGGTAGGTTCGAAAAAGCCCCGTGGTATACGATTCTGGGGCATCTGGCCTCAACAAAAAACATTTTCAGCGCTGCGGGCGAGAGCAGAAACAACCTTGAGACTCTTGAAACATTTATGAGAATTTTCCGTCGGCTGAGAGCTCAGGAGGGGGACAACGATACTCTTTTCAAGCTTCTGTGTCGGATGACGCAGAAGACAATGAGAATGTCGCTATTCTGCAATCAGCGGCACCACGATATTTTCAGCCGTGAATTCAAGACGGAACTGAGCCAGGCACACAAGACTATGATTGACTGCTTTACTGACTTGACCAAGCCTATCCAACAAAGGGACGGGGCTTGGACACTGCGGTATACGATCACCGGGGGGAATGTCTACTGCTACATGCAAGCTCTAGGGGCATTTGGGAACGGAGAGGAGATGGTGAAACTGATGGATTGGATCATAGACTCGTGGGACCAACCCCACATGCTCGAACAAGCCAAGTCACAACACACGTTAGACTGGCAGTACATGATCAAGACGTTTTCGTACTTTTTGGGCATGAGCTCAATGGTTGAAGCGAAGGAGCTGGAGCGCCTACAAAACAAACTAGCAGAGCGCCAACATAGTAGGCTAGAGGGCTTAAGTCAACAGGGTTCTTGCTCGTGGTTCTTTCCGGCGTCGAGCCATGGCCAAGAGGGTGTGGAGATGGATATCACCATGGCTACGATATGGAAGAAACTAGGCAGAGGCCTGGAGTGGTAGAGGGATCGAGGAAACCACCTTTGTTACATTCCAGATCAACCCACGTGTGCCTTTGCTTGTTTTTTTTTTGACCGTACACGCGTGTAAACGGTCGTGGTATTGCAGACCACCAGCCATTGTTGGGTGTTTCGCATTATGGGTCGGATAGATTAGTCGAGAGATATTTCTTGATTATTTTTGGTAACAAGGATATTAAGGCAAGTACTACCTTACTACCTTGCCTTAGGATATATGCATTTCCAAAATCCAAATGCACTCGGCCTTTTCCATTTCGCCTTTCAAGGCCATCAACAAACATGTGGAACTGAAAGCACGGATACCGTATACGACTCCTGCTCTACCCTGGTCGTGTGCCGAGCGCAGCCGATTGGTCTGACACGCATGTAAGGACTGACTACTCCGTTTTCGGTATTCCGTATGTTTACCTCTCTCCGCTCCTGCCGCCGCAGTCCTTCCTGTGATGAGCGGACGGCGTATTGCGCTGACCAACTTGAATATAATAATCCCAAAGGAGAGACACGCCTGCGCCAAGTTGACACGCTCACCAACACGCGCACAATTGGTTTAGAGCACATGCTGCCTACCACATTACCATTGCATTTGCTTTCGTCTGTGCGATATCTGTACATGTTCATACTTGCATTACACCTATAATCAGCACATTGGATATTTGTTATACGGTCCACAAAGGTAGGATACTCCTAAGTTGTGCCTGACCTCTTGCCTCTACTTCATCCATTCCAGTTGTTTACCAAGCTGCTTCGCAAGTACGGCGCACTACGCTTGGTATTCACCAAACCATGGAACCGCAGGAACGACTCGTTTACTTATCATCACCAGAATTCCAAGTGCAAGCCACGGCGGCCTACCTATCTGTCTCCTGACAAGGAAAGAAAAGACTTCGGCCAAAAAGCAACGTCAAAGCGCACTTACCTACCGAAATTATCTTTCAATATCATGCCTACCATATCACAATAAGTGACAGTGTCTCGTTCCTGCTCATGGAATCTAAATTAGCGACTGTTATACATTTAGCTTTACAGACAATCCGCACAGAAATCATCACCTAGTCGCTCCTCCATGACTCCTTGTGAGCTCCCGCTGGAGTGGGGACAGCCCGGCGGCATGTCTGCTAATCGTTCGTGTTTGCTTCAGCTTGAGGTAGACGAAACACTTCACCGTGAGCCGCGGGACGGCTCCGTCAGTGTTACGTCGTCGCTGTCGCTGTCGCCTCCCCAACCTCCAAGCCTCGACGGCCAAGATTCGGAGACGTTCCAAGACAGGGCCAATGCCTGGGAAGAATGCATTCCGATCCAGTCACGACGGGCTCAACGAATCTCCGTGAGCCTACCAAGCTCAACACTGGTTACTCCCAAGTCCCGGTATCAGGGATTCGAACCTCAACATCCGCTCGTACCGGAACGTGTGGCTCTGGCAGACCTTTTGAGGTGCTTTAAGAATCAAGATCGTCTCGCCGGCCGGGCTTACATCGAACTCGAGCTAGACAACTTCTCCTTTTACATCAACTCGGCATGCTATCCGTTTGAGATGCGTCCTCTTCACCATCTGGCGACCAAGGCCGCCCATGACACCTACTACTTTGACGGCATTCTTAGCTTCGGCAATGTCAGACATTACGTTTCAAAGGTAGAGGTGTCTGAATTACCAATCGGAAACTACGGCGGTGAGCATGACACTGTCCAAGACCAGATCTGGGTTCGTTCTCGATCCAACAGCAAACAAGAGATCTACTATCGCCTCAAGAAGCCGTCAGCAGAATACACCCGGTTCCACGAACCATTTTTATGGATTGCGGATTTGGCCAAGCATGTTGTCGACTTTTGCTCCTCCATGATCGAGGACGGGCTCCAGGTTTCATTGGACTCGTTCAAGGAATCATTCATCCGCTGGCTTCTCAGAACCCACAGCAAATCCCCGAGCTTCCAGAAATGGCGACTACAACATCCTAGTGACAATTTCTGTTCGTCTGTCGGAGTTAACATTGATTTCGTATGGAAAGAAATTCACGGCGTGCTTCAACCCGAAGAGGCATCATCGTTGCAGCTCTTCAAAGAAGCAAAGCAGTTAACCCAATACTGCGAGGAACAGGTACCTCTGGCGCCCAGGATCGTCGAAGGCGAATTTTCCGTTCCTCCGACAATCGTTACTCCGTACATCAAAAATTGCTTCGGACATATGATCATCGGCAAGATGCTGAGACTGGCCGGCGAGGAGTTCTCAGGCTCCGTAAAGTCAACAAAGCCACCCGGTACCCCAACATCCAACCAGCAGTTGGGAGGGAAACGGATCGAGGTAGTCACTAAAGCTATACCAAGCAAGAGAACAAGCAGCCAAGGGCAGGATCCCCGGCTCGGAGCGCGTCAAATGATTGGGTCTATCAAACCCGGTGATACCATTTCGACGCCTCGCGATGGAGATTCCACTGATACGAAGTGGGCGAAAATGCAATCCAAGGGCTCCATTGACGACAATAGATGGTTTGGCTTGGTCCAAAAGGTACATATCAACGAAAAGACAGACTTGCGTAGCTTTGATGTTACATGGTTTTACCGACCCTCGGAGACGCCCTGCTGCATGATGAAATATCCCTGGCATAACGAGCTGTTCCTTTCCGATCATTGCACATGCGAGGAAGGACGCGTATCGCGCGTACACGAACATGAGGTCCTTGCAACGCACGCGGTGGACTGGTTTGGGAGGTCGGACTCTTCCAAGGGCGAGTTTTTCGTACGACAGACGTACATGGTCGAGAACCGACGATGGGTTAGTCTTCAAGAGTCGCACTTGACGTGCTCTCACAGCTACGACAAATTCGGGTACAATACTGGCGACACTATCCTTGCGGCTTTATCTCCATCGGACGATTTTGCCGAAGCGTACGAAGTTGTCAAGATCTTCAGGCAAGGCGCGAACCGGTCCTTACGTCTTCGAAGACTGCTACGCCGGAGCCTCGCCGATCCTGGCGCAACCAACGCAGCACCCAACGAGCTTGTATATACGGACCAGTTATTGGTGGTGAATACAGATAAGATAACCATAACAGGAAAATGCGCCATTCGCTTCTTTCGGTCGGAAGAGCCCATTCCAAGCCCATTCAACCGAGGTGGCACGGGGAACTTGTTCTTCATTACCCACAGGCTGGACACCGCGGCCAAACTTCCGACGTGCGTCCCCTTCAGTAGCGATGGGTTCCCGCCTTGTTTTAGACAAGGGTTCGATCCCAGCCGAACCGACTTTCAGAAGCTCAGGGGTCTTGATTTGTATTGTGGCAGTGGGAATTTTGGACGGGGCCTTGAAGATGGCGGTGCCGTCGATATGTGCTGGGCAAATGACATATCGCCATATGCTATTCATACCTATATGGCCAACGCCCGGGCGGCGACTCGGCCATTCCTTGGGTCGGTTGACGGTCTTCTCGGGCAAGCGCTGCAAGGGAAGTTCGCCGACAATGTGCCGCGGCCAGGAGAAGTCGATTTCATTTCCGGAGGCACCCCATGTCCCGGATTCTCACTTCTCACGGTAGACAAGACGACGCTCTCGCAGCTCAAAAACCAATCCCTGGTTGCATCTTTTGCTGCGTTTGTCGACTTTTACAGGCCCAAGTATGGAGTCCTCGAAAACGTCACGAGCATTGTGCAGGCGGATCATAACCGTACAGAGGATATGCTTTCCCAGCTCTTCTGCGCCATTGTTGGTCTGGGCTACCAGGCACAGCTTATCATGGGGGATGCATGGTCTTATGGCGCCCCCCAGAGCCGCAGCCGGGTCTTTTTGTATTTTGCTGCTCCCGGTCTTCGACTTCCGGAGGCTCCAAGGCCTTCACACTCTCATTTTCCTACCGTCAAGTCCCGGGGTCTGGGGAAACTGTGCAACCAAGAGCCCTTCGTACGTCGGTCGTTCAGTCCTACGCCTTTCAAATATGTCAGCGCAGGTGAAGGGACGGCGGATCTCCCCTTCATTGGCGATGCGAAAGCCGACAGTTGTGTGGGTTTCCCAGACCACCGACTAGCGGTAGGAATTACTAGTCGGATACGGCAACAGATTACCGCCATCCCAATACACCCACACGGCATGAACTTTGCCAAGGCGTGGAATCTCGGCAAAGGCACGATGACGCGTGGTGAGCGAGAGCTATTCCCTCCAGAAGGCTCCCACCGTACCAAGCCCATCTCGCACGGTTGGGGTCGTATATGCCCGGGCGATACTTTCCCAACCGTAACGACGAGGAGCCAACCGACGGATGCCCGCTGCGGTCGCATACACTGGCACGAGGACCGTCCGCTGACTATCATGGAGGTGCGGCGGGCGCAGGGCTTCTTAGATCATGAGGTGCTCATCGGCAATACGACGGAACAGTGGAGGCAAGTAGGCAACAGCGTGGCCAGGCAAATGGCGGTCGCAATTGGGCTCCAGTTTCGTGAGGCCTGGCTCGGGTCATTGTATGATGGCGCGGGAAGTAGAAATGTTGATAAAGCCCCCGCCGGCCTTACAGGGCACTCGCCAGAGACAAAGTTGGGTCATGGGGCTTGTTATGGTGCCGAGTGCACTTCCTCGTCGGGTTCCCCCAGCCCCAGCGAGTCGGGTACTGGGGCCAGATGCGAGACAACACCAGCCACAACTATGTCAGATAGCACAGAGGCTTGTGCAACGCCTAAAGTTGTCGGTGGTAGAAGAAAGAGGCTTCTTTCGCAGGCCGCCAAGACGCCGTATCAATCCAAACTCGCCCGAATTGGCGCGTCATTTTATGACCGGATTTACTTCTAGAACTACCTCAGCTTAGCAAGCACAACAATACGCTGTGTGGAAAAGAGACAACAGGCATTAGCTTTTCTGTGCCTTTTAGCGGCTATATATATGTCCTTTCACGTTTGTATATACCCACGGTACCTATATATCCGTACTCTTAGCAGCACCTCGTGACGCTATTGCAGCAAGATCCCTAGGGCAAGCCGAAACGCTAGAGTCCCAACTGAATACATGGATTGTGATCTAACTTCTAGTTTGCGTATATATAACAAAACGTCTCAGAATCACTTAATTGAGAAGCCTTAGTGGTATGAAGAATAGGACATTGCGTTACCCCACATAACTCTTGTCGTCCAATACGTTGAGGTCTCGATACCTCCTCATGTGATTGGCCGTGAACAGCCTGAGCCTGTAACAAGTCTAGCCAGCCGCCAATAGGAAGGCGCCAGGCGCCAGTTTCAACCGCGCTTGGAAACTTCAAGACTGCCCTTGATAGGCGCTTACTGCATGTCATTGCCAGATCAAGGACAATCGTCAAACTCGCAACGGCCACTCCACGTCGCCGCCCTCGGCTCGGTTGGCCGTGCGTAGGTTGACGAGTGCCTGCCAATTACACAGTACTAGTACCTGATGTCGCGGGATCTGCTTGACGAATTCTTGTTCATTGGCCGTCGTCCATCGTCCGTCGTGTTCAAACTCGGGCCTGCCCCCGACTCATCTCGCCCTTTTCCACACCATCCACCCCTACTGAGTGCCAACCAGCAACATAGTCGCAAGGATGCTCTGTACTTCGTTTTGTGCCATGGGGTTGCGCGCGTGTGCCCAAGGCCGTGGGTCGCCGGTGGTTATCCCATGTTTCTTTGCGTAGCCGACGACATCGGTCATGGCCAGTCGCTCGACGTGGGTCTCTGAGCTTGCCTGTTTGCCTGTTTGCCCGCTCATCTCATTTGCTCTTCGTCTATTCCACGTCCACATTACCGCCTCCCGTTCTTGCTTTCTAGTTTCTTCGTGTAATTAGCCGCCAGTTGTCTGCTCACCCCTCTCTCTGGCTTGACGACGTGATACAACGGAGCTGCCCTTCTTCTTGTTCTCCTTCGTCTTCTTCTCCTATTGCTGCTTGCTTCCTCTTCTCGCCATCTTCGGCTTCATCTTGACTCTTTGACTCATGCAGCAGCAGGTCTGCTCCACCGCGCCAGCCAAATAACAACGACTTTTATTCGCTTCGTTTGTGGAATAGTATTCATTCTGCAGGAGAGATGCACTCTGCGGACCTAATATTCTACGCCTGGTTGCTTACCGCTGCCGAGGCCGGGCCTCTGAAGAATATTGCCTGGAGGCAGTTCAACTCCAACAATGCTTCAACAACTTCGGTCACCAGTAGCAGCAGCAGCAGCAGCAGCAGTACCGTCAGCTCGAGCCTGTTATCCAGCCCGCAGTTTATCACGGTAACATACGTCCCTGGCAATGACGATTTGACGTCTTCTCTCTCCTCGACGACCTCAGGCTCTTTAGCCCCTTTGCTCTCTTCGCCAGCCCAGCCAACTTATTCCATAAGTCTATCAAGAACGACAATCTCCCTGTCCTCCTCGATCCCGTCAAGCTTTCTACCCACGACCCCCTCGATATCCCTCACGCCCTTCATTACCACGACAGGGGCCAGGATAGCCACTTCTTCCCAATCCCGAGATGATGACGGGAGCGTGGTATTTTCCACCATCTCGCTACCAGCGACATCAAGTGCACCAAAGACCTCCGGGACCTCGTCCTCGTCCTCTTCTTCTTCTCCTTCTCCCCCCCCTTCTCTTCTTCCTCGCCTTCTTCCAGGACTACGACTCCTGTTACCTCGTCGAGCACTGCCTTGACATCTGCATCACATCTTGGTAGCCCTTCGACCTCCGCTGGAGCAACGCTCCAAACTACCTTGACCTCTGCAGCACATACTGCCAGCTCTTCGACCTCTGCCGCTGCCGAACGTCTCGCCGGGTCACTGGCTAGCACTCTTCAGACCGTCACTGGCACGCCCATCTCAAATGTTCCAACAGTCATCACCTCGCTTCCGGCGCCCACTGCGACGGTAGATGCTGCTGTGTATGCGAAAAACCTCGAGCTAGCCCGGCAATACAATAACCTCTTTGCCAATCTAACCAGAGAGTCTGCTTGCCGCGAGCCACAGGCCGCGTGTATCACCGGCGATGTTGCCAAGTGTGGGACGAATGGGGGCTTCGTCATGACCCCCTGCCCGTCCGATACGAGCTGCTTCGCTCTTCCAATGAACACCACGGACGGGGTAGAGCTGATCTGTGTCGACAAGGCAGCAGCAGCGTTCATCCTGGGGATGCTACCCTCTTCATCGCCGTCGACTTCATCGGTGCCAAAATTCACGAGAACGGTCACCGTTACCGAGTCATCGGGAATTGCCAAAGTGACTTACACTTACGACCCCAATCCCAAACCACCGCTGTTTACGTCCACATCCTCAGCCCCAGGCGGCCTTGCCGCAGATCCATCCTCGTCAAAGGCGACACTAAACACCGTACTGCTCACGGTAATCCCTATAGCGGCCAGCAGCCCTGCAGCGCCTATCTTGGACAGCCCCACCCAGACTCAGCAGCCGACGCTAGGGAACTTCGTTGGGACCTTGGCCGACGGCCAAGTAACGATTACGCAGTTTGTCACCGTGACACAAGCCAGCAAAGAAGTTATCACTACGACGGCGACCGTCGTCGCTTGAAAGAATTGAGAGCAAAGTTGAGCTTGATAGTTCGTTTGCTTCTATGTGGTGTAACTCTTTTGGGAGAACTCTGCCAGGTCAGGACCAAATACTGGCGAATTTCGTAGCCAGACGAAGGCCCTTAACATCACCGGCATCTTTGGCGCAGATTTACATAGGACTCAAAGTTAGAACTGATATGTGGGATGCTTGAACTTGGGAGAGGTTTACTTCTTGTGTCAACCGAACCAGGCATACTGGTCCTGGATGCGGGGGCGCGCCTGGAATGGCTATTTATTTGCAATTATTACTACTAGACACGAGGCACTAGCGAATGTCCGCCTCTTTTAATAACTCTTTTTTTTGGATCTCGACGCTATCCCTTTCGCTGTTTTGTGATCTAGACTGCAAAATATTATATAAACGTATATATGTATATTGCGTATGAATACCCAACTATGTAGATTCCCAGTGGAGACCAAATATGGTGCAACGGGAACTCGACCTCCTAATAATCGCTATGGTAATAGGTACTGTTGAGTCGCTGAGATCTTCTGACTTTTGCGTAATCTCCCCATATGGACTTAGATAGAGTACGGTGTAGGTATATATTCCCCTATTCACCTGATTTTAGGAATGGCACCTTGACACAACCAATGATGCGTGAAGTACTCCTCTATCTTCACCGCCTCCTCCTGAACCTGCTATTGTGCCCTGGACCACCCTTGGCGCCGCTGTTTCGTAGCTTTAATCGCTTGAAGTTGGCATGTGCTGTGGCTTTGACCTTGCGCACAGTCTTCTTTACGAGGCCTTCCTCTCCCTTTGTGTTGGCATCCTTCTTCGGGGCCAGCTTGCCCGTCTTGGTTTCCTTCGGCGTTTTCACCACCTTCGGCCGCGTTTTGCAGGCCTCACCCCGCCCCCCATCAGAGTCAAAATCAGAATATAATCCGTCTGGATCGGAGCCATCGGACAACATCCCACTTAAGCCCTCGGTATCTTGTACCATGGCTGCCTTCGATGCGTCAAACTGCGTCTCAGGTACGATGTCATCATCGCCACCCACTTCGCTGTCGTTTTCGTTGTGGTCTTGGCCCGCTTGGTCCGGTCGTTTCGACCGAGTAGGCCGCATATTAACGCGCCGCGTCGTTCGTTTTTGCCCCTTTTTCTTATAGACACGCAGCGGCTGCCCGTCACGGCCTAGCTGCGGTTGCTCGCCACCAGAGCTGTCGTACATATTTTCGTCGTCAAAACCGCCCAGTAACACGGGTTTCTCTGGTCTTTCAAGTCGAGGCGCCCTGCCGTTTTCAGCTTCAGCGACAGGATCGGCGACGCTCTTGGGTGCTCTTGCGTTCTCGCCTGTGGATATGTCCCTGTACTCCTCGCCACCTTCTACTGCAGGCGGCTTCTGCGCCACCGACGGAGGTTTTGTATTCTTGGGTAGCACGAGAGCGGCAAACATTTCGCCTCCCTCCATCTCTTCTAGCTCGCGGAGCACGTCTAGCTCGTCATCGAGAGCCTCATCTTCAATCTTCCTCAGTCCTGCCACCACGCTACTCAACCCGCGGCTAAGCGGCTTCCTTGGAAGACGAAGAGGGCCCACTCCCCATTCGCCATTCTCGTCCACAGGTGGGAGGAGAGCCGTAGGCCTGCGTAGGAATGAGGGTGTTGAGAACTGGATTTTGGACACGCGTTGCGATGACGGCGTCCGCCGTTGAGAATTTCCATTGCAGTCATGCAACGGTGTCGTGACGGCTAGCAGCAGCTGGTCGCTTTTTGGAGTTTGGGCCTGGGCATTGTGGTGACGGCGCTTGCTAGGTGTGGCGCCAAGAGGGGTGGTGATGGAAACGGAGACCGAGCCGCCCGTTTCTGCTGGCTTGGACGGCGTTTTGGTAAGGAAATCAAATAAGCCAAGCACCCGGCCATCTTTTTGTGGTGTTGGCCCTATAGACGTGGGCAGTGGTGGCACAGGACTGAAGAGCTTCTTGTTTGTTGACGAGGGTGTACGTGATAGGTCATACGCGAGTTGTTGTGTCTTGCGAGGTGTATGTGCGGTTCGAAGGCGTTTGGAAGGTGTCTGTGGAGGGGGCAGGGACGCATCATTCTGTTTGCGCTTGTTGTGGTGGAGATGATCGTTGATTTCGTGGTCAGGGCGGGAGTGCGTTGGTGGGATTCTGCCTGCGAGTATATCCCGAAGTTTGTTGTACTGCTTATACTTGTTGGCTATGACCCAGGGGCGTTAGACTTTACGTGTGTATTTTTGAACACAGAATGATTGCTTGTCAGGGAATCGTCGTAACGCACCAATATCTGGTTTCTGCTTGATATCGTCGCGACCTGGCTTGCTCCCACCTCGCTTTAAGGCCCAGTCGCTTTCCCACTTCTTGAGCTCGGCGCGCAGGTCTTGTGTTTGGCGTTCATAATTCACTCTTTCTTGGTCGTCCATCGTGATACAAGTGAGTAGTAGTAGTCAATTGAGCGATACTGTTGTGTTGTAGTGGATATTCATATGCGTTGGGTCTTTTCAGGGACTAACAATGTCGAGGGGATTCTGGTAAATGGGCGGCCGCGCTCGACGCGTCTTGAGAATTTGGATAGCCCCGCACCCCGCAAACTGTCTTGCCGATCCCCACCCCGGTCGAGGAATTGTGGAACCCGGATTGTTTCCATACCAGTTCCTCAACGGCTGATTGAACGGTAGGTAAATGTGAGAGCATCTCTTGTACAGAGTACTTCTGTCTACGATCTCGATGCCCCTCCTCAAACTTGAATTGCATCGCTCGCCCTGATTTCTGCGCCAAAATCGCGGGAGCAGATGCGGGCAACCGCCAGCGGCGCTGCCGCTGATATTCAAGCCCAAGTTCTCCAAATGACTCTTGCCGAGATCCCCACGTCAAGAGACAGGGCCACGGCCGACAACAACCTCGACAACGATAACGATAACGCCGATGGAGATGTTCCCGACTGCTGTGTTATCTGCCTTGACGCCATATCAGAGCCGTGCAGCGCGCTCCCATGCACACACTCCAACTTTGATCTATTATGCCTGCTTAGCTGGCTCGAACAACGCCCGGAATGCCCTCTCTGCAAATCGACCGTTTACAAGGTCCGTTACGCAGGTACACCAACTAGCGAGAGCATCTTCCATGTCCCAAACGCCCCCAGGAACCAATCTTCGGAGGGTGAAGGCCCATCAAGTCAGCCGCCGAGTAGGCGAAACGCAGAGGCTTTATCATGGGCGGCAGAGCTGCACCGGGGCTCACAGCGACGACGCCGTCTTCCAAGCCCGCCCCGCAGCCCCGACGAGGCTATTCAGGGTCGACGCCGTGTCTATCGCCACCAACTCTACTCACTGCGTAAGTCGTCTTGTTTGAGCGTCGTCATTTCCATCTCGTTTAGCGAAATGCTGAAACTCAAATTCAGATATAGGGTCCAATCGAGTTTCGCAATACCGGCCGGCTCCGACACCCGCTATTTTCGCCAGTACGCCTCATTTGGTATCCCGGGCGCGGCTATGGATTCGTCGAGAACTGCAAGTATTTGCGTTTCTATCCGATTCGCATCACGACGTATCCAGTATCTCGAGTGAGAACCAACAAATTCGTCGGAGGAACAATGCCGAGTTTCTCCTCGAGTATATCGTAGCCATCATTAAGACAGTCGACGTTCAAGACAGTGCTGGTCAGGCTGAAGACATGCTGGCCGACTTCCTCGGGCGTGATCACTCCCGTTTGTTTCTGCACGAATTTCGGAGTTGGCTCCGTAGTCCGTGCCAAACCTTGACTGCATGGGATCGCGAAGTTCAATATCTAGAAGTGCCTAGGAAAAGGGAACTATCGAGTCGTGATAGCGAGGGTGAGGACGAGAGTAGGACAAGTAGTCCAACCAGGCCTAGGCGAAGCCGGAGAGGTGATCACTGGCGGCCCCATTGTGATCGCAAGAGAAGGAAAATTGGTGAGTTTTGGTCGTCAAAACGAGTAGACTTCCAAATAGTTTCCGGGGCACAAATCTCACTCCATGCTTGACTGGCCTCCTCTGAGTGGGCTGAACGGTCGGCGTCAATGCCCAAGCTCGACTATGTGCTTGCGGGACAGCCTCAAACTCACGAATTCGGGTCCCCGGTCGGTTGGTGATTGGAGGAAGAAGTTTAATATATATATCCGTACGTAGCACGGTAATAAAGAGAACGGCCCTGAGGCAACAGTTGATAGGGAAGACTTTATACATAAATAGAAGAATTACGAAATACACATAAATATAATCGAATATACCTCGATCTCTACCGAGCCGATGAGTGTCTTTCGGGAACCTGTACTGCCTCTAATCAAGACGCACATCACTTTCTCCGAGTTACACGAATACACAAAGGCCATTTGCATCCACCTAGATTATCCACATACTGGCTATTAAACATTTATATTCCGGAATAATTTTCACACGATGCCTATGTAGAAACTGAATCAGTGCTCCAGGAGAACAAGGGATTTAGATGTTGCTCCAACCCGAGTGACTAGAGAGATAGCACGAAGAAAGAAAATATCATTTGTTCGTGGGATATGATAATGTGCCAACAATATCTAATACACGGGGATCTCAAGTCTACTAAGCCTGCACCCCAAAGTCTCCAGCTTTCTTTGGAGAGTCATCTTTCTGTCCACCTCCCATGTCCGCCGCTTAAGGTGATTAAGCCAACTACAGTCTCCCCCTTCACGCTTTCTCTCTTTCAGAGTCAAAAAAAAAACCACCGTTGCGAAGGTTCTTCTAGGAACCAATTAAACCAGACCATTGAGCCAGAGGTTGGACGGGATGCATTTCCCAACTCCGGACCCACTTCCCTGTCTCCTCCCATGTGGCAAAGGTTTACCAGGAAAGGAGGCGAAATGAAAGCAGCACACCGCAAACCTAGTAATTACATGCCTTCGAATTCGCCGCCGAGGTCGTCTTCGTCCAGATCGCCTTCCTGGATTTCCTTGGCCATTTCTCGTTCACGCTCGCGGGCCTCTTGCGCATTCTTCAGCTCGAGACGGTGCTGGTTCATAGGAAATCGCATAGCCTAGTTCATGTCAATATTTTCATCCTGTAAGCGGCAAACGGGGAGCAAACATACCTTAACACTCTCGTCGTGCAGTGCTAGACAGGCACGAATACGATCGTGAAACGCCTCGCCCGGCTCACGCGTTGCATAAACGTCCCCAACTTCTTTACTCTTCATGAATCCCCTCTCGCGGTCCAGAGTAGCCTCGATAACACCGTCACGGATTGCCTTGGCAACAATGTATTCAGCGCTCTCTTCAGAGCCCAGGTGGAGGCGGATGCAGATGTCCCTCAGCGAGATACGGCTGTAGCTCAAGCTCATCATACGTATGCCAGTCTTGATTACGTTTTGGCGCAAACGCAAAATGAGGGTATAAGTACTGTCGCGACGGAAGATGTCGGCATAATCGGCAATCGTTGTTTCGAAATCCTCTAAGTTGCCAACACGCACAGCCTGCACGAGAAGGAAGTAGGGGTGGAATGCTGCCTCCATAGTCGGCTGTCGGAAGGTAGCACGATCAGGAATATCACCCATGAGCAACTCCACGACGAGAAGTAGCTTGGTCGCAGTCTGGCTGAAGCCGAGTGCGCAGGCACTCGAAGGCGCCTTCCGAGTCGCCGCCGTCAGGTGCTCGTGCGCTTCGGTATACCGTAACTGGATTGCACGGGTACGGCCCAGATAATACAAAAAGCGTGCAACCTGGTTGTTGGCGGCGTTTTCTGGGAACTGGGTGTGCGAGACCAGGAGATCCGCTTGCGCGATATGCGATGTAAGGAGGTAGCTTCGGAGTAGGAGAACGATGACGGAAGCTTGCGTGTCCACATCCTTCCGAAGGACCGCAGTGCGAAGGGCGGCAAGAAGGGTTGGCCGGATGGAGACAATAAGCGACTGGGGAGAGGGCGGATGGGGCGCAATCTGCTCAGAAAACAACGAGTAATAAAAGTACACCTTAGCGGAGAGGCTATCGAGAGTGCGGCGGTTGAGCGACTGCACCAGGTCTGACAGGAATCGAGAGAATTTGAAACCGAGTTGGAACTGTTTCGAGTCAAAAAGAAGAACCTGCGTGAGTACTCCGAGGAAGATATCAATTTCAGCAATGATTTCCTTGGTCTCCTTCTTAACACCGTTCTTGGTTGATGCCTTGGGCTCGATATCTATCTCCATCTCGGGTCCTGGTTGTCGGCCAAGAGGCACGTCCGGCCGTCCGACGGCGAGCAGTAGTTGCTTCGCAACATTGCTGCTGGGGGAAGACGAGTGATACGTCTCCGAGATGACTTGGGCGACGATGTCCGCTGTCAGTCGTTTCCGGATGGACGAGATAGACCGCAGGGCCCGAAGAGTGAATCTTGCGTCGAACAGCACGACGGCACGTTCAAGAAGCGCAAAGTTTCCCTTGATATCTGGTTGAGCGAGCTTTGGTTAGAATATACGAGGCGTGCCGGGATGGGGTGGGGGAGAAGAAGTTCAAACACACCATTGATGGTCTGGACGACGGGGTCGACCTTGACCTCGAGGTCACCGACCTTCTCCAAGTCATCCATGATGACGTCTCCGTCGCCATCGTTTGGAGGCGGAGCCGACGTCTGCTTGGATGATTTTGATGGCGGTACCACCACCGTCATTTCGTCATCGCCGTCCTTGGTCGTCTTCTTGCCTTTGGGCTTCAGGTCGTTGTCCTTCATTTCGATTTCCTTTCCGCCCCTGTAGCCGCCGTTCTCGACGGGTTCCTTATCAGGCGTCTTGCCGGGCATATCTGCGGCTCTGACCTCCGACTGGCGGTTCACCGCGTCCGAGACGGATGATTGGGGATGGGGAGGACGGAGGTGATGATGCGTGGGTGCGGGACCGCGAAGCGCGCTCAGTCAGTTGGCCAGGTCCAACGGGCCTTTCGCTAGCAGCCTTGGTTTCGGATTGCCGACACGCGGTTTTTCAAAGGTAGAGCGCGGCGAAAACGACTAGGTACAGCGGCCGGCGGCAAAGAATAAAAAAAGTTATCACTGCTGCCGGTGTCCGGTTCGACTATGGGAACTGCGAGTTTGGTTTTGCTTGTCGGGCAGGCTGATGCAGGAGATGATCGAGAAGCTTGAACACGGGCAGAGGATTGAGTAAGAAAGTCAAGTCAGTCGCCAAACGGGACACGGGACACGGGCCAAGCGCAGCTCTTGGAAGGCAGCCGAAGGACGTACGTAGCGCGGCCAGAGCTTACTGCTCAGGTAGGTACCTGCTGCACGCGCCAAAAATGGTTGGTCCGACAAGGTACCTCAAGCACGGACCATGCGCCAGTCACGAAAAGGAAGAGCAGAAAAAGGTACCTAGGTACCTTTGGATGCGGCTTCCCCCAGTCAGATCTCTAGGGAAGAGCTCGGCGCTTCGCAACTGCAAGCGACTTGGCTCCACTAACGATGGACGCTTTGTCAATTTGTGACGTTGTCGATTGTGCTGAAGCACCTCTACCTTAAACTATTCCCAGTAGACACAATAAACGCCCTTAAAATCACCTACTTATCTAAGATATTGACTTCACGATTTATTGCTCTTACTGCTATTTTTCTCTTTGCCTCAGCACTGAATCTTGGTCTCGGTGGCGCACTAAATCGCGAACAAGGTCGCGTGGCTGGCCATTTACGGATAGTTGCCACCAATACACAGTCAAACAGAGGAGCACCTCCTTTGTGCAGATGGGGCCCGAGATACCCAACCGCACTAATTGCAACCAGTACTAAGGTACATACCTGCCTACGTTGCTGATGACTTAGCGGACAGTGCACATGCGGCCATTGGTGTTCCGTGTTAGGATTGAGGATAAGCCACATTTTTCGCGCTTCTATACATACAATACAGACAACGCCTGTTTCACCATGATCGTCGAGCCACACGGTATTCGGTAAATGTATGGAAGCATCTTAGTTGAGACAAAGAAGGTGTATTTGTTGCAGTTCGGTGACTTGCTTCGGCACACTGTTCTACGAGACAAAGGTTTGTGCGTGATCGTGTGTAAAAACAGACTTTCCAATGGCCCTGCAACACTATCAAGACATGTGAAGGCCCCCGATACTTTCCGCTGTGTCGAATTCCAAGAATAGAAGAACAACGAAAGCCGCAGCAAGAACAGAGAAGTGGTTATAGGGTTCCATTCAACTATGAAATGGTAAACTGGCAAAACGAAACGGAACCGAAGACAACAGAGCATTATCGAGGCAGCACAGGACAACAGTTATAGAAACTGTGCAGAATCGCCATAATTGCTCACGGTAACCATTGGGAGTTAGCCCATTCTTACCCAGAGACATACAAAGATTGGGGGGATGTAAAAATTAGAGAAAACCCCCTGATATCACGACGCCTGAACCCGGCCGAATCCGTACAAACGCCGAATGCTAGAAGAAAAGAAAAGCCATATGTCATTCTTTATTTTAAGCCCCCAGGCCATCGTGAATTCGCCCAGAAAATGAAATACACGAAAATGATGTGCTCCTTACTAGGCTACCTTCTGTGCGATTAAAGGCTTAACTCTGAGCCAATTGCCGCCGCAGCTGGGCTGAGATTGCTTGTTTCGTTACAGGTCTCCTTTTCCGGGCATCACTTTGGCTGCCTGGACCGCGCTCATCTTGCTGATCCACTGCGCGTTAGGCTGCACCTTGCGCACTGTGCGTAGCTCTTCGCTGGAATAGCCTGGGATACGGATATTATAACTACGCTCCAAAACGAGCTGAATATCGCGGATTTCCAGCACCTTGGAACCTCTTTCTTTGGCATTGCGGCAGGCCGAGTTAAGAACACCGTCAACAAAGGCGTCGGCAAGGTTGAGCACCGACTAGTCGGTTACATGACGTTAGCGGTTATGAATTCTGAGAGAGATCTAAAGGGGGAAAAGGGAGCCGGACCACGAAAACGCAATAGCTGGAAAAGAAGACCAAAAAAAGGTGCAACTCACCTCTTCAACTTCAGGGGTCAGTAAATTACCCTCCTGGCCCTCAGCCGTTCCTCCGCAGACTTGACGAACCAGCTCGTCCAGTTTTTTCTTGTTGAGAACTCTTTCACCCTCACCCTCAAGTTGATAGGCCGGGGTCTTGGCAAGGGCGGGCTGATTCATGACTCCTCCACCAATACCACCACCCCCGCTGTAGCTGGGGCGAGAAGTTCCTATTCCACCCATAATTGGGACCGGGGTAGGCATTTGGGTAGCTTTCTCCGGGAGAACTTTGGGGATGGGCAATTTGGAAGTTAGGTTGGCTTGCCCGAGGGGCTGCTGCTGAGGTGGGTGCGCGTGGGGGTGGCCTTGTTGCGCGGTGCCTATGACGCCGCCCTGTACAGAAGACGGAGTACCGCTCTGAGCGCCACCAACGGGTCCAGGGAGAGAGCCAGCGCGTTGCTGGGCGGCGAGGTTAATGGCAGCGGCATGCGTGAGTGGGCGAATATTGGCGCCGGTAGGTGTGGCAGACTGGGGCGTCTGAATGCGAGCAGAGTTCTGGGTGGGGGTGCCGCTTGACTGGATACCAACAACACTAGAAGCTGCTAGAGCCGTATTGAGAGGTGCAGGAATATGTGGTGGTTGCTGTGTACCTGGCTCGATTTTTATGGGTGCTGATGGCGGCTGTTGAGCCGGTGGTTGCGAGGCGATCGCAGGCTGTGGAGGGGCCGCCTGCTGGGTGACAGGGGTAGGTGGAGCTTGTACCTGGGGAGCTGTTGCCGGCGCCTGTGTTTGAGTTTGAGGCTGCGCCTGTTGTAATTGATGCGGCGGCGGACCCTGTTGCGGTCCAGGAAGACCGTTCGCGCCAGGCATTCGACCTGCGGCCAGCTGCTGCTTCTTCGCGGCCTCAATAGCGGCTGTGACGGCGGCTGTAGGATTTTGCATCGGCCCGCCTGAAGCTGTCGATACAGGCGCCCCGCTAACTCCCGGACCTGGCTGCTGCCGAGTACCTGCCCCAACTCCTACAGACGCAGAATGTTGGCCCTGTGGGCGTGAAGCATTCGCAGTCATCGAGTTTGGCGCAGCATTGCCGGCGCTTGCGAGGGCCTTTTGGCTGGCACTGCTAAGGCATGACGCCCGGACACTTTTCACGAAGGTTATGGCGACATTGTGCTGTTTGGTAATCGCCGTCTTCTCCTCCTGCCGCAACTTCACCTCATCAGGGGAGAGGTTCTTCAACGTGGCCGAGTCACCAAGCGCTTGGATTTGGCTTCTGGTAATTTCTATTTGTTGAAGTGCCCGAACATATCTTGTCTTCATGTCCTCGATCCACTTCTCCTTCTCTGTAACGGTAGGGGGGGGTTGGAATACCAACTCATTGACGTGGCTGAGGATACTGGCAGAAATTTGCTGCGGGAACGGACCGCTAACCGCTGCCTTGGGCGGTTGGAGCCTGTTCGCCGCAGGCGTTTGAGCGTTCGCGTGTAAACCGTTGCCAGATCCGCCAGGGACTGCAGGAGGAGCAACGGGAGACTGCTGTGGCTGCTGAAGAGCCGTTTGAGCGCCCTGGCCGGGCTGTTGCAGTTCCTGTTGTTGCAACATCTGCGGCTGTTGCTGCAGTTGCTGCTGCTGCAGTTGCTGCTGCTGCAGCTGCAACTGTTGCTGCAGAGTCTGCTGCTGTTGCAGAGTCTGCTGCAATTGCTGAGTCTGCTGTTGCTGTTGCTGTTGCTGCTGCTGCTGCTGCTGCTGCTGCTGCTGCTGCTGCTGCTGCTGTTGCCGCTGCTGCTGTTGCTGTTGGTGATAGCGCATTTGATGGAGCTTTGACATGAGCATCCGGCCGAATTCGACGATTTTCTTCTTGGCATCTGCCTGTTCGGCAGAATTTGGAGCCGATGCTTCAAACCTCCTCCACAAACTTGTCAACCCTTTTTCGTATTTCACTTTATCTTCGTCTGAGAGATACGGCATGTTCCGCATCGATTCGGGCCGGTACATCTGGGTCCCTGGAGGTCTATTTGGAGCGCCGCCAGCCTGTTCGGCCACTGGGCCAGGGCCAGGGGTCGGATTCATAATGGCAGAACCGAACGGCTAGGGCTAGGGCCGAGTAGTCGGTCTAACAGGTTCGGGTCTTCGGGAGACGGGGAGGAGAGGTGCGTGGGCACACTTCGGCTGGGGACGACACGACAGAATTGCACAGAAATTGGGAGAACCGAGGCGGAATAAGGGGGAAGAAGAAGAAAGACCACGGCCACGACTACGCCAAGCTGTGTAGGCAGGCGGCCCTGTCTATTTCCTTGTCGGAGCTCAGTGTGGTGAAAGTAGACAGGACGAGTCAGGGGATGATAAAAACGAAGCAACGACGCTCGTCGTTGATGGTTGTCGACAAGCGATCGAGTAGCCCCGCATTTCTGTAGAGGAAAGTGGCTGGATGGGTGAGGTGTCTTGGCCACCCCGGCGTGTGCTTTCTACACTACTGTGGCGCTCAGCCACGGTGGGGAGCAGTGTGAGGATAGGACGGTTCTATGGGTACCTTGCTCGGTACCTTTTCTATTTTCTTTGCACTCAAATCCACTAACGTTTGTCACTTGGTACCGCAAAATTCTTTAGGTATTCCTGATAATGGGAATAATAATACTGTTATAACCACCCAAAAAAGAGACTAGAAACTAGAAGGTAGGTTTTCGTTCCCATCTGTTCCGATTTACTGGGTTGGCTATAGGTAATACCTAAAACTTGAGGTTCTATCGCCAGTGAGGGCCACTGGGTATAAAGGTCACAATAAGAACAACGCAGGAAATTGTATAGGGTTAATTTAGGTATCTCATTGAGGTAGGGTGTCTATAGTTGGGGCATCATACGGGGCGGACAACACTCCGCACAGTTGATCTTCACCATTAGACGCAGATTCGCACTTGGGCAGCGAAATAGACTTCTGACGCCTATACTGTCCAACATTGCCGGGAGGGCAATTTTCCGGTGACCATTTTCATTGACATTTTTCTACTCCGTATCTTTCCTCGAAGATGCTAACCCAGCGTCGTTTATTAAGTTGACAAAATCAGATGCATCAGTAGCCCACGAGAGCTTCGTCTATTGCAGTGGAAAATCTATGTATGTCCCGATCCCCAGATTGTGAAGAAATGTAAACATTGCTTGTCCCTCAAAGACGTGGTACGGAACTTGAGACATGAAAGAAAATGCGATGACCAAGTCTATAGGGTATCATCACCCAAACCAAAAACGTATTGGCAATGCAGAGAACTAGCCAGGTCTTGCCCGCCAGTCATAGCCTCGCCTCTTCTCCATTCGGTCGCCATTTGGTTCACCAACTGCTGGTGTCATGGCCATTTTTCGAGCCCGTCGCTGAGTTCCGGGGACTGACGGGGAAAATGACCCGAATGGAACAGAACATGCATAGAATCCCGCCGAAATGGACTTCCTTCTCATCACGGGCTGTTCTTATGGTCGCCATAATTTTAGTCATCATTAATCGTTGCCGTCATCATCAATGCAGCAGAAGAAGGAAACCACCGCTTAGTTGAGCAGACAAGGCTTTATTCTGAAGCCCGTACTCGCCAAACTGCCGTGCAGCTCATTATGGCGATGGCGAATCAATCTCCATGCTGACGTATTGGTAATACGGAAGCTCGCGTGCAAGAGTCTCGCTGATTAGGATTTCATCTTCGCTGGAGTCTGGCTCCTCGAGCTCTTCTATTCTCGGCGGTGGCGGGTCCTGGAACAACAGGCTTCGCCTGTCCCCCGTTTTCCGGCGGAGGCGGCGGGCGCTTGATCCGACCTCCTCGGCACCGAGAAAGGCCTTGAGATCCTCACGGTCCGTGTCGCTTCCGATGCTCTCGCTTATCGTGCGTTTGCCGATGCTGCCCGATGTCATGCGCTTGTGCCGCCTCTGCTCGCGCCGCTTCGAAAGGAAGTCTTGATACTCCACAGTGTCAATGTCGGAGAGATCCGATTCATCACTGCAATTGAGATTGCCGAGATGCTGCATGATTGTTTGATCAATCTCGGGGGGGTTCCGTGATCGCGAGCGACTGCGGTCCGACTCTGCGTACTCGATGGCATGAGGTCGGATCACGCCGACACGCTCGTCGTCGCTGTCGCCAAAATCGCTCATCTCTTCCACGGTGAATGCTGCGTGGGTGACGACGCGCCCCGTCCTAGCCCGCGGTGCTAATGGAGCCGTCTTCGCCCGCTGCGATGTGACGGAACGAAGGGGACTCGCCGAGCCGCCTTCCGAATCTGAAGACGATGGTATTGAGGAGGTGGATGACCGGGGCGACAGCTGCTCAGGACGGACGAGCCGGGGGTGGCTGAAATTTGGCCCACGGTCCGCCGGCCGACCGCCGCTGGTCACGGACATCATCGGACGGCGGGGGTCGAGAGGATTGGGCGGCGCCATGGGCGGCGCCGGGTGGCTCTTGTGTCCACCAAGGCTGTGTCCACCAAAGAGAGGCAACGCCGTCGTGGGTGTCTGTGGCGGCGACGACGGTCCCACGTTTCGAGGAATTTTCAAAGTGGGCGTCGTCGGCCGCATTTTCTTCCTCGAGATCTGCCGACCCAGGCAGGATTTGGTGTGGTGCCAGCAGCGTTTCAGTCTATCTGGGGCGAATTCAAAATCCAAGGTGGTTCCTCCAATGCCCTTTTTCTTATCGATTTGGTGTAATGGGCGTGGGGTAATAATGGCGGGGGAAAAAGGAGGGGTGTAAGGTTGTGTGAGCGAAGGGACTCAGGGCGTCAACACCCAAAGAATGAACCTCCAACGAGGAGATGTTAAAGGACTTCGGTTGGTTTTCATGATAATAATGTATTCGAAATCTCGTGCAGAGTTCGTGCAGCCTATGCGATTCCCACTTGGAGAGGAAAAGCACGGAGAAAAAGACCAGGCAATTGCGTGAACAGTTGGCCGATGCCAATACCTAGGTTATTGGCTACCTATCCGGTATCTTTGCGCCCAGTGCTATTCTCAAGGATTGTTTGGCACGGAATCTGCCTGGCTCAACGGGCTGCAGCGAACCTAAAGTATTGCAGCCGAAAGAGGTGCGCCCGACAGGTTGGGGGCGGTCTCTTCCCAGGAAAAAATGTGCGACTAGGCAGAGCGCGGCAGCGCCAAGTGGACGGGATCAACGGGATCAATCGAGGCCGGAGGCAAGATGGGCTGGCAGGTACGGACACCCGAGATAGGCAAAGGAATGTAGTAGAAAGTTTCAAGACGGCCTTTTGACTCGAGTAGTGTGTGCCGGTTTCTGGCTGGTTTCGAGGTTCCTGCCGTCCGAGCTCCGAGACTGGGCCACTCAGTGGAAGTGAAGGTAGGTAATTGGGTCTGGTAGGAAGTACGAATATCCACAGGGGCGGCGGAAACAGGTTGGGCGTCGGACCGAAGTCCCCATCTTATACTTTTGCCATTACTGCTTTCGTGCTCATTATACTACAGGGTTCCCATCGCCTCCCCCCATGGGCATGCCGGGCGGGTCGGCGGAAAGAGGCAGGAGAGACAAAAGAGCCGCTAGCGGCTGAGGATGAGTTTGCGAGTTTGCGAAGACACTCTTCCCGTCAAAGTGTTCCCAGTCGGCGGTGCGGTCTGAGGAGTAGCGGCAGCTTGGGCAGCAATGCTCCAGGACTTCCCTGGCTCCCGTCCCCTGTCCCCCCCCCCATATGAATCTTCTAGATGGCAGCGGATTGGAGGTGCTCCGGCGCAAAATCCGCTCAGGCCAGCGATATCACGAAGGGCGGACCGGCGGTCGGCCAAGAGACACGAGGGAAGAAACGGTGACTCCTTTCTCGGGTGCCTGCCTCAGCGCTGTTACATGACCGACCGGGCCTAGGGGCACTGAGTTGTCCCTTTCATGAGTACACACAAGCGCAGGGGGAAAAAACTGCCCTGGCGTTGGACCAGCACGTTTTCCAATAGCTAGGTCCTCTATGGATGGCAGGACGAATCAGGGCCGCTGAGGCCTGCCTGGCACTAAGAGACTGCGGCAGTCATGCCCAATAAGCGGAAGAAAAACCCACAATGCCGGCTGAGCAGACTCTCTGACAACTTACAAGAGGCTGCTGTCTTGCGGCGGGCCTACGTGGGAATTGTGGGGAGCGGGCGGACGGGGAAAAGCCCGCTTCAATGTGTGACAAGGGCCAACCTTGGCCGAAATCACACCGTTACTGTACGGATACCGAAGATGCCATGTGGTGTGGGCTGAAGTCGCATGGCGCAAAGGCGCACTCAAATCTTGCAGAGACCTCTGATCCGCATCGGCGCAACCACCCAGGACCGTTGTGACTACGCAACCGAGCACGCCTCTGAGCAGATCTCAAACTTCCGACATCTATCGGGCCTCCTGTGGATGAATTGCACTGCATGTTACATTCAAAGCTAGACAACAGCCGCCGGCGAGGCAGTCGATAGGCCGGTGCCCGAAGGTGTGTTGGGCGTCACGGTCCTTTGGATGCTGACGAGCAAGCGGTGGGGTTCGTATCGGCACATAAACGTTGGCGGGATTTTTTCCCTTTAATACAAGAAGGAGACGCCAGGGGAGGGATTTCTATTTATGTTTATTAGGCGTAAGTCGCGGGGATGATGGAATGGCCGCGCTAAATCAAATGAGGAGAGTTGGGGGAAGGCGCCATTCCCGGAGCGCGCAGCATCGTGTTCGCTATTACAGACGATAAGATGCCTCTACCCGCCTAGTAGCTACCGTACCGTAGATCAGTTAGATACCTAGATACATGTACCCTGTTCTGCCAGGCATAAGATGCCGCCTTATACTAAGCAGCCCGTCGTTTCCCAGCCCCATCCCCTTAAACCTGCTGTTCCGGCGCTGTTATATATATGTATCATGTATCCCCATATACAGACATGAACGGAGTTGCCGCAAACTATTAGTCCCAAGCAGCAACGCAGACCAAACCCCCTTTTCGTTTTTATAGTGAGTGGGAATGCAAACAGGCCCCGCTCTGCTCATTGTCGGCAGGGTGTCTTCGTCTCATCTCATCCCGCTAGTTTTTCTTGAGATGTGTCTCTTCCTTGCTTGCCTAGGCGCGCAGCCTATATGCCCGAGGAAGTGATGGTGATTGCGATTTAATGTGATGCGATGCGATGCGATTTGATACGATGCGATGTGACGTGATGCGATGCGATGTGATGCGATTTAATACATATCATGATGACCTACTGCAGCGCAGCCAGGACCAGAATCGAAACAAAGACGAAAGGAATGTCATGAAGGAAAAAGAACAAAAGGACCAAATTCCATGATATGACGCCGTCGATGCATGTGTGTGTGTGTGTGTGTAAATAAACAAACGAAGAACGAAAGACATCAACCTCGGTTTTTGGGTGCATGAATGAGAAAGAATCACGGTCCTCTCGTCTGGCGACGCGAGTGACGTAGAAGTCAGCCGGGGGCGTGTATATTCCGTACATCTACTCCCAGATGCCTAGATGGCTGTAGTGCCCGTCGGGGGCATTGTCGCTGCCCTCGCCAGCTTCTGCTGCTAGCGGCAACTTCCCCATGTTATTATCGCCTGGCACGTCCCTATCTCTGCCCCTGCTCCGGCCCCACGCCCTCCTGCTGCTACGGCCGCGTCCGCCAGCGCCGTCACCGCCCGCACCAGCGGCTGTGGCTAAGCCTCCGGCCGGTGGAGATGGAGGTGAGGATGAGGGGCCAGCGGGGACGCTCCGCGCGCGCGGTTGTGGGTATTTGCCAATCTTATTATTATTGATTATGTTTCTGTTATTGCTGCTGAACTCGACGATGCTATGGCCGTCACTGACTAGGATTCCCGCTGCCGCTGCTGGTGGCAGTGGGCGTGGACTTGGGCTGGCGCAGGCACTGTTGCTGGTTTCGGCCTGGTGCTCGAAATGCTGGTGGTTCTGTTTGGGAGACTGGGGTATGGCGAATGCGAGGAGGTGATGTGGCGCGTGATGCTGCTGCGCCTGGACACTGGGCAGAGGTATGCGAGACCGTGACGGTGACGGCGAGTGCGACTGCGATCGGGCGGCTGCGCGTGACTGGTTCCCGAGATTGATCTGTTGCTGACGTGCAAAGTTGCCTGGGGCTATCGCCGGGGATGGAGACGAAGACGTAGACGTAGCGGCTGGGCGGTTCTGTTGAAGCTGCTCCCACCGCCGGTAGCTCGTGTCGACGTCGGGGAAGGCAGCGTCGAGGCGCGGCGAGGGCTCTGTCTCTGTGCACGACAGTCTTCGGCGCCGATTACTGGCAGCCCCTGACGACGGGAACGGCAGGCGCGTGGCTCCGCTACCGGCAGCGGGGTGATGCACCTTGCTGCTATTCATGTTGTCGGGGCTCGTCCCTGCCAGCGGGGACGAGTGGTGTGTTGCCGGTGTCCTATAACGGAACGACGCGGACCCGGGCGACGACGGAACTTGGGCAAAGTCGTGGAGTGGGCCGCCACTAGTAACTATGGACGAGGAGCGGTGAGACGGCGTCGGTGTCATAGGCTGCGACGAATAACCCGAGAGTCCGGGACGGATCCACGCGTGTTGGGCCGACTGTTGCTGCGCCCGGTGTTGAAGCGCGAGATCTCCTGCCCCTCCGTATGTGTGGTGTTGCTGGCGGCGATGGTCGTGCCGGGGCAGCACCGACGGGTATGAGAACGAGAGAGGGTCGATCCACTCTTCCACGCCAGACGAGTCAACCCGGCTCATGCCCGGATGGTGCACAGTCGTGTCCCAACGGCGGATAACCAGGGGTAAGCCGCCGCCCGGATGGTGAGCAAGCTCGTCGGCCACCGCCTCGGCCGGGAGTGCCGAGAAGGTAGGTGGTTGGAACGGCGACAAGCGACTCGCCGGGCTCGAGTTGGCTGTGCGGTTACCCCTGAATATGGGGCCCGGGGGGACGATGATGTCGTCCTCATACGCAGTTTGGGTTTGTGAAACAGATGCGGCTGCGAGTGGTGCTGGGTCTGTGGGCAGCAGTGATGGAAGCACACTTTCCTTCAACTTCTTCACAGTCGCCACCGTCCAGGTCTTGGGCGAGGAAAGGACTTGTATCAGTCCCTTGGAGAACTCAGCCGGAAGCATCTCGAATTCAGTTTCAGGAGTCTTTTTGGCGAGGGCCTGTGAATAGCTGCCCCGCCCCAGAAGATATTGCGGGCGTGACAAGTTTGCACCACTCGTGTCATGCATAGGCTCTGGGGGTGGTAGCGGTGATGCTTGCTTTATCTTGTTCAGTTCCATCTCGGCATCGCTTCGGGCGGTTACCCGGCCCTTGCTCGGCGACACGGGGGTGGCTATCCGGCTCGAGATGGACCCGACAGCAATCTCCTGGCTGATGCCGACCCGGGGATCGCTGACAGTGCTGTCTCGCCATGCGCCAGCCCGATCGTGGTAGCGCCGCGACTCGTGTCTCTTGATGACGCGGTGGTGCGGAACCACCTCTTGCCAGTCCTCGTAGTCCTGGCTCCCGACACGGTCATCTAGGTACGGCGCGGTATTGTCCACCACGTGTATAGTTGTCATGGTGTTGCCTCCAACCGGTGGCGTCCAGGGAGGCGATGAAGCGACCGTGTTTTGGTCGCCATCGTCGTCAATGTCTGGCGTTGGCGGCATTAGCAGCTTGCTGGGGTACGGCACTTGCCAATCTGAAGGCTCCGTGGGGGACGCTTCGTACGCGGCAGGGAGAGGCTGCTCCGGCTCGTCAGCGTCAACCTCCCAACTAGTCTGGCTGCCACGGCTGTCACCACTTGGCAGTGTCGCTGCCGAGTCGGTTTCTGAAGATATGTTGCTGGATCTGTCAAAGACAGATGCTGGAGGCTCCTCGCCAGATCCGTCAACAATGTACGCCTGGACGGCCTGCGACAGGCAATCGATCTGGCCCTGTATCTTCTCAAGACGGCTCTCGACCTCGGCTCTCGCCCGGGACAGCAGCTCGGGCGACCTCTTCTCGAACCTGTTCAGGTGCTGCAGCAGCTTCTGTCCGTGGATACAGAAGCGCCGGTAGTCGTCTGGCAGACCAACCCGAGGGTCTTCTCTGATGCGCTTGTCCGCCTCGTCAAACGACCTCGACCAGATGGCTGTCGCCCGCTCTAGCCAGAAGGGCACCTCACGGTGCTCGTTGAGCGTGTCCACAAAAAAGGCCTGCACCACGCTGTGAATCCGAAGGAGGTCTAGGTAATCGGCATGTTTGTCGAAGCTTTGCCTTGAGCTGCGGGAGCTCGACGGCGATATGTCATCGCTCTCGGTCCGCTCGACTAGGGCAAATGCGATAAGGACCTTCAATGTGTTGCTAAGTGTTGTTTTCCTGTGCGAGGCATCGGCTGTCTTGACGGGGGTGATTTTGTCGAGGGCCGAAAGACCTAATTGGTCGGGGATAGATGGTTAGCAACTAGCATATCACACTGTTAACAGATCGGCACCGAATATCAACATACCGAGGGTCACCATCCCAACCGGGACGTGCTGGTCAAAGAAGGCCAGGAGCGACATCAGATTCAGCGCCGCGGTTCTTCCCCGGTGCTCGAGCTGCTCCCGTACCGCCTTGTACGCCGGCAGCCCCCCTACCTTGGGGCGGCTCTGGTAAGACTTGAGGTACCGAGAGAGAGGTTCCCGCGTTGCTTTGAGATACTGCGCGGCAATGTGTATCATCAGGGGAAGCCGCCCCATCAGCTGCACCAGCTCGAGGGCCTTGATGCGGTCATCTGTCGTCCACGGCCGCTTCTTGTCCATCTCGAGGAAGAGCAGGTCTTGGGCCTGCTGGGCCGTCAAGAGGCCCAGCTCCATCACCTGGGGATTGTCGAAGCGCGGATCGCCCGTCACGGCGCGCTCTGTCGACGTGTAGATGAGGCTCGTGTCGCGGGCGTCGGGGATGAACTCGTGGAGACCTGGGATGTCGAACTGGATGCCGTCCAGGACCATCAGCCAGCCCGACTGGGAGCTGAGCCACCTGCGGACGATTTCGACGATGCGCTTGGGGTCGCGCAGCTCCTCAACGTCCTCCTGCTCAACCAGCCCCTTGAGCGCCTCGTTCTTGGCGATGCGCCAGTACCAGTACTCCATCTCGTCGCGGGACTTAGCTCGCACCCAGTAGACGCCACCCGGGTAGTCATCCTTGTGCTGGAACACGTACTGGCGGGCGAGGTGGGTCTTGCCGCCGCCGGGGAGACACTGGACCAGCACGGCCGAGGTGCCCTCGGATCTACGCTTGCGGTCCATGAGCAGATCGTGGAGCCCGCGCAGCTCGTCCTCGCGGCCAATAAAGAACGAGTTGGGGCGGAAGGATTCTGGGTGAATGAAAAGGGGCTCGTCTTGCCGCCGGCGAGACGTTTCGAGCACACGGTGGTCTTGGCTGCGGACTAGCGCCGCGGTTTCAGGCAGCACAGATGGTACCCAGACAGGCGCCGCAGTCTCGACAGGCTTTGGAGAATGATGGGAAGATTTATCATTACTGCCCTCTGCTACAAGAAATCCAAAAAATATCAGTCCATGCGCCTCTAGTATGGGTGAAATTCAGCAGCAACTCGATCCGCCTCGTCGTCCACTTCCTCAACATCTCTATCAAGCACCAGCAGCTGGGGAGAGGGCCGCCGCGAGTTATTATACCAGCTATGGCCGGACGGTGACTGGAACCTACCGATTGCTTGACGGTGAGGGCTGGGGGACATGGCTCTTTCCTAGTCATAGTAAACAGACAATATTAGATGGGAACCATCGCGGCTGCAGCAGAAATGGGTAGGGCGCGGACATGTTCGACCCCGCCATGGCCACGAGACGTTGCAAATCCAGGCGTATGGCAGGCGTACGGGTGACACGGGGGGGCCGACGGTACTTACATATGGTCTCGTACGCTCGAAATTCTCGAGATCGGCTCTCAGCCGTCGATCGTCCTCCTCCACCTCCCAGCGAACAGGAATGACGTTTGGGCCGTCTGCAACCCACTCGCGGATGGCCGTAGATATGTTTCGGTAACCGGGGGCATGGTCGCTGTCAAACTTGCACATGCCCGAATGGGTTGCCTCGATGCCGTAGTACGTGACGCCGGGAAGCTGGGGGCCGGCTGAGCTGGCATCTACAATCAGAACCCTGAATCAGGTTAGCACAAGGCAGGACAAGGGGGTGCGGACTCCGTGCTGCGGAATTCACCCTTTAGCGGCACTCACTTCGTTCCTTTGACGTCTGTCGTGTGATTCTCATGGACCATGTGGATCCTGAACCGTTGGTAAATGTCCAAGAAGTGGCTGTTGATCAGCTGGAGCGTCTCGTTGTCCTTTTTGAGCGTCCTGATGAGCACCGACTCGGTCTCAAAGAACTTTCTGGGGATGATGGCATCCGACATGTACTGGAGGACACGCCCCCACATGGCCAGGTCTGATCCATTGTGAGGTGTCCCGAGAAAGATGATGCCGTATGTGGACACGAAGATGGACCGGAAGTCTTCTTGGTGATGAGCGCGGACGTCGTTTGAGTAGAGTAGCGCCCTCTTAGTGACGATACCGCCGAGACTATGCGCCACCCAGATTATAGGGTTCCGCTCCGTCCCCTCGCTCTTCCGGTACTGTGTGAGCGACGTCACCAGGCTCTGCGCGTGCTGGTGGACAAAGTTGTCGCTGGGGCTTCTGTCCCTCCGGGTCGAGTAAACGTCGGCATTGTACCCGTACACCAAAACATTGGCATGCTCGTTTTTCAGCGAGACCGGCAACAGGTCGGAAGGCCAGAAAACGCCATTCTTGGACAGCCATGTCTTCTCGGGGTCTCCGTTGAGGCCATGCACGAGAACGATGTCGGCTTTGGCCGCCGGATGGCGGTAAACCGCTGTGAGCTCATAACGAGATATATCCTTGTCGATGGATCCCTAAACGAGCATGGCACAGTGCAATCAGCGAGCCGTTCTTTGCTAATTGTCGTAGATATCTTCAACAATCAGATGCGTCATTGGATGCCCATGAATGTGATGGTGTTTTGTTGATTTCAGGGGGGGGTGGTTGGCATGGACATGGAGACGGACCGGTCCGCACTCGCAGCTGGGCCAGGATATCTGTCACTGAGCTACGGCGACAGGGTGTGGAAATCTGGGGAAAAGAGAGAAAGGGTGGGGGGCCGGTCGAGACTGGCCCGATGCGACTTTCGAGACGAGGTTGCAAGAGGCGCCGCGAAAAGGGGGCCCATGATGTATGGGAGACGTACCATGCTCACGAACGGATAACACCGAGTAGGTGGGATGAAGGTCGGCGCCAATCATAAATAGCACCAAATGCTTGGAGATCAATAAATCATACGGTGTGAGAGTCCTGACGGCGTCTTTGGCTCCTTATATGACGACTGCGGGAGTCGGCCGGGAGCTGAGACGGGGTGACGGCATCAACGAGGCTGTCCGGTGCTGTCTGGCAGGGCTCCTTCTCCTCGGAGAACACAGGTCAAGCGTGCGACGTGATCAAGCGCTTTCCTTTTTGCCTGCTTTTCCTTTTTGTAGCAGTAGTAGAAAGGCCCACCGAAAGCCCATCATCGGACCCGAGGCAACACATATGAGTTTGTCCTACGGGCGTTCTCTCTTTTTCTATAGCCCCAGGGCTGACAATGGCGAAGGGGCGACGTGGGGAACCGACAGTCACGAGGCCGGCTTCTCAAGTGCCCGATAGTGGGCAGCTGAGCCCCCCCTTGGTGACCAGGCCCTCCTCCATCAAGCCTTTCTGGGAGGTGCAAAGTGTTTCATGTGGCACACGCAAATCCAAGGAAAAGCATGACGGGCCTTGGTCGAGGTACAAGGCGGTGCCGTGGGCGCGCCCATGTGGTGTCTAAGGGCTTGCCAGGCGCGCGGAAGCCGCAGACTCGCGAAAAACATCCCGTACCCCGACATTTCTTCCACCAGCCTCTAGGTCTAGGTCTAGAATATGTCCTAGTCTAGTTCTAGGCCTAGGTCCATATCTAGATGCGGCGCTGTGCCCTCCTCTGTCTGGCTTCTTCGATCTGTTACGTGCCGGGAGGTGTTGCAGTCCCGTCCAGGTAGGTATTGTCCAAGAGAGGAAATAAAAAAAGCAGCCAAGCCTGTGAGGCCCGTGGGTTACACGCTGGACGCCTTGCATATTGGGTGCAGTTGTGCGCTAAAAACGGCTAGGCACTGCTGACAGGCATGGGCTTCCAGGAGAGTGATTGACGGTTGGTTTCACCAACCTCTAGAGTTTCGAAGAATGGCTGCGGTTCAAGATGACAATGACCATCAACATACTGGAGTACTGTGCTACCTTTCTGCATGACGTCAAACCCGATCTTGTCCGGTGCTAATCCGGCCGGCCAGAGTCTATTATGAGCAAGGTCAAGAGACACAGAGGTGGACAAGACTATATCTCGGGAGGCTGCGCTCGGATCAAGCCTTGCCATCGGGGACGTATTGATACGTGCCCGCCCTTCTTGTTTGTCTAGTGCCGGAAATGTGCAACGCCGTATGACTGAGATGCTCTCCAGAACTTGGCGGGTTTCTGGTGATTATTTATTTCATCCGCTGAAATCCTCTTCTAGCCGCGCACCCCCGGCTAGAGTTGTGGAAAACGGCTGCGCTTCGGCCTTACCAGCTCAAAGGTTCGCGAGAGCTTTGGCCGAGGTCTAAATTGTAAGGCAGCTCGGCCGTTGCTCTGTCACAACTCAGACTCCGTCCACCCACCGAGGATCCTCGTATGGGAGCAGCGAGCGGCCGTACCGGTCCTGGCCCCGCTGTCTCAAGGGATGTGATATGTTTGTAGTTGCCATCCTGCGGTCAAGCCTGCTGTTGGATGTTTGGTGAGCATACGAATCGCGCCATTATATAGCCATCATCTGTAGGGGAGCTGCATAAAAAGTTACTCGGACACCCTAAGGATGGTGGGCCGTGACATGGCGGATGGTCTGGTCTGCAACGGGCTCTATTATAGACTCGTCTGGCATCCTCTAGCGACTTCGTAGACTCTTATCGCCGGGCTCTGAATTCCTCGAGTTCAGGTGTGCAGAACAGTTTCGAGCTCTTTCCATCTATACTAAAGACATCTGACTCAAAAGCACAGGTCCCTACTTGTCACACAAAGTCAACCAAAATAAGAGATCGCAAAGGTCCATTTTGCCAAGTCGAGAGAAACTGGTAGAATCAAGGAAAATTGCCATTGTAACAATAAGCTGAAAGAGTAGCACACTGTCCAGCTCCGAGGCTCATGCTTGCAAGAGTGAAGCCAAGCCTCTTGATCACGTTCTAAAAGGTTGGATGGTTGAGATTCTGAAAAAAGTGTAGGCAGCACTTGTTCCTGAATCGAGTAGCATTTGGCGTCACACAAAAGGAAATCCCGATTCTGTCAGTGGTGAAGATGCTAGCAAAGCAGTAGCGTAACGTAGTATATTGGTCCGGGGTTGCCGACCTCACTCTTTGGGAGCGAGTACGAGCACGTACTCTCTTGTGCTCAGGCCGAACTTGACCATGTCCTTGCTCCTCAACTCCAGATAGCGGCTTTCGGGGACCTTTTCGCTGTTAAGAGACGTGCCGTTGGCACTCTCAAGGTCGATCAAGTAGGGTTTTACCCGGCCAATTTTGTCGCCAAACTCGTTCCGCTTCTCGGTATAGCGGAACTGTATCACGGCGTGCTGGCTGCTGATAGTTGGGTGTTCGGCAAGAAGGTCCACGACGGCCGTGTCTCTGCCTACCAGCCAGCAACTGCGCAGACTGAGCTCGACTGTGTCGACAATGTTTGAGTCCTTGAAAACAAACATTTTCCACACATCTCGCGGAGGCGGCTTCCTGGCCTCGGGTGGCTCGTGGTATTTCAGTGTGATTGTACTCCCGTCAGCCTGCGCAACCGAGTTAGATGCGGCAGCTAACGCTCCCGAATTCCCAAAGTTTGGCTTCTCTTTGGGTATCTCGGGCTCTTCACCATTGCTGATGGCGAATGTGTCACCCTGAGAGAGCAGGGGGCCGCTGCGTTTGACAATACTTCGCTTGCTGTCCGGTCTGTCGGGCTTGTCATCCTCTTCGCGTCTCAACTCTCTACGCGAGCGTTTGCTGTCCTGGCTCCGCTGTCTGGGCCGGTCCCTGCCGCTGCCAGTGTCTGAAATTCCGCCGCGCTCGCGCTCGCGCTCGCGCTCGCGTTCACGGTCCCGATCAAATCGCGGCCGCTCCCTTCCTGGAGACAATGAACGGTGGTGTCTGCCGGCTCTCTCACTGCTTCTGTCCCTATCTCTGCGCGTACCCCTGCCTCTATTTCTGTCACCATCTCTGTCTCTCTTCTTCGCTCTTTCTCTTGATCGAGACCGCCGATCGTCCAGATCGGGGGTCCTCGATCGTTTTCGGCTGTTCCTGTCCCGGGACCGATTCCGCCGGGAAGCGCTGTCGTCGAATTTTTTATCGTAAAAGCCATCTTTCCTCTCGTTTCTGCCACTGTCTCTGCCGTCCGGAGCATCATCCGCATATTTGGTACGGCGAGATCTGTGGCCTCCTTCGGGAGAATGGGAGCCCATAGTCTGAGCAGCGATCAGTGATCAGCCCTGTTCAGGCCGCAATATTGGCACACTTTTTTCCCCTTTCCTCCTGTTCGTGGAGAGCCCTCAATCCGGGTGGCCTGCGGGTCAAGGAAGGTCGACGTTAATTCGGAATTATCTTTGTCAAATTGCTGACGTTATTCTCGTCGGCGGACAAGGATTTGGATACGCCTTTGGCAGCTCCGACCAATATTTCGTGGGATGATCACGTCAAGAGTCAAATCGCCGGCCCAGCCGCTGGCCTAGTGTGGGGTTGGACTGCAAGCAAACAGTACTAAATCCCCTAATCAATTAATGCGTGCAAACTGGAGGTGGCACTGCGGATCTGACCAAAGCTGAAGCGGGCCGGCTGCCTGGCGGGGTGGCTCGGGGAGTGGGTTAGCTTCTTGGGGGGGGCGAGCTAGGCAGGCGGGCAGGAATGACCGAATGACTCCAGCAAGGTGAGGTGCAGCCTACAGCGTGGTACACACGCTGCATTACCTAATCGCGCCACCATTTGTTGCCCGAGAGAAGGCCCATGCTCCGGCGGCCTGCCTGTCTCCCGCACTCCAACATGACCGTCCCTCGAGCCTCCAGCGGTCATCTCAACTCCACCCTTGGTCATCAGCCTCCATCCAGCCTAACGCCCCTCCCAAGCACGACTTGGACTCTCGACACGCAAACCTAAACTGAAAGAACTCGCAAACTTGAGGATCACCTGCTGCCAGTTTTCGCTCGCTGCCCTATTGCGTACCTCAGTTATTCTTGACGCCGCAGTACCCGCCAGGACCAGCTGGTCAGGTCTCTGCCACCCAGCCCCATCCGTCCCCCTGCTCCCCAAGGTTGAGAACCCAACGCCGTGTGCATCCCATCGGTAATCGTCTCCTTTCCGCCGCCCCTCGCCTGCCTTAGCGCCTGGCCTTCGCTTCGCCCTCGATCTTATCGACTTGCCTGCTGGTGTCATACGCTGTTGTCCTTTCCTCGTTTGCTAGTGTCGAGTCATTTCAGACGGCCCTCGTTGTCGCACCCCCCTTCTATTCTCAACAATCTCGACGGGTGGCAAGCGGACCAGCTCGCCTGCCGACTCCGATAAGCCGGCACCATTCCTCCCATCACTCGAAAGCGGAAAGCCGCTGAGGCGACGATATCCTCTAATCCTTCTCTACCTAACAAGAGGATCCTCGCCTCAGCCGGCATCGAAGCTGAACCCGCGCCCCCGACGCCCGTAACTACTGCCTCCAACGGAATGGATTCGGAAGATGACTTTATGTCCGCCGTCTCCAGCGAGGATGACATCCTCCCGGACGACAGCGATAATGACGACATGTCCGGTGCTGAAGGTTTGTGAGGCTCTATTCTGTTTGGACCCATCCATACTTACTGGGTGCTCGCTCGCTAGACTTCGACTTCGATGACGAACCCGACCCGGATCTCGGCATGGAAAAGAGTATTAGCCACAAGAGAGTCGCATACGATATCAGCTTCAAGGTCTACCAGCCAGGAGATATTCAGAAGCAACAGGACGATTTAATAAACGAGGTCAACATGATCTTGGATATCTCCAAGGAGGAAGCAGCTATCCTACTTCGATATTTTAGGTGGAATAAGGAACGCCTCATTGAAGACTATATGGACAGATCAAGACAGGTCCTCGAGGCCGCAGGTCTCGCGCAGACAACGGTTGGGCCGCCCAAGCTCGAAGTCATCCCGGGCTTCGTTTGCGACATTTGCTGCGAAGAGGGAGATGGCCTACAGTCCTTCTCAATAAAGTGCGGCCATCGTTACTGCGTCGACTGCTACCGCCACTACCTGTCGCAAAAGATCAAGGAGGAGGGGGAGGCGGCGCGTATTCAGTGTCCCTCGGACGGATGCAACCTCATCATCGACGCTCGGTCTCTAGATCTTCTCGTCACCCCAACCTTGAGGGATAGGTATCATCAACTACTCAACCGGACCTACGTAGAAGACAAGGAGACCTTGAAATGGTGCCCAGCCCCCGATTGCCAGAATGCTATCGAGTGCGGCGTTAAGAAGAAGGATCTAGACAAAGTGGTACCCACGGTTTCGTGTCTCTGCAGTCATCGGTTCTGTTTCGGATGCATCTTGAACGACCACCAACCGGCTCCGTGCGACCTGGTAAAGAGGTGGCTCAAAAAATGCGCCGACGACTCGGAGACGGCAAACTGGATTTCGGCAAACACAAAGGAATGCCCCAAGTGCAACAGTACGATCGAGAAGAATGGAGGCTGCAACCATATGACGTGCCGTAAGTGCAAGCATGAATTTTGCTGGATGTGCATGGGCCTGTGGTCTGAACACGGCACGAGTTGGTATAGTTGCAATCGCTTTGAAGAGAGGAGCGGCACCGAGGCCCGCGACGCGCAAGCAAAATCTCGCGTGTCTCTGGAGCGCTATCTTCACTACTACAACCGATATGCGAACCATGACCAGTCGGCTCGACTAGACAGGGACATCTACCACAAGACGGAGAGAAAGATGGTGCAGCTGCAGAAGGAGTCGGGCATGTCCTGGATCGAGGTTCAGTATCTGAACTCGGCTTCGCAGGCGTTGCAGACATGCCGTCAGACACTAATGTGGACTTACGCGTTTGCCTTCTATCTAGCAAGGAACAACCAGACTGAAATCTTTGAGGACAACCAAAAGGACCTCGAGATGGCAGTCGAGGCTCTGTCGGAGATGTTTGAGAAGCCGGTAACCGACCTTGCGGACCCGCAGCTGAAGGTGGAGATCATGGACAAGACTACGTACTGCAACAAACGTCGGATCATTCTTCTCGATGACACGGCCCAAAACCTTGCAGATGGTAAGCGCGTGCTTTCCGATTGCTAGGTTACTTTGATGTTGACAAGTCATTAAACAGGGCGCTGGACCTTCAACGTCGAGCTATCCGGCGTTCTTGGAGGTAACAACGGTGGCCCAAGCAACAAACGCTAAATCCGCCACGAGGACGCAGTGTCGGACAAGGGCGGCACACTTGGGGGAGTGATTCGCATTTTGATTCCAGGACATGAGCGGGCGAGTAAATATTGGAGCATTTGAATTCATTCATGCTATTCAAGATCAAAGACTCATGGCGGAAGCGGTCTGCTGGGATATTACGACCATCCGGGTGATAGCTCCCAGCTCGGGTGTGAACGTTGTCGATGGTGGCAAGGAGCACAGGCGGTCAAGACGGAAAGGCAGAACAGCAGTTCACGGGTCGGTCACATTGGCGGAGTTACTATGGTGCGAAGGGACGCAAGCTTCTATTACTAGATGGTCTGGTTCGGAAGGAAGGAAGACAGTGGGGCTGATCTTATTGGGGTATCTTGTTTTCATGATGAATATTATCATTACTCCCCTATATTCGGCAGACTGAATGCCGGATATAGCTTGTACTGTAAGTGAGGTAGGTAGTAGGCAGGTAGTTTGAACTGAAGCGCGGTGAATGATACGGTGGTCCTCTTGCTCGTTGTAGTATAACTAGTAAGGTATGCAGGTATGTAGCAGTTCTGCTCCATGGACGTTGGGAACCGCCCGCTAATAATAGCCCACAACGCCATAGCCCTAGAGGCTGCATGCGTGTAATGAAGAAAAAAAATAGCCCACTTCGCCTGTAAGGTTAAGGAAGCCTTTGCGCCGTCTCCTGAACCATGTGTGGTAAAGTTAAGTTGCGGTTTCAAGTGAAAACACTATTCTGATGTTTCCATCCACGTTTGGGACTCGTGGGCAACCTGATTGATTAAGGTATTCGGTAGAAATAACAGGTGCGGGAACAAGGTAAAACGTGGGGCCTGAACCTAAGGTAGGAACCTAGTGAGTGACTGTCGAGCCCTCCAGTTCCATAGATTGTGAGGTGTCGGCCTGCTTCAAAACAATTACCCGCAGCGCCATCAATCAGCTTCCCCGCGTCTTTCCGAAGACCGCTGCAAGTAAACCCCCTAGCCCCCACTAGCTTCTGCCGAAGGCGCCTTCCGAGGGTGGAGACGTGCCGGGGCTCCAACGACCCGCGGCATTGTCCTCGGCCATTAACGGGTCACCAGAGCAGCTCAAGGACCCTGCGTTCCAGGGTATCGCGCTTAGCGCCTACCTCTCGACCTATGAATGAGTGATTCCGGGGAAAATGTCGGTATTTTGTATCCGGACTTAGAATTGCTGAGGTGGAGACTGGGGAGCTCCCCAACCCGCACTAGCAGCATTGCCGGGTCCGTCGCCGCGATGGACCTAGAATTCCTGTGTCGCTGTCCGGACTGCCGTTTTTGACTGGTTGGCTATGCCGAATTTGATTGGCTGCTAATCTACACTTCCACTAATCTACACGCGTACTCCTCCAGTTCTTGAACGCTGAAAACGAAGTCTCCCTCCCCAGGGCCCGGATCTCTAAGGAAGAGAAGCCGGAACGACAGTACCAATGCGCCGCTAGTGACATTGTACGATGTCGGGTTGGTAATAGTGTTTCAGGTAATGGTGATGCTTTGTCGGAGCACAGGTGCTGGGTGTTGAAGAAACTGTCGTGTTGTGGTAGCTTCAGGGCGAACTTGCATCTCTTCCTCCCACTTCTCCAAAAGGATTGTGGTACCGTTGAACTTGGCAAGAAGAACAATCTTGACCTCGTGGTTCGACATAGAAAACCACCGCTGCAAAGCTATATGCAATTTCCCCAACGACTGAGAGAATCCTGCCTCGATGACAAGTGTTGGCCAGGCACCTTTAGCAGCTCGTTGAGGCTTTGGACCACCAGTCGAATCACCCTCTTTACTGCTTCGTCCAGAATAGCCTTGTTGTGCTGAACGTGTAGCACTGCCGATGAAGCCGACACCGACGGAGATGTCGTCGACCTCGATGTGGTTAACGCCATGGTGAAGCGTGGGGCTGGGACAACGTGAAGCCGGGCCTGTTGGAAGAACCAGTCTGCTGAAAATGGTGGGGTTTGCACTAGCCAGTAGCCCGAGCTCTCTCCTGGTGGGGTTTCTCGTCTTCGTCTGGTGCTAAGCAACGGATACCTTGGCTAGCTTGCTGGTTTCGTTCCCGTTTTCTCCTCTGCTTTCTTTTTCTTCTTCTTTCTTTCTTTCTCTCTTTTCAAGACGTGAGAGTGTGTAGTTACTGAAGAAATCTTTGAATTTTCTCGGCCGTTTCGTGAGCTGGACCTCGCTTCCGTACCCATCTCCAAACATTAATCTCTGAAAGTGCCTCTGCCCCTCCATCCCGACAACCCCAAAAGCTCGCCAGCCCGAACTGCCGAGCAACAGAACCAGCACCAGCCCACCCCGCCTGCTCTCGCTGTGCACACGAAATAAGTTCAATTGAACTCGGACAGCCATGCCGTCGGCAGCAATGTGTATGAGGACGCTTAGAGCGTGCGCCAAGTACGGCCCCAACGTGCGTTCACCCTCTGTGTCCCACCCCCCGCTCTGCCTCGGTATAATTGTTCATGCTAACCCACGCAACTTCAGCATGCGGCACTCTTCGCCAGGGCTTTCTCCGCCACGGCGCGGCGGGCTGAGATCAACAAGGTCTACCCGTCGGCCGCCAAGGCCCTCGAGGACATGAAGCCCAACTCGACGCTCCTCTGTGGCGGCTTCGGGCTCTGCGGTGTCCCTGACACGTTGATCGACGAGGTGCTCAAGAAGCCCGAGCTGACGGGGCTGACGGCCGTGTCCAATAACGCCGGCACCGACAACAGCGGACTGGGCCAACTGCTCAAGACGAAGCAGATCCGCAAGATGATCGCCTCGTACATCGGCGAGAACAAGACGTTCGAGACTATGTACTTGACGGGCGAGGTCGAGCTCGAGCTGACACCCCAGGGCACCCTAGCCGAACGGTGTGCCGCCGGCGGCAAGGGCATCCCGGCCTTCTACACGCCCGCCGCCTTCGGCACTGTCGTACAGACCGGCGAGCTGCCCCTGCGCAACAATGCCGACGGTACCCCGGCCCAGTTCTCGTACCCCAAGGACGTCAAGGTCTTTGACGGCAAGAGCTACCTGCTCGAGCACAGCATCAAGGGCGACTATGCCTTTGTCAAGGCCTGGCGCGCCGACCGCCTCGGCAACTGCCAGTTCCGCCTAGCCGCCAACAACTTCAACGGCGCTATGGGTCGCAACGCTAAGATGACTATCGTCGAGGCTGAGCACATTGTTGAGCCCGGCGAGATCGCCCCCGAGGCGGTACACCTACCGGGAATCTATGTCAAGCGCGTCATCCAGAGCACGGCCGACAAGAAGATTGAGAAGTACACGTGGTCCAAGGAGCCCGGCGAGGAGCCTAAGGCGGCGGCGGTGCTTGGCTCGGGCGATACGGCGGCCAAACGCGAGCGCATCGTGCGCCGCGCGGCCAAGGAGTTCAAGAACGGCATGTACGCGAACTTGGGCATCGGCATGCCCATGCTAGCTCCCGGCTTTGTGGGCGCCGACGTCGAGGTGCAACTGCAGAGCGAGAACGGCATCCTCGGGCTCGGGCCGTACCCGCGCAAGGGCGAGGAGGACGCCGACCTAATCAATGCCGGCAAGGAGACGGTCACGCTGCAGCCCGGAGCCGCCGTCTTTGGCAGCGAGGAGAGTTTCGGCATGATCCGCTCCGGCCGCGTCAATCTCACCATCCTCGGCGCCATGCAGGTCAGCGCCGTCGGCGACCTCGCCAACTGGATGCTGCCCGGCAAGGTCAAGGGTTTCGGAGGTGCCATGGACCTCGTCAGCAACCCCCAAGCCACAAAGGTCGTCGTCACCATGGAGCACACGGACAAGAAGGGCAACCCCAAGATTGTCAAGCAGTGCGCTTTCCCTCTGACGGGCAAGGCGTGCGTGTCGAGGATCATTACTGAGCTGGTAAGTTTTTTTTCCCTCTGCTTCCACTTCACCGCCGTTTCCATTCCATAAATCCGCCTTGATCATGTCACTGACATTTTGACAGGCTGTCTTCGACGTCGACTTTGCGCACGGCCTCACCCTCATCGAGATTGCCGACGGCGTTACAGTCGACGAGATCAAGAGCAAGACCGAAGCGCCGTTTACCGTGGCCAAAGACTTGAAGCCCATGCCCTAAGAGCTTCGGCGGCAAGAAAATATATTCCAGGCAAGACGAGTGACGGTGATAACGCAAACCACTCGAATCCCACTTGCGTGAAGTTTTGCACTTCTTCTCGAATTCTCTAGCAGGAAAGGCGTCTTGGGTGTTGGAGCTGAAATATGAATGTTTTGTATATACCTTGTGTGTGACTACGATGTGCGGCCTTTTGTTTACTTGTCGGAGGGCGGTCGTTTGTCGTTGCTATTCATCAGCATTTATCCCTCGGCCGAAGTCCAGCCAGGGTGAAAATAAGACGAGAAAGAAAAAATAAGACAAAAGTAAAAGATCATATTAGGTCTTCGTTTCGTGGTTGTTAACGGAGCGGCTTTTTACGGTAGGATGGTTCCTCCAAGTAGGAGGTTAGCTAAACCTCCCCAATCACCTGGACGGCTTACACAGCACCATCATACAGATCATTCCAGTACAGAATATCCTGCAGAACGTCCTCGGGCAGGTTCAGCGCCGCGTAATTCTCTCTCCGCGGCCCCTGCATCTGGAGGTGCACCTCGCGAGCCCGCTTTATCCCAAAAAAAGCCCGCCATCTCCCAGTCCACAAGCCCCATGAGCCGGTCGCCCCTGTCGACGATGCAGTTTGACGTAGTAAGATGGCTGTGCATTAGGCTGAAGTCGTCGTCGTCCTCTTCAGCGTCTAGCTCCAATTTGCCTTCACCCTCACCGCCGCCCTCAGTTTCGGCGTTGCCGCTTCTCGTAACCTCGCTCGACGAGAAGAGAATATCCCTCTCGGCGGCCGAGATCCCCCTGTGCGCAACCGGGTCCGGGTCCGGGTCCGGCATGACATACGACGGGAAGGCGCACGACGCTGGTGCTGGTGCTGGTGCTACTACTGGCGGGCGGATCTGACGCAGCTGTCGCAGGACCTCGCGCGCCTACTGCTTGAAGCCCGCCTTCTACGCTACCGACAGGTACGCCCATGCCACGCACAGCGCGACGCCGGGGATGCGCTCTTGGATGAGCACCTGGTGGCCGTTTATCTTTGGAGTGTTTTTGTGTGTGTGTGAGATATCTCATTTCATCTCGTCTCGTCTCATCTCATCATCATCCTACGGGGAGGATAAAAATGATGAATGAAAAACAACAGCGCGACGAACCTTGCCAGCAAAGTACACACACGGGACGCGGACATTGACCCCCATCAGCGCGCCCCTGGCCAGGGCAATGGCCTTGACCTCGTTGGCATCGGTGTACGCGTAGTCTCGCGCGACCGCATCAGAATCCAGCACGTCCTCGTCGTCTTCGTCGTCCGTGTGCAGGTGGCGCGACTTGACGATGACGCCGCCGAGGGCAAACACGTCGCGGCCGCCCTAGGGGTTCTCGAAGATGCGGGCCGCCGCGTCACAACTTGCCAGCACGGCCGCGTCTCAGTACGCGAGTGACTCGGCCGTCGTCGACAGGATGTGCCCCGGGTCGGGGCGGAAGTCGTCGGGCTTGGCGGCGTAGCGGCCGAACATGGGGATGTCGGCATACCGGTCGTTTGCGGGTATGTTTTCCGGGTTTGCTTCGTAGGGATCCATGTTTGCTTTTTTGTTTTGTTTGTGTTGTGTCGAGTATTGCGGGTGAGGGGGTTTCGAGATGGGGCTGAGAAGTTTGTTTTGTTTGCTTTGTTTTAGTCTGTTCACGATGTTTGGCAACGAAAGGCTCACTTTCGCTCACTTTCGCGTGCCTTTCATAACCGTTGGTCTGTGCATTCATATGACCACTCACCTCCAGGTACAGATGCGAACCAGGGTCCTACTTCATTGCAGCTGCTGCCTGTTGCTCTCTCCCTTCTTTCTACGGCCAGGTAATAGGCATAGCAAACTTGAGATCAGGTTTAGACTCGGGATACCTAACACAACCCGCAGATTCTCCCCGAAGATCCCTTACGTTTAGTTCTGAATTAGCACATCCTCAAACGAATAATAGCACGTTACTCATCCGGAAAAGCAGCCAAACAAGTTGCATTTTTTCCCTTACCACCATCCCTACTTCTACTACACAGCCACAGCAGACCACATCTAAGCCGGCCCGAGCACGTTCTCGGCCATGGACACGCTGGTGCCCGTGTTGTCGGGCTCAACGTTTACCGACGTGACCTTGCCGTTCTCGATCAGGATGCTGTAGCGCTTGGACCGGTGGTTGCCAAAGATGGAGGATCCGTCAAAGTCCATGTCCATCGCTTTGGTGAACCTGCCCGAGGGGTCGGCAAGGAAGCGGATCTGAGGCGCCGCGTTAGAAGTAATGAATAGCTACAAGTGGCCCGGGAAGGACTTACGTTATGATCGCCCGCCGGGTCGAGGACTTCGCCCCATGCCTTCATTCTGTATGCCCAGTCTCGTCAGTGTTTCCGAGGATGCCAGAATAAGACCCGGGTTGAGACATGGGGAGACTCACACAAAGGGGTCATTGACGGACACCACAGCCACCAAGTCAAACTCCTTGGTGCGCGGGTGGTTGATGAAGCCGGGGATGTGCTTGGCCGAGCACGCGGGCGAGAAGGCGGCGGGCACGCCGAGCAGGATCATCTTGTTAAGGGCCTGAGCCTCCTGGGCCAGGTTGACCTTGTTGCCAGGAGAGTTCTCCATGAGCACGTCTTCGAGGCCGGGCAGCGGGTCGCCGACCTTGATGAAGGCGGCCGGCGTGGCGTGAAAGGCCCGCTGTGCTGCTGCAGGAGTGCGAGCAGCGACGAGCTTGCTAGCTAGTGGCTGCCGGCTCACCCTCGTGGCCAGGATGGCTGCCGTTCTGAAAGACATTGCGTGTGAGTGTGAGAAAGGTCGAGGTGTGGTCCGTATGTCGCAGGGAATCTATGTCCGGCGACAGTCTTGGAAGGCGATAGCGACCGAAATGGTAATTGGTGGTTTGTTTATGTCCGGACTTGTTTGAAGGCCAATTACCTGCGGTAGCTAATAAGTTTCACGAGTGCAGATTGCCGACCCCGAGTCGTTCCTCTCCAATTTAGGGATATTCTGTACCTCATGACATCACTAGCTTGGTGGAGGGTTGGTGCGTCAAGCCCCTGCCACTCCCGCATTTCCCCTGAAGTCGATTTGGACACGCAATATCCATACCCTTGATACATTGCAGAATGTCAACATTATCTTGATGTTGCAACAAATGAACCGGCATAGAGGGCCTTTACTAGGCACTTTTAGAGAAGAGACAAGCCTCTAGAATTCTGGAATAGGGGATCTAATAGTTCTTACCTTCCTCGGCGAAAGACCTTGAAGCCGACGCTAACAAACATTCAGGGATTGGATTGTAGCTCCTTCCGATCCGGGATTGTGCCTGTAAATTCCCGTATCACGGGACGATCATGTCATCTCAATGGTCACGTAGCGGCGCATAACAAACCCTGAAGCCAAGCCAGCCAATGCCCAATCACGGCGTGCAATAATCCGAATAGAGTGCCCTCGACATCCGCATCAGCATCTTATTTCAAAGCCCCAGGTCCTAGACCAGCTTCCCGGTAACCACTCCCGACCCGACGATGGCGTTGCCACGAGCGGCCATCTGGTTTGTTTCGGGAACCAAAAAGTCGCCACGGGCCACTGTCTACATCCAGTGCAACGTTAAACCGGGAGCCAGCAAGAACCGCGAGGGTGTCACGGCGGTAGGCGACGATGCCGTCGACATCCGCGTCGCCGCGCAGGCCCGCGAAGGCGAGGCGAACAAGGCCGTGGTCAAGGTCCTCAGTGAGGTAGGTCTCCTATGGACAGAGTGTTTCTATAGGATAGGACATGGTTCTCATACTGTCATGCATCATGCTCAGGCTCTGAATGTTCCCAAGTCGGACCTGCAGATCACCCAAGGGCTCAAGTCTCGAAACAAAACCATTGCCCTGGTAGCGTCTTGGGCCAATGCTGGTGGGGAGGAATGCTTGAAGCAGGTCCGGTCCTACTTAGACAAGGCTGCCACCCATGATGCTTGACTTTCACAGGCTGCCCCGCTAGGTCCCGTTGCCCATATTGGCTTTCGCTCGAGAAGGTTCCCAGCCTGCAATCAAGCACATATAACCCCCTTTCGCCTGGAGGCCTTGTGGTTTGCCTGCCTCCTCGCCTACCACTAAAGATGCTACAGCTCAACTGTGCTCCGGATGCCTTTCCAGACCGCCAACACCGCGAACAGCCCAAAGCCGGGGCCTCCTGCTAGCTTCCGGCAAGCTTTTATACGCCACAACTATATCAACAATCTACGACAATTACAGACCGAAATTCACCTCACCCCCCGGCCCCGAGGTCTTGCGAGCCCACTAGGCCGCCCTCCTCGGGTGCCGCCGCCGCTACGCCCCCCTCTCGCTGCCCCCCTTGTAGACGGCGCCGGGACGCGCGACTGCCGAGTGCTGGGTGTTGGCGTCTGGAACTTGGGGTTTGGCTTGGACGAAGTCGGAGGGTTCTCAACAAACGATGTATCCGTTGTCCTAAAGGATGCTAGTTAGCTAATATAATCGCAAACATTGAGTCAATCTAAGAGTCTGTTTTGCGCACATGAATGTAGTCTCGCCGTCGAATTCCCCGCCGGAAGCTTTCTCTGGGAACCGCGGGGTGGCTCCTGATTTGAATGCGTAACATCGCAATTAGTTCCGTGCCGTGTTTTCAAGATTCCGGGGCGAAAAGGATCGTGGAGTACACACCACCCTGTTCTTCCAATTGCTTCATTCTCCGAAAAGACTCGAGTAACGGAGCCTGAGCGATCGCATCACACATTAGCGCTCTTTTTGTCTCGTCGAGACAGCCACACAAGCACACCCACCTCAGGAAAGTCGACACAGAAGGCATTCATGTTCAGGCCGTACAGGAAGCTGGCGAAGCTCTCGCTGAAGCGCGCCAGACTCTCGTGCATGAGCTGGAAGTGCATCATGTTCGCCTCGAGGTCCGCCATGGCGTCCGACAGCTCCGCGAACGCCGGCTCGAACGTGTTCAGGGGGAAGGGCGCCTCGCCCGACACGCTCTCCCGCGCCGACTCCCGGAACGACGACCGCGACGACGGCCGCAGCGGGGTTGTCGGCCGCGAGTTGCGTGCGCGCGACGTCGACCGCGCACGCTTGGCGCTCGAGTCTCGTTCCTCCCCGACCATCGCTATCGGCGGCTGTCGTGCCGGATGGGTCTCGACGATATGTTGGTCTTGGCTAGAACCTGTCGCTTGATGTGACGATATCCAGGGTTAAGGTACCTTGGCAGGTAGGGTATCCATGGCGGTCGAACGCGTCCACTGACGCTGCGTGCTGGAACGCACGCGACTGCCCCGCACCTTAGGTTGTGTGCATGGTCGCTTAGGTAAGTAAGGCATGGAGAGCACCCTCTTTTAGCGGGGAGTTAACGGGCTCTCTTTCCCGTCGCGTCTTTTACGGACCCCGCTACCCGACCATCCCGATGGTCCCGACTCTCACTGCCTCGCTCGTGTTGGGCATCGCCTCGCACTTCAGTCAGGCCAGACAGTCGAATCCATTATTGATGTTACATGTTCCTTTCTCCCTGGGCATCGAGTTGTAAAACCGACAGCTGGTAAGAAGAGTAAAGCACTCTGAGTTGGTTGGACGTTGCCCGCTTTACACTCGGGGTCATGACTCGGGGCAACATCACAGCAGAATTTTGAAACTCCGGAGAGCCGGTTGGACTTGGCGCTTTGCGCTTGGCACAAACGCGGCGGGCTGTTCCTTGCGTCTGCTTCGCCCGAGCTCTCGTGTCCCGCTCTGGCCGTTCGTCCCCCACTTCGGATTGAGCGCTCAACCCAAGCCAAATTCTTCGGTCGCAGTTTCCATCCAACCCTGCGGATAGCTCACGTTCTCGCCTGCCTTCACCACGCTCTGCCGTCAAGTCTTTAAGCCAAAAAGCCAGCCAGCTCCGATTATCTGAGACCGCCCCTTTGTGCGGCCGTTGACACGCCGACTGCAACTATGTATGTGAAACACGCTTAATGACTCGAGCGCAGACTGCGCAGTGCCGTGCTGTGCTGTGCTGTGCTGTGCCGTGCTGTGCTGCGCCGCGCCATGGGCTACGGGGATGGGGATCCCGCCGTTGGCGGTTGCTTCCATGTCCCGTCTCCGCCCGCCGCGCTTCCTGGAAATCTTTTGCGCCTCAAAGCTGACACGGCTTGCCCGGCATAGCTGGCCCTGTCATTGGTGCATCTGCCTGAGCCCCCTGAACTGCTGTGGGTTGGGCCATTGCCCCGACACAGCGCACCATCCATACCACAGCACAGCGACGAGTGGGAAGCAGGTGTGTTGGGTTGCTGCTTTAATCTGATTCGAGACTTTCGGCGACGATACCTGAACCTGGTATTCCCATGCGCGCCTCGCTCTCCCTCGGGTGTCTATCCTCCCATCGTCAACTTTTCTCCTTGACGTCCGGTTTTCCGAGCATCTCCCTTGCTCCCACACCGGCCGTCCGTCGCATCCCGCCGCCTCACCGGGTTTATTCCGTTTTGTTGGCCGCCGCACCAACCAGTGTCTCATCAAGCCGCGGGTTTTCACGACTTCGGACCCCCGGGCCTTGCAGTTTTCAGCAATCACTATCTCGTGCTCACTACCCAAGATACTCACACAGTTCGAGAATTGTAATTAGCGCATCATCTGGCCACTTGCTAAGTCTCATCTGCACCTTCGGCCTAGGGCTCGGCTTGGGCTTCACTGTCCTATACAATTTCCGGCCCTCCCCTAAGGCAACTCAAGGTCAAGTCTCTGACGACGCCGGCGGCTACGACGACGACACCACCATGTCTGCAGATATAGCTCCGGGTCGCCCGGGAAATCTCACTCCTGAGCAAGAGGAAAAGTTGAGACAGCTATGGCAGCTTATTTTTCAAGTCTGCGGCATCAGCACTAGCCCTGAGGAAAACAACGCTGAAACTGAAGCATCCTTGGCCCCGGCCGAGTCTGAAAAGTCACATGCCACAACTGACGACAAGAAGACCAAGAAAAGCCGGTTGTCAATATTCTCACGGAAAAGTAAGAAAGAAGCCGATCCTGAACCAGCCGTCCCCAACGCTACTTCTGTCGTCTTGACGTCGACCAAGAATGGTGAAGAGGACAAGTATGGCCAGACAAAGCATTTCTATGACACGCTTGCCAGCCAGTCTCCCGAGTCCATACGGTCAACAACCTGGGGCATGGTAAAACATGACCACCCAGATGCTCTCGTGCTCCGCTTCCTCAGAGCCCGGAAATGGGATGTAGAGAAGGCCCTCGTCATGTTCATCTCAACCATGAACTGGCGCGCTCAGGACATGAAGGTCGATGAAGACATCATGAAGAACGGGGAATGGGCTGCCCTTGAGGCTGAACAGAGCGGCGACGCCGCCACGAAGAAGCTCGGCCACGACTTCCTTTCACAGATCCGGATGGGAAAGAGTTACGTCCATGGCGTCGACAAGCTGGGCCGGCCGATCTGTGTTGTCAGGGTTAGACTCCACAAGCAAGGCGAACAGGCCGAAGAGAGCCTAGAGAGGTACACGGTTTATCTCATTGAGACGTGCCGTATGCTCCTGCAGCCTCCAGTCGACACAGCGGTGAGTTTAGCCCTGGGAAGCCCAATTGTAGCCCGGTCGCTGATTGTATTTGCAGACTATCGTTTTTGACATGACTGGGTTTTCCTTGGCGAACATGGTAAGATTCCTGAGCCGCAAACTCAAAAACTTCAGTCATCTGACCGCCTCATAGGATTACACACCAGTGAAATTCATGGTTAAGTGTTTTGAAGCAAACTACCCGGAATCGTTGGGCGTGGTCCTGGTGCACAAAGCGCCATGGCTTTTTCAAGGTATGGCTGCCACGTTTTTTGGTTCTGGGAAAGTTTCAAGAACACGGAAATCAACTGACACGGATGCAGGTATCTGGAAGGTAATTAAGGGGTGGCTAGATCCGGTTGTGGCGAACAAGGTCCATTTCACGAATAACGTGCGGGAAATGGAGGAATTCGTGCCAGTGAACCACATCCCCAAGGAGCTGGACGGCGCCGAAGATTGGGAATACAGCTATGTAGAGCCGATCGCTGGTGAGAACGACAAGATGAAGGACGTCGAGACGCGTGACCGCCTACTCACGGAGCGCGAGCTCCTGGTTAAGGACTACGAGGAAGCCACGCGGCAGTGGATCCAGCACGCCGAAGGCGAAAAGGGGGCCGAGATCAAGGCGAGGCGCAACGACATCGCTGCCAAGCTCCGCGAGAGTCACTGGGTCCTCGACCCCTATATCCGCGCCCGCTCGTACTACGACCGCACCCATGTGATCCAGCCCGGGGGAAAACTCAACTACTACCCCACCGAGAACAAGGAAACGACGAACGGCGAGGCCGCAACGCCTACTACGCCTACCGTTGCTGTTCCTGTTGCATCTGCTCCTGCGGCTGCTGCTCCTCCCGAGACTTCAGCCGACGATGTCGATTAGAGCATGTATAGTGTACAACTACCTAAATGTACGAAGTTTTTTTTTTTTTTTTGTTTTCTCTCTTCGTACGGGTAGGACTTGTTAGGATGAAGACTTGGCTGAGGACGGTAGAAAACTGTAAAAAGGGGGTAGGGGAAGGCTGCATGGAGGACTTAATCTAATAACATCAAGGCTAATTTTTTTGTCTCATCATCTTATGTTGTACATCTTTAAGAAGAAATATAAATGTACACCCCAAAATATCAGACGAAAAACACTTCACATCTTCGACTTGATCTCTTCGGAGAGTGCCTTCAGCTTGTCCATGTCTGTCGGCTGCTGCGGCCAGCTAATGCCGAGCCCCTCTTGGGCGTTGGGCTTCGGGATCTAGGTTTGTGCTCATTAGCTTTTCTGGGAGGGTTGTGCTGTTGCTTTGTGTGCATCGAGGCAAGCCATACCATGTGGAAGTGGACGTGCTCGACTACCTGATGGGCCCCGGCCCCGTTGTTCTGCAGGATATTGTACTCGGCTGCGCCCGTGGCGAGCGCGAGCTTCTTTGCGACTGGCTTTGTATTTTGAAAGCTTGTGGTTAGTGGTTTTGCGTCTTTGACAGTAGGGACGGAGAAGCAGAGTGGGTAGGGGTGTTGTTGGCTAGTTCGCTCGCGCGCGCATACCAGGAGCTCCGTCAGGTCCTCATCGGGGATGTCGGTGAGCTTCTCGCCGTGGAACTTGGGGATAACGAGCTGGTTTGGCCGGTTAGCGGGCGCCATTGCTACTATATCATTGGCCGCGTGGACTCAGCCTGGCATCGTCACGTACTGCGTGGCCGCGGCTCAGAGGGTTGATGTCGAGGAACGCCAGCGTCTTGTCGCTCTCGAACAGCTTGAAGCAGGGGATGTCTCCTAGCTTGGGTTAGCTATAAGGTACCTATGTGTGTACCTAGCTCTCTGTCAGCTGTCGCAGCGAGGAGCGGGAGAGCTTACCCTTAATGATCTTGCAGAAGATGCAAGACGCCATTTTGCTGGTCATTGGGTGGTATTCTCAAAGTTGCTGTTGAGGTTTCAACCGCGAAGCTAGATAGTTGTCGTTTAAATAGCAGGAGAGTTGGTTTGACGCTGACGCGACTACCCCAGCCGGGGTAAAGGATGCCGCGGAGCAGGTGACGATCTACCCTACCGTAGGTACGAAGTACGCTACGGGCCGGATGCAGGTAGGGGTGGAGCGGGGTAATTCTGCATCGCTGACTCCCTGATTATCCAACATACCGAGAACATTTATTTATGAGGGACTATTTCCTCTAGATACTGGGCTCAACATGTTATTATACACGTTGATATTCTGGTGGGATATGCATTTGCCTTACACAAGTTCAACCGTCCGTAGTGATAGTGACAGCCGCGGGGAGGTCAAGTGTCAAATACACATACCGTATTGCTTCAAGATTACGGATACCTTCGTGATATTAGAACGAAGCGCCCTTACACCAATATCGAACTCTATATCTCGTCGTAATATGCTTGCAAACTCTCATATCTGTTCAATAATGGCTAAGGAGTTGGGATCTGTTTCATGCTCTGACCGCAGCCCAATCCAACGTTTGCAAGCTTACTGTATCTCCTCTGGTCTTGCCGAGCCCAAGCAATCACCCAGCCATACCCGCCACCTCATTGCGCGAGGGGTCAATCTCACTGGCAGCCTTGCGCCCCGCAACCCCGCCATACATCACTGCCCGCCGTTCGCGCAAGTCTGTCGCAAACTCGGGTTCAGTTTGATCTTGAGCTTCACCATTGCGCTTCTAGTATAAATCGCCATATTGCCATCAAATACGCAAAAGCTGTATCCTCCACAACAAACTGTGCACGCGCTGCTACACGCCAGGACCCTGCCCGCCATGTCGACCGCTTACAAGAAGACCCCTCTCTTTGGCGGGGCTCTTGTAGTTGATCTCCCTGAGAAGTTCGCTGATGTCAGGTACGTTGTATCAGCCTTACACATAGTCCCCTTCCTCTGTGACCTAGGCGCTACGTTTGAGTGACCTACAGAATATTCAAGCTGTAGAAGCCCCGTGTAACAAGCTAGAACCGCTTGCTAACTCTGCGCTTCGCCTATAGCAAGTTGCGCCAGGTTCCCGACAATCAGGAGGTCTACATCGACAAGGACGGCTTCACTAGCATTATCATCGATATCACAGAGCGCATCGGGCCGGCCGGGAGCGGCAGTCTAGAAGCCGATGGCCAGGCGCTGACAACACATCTGGAGGAGCTTCTCGGCGAAGATGCCGACTCGGTAAAGGTCTGGAACACGACCGAGACGCAGTTCTCGCACCTCGAGTAAGAACACCCCATGCCCTGTCGCACTCTCGAGATAGTAGGGGGCATATAAAAAGAAGTGGGTTGCCAAAGCGCTGACAATGGAATGATCAACCGTAGCGAGGACATTCCCGCATACACTCTGATCGCCACGCAGACGCCCCAGTCCGCGAGCGCGCGCTCCGGCGCGCCCGACTTCACCGCGCTCATCCTCACGCTGGTTCGGCTCGAGAAGGAGTCGACCGACATCCTCATCACTATCAACGTGCCGCATATCAAGGGCGAATACGACGAGGAGGATGTCGACCTGGCGCTGGGGAAGCAGGGCGAGCTTATCGGCGACGCTGTCGAGTACGCGGCCAAGATATGGGAGACGTTTGAGGTCAAGGACTGGCACCTTTTCAACGAGCTCTGAGGGGCTATGGGTAGGATAGGATTGGGATATTTATCAACGGGGTTTGTTTGTTGTGTTGAATATCATGTGGCAGGCTCGGGCAAAGGTTGGGGTGGACAACCACACAGTCAGGGACAGGACATGTCTAGGATCTGAATATCGTGTTTGCAGGTTACTTATTGGTGGAAAATGTGCAGTTGGTCTAGGCGTTGAAAGGGAGGAACCGACGCGGAGGGAGGAACTCGTGTACTTGATGCTTTTCAATGTGTGTACGCAGCTTATGCAGTAGCTAGCAGAGTATCTCCCACTAGCGACCTTACGTAGAAATGGAACTATTTGAGTTTCTTACAACTGGTCTAGTGCGGTGTCTCCTATTATCTTGTGCAGAAAGGGAGCCGTTTGGGTTTCGTACAACTAACTAGGGTCTGGTGCGGTGCTCGACAAGTCCAGAAGACGGTACGTTGAAAATTGACGTAGCCTAGCTTCTAGAGAATACAGGACGGCCTGTTTGTTGCAAGACTCTTTGGGATTAGTTCAGCAGGTGGCATGGCAATGGTTTCCGGCGACCTATACTGGGCATGCTAATAAGATAATACCTCTCTCAGACCGAGTAGCTTGATGAAGCGGCCTAGTTTCTCTATGCAAAGTGGGAATGGCTCGTGTTTGTGAAGTTGATCGTCTGAGACACAATATATGGTGTGAAGCAAGTAAACCAACCATTCGGATATCAGGCCACTTTCCTATGATAATGATGCACGCTTCTATATTTTGTGTGACGTTGGCTAGGCATCCAGGTTTGGATGGTCTGGGACGAACAGACAACATGTCTGTATGACTACCTCAGTTAGTGAAATATGTAGCAGGTAGATAACAACTATGAGCCTTTGTCTTCTTCAAAGGTGACGAGCGAGAGAGAGATACCAGTTAGAGCGTCCCTTGCCTCACTTGTCCTACCTTGAAATATAATGTAAGCTTGTTTTCACCTTTCACCTAGCTTCTTGGGATCCTGGAATAAGTTCTTTTATCGTAGAATACGAAAGCGAAAGCAAGAAATGTCTTATTACAGAGGATTCTTGAGTGCTTGTTTTCTATGGCTTGATCTATCTAATAGTCGTGGTAGTTCCCAAGAACCGGGACTCAAATCGTGAGACAATCTTGTTTCGTCTTGTTTTTCTTACCATTCGTTGATGCCCACTCAGCTGTATCGCTTTTTACCGGGAACTTGCAGTAGACATCATCCTACGGTCCCCTCTTTTCATGAGACATCCCTGAATATACACATGCATAAGTGTAATATTCTAGCAGTTGACGTACTGAGGCGTGTTACTACTCATTATTATCCAGCCGGAAACTGAATTTCTGGCCGCTGTAGCATTATAATCACACGAATCGGCCTCCATGTGTTGTACGGGCTAGGTAGCATTTTAAGCCACCTCCGGTGCTCCACTGTAGTGTCTTTTTTTCTACCTACTTATACGAAAAGGCAGTTTTGATGGCGGCAAAGAGAGAGGCTGCAATGGTGCTATCCATACATACAATAAATACAGTGATTCCGCGTCCTTCGTACAACCATTGGGTCTCCCCTGACACCACGACACACGTCCCCCGATCTTCGAGGAGACCAGGATCGAAAGATTCAGCCCTCGGACCATAAACGGGGGGTATCATAAACATGGGAGGGATTCACAAAACCCGGCGTGCGGGAACAGCCAGCCGCCACCCCTCAGTCGTCCTCTATCGCGACGAGATTTTCCAAGTCCTTGGACACATCTCGGAAGCCCCCGCTGCTGCTGTTGCCGCTGTCGGCTGGCGAGACAGAGCGTCCGCTGGCGGCTGCGGCTGCTCCTCCTCCCTTTTGCGCCCACTTGCTGGCGACGAGCTTCATGATATCCTTCTGCGGGCTCTTTGGGTTCTCCTCCTTCATCAGCTTCATCTGCACCTTCATGAAGGCCTGGTACTCGCTGGGCTTTGCGGAGGCAGCGCGGGGCGCGGGCTTGATCTGGCGCAGCTCGCTCTTGCAGCTGCCGCAGCGGTGGCGGCCGGGGTCGATGCTCTTGGAGTGGCGCTTGAACTCGAGGCTGCAGGCCGTGCACTGCCACACGTACTTGAAGTCGATGTCGTACGAGTGCTTGGTCGTCACCTCGATGCCGCGGTCGCCAAACGCTCGCGAGCACTTGGCCGCCCACGCCTTGAACTCCTTGCCGTGCGGGTTCTTGGTGATGCCGCTGACCATGAAGTTGGCCAGGTGGCAGAATTCGTGCGCCATGACGTTCAGCAACCGGTGCTCGTCGTCAATCACTTTCTCGGCGAGCTCGATGGACGCGTAGTGGTTGTGCTGGACTACGGTGGTCGTGCCATCGGGAGCAGTCGCACCGCCAGCGGCAGCACCGCCGGCAGCAGGGTCGCCTCTCTTGTGGCTGGACCGGATCGTCTCACGCTTCCAGTTTGCCCGGCCCGCCGTCGTGTTTAGCTTGTTGGTCCATTTCAGCTTGATGCCTCCCGTGGAAGCTGCCAGCTCCGAGAGCTTCCCGCCCGTGATGACCGTGTCGAGCTCTCCGAGAAACTTTTCGGCCGTGTCGTGCTTGGCCTGTTCAAACGCCTTCTTTGACTCACGGTCCGTCGCCGTCTTCGTCGAGGCCTTCTTTTTCTCCGGGCTGTGCTTCTCCGGGCTGCGCTTGGTAGCATCGGGGAACAGCTGCTTCCGTGGCGAGTGTTCGTCGTTCCACTCGTCGACGAACTCACGGCTCCAGAAAATATCCGAGCTGGGTTGGTGCGGTGTTGCAGGAATCCGAGGCATCTTCTTTGGTGAGACAAGTCCCCGAGAAGGCTTGGGTGGTGTGTTGGGAGGTGTGAGTTTTGGTCGCGAGCGAGCGCCTTCACTCTCTCCGGCTTCGTCAAAGGCATCGCTGAGAAATGTGTTAATGAGGTTCATATCAATTGAAATGACGAGAAAGACCGAATTCAGTTCCATAGGCTTCAAGTTAAACTCACATTCGAAGACGAGAGAAAGTGTCGGCTAGGTCTGTGCCGGGCGCCTTCTTGGGCTTGGGTTCTTTTTGAAGCCTTTCTTTGGCAGGTTGACGTTCGCTGGTTGGGTTATGGAGCAGAGGTCGTCGCGCTCGTCTGGTGGCTGGGCCTGCTTGTTCCTCACCCTCCTCCTCCTTCACCTTTGGCTCGCCCGCCTTTGGGGCGGACGGCTTTTTCTCCTTGACCTGGAGGCCTGGCTTGGTCCGCGGCCACCTGGAGAAGAATTCGGCAAGCGAGTCGTTGCCGTTGTCGTCGCCGCCGTCGTCATCGTCGCCGTCGTCGTCTTCCCCCTTTGCGACTTCAAACTCGGAGGGCTCATCTCCGGAGTCGCTAGAAAATGAAGGCGTATCGTCGGCTTCCGACAAGTCCTCAATGATGCTGATTTCCTGCCCAGACATGTAGTCGTCCGACTCGCCGGCCACCTGCGGAGCAACAGCGACGGGCTTGGACTTCCTCGTCCGCAACTCAATCCGCGAGCGTTGTGGTTCCTCATCGTGTGCGTGCATCTTTTGCCCCTGGCTTCCCTTTCCTTGGTCTGCTTCCTCGGGCGTCCATGCTCTTAGTAATGTCGTGTCGGACAACAACGGCCCTAGCTTGCGTCTTCTAATCGTCGATGGCGCCTTTGCTGTGCCTTCACTCGTCCCGCTGCGGGATGGTAATTGAGGACGTCGTACTTGGATGGCCGGCTGAGCTCGTTCCTTCACTTTCTGCTGGGCGAGGGTTTCGAGGTCGGGAAATTCGTCGTCATCGTCGTCGGACCAACTCCTCGCAGGCTTCGACGCCTTAGCCATGGTACGTTTAGCGACCTAGCAATCGTCCTGGCTGCTGGCAATGACGGAATCGGGTCGTAGCCTTGCACAGTTATCCGTTCGGGCGCGACCTGCAGTTGTACGCATTCTTTGGAGAATTGTAGGTTGGGTTGGCTCCCCTTGGAAAACACGGCAACCGTTGCCAGGGGCGACCTTAAGGTTCTTCCCCAGTCCGATCATTTTGGCACCCCTCCTTCCGAAAACCTTCTGTAATTCCCCCGCCATTGTGGCGGCCATGCCAGCCCGCATTTACGCAAACGGATCTCCAAACTTCAAAACTTTATTACACTTGGACCCGGCAGCACCGTCTGTACTATTGTAGGTACCTACGGAATAGACAAAGTAGGCTTCTTTCACGGCCGGGGACTGTCATCATTATATCTCGACTTAATCGGCCGCTCCGTTCAGGAGTGGACGGCACGCTAGGGGACGGTCGATCTTCCCGGCTAGCCTTGTGTGCTCGACGGGTAGTCGTCCGTTTTCTGGCCCTCCCAAGTCAATGGAAGACTTTCAATGCTGTCTCGGTCTGCTAGCACGGCCGCTAGCACGCAGACTTCTGATGGCGTGGCATCCGACGTACGTATGGCATGGCTTGTACGGCTGTTAAGTATTCCGCACGTGCATGCATCATCTTCTGTCCGGGGCTAAATAACTGGCTTTGCGGAAAGTCTTGCCTCTGGCTCGACGGACTTGTGCAAGGCCATGAGCCAGCCAATCTTGCAGGGCACTGACTACAGCAAAGACGCACCGAGTTGACGCCCGTCCGAAGTGTTCGGAATTGTGATTGGATCCGCAGCGGTCATCAAGGAGCAAAGCCGCCGCCGCTCGCGCGAGATCGCCAATCTGCCCTGCCCCAAGCCGCAAATGGCGACACGCATTCTCAAGCCGTGCGCGTGCGCCCGTTATCTATCGCACTTGTCGGCTTGGCCCTTCGCCTTGTTTCCACACAAGCTGAGGTGCAGACGCGGATCATGCAGCCAAAACTTGCTTGCTAAGCTCTGGCCTTGTCCTCAGGTGGCCCTAGCCGCGTGCCCAAACAAACATGCATCCACAGTTCAGCTATGATACGAATTTTTGGGTGGATTACGTTCAAGCAAATCAGCCTAGCCAATATTTGCGCTGGCTTGTCGGGCTTTCGTTCAAGATTCAGCCGTGAGTTGGCAATGTTCAACAGTGGTTAGCTTGATCGACGAGATCAAGGTCTGTGTATCCTAGGCTCGGGACAACTTTCCGACTTTCTGCAACGCATCAGGTTGCACGACTTGCAGGTCGTGTATCTCAGATAGGTAACTCCGCCGGTACGGAGAACAGGACAGGAAATTATCTGAACCAAATTCTACACGAGTATACGCATTCAGGCTCCATATTAACCGTGTTTACGCCTCAAAGGAGGATTCAAGAAGCCGCTCATAGCAAGCGGCCCAGGTCAGGTCTCTCCACGCCAGACCGGCCAGGCTTGCCGTGCGATGGACAGCGGGGCCCCCACGGCGTATCCTAATGAGCATGTAAGTATGCACCGATTCTAGGTGATTCTAGGTGCGAGGTCGAAAGGTGGAACGCTGGCAATAGTGGTCTGACGAGGGTTGGATTGCCTCTCGCAGCGGTTATGTTGTGGATAGTGGACTACATTGATGTTGTTTGTCTTCCCTTTCAACGGAAGAAAACCCAATTCCGGCGCGAAATCAGAAGTGAAAGGAGGTGGTTGCACTCCCTCGCAGACTGGCTTCCCGAGAGAGGCCCTCCCGGTGTCCCGAGAGGCGTCCTCACCACCGCCTGATGGCGCGCAAGGGCCGGGCGGCGGGCAGCCACAATAAATGACGGAAGTCATGCTGAATTCTGGGCTGGACTCTGGAGACCGGTTGGCCCGGCCGGCCCCCGCGAGCCTTTTCCGGATTCCCAGCCCTGCCTGACCTGACCTCTTTTTGCCAGAGCAGGGCAGAACAAATTGGAGCATCGTCATCGATATTGAATGACCCGGAGCTTTTCCCAAAACGGGGGCTGCCTGGATGGCCTGGGATTTCGCCCGCCCGTCAGTCCCAGGCTCCCGAGTGGCTAGCCGGATCTGGCGGGCGGCGGCTCGCGTCGCAAAGAAAGAGAAGAAATCTCTTGTGCGTTCCTTGCAGAAAGTCTCCACGGGGGGTTCATTTGCCGGTACGACGTAAGCTCTGTTCTCATGCGCTGGAAATAGATTGCTTCACGGGTGGGAGTAACCAGGTACATGACTGGAGCGGCGCGGCAAAGCCAAGTTTGGGTGGGCACTGTGTTCGACCTTGCTTGGTTTCAAGAAGAGCGAGCGCTTGAGCAGGGAAAGACATCTGGAATCGGGAATCGGGATGCTGTTGCAATCTTTCGTACTATACAACCAAACCAGCAGTTGGAATCCCAATAATCAACCGACACGACGAGAAAAAGACACGCCAAAAAGGCCCAACGTGACGAGCTGAGCCCACCTCGTGTTTCTAGAGGATCCGGATTGAAGGCGTGCAGACCCCGAAAAAAAAACGACCTCCACTCGTGCGTGTCTCGTGTCTGGAATCCGTATTGACGCCTCCAATTGCCCTGCATTGGTGGAGTCCAACTGGAGCTTCAACCTGTCTACTGTCAAGTGTAGGCCTTTCAAACCTTACAACCTCCTGTCAGTTTCCTGTCAGTTAGAATCAGCTATCAGCTACCAGCCAACGCTGCCCAGTCTTGCTAACCTCAAAAGTCGACAAAACCGTGGCTGGTGAGTGGAGAGTTAGTTGCCTTATCCAAGAAGCTGTTTTCCCTGTTTCTGTCCTTCAACGTCATGTTGCCGACACCCAACCAAGCTTTGCCCCTTGCCAGGCTCGAACCTGGTACTTGTTCGGTACTTGGATAAAACCTGGACTGTGTGGGGCTCAGGGGTAAAAGGTACAGCTTTGTGGCGGAGCACTTCAAATCTGATGCACTGCAATTTTGATTTTGGAGTCCTCCGCCGTGCCCGGCTTCAGGCTTGAACAGCGTGGGCGTATCCCTGTCTTGCTCCCACCCGTAGCGAATTTGCGTATTCCGATTGGAGATTGGAGGCAAGTACACCTGGTCAAGAGCGCGAAGACGATGCAGGATTCGGCGAGTAACTCAGGAAGAGGATAAGGTACCGACTACATGCTACGGTGGGGTCACAACGGAAGCTGCCGTGCTGGATGATTTTTGGCCAACAAACCCGCTAAAACCCAAAAGGCGGGCTCAGAAATCTGGTGGCAAAAATGGGGCCGACTGGCGTAGTGTGAAATCGAGAGACGCCAGTTTGTCAAAATCGCTATACGATAGAGAAAAATGAGTGTAGGTAGCCATATAGCTTCGCCTTGTGAATGAGAATGATCAGAAGCTCTGGCGATTGCAGTTGGGTGGTCTCAGCTGGTCTCGTCAGGTTTAATGGAAGACCACAGCGACAAGGCGGGCGTTCGAGTTTCTCTCTTCTTTGGCGGCTGCAAAAGCACAGTGTTCATACGAATCGCTGAACAGTGTCCTGGTTGTCAACAGCGCACGGTCTCGCCCCGCCCGCCCTTCCCTTTTGGACTGCCCCTGACAAACGCTTCTACCCTAGCCAGCGAGCAAGCCGTCCTGGCGACTGGGTCCTGCCTCCTTCCGTGACGACGAAACGCACCCATCCTTGAATGCCTCCTTTTCCCTTTTTCCCTGCTCTTTCCCCTCATCACCGCCAGGCCTTTCTGCCTTTTCGTCTTCTTTTTTTTCTCCCTTACGCTCGCTCTATCCACAGTCTCGCGCCGTCCCTCGTTCCATCGACAGATTGTGGAATAGGCTTCGGTTTTGCAGCGGCGACATCTCTCGACGCCCAGCTGCCACACGCAACTGTCCGACGAACTGCGCCGCCCGCGACAAGTTGCGTGCACAGGTTTCGAGACACCAACGGTGGAAAAGGCAGTGCATCAATCGCAGAGCCGGAGGATTGGAAATCCCACGTCGTCAATCGTTTACAGGCTGCAGGAGCTTTTCGAGGAAAGGGGTTTGGACACCATCCATCGTTCTGTCCGGCTTTAGCTGGCCTGGCCTCGAAGATTTGTTAGCCACGCACGGGAGGTCGACTTTTTTCGCTACGGCTAGTCCGCCCGCCCGCCCGCAGCGCCTGCATCATCCCCAAGCCAACCTCCTTTACAGCCCCACCGCGCCGCCAATCGCTTATCCCTCTTTGGTCTACCGCTGTTGTGCATCAACAACTGCGGCCCAAACACAACACGCTCGTCAGCAAACCCATACCACTGATTCTCATCTTTGCTGTGGCCGGCCACTTTTGATCTCGTGCAACACCGCTTTGCAGAGACTTGGACAGTCATTGCCAACCTTTGTTGTGCACCAGTCTCTAACAAAACTAGTACCTGTTGATCCCACACGCTTCACCATCTCCATGAGCGTCTGATTTGGTGAGTTCGCATTGGCGACTCGCCCAAGTTCCCGCTCGGCCTTGTTCAGTGCCCCTCTATTATACACGACGAGTCCACTTGAGCACTACTGTTGTTTGCATTTCTAACCCCCTTTATCTGATATTCAGATCTGTCCCCCAGCATGTCGGGATACCAACAACCAGGCCAGGGCCCGCCTCCCCACGGCCAAGCTCCAGCCCATCCCCAAGGGCACGCCGATTACGACGATGGCTATGCCCACCCAGCGGGGAACACCGACTCCTACTATCAGGACGACCAGCAGTACTATGACAACCACAATGGATATGACGCCCACGGCCAGCCGCATGATGTCCACGGCCAGCCGCACGCGGAAGGATATTATGATGAATCGTACGTAACGCAGATTTGGCTTGGTGCTTTCTGGGGAATTCTTGGGGTTGCTCTGCTAACTTTTTTCACTACAGTGGCTACTACAACGCAGACTCCAACAACCCTCATCAGCAAGATGGTGGCTACTACGAAGGCCAGGAGCGCTACCAGGACGAGTACTATCAGAATGATGGTTACTATGACCAGAACTACGACCAGGCCGGCTATGCAGGCGCACAAGGCCGCCGTGGCGGTTCAGAAGAGGATTCGGAGACGTTCAGCGATTTCACCATGAGATCCGACATGGCGCGCGCTGCGGATATGGACTACTATGGTCGGGGCGATGAGCGTGTAAACAGCTACAACGAGGGCCCGGGAGGCGCCAGAGGCTACCGCCCTCCTTCCTCACAGATTTCCTATGGCGGCAACCGGTCGTCGGGCGCGTCGACCCCAAACTATGGCATGGATTATGGCAACGTTCTTCCAGCTGGCCAACGATCCCGGGAGCCCTACCCAGCTTGGACCTCCGACGCCCAGATTCCCCTTTCCAAGGAGGAGGTCGAGGACATTTTCCTCGATTTGACCGCAAAGTTTGGTTTCCAGCGCGATAGCATGCGCAATATGTACGACCACTTCATGACGCTTCTTGACTCGCGAGCGTCCCGCATGACGCCTAACCAGGCACTGCTTTCTCTTCATGCCGATTACATTGGGGGAGACAACGCAAATTACCGGAAGTGGTACTTTGCTGCCCATCTCGATCTCGACGATGCTGTCGGGTTCGCCAATGTCAAGGGCAAAGGGCTGAAACGGACCCGCAAGAACAAGAAGAAGGCCGCCGCCGCGAACGAGGCAGCAGCTCTTGAGGACCTCGAGGGTGACGACTCGCTGGAAGCTGCCGAGTTCCGCTGGAAGACGCGAATGAACCGCATGTCGCAGCATGACCGCGTGCGACAGATTGCTCTTTATCTTCTTTGCTGGGGCGAGGCCAACCAGGTCCGCTTTATGCCTGAGTGTCTCTGCTTCATTTTTAAGTGTGCAGACGATTTCCTAAACTCACCTGCCTGCCAAAGCATGGTCGAGCCAGTTGAAGAGTTCACCTTCCTCAACAATGTCATTACGCCCCTGTACCAGTACTGCCGGGACCAAGGATACGAAATCCTTAATGGGGTTTATGTCCGCCGGGAGAGGGACCACAACAAAGTCATTGGCTATGATGACTGCAACCAGCTCTTTTGGTATCCCGAGGGCATTGAACGAATCGTTCTTTCGGACAAGAGCAAGTTGGTGGACGTCCCCCCAGCAGAACGCTATCTCAAACTCAAGGACGTGAACTGGAAGAAAGTCTTCTTCAAGACGTACAAGGAGACGCGCTCTTGGTTCCACCTGCTCGTCAATTTCAATCGCATTTGGGTCATACATATTACCATGTTCTGGTTCTACACTGCGTTCAACGCTCCCACCCTCATCACCCCGAACTACCAACTGCAACTCAACCAATCTCCACCCGCGGCGGCTCCGTGGTCTCTTGTGGGTTTTGGAGGAGCAATCGCGGCTCTAATCCAGATTCTGGCAACAATAGCAGAGTGGGCGTATGTGCCTCGCAGGTGGGCCGGTGCCCAGCATCTCACCAAGAAACTCTTGTTCCTCATTGTGATCTTCGCCATCAACCTCGGACCCGGCGTCTACGTCTTCATGCCAGCCAAGAACGAGCAGGCCCTCATTGACAAGCAAAATTCCACGCCTGCAAAGGTCCTCGGTATTGTGCAGTTCTTCATCGCGTTGGCCACGTTCCTCTTCTTCTCGATCATGCCTCTCGGCGGTCTTTTTGGAAGTTACCTTACGAAGAACTCGCGGAGATACGTTGCCAGTCAGACATTCACAGCTAGCTACCCACGCCTTTCTGGAAATGACATGGCCATGTCTTTCGGCCTCTGGGCAGCTGTCTTCGGACTCAAGTTCGGAGTGTCGTATCTCTACCTAACTTTGTCTCTCCGCGACCCGATTCGGTACCTTGCCCAGATGAACACGGACAGTTGTCTTGGAGACACAATTTTAATGAGGTATCTCTGCCCATATCAGGCGAAAATCACTTTGGGCCTCATTCTCTTCACCGCTTTGATCTTCTTTTTCCTCGATACCTACCTGTGGTATGTCCTTACCAACGCCGTCTTTTCGATCGCCCGATCGTTTTACCTCGGTTCGTCGATTTGGACTCCGTGGAGAAACGTCTTTTCTCGGCTCCCGAAGCGCATCTACTCCAAAGTATTGGCAACCACCGACATGGAGATCAAGTACAAACCCAAAGTTCTCATCTCACAGATCTGGAACGCCATTGTCATTTCGATGTACCGAGAGCACCTTTTGGCCATTGACCACGTCCAAAAGCTCCTGTATCATCAGGTTCCATCGGAGCAAGAGGGCAAGCGCACTCTGCGCGCGCCTACGTTCTTCGTATCGCAAGAGGATCATTCGTTCAAGACGGAGTTCTTTCCCACCCAAAGCGAGGCTGAGCGGAGAATATCGTTTTTCGCCCAGTCTCTCTCAACGCCGATTCCAGAGCCTCTTCCCGTGGACAACATGCCGACCTTCACGGTTCTGATTCCCCATTACAGCGAAAAGATCCTACTCTCGCTGAGGGAAATCATTCGCGAGGATGAGCCATATTCCCGTGTTACTCTTCTTGAATATCTCAAGCAGCTCCATCCTCATGAATGGGACTGCTTCGTCAAGGACACGAAAATTCTGGCAGATGAAACATCTCAGTTCAACGGCGAGCTCGAGAAGAACGAGAAAGACACCGCCAAGAGCAAGATTGACGACTTGCCATTCTACTGCATCGGCTTCAAGTCATCGGCGCCAGAGTACACTCTCAGGACACGAATTTGGGCCTCTCTTCGTTTCCAGACCCTGTATCGTACAGTCTCTGGCTTCATGAACTACAGCCGTGCAATCAAGCTTCTCTACCGCGTCGAGAATCCGGAGGTTGTCCAGATGTTTGGTGGCAACTCTGACAAGCTGGAGCGTGAGCTGGAACGCATGGCTCGCCGCAAATTCAAGCTCGTCGTGTCGATGCAGCGCTATGCCAAGTTCAAGAAGGAAGAAATGGAAAACGCCGAGTTCTTGCTTCGTGCCTACCCAGACCTGCAGATTGCTTATCTCGACGAGGAAGCGCCCGCGGTTGAGGGCGAGGAGCCGCGTCTCTATTCTGCTCTCATCGACGGACATTCTGAAATCATGGAGAACGGTATGCGACGGCCCAAGTTCCGCATTCAGCTTTCCGGAAACCCAATTCTTGGCGACGGCAAATCGGACAACCAGAACCACTCCCTGATCTTCTACCGCGGCGAATACATTCAGCTCATTGATGCCAATCAAGATAATTATCTGGAAGAGTGCCTCAAGATTCGCAGCGTTCTCGCCGAGTTTGAGGAGATGAAGGTGGACGATGTTTCGCCATATACTCCGGGATTCAAGAACACCGTTCGTTCTCCGGTTGCTATCCTGGGTGCTCGCGAATACATTTTCTCTGAGAATATCGGCATCCTTGGTGACGTTGCAGCTGGCAAGGAACAAACATTCGGCACTCTCTTCGCAAGAACCTTGGCTCAGATCGGTGGTAAACTTCATTACGGCCATCCTGATTTCCTGAACGGCATTTTCATGACAACCCGCGGCGGTGTTTCCAAGGCCCAGAAGGGCTTGCATCTCAACGAGGATATTTATGCTGGTATGAACGCTCTTTTGCGTGGCGGCCGTATCAAGCACTGCGAATACTACCAATGTGGTAAAGGTCGTGATCTTGGCTTTGGCTCCATTCTGAACTTTACAACCAAGATTGGAACTGGTATGGGCGAGCAGATGCTGTCTAGAGAGTACTATTACCTTGGGACTCAGCTGCCCCTGGATCGCTTCCTCTCGTTTTACTACGCCCATCCCGGTTTCCACATCAACAACATGTTCATCATGCTTTCGGTTCAGCTGTTCATGATCTGCCTGCTCAACATCGGCGCTCTGCGGAGGGAGACGATTCCCTGCGACTACAACCGAGAAAAGCCCATTACGGATCCCCTATACCCTACCGGTTGCCAGAACACTGACGCGCTCACGGATTGGATCTACCGCAGTATTCTTTCCATCTTCTTCGTCTTCTTCCTCTCTTTCGTTCCCCTGATTGTGCAGGAGTTGACCGAGCGGGGCTTCTTGCGTGCCGCAACTCGTTTCGCGAAGCAGCTTGGCTCCTTTTCGCCATTCTTCGAGGTGTTCGTCTGCCAAATCTACGCCAACTCGGTGCAGCAGGATCTTGCTTTCGGTGGCGCGCGGTATATAGGCACTGGTCGTGGTTTTGCCACTGCCCGTATCCCCTTTGGCGTGCTCTACTCCCGCTTTGCCGGCCCGTCGATTTACTTCGGAGCTCGCATGCTCATGATGTTACTCTTTGCGACAATCACGCTTTGGCAGGCCGCTATTATCTATTTCTGGATCTCGCTCCTCGCTTTGATTGTCTCACCGTTCCTGTACAACCCCCATCAATTCGCCTGGAACGACTTCTTTATCGACTACCGGGACTTCCTTCGATGGTTGTCTCGTGGCAATTCACGCTCCCATGCGTCGTCTTGGATCGCTTTCTGCCGACTGTCTCGAACAAGGATCACAGGTTACAAGCGCAAGGCTCTCGGAGACCCATCGAGCAAGATGTCCGCTGACGCTCCTCGTGGAGCTCTCACCAACATCTTCTGGTCGGAAATCCTCGCGCCTCTTCTTCTCGTCGTTGTGACCTTGATCCCTTATTTGTTCATTAACGCCCAGACAGGCGTCTCGCGCCATGATCCCAAGGCAAAGGCTACTGCCTCATTGATCCGAGTGGCCATTGTTGCGTTTGCACCCATCGCCATCAATGCAGGCGTTCTAGCGGGCCTATTTGGCATGGCTTGCTGTATGGGCCCGCTTCTGAGCATGTGCTGCAAGAAGTTTGGCAGTGTCCTAGCAGCCATTGCTCACGGAGTCGCGGTTGTTGTTCTCTTGGTCTTCTTCGAGGTCATGTTCTTCCTGGAAGGGTTTGACTTTGTCAAGGCGCTTCTGGGTATGATTGTGGTCGTCGCCCTCCAGCGATTCTTCTTCAAGATCATTGTTTCTCTGGCTCTTACGAGAGAGTTCAAGACGGACCAGTCCAATATTGCCTTCTGGACTGGAAAGTGGTATTCTATGGGTTGGCACTCCGTCTCTCAGCCTGCCCGAGAGTATCTTTGCAAGATCACTGAGCTGGGCATGTTCGCGGCCGACTTCGTGCTTGGACATATCATTCTGTTCCTCATGCTTCCTGTCATCTTGATTCCTAAGGTGGACAGATTGCACTCCATGATGCTCTTCTGGCTCCGTCCCAGGTATGTAACCTGTGCCTTTCCGCACTATATTAGTACCAGCTAACCATTATTTCAGCCGACAAATTCGCCCCCCCATCTATTCGATGAAGCAATCCAAGCTCCGGAGAAGACGTGTCTTCCGCTTTGCTGTTCTTTACTTCGTCATGCTCTTCGTCTTCGTTGGCATGATTGTTGGGCCCATCGTCGGTGCTAAACCGATTCTTGACGCCTTGAAGAAGTCGATTCCCGATGGTTTGCTCCAGCCGACCAACCAAACGAATGACAACACCAACGGCACTACACCGACGGGCAGTTTCCTAAGCGTCACTCCTGTTGGAGTTGCAGCACAAACAGGGATAGACTCCCCAACGCAGTCCTCCCAGGCGTAGGTGTTAATTCAAGGCAGACTGAACTTTTGTACCATACAATAGTCGACTGTGATCTCAAGAAGACACATTGCACAAACCATTCTTGGGCGGTTTCTTTCTTTGGTGCTTATGGAGGTATTCATATATGCTTGTATTGTCTGGGGTGCTTGTATCAGTTTCTTTGGCACGCACACACATTACAAGCCCGGGTGGGCGGTCATGGTATACGGCTTTATTTCCTGCTAGACTTGTTTCTGTGCATCTCTTGCACAACGCATACGCTCCGATGCATTCCACTCGAGATGGATTGGAGTCAGATATAATTATAACTCGTCTTTTTTCATCAAGCGAGGTTTCTGTTCTTACAATATCCTTTTGGTCTGTGTGCATTCTATGCAGGCTTCAGAATACAATGAAATCCTTTCAAAAAGCATGAAATTGTATCTGCTCAGGTACCTATACTCACCCTTGTCTACTGTGTCTGCTTTGATAAATTCTTCAACGCCGAACGAGGCTACGAGCGTCTTGCACACTTGAAGGGCCAAGAGTCTATAGAACTGTAAAGTCGACATTGAAGACTTGGGTTGGCGTACGTAATCCACACAGCTCAAGTACGCCGAGTTAAATGATGTTCCATCCGATCGTTCCGTCTCGCCTTGTGTGGGATGTGGGGCAAGATCCGACGGGGGCTGGTGGGGTTTCTGGTTGGCCCAGTGGGGAAGTTGCCCCTGAGCGAAACGGGAGTGCGAATTTTACGCAGGGATTCTGGGAGAGCACAGTGTGCTGTGCACTGACTGTGGCCTGCTCTGTCACCGGATATTGAACAAGGAAAGCGCGGGCAACCCGAACCCCGACAGACCACGCCATTCTGAAAGACCCTTTTTTTTTGGCCGTGTCATCGACATTGTCAGCGCGTCGCGCCCCCCGCATGAATTAAAAAAATGAAATAAAAAATAAGAACAATTCGATTATCTGCCCGAGACAACCACCGGAGTCCGACAATTTCAAACCAACACCCCAACCGTGTCGATTGTGCCGCCAGGGCACCGAGAGAGACGGTCATGGATCTCCCCGAGTTGCAGTCACAGCTGACAGAATGGCTCAACGAGGCGGCCACGGCCTTCCAGAAGGTGCCCGGCTCGGCCGTGCTGATCCGCTACGTTCGATCAAGCTACCAGAACGACCCTGTCCGCTCTGCCATTGAGCTTGTTCTGGTCATCTTTTTTATTCGCTACCTGCTCGCGCCATCGTACTCGACCTCGAAGCAAAACTTTATCAAGCTCACCGAAGATGTAAGAGGACCAGACGAACGACAAGTACAAAAGGGGTTTGGATTCGGAAGCTGACTGTGGTTGCTACAAACTCTCAGGAAATCGACGAGCTTGTTGACGAGTGGGTGCCCGAGCCGCTCGTGGCACCGCAGACGGCTCTCGAAGAGGCCGGGATGGAGAGGCTCCCAGTTCTGGTCGGGTAAGATATAACGGAAGAGGGGAAATGAATGGCATACTCGAAGTGCTAACCCTTGGTTCTCTGCCTTGGCTAGACCGACGGGACCCAAGTCTAAGCTCGCAAACGGGAGGACAGTAACAAACCTGGCCTCGTACAACTTCTACAACCTAAACGCCAACGAGCAGATTAAGGAGAAGGCGATCCAGACGCTGCGCGCCTACGGAGTCGGGCCATGCGGGCCGCCGCAGTTTTACGGCACCCAAGACGTGCACATGAAGACCGAGGCCGACATCGCCTCGTTCGTTGGCACCGAGGGCTGCATAGTCTACGCCCACGCCTTCTCCACCATCTCGAGCGTTATCCCGGCCTTTTGCAAGCGCGGCGACATCATCGTGGCCGACCGCGCCGTCAACTATTCGATCCGCCGCGGCCTCGAGATCTCGCGCAGCAACATCAAGTGGTACAACCATGGCGACCTCGACGACCTGGAGCGCGTCATGCGCAAGGTGGTTCAGGAGCAGGCGCGCAAGAAGCTGACACGGCGCTTCATCGTGACCGAGGCGCTCTTCGAGACGATTGGCGACTGCAACGACCTGCCGCGCCTCATTGAGCTCAAGGAAAAGTACAAGTTCCGCATCATCCTCGATGAGACGTGGTCCTTTGGCGTGCTGGGTCGGACGGGCCGCGGCCTGACCGAGGCCCAGAACGTCGACCCGTCACAGGTGGACATGATTGTGGGCTCGCTAGCCGGTCCGCTGTGCGCGGGCGGTGGCTTCTGCGTTGGGCGCAAGGACGTGGTGGAGCACCAGCGCCTCACGGGCGCCGCCTACACGTTCTCGGCTGCTCTGCCGGCTATGCTCGCCATGGCGGCCAGTGAAAGCCTGAACGTGCTCCAGTCCAACCCCGAGATCATCCTGCAGTGCCGCGAGAACATCCGGCTCATGAAGGCGCAGCTCGACCCTCGCAGCGACTGGGTCATGTGCACTAGCGCGCCCGAGAACCCGGTCATGATCATCGTACTGAAGCCCGATGTGGTCAGGGCGCGCAGGTTGGCAGTCGAGGACCAAGAGCGGCTGCTGCAGGAATGCGCCGACGAGGTAGGAAGCCGCACCCCTCCCTTCCCGCCCCTTTTATCCATCTTGTCGCTGTCTATCATAGCTAACTTGTCCGCGCGTCTTCACAGAGTCTCGCCAATGGAGTCATGATCACGCGCCTCAAGGGCACGCCCATCTCTGCTAACACGGCTCTCAAGGACGGCAACTGGACGGTACAGCCGGCGCTCAAGGTGTGTGTGACCTCGGGACTGTCCAAGAAGGACATCGAAAAGGCCGGGGTCACTATTCGGCACGCTATCACAAAGGTCATGACGCGCAAGACCAACAACAAGCTCGGTCTTCCGGGATCTTAGAAGACCCACACCGAGTGGGTATCGTGTCTTGGGTGACCTTGATGCCTTGTCTAGCTTGTGTGGGTATGTGATGCAATGGAGGACGGCGTTTGGTAGGGGCTTTGATAGAGAAGACTGTGAGAGGTGGGAGGTCGCTGGGTCCAGATGCCTTGCTGGTGTCTCGGCAGTTAATGTTGCTTGTAATCTCTAGAAGTTGGCTTTCTTTCATCTCTCCTTCCACTCTTGGTGAGCCCGGGCGTGGGTGCGGTGATGAGTGGTGGTGAGCTGGCTGACAACATCCAACGATAATTTATAATAATACAGAGGAAATGGGGGAGGGTGGGCGCCTGCCGACCTACCTGTAGTCCTTTGTTGTAGATACAGCTCCGTTTCTTGTTGTTAATTGCTGCCCCTTGCTAGGTCTCCTTCACCTTGCCGGCCGCTAATGGAAGCAGAGCATTGCTGGCGCGACAGAGTCGGAAATTAGGTGGCTTTTGACATCTTGACTAGACCAAAAAGTCATGACGGCCATAACTTGATAGAGGCAGATACATGTCCCGGATAGCTTCTTTCGCGGCATTTCATTAGTCTGTCTCAGATTGTTCCATTTATGACTTGCCTCCCTCCCGCCAAGTGGCAGTGGCATCTGGAGGGTCTTATTACCTCCCTTTCCTCTTTCCTTTACCCTCGAGGAAGCCGAATCGCAAGTACAACCGCCTCCCTACAATCCCCAGTCTTGGTGTACGTGAGAGAATACTCTCATTTGCCATCTCTACTACTGCCTTGAGTGTATTGCCGGCTGTACTCTTGTTTGTATTTCCATTGCGTCGCCTGAGTCTACAGTTGGGCCCTGGTGGCCACGCATACCTCACATTCCTCCTTCCCGCGCTCTTGCCGTGTTGTTGTTGTTTACTACGTAGACCGGGTGCTCCTGCTCTCGTTCTACTCTCTGCCGCCAGACTCCTTTCTCTCTCTTTCAGATAAGTCCTCATCCCGTAACACATGCCTTCCCGCTGTCAACTACCTTCCTTGCAGTACATCACCCTCTCCTTGCCCGGTGCTTGAACAAGACGTCTGAAACCAACCCATCGCCACCCCCTTTGAAGCCACGACCACTCGTTAGTCGCAGGCGGTTGTTGGCTGTCCATCATCCGCTCATTCTGGAACGTTGCCCTCTCGGTTGGCCTTGTCCCAGTGCCATTCATTGCGCAGAAACTCCCTTTCGGGCTCTTTGCATCGTCAGGGGGACATAGACCAACATGAAGACGGTCTCATCGGCCCTGGCCCTGGGCATGCTGATGACGACGACGGCTCAGGCTAAGCTGGGTGAGTTCTTGTTCTAGTATCCTTCTCTCCGTCTTGTCGTCTCCATCTTGCACGGCTCGTGGTTGTGGTCGTGAATGAAACTAAGCTGTCTGGCTGGCAGATGCTGGACAGCAAGATGGGGAGCGCCATCTTGACCAGCATCTGGGGCAGCACTTCCAGCACCACCGCCGGGCCGTCATGTCGGCGGCGGCGGCGAACTGCGTCTGCAAGAACAAGGTGGCAATGCCTTTTGGCGACGACGGCAACTGGAGAAGCGACACGGTGCCCAAGGTGGTGGTGCACGTGGACCAGGACGGCATCATGTTCAAGACCACCACTAGCAACATCTTGCGCATGCACCATCATTACTACGACGACGTGCCGTCTACCGACGGCGGAAGTCACGTCTCGGCTGTTTCTGCCGCGCCGCAGAAGAACAAGAAGAAAAAGAAGAAGCCCAAGTTGCATGCTGCCGCGGCCGCCAGCCAGGAAGAAGACAGCAGCTTGAACGCGGTAGTGCCTCTCCCACCGCCGCCGCCGCCGCCGCCGCCGCCACTAGCACCAGCAGAAGCCCTCGCAGACGAGACACCGGCCGTCGCGTTCTTAGAAACGGGGTCTGATCTCGGCGCGGGAGAGCCCGTTTTCTCGTCCAGAGACTACGACGCGGACGAAAACAACAAAGCCGCCTTTTCACCTCCTCCACCGCCGCCGGCCGAGCCCCAGCTGCAGCCCCACGAGCACGACGTGTTTTCGACGCTTCCAGGCGTCACGTACTCGCCGTACACTCCCGACGGTGGATGCAAGACGGCGGCCGAGGTGTACTCGGATTTGCAGCGGCTGGAGGGCCGGTACTCGTTGCTGAGGCTGTACGGGACCGATTGCGATCAGATCAACCTGGTGATTCCCGCGGCGCAGTCGATCGGTGCCAAGCTGTTTCTGGGTGTCTTTGACCCCAATCGCCTTAACGACGAGCTGGATATCCTAGTGCGGTCGGTGCAGGCCAACGCTCGCAACCACAACAAGGACAGCCACCATCATAACAACCGTGATTCAGACGCTGCCAGCGGCTGGGAGCTCGTCGACACGGTCAGCATCGGCAACGAGCTAGTCAACAACGGCCAGGCATCACCGGAGCAGATGCTATCGGCGCTATCAGCCGCGCGGGAGACGCTCCGGGCGGTGGGCTACACGGGGCCCGTGGTGACGGTCGACACGTTCATCGCGGTGCAGCAGCACCCGGAGCTGTGCGACGCGAGCGACTACTGTGCCGTGAACATCCACGCCTTCTTCGACGCGCGCACGCCCGCGGACCAGGCCGGCCGCTTCGTCGCTCGCCAGGTCGCCAACCTGCGCGAGGTGGTGGCAGACCCTACCCAGCGCATCGTCGTCACCGAGTCGGGCTGGCCCTGGCAGGGCAACGCCAACGGCCTCGCCGTCCCCGGCGCGGACAACCAGCGCCAGGCTGTCGCGTCCCTCGTCGCCGACTACGGCGACCTGAACCCCGGCGGCCTGATCTTGTTCACCGCCTTTGACGACCCGTGGAAGAAGGCGGAGCCCGAGACGTTCTATGCTGAGCAGTTTTGGGGGCTGAAGGGCGGCGATGTTTATCTCTAGACCTTGGGGGGTTGAGAGTCGAGTGTTGACTGTCGAGAAGGGAGTTGGGGGGGGGGGGGGGCCTTCAGGGGGCACACAGGATCCGACGCTCATTATTCTTTCTTTCTTTTCTCTCTTCATAGCCCGCGACTTCTCTTCTCACCTTCTCTTCCCTCCCGACTCTTGACCCACTCCTCTGTCTCCCACATTCTATTTCTTGTGGCTATTTTCGTTTCCATGTAAATGATGCCATGGAAATACAAGGACTGATCAGGGAGAAGAGCTTGGACTCTCCAGGGGAGACTTTTCTTTATATTCTTGTCGCTCTTTTGGGCTGTTTCTTGCCGCACCTTTTTGTCAAGCCTTTTTCTCTAAACCTTTTTGTTTCTTAGTCTGCTTATCTCTTAATCTTTTTCATGTAAATATTATTGTCGAAAATAAACGAGGGGATTGGAAGAGAAAACTGACTGGCTGGCTTGCCGGCCGGAAGGCTGCCGAGAATGGCATTGTGACAAGCACAAGCACGGGACCAAGGTACTAGCCGATTTATGGCGTAAACGTCCCAGTTTGATGCAGATGCAGGAATATCGTTATCTCTTTGTCCGTGTTCGTGTTGTGTAAATTCTCAAAAATATCTCGACGGTCTTTGGCATGGGCTCTAGCAGACGTGGATCTACTTCCCTCTTCTCTCCGCTCCTCACCAACCACTGCCGGCCACATACTCCATCAAGCAAGCAAAACAACAAGCATCAGTGGTTTAGTGGTAAAATCCATCGTTGCTATCGATAGGCCCCGTGTTCGATTCACGGCTGATGCATGACATGACTAACGTGTACGAGCTTTCTCTTTTATTGTTTATTCCCTTTTGTTGAGGGCAAATGGGTATACCATCCATCCCCTTGTTTTGTATATTTGCTCTCTTTTGTCCTATGGAATGTAAATATTGTTTATTTTTGCCTTTTCTTGCCTTTTCTTGCCCTGCATTGCACTGTTATTTTATGGATCTTCAAGCTACTGCAACCTGGCGACTGGGCAAAGCAACGGTTCTTTATGTGGTTTGTTGGTGGGCCGACCGGAGTGCGAGTTAACATGTGCACAAACACCATAACCAGAGTACCAAGTCACATAATGCAGATATATGGCCTTAAAACCCTGCTACTACGATACAACACAGTACAGACGATCTCAAACACCTCCCCGTCGATCCCTATTGGCCCGTGAATCCTCCCACAGGAGGCGCCATTGGCTGTCTCGATAACAACACTCTCTCCCTTAGCCTCAAGCAGGCATGCAACCAATAAGAGAATTTAGGTGAGTTAGCCCATCGGTCGATGCAGCCCGCCAGCGGCAAACCGCAATGCTTGATTCTGCGGCAGTAGTCGGTCTAGGCTCGGAGGGGAAAGTGGCGCTCGGAAGGGCGATGGCGACATACCTCCCCTGCCAAGCCAGGCCAACGACATGTCATGATCTCTATTTCTCTGAGCGTCAAGCCCGTGCTTTGTCTTGGTGAGTGATCCGCGTTTCTGAAGACACCAACGCTAAGAGAACTGTGCCGCAGGTCTTAGAGGAGAGCTCCCGGTCATGCTCGTAAAATCACCAGTCACGGAGAGCAAATAAAGCAGTTCAACATGTCCAAGCACTTTTCATTACCGCTATGCATGTACAGATCTGTCTAAATCCCCTACAGGGCTGCGTCGTCTCCGATGCTAAGCCTTCGTTACACAGCCTGCTATGGGGTATATGTAGGCAGATCGGGGGGTATTCGTTATATCAAATCAAGAAACAAACTTTACTCCAAAAACGACAGAAACATTCCACATAACGCGTCTCGCGTACCCGGCCTTTAGTCGGCCTTGGCAATCTTTGTCTCGCTGACAGGGACAATATCGTCGCTGTCGTGACCCCGGGCGCTCTCAATGTCCTTGGCGTGCAACGGAGACGGCGAGGAGGCCCCAGTAGCGGGCACGACGGCGGCGGTGGCCGTGTCCTCGATCTCGAGCGGGAGCGACAGGTTCAAGATCACCGACACGAGGGCGCACACGGCAAAACCAGTCTCCATGATGAGTTCTATCGCGTCTAGGAAGCCCTGTAACGACTTGTTGTCGCCCGAGTACGAAAAGACGTGGGCAAAGTAGGTGGGCACGAGGGTGGCACCGTAGCCGAGAGAGAGCGCGGCTGTCAGGATGAACCGGTTGCGGCGGTTGAAGGGAGCGCCGCGCGAGATGATGGCCATGCCCGACACAGCAACGGACGTGAACAGGAAGGTCGTCATGCCGCCGATGACGGGCGACGGAATGGCCACGAGACTGGCGGCGAACTTGGCGAAGACGCCCATGATGATGAGAAACATGCTGTGAGTATTTGTGTTAGCGAGGAGGAGAAATAGAGCTGGGCACGATGGTCAAGACCTACCAGCAGCAGTAGCCAGCACTCCGGTTGGCGCACCGAGTCAGGGCGATGACACCGTTGTTCTGGGCAAAAGTGGTCATGGGGGTGATGGTAGCTAGGGCGGCAAGGACACCGTTGAGGCCGTCAGCCAAGACGCCACCCTGGATGCGGCTCTCGTAGATCTTGCCGTCGACTTCTAGGCGGGACACGTCGCAGGTAGCCGTGATGTCGCCAATGGCCTCGCACGCGCAGATGATGAAGACAGCCATCATTGGGAGGACCAGCGGACCGTAGACGGTGAGCTTGAATGTGTGCACCCAGATGAAAGAGGCAACCGGGGCCGAGTCGATGCCTGAGCGATCAAAGTAGCCGCATGCGCCGGCAATGATGCAGCCGACGAGCAGGCCGATGATGACGCTGGTAGACTTCATGATGGGCGAGCCAAAACGCTCGACCAGGACGATGGTAACGAAGACGGAGAAGCCGAGGCCTAGATACTCGGGCGCACCCCATGGAAGAGCATGTGGCGCCAGGATATTGGGGCACAGGGCGAAGAAGTCACCCGCGGTGGGATCGGCGCAAAGACCGGCACCACCAGCCCAGTTCTGGAAACCTGACTCAATAAGGCTCACACCGATGAGCATGACAGTCGGGCCAGTCACAATTGGGGGGAAGATACGCAGCATGGCCTTGGGGGGGATGAAGGAGATGAGGATTTCAAGCAGGGCGCAGACGGCGGCGGTTCCGAGCAGGGCGCCGTAGGCGTCGGGGCACGGCTGCTTGACGCCGTCAACCTTCGGGCAGAAGCCGTTGTCATACATTTGTTCAAAGGCACCACTGGCGACGGGGATGATGGCAAACGAGATGCCCACGACCGAAATAAGACCAGTTCCAATGTAGTATCTAAGCGGGGGGTCGGTTAGCTGCAGTCCGTGTCAGCCAGGCGGGCTCTGTGCATCTTACGGTGTGCCCTTGATGTGGAAGCGTGTGATTTGTATGCAGGACAGGAGGCCCGAGACGATCAGGGCGGTGGACACCAGGTACTGGGTCTGCTGGGTGGTGAGGTTGACGCCGCCGGCGCCGGCCATGATTATGGGCGGCGTGATGATTCCGGCCAACATGGCCAGGGAGTGCTGGAGGCCGAGCAGCACGGCGAGGAAGACGGGCATCCTGTCGTTGAGGCCGAAGAAGGGCTGGGGCTTGTCCGACTTGGGCATGAAGGGCAGGTTCGGCTTGAAGAGGAAGCCATAGTCATAGTTGCCGATCAAGCCTTCCCTGGTGGTGAACTTTCTGCCGATGCTGCCAAGGCGGTCGCCGATGGACCTTTTCGGGGCCGCATCGGGCACGATCTGGGACGGGCCGGCATCGTCGTCCATGGCTGCTGCCGAGGGGGTGCCTGGCAAAGTGAAGTTTCAAGCAGAATCTGAGGCGGATCGAGCTCGATGCAACACGAGACACACAAGTCACTGGCTGGCTCTCCCTTGTGTTTGTGAGACTGTGGTGTGACTGTATGGATGCTGGTGACTGCCCGGGCCGACAGCGAGAGTGTGACTGAGGGTGGCAGCAGCTTGCCTCGAACTTAAATGTCAAGAAATTCCTTTGCCATGGACTCCTTATCTTGCCATTGGACCCACCGCACTGGAGCTCCCAGCTCTCGAAGTAGGGCAGCAGTGTGGATCCTCCGTGAGCTTGGGGGGGGGGGGCTAAGGTACTGTAGCACCTAAGGTAAGCTGTTCCTTGCCTGCATTCGCCGATCTCCCCCGGACAGCGACCACCTAGAACGGGACGGGCTATCCGTAGCTCGACTCGCTTCTCGGCACCACATCTGGTCACTGGTGGTTGCTGCCGCGCTGGTCCTGTTGCAGCTTGTTGTTGGTTGGTGTCAATGCCATGCGTCCAGTGTGTCGGGGGGGCCTGCAAACTTTACAGCCTCTACCGTCGACGGTGGACACCTAGGTAGGTAGTCGGGCTGGACCGATGACCACGCCGCCCGGAGCCGACTCGCTCGAGGCTGGAACACGCTAAACCCCAAAGGCAACCCCTATCAGCCCGCTAGGGATTGGGTCCCCCGCCGGGACATTGCGGGGCACGGCGGGCCCCTGAGGTCGAATGCATCCAAGCCTCGAAGCTGTCTATCTGCGCTCTCTGCTCCGAGGCTATCGAGAGGCCAAGAGCTGTTGCTTGATGACACAAATTTCCCTCAGCGAGATGTCATGGCCCGCCGACTGATAGACCAGTCTCAATCAGGGCCGATTTCGCCGCCAGACATCAGGTCGGACCAAAAAGAGGAACCCTGCGATGCGATCAACAATGCGGCAATTAGCGCCAGCCACATACGAAATGGCATTCAGACTCAGTGCCACTGCCATTGTTGAGGGGTCTTGTGCCAGGTGCGCGGACGGCTGTTATCGTCGGCGCATCTTGCAGAGGGAACAGCCCATTCGTCGCGTCCACCGCGCCCATCAGATACACGATCTCTTGGCTGACGAACCGAGCTGGTGGTGGTCAGATAAAAGCAATACAGAACTGTAGGAGCGTCTGCGGCGCTGGTCCGTGCTGTAGAGCCCTGTATGGACGGAAATGCTCCGTTCGCTAGGTCCGGAGCAGTCGCACAGCAAAGTCTTCTCTCTTCAGCGTGGGGGACAGGTCATGTAGCGTTGGACTTGGAACGGCTGACGGCGGCCTGTGATGCACCTGGGTTCTGGGCAAGCTCTTCCCGGGTGCGAGCTCGACCTCGGTCGTCGACTGGTGGTCCACGGCCGCCTGGCTGGGCATGCGGAGGTCGAGAAAGCAGAGGCTGGGGTTGGGCAGAGATAACGGGTGGCGCTAGATAACGAACGATAGTCCGTCATCTTGGGCAGAAGGGACGAGATAACGACGAGAGAGAAAGGCGAGAAAGACAGCCCAGCTGCCAATAGCGTCCCACAGGTTTGGTGGGGATTCTGGTGGCGCCCAGTGGGGACCGGCGGACCCCGTTTGCCCCGTCGCGATGCAATCGGGGCCTTGGCTCTCTGTCCCCCACAGGTCACAACGCCTTCTGAATCTGAGCTGCACCTGCACCCGCATCTGCACCTGCAAAATTTATGATCCCGCCCACCAATCAGCACCGAAGTCAAACCACTTAGTCACGCGACTAGGCGTCTCAGGCTCGTCACCAGTTTGTCTCGCGGTAAATGAACTTTTTCCCAGGGACAAAACCTCAAATTTCACGACTATGGCCATACGCATAGACGGATTTGGCATGAAAAGTCTTTCCCATTGAGAAAATTATCTCGCAGTTGAGATGACTCTTTCAGCTGTCTGGAGACCTGCTTGAGACGAAATGGGCTATCTTCAAAACAGTGGGCTTTCAACAGTCTCTCGTGCTTTCCGAATCATCAAGTTCATTCTGCACGCAAGAAGAAGATTGATGAGCTTACTTTTCCCAGCCCGGGACAAAAACTGGCCTTCATTCATTCTTTTAGCTTTTCAAAAATGTCCATCGGGAAAAGGACACCTGACAAGGGCTCAAACAGACAGCCCGAGTTAAAGAGATGCAACAGGCTGCTCAGAGTTCTGACAACATGGATCGCTTCATGATTTAAATCACCAGGGCCCTCACCCCGCGCGCGCTCTTCGGGAAGGGCGAAAAGAAATCATGAAACCGCTTAACGTCGCGCTCATAGTCGGTGGAGATGAGGCGTAGTTTGCCCCCCGGGCCCAACGACGAAAAGAGACGTCCCAGTGTCAAATACAGCTCCATGAGCGCCACCTCGTTGCCCACGCACGTCCGCGTGCCTCGGCCAAACGGGATCAGGTACTTGCTGAGCTGCTTGCGCTGTGCCTCATCGCCGAGCCACCGCTCTGGCAGGAACTCTTGGGGGTCCTTGAAAATCTCAGCCGAGAAGTGAGTGTCGTTGGGGGTGGTTGAGACGATTGTCTGAAAATCAAGAAAAATGTCAACAATACTGTGAGCCAGGGAAACAGCAGTTTCCCAGGAAGGAACGAGAAGAACAGAAAGAAAAAAAGGAGGACGGCTGGCTACCTACCCCTTTTGGAATCACCCAGCCTTTGTAAGTCATGTCGTTCTTGGGATCGTAACGTGGCAGACGGCCCGAGGGGCTGTTGAATCTATTTGTTTTCTCAAGGGTCCCGCAGTCAGCAACACCCCATACCACGGCTAGGTATTCAGCCAACCAGACGTACCGCAGCCCTTCGTTCACGACGCCCGTGAGGTACGGCAGCTCCTTGAGCTCGGCCAGGGTCGGCAACCTCTCGCCACCCGTGCGCACGGCCGCAGCGTCGAGCTCGGCCGCGAGGCGCGCCGCCCTGGCGCGGCCGTCGCAGAGCAGCCAGAACGCCACAAACGCCAAGATGCTGCCCGTCGTCTCGGTGCCGGCCAGCGTGACCGACGACGACTCGCGCTCGATGCGCCACGGCATCTTTTCGACCGCCGGCAGGCTCGAGTGCAGAATCTGCCGGATCACGTTGCTCTCTGCCTCGCGCTCGTCGGCGTCTGCGAGGCGCGAGTCTGATGGTCCGGGGGTGGCGAGCTTGCGCTGTGCATCTTCTGCCGCCACGGCGGCCAGCTCGCTGCGGATCGTCACCACGAGTTTCTGTCGTTCCAAAGAGTCGCAGCGACTCCCAGGAGGGTGTTAGTCGAGGGGCAAATTGATAATTAGATGTCAACAAAAGAAGAAGACGAAGAAAAGACAACCCTGCCTTGAAAAACCCAATAGCACCCAACGACCCCGGGTTCAGGCGCAAAGCGATGGCGGGCGGGATGGAGCGCATGGCGGCCATGAAGTGCCCGCCCGTCTGCCGATTGATGGCGCCAAAGCGGGCGAAGCGGCGGACGACAGCGTTGGTCGATGGCTCAAATTCGGGGTCGTCGAGGTGGCCAAAGGGCCTGCGGAAGGCGAAGGCGGTGGCGCCGTCGGTGGCGAGGCAGCGGAAGACGTCGCCGAGGTTGAGCACGGTGCCGGTGCCGCTGAACTGCTCGAGGCGGCCGGCGAGCTTGGCCACGAGGTGCTCGACCTCGGGCTCGCGCCGGGCTACGGCGCCCGGCGTAAAGAAGGGTGTTAACGCCTCGCGCCGCATCCGGTGCGTCTCGTGCGGCCCCGAGCTGAACGCGTTGCCGCTCGCCCCTAGGAACGTGTAGAAGCCAAGCGGCTTGCTCGCTCGCCGCGACACGCGGTACACCTCGCCCCAGTCGGCGTCGCGGATGTGCAGCTCCCACGGGCTGATGCGCACGATGGGTCCTGTTGTGGCGGTGTCAGTCGAAACAAAATCGCAGCTGGTGAGATCAAATCTGCTTTGACCACATCCTCTCTGTCTGGCGGGCCGTGACTGGAACGGAAAGGAGAGCTTCACCATATTTGTCGTGCATACGGCCGATCTCGACATAGAACCGCCCGCCGCCGTCCTTGATGCAGTCGTAGTAGGCCTCATAGAGGCCCGTGGCAGCCGCGAGAGACGGCCCTGGGAACTTGGCGAGCGGGTGGAAATAGAGCCGATACACCACGAGGGAGACGGCTCCGAGGGCCGCGAGAGCGCCCAGCTGGCCGAGAACAGCGGTGATAGATATCATGGCGGCTGCCACTGTCTCCAATTCAATCAATTGAGTGTGAATCGAACAGCAAAAACCGGGAAGCTGGGTCTGGATTCTTCTGTCAGGAGCCCAAAATGTCAAGAGGAGAGGTTCCCGCCAAGCTATTTAAAGCGCGGCGCTCCGTGAAACCCGCTCCGTCTCGCTGTCCGAGAAATGTCACTTGGGTCCACCGGCTTAAGGATCAAAAACCTGCGTCGGTTGCGTTGGGAGTGGTGCCCATGTTTTCGTTGGCGATGGTGTCAAAGGAAGGGCCCGCTCGTGGTAAGCGCTACGCTCCCGGTTCGAGGCGGGTTGCTAGGTGGGTTATAAATGCTAAATAACACCACTCACTCAGCCACTCACGCAAAGCATGCCCTCCTATCTCTGCGTCGACCCCAAATTCATTCGTCAGAAGCAAATTTGTGCCCGCGGTGTGTTACATGAATGGTGCATTGGCAGAGCGGAATTCCACCCACTGAGAGCCACCAACACATTGCACGGCACTGACGGGTGACCAATCCCGTGGTGGAAGTGGTGCTGGGCAAGACACAATATCGGGGCGCGGCTCGTGTAGCGCTGCTCTGTCTGGGCTTGGCCGTCGACAACATTACGGGTTATATTTCCGTGTTTCCTCCGGCTTGGTTTTTTGAGGCGTGTAAATGGCCTCGAACTGTGTGCTAAGCAGCTAAGACTGCGGATAGGCTACTTATCGTGCTGAAACAGTTTCACAGGCGGCAGCTGAACAGGCGGTCCGCATCACGGCCCGTTGCGGGGGATCTCTTGACACAGATTCCGAGTTAGGTTCTTATTTTGTGGATTCACTCGGTATGTTGTCTAAATCTAGTTAAAGGGCGTCAGCGGAGATTGTGGCGAGCAGTTGTCAGCATGAGCACCGATGAGCACCGGCTTTAGCATCGAAGAGCTGAGAGCTTGGACAGACGGGTTCGTCCAGGGACCTTGACTCAATAGCCGAAGCCTTTCTGGTTCGACAATGGCAGTATTCAAGGAGCTCATAGTTGACTACGTTGATAGCCTTCACTTATTTGAGGTATGGGCTATACCGAAAATGGGGGAGTGAAATATTATGATTTCATTCCCATGCGCCTGATGCCCGTGGAGTCGTGCTCCTTCCTTCTTGTCTTCGCTCTGACGCTAATATCCCGGCTTTCCTGGTCCAGCCTCCGTCGCCATCGAGGTACGTGAGCACCCACCCGTTGATCGGATCGGTGGGACTGGGGATGTAGGGCTGCTCCGGGCCGACCAGGGGCGGGCGCACAGTCGAGAATATCCTGAGAATGTCGTCAAAGGTTGTCCGCCCCATGCCGTCGTTGTGGTGAGGCGCCCCCGGCAGGCCTAGCTGTTGCTGATACTCGCGGAGCTCCTTGAGATCGTTGAAGCATATGTCCCAGAGCGTTGTACCGGCCCAGAAAAAGTCCTCCAAAGCTAGAATCTCGTACGACCCGCAGGCAACGACAGAGTTTTAGACACTGCCGGCCGGCTCGAGGCCATCGGACTCAGACATAGGATACGCCAGGTGCGCAACCCTATACAAACCACCGTCTAGAACAAGGTCGCTTAGAGGACCGTCGCAGTCAAGAGGGATGAAGAGGTTCCCATCACCCCCTTCGGGATTACCCGTCAATTTCGGGAGGACGAACAGCATTTTCTTATCCAGAGGGCCTGTCCAGCCTACTACTACCTAAATTAGGGATCGGTGGGTTTGATTGTCGCCTATCGATTACAGCGGTGGGGTAATTATTGATGATGCGATAATTTTGTGTGTTTGTGTTGAGCGACTTCCTGCCGTCGTTGTGGTTCCTGAGGGGCAGAACTGGAAGCTTTCGCAACCGTCTCCGACAGGATAGAGTGCTGAAGACTGGCTGATCTTGTGAAAGACCAGGCCCCCGCCTTAGCAGACTGTAGAAAGATCAGATTATTGTTACTGAAGTTGATAGTACAAATGAAATGATATCCATCACCGCCCGGGATAAAAGGATACCAAGAAGTGCGGACTCTCACTTATCGCTCACCACGAGAACGCGTAATTACATTACCCTCTTGAATATAAGCCATTTATTTCACTTTGGTGATTATTAGATCTATCGTAACGACTAAATGTGAAAGTCACTTCTTGGGTCGACGAAACTAAACATCACCCTTTCCTCGGACTTTCATTCATTCTTGGAAGTAAAGGCAAGCTCATTCTTTAAGAGCGGTCTGCTAGACACATTCATACTGACATGGGGAATTTGGTTCCAAAGACACGGCTCTCCGTTGGTCGACGAGCTGCTCAACTGAACGAAGATACCTTTACATACAATAACACCACATTACCAATATTCACAACGGTTGTATTCATAAAGTCACTCAAGATATTCTCATAATGAAAGAAAGACAAAATCATTGAAAGGTGAACTGAAGGTGACGTGTTACTGAACTTGCAACGGAGAGTCAGCAGCAAGTGCGGGCGTCCAGGCAACAACGTCTCATAAGAACCATCGTCTCATAGTTGAAAGTGGCTTCGACGGTGGCTGCACTTGGCTGTGTAACCCGGGCAACCGGTGACCTCGATGTCATGTAAGGTGAAGCATGGATGGTTGAGGTGAGTGGTCATAGTGATGGGCGGCTTTCGGTGCAGCCTTGCCCCACTCTCCCCCAGGTTCTTGATGCAGCATTGAAGCAGGTATCCGTGCCATGCTTAATTAGACATGGCTCGGCTCGAGAACCGGTAGGCTGCAGGTCGTCCCTAGTCAGTTACACCAGCCTCGTTTGTCCTGCATAACTAGTAAGGCATACCGAGGCAGACATGAAGTTCCACGACGATGCAATTGATTGCATTCGTTTGATTTTGATTATGATTTCTTACCACAGAAGGATTGCCTGTAGCTGACTGTTTAACACAGCATTGCATCTTCTCACGTCACAGGGGTTGTTTTAAAAGAGTGGCCATGATACCAGAGGCGCGAAAAGGCAGCGACGAAATGGTGCCTCGTTGAGGTTTCGGTATTAAAAACGGGAATATATGGCTTGCGGATCTGACTTTGATTCACCAGCCTCGTCAAGGGGGGGAAGGGGGGGGGGCGCGCTGATGGGGCATTGTTGAGAAAGATCTTACCTCCCAGATCTGAGATCTTACGTGGGTGGGTGTCAAGTAGTGTGTTTTGCATCACAGCACTCAGGGACTGGGCTGGACGCACAAGTCGCAGACTCCAAGGCTGTGACACTGGGGTGCGGGAGGCGGCATGTGGCACAAGAATGGGAAGGATTAGACGAAACAGGCACCCCTTTTCAGGAGAACTGCCCATTTTCGTAGCATAGCCGAGCAGATCTTTCAACTGTGCCCCTTGATTGCATGGCGGCCCGCAAGGCCGCTTGGCTGGTCCCGCGTCTGCAGCCGCAGCCTCTCCCTCAGGAATGGTCGCAAGGGGGCGCCCCAGGGCCACTTACGAGCGACCCGGGGGCCTTGGCAAATGGAAACATGGAAACGAACCCGGCTCCATCAGCACGCTCGTCTGGAGTTCATGACAACACAGGCCGGACCGCTACACGAGTCTGCTGACTGTACTACCACATACCACCATATGCTGGCGCCGTAGAGCCGGTCAATGTCGTCCACTTATTGACCACACTTTCAACATGAACGGCATTAGGTCAAAATCACCCGTAAGGACTGCTGTGAGTCCCGGTTAGGTACATGAATACCTAATTACTTTCCAGAACTCCAAACTTAGAAGGATTGTGGATCCAGGCAAACACGTCTGGTTTCTCCGGGCCAAGAAAAGCCAACCGCGTATCAGGGACAAAAACTCAGACGTCCATCCCATATTCATCTGTGCTCGGCGCACCAGACATGGCCGCCGGTAGGCAGAAACCGTCCCTGCTATCTCCGGGGCTCTGCTACCCCGATTGGAGCTCCAAGAAAGAGAAGGGAAGATAAATAGCTCTGATAACCCCAGGTATTCGTATTCCTGATCATTCATCCGAAGCATCCAGAACAGCCTTCACAGAACCAGCAAAGGCATAAGCTTCTGTCCCTTGACGCACCTGAAATATATCACTCCATTATCCCTGGCATCTCTTTCCTCTTTCGTGTTGAACACCACAAGCACAAGCACAAGCACCTTGAGCAAGACAGACTAAACGCAGCCATGCTCAACCAAGCTGTTTGTCCCACTCCACCCCTCCCCCCTTCCGACGAAAGGAGGACACTAACATGTTGAAAACGCAGCTCGTTGTCTTCGGCGTCGTTGCCCTCGCCAGCGCGACGCCGCTAGACCACTTCAGCCTCCATGCTCGGCAGAACGCTAGCGGCGGCGGAGCGGTAGCAACCGGGTCTGTCGCGGGCAGCAACCTCATCCTCTCGTCCAAGGTGACGGGAGCGATCGCCAAGACCAACGTCGACCTGGCGGCCGGCAAGACCGCGGCCGAGAACCCGGACACGTACACCTTCTTCAAGGGCGACGGGTCGGCGGCGCAGGGGTGGCCGACCGAGGACGAGTGGATCAACTTCAACGACATGTTCACGCGCAACAACGCCGCCATGGGCAAGGGGTGCCCGGGCGGTGTGACGGAGAACACGGCGGCGGAGAACGAAAACATCCGTGTGTCTATCATAGCCGTGGCGTCGGCGGCCGCGGTGGACCCTCGTTTCGTGCTGGCCACCGTCATGCAGGAGTCCAATGGCTGTGTGCGGGTGCAGGGCACGCCGTCGGGCGAGGCGGGTGTGTTCAACCCCGGCATCATGCAGTCGTTCAAGGGCACGGGGACGTGCAACGTGGGCAACTCGAACCAGCTAAGCCCGTGCCCGCCCGAGACCATCACGCAGATGCTTGTCGACGGCGTGCAGGGCGTCAACGTCGACGGCCAGGTCCAGGCCGGGCTCGTGCAGCAGCTCATCGCGGCCGGCGGCGACCCGTCGGGCCAGAACACCTACAGTGGCGCAAGAGGGTACAACTCGGGCGCCATCTCGGGCGCCCTCGAGAATGCCGGCCAGTGCGGGCCCCCGAGGACCTTTGGCGTCCCCTGCTACTCGAGCGACATCGCCAACCGGCTCAAGGGCTGGGTCTCCGCACCGACTCAGTGCAACCTGCAGCCCCAGACCTGCTGAGGTAGTCGCCCTTTGACTTTTCTTTGAAGCTCTGTCCTGCTCGGGGTCGATATCTTGTTCTTTCCTTTGAGTAACCAAACATCAAAAATAGAGGGGTGGGAATGAAAAGGGACGCTCGCTAGGATTTTTGGATGCTGTTGATATGAGATATCAATTGCCTCAATCTGGCCGGTCCGGTTGATGCATCTAGTCTTGATTATTCTCCTGGCTTTTGGGTAATGAAATAGAGGACAGAACTGGAACAGGGGGGGAAGGAGTCAGTTTATGGTTGTATAATATCTGTACCTGTATGGAATAAGATAGCGGAACGGTTCAAAGATACCAATATAAAAGATTGATTTTGTTAGATGAGACGGGTATTGATGGCCACCTGGATGAGAGATGGCGTTCTATTTGCCGGGGAGTGTAAGGACGTGATGTTCGTATTTCTGGAGTCTGAGGCTCTTGTCCTAAGGCGCCATCTTTGAGACGATTGACGACTGAGGCTGTTTGCTTGGCTTGTTTATCATATTACCCTGTCAAAGGATAGTAGAGTAGTGTTCGTCAATGGATAAAAAATATTGCCATGGGCTTTCGGTCGTTGAGATGTCGCCGAGGCAGGGCTCTTTGACAAGTGAACAGACTTGGCGCGTGGGGAACTAGAGCAAGGTGGTTATGTTTACGGGCAGCAGCCCCTTTCGCCCATTTACCTTCCCAGATCGACTCCCTGCCCACTCCTCAAGCCTGTTTGGCTCAAGATCGGCACAGCTCCACGCACCACACCCCTCAAAACAAGATCGACGCAGGGACACCTCAACGATGCAGCGTCGCGGGGTTGAGGTCATTCCAGACCCTCAACCCCGAAGAGGGCTGGGCGAAGGTCGGGGTTTCTTGGCTTCTCGTCGCATACAAAGTTATCAAAGTATTTGAAAAGTTACGTGCTTGGCATCTGGTGAATGGCCCCCTCTTGGGTTGGTGGGAAAAGATCAGACAAGTAAGTGCCAAGACGAAAATCTGCTGACAGACCCATCACCGAGGCCGACGAGCAAGCACGCAAAATCCGAGGGGTTGCACAGGCCCGTCCGCGGCAGCTTCCAGTCCCAGATGACATGGATGCCGAACAGACGAGTCTTGGCCGGATCCAAATGGGCGCGGAACGTGTGCGCATTGCCTGGACCCGGTGGACTTGCTTGGCATGCTTCCCCCCGGGAGATTCTGCAGATTTCGGCCCTGGTCTCTCTTGTCCGTGCTCTTCCTCAAGTCCGACACCAAGGGTGTCTAGCGGCGCGGAGGAGGTAGCGGGGAACCTGTGTAGGGCTGTGAAAGCAGATGGAAAATTGGGAAGGAGGTCGTCGGATCTGCACGTTGAGTTGTCTGTGCTTCAAAGTTGTGCTGTTTATGTCTGTGTGTGCCTGAGGTGTGATGGTATGAGGCCCTGCAGGCCGTGCACAAAATATGAATATGAAAAGGGTCGGGTGGTAAGCAGACCTTCTTGGTTGACTGACCGGGCGACTGCAAACCAACGTCGGTCTGCACTCGTGCATGAAAATAGAATTGGCTGTCGCTGCCGTCCTACCATCAAACTGATTGGGAAAAAGACTCATTTTCGCGGCTCACGCACTCCGGTGCATGCATGCACATCCCCCCCTGTGGCGCACCCCCTTTGAGCCTCTAGGGGCCCAACCTAGGCCCTTGCATGGATTCGTCTGCAGGTGCTTTCTCCCTCCAGAGTACCCCGCGTAGCGTCTTATCTTTGCCACGCCTGATTAGATGTCTGTTCCTGCATTGAATGGTGCTCAATGTAGGTTGTCGCTCGTAATTGTTGTATTTTTGACTGCGTTTGGGGACAAGATCCTTAGGGTAGACCCGAGGCATGGCGTCGAGGCTATCGCCCCCGCGACTTGTGGCTGAGAAGGGCGTGGGGTAGGTTCCAATGTTTGGGAGAGGGGGAGACGGGACTTGGACTTGGGCAGTTCGCAAGCGGAAACATTTTGAACGTGCTGTGTACTCCGTGGTGTATGCGACTTCAGAGCGTCAAATCACCAACACTTTGTGCCATTTCAGTCCAGAGTGGCATGTTCAAGAGTGAAGGGCTTTGTGAGAGGCTGCGGGGAAGAATTGGAGCATCCGGCCGGGAGACATAAGCAAGCAGTATCTGACCAACACTGTTTCACGGGCTCTTCCAAGACGACCTCAGCACTGCCGATTCGCGAGAACGGAGGTATTATTCGGGTGACGAGATGCGGTGCGACAGCCATTTCTGGGCAATGCAGTTCAATTCATCAACCCAAGCGTAGACGGTGGAACGTCGCGTCGTTGCGTCCCGTCCGTTCCCTTGCCCCACCCCCCACCTACCACCCAACTCCTGGACGAAGTGAGGGTCAGATTCCGTCCCGCTCCTCCTTCAGCAACTTTGTGTGCGCGCGACGGGGCGCCCTCTAGCCGACGCCCGTATTCTCTCTCGGCGGCCGTCGCGGCTGAGAGAGCAAACAGCATTTCTCGAAAACACCAAGACGAGTCACATATTTCAGCCTAAGCAGTACTTGGTTATGATAGACATATCCCTAGGTAAGGATCCGTATGTACAATGTGTTCTACGTACTTCTTGTACTCCAGGTTCCCACGTGTCATATCTCCGGTTTTCCAGTAGGTAAAACAGTTCTGTTCTTATCAGTGCCCTAGTCCCCATAGCGCAGTCTGATTCGAGAAGCCACTTCAATACTACCTTCTGTAGGCTAGTGCCATGCAGCTTATGGATTACGTAACACAGGTTCCTTCCCATCAAGGAACGGCGCGCTTTGAAGTTGAACAAGCCCTCCGTCCATTTATTACCGATTAACGCAGCAACGCAGGAACGCGGCATCACAGGACGGATTCTTTGCTATATCTGGACGGGTTACATTTATTGTCCATTTACAAATGCTGTACCACCCCGTAACTTTGGATTCCCTATGCCGCTCTGCTTGGCGACAACCCCGGGTAAAGCAAGTTCGGGGGCCGTTCTTGACTCTTGAGTTGATGGCTTCCTCAACGCTGACGCGCTGCCCCTTTGCGAAAGAGACTCATGAGAAAAAGAAAAGAAAAGTGGCGGATGCAAGCCGACTTCCCGTGCTTGTTGCATTTCAATCCTTCACCAGGGCTCTTTTGCTGAAGGCGCCAAGAGCATTTAACCACATCAAGTAAAGCCGTTTTCTTCAACGGGTTTCTTAGCCAGCCAGTGAAGTTTCTCGTCACCTGCTGTGGGGCTGGCTTTGAAGACCGAAACGGACTGGTCGCTGTGAACCCCAGAGCCGACATGCACCAACTGAACAAAAGCCCAGCAGGACGAACGGAAAAAACGGGACCGTGGAGGTGGGTGGGCTGGAAGCCGCTGAATCTTCTGTGCGCTCCAATGTTTCATTCCCCAAAGATAAGATTGTGTGGACCGACCCAGCAAACGACAGCGTTGTGCCTATCTGTGCGCAGCGGGCACGCCCCAAAGAGGGGGTAACGCGGGAAGGGACGAAAGACGAAAGGCCAATGGCACCTACCGAGGCGAGCTTATACCAGAAATGCCACCACAAAAAGCAATAATCACAGTTCTCGCGTCTGTCAATCTGTCCAGCTGTGTTCTCGGCTCGACGTTCAAGTGTCCCGGGTTCCCCCTTTGCCCTCCCACCCCTTTTCTTTCTCGTCGGAAACTATCGATTGTCGACTTGATACTCGGCGAAACCGACCTGCAGTCGCTGAATAAGGCCTGTCTGGACCCCTTCTAATGCGCCGGCCTGTACTACAAGCTGGATTATTCTTTTCAGCTCCTCTGCACTCAGCTCTCGGGACTTAGTGAGGTCGGTACTTGGTTTCTACTCCCGATGCCCTCGCCGTGGCCGCGCATTAACTGAACGTCATAGCGGGCACAGCACTTAGAGTTGTTTTGTCTCCTGCGGCGTAGGTATTGTCAAGTACCCCACGAGCGCCACATTACCGCATCCGTGGCCGAGACTCGGGTTGCGACAGCATCTGTAGGCCAAAGCTGGGCCAAGCCGTGCGTCGTGTCAGTGTCCAGCTGCACTGCCTACTCGACAGCAGAGCAGCATGCGCAAGACGCCCCCACGTCGTACAACCAGGAATAATTTAGCTTATCGTGGGCTTGCGAGCGCGAATTTTGCCCGTCAATCCTTTGACCTTTGCTAGACGCATCCCAAAGAGAAAAGAGAAACATTGTTTTAACATCAAGGCTCCCGAGACCTTGGTCGGACGGCTTAGGGCCTCCACGTCTGTCTTGATTTTGTGCAAGTGCTTCGATAAGCTCGACCGCAAACATGTCGGGCCGCAGCGCATATGTGCGCAAGAAGATCACGGAGACGAGGCCTGGCGAGAAAGGCGAGCGGGTCTCTGTCTTTCGGCCCCGGACCAAGTCTATGGCCAGCTCCGACAATGCTACGATTAGCGAGTATCCCATCTCAGCGATGCCCGTACTGCGTCCAGACCGCGATCGCGACCGCGAGAGAGACCGGGACATCACCGGGGTGGGCACGACGAACGCCCGCTTCCTGAAGTTTTCGGAGCCCGCTAGGGAAAGCGAGGCAATAAGTTATCGCAATGACATTGTCAGCTACGGAAACCAGAGCGGCGGGAGCCAGAGCGGTTCGAGCATCGACGGGCGGAGAGAAGGCGCAGGCACATCGCACTTCCACAGACCGCTTGAGGATTTCGCATATGCCCGTGCCAGGAGACCGGCCATCAAGACGGAAGATGTGTCGGGCATCGAAAAGTCGGGTCTCCGAAGCATTTTGGACAAAAAAAGCGACGAAGTTAGAAAGGGGCTCGCTAAGACCTTTGCCTTCAAGAAGAAAGATAGGAAAGGGGGGCTCGACATCGATAGGTCGATGGAGTTCAGACCACAGTCGTCGGCAACCGTGCGACCTCCGGCTAACGGGACTGTTTATGCCAACGATTCGAACGACGGCTATGATGCCGATAACTCTCCTGTCCAGTTCCAGGGCCAAGGCCAGAACCAGTGGGATGAGTCGGGCAGCGTCGTATCTGGGCCGCCGTCGGCCAAACTTCCTCTTGTGCCGCCACCATCCAACGCGCCCCCCATCAAGCGTTGGATCGGCGCCGGGCGGCCTGTGCAGCGATGGAACAAGCTACGGAAAGATCCCGAGCTCTGGGATCCCAACGGCGACGTGCTCGTATTCTTCGGCAACAAGGGGCAATCCCCTCGACCGAACCCTTCTTTCCGGCTATCGTCGCACATAATTGAAGCCACCGAGTCCCGCTATCTCATTACACTCTTGCGCGAGGGTTCAACAGAAGAAGACATACACATGCCCCCTTCACCCATCGGAGCGCCCCCAATGTTGCACCGGCACGGTCACTACAACCAGCAGCACCTGGCCCCGCACGGTGGAGGCTACGGTCGCGGCGGACAGCCGACGCCACCGGTTTCTGAGGATGCCAACCTCTGGGAGTCGGATGGGCAGATTTCGTATGAAATGTACTTCCCCACGCCGCCCAACATGACCAAGATTGACCAGGTACGACACCACATCACGACACGGAACGTCTTTGCGCTTCTATACCATGCCTCGCTGGTCGGTCTATCTCTTTATCAGGCTCTGTCGGATTTGCACTCCCGCCTCGAGTCGTACATGCCTTCGGAAGCAGACAACATCGGAACAATTCTCAACTATCTCTCGGCGCGCGGTATCGACGACGTCCGAAATGATGCCGAGACCGCGGTCAGCCTTCTCGCTTGGAGCGAGGGTCACGAAGTCCGGTGGGAAGAGGGCTGGCGGGAGAGCTTTCTGCATTGCGCAGGCATGTATTCACAGCTGGAAACATGTGCCGACTTCAAGCACGTCACCCCGATCACGCGGGCCCTGCTCGAGCGCGCCTGCCTCGAGACGCAGCTGCGTGTCCAGGCGGCCGAGGAACGCCTCGCGGCATTCCAGTATGCAGATATGTGGCCTGGCACTGTGGCAACTACTGCCAATGCTAGCGGGCCTGTCGCGGCGGCGCCGGCGAAGGCCGCGGCAGACAGACTGCAGAAGTTCTTGCTGCAACACTACACTCGCTCGTTTGGAAGTTGGCCTCCACTTCCGATGCCCCAAGGCAACGACCACTCGGCCATTGGCACAGCCCACGGCGGGGCCGAGGGAGAAGAGGAAATGTGGCTGACTAGAGCCGTGGCACAATCGCTGCAGAAGGACTTTGCCGCCCTATACGATTATCTGGTCAACAGAGACATCGTCTGGGACGGATCCGAGGCGCGGTCGAGCCGGAAGTGGATGATGGTGAGCGAGAGTGGGAACCGGGGATTTGAAGCCGACACTCCGGATCTGCCTATGACAGACATGCTCATTGAGTTCGACAATAAGCTTCGCTTCTCGCATATCCCCCACCCTTACCCCTTGGTGCCCGAGTCGATCCCACCACCGGTGGGCGCAATCGGTTCGTCGAGCAGCAAGGAAAATCTGACCAGCGGCATGTTTGGCGGAAGGTCGTCAAGCAAGAAGAACAATGGCGCCAACCAGAGTGGCAACCTATATAGTCACGGTAATTCCAGCCGGCCAGGAGCCGTCGAGCGACGCATTCAGCTTGCTTATACGGAAGTGACCAACATATGCATCTTGGGCTCCGAGTTCACGCACTCGGATCTGATAGACGCGTTCAGCAAATTTGAGAAGACGGATCGTATCAGCGAGGTGGATCCATCGACGGCACGCCGGGGCCGCTGGGTGCTGATTTATGGCATTCTCCAGACGCTAGCCAGCGTCTCGGTCGACGCGCCAAACGTGCGCTACAAGGACGAAGTGCCGTACCACCTCTCCCCGCGGCTCAAGGGCGCAAAGATGCCACCGTGGAAGAGTGGACAGTCGTCACATAACCACGGCCACGGACCGATTGGCGGTGCATCGAATACAGAGGAGGCGGCCCACGAACTCTCGCACTGCTGGGTTGTGCCGCTCACGTGGCACGCCAACAACAGCGCAGCTAATAGCGGGACCGAGTCGGCTGAGGATAGCGGCAGTTACAGTCCGGTCCGAGGCTACAGCTTCCCGATACCACGCAGCGCGGCGCCTAGTATCACGGGGCGCAGTTCCGCCACGGCCCAGAGCGGATATCACACGCCTCTGGGCATGACATCTCGCTCCGTGCGCAGCGCTAGTAGCAGAGCGCCTTCGATGGCGGGAGGATACCCTGCAAGCTCGGCCGCGAGCGTTGTGTCGTATACGGAGAGCGACGCGGGGAGTAGCATACGATCGCCGCCGTCGACGACGACATCTCGGAAGGGCCGACCAACACGCAAAGATAGTGGGCTTATGGGACACGGGCTCGGCTTGGGCCCGGGATCGAGGCAAATTGACCGGGTAGAGGAGCACGAGTTTGCGGCGCCGGGCCAGACGTATGCGTATAGCAGTCCTGGTAGCAACCACCAGGCGGGCGCCGTCAGCGGATATGGTGGGTTTCTAGTGCTTGACGAGATGATGGACGATCAAAAGAGTTTCATGACGGCACACAGCGGCTCCGGCAGGGACAGGGTAGCGCTGAGCGCGGTTAGGGGTGGCGGTGGCCGGAGTAGCAGCCGTCATCGAAGGCAGGAGGCGCCCCCATTGCTCGGCTCTAGCAAGAACGGTGGCGATGGCAGGAGCGTCAACGGGGGCAGCGGGGGCAATGGGTCGGAAACAGACAGCAGCGTCGGCCCTGTGATTAAGGACTTTGACGAACTGAACGTTATTGATGGTCACGCGCCGTGAGCGGTCTGGGGGATTTACAACTTGGAAAGGGACATGTGTTGTGGGGTCTTTTTATGTATCAGGAGCTATGGGCAGGACGGAAATGGGATGAATGGGGAGTTTGTTAATAAAAGGAAGTATGAAGTTCGAATTTTTGGTCTTCACCCCCTTCTGTGGTGCACGTGGACACATTATGACTATCTCCCGTGCATGGTGACTTCTTGTTTCTTGATAGAAGCTTCCATGCAGTCTGCCGTGTCTGCCGTTGTTCGCTCGCATGGTCGTGCGCCCACAAAGCTTCCGTGTGTTCGTCTTGGGAAATAAGCCGGAGGGGGCCCACACTAGCGGCCCCAGCCATTTGGCTTTCCGTTGGAAACTATAGGCCGCTCAGCCAGCCCCCACCTTTTTTCTTCACCTCTGCGTGGAACCGGGGATCCACCACTGCCCTGCCAACCATCGTCTGAACTGAGCTCTCGGTCAGCAAGGAGGGAGTACGGGGAGAAGCAAGGTCCCAACCCTCGGATCCGTCGCTATTTCCCGCATCGTGCGCCCTTTCACGCCTTTCGTCCTCGCGCACAGGCGTACTCTCCTCGTGGCAATTATTCCTATTTTGCCATTTTGCCGTTTACCAGCACCAATTCTCGTAACCTTTCTTGTTACGCAAACTTGTTTGGCGAGGGTTCTGTTGCTGTAAAGCAATTCCACGTGTAAACCCCTTACAAACCACCCGCTCGGGCCCATCAGCCACCTGGGTACCCCAAGAGCTCTGCCGACGTCATAAGGGTCTTTCCCAACGCTGCCGTTCCGTTCCTGTCGCGCGACGACCTCGTGCGGCCGATTGGAAATTGGGCAAGCAACCTGACTGGGTAATTTTTGCCGGCACCAAGTCAACTCGCACGTGCACTCGACCTGCGCAGGTTGTTTGCCGGTCAGCGCGGCAAGCAACGGTGCGGTACGGGCAGCAGAGTGCCAAGTCTGAAGCTGTGTGGGAGAGGTGGTGGTGCCTGGTAATCCATAAAGTGGTTGCAGAAAACGACGAAAACCGGGAACCAATCCCCCACTTTCTCTCGGTCCCCTCGTATTTTGCGCATTGCGACTACCGCGCAGCTCCATCCCGTCTTCCCTCTGTCGGGTTCTTCTTCCTTCTGGCTGCCGCCGCCAACCTGCTTGTTTGCGCCTAGCCACCTCTCTATTTGCTCTCTCTAAGAGCAGCAAGCTTTAAACCCCGATCACCGCCATCGCCGCTCTCTCATTCCTGCGCGCGCAACCAAGCTTCGCTTTGCGCAACACCGGAACGAGGTAGAAGAAGCTCTGCGCCAACAGACAGACACACACAAAAACAGACAGACAGCAAGCAAGATGATTTTCGCAATCTTGTTCACGTTCTGGCGCTTCGCCGAGATCGTCACCTTGGTGCGTACAGCCAGCAACTCCAGTTCCCGACTCCAACCGCCCTGGCTAACCCTTTCCTTGCGCAGATACCGCTGATGGGGATGCTGGCCTACTTTGTGCACATCTACGTCGACGCCAACGTACTGACGCCCAACTACATCTTGATCCTGTTCATCGTGTCGGTGCTGGGGCTGGCGTGGGCCGTGTTCACGCTGTTCAGCTACCACCGCAGCAGCAGCAACGCGCGCTTCGTGTCGCTCGTCGACCTGGGCTTCGTCGGCGCCCTGATCGCCGGCGTCTACTACCTGCGCTTCATCGCCAACGCCGACTGCGCCTCGCTCGACCGCGACGGCGGCAGCCACACCCTCTCGGGATCCCTCGGCAGCATCACCATCAACACCTTCGACCTGTCCTTCAACAAGTCGTGCGCCATGCTCAAGGCCTGCTTCGCGTTTGGGATTATGAACACCATCTTCTTCTTCATCACGGCTGTTGTGGCCTTCTTCCACGGCGACCGCGCCGCTACCACGGAGCGCAGGGTTGTCACCGAGCGGCACCACAGCCACCGCCGCCGCAGCCACAGCGGCAGCCACCACAGCAGGAGAAGCTCGCACAGCCACCACCGCACGTACGTGTAGATGGGAAACTTGAGTGGGGGGGTGGGTTTTAATTGTTTTACTTTTATTATTCTCGCAAAGAGGCTATGTTTCCGGGCTCTGGGTTTTGCGACTTCTCGGTGCCATGACTGGGTATCTCTGTCCGTCCGTGTGTCTGTTTATATCTATATATCCCGTTACGGCGGAAGAGGGATGTTGTGTTCTGTACGTGTGTTGTTTTGTATATGGTGGAATATGGGATGGAATCGGATGGGATGGAATGTGGGATATTGGGGGGGAAAAGGCCGGCAATGGCGGTGATGTTACTGGGGTGCCGTGCTTGGTTGGTGGCTTTCTCTTTTTTTTTTTCTCTTCTGTTTCTATCCGTCACGACGTATGATGTCAATGCCAAGTGTCCATGTCGATATTCCTCGAATGCGAGGAATATATAGATAGAGCTAGCTAGTGTTTGGAACGCGGCCGACGATGTAGATGGCGCGCGTACGGGGTAATGTCGTATATATCCTAACGTATATTGCTGAGTTCCCGTGGGTCTATGCACGTCGGTGAACGGCCTTTATCTTTGGCCATAGCCTATAGCCCAGCGTCCAAGTTCCATTCGCCGTTCAATGGGATCCATCCAAGCCACTTAATATCTGTCACTTACATTTGGAACAACAGGCTCAAAAGCTGGGTATGCGCTTAAAATATATATATATACCTCGATATGTACACCCGTCCATCTACCCATCATCCTTTCACCAGCCCAGTCCGGTCCTTCTCAGACCGTACTTGCCGCCACCCCCCCAAAAAAGCCAAAAGAGAAACAAGAATAAACAAGAACAAACAACCAACAATATGCACTAGTCAGAGTCTATAGATACAAGAAAAAAGAGCCCAATGTGTCTCTGGCGGGTGTTCCCCTCCCACTCGATGCCCCTGATGACAGTTTCTAGTTGTTGGCGTTGTTGTTGGCGTTGTTGTTGTTCTTGTTTCCCTTCCTGCCGCTCCTGCCGGTGGCGGCCGCAGCCGTAGTGGTAGCGGCGGCGGCCGACGTGGTGGTGGCAACGGCCGCAGCGCCGCCGGTGAGGTCGACGGCCGGGGTGGTGGTGGGGAAGTCCTTGGTGACGACGTTGTCGCCGAGGATGGCCTTGACGGCGGCGGCGTTCTGCTCGGCCTGGGAGCTGCCGGCGTCCTGGTTGGCCTTCACGGCCTTGGGCAGGTCCTGCAGGTTCACCGCCACCTGCGACAGGACCGCGTCCACTGAGTCCGCCGTCGCAATGTTCTCGGGCGTGTTGACCTTGGGCGTCGTGTCTGTCTGCTGCACCGCGAAGCAGCCGCCAAACGGCCCCGCCACTGCGTTGTTCCGGCACCGCACAGTGCAGATGTCGCCCGTTGACGCTGTGGTCGATTAGCGTCAGCGGAGGATCTGGAGCAAGCGATGCAAGAGGAAACTCACCTCCGGTGCAGCTCAGCTGGTCTGGCATTGTAACGGTAATGTTGAAGTCCTGTGCCTTGGCCTGGGACAGGCCATTGACGCCGGGGACGTTGTTGGTGACGGTAAGGTTCTTGCTGATGAGGCCCGAGTTACTCGTCTCGTCTAGGTCGCAGACATAGGGGCCTGCGCCGTCGGCGTTGACCTGGTGGATGGTGACGGTAATCTTGCTACCGGCCTTCACCTGGGTTACGGCACCCGCGGACAAGGCGTTCTCGGTGTTCTCTCCAATGTCGATGTTGCCCGCCAGCTGGGTGCGGCCGCACTTGTTGACGATGTTGGCGGCAACCTCGGCGTCGCGGATGATGGTTGCGTCGAGCTGGCAGGGGCTGATGGTGGTGCAGTTCCTCGCAATGTTCTCCTGGACTTGGAACCCGACGGATGGCGGCGAGCCGGCCTCTCCCTGGGCGGCGAGAATCACGCCATGAGCCTCAGCAAGGGCGAAGATGGCCGCCAGCGGCAGTGTCGCAGAGAAATGCATGGTGAATGTGGAAAGGAGAAGAAGAAAGGTGCAAATAAAGAAGGAAGGTAGGACAAATACAGCGAAGGGGAGGCACAGCCTAGGAGGAAAGAAAGACAAAGAACGGAAAGGAGGGCGCACAAGAACAGTCGGTGAGATGAAGATGAGTGAGGACAAGCTGGTGTGTGTTTATGGAGGTGCTACGACGGCGGATATATACCTGTACAAGTGTACTCGTCCTCAAGGACCCAAAATAGACTGATTCCCTAAACAGATGATGATGATGATGATGATGATGATGGGCAAGTCAGCCCCTGCCTTTAGCCACCGTGAAACACCCTTTCTTCTCTCTTTGAAGGGCTTGGAATCGTCCGAGAACAAGGTAGTCCAGGGGAAGGGGGATCGCATACCCAGCCGGTGGGCTCATTGGCACGCACTCGAACGAGGTCAGAAAGCCGTATTCCCGACTCATCCATGTTCTCGACTCCAAGTTGTAAACATGGCACCCAAGTAGGCTTGGGCGCAAGGGCAACCAAGTCAACGAGGGGACATTGGTGGCAGGGCGAAACTTTAGTGTGAATGGCTCGAAACGCACCGCGAGGTGGAGACTCCACAGCCACTTGACTGAGCGACGAGTCTGTCCTAATCTGGTGGAAAAGGGGGCGCTTCAAGGCTAGAACCACTACCCCGTGATAACGGGAGCACGCGCGAGACGGAGAGTTATGGAGAGCGTGGGCCCCTGACTAGTGGTGGTGGCTCTGGTGAGACGTCCGGCACTAGCTTCCTCGTGGACAAGCAGACTAGCAGCCCAGCTCTCCCGTCTCGCATCGGTGGATCTCCATGCGCTGCTTCCGCAATGCAGAGTAAAAAATACCGGGGCTGCGGAAAAAAACAAAAAAGCAAAACATGGCGGCGGGAGATCGGATGTGGGATCCACGCTGCGCCGGCGATCCACATCGTTATCTGCCTTCCCCCCCTGATAATAGCGTTCATGCCCGAGGTGCGAATCGGGGCAGGTGCAGCCGAGCCCCAAACATCAACAGCACCATCGAATGATCAAAAAGCGGGCCCGCCTCCTGGCTGTGTGTCCCTTGTGGGGTGCAGCGGGTTTCAACCGCCGTCCTGAGGCGGCCCTTGTGGAGAGACTCCACCTGCCTGTCCAACACACTGAAATATAAATGAATTTATTAGATGTCCTGTCTTTCCAATGAAACTCGCTGGTCGGGTCTGCTTTCAACCCGTGTTCCCCTTCACCCTTCTCTCATTGACACCGACCATCTGCTGTTTGATTGTAGCCGCCGTGCTAATCAGTAACCAAAAATGCACTCAGATTCCACCGGATTTGGTGGCCTTTCCACCGCTTTGAATTGAACCAATGTCGAGAATAAGTGGCGAGACCGACAACAATGGAGCTTTGCCAACCGCCCAATCAAGCCTCCATATCCGATTCAAGTGCCAAGGTAAATCTGGATGATCTCGCCCTTCTCCTTCTCGACCTTGGTGGACGAACCCGAATACGTGCTGCTCAAACAGGACGCGTCTTCGTCAATGGGGCCGCTAGGGTCGAAATAGGTACCGCGCAAGTAGGAGACGGATTGTCTGAGATGTGCTGGCATCGCGGCCGTGGGATGGTGGTAGTTGTAAGCCTCGCTATCCTCGATGTGGTCGATGTGGTCGATGTGGCCTTCAGACTCGGACGGCTGGCCATACGATGGGTAGCTGGGGAGACGCTTTTTCTTGTCCTCCAAATAGGCGGCGACTAGGGGGTTGGAGAGGGTTCGGCGGGACCTCGCCGCGCCGGGAAGGTACCGATACGCGGCCAACTGCTCTTTGGCGCTCTGGGGAGGCGTCATGGAGCCCCTATTGCTCTGCGTCCTTGGGCGAGGGCCCATGGGTGACCCTTCTATGGAACACGAGTAGACACGGGAGACGGTCTGGGATACTCCATACTGTTTCCGTATCCTGTCGAGGCAGTACTCGTTGAGGTCGATCAACTCTAACTCGTGTTTCTTGGGAACACGGTGCTTCTCGCCCCCCGAAATCGACCCGCTGTCGCTGGTAGAATAAATGGATAGTCCTGGCGATATTGGTTCTGTAGGGCTAGTGTGCTCCGGCAAGAGGACTTTGAATTCCGGGGGTTTTGGCTTTGCGAAATGGCAGCCCATTTTTTGTGTATCAGAACGGAGCTGCAAACAGATAAAAGTTGGTAGAAGCGAGTGTGGTGTTGCAGAATTGCCGTTTCGAGGCAGATTGCCGTTCCAGGGCTGGGCTTCTGAAACTAGAACGAGAGACTGGCGGCGACCTCGAGAGAAGCGAAAGAGTCAATGGGCCGAGTGACAGGCGGTTTATATCCTCGAGTAACGTGGAGTACTCCGATGGCGGGTGAACTAGATGGCGACACGGATGTGGCGATTAGGCCATGCCATGCGGACTGTTTGCGAGCCAATTTCAGTCCTATGCCGCCAGGACGTCACGCATGCAAATCCCCCTCGTGAGTGATTATGAAGCGTCTTTCGAGTGCGTACGCGGTGCGCATGTCACCCAGAAATTAGTTAGACGAGGTTTATTGCTTCGACTTGAGCGCCAAACTTCCTCAAGTCTGCAGCTCGCAACTCGCTCACCGTGTTTTTTCCAACAGCATCAACTTGGGCATTAAGGCCCAGCTTTTCCAGCCGTGGGTCCTTATCAGTGGCCGTATTTGTCTCGGCATTAAAAAGCAAGATGATTAAGCCGCCCCAACTCTCCTCATAGTATTTTACTGGCCAGCAGTGGTCTGGAATGGGCCCAAACAACTCTTCGCCAAACATCATTCCTGGAACAGAGGTCTCACCGACAACCTGGTAGCTGGATTGCGGGTGTCCCTTTGCTGGGGGGGCTGACCGTAGCAGAAGCGGCACTGTGCATCCCAAGACGACCCAGATCTCGTCACCTGGCATTGCCGCCGCCGGTGCAAGGCCAATATGACCCGTCTTCGTGGTGACAAGAGAGCGACTGGCGCCAGCGGTCCAATATCTAACGGCCCTGAGAAAGGTGATGTCGACTGATCCTTGAGCGACGTCAATACTTGGCTCTTCATCCTGCAACAGGCGTTTGAGAGTGCGGGTGCATGACTCTCGTGTCAGGTTGGCGGGCATCTTGTCCTCCAAGACGTCTCCACCGGCTGTATCCATGGACATTACGCGAGAGTACGCATGTAGCAACGTGCCGCCCCCGACATACGGTGCGTTGAGGACATCCGGAGGAGCATATCTTTTCAAAGCCGCTATAACATCCGTCGGCTCAGAGGACAATGACATGCCTTCAATGACTTTGGACTTGGCAACGACGCCGGCACGGATGGCACACACCCGAAGTATGCCTTTGCCGACATACTTGGCCTCGTGTGCGAGGACGTTGTTTGTCGCGTTGCCCTCTTTTCGTAGGTAGCCCTTTCTGGGCTTCGACCAGTCCGGGACCCAGGTTGGCGCCTGCCGGGTGGTGTCAAGCTCGCAATGCGGCAGAAAATCCAGAGACCCAAAGGCGCGGGCGTATTTGACAACCACATCCTGGTAGACCTGGGCGGCAGTCTTTGTGTAGTCTGGCTCGATTCCGGCCGCAAGGCGCTCTCTTTTAGGTAGCAGGCTGAGCAAGGCGAATATCTTGTCGCGGGAATCCGTGCATTTGCAGTTTTGCGTCTGATCGAGGAGAATGCTCAACATCTCGAAATTGTCTGCTTCCCCAGGAGGTTTACCACCGCGACGCAGGTTAAATACTAGGTCCAGACGGTAGGTAAACGGCATCGCCTTGTCGCCAAGGAAATGGACCTCCTTGGGCTTGATCTTGAGGCAGAATATCGACTTTGAGAAGTTTGACCAACAGATCGAGTCCTGTCCGCACATGAAAATCGCTGCCTCTGGCTTCGCTAAGGCAATCTCTTGTCGTATCCATAGTCTCTCAAACCAAGGCCGAAAAAGGAGGGAGCAAATGGCGTGGAGTTCCTTGCTTTTGTACGGAAGTGTCTCGTTGATGTCGGCCCAGTGGGTTTCGAGGTCGATCGGCTCTCCAGGTGGTTCGGCCGGGGATAGACGCATCGTCTCCCTTCCCCAGTCCACCTCGATCTTGGAGCCGAGATAATCCAGCAAGGCAAGCGCGTAGGTGCTGTTGTCGGCCCCAGGCCCCAGCCAGACGACGACACGGGCGGCCGACCGGTATATGTCGGCCATCCTCCTGACCTGGTCGCTCTTCTCCCGCTTGTCAGCCTGGTTGATGCACACTGCGTCGGCCCAAATAACGCGGGACTCATTGGGGCGTCGAAGATGTTGGAGAGCGGCGGCCAGGTTCCTCGTCACCGGGAGAATCGCCCAGTCCCGCCTTGAGTCATCGTCGACAACAATGATGCTCTCGCTCAAGTCGGCATCCAGGGTAGCCGTGTCCCCCCAGGTGTACGACAGTGCCTCGTATTCAGGCAGTTGCCCACGCCCATCTGGCTCAAACTGCAGGGTTACTAGCTGGGTGACGAGGGGGTCATGGTGTGTTGCAGCCGGGGACAGCACGAGCAGTCGAAACTCGCGCTTTGAGCCTCGGCTGAGAGACTTGTATTTGTATCGCAAGGGTGAATTTTTGTCTGTTGGCCCACGATTGAGCAGTTTTGTCAATTTGGACAACATGGCGAGAAGCCGTTCCTCGTGAATAGCTCGCTGTCGGGTGAGGTAGGCTACTGGGCACAGCACTGGCGGCAGTTGAGCCTGCCCGGGTTCCCGATCCTTTTAGCGCATGTAAGTACAGAATGTACATGTACAGTACCTAGGTATCCGTACCAGCACCGAGGTATTCGTTGCCCAAGTCGTGCGCGCGAGCTTGGTATTCTATTGCCAACCTACCTACCTAGGTAGAGGGATTGGATGCAGCCACCACAGCTTATTGTAAGTGATCTGGTAGTAATGGCGATGGGCAGTCTAAAGCTGAAGTTCAGAGCCCGGTTGGTCGAGGCTGCAAGGTTGGCCAGAGGAGCAACGGCCACCCATCGCATGCAGAGGCGCCTTCCATTACCTTACCGTCCGAACTAGCCCTGCCCGACTGGGGATAGCGCACAGCCAAACGCACTGCATACCAGGAATAGCGTGATTATCACCGGGAACAACTTCTTGACTGGCGAGCGCTAGACCCAATTAGCACAACAGAGACAACAGCACGTTTCACGCGAAAAGACGTCGACCAACTTTGCACAACCACGCTTTTGGGAGTTCGAAGCTCTTTGGTAACACCATGGTTCGTGAGGATCGCTGGCCGTCGATCCCACCCGGTACAGTTCCGTGCCACCTCAGCGGGGGCTGCAAACACCCGCGGACCTTCAGGTTCGATAGGTGAGGTCATTGCTATCTATGCCTGCAACGAAAACGTGGTAACACATGGTCTCAATCACCAAATACCTACGTACCTACCTTAGGTTCCGTAGGTTCCATTGCTTCCACCAAACAAGGATAGCACGCAAATCTGATGATTGTTTACTACATTGGACTTCCGCAATGCCTGTCCAGACGACCAAGAGAGCGGCCTGAAATGTTCCGACGATCATCGCGTTTAGATTTTCAGATCAGGCCGAGATCTTGGTCGGCCGCAGGCTGTGATTCGGACGAAAACGAAACGGGCAGCGGTGATTTGACAGAAGCGCTGCAAGGCTGGGCCGTTAGGTCCTGGCCCGGGCCCTGACTGCCCTCTCACGGGCCAATGGTGGGGTTGTCTAACAGCTCAAGCATCAGGTCTTGGCGCTAATAAGAAGCGACCCGCGCGCCGACAAGGCGGCCCACCCACAAACCTAGCCCGGCCACGCAAGCTCAACATCAACAAGCCTAGCGGCCAGGAACCACGAAGAAGGCATGGACGCCCGTCTATTGTTCAGAGATCCCAAAGGGCAGCCCGGCCGCCAGATTGGTGACACACCGGGTGACACATGCTGCTGTCTGGACAAGAGGAAATTCGGCCAAATACCGCCGGCAATGACCACCGGCTTCGATGCCTCGTCCACTCTGCGCAACCCCCATTCAAGAGGCCGGCCAAGGAGGTAGTTTTGGTCTGGGTGCGGGCATGGCGTCGCCCCTGAGGTCAGCGTTTACAAGCCCAATCCCGATCCCATCCCGATCCCGCCTCCTACTCTCTCGTCTCCTCACTGGCATAGCCCTCAGGTAGTTCTAGTTTCCGAGACTTTGGCTCCCGGGCAACGGCCGGGTCGACGTGTATAAGACATGACTGCTCCCGTGGATAGGAGGTCTCCATTTTTTTCTTTCCTCGCCAGCAGCAACATCCCAAGGCAGCACTACTCGCCTCCCGTCCTTTACCTTGTTTCTCTAGCTACAGATATCTTATACAGCTCTTTTCCAAGACGTCTCGTCTTCTATTTACACTTTATTTCTTCTCGAAGTCTCGTCTCTCTTAAACATGAAGGGCCTAACTCTCGCCCAGCTGCTTGCCACTGGGCTCGTAGCTGCCACGGCCGCCGCCGGCTTCACGGGGCCTTCTACCCGGAGTCTGACTCTGCGCTATGCTGTAAGAAGCACATGTCTCGTCGAGCAGCACCTGGGCTCTCGACACGGCAGTTGATCTAACTGTGTCTACAGGGTGCCTTGGCTGCCGTCGCTGCGCCGGCTTTTGCCGTCTCTCCCGATGTTACCTTCCCCATGGAGGAGAAGGTAAGTAGTTTCACCCGCAAATAAGAGGCGAGTCGAGAGGGACCAGCTGACCCTTGTCTCGTTACAGCGCGATGGTGACGGACATGGACATGGACACGGCAAAGGTGGCGACGGAGATGATAACGAGGGAAAGGGTAAAGTTGACTTCTCCCAGAGAGACCTTCCTCCCAATAGAAAGGGAACTACCGCAAGGCGCGAGAAGGTATTAACATCCCTCTCCAATACAAGGCGTATGGAGAAAGGTTCCCAGCTGACCTTTTACAGCGCAGAGGTGGTGGCGGCAGCGGCGGACATGGACATGGCGGCGGTAGTGGAGGTGCGACGGCAGGAGCTAAAGGTGGCGATGGAGACGATAATAGGGGCAAGGACAAAGGCGACGGGGAGGGTAAAGGCAAAGAGGAGAAGAGGGCTGACAACAATAAAGTCGTACGCGAGGCTGAGCTTGCGGCCCGTGCCTACGACGCGTACGGCGGGGGCGCACAGGCGGCCCCATCCTCAACTGCGGCTTCATCCCCAGTTGCGGCACCATCCCCTTCCCCTTCCCCTTCCCCGTCCCCCTCCGCTGCGGTACCTTCGCCGCCGGTCCCGAGCCCGAGCGCAGCTGCCGCTGGCTCTTGTAGTAATGGCAAGGCAACGGGCGATGGAAAGGCATCGGGCGATGGAAAGGCAACAGGCAACGGCAAGGCCTCTGCTGGCGGGTACAAGCGAAAGCGTGATGCTGACGACGAGGAGCGTCCGGGGGCTTATTGAGGACGGTGAATGTTTCGAACGGCTCCGGGCTGAGTGGCATCTTTCCACAGTTTTGTGCCCCTGGGCTGTTTATAGAAATGCCGGTTTGTAATGACTGAGATGTTGGCGGCCGGGTGCTTTTTCTTTCTTTAATCTTTGTATTGCTAGTATCACCACCCGGATAGACGGTTTAGTTTGACATTTATGTAGTGAAATGTCTGCGTTTGCAGAGCGTAATGCGAATATGCGGAGCGAACGACCCGGAACTTGACAGATGGTCCATGAAGTACACACAGCAACCCACTCTTCCTTCTCTCTCTCTCTCTCTCTCCCCTAGACTCCATACCCCGGGGAGTTCTCAGGCTAGCATAAAGCTGCCTTGTGTGTTTATCATCTATGCTGAGGAGCGGAGCATCCAGTGTTAGATCGACCACAGTAGAGATATCGTTGCACCGTTACCGTATGCACTAAAAAAACGCAGTTAAAGCTACGTTAAACACCTGCCACCGCGAAGCTTGCTTGTTGGAATAGTCCATCTATCGAGGTGAACATTACCGTGCTATTTCTTCTGAGAACAGAACCATAACCAGCCGACGAGGGCCGCCGTTGGCCGTGACGGTACGGCACCTTGACCCTTGGCTTTTAGGAAGGCGCCGAGACAGGAGGTGTGAAAACTGTGATTCGTGTTGTAGGCCCTACCTTGGTGTTCCAGGCGTTGGGACTTAGTAGCACAAGCTTATTAACACAAGCATTTTGAACACAGCCATGTTTCGTACCCGACCGCTAGTGACAACCTTCGGCCCCCATCTTAGGATACAGAGTTCAAGTCCAAGTAAGCCTTCTGTTCTGTATAGACCGGATCCCTCAGGTGGCGCCAAACATCCTGAACGCGCACCGGGTTAGAAGCTGGATCTTGTCAGTCTGCCACGCCATCGGACCATGGGACAACTCTCAAGCGGCCCATTGAGGAACGCTCCATCCAGAATGGACCTGGCATGTTCAAGTATCCAATTGGCAGCAGGTTTAACAATATCGAGAGAGATTGCCAGGTCCACTCCAAGCACTACCGACCGATGCTCTTGGACTAAATGGACGGATGCACCTTATTGCCTCGGGTGTCAGGTCACAACCAAGGTGAAGAAGGTACAGGGCTCGGTCGTCAGAGAGATTTTAGTAATACCCATAAGGGAAAGTGTTATCCAGCAGGGGAGGGAGATTACGCTGTGCCAAATATGGAAACGAACAAAGCAGACCCGGGAGACAACTGTGTGGACAAGAACTTCGGCGAGCAAGAGAGACCCCTAGCCAAGTTAAATCTGGCAATAGTAAGGAGGGAATTAGCTTAATGTAGAGAATGACAAAAAAAGAAGAAGGCAAAAAGGTGAAAAGTAACGGACGAGGATGAGTTGAGACAGGCTTCAATCAGATGGCCAATATTACTAGGGTTTAGAAATTTGAACGCGAAGACATTCTCAAGTTGACAGCTTGCTAGGGCTAGAGGAAAAAAATATACAGAAAAGTCTGCCAAACCCAGGACAAGAAGGTTCATGGATAGGCAAGAGAAGGGTTCTAATCAACCTCAGGGCACGCTCAAAATGATGTCAAAGAGTTCTCATCGCCAAGAAGTCGGCTCCCACGTCCCTGATGTTCGATTTGTCTCACCACAGAACTCTCCACCCGTTGAGGTGTGAGGCCGGACGCTCGGGCAGCGACCGCAAACCCATGGTCCAGGGTTGCAACGCCCCGCCAACCCACGAGGCAAGGTATTTAGCAAGGCAATGTTTTTTGAATGCTTGTTACTTTATAGAGAGATCTAAGAAGTTGCGGTTGTGGAGGTCAAGCAAAGGCAATAGTCTTTCTAAAAGGGCATGAGAGCTCGCATAAATCAACGCCTTATAAAGGTCATTTTTCTCCTTTCCCTCTTTCCTTTTCTTTTTTTGCTATGAAGTGAGTCTTTGTCTGACATTGGTCACGCGGCTCTCGCTGGTCGACTCGTGTAGTTATACAACCACGAATTGGTTCCCTTGCATTCAACACAACTGGTACAACAGAATTCTTTTGACACTGATGAGTTGGCAACAACGAGCCGGTCCCAAATTTCAATAAACCAAACCGCTGTTGCAAGCAACTATATTAATGAGTTCGGGTCCAGTGTACATTATAGCTGGGGATCTGATAACTGGCGACGCTGAAAGTATCCGTACTTCTCACCAAACTCCACATGTGTCAACTGATGACAAGGTTGCTTCGGACAAGGATGGGGGGGGGTTTCAACTGCCTCTCACCGAGAAAAAAACACGATGAAATAGCGAGTTAAGAAGCAAACAGCACAGACATGGAAAACTCATGCCGCTCAGGAGTCTCAGAGTCACATACGAAAGCAAGATTCGCACATAAACAAGAACCAGCCATGTTGCTAAACGATTGTACTGAGATAGAATACCCTTTTTATCTATCACACCCACGTTATTCAGACTAGCTGTGAGGGACTGATATTGGAAGCTTTTGACCCAAGGAAAGAGAAAGAAAACCCACCTAAAAAGCAAAAGCAAAAGAAAATAAAACGAAAATTCCGCCCCATGTCCCTCAACCCCAAAAACACACCGTATTTCCCGCCTGGTTTTTTTGTATACTGTTTTCCGCAGACAGCCGGGCTGACTTTGAACGGGTAGGATTATTGCATATGTTACAATCTATCATGCACGAGAAACCATCTGCGGGACTGTAGGGCGCAATTCTCCCGGGGCTTCCGCCTTCCCCCCATTGATAGATGATCATAGAACCAAGGACAGAAAAAGAAAGACGTCAAACATCAACTCGGATCTCTTAGCCGCCGGAGCTTGAGCCTTGGCCCGTAATGCCGGTTGTTTGCTGCGCAGCGATGAACGGATACGAGGCAGCAGGGCAGCCTAGTACGCCAGGACCGGTATTGTTAAGACTCTGCAAGACCTGGGTCATGGTGGTTGCACGTTGCTTCTGTGCGTCTGATCCGGGCTCTGTGCTGCCATTGTTGAACTCGTCCAGGGTCATGGTAACTTTGATGCTACAGCTGGGGAAGAAGCCCTGCTTCAGGGCAAGAGCAAGCAGGCCGAGGAATTTTGGGTCTGTTCTCGGAGGCGGGCACCTGCAAGGAATATCAGGTTTGCCAGGTTTGGAAGGGCAGGGGCCATTATTGGTGGGATCATTCGAGAACGGCAAGCCATAATCAGTCGGAATCACGGCCAAGTTGATTACGGAGCCGTCAATGCCGGGTCCACCGTCGCCGGCAGCTTCTCTTTCTGGAGGACAGGCAGGGGCGGCCTGGCGTGGAACCTGAGGAATGGCCGATGCAGAGACGGAGGCCGCGAGGAGGGCCAAGACGAGATCGAGCCGCATTCTGACGATGTTGTAATACGCTGCGAGGTGTTGTGTGAGATGTAAGAAAGAGAGAAAGAAGCGAGAATGGGCCTGGGTGCTAGCAGATTTAAGATGCGGGTGGGAGAGAACCTCCCGAGGTCAGACTGGTAGGTGGATAGATGAGATGGGACGAATAAGACAAATACTAAATTGGGCGAGGAGTGAGATCAAGGGCCTCTAAGTACTCTGGCAGCTCAGTGGGACGGAGTATTGAGGGACGGAGTATTGAGGGACGGAGTATTGAGGGACGGAGTCTTGAGGGACAGGCTGCCGCTGGCAATGGCCAGCAGGGAAGAATGATTGAATGATTAAAGGTCCAGAAAAGGTCGAGAAGGCTGGAGATGAGGTTGATTAAGCAGGCCGTGAAACCCCCTGGTGACCACTGTACGACTCCTGAATCCGTGCACACGGCTTCCCGAAGGGCGAGAAGACCAATAAGGAGAACTGGGGACGGCCGAAGAGAATTTTAGGTCCTGTATGCAAGGCTAGGGTTACCAGGTAATTCGGTCGTGTGATGGTTGAAGAGGGATTTGCCGATGGTCGTCCAAACTCGTTTCAGGGAGGGGGGGGTGATGGGGGCGACTGAACTTTAGCCGGCAATAGGGACGACGGTGACGAGAAGGTGCGGTTCGGTGGATGAAATGGACCGCCTCACCCGTGTGTCGGCCCCTGCAGATACAGTGTCACCCCGCGACGCGCACGACCGCAAATGCGGGCTGTTGACCCGGCCGCGGCCGCATCAGAGGGTGAATGACTTGGTTGGGAGCCTCTCGGACTCGGAGCTGTGGCCGGCGAGGAGCGGCCGGAAGTGGGGTAGCCTTGGCCCCGGGGCACGGGGCCCGCATCGAAATCTGGTCATTCATGCTGAGCCTGACTCGAATGGAGCCACTTGGCTGTGCTCGTCGCCCGGGAGGGGTTAAAAATCCATATCCACTAAGCGCCCGGGGACCTGCATCCCATCTATGGAATGACATCTATGGGATGAAAGAAACTCGAGGATAAAGCTTTGCGACTTTTGGGAAGCATGGGAAGTGCCGCCTACCCGTTTGCCGAGAGGTTGGAAGGGATTGTTTCATGTTTCCGCCGCATTTCGCTTCGGAAGAAAACCCAAAAACCCAAAAACCCAAAAAGGGCAACGCGGGGAAATACCTTGGTACCAAAGTATGGAACTGAGCTTCCAACAGGAAAACCCCCATTGGGATTGCAGAGGAAAGCCACACAAATCCAAGCACAATAGCTGAAAGTGGCAAGTGCGGTTAAGTTCTGTTGGCGGCACTTTTGGGCCTTTCAAACGGCATCACCCGAAGCGGACCAGCTGCGCCTGCCGGGAGCCGGGATGGAGAACGCTCGCCAATCTGCGCCGCTGGGCTGCCCACAATAATTTATCCATTTGCACATGCATCGCACAACCTTAAGGTTACGAGCTATGTTACGTAGGGGAGACGGCCGGCGGCCGGACCCAGCCAGGCCAGCCAGGCCTCCGTCATTCCCGTCGGCAAATTGCCTGGCCAGACAATGATTGACGCATAATAGTCGCTACCAGACAGCAGCAACATCATTGCACGTGGCAGTCCTCACCACTTGAATCATCAATAGCTGAACGCGGCCGAAGACTGGCAGTCAACACTATTCCCTGGCTAATCCGATACTGCTCTTGCTTCAGGCTCCAAGGTTTCAAGGTCTTACGACGAGGCCTCGCCGACCGACCCAAAGGCCTCGCCAAAGTCAGCAATCAATTACGTCACCCAGTTGCAACTTGGTTTCCCTGAATCCCACAAGGCCAGGCTCCCGCCGGGCCAGGCTTGACTGCCACATAATACTATCCCCTCAAAACCCTTTAAGCCTGGGCCGGGAATCCTGGCCTCTGCTCACATTTCTAAACACGGTGGCAGGCTTCTAGACACGGCGTCTCCACACCTACCTACCTTGAGCTCTCGCACTCGTTGATACTGTGGCGTAAGCGGCCCTGGTTTGAGTCAAGTCTTTCACACCTACGTGCTACGTTTGATGTGGCAAGGTCGTATATTCCTTCAGTACACAGTGGGAGAGATGACTGTGCGTCATTCTGTTGTCCTCTCTCCCAAGAGAATGTCCGATTGCTTTGAAAGCACGGAAGATGGCTGGGGAGAAACGCACAAAAGCATGAAGGAAATCAATACAACTGCGGAACCCATGGGCTAGGTATTCCTGGCAGGGAGTTGGTGATTGGGGGCGAGAAACAACGGACTGAGTTGGGCGAGAATGATGGCAGTTTTCATCTCGAGGCGATAGAACATGAAATCAAACATTGTGAGAACGACGTGCCTCTCTCGTCAGCCCAGGCCCGTGTCGTAGCCATCAGCCATGACGCCCCCTCAACATCGCCCCCCGTTTTTCAACCTTGTCTCACCCCATGACATGACCCCCATGCAAGTAGACAAACCGAATCACTTCCACGCCAGCATATCGCAGTGCAGAATGACATACCACGCATCCTCGGCGAGCGCCCGGACGGCGAGCGCCCCCCTCGCCTCGTCGATCTCGGCCTCGGTGACGCCGCCCGCGCGCCACGTCTCGCGGTACGGGTCGCCGGGCGCGAGACGGCCCAGGAACCGCTGTCAAGCACGGCTCTGGTCTCGGCGCCGGCGACGACCGTGGTGCCGGCGCCCGTGAGCAGCCTGCCGCTCGACCTCGACCTGGTGGCCGGCGGACCGAAGCCCGCTCGGCGCAGCAGCGCCGGCATGCTGCCGCCGGCGAACCAGTAGTCGAGGCTGTCTTGGCTGCCATCGTTGCCATTCACGACGGGGAGAGATAGGCAAACAGCTGCGAGGAGAAGACGACGTCGAACTGGGCGTCGGCAAAGGGCAGGCCGGCGAGCACGTCGCCGCGGCGGAAGACGATGTCGCCGCCGACGGCGACGGCGGTGGAGATGGCCCACTCGCGGGCCTGGGCGAGCACGCTGTCGCTTAGGTCGATGCCGGTGACGGAGCTTGCCGGTACGTGCACGGCGAAGCCGGCCGTGATGGTGCCTGGGCCGCAGCCGACGTCGAGGATGTGGTCCCGTGGTCCACAGGTGGGTCAGCAAGAAGGCGGCGTCCGAGTGCATGACTCGCTTGGAGTGGTTTGACACGGTCGAAGCAGACCAGCCCTGCCTGTAGTTGCTGGCGGCATTTACGAATGATCTGTGGTCGGCTATTATGGGATTCGCGAGAGGAGAGTCGTGGTTGGGTATCGTGGGCAACCAGGCGAGGTGCAAGATTCAAAGCCGAAAGCTGAAAGGTTGTGAGTTCGAAAGCGGGATTTGGCGCTGTCGTACTCGCATCTATAAGGAAGACTAATAAAGCTCTGGGTGGCGTCCCTGTGGGCTTGCACAATACATGTCCAGTATGTATATATGTACATGTACAAACAAACCAATGTCTTAGTGCCCTTAACCACCAAGGGCCTATGAAAGAGCGCCCATTAATATTCTCTTATTATCTAGTTGCTATTTCACCCGAACTGCAAGATACATAGATTCGCTTAGCATACGTTGCCATACCGAGCTGAAAAAGGCGACGCCAAATTAAGCAACAGCCATTATTGCCCCGAATTTGCCCCGAAACCAACAAAATACCCCTTTTTACGCTCGCGAGGTCGAAGTAGATACACACAGCTAACGAATCCCGTAACACATTACTTGGCCCACACTCTCGCCGTATTTGACGGCCACAAAACAAAGAGACGCCGTGCACAGACAAGCAAACCCAACAGGCCCAAAGCAAGACACACTCACAATGCCTCAATGGCCCGGACTAGCACATGGACGCCGTGCTCATCAATCTCGTCGCTTGCCCCGCCATCTCTCAGCAGGCTAGCCACGTCGCTCAGCAATCCTAGCGGGATATAGCAGCCTGTCTTGGCCTGCTCTAGGCTCTCTTTGAGACGACTCGTGTGCTCCCACTCCTTGGCCGCCACCTCGGACCGCTCAATGACCTTGGACGGGATCCCGCACATGGCGGCGCAGTGCATACCAAACGAGCCCTCGGCCACGCCATCCTCGAGCTTGTAGAGGAACGTGACGCGCCTGTTTTTGTCGTCGACGTGGATCTGCATGCGCTGCGACCGTATTTCGGGATGGTCCTCGAACTCGGTCGCCAGGCTGTGGTAGTGCGTTGCGAAAAATCCCATGCAGCCAATGTGCGATGCCACATGGTGGAGCACCGCCTGCGCAACAGCCACGCCGTCGTACGACGATGTGCCTCGGCCCAGCTCGTCCAAGATGACGAGTGATCGCGGCGTTGCTTCCGATAGGATCTTCTTGGTCTCGGACAGCTCCACGAAAAAGGTGCTCTGTGCTGCAAATATGTTGTCGTTGGCGCCGAGCCTAGACATGATGCGGTCTACTGGTGTCAGACGCGCCGACACGGCAGGGACGTAGCACCCAATCTGAGCCATAATAACGGCGACGCAAGACTACAGCATGGGTTAATAAGTGGACAACAAAATACGAGATGGGGAATCAATGCTTACCATTCGCAGGATCGTTGACTTGCCAGCGGCGTTCGCACCCGTGAGGAGGTTGATCTTGGCGTCGTCGCCGCCGAGCTTGATGTCGTTGGGAATAAAATCGGCCACAGTATTGAGCATGCAAGGGTGCCGCAGCTCGCTAAAATCGAGTACGCTCCTCTCGTCATCCACAAACTCGGGGCGGCAGCTGGGCGAGCCCAGGACCGACGATGCCTTGGCCAGGCTGATCAGGCAGTCTAGCTGCGAGATGATGCGAATGGCTTGTAGCCAGACCTCGTAGTCGGCGTCGAACTTGACAAACAATCGCGATGCAACCTCCTTCACGATCTGCGAATGCGTTTCCTGGGCCTCTTGAAGTTCCCGCACCAGGTCTTCCAGCTGCTTGAAGTAGTAGCGCTTGACAGCGGCCGTCGCAGACATCTGGCGCCAGCTTGCAGGAACCTTGACCGACTTGGGCGCCTCGATCTGATAAACCTCTTTGCCCACGTCGGTGAACTTGAGCGTTTTGCACTTGAGCACTCCCTTCTGCTTCTCGAGCAGCTCATAGAGAGCCTCCTTGATGCGATCCAGCTCGTCCTGGCTGCTGTCAAAGTCTTCCTCGATGCCACGCTCGGGCATTAGGACCTTGCTCTCCCGAACCTTGCGCCTGTCGAACGCCGTCTCCCAGAATGACAGGGGCTCGGAAAGGTCCGGCATAGCGGCCAGGAGCCTATCGACGAGGCCATTGCCTCCGCCGAACGTGCCGAGAAGGCTCATAGTCTTCCCAATCTGTTCGAACCCCTCAAGGACCCTGATAAAGTCTTCGGCCTTGCAAACACCAGCGTGGATGCGAGAAATCAACCTCTCAAGATCTGGCATCTTTGTCATCTGAGACGTGAATTGTTCCCGGAGACTGCGGTCGGCGTTCAGCATGTCGACCGCGTCCAGCCTCTCGTTGATCTTTCGGATGTTGCACAGCGGGTGGCAGACCCATTGTCGGAAGAGCCTCTTTCCAAAGGGTGTGATGCATCTATTAAGTAGGCTGAACAGAGAACCCTCGGATCCCCCGTTGGCCGTGTTCGAAAAGATCTCCAAGTTGATGAGCGTCTGGCCGTCAAGGATCAGGGTGCCGTTTCGTTGGATGGGGCTGTACCACTCAAAGTTGCCTTGCGAGAGCAGATTGCGCTCCAACTTTAGGACGCGGAGGTATTGCGTCAGCGCTCCAAGGGCAGACATTACAAGGTCCTTGTCCCTGGCCTCGCTGAGCCGCTTTGGCCAAGGCCGCTCTTTGCCTTGGTCGGAAACGAAGTAGCCGCCGCAGTCAAGTTCGCGCCTCGCAAGGTCTGCCTCCCAGAACTCCGTCCCTGGCTTGAGATGGTTCCAGATGGTCGTCGGACTGGTGTTGTTCTTGAGGATGCGCAGAGCTTTGGTTGACAGGCATTTCCTCTCTATGAGCAGCTCCCGAGGCGACGTCTGCGCGACAAACGTCTCAAACTTTGTGAGGTCTACATCGTCGACGAACTCGGAGATGAAGAATTGTCCGGTAGCTGCGTCCACAAACGCAATGCCAAATGCAGGCTTGTCGTCGATGACCGACTCCTTGATTGCCGCGCAGAAAGTGGCCATGTCGTCCTGGAGCATGCTGCCATCCACCAGTGTTCCGCCCGTCAAGATGCAGGCTAGTTCTCGGCGGATAATCTTGTCTACCTTTTTGGCTTTGGCATCGCGCTCTCGCATCTCCTTGCCCAAGGCGGATTCCATTTGGTCCACTCGCGCAACCTTGAAGCCCTTGGCCACAAACTGGTTCACCCACATGTCCAGGGAGCTCTCTGGCACGCCAACCATGCGCATGTTGACGCGGTCCGTGAGCTTGAGGTCAAAGAGCTGGTGACCGATCGTGGCATCGTTTTCGTAGAGTTCGTAAAACTTGCCCTTCTTGAAGAAAACCACCGTGTCCCACAGGTTCTTTTTGATCTCCCAGTACTGCTTCTCGAACGCCGAGAAGTCAGCCATCGCAGCAGGAGGGACATAGATAGAGGACTTGTCGAAATCCGGATGGCCAGGAGGGTTCTTGTTCCCGTCAAGAGGTTTCGCAAGCCAAGGGAATCTTTTATCGGGGGTTTGCGTGTGTGCTTTGGGCTTTGGCTTATTGGCACTTGTGGTTTTGGGAGTAGGGCGGGAGGTGATGGGCCGGGGCTCGCTTGGTTCAATATTGTCTGGGTCGTACTTCCATTTTTGCGCCGTTGATGTTGACGGAACGTCTCCCATTGCCTCATCCTCATCGTCTAGAGTGCCAGAGGAGGGGCCATGAGACGGCGACATATTCGACTTCTTGCGCGGCAGTGTGGGCTTCGAGATTGCGCGCTTTCTCTTCTTGGATCGCGAAGGAGCATCTGATTCGTCCGAGACCACAAAGTCGCCCATGTCCTCTGAAGACAAAATGTGTCAGCAATAGAGCCAGTCTAGATCTTTAACAAGTATACCGTACCATCATCATCCTCAGCGACGGCATTATCTTCGGCCTCGTAGACGTCTTCTTCATCGTCGTCGTCATCAGGGACTGCGGTGCGGGAGCGGCGCTGTCGGGTCCTCGAGGTTCTCAATGTGACAAAAGCGTCACTTCCCTCGTCGTCGGACGACTCGGCATAGCTAACGACTTTCTTGACCTATGTATGTAATGTTAGAAAGAAAGACAACTTGAAGGCTGTAGTGAGGTGGGTTGGCTACCTTGCGGGACGGGCTGCTGGCCATGGACGCCGTTACACTGGCAACCTGCTTCTTCTTCACGGTCTTAGCAGGAGTGACATGGGAAGACAAACTGGGGCTTCCAACCTTGACTGTGGTCGTGTTCGTGTTCGTGTTCTCTTGCGAGCCCGACGGTTCGACGGCATCGCTGCTAGCGGCGGGCGTGACGTTGGATGGGCGCTTGAAGGCGGACATCGAGTTGGATTTGGTCGTCTCCTTCAAGTATTGCGGAGACGTCCCCTTCGCAGTCGAGGCCGAGGGCGCTGCCCTGACTGACGGAGAAGAGTTGGGGCCATTGGAGTTGCTAACGGCAGCTCTGGAGAAGAAGCCAAGGATGCTCTGCTGCTTGCCTGTCGATGGTGCCTGGCCGGGTTTCTTAGCCGTTGACGGCGTCCTCGCGGGCGTGCGAGCAGTGTTCTCCACCATTATTGCCGCTGGAAATGGTATTTGGAAGCCTGGAGATGGACTCAAGAGCAGTTGGGCATGACAGGGCAAGACAATAGGAGTACAAAGGGGTGGTCGAAACTTGTGTTGTAATGTAAAGGGAAGGCCTGTCGGCTCTTTAAGAGGTACGCGAAAGACGCGGAAAGCTCGACCGCAAAATCGCGTTGCAACGCGCTGCAGCCCTGTCGCAAATCTTATCGCAGCGGACATGGGTCGATAAGAGCAAGCCTGATTCGCCTGCCCCACTCGGCCCTGGTCGATCAGGCCCTGACAAGACGGCCAGCAGAATGCAAACAAAGCAGAATGCAAACAAAGCAAAATGCCAGTTCCGTCCCAATTCAACACATTGTTCTAATCATTAATTGCAACTAACGTAAATAACTGACCCGAATTATCTTCAAAGACTAACATGCTCTCGTTTTGCATGCAACCTGGAGTCCCCAAAAGCAAAAACACAGCTGAGGATGAGGGGGAGGAGAGACCTGACTTGAATGCGCTAAACTTTCAGCACGCCCAAAACGCGAGTTGGCCTGGAGGAAAAAGAAAGCATAGGAAGACGCGCGCGCGACGCCACTACCCCCTAGTTGTATCCATCCCCCGTGCCTACTTGCTCGACAGGAACAGACGCCCGGTGGCGAGCCCTGCCCTGAAGAGCTTGTGCTTGATTCCCGTCAAATGCACCATGGAAATGCGGTCATGCGACATCTTGAGTGTTTCGGCGGCGCGAGGCAGGCTGGTCTTGTCGTAGGCCGCAACTCCTGCGTTCAGCGACGCCGCCCGGCAGAGTGCCTCTGCAAGGTCCCATCCGTCCTTGAGCGCCAGGTTGGCGCCGTTGCCCGCAAAGGGGCTCACGGCATGGTTGGCGTCGCCAATGAAGACCAAACCCGCGAGACCGGCGCCGTGGACGATAGGCTCCTTGTCTCGGGCAGGCACCATAAACGCCCTTGCAGCATCTGTGGCCTCAACGATGGTCCGGAAGGGCTCTGCAAATATGTGCCCGAGCGACATCGCTTCTTTTTTGAGCGCAGCTAACTGGTCGGCAGTCAGCCCTCCGGCTCGCGGATAGTAGTCGTTGCGTTCGGGCTCGCGCTGGCTAAGCCCCCAAACCACATTTTCCTTGTCCACGGCTGAGAAGAAGCAGCTGACGCCTCGACCAGAGAGCATCATGCCCCAGTTCTGCTCTAATGGGCTGGGGAGCCCATTGGGAAAGCTGCTCTGGCCTCCCATCTGGACCGCTCCGGCATATTTGGTCTTGTCGTCGGGGCGAAAGCTTCCCCGGATCTTGCTGTGGACGCCGTCTGCAGCGATGAGAAGGTCGCATTCGTGCACCGAGGTGTCGCCCGTTTCGCTGGCGACTGTGACTTTGATTCGGCCGTTCTCGAGCTTCTCTGCAGTAGTACAGGCGAAACCCCAGTGGAAGGTTGCCTCTGCTTGTCCTGCCTTCTCCTCCAGAATCCGCCGCAGATCCTTGCGCGCAATACGCATCGTGCCCGTCGGAAGGGTTCCAAAGGGCTTCAGCTGAAGGGAAATAAGCTCGCTCCACTTGCTGTCCCACATTTTGAACCTTCCAGAGTTGAGGGGGAAGATGGTATGCTCGAGAATGTCGTCCAACACCCCGAGCTGCTGCAATGCGACTAGTCCTCCATGTTCGTTTTCGCCGTTGAGAGACAGCGAATAGCCCTCCCTCTCGGGTTCTCTCAGGCTACGGTCAAAGACTGCGATCTCGGGAAAGCTCAACGTTGGGTCCCAGAGCTTGTACAAGGCGGCGACAAAGGTAGATCCGGCGATGCCAGCGCCCGCGACAATGATCTTCTTGCCCTCGAGAAAGTGGGTTTGGGGAGCCATCTGATGCCAACTCAACTCGGGAATTTCACCATTGTTTGGTCATGGGAATTTTTGCGCGTGGATTACGGGATCGGCAGCACATAATATGTACACGAGAGCCTCTCCCAAACGCGCCGAGCTGCAGTCAGACAAGCCACAGGATCGGGCCGCGTAACCCTCAAGCCATTCCAGTCATTTTGCCCGTTTCCAGAAAGTTCTGGCCAAAAGGGAGGGCCGCGGCTCGATTCTATTGGAAATTAGTCCGAATGCCTTCAATAGATTTTTCGTGGAATTTTCGTGCTATTTTCGTTGCCGACTAGGCACCCCGTGCTTACACAAGCTAGCCACAAAATCTTCGTTTGTCGTGCTGCGCGCGAGGTTATTTACTTACACTTGTACGGAATTGGAGGACAAAAGCGTGGTGTTTATTGACCGTCAATGCGATACAATCCAGGCACCAAGAAACCCTGCAGGTGCACCGGGCCATGACGTGGGGACTCGTTCCATAATTGGCGGCAATTATAGGGCAAATCAAGACCGAGGCATCAGCCGGCCTGGTCCCGCCGTCGCATAGGCGGACAGCCAAACAGCTTGGTAGCAGCCCTGTCCCAATGACGATGATGATCAACAGCATCCATGGATCCGTCACAGCTTCCTTGGTCATCCCAACCACCGAGTGGATCTTTTCACCGCGCACTACGTATAGCGACATGGGCTGGACTCAGGTACTGGGAACTTGGGACTTGAGTGACGGGCACTAATAATACCCGACGAAGAAATGCTTCTTCGCATCGCGTGGAATGAAATGTCTTGATCGGTTCCGCGATTGTCTCTCGTTTAGAACGCCGCTGTGCTGATCATGATGGTTCAAGGCATTCCGCTTCTCGCGGCTCTGCTGCCTTCGCTCTCGACAGCCACTCTGTACTCAACATACAAGTTCAACCCGCTGGAACATCTCGGCGGCGTCGCTCCCTATTTCGAGTCCCAGGATCCACCAACCTCGCCAACACCTCCGAAAGGATGCACGCCGGTCCGCGCTGCGTATCTTTCCCGCCATGCCGCCATCTATGCCAACGATTTCGATGACGAGGAGTACATGGAACCCTTCATTTCGAAATGGGAGAACCATACGGGAATCGACTGGTCCAAGATTCCGTCGCTCAGCTTCTTGTCTGACTGGAGCGCTCCCTTCTCAGAAGCCGAGCAGGAGCTGCTCACACGTCTGGGGAAGCTCGAGGCCACGGAGCTGGGAATCAGCCTTTCGTTCCGCTATCCCGGCTTTCGTTTGCCGCAGCGTGTCTGGACCTCTTCGGCCGAGCGCACCGCCAAGTCGGCGCAGGCCTTGGTTCGCGGCTTTGAGCTGCAGGACGACACCATTAATGTCGTGACCATTTACGAGTCTGAGGAAGCTGGCGCGGACTCTCTGACGCCATACAAGAGCTGTCCGGCCTACTCCTCCTCGGCGGGCAGCGACCAGGCCTCGGTGCATCTCAAAACCTTTACGAAGCCCATCATTGCAAGACTTAATAAGCTTGCGCCGACCTTCAACTTTACCGCCGAAGATGTGTATGGCATGATGGCGATGTGTGGCTACGAATCAGTAATCCGCGGCAGCTCTCCGTTCTGCAGCCTTGATTTATTTACCCCTAACGACTGGCTAGGCTGGGAATATACTGCCGACATCATGTACCACTACAATACAGGTTACGGCAGCAACGCGGCCGGTACGGTTGGGCTTCCCTGGCTCAGAGCCACTGCGAGCTTGCTGATGGACGCTGCCCCTGCTCAAGATTTGTACGTCAGCTTCACTCATCGCGAACTGCCGCCGACGGTGATTGTGGCCATGGGACTCTTCAACAATTCGGAATTTGGCGGTGGCGACGTCAACGAGACCATGCCGCTCGACCGCATCAACCACCGTCGCGCCTGGAAGAGCTCGCACATCCTGCCGTTCTTGGGCAACATCGCCATTGAGCGGCTCAACTGCACGGGGAGCCCCGGGTTTGCGGACGGCGAGTACTACCGGGCGCTCGTCAACAACGCGCCCCAGCCGCTTCCGGACTGCGGCGGCGGCCCGGGCACGAGCTGCTCGCGGCAAGGCTTTGAGACGTACCTCGAGGACCGTACGGCAATGTTCGAGGGGTTTTCGGAAAAGTGCGGAGTAGAATACAAGAACTCGACCGACTCGCTGACCATCTATACGGATCCTAAGTTTGGGAACGGAACGATGGTGGGCAAGAGATCTGACCCTTCTTCTCTATGGTGAATATGATCCGTGCCCACGAGCCTTCCGTGCCCACGAGCCTTCTGTGACCACGAGCCTTCTGTGACCACGAGGGTTGGCTGGGTTCGCATATCGGGAGGTTAGATAGATGGATGGCTATCTCGGGGCGAACGAGCCGCAACGCCGGGATAAGTAAATGATCGGACGGGCCAGGGACCAGCAATTGATAGGCACAATTGCCCGAAAGAGGCGGGCAGGCGGGAGAATGCAGTGGGATAGTTGGGAACCGGCAATCCATAGGCTCGCGCACGAGCCGCGGATAAAATAGAGGACAGCTCCAGCTGCCCCCTCCCCCGGTACCTAAGAATTGGAAGGCGGAAGGACGAGGTTGATGGGCTCAAAGCCTGAAAGGCGGCGCGTGCTATCGTGATGCAACCGTTTTATTTCTCTCTCTTTCTCTCCATCTCAATAAAACCTGAGAGGTGGGTGTGGTTGGTGCCCTAGCCCCTTCCCCTTGGGCGTTAGACAACCCGAGGCGGTTCCCGACATTCTGACATTTTACCTTATTTTAATTTTTAATTTTGAAACATAGGTACCCGAGGCGAGCTAAGGTGTGCAGCTAATACATTTATTTGAACTTTGGGCCGTCTAACCTGACTACCACGTACCCTGAACCGGAATCCGAGCCAACTACCTACGGATATCCCGAATGAGCTGTTGACGGGGGAACATCTTCGCGCCCCTGCTAGTAGTGCGGAAAAGGGGTTCCGGGACACCTAATTCGCTGTCGCCTGGTAGCCACCTGGCGTAGCTTTCGGGGTTGTCAAGCTGCCAGCTGGCTTCCCAAACAGCCACCTGCGACGGCGGTCCTTCGGGCCCATCGTGATTGCGGCTTGGGGGGCTTTTTGGGGGCAGGTTGGCAGCCCTGCAGATTACCCCGGGCGCCCCCAACTCCCCGCAACCACCACCGCCACCACCACCACCACCTTGACGAAAAAAAGAAAAAGAGCGGGAACGTGGAACGGGAACTACCCACGCACGCCGGCAAACTGCCCGGAAGGTTGGAATCTCGACTGTTGCGGGCTACCTTGGGTTGCGCAGGTTGGCAACAACCAGCCTGACCTGACCTGACCTGACCTAGAAGAGCCACGTCGGACACCCGACCTGCGTCCGTCCAGTGCCCGAGTGTGCTGCCCTCAGCTGACCAACAGACAATTTGGAGTTATCTGAATTCCCCCGAGCGGGCAACAAGCAACCGGAACTTTGACACCACCCGACGCACGCACGCACGCACGCAAGCACGCGCGCGACACACTGGACGGTTCAACTCTAACCCACTTCTTACTCGGGTCTACCTTTCGCCTAGTGCTGCAGAAGGGTACCTACCTTACCTACCCTGAGATCCCGGCCGCTTTGCGTGTGCAACTTGACCCAGGCCCGGCGGTTCGTTCAGGGAAGGCTTGTGGCGGTTTATGAGACTGAGCGGGTACCTGGGCCTGTGTGTGGGACTGTGAGCGAGCGAGTGCGAGTGCAGGTGCGAGTGCAAGTGCGCACCTGTGACGTACAGCGCTGGCTGCGTGTTAGGTTGCACCTGTTTGTCTGTTGTTTGCTTGGTCTGTCTGGGCCTGTCTGTCTAGGCCTGCCTGGCCGGTGTAGGCGGGTGGTGGTGTTGTGCGTGTGCGCGTCTGCATTGCGTGTGCTTGTGCGAGTGCTGCGTTCGTGTGGTGGCTTTCTCGAATGGACCCGCCAGACATTGGCGGCGTGGTGGTGGCGGCTGCGGCGGCGTCGGAGGGCGCGCGCGAGTCGAAGCACTATCACAATCACAACCACAGCAATGGCAACGAGCAGAGCATCTCCAATAGCCGGAGGGCCGCCGCCTGCCTCGTCTGCCGCCGCTCCAAGATCAAGTGCGAAAAGGGCCGCGCCCAGAACGACGACCGCTGCCAACGCTGTCTCCAGCTCGGAGTCCAGTGCGTGCGCCCCGACTTCCACGTTGGCCGCCGCAAGGGTGTCAAGAAGCAAGTTCAGTTTGCTTGCTCGAGTCCCAAACCCCAACTCCCAACAAGTCCACATGCCGGTCCATCTTGCTAACTGACAACCCCTGCTACAGTAAGCGCACTGGCCTGGAAAAGGCCCTGCACCAGGTCGAGCAGGCCGTTCGCCGCTCAGCTTCTGCTGCCCAGGGCATCGAGCCCGCCAAGATAGTGTCGGAGCTCAAGGCTCTCCTCGGACCCCCTTCCCATGGATCCGCTCCGGAACCCGGCGCTAGCCAGTCTGCTAGGGCCGGACCCCCCAGGCAGTCCTCGCGCCGCCACAGCAGCGACATCCTGCTGCCCGATGCATCCTCGGATGCCGGCGATAGCTCGGGCTCCGAACAGGACGGCATGAGCATCCCCCAGGACTCTACTCCGTCTCAGAGCCATGTGGCCGAGGAGAGCCTCGCTGTCGACGATGCCGAGAACCCGCTCCAGCTGCTGGCTCGCGCGTCCGATCTCCATGTGTCGCCCAAGTCTGGGACCGACCATGTCGCTGCAGACGCCGCCGCTCACCACCGGCTGCGCCAGAGTAAACAGAGCGAGAAGATTTCCGAAGTCGAAAAGTTCTTCAAGCTCAGCCAGTTCACCCTCGACGCTGGACCCGATATGGATCCCGTCAACCTGGGACTGATCACCGCGGAGGAGGCCGAGACCCTTTTCAACTTGTGAGCGACCTCGTATTTCGTAGTTTGGGCTTATATTCGGCGAGCTGGGGAATTGCTAACAATGTGAACCCTCCAAAGTTTCCACCACAACCTCGCTCACACTCGCTGGGGCCTGGATCCCGAACTCTACACGGCTTCTTTCACGCGCTCGCGGTCCGCCTTCCTCTTCACTTCGATTGCCGCTTCTGCAGCCCTGTTTGTGCCATCGGCGTCCGCTCTGTCTCGGAGGCTGTCCAACCACTGTAAGGCACTGGTAAACCGTATCATGATTGACCGCTACCGCTCCGTCGAGATTGTCCTTGCCTTTATGGTCAACGTTCCGTGGATGTTTCCGGGCAAGCATAGCACCGACGACGAGACCTGCTGGTATGTCTCTATGGCGACGACCATGGCCCTGGACTTGTCACTACACAAGATACTCGTGCCATTGGCCTCGCTCAAAGACGGCCACCACGGCAGCATCGCCCGTGCCGACTGCGTTGATCCTAAAGTCGCCCTAGCGCTGGACGGCTTTGGAGACGTGGACCCCAACTCAGAGCTTGGCCTACGGCTCTTGCGCCGCAGAGAGCGGTGCTGGATATCCCTTTTCGTGCTTGAAAGAGGGTATGTGAACTGCGATCCCTTTTGAAGCATGGTTAGGATATCAAGGTGGCTTACATGTTCCCCTAGGATGTGTCTGGCGCGAGGGCGGAGCTATACGGTTCCTCTCACCCCTATCCTCAGGGGCTGCGACCAATGGCATCTTTCAAGCATCGCGGACACAATGGATGGACATCTTGTCTCCATGGCCGTTCTCCGCAGAGATTTAGTAAGCTTATCGATTTCGGTATTTCGGCCTACGCTGACTCTGCGTTGTAGGATGCCCTGTTCACGTCCATTCGAGCCGTCTGTGACGGATCCCGCGAGACACTGGCAGATGGAGCACTGATTGCGCAGTCGTAAGTTCAGCGGCCTGAAGTAGTTTTGGGGGTTTCCCGTTTATCTGACCGTGCTCTCAGAATCCAAATCACTGTCGATAAGTTCTTTGACGAGTGGCACGCCAAATGGGGCATTTCCATCGGCATAGGACCTCGTAAGTCAGCACACCTCCGTATCAGCCGCGGAAGAATCGTTGGAATTGACTCGAGTCACAGAGCATCGACTGCCCCCTTACGTACAGATCCTCGTAACACACACGAGGCTGTCTATTTATAGCAGCGTTATTAACCACCCAACAGCCCCGACAGAAGTGCGGCACTTCTTCCACGCGGCCGGGCTGTCGTCGGCACTGAACGTGATGCGGGCAGCTATTCACGGCGAGGGACAGCTCTCGAGCATGCCTAATAACACAGCCATCATGATATCTTTTGCTGCGTGCTTTGCACTTCGGCTCAGCGGCCAGTTCGCGGGCAACTCGAACTTGGCACCCAGCGTCAGGACACTGATCGAAGAGACGGCGGAGGTCCTGGAGCGAATTGGCTCGGCAACCAAGCACAGGAACGGGATGTCGGCATTGTATGGCAAATACCTCAAATACATTGTGAAGAAGGCGGCAACCTCGTCGACTGCCGAGGCGCCCCGGCCCCGGTCCAAGACAGAGACGCTGTCGCCGCGTCACGCAGCACCCTTCTCGCGGAACCCCCAAACAAGCTTTGGCGTGGCGACCGATCCGCCCATGTCCAACGCGACCGTCTCGGCCGGGTTTTTGGAACCCCCAATCTGGTCCGAGCCTATTCAGTTCTCCTCCATGTCCGACGACCAGATCGTCGAGGCGCTGAGTAGGGTCGGCAACGAGTTTGATCCTGGCCTGAGCATGTATCCATGGGACGATGCGGCCGCGCTAGACTGGCTCAATTGGTCTAATCTGCCCGACTTTGGGTCCTGAGAAGCAGCTAGCCGGGTTGCCTCAACTGATTGTTTACGCTGTCGCCCGGGCCGGGGGCGACGAAGCCGAAAGACCCATTACAACCTCTTGCAGTTTCTCCATGAAGACGAATGTCAAAACAGTATGTGGTCTTTGTCGGAAAGGGGAGCTAGTTAGCTTCCGGTTGGGTCCGGAGGGATGGGGCCGGGAGACTTACGTTAGTCGGAGCCAAGCCGGTGTCCAACCCTTCATAAGAAACAATGGACCTTCGCTCCTCATTCCTTCGCGGATTACTTGGATTACCTGAGATGAAAGAAGGTTTTAATCCAGTCAGACGCCCAGATCACGAGTCGAGACGGGTAAGGGCTTGGATGTGCCTACACTGGACCCCTTTGCAGCGCTTTGGATCCTACTCTTTAGCACGTCGGCTGGCGCACACGCTGTCGTCGCCACAGTCCCGGCGAAAAGGGATGCCAGTGCGTGCGTTCGGATGTCGTCCTGCAGGGCGGTGCGTGAGAGGAGAGCTCGTTTCGCTGCGGCGTATCTGTGCGGAACATTAGATATCAGTAGGCCTCAGATGAGAGGTGAGTTGGCTTAAGGTGTTTTGGCTTAAGGTGTTTTTGGCTTACGGTGCTATTTGCGAGACGTCTTCTGGTGGTGAGTTTTTGCTTTCTTCGTGCGTCTCCTAGACCGGAGGAAGGGGGCGGGAGGAACTCACTCATGAGGACACTTCTAACGACATTCGCAGACAGTCCCCGGCCAAACACTTTCAGACCTTCGTCTTTCCATATGCGATACAGCCCTGTCGCAGCATCGGGATAACCGAACCGCTCGGCCGCTGGCTTGGCGGCGTCGGCGCACATACGTACAAGCACGACCTATTTTGTGGAGGTTAAGAGATGAGTGTGGGTTCCTCCAGAGTCGAGAGAAGGCAAAGAGTGGACTGAAAGAAGACGCAGGCTGCAGGGAGGTGTGTTCAACTCTCACCTCAGTAGGGTTGCCCACCATGCCAGCAAGCCCCCCGGCGACACCGGCGCAGACGATGGTGCTTCCTAGGGTGGTGGACGACTTGGAGCCGCGGCTCTGCTGCAGCTGCCGCGACAGGAAATTGTACAGGCCGAAGCGCGCCGTCGAGTATGTTGACTGCCGGAGTATCGAGGCTGAGAGACCAGACCACAGCGAGGTGAAACCTAATGGCACATTTTTTTTTTGCGATCAGCTTCGAATAGAGGCAGGATCAGGGATATAAAGTAGATTTCTAATTTTTTCCGTCTCCCCTTTACTCTTTTCCTTTCTCTCCTTTTCTCTAGACATAACAACTACGATAGACAGAAGAAGGCAGGCCCAAGCAGCTGGGGGGAAATCTTACCATCGCGCACAGCGAATTTATACAGCGTCGAAAGCATGGTCGTTCGAGTCTGCAGCACCTGCATCCGGCTGCCGCACAGGAGTTTGCGTGTAAACAAGCGTTGGTGTATCGAAGGGGGCGGGGTGGGGGCGGGGGCGCTGGGAAACGTACGTACTATTTTGTTTGGTCCAGAGGATGGGCTGTTGGAAACGGCGGACGTGGATGTGTGGTCAGTCGAGCTTTCTTCCAGGCTCTACACGAAACGGGCTACCGAGAATGGAACAAAAGACACCGTTTTTGAACTTACTGAAACACACGGCCATGGAGGCTGCCGCTCCGCTGGGAGAGAGAGAGAGAGAGGTGTCAGGTTCCAGATCTATCTGCGTGGCTTTGCGTGCTGCTCCTGCTCCTCATCACTCACCCGACCCAGAATGGCTGCTTCTTCTTCTGCGCTGCCATAGTTAGATCGCGCAGTTCCTCGTATGCTGGGCAGTCTGGGGGAGGAGGGGCGAATCAACCGCCTCGAGGGCAGATCAGGCAGGCAGCAAGGTGGGAAGCTGGGTAGGTAGAGAAGTCCGTTGGTAAGGCGGTGGTAAACACGCGCGTCTCGGTCTAAGCGGCGCGCGCCCGTCGTCTTCTTGGCTTTAGGGGCAACGAGATGACGTCTGGGCGCTTTCGGGGACCGGATGCATGGAGGGGAAGCCGCTGTGCTGTATGTATGTATATCGTTGCGCTGCATGTAACATGTACGGATACTATACGTGGACACGATGGGTGGTAGACAGGCGGGTTTACCCGGGCGAGCACTACTAATACACACGGCCAGCTCAGGTTCGGGCGAAATCATGTCTCCGAAATGCAAGCATGCAAGAGAGTCGGCTTCTAGAAGGAGGAGGGCCCGGAACACACACAGCTCCGCGCTCGCACGTGGGACAATATGGATGCCCAGGTGAATGCTCGCATCCCGAACGTTGCAGCCAAAGTAAACACATACAGGCATACATACGCCTTTCTTGTGATTACTTGCTCTCTATCCAAATCAGTACTGTAGAGACGAGCAGACAGCCAGAGACGCTCTCCCTCGAAGTGATCTGATGCCAAAATCTGGGCGCCGGGCATCCTCCGATAAAGTCGGACCCTAGAACTGAAGGCCAGATACCGCTGCTCACAAGGCCGAGGCAGGGCGGCTTCCTACGGATTTGGGGCGGAAGTGATTATGGGTGGGTATCCTGCGGGAAGCTCCGCTGGGGCGCTGAATCAGAAACAAGCTGCCCTGCAGAAGAGGCGTCCCCTGAGATGGCCGCGTGTTTTCCATCCATGATGGTGGTGCCCGTGGGGCGGCAGCTGCCTTTGGGGAGGCAGATGCGGGCCTGTGTTGGAGTTGCGGCGGGGGTTTTTGGGTGTGGTGGGGTGGCTGGCCCAACCCCAAAATTCCATCGAGGTTCCCACTTCTCGGAGGGCATTTTTGGGGGCCGAAGCAGGGGCTCGCTAGGTTGTTCGGCTCTCCCGTTCCAGGGCACCTGTCCAGGGGTCGCTCGGGTTCTTTGCGTGGCGGGGAACGAACGAAGCATGTGCTTTCGGCGACGGATTGGATGATTTCTAGGATATTGATGTGGTGATATTATTCGCGAAACAAAACAAAGACGAGCAAAACAAACGGCGCATTGAATTAGGCCTCTCTCTGTATATAATTAGTCAATTGCGTTTTTGTTCCGGACTCTGTTTGAGCGGCTCCTGGGCTACTTGCTCACTGCCCCTGTTCTTCTTTTTGGATACGACACTCGCTGGGAGCTCTCTCGAGTCAGAGACAGGCAGCTAGCGGCAGACGACATGTCGAGGCTTTCGCCCGCGCTCAAGGGGCTAATCAATGCGCCGTTTGCGCGTCCCGGCCAGGCGCCCGCGCCGCCCCGGATCAGAGACATCTACCAGAGCATCGCCCACGAGGCGAGGACACGGCTCTATGGCGAGCGGTCGTGGCTGACTCTGTCGGTATGTTGTCCGTCGTGCGAGATCCCACCTCGAGGCCTGGAGCACCACTGACGTGGGCTTCTTTTCGTGACTGCAAAGGCCGCTGCCACGTTTACCCTTAACTCGCCCGCGTCTCTCGGGATACTGCACCAGGCGGCTTCGGCTTCGGCGTCCGGGGGCAGCAGCGGCGGGCCGACGACACCTTTGGCCGTGGCGGAGCTGATCCGCGAGATCGGGCTCAAGTGCATCAGCTTCAACGGCATCCCACGCACCATCAACTGCCTGGGCGCCTTCCGGGCCGACCTGGCCTCGCAACCGTGGGCCGGGCAGCTCGAGACGCGGCCCTCGCGCACCACGACCCCTGACAACATTGCCGCCGTCCACCGCCGGGGCCGCGACCTGTGGCATAGCGTCTACACGCCCCTCGACGAAAAGCTCGAGGCCAGGCTGGCCGAGTCGCATCCGGACCTGCCCGTGCACATCCTCGGAAGCCACTACGGCCCGCTGCTCTCGGATCCGCCCCAGGAGGCGAAGGGCGGGCTAGCTGCCGTCGGGCGCAATCTGACGAGCGTCGTTGCTATCGCCTGCCTGCGTGCCCAGACGGGTGTCGGCCCCCAGGTGCTATCCCACGTCTTTGGTCTGCGCAAGGCCATCGAGCAGGGCGTTCACCGGGACGAGTTCGAGGCGGCCGAGGCTGACGCCATTGAGAGGCTGGCCAGCGACGAGGGCTGCCAATGGATCTTGACCAGCGTGGATCGCATCTCCGAGGCCATCGGGGCGAGCTTTGGCCAGCCGCTGAAGAGCGATAACGCCCAGGCGAGAGAGTCCAAGCTATGACGTTCTACTGGGGTTCATGACGGATAACTGGAGACATGTTCTTGGAGATAGAGTTGCGGCCCACCATATTTGGTTTCTGCACGAATACCTAATTTAGATCTCCCATCGCACTGTATAATGCACGCGTATCCTATGTACATGCAGGCAGAGTAGGTAGCCAGGAAGAAGGTTGATACTTTCCAAGACACTGTCCACTGCCCGCAAATTCGTAGCCTGTTCCAACTAACACACGGTATATGCAACCACCAGCCATCCTACGACACCGCCGTCTCACTCCATAGTCTGCAAGTCTTCCGCTACCGAAAATGTCGCGTCCGTCTTGCTCTTCACCTCGTCGACGCTGACTCCGGGCGCAATCTCGGTAAGGGTGAGTGTCCCGCGCTTGCGATCGACCTGGAAGACGCACTGCAGAAGAACAAGCTGTCGTCAGCTATCTAGATGCCTCTGAACGCGGTTCAGGGAGGGTATCTCTTACCAGGTCCGTGATGATGGTGCTGACGACGCGGGCACCCGTCAGGGGCAGGGCGCAGCTCTGCACGACCTTGGCGGAGCCGTCCTTTGCGACGTGCTCGGTGGCGACGACGATCTTGGTGCTCTCGGGGTTCGACACCAGGTCCATGGCGCCGCCCATGCCCTTGAACACCTTGCCGGGGATCATGAAGTTGGCCAGGTCGCCCGCCGCGCTGACCTGCAGCGCGCCCAGGATGGACACGTCGACGTGCCCGCCGCGGATCATGCTGAACGACTCGGAGCTGTCGAACGTCGCCGCGCCCGCGACCAGCGTAACGCTCTCCTTGCCCGCATTGACAATGTCGCTGCGCAAGTAATTAGCACCTCCGGAAACACAGAGCGATTGGAAGGGCAGGGTTGTGTTCTTTTTTTTTTCCTTTTCTTTTTCCCTTTTTTCCCTTTTTTTTCCCTTTTCCTTTTCTTTCTTCTTTTCCGTGTTATGGCGGGGAGGGAAAGACTCACGGGTCAACATCTTCGGGGAGCGGGTAGTCCCCCATTCCCAGGATGCCATTCTCGGACTGGATCCAGACCTGCTCGCCAGGAGGCAGGAACGACGGCGCCAGAGTGGGGATGCCTAATGGGCCGTGTCAGTGCCGCCGTTTCGGTTCTTGTCCCTTTATTGTGGCAAGAACCCGCAGAAGAAACTGTGGTACTCACCGACTCCCAAATTGACATAGAAGCCATGCTTTAGCTCTTTAGCTGCCCGCTTCGCGATCCGGTTCCTCCGAACTAGCGCATCCGACGGCTTAGCCGCTGCCTTTGCACTACCGCCTTCGGACCGCGTCTTGAGGATCTCGACCTGCGACTTTTCGGTTGCCGGCACAATGCGGTCAATGTAGATGCCGGGCAGGTTGACATCGTTGGGGTCGATCTCGCCCACTTCGACAATGTTCTCGGCCTCTACAATAGCTAGCTTCGCCGCCTTGGCCATCAGCGGCCCAAACGACTTGGTCGTGTACCGAAACACGCAGTTGCCCGCCGTGTCAACCTTCCACGCCCGCAAAATGGCCACGTCGCCCGGCAGCGCCGTTTCCATCAAGTAGGGCTTGCCGTTGAATATCCTCGTCTCCCGCGGCTTGCCGTACTCAACCACATTGCCGTCGGCGTCAAAGCGTACGGGGATCGCGCCCTCTTGCACGAGTGTATCTGACCAACAAGGTTAGCGAGGAGTCCGACAGTTTTCGATGACCGACTTGCAAGGACGACAAGAAAATGGTGCTCACGACCGCCGGTCGGGGTGAAAAACGCCGGAATTCCGCTACCCGCCGCCCGTATCCTTTCCGCCAGTGTTCCCTGAGGGCAGAGCTCTACGGCGATTTCGCCCGTCAGGTACTGGCGCTCCAGCTTCTTGTTTGCGCCCAAGTATGACATGATCATGCGATCGACCTGGCCGCTCTCGGTCAGAAATGCCAGCCCGCCGCGGCCTTCGGCTCCAGCATTGTTGGACACGGCAGTGAGAGAATGTAGCGATTCGGGGCCTCTCCGACGCAGGGCAGCAATGAGCGTCGCTGTCCCATTTGACCAAGTTCGTGTCAACAGCTGTCTTGCGGCCAACGGCCAGATTGGAACATGCAAAGGCCAGAAAACTCACATGCGACGCCGCATAACCCAAACCCGGCACTTAGGATCACCGAGCCGCTTTTAATGTCGGCGACGGCATCGTCGGCGGTCTCGAAGAGTTTGGAACCCGCTCGGTCAACCTCAGGAACAGGGGCAGACCTCCAGTTCCTTGTCTGGGAGAGATTCCGACTTCCAATTGCGATCGGCTTCGTTAACTGCGGCAATCTGAACCCTCTACGCCCATGAGTCGATGGCCAACATGCGCGGGAAGTTGTTGGCAAGACGAGCACTGCTGCGGTCTGCCTCATCGTACGCGAGACACTAGCCATGATTGCTTTTCCGCTCTGGCTTCAGCCAATGCTCCTGAACACTTATTTGTCAAGTTTCTGGGATATCGCGATACAAAAACAATCGCTGCAATTGCTTCTTTAGAGAGCTTCGCGAACAACGAACGAAACGCGCCGCCACCCCGGCTGTTGTTCTGAGTCCGGGGGGGTTCGGCGCCAAGAATACGTCACGAAGTGGGGCCGAGGCAGGCGGTTCTCAGATCTTCTGTCCGAAGTCTCTCCTTGTCAACTTCTCAGGGCATCACGGGGGTTCAGGCTGACGGCCCCAGCCTGCCCTACTTGTAAGAACTGGACCGAATCGGGGCTCCCATTCCCGGTAGCGTCCTTTGTTGCTCAAGCTTATTTGCGTCCGCCTTTGCATAACTACCCGAAATATGCCACCCTCCCCGTCACCCTTTCCCCGGATTCCCTGCCGAACGAGGCGGATTTCGGCGGACAAAGTCCCCCCCCACAGTGGGGATCCCGCGGAGCTAGACAAAATAGGAAGGTCGAAAAGCCACAAAACATCAAAGCTTCATACCCACTTGCGGTTAACTTTCAAGAATCTGACAAGAAAGCTCCAGGTGGCCGGCGCTGTGGTTCGCGGCTTGATCGGGAATTTATTTGGCCCTATTGATGAGACGGCGTATTCGCCTACTACGCTAGGGCGCAAGGGGCGGGCGTTTGACAAAACACCAAGCTTACCTGCTCACTCAGCACCGTCTAGAGCTTGTTGTGTGTGGGCGCTGAAAAGATGGGGAACCCTGAAGGTACGACCATGTGACGTTGTAGTTGTCTTAATGCACTCATCTTAATCCGTATATACGGATCCGTACGACGGCCCATCTGGTACCCAAGACAGTTGCTTTGCATGTACATGCGGTGCGGCCAGACCCTTTATCTGAAGACTCGTCCCCTCCCTGCACGTCCGGAGCTGGGGCTGGACGTTTCCCTTCAAAGTTCTTTTTTTCTACCTCGACGTTTTTGGCATCATCTGCGTGTGGCGACATAATCAGCTCGAAATGGAAGTAAATCGGGACCCCGCAGCCGAAAAGGCCGAAGAGGCCGGCGGCAACGGCATCATCGCCGATAGCGACAAAATTGAAGAGGCGGGCAATGTTGACGAAACCCATATTACGCGACGAATCCTGCTGAAGATGGATACGAGGTACGATGAAGATGTGTTATGTTTGAGGGTATTTACTTGCACGCCTGCTAACGGCCACCTTATGCAAACTGCCAATTAATCAGGATTTTGCCCGTTGTCTCACTCCTGTTCCTCTGTTCATTCCTTGACCGCACCAATGTCGGCAATGCGAAGATCATTGGCCTTGAAGCAGACCTCCAAATCACAAACCTGCAGTACAACCAGGGCCTGGCCGTGTTTTATGCGACTTATATCGCGAGGTGCGTGTGCAACATTTTCCACTTCTTGACTTACACTGCAAGGACTGCATGTATTAGAATTATAAACTTGAGAGTCCGAAAATATCGGAACGATTGTTGTGTAACTTCACTAGTGAAGTCACAAACATGCTACATTATCATCAAAGTGCCTACACTTGTCTCAACCCTCAAGTTTCTGAGTCAACAATCTCTCAAATCCCGTCCGAGCTAACCCTCCGCTTCGTTTGCCAGCGAACTCCCGAGCAATCTCGTCCTCAAGAAGGTCACGCCCAAGATCTGGCTACCCGCTCTCACTATCGTTTGGGGCATCATCACTATGAGCCTAGGGTTCGTGCGCAACTTTGGCAGTTTCTTCGCCGTCCGCGCCCTCCTCGGCATCGCCGAGGGCGGCCTCCTGCCCGGCATCGTCCTCTACCTGTCGGGCTTGTACACCCGCCAGGAGATGGCATTGCGGATTGGCATCTTCTATACGGCTGCCTCGCTCTCGGGTGCTTTTGGAGGTGCGTTGCTTGTATAGATTCGCTTTATTTTCTCGTGAGGTTTACTCGGTCGTGCTTTCATGGGTCTCTCAATCAAGGCTTGAAAGATGGGGCTATTCCTAACTCTTTGGGTGGTGCTAACGATATGTTGCAGGTCTCTTAGCTCGTGGGCTGTCAGCCATTGGCCCGCGTGGCGGACTCGAGGGTTGGAGGTGGATCTTTATCATAGAAGGGCTGATTGTGAGTTTTTCATTCTTCTGGCTTTTCGCCTCATCAAATGGTGTCAGAGCGAACCGGAGATATTAGATGCTAACTGCTTTGTTTCTGAGAAAGACCGTCGCTGCGGGCCTCATAGCCTACCTTCTTCTCCCTACAAACATTGTGACGGCGTCTTTCTTGGCCGACGAGGAAAAGACATTCGCCTCCCTCCGGTTGCAAGGACGCACACTGTCAAGTCCCCCGATTAGGTTCAAGTATGATATCGGTTCTGCTTCCATCTGTGACGGGCGAGACTAATAAATCCCTCTGCTAGTCCCGTGCTCGAACGCGAAGAACGATTCAAGTGGTCTGAAGTCTACCGCGGTGTCTTCAACATCCAAGTTTGGTTCACAGCAACCGCGTACTTCGCTATTCTGTCCGGCCTCTACAGCTTTGGACTTTTTGTAAGTTTATCTGTATTTGACAGTCTCATGGGTGTAGAGTCTGACATTCAAACCAGCTGCCCACAATTATCAACGACCTCCACATCACGTCTAACCCAAACCAGAGCCAGCTCTGGTCTGTCATCCCGTATGCAGTTGCTACACCCGTCACCGGTATGACCCATCTTTTCCCACAGCGATCAATGTCGGTGCTGAGACGAAAGCAGTGTTTATCGCCTTCCTGTCGGATCGCCTCAAGCTCCGTGGAGTCATGATGCTTTTCACGCTGCCAATAGCCATTATCGGTTATGCTGTCATCGCCAACGTCACCTCGGCCAACACTCGCTTCGCCATGACCAATCTCATGGCTATCGGCATGTACGGCAGCGTGCCGTGCGTGCTCGTTTGGAATTCGAATAACTCAGCCGGTCATTACAAACGAGCCACCACGTCGGCGCTACAGCTGGCAATTGCCAATTGCGGCGGGTTTGTTGCTAGTCAGTCCTTCCTGACCCCTATTTTATTACATGAAACAGACACTAACGCCTAGCTCGTGATATCTCAGCTTTTGTGTACCCAACCAGCGATGGGCCGCTGTATCACAAAGGCCACACCATCATCCTCGGGCTGCTGGTGTATGGCTGGTTTGCGTAAGTTTAGCGTGGCTTAACAGTTGTCGTATCATAGATCATATGTGAGCTAACGTGGAAGATAGCATCCTGGCGAATGTGCTGTGGTGCATGAAGATTAATCGGGACAAGAAAAACGGGAAGTACGCCGTATTTGAAGGCAGCGGGGACGACAGAGACCCGTCGTTCAAGATGATTCTGTGAGCTTTCGAGGCTGTTCTGGAATTGAATAATTTGATATTGGGTAAACGAAGGCACCTTGCTTTTATGGATTAGTCAATGTCCGAACACTTGCGTTTCATTCGACCAATTCGTTGGTGAATTTTCATACTTACTTGCCGATACCATGATTACCGACTTCGACTTGTTAATCTGTATCGTATTTTCTGCCTACCTATCTACCAACCTAGCCGGCTCAGGCATCAACCAAAAATGAATTCAAAACCAGAATATGTTTTCCATATGAACACTGACTCTTTGAAAATCTCCCTAAGAATCTTCCGCTTGAAACTGGAAGCTTATCGACCCATTACCGCCATCACCCAAAGTGTCACGCAAAGTGTCACGCAAACGCAAACAAACCGTCCGACTGACTGAATCACTCACTTGCTGCTGCCGCCTTTCTTTGGCAACCGAGTGTAGTTAGTGATGACGTCAAAGTACGAGGGAGACTCTCTACTTTCACTAGAACTGCTGCTCCCAGCCCCGTGACTGATCGGGGGCAGCGGCTTGGCGATTTTGGCGAGCGAATCACTGCCGTACGCAGACGTCTTTTTTTAAATAAAAAAAAATCCACTATAAGCACCCAGCAAGCACCTTCAGTGGGCTGATAGTTGTCCGTTTGTTGTCGGCTGTGTTGAATATTCTGAAGCTGCTTGGTTTCTTTGTGGGCTTAGTGGTCCTACGAAGGATACAGGAATGAGCTTTCTATACGATTGAAGTGACCTGGGAAATTTCTGTCTAATTACAGCAACTATCCTCCTAAAATATAACCTCCATGACTGCCTGTCAGTTTTTTTTTTTTTTTTTTTTTTTTTTTAGCCTAAACAGCAACTATTCTCGGCGAGTCTTCAATCTCAAACAACTTGTGGTTGTACACAAGGTAATTGCTACTTTCGCGTCATGAACTTTTACTGTTAAAATCGCTAGTATTAAGCGGTAGTTAGAGGTTAATCAAAGTCAGTAGGGCAGTTCTGCTCTCCTTCTATTGTTGGTCGAGTGTAATTGTGGAATAGGTCTATTAAGATCAAGTGTGGAAGATGCTTGGTGTCACATACAACACTGCATTGGTTGAAGGCCAAGAGTGCTTGTATTCGGAAGAAGTAAAAGAAGGAAGAAAGGGCGGGTGCCCTGCTATATAGGGAAAAAGGGGTCTTTGTTCGTTGAGCGGTCGGAAATGGTCAGCTGGATCACGTGACGCGGCCTCTTCCGACACTTGGCAGGCCCAGAGGGTCGTATTGCTGCCTGGAGAGCTTGAATTATTAATTTCGAATCGCCCCACTAAAACCCACGAGTTCTTCGATACACGAGCCGAGCCTTGGGATCGGATCCTGCCTAATTTTCAACGGCGGGTAGGTTTCCAAAAAAAACAATAGCTGTTTGAGAATCGTCGATTAAACCATTCGTCACGTCGCCCTGCTGTGTCGGCCTGTCAACTTTCTCTCTCCGACCGGCCTCTTTTCCTTTGACCTATTATTCTGACTTTGTCTTGAAACCGCAGAAGCAGAGGCAAAGACGTCCGCATGGCCGTCGATGGTCTGTCTCGGCGGGTGCGCTGCCTATTCTTCGCCCTTCTGTTTGCCGTACTGTTTGGGCCAAATCCAGTGCGGTCAGCCCGATCCGTCAACTCGACCGAGATAGACCTCATCTCTCCAGTGGCCGGAGGCCGCTACCGCGTCAACCCGGACACGGGCTTAGCAGTAGTGCTCGCGGTGCAGAACAGGCAGGCCGCAGACTATCACAACTGGACCTTATTCTGGAGCATCACTTCCGCCAATCGCACTTATACTTGGTGGGGATCGCATGCTTGGGGGACCTTTAGCGACTTCGGCACGCCGCAGGGCCTCGATACGTCCTTCACAGTCCAGGATGGGGACCCTGTCATTGGTGTATCGCGCCCGTGGCTTCCATCGGTCATGCCACTGGGAGAATTCGTGTTCGAGTGGAGTTTTTCCATCGGGCCGTGGTGTAACATCACTGACAAGCGGCGGACCTACTTCGCCGGCCTCGGTATCAGCACCGGGACGTTCAACATCACAGTGGCCGACGATGCGCCGTGGCCCGCCTTCAACCCCACGAGTTGCGCCTCGCCTCTCGGGCAGGTCAGCTTCTCTAAAACCTCTGCGTATACCGCTGGTTTTCCCTCTCCTGCGACACTTTCTTGCGTCATTACCCAGTCCGTTACCGATACGCTAGATCCATGCCGTGCCACGGTTGGCCCAGCGCAGGCCGAGAGCATCTCGAGCATCATGTCTTGGTCGAGCTTCCCTAGAGAAACGCCGACACCGTCGTCAGTCAACCCAACCTTTTCAGCGCCTTTCAGGGTGTCATCAGGCAGCCCAACCTCGACCGCCAGCACAACTCCGGTATTGCTAAATGGAGCCCCTACCTCGACAAACTCGGCAGGCCGTTTGCGGGTTAACATCTTTAGTTTTGTGGCATTATTTGGTCTGACCTGGATTCTTAGATGAAGGACTAATTACGACGATAAGATGAGAGATAATGAATAGATGAGAGTCTAAGCAGTGTCATAGTCGCTCTTGAATTTGATCAATCGTTTACTACTTTCTAAATTAGACCCCCGGTGATCAGCCGAAAACGGAGAAGAAAAGGATCGATGCACGAAAAGAGAGCTCTGTCTGAAAAGGATTGGAACCAATACAGCCAATAGCAATCCAGCGGCAACGGCCGAGTCCCGAATATGGAGGCGGCTGCGGGGTGGCGGTTGTTCTGCATGGCCGCCCGTTGAGGAGATGGTTTGGTCCGATCCTACTGCCATCGGTCGCGTTGGATGACGCTGTTACGTGAGAGAAACTGTCCTGACAGGCTCACATGCGTCGAAGTGGGCCAGCTACCGTATGCGGGCGGGCGAGAACTCCGCAAAAGGAGTGGAGTCGCCCTCGAGATCCATGTGCAGTTGCCGGTCTCAAAAAATCTTTTGGTTCTTGGGGGCAGGAGGCTGGAACAAAAACGTGAGATTTGCTTCTCTCGAGTTATTTTTGGGCTGCTCTTGTCCTCCGCCGTTCCCCTTCTCGCTAGGTATCGCTCCACTGCCCACAACGGACGGGAGGAGCGAACGGGAACATCCGTCAAGACACCCACCTCTCCTACGCGACCGTGACTGCTTCTTCTCTCTTGTAAATGACCCTTAATCAATCCAACGCCGCAGAGGACAGCTGCCTAAAAAACCAAGGAGTTCCCGAGAGCGAGTCCCCGGCGCCGTATCCGAGACCTCAGCCCAGCAACAGGTCTGCCGAGTTTGAGAAGTCGGACTCGCTCGCCTACAGCCGCGACAACAACCACAACAGCAACATAAGCAATGCCGACAAAAACACCATTGCGGACCTCGACCATCTCAACCCGGGCCAGACCGCAGTTGACAGTTCAAACTCGGAATATGGTGCGAATTCGCCCGGCGGCCTCGAGAGGTGCCTCTCGACGGCGACAATCCTAGACTTCCCCGAGGGCGGTGTGCAGGGCTGGCTCGTCGTTTTTGGCTCCTTCTGTGCTATGATCTCGGTTTTTGGACTCATAAACTCGTCAGCAGTCTTCGAGTCCTATTTTTCGACGCATCAGCTGGTCGACAACACGGCGTCCGAGATTGGGTGGATCTTCAGCCTCTATCTTTTCATGGTCTTCTTCGTGGGAATCCAGGTCGGCCCCGTGTTCGACCGCCACGGCGCCCGCGCTCTGATCGCCGCCGGCAGCTTGATCATTGTCGTCAGCTTGCTCCTGCTGAGCTGGTGTGAAAGTGCGTAATCGTGCTGTTGAGGCAGTCCGCAGACCGCCGACTCTCCTTCCTAGCTCCTCTCTCGTATGCTGACTGAGCATGTTTGATAGCATACTACCAGATCATCCTGACGTACTCCGTGCTCGGAGGGCTGGGCGGCGCTCTGCTCAACGGTCCTGCGTACGGGGCGATCGCACACTTTTTCAATGCGCGCCGCGGCCTGGCCACCGGAATAGCCACCACATCCGGCGGCATCGGCGGCATCGTGTTCCCAATCCTCCTGCAGTATCTGCTACCGAATCTCGGCTTCGCTTGGAGCTGCCGCGTCCTCGCTCTTATTATGCTTGTTTTGGCTATCCCGGCTAACGTCTTCATCAAGACGCGCTTGCCCCCTGCCAGAGGGCCGGACGGAGCCCCCAAGGTCGGCTCTGTCCGGCCTGATTTCAGTGTTTTCAAAGACGTGCGCTTCGCCTTCTCGTCGCTGGGAATCTTTTTCATGGAGTGGGGTCTCTTTGTGCCGCTGACTTTCATCGTCTCGTACGCTGCGGCTCACGGCCAGGATGCGACCGAGAGTTATGTGCTCTTGTCGTATCTCAACGCCGGGTCCGTCGCGGGGCGCGTCCTGCCGGGATTCCTGGCTGACTGCTTCGGCCGCTTCAACGTGATAATCGTCACCATAGCGCTGTGTGTCGTCACCGTGCTGGCTATGTGGCTGACAGCGGGCGACTCGGAGGGTGTCTTGACGGCCTACGCCGTGCTATTTGGCTTCGCCAGCGGGAGCAACCTCGGACTCGTGCCCGTCTGCTTGGGCCAGCTCTGCGACTCTCGCCAGTACGGCCGCTTCCTAACAGCCGCCATGATGGTCGCGAGCTTTGGGACCCTTAGCAGCGTTCCCATTGGAGGCGCCTTGCTGGAGGTCGGATCGGCCGAGACAGGCTGGAGGGCGTTGATCATCTTCTCAGGAATCGCATACGGGATTGCTTTGGCCTGCTACACGACCGCCCGTGTCGTTGCTGTTGGCTGGGATCCACGCACAGTGTTCTGATGGGGTCGCGGAATATGAAGCAATTTGGTTGCCAGCTTTATTTAGTTTCTTCGCAGAATATGAGCATATTCGCAGCATATGGGCATATAGTTAGTAATTAACAGAACTATTGCCGGAGTGGAAAAATGGTGGATATGGCACAAAATAAGACAAGCTACTCGTTGTTTGTTAAAATTTTTCTTCTTTTTGAAGTTTAAACGGTCTGAACTGTGGTTTGCGGCTACCTTATTATCGTCTTTTGGCCCCTTACTGATTGTTTGAGGTGAAAGAGATATAGAAATATACTCAAGAGCCTCATTATTTCGCGCTATGTGCAGTTAAAGGCAAAATACTCTTTCGAGACATCTCTGCATAGAGAATTGGTTGCTCGCGACTCTTGAATTTTTCCATAGGTACGGATGCCTTAGGTTTCCTTCCGGGTTGTTAGACTTCGGTGACGTAACCGTCCCTTTCCAGCCCTGAAGCTTGGGCCCAATTTCCAGTGGGGACGGGATCTTGCCCCGCCAGGTTGATACATTGCCGCAGCACCCAACGGCTGGGATCGCGGGGCAAAACAACCCCGCCTTATCCTGCCCAAAATTTTCTGTTTTCGTGACGACAGCAGCTAGCACTAGACGACAGCCATGGCCAACGAGCTTTCCGCACCGCCTATTCTTTCGACACCAGCGATATATCTTGTCGAGCACATCGATCCAGCGGTCTTGGCTGCCGAAAACGAAGCCCAAGCACAAAAACGGTCCGATGACGAGCTGCACAGCATCTACGAGATCGCCCAGACAGCCCGAGAGGTCCAACATGGCCGGTGGAAGAGGATTGCCCTGCAATTCCCCGACTCTATGTTGGGGGATGCACCTTGGGTCGTCCAAGCCTTGACCTCGGAACTCGAGTCTCTGTCCGAGCCGGCCAGCTCGGTCGGGACCGAGGGGGCATCTGGCGCAGACGGCGAGACCCAAGTGCCGACACAACCGGCGAGAATATATATCCTGGCAGACACGTCGTACAGCTCATGTTGTGTCGACGAGATCGCGGCCGAGCACATAAATGCCGACGTCGTCGTTCACTACGGCCGGTCCTGCCTCTCGCCCACTTCCCGCCTTCCCGTAATTTACGTTTTTACCCAACACGCTCTCGACACCGATGCCGCACTGGCCGAATTTGAGAGGGAGTTCCCAGACAAGGATTCCAAGGTCGTCCTGGTGGCCGACGTGACATACCAAGACCATGCGCAAGGATTGGCTGGGGGGCTACACGGTCGCGGGTACGGAGCCTTGCTCTCCACTGCAATAGTCCATGATCCCATGGGGCAGATCCCGAACAGGAAGATCACAGATTGGCAGGGAATTGAGTTGGCCGAACCCCTTTCTTCGGAGCTTGATCTGAAGGAGTACTCGGTCTTCCACATATCCTCGCCGCCTACCGCGCTCCTCCTAGCCCTCTCTTCGAGGGTCAAGTCTCTTTACATCCTCCCAACATCCGCGGCTGCTTCGTCGGCAGGTACCACAAACACACAGCGCCTTCTCAGCAGAAGATACGGACGCCTCATGTCGCTAGCCACAGCTGGTGTTATCGGGATTCTGGTCAACACACTCTCGATCTCGAACTACCTAGCCTCCATCGATAACATCCGCAAACAAATTGCTGCAGCGGGGAAGAAGAGCTACACACTAGTGGTGGGCAAGCTCAACCCGGCCAAGTTGGCAAACTTTGCCGAAATAGACGGTTGGGTCGTGATAGGTTGCTGGGAGAGCTCGCTGGTGGAAGACGATGCCGGGTTCTACAGGCCCGTCATCACACCGTTTGAGCTTGACGTGGCATTAGCCAACGACGAAACAAGAGTGTGGACAGGCGAGTGGTGGGGTGGGATCGAGGCCGTCAAGCCGGCGCCGGATCAAGAAAGTGAAGGACCCAAACCCCATGGGGGCGGAATCGAAGCGCAGGAGGACGGCGGTGCCGACAAAGAAGCTGAAGAGCGTGAAGATGGCGGGATTGACGACGAGGAATCCGAACCACCCCAGTTCGATCTGAGGACAGGAAAGCTGATCAGCCACAGCAGGCCCATGCGGGCAAGAACTGCAGGAACAGAGGCAGCCAGGGGTGGAGATTCCGGCGAAGCACCCAGGACAACAGATGCGTCTTTCGCGAGTGCCCTCGCCCTGCGGCCCAAGGCCGAACTGGCCATGGTAAACGGTGTCGTCAGTCCTGGGGCCGAGTTTCTGAGGTCGCAGCGTACCTGGCAGGGCTTGGGCAGCGACTTCTCCGCCGAGGACAGCGCGGTAATAGAGGAGGGGAGAAGCGGTGTTGCGAGGGGTTACACAGTCGGAGAAGATGAGAGGAGAGCATAGACAAAGCCATGTGATCAGAAAGGTTTACTTGGATTACCCCTTGCTTCAGTGCAGCCCCGGTACGCCACCAACCACGGGGCAGGAGCTTGTTTCTATTTTGCCTGGCATCAAGGTAAGTAAACAACGGTTTCCTGTTGTTTCAGCATACCAATACCCGCAAGCACATTAGTCCTTCGTCTGGGCGTCTCGGTCAGGGCTCCTACAATCTCCATCTTCCGACCTCTAATACCGAGTGGCAGTAGCAATTGCCGAAGTGCCTCTACCTACCTATTTGGCTACACGAAAGGACATACACACTTACTCCTCCTCTGGGACACTAATTGAGCCAAGTTGAGTGTATGACAAAAGTGAACAAGTCTTGAATTGCCGTAAAGAGCTTTTCTGGCCCCCAAGGCATCTTATACAGCTCTCCGCTAGATAAAAGGGACGAATGACAATCTACGCAGGCTAGGACCCAGTAGATATGGGTGTAACCGAGAACCGAGCTACAGGTAATATGGCGAAAGCCTCGCCAATTAGCTTCGTGATATATCTCAATAATCTACCAGTAATCAGTCCAGGCTATATAGGGACCGTGTTAATTAATGTTCTGAAACATTGAGCTGGGTATCCAGCCCCCAACCTCGAAACACAATTAACAACTACGAAGCTGGAAGAGGCAATTAATCTACCCAGTCCCTTCCCACCGTTTTACTGTCAGGGTGCCAGCCGGGAATTGATAGCTACCGTACTCTCTTTGGCGGGGTTCACTCTGTTAGTGGGTTTTTCATATAACTGTCGACCGATGATAGGCTTGTCTAATGTTTTGTGCATTCTAGGGATTGTTGTCAACTCCACCAATTGTCATGGTAGGACTGGTCGTCTTCATCACCCCTCTTCAATGGGGCGACGCGCTCTGGAAAGCATCACAAAGGGGCAAGTCGGGCGGAACTACAAGCCGGTGCCTCTAAGATGGCCGTTCTTAGCATTGCTGTTTGTTTACATTTGGCTCCTCTTCGGTATTCTCGAGTACGCCCGTCATGTCTTGCCCGAGCTGGGCGTCCGCGCGCCGATTCCCGGAAGAGATACCCCCATCGCCGCCATCCCCGTGGCGGCGACATCTCTACCAATCTCTAATTTACCTGATGTGCAGAGAATCTGCTTGAACTACTGCGAAATGGCAGTCTTGACCCCCCACCCGCCTCCCGAGTCCTATGCCTTCACTAATTACGTTACTGGCCGTTGGGGGTTCAACATTGAGGTTCAATATACCCACCCATGCGCCTGACATGGCGAAGCAGATGATAGACCGCATATCAGACCCATACGGCGAGGGACGATGTAGCATAGGCATTCTGAAGATGGCGCCGTCGACCAATCCCGAGGACTGTCTCGCCGTATTCTAGATCGAACCTCTACCGCGGTGGGTGAACTATGCCGACCGTAACGCAATGCTTGTCGTCGTCAGTCTCCTTGACAGCGAATACCGCGACATGACCAGGCTGTATATGGAGCAGTCTAACACCAAGACAGTTCTTGAACCCCTCATGTTCTATTCGCCTGACTGCTGGGCCGAAGAGGCAAAGCAGCGAACGATTTTCCAGGACTTGCCGCAAAGCAACGTGAAAATCATCAAAACTACCGAAAAGGGGACCGAAACCCTCAAACCCGTCTCCGAGACAGACACGCGGAAAGAATGAGTAGTTCCGTCTGAGCAATGTCACACTAGAGTGATGCACACATATGAGCAGATGATTTCATTCAGTGCTCAGCAGCTCGGCCTCGAAATGTACATCTACATGCTCATAGATCCCCACCCGCCCTAGCTCAGTAATCGAAGCGGCTATGTATTCATCGACACCATCGTGGACGGCGACAAGGGTGTACCGCCTGCTTTGTCGCGCTATCACGACCGAGGCCAGCTCCAGTACATCCTCGACGCTAAGTGCCTCGGTCATCTCTCGCCCGACAACGCCTCCCGTTGCCACATCCACACCGGCAGTTTCGGTATCCCTCGATCCTCAACGAAGTGGTAGTATTCCCGCGGGAAGTGCAAGCGAATCTTCTGCGAGCGTCTCTGTGAAAAGCACGCCCTCGACTCCTCCAACGACTCTGGACCACTCTGGCAAAGGTCTAGTCGCGTCGATATCCTCAACAAAGTCGGAAGAGTTGGCCACCTCCACTAAGACTCTGACGTCTTCTCTTACCCAATCCCAGGTCTTGACTACGTCACAAACAACTACGAAACGTCCCCTTCCAACAAATACTGCCCCAACCGACCGCAGCACAATCTTTTCACCAGTTGTTCTTGCAGGGGCCTCATCCAGCAGCACGAGCCAAGCCAACTTGGTCACAATTCCCTTCTGTGGCAACTTAACTGCCAGTCAAAACTTCACTTAAAGCACCGAGCCGGGTGCTAATATCATTCCGGGTGCCGTAAAAAGCCTCACCCAAAGCAATGAACAGGCATCTCAAACACTTGGAACTGGCGGAGCCGTGAACACAACACCACCCCTGCTACACCCCACCAGATTGAACCAGTCAGCCAGCACAACAGGCTACTTTGGCCCCGGCGCCATCCCCTCGGCTGTCGAGCCTAATACGGGCAGGCTAATAAGCCAGATCCTCCTAGTCCACCCGACCACAAACTTCGGCTGTTTCATCGGCTTGTTTGGCCCTATCATCCTGAGCACAATCCTATCTATTCTGGTACAAGTGCTCGACTCTAACCTGAAGAGAATACTGCCGTTTATTCTCCTCGCCCGACTTGGAGGCTTGGGACTAAAGACCGAGTAGACATAGCAAACGCTAATAACACTGATAGTAAAAATTAACAACCAAGGCTCTGCCCGTGGCATCACAGCCGTGTCAGTGCACTTTGTCTTCCATATTGTGTTCTTTGTCCTTCTTTGGGGTCTTTTCGGCCTCATTCTCTACTACGAGGTTGTCGAAGTGCGGCAAACCGACCCGGGCTCGTTTGAGGCGTTCATAGATAGCCAAAGCCTTGGGGCGACCCCAAAACCACCACGCGCGTGCCGCAACCTCAGCCTCTGCGCCCATGCGGGATGCTCTCATGAAGTCAAAGTTTGCTTTTGGCGTTATTTCAACATGGATGACTGCCAGTGGGGTCCTCCTTTGTGAAGCATCAAAACTGTCCGTGCAAACAAGACACTAGGAGCACAATCCAACAAGCCTCAGACAGTTCGGTTGTTAGACTCTTTAAAATCTGCTCCATCATACCTCCAAAGTTTGCGACAATTGCAAACTTGTTCGATCACATTGCTTATGTCGTGTGCTGTGGATGCGTGAGAGAGGGGAATGAGAGGCGGGTGTCGTGTTCAAAAGGGGGCAACGACAAACAGACAAGAACCATTGAGATTCACGCATTCGCGGGCTTCGAGACTTCCAAGGTGCGACGTTGAAACATGCATGCATTTGCATGCGGAGAGCGCATGACACCGTCGAATGTCAATACAGCATCGCAGCGGTTGAGTGGAGATGGCCCCTTTTCGGCTCCACATGGCGCAACGCGTATGTATGTTGGTGCAAGCAAGCCCCTGACTCGGGTCCTTAGATTAGATGTTGGCAATATCGGGAGCTCAAAATAGACCAGCCGATGAACGCATCAAACCAGAAGATACTACTTTGCAAGCCTCTTTGACAAAGAAAGGTCGTGCGATCTAGGTTTTCCCGCCTCGGATTCAAGGCCATACTGTTTAGATGCAATTTCGGAGAACTCAAACCCCTCTAGTCCCAGCCAGGAACATGATCATGAAACCTCTCTGCCTCCTCCCGCCGCTCTCGCCCTGACTCTAGCTAAGGAGAAGAAAAAAATTAATTATGAAAACCCAGATAGCCCCTCAATAACTCAGTCTCATTTCTTCACCTCCACACAATCCAGAAATCCGCCAACATGCCCATCTCCAAGAAAGCTAGAGTATGACCACACTTGCGCACATTCAAATGTGAATGCAATCGGTTGCTGACAACGCACAGGTTTAGCGTGAGCACAAGAAGGCCGATGCCGCCGGCACCAGAGCCCCCGTCAAGGCGAACGTAATCCCTGTCAAGCCCAAGCCGATGACTTCGAGCGTGAGTGTTTTGACCTCCTTGCTGGTTTGTCGCACCGAACTCGAGAAACAGACTCTGATTGATACATCCCCTCATTAGTGCGCATTTTGCCGGAAGGAGGTCGTCAACAAGAACATCAAGCAGCTTGAGGAGCATTCGTTGACCCACGACCAGAAGCTCTGGCCCAAGGAGAAGTGCTGGCCTGGCGAGGTCTTTTAAGCGAGGAATGCTTGGGGGGTGGGACTGGAGGTGCCATGCAGTCGACGTTGATCGTGGGTGCCATGGTGTGGTTGCCATACGCCAGTTCAACTCCGATCGCTTTGGATGGCTGCAGACCCTAACCACCTTAGGGCACCGGGCACCCTTTAATCTCTGCCAGAGATGGCCGCCTGCGTTGCAGAACCTCGGTTACTGAGATTTGGAGTTGGCAGTAGTCATTTTGCTCACTTCTTGGCGGTATACCTAGACTAATGATTTATCCTACTTTGTTTGTGCCAACTGCAGCGTGGCATAATGTGACATGATGAAGAGATGTGTGATTGGTAAAGAAGTTCAAAGTCGCCGTTGTGTTTGTGAGCGAGATGCTCCCCAAACCAAGCACTTCGAGTTCAGCTTTGCGGAGATGTGAGGGGAGGTTTGACGAGCGAGTTCAAGTGCACTCATACTTGGTTATAATTTCAGATTTCCGGTCTAGTCTTGCCTGACTTGATTACTGGCACTACATGCATTATTCCTAGGGGGTCTTCGGATCAAAGGCAAGCCTACGGCGGGCCCGCCGAAAATGAAGATATTGGAAGTTCGGAAGACGTTCCGGATTGCAGCAGATTGCAATTCCGTCATTGTTAACGATATTCTCCTCTGTTATGATTATTTAGGGCAAACTACTGAAGTTTGAAGACTCGATGAGCAATTGATAGCAAGACAGATGTTGTCAGATGGAACATGCTGGAATGTGGGCTGTGAAGGAGCTAGGCAAAGGATTCGCGGCCTACTTCGCCACTCATTTTGCCACCTATTTTGCCACCACAATAGTAGTATAAGAAGGAGGCTTTCTGGCACTGCCAGAAAGCCAGGAAGATAGAGAAGACAATCAATTGAAGCCAGTAAAAAATCCTGAAGTGCAGTAATCCAACAGATGTGAAAAGTAAATCACGAAACAGATTGGCGGCTTCTCCAGTGCTGTTTCGGGCTCACGTTTTCGCGCGAAATGTTGTTATTAGTTACCTAGTTCTAGGGGGAACCGAGCTATAGTATTCGATTGATCCAAGGATGCAACTTGAACCAGATTCAGTCGCGGTAGAGGGATCTTGAGTTGCAAACTTTGTTTCACCAGTCTTCTCCTGTGCGGTTTGCCTTGTCTTGTCTTGTCTGCTTGTGTGCAGCACAAGTTGTTATTTTTGCTTGCGAGGGGCTTCCCCCTAATGAGAACATGGAAAGCGCTTGCAGGTCGCACTGACCATTTGACCTCGAGACTGGCACCCTGGCCGCGAATCAGGACGCATATGGATGTTTGTGGCTCAATGGCTGCGACCCGCTCGGGACTCGGAGTGGCTGGCGATGGCGCTGTGGGGGACAGATTGTGCCATGCAGCAGAGATCTCCGCGCGCCCCCGGCCTGTTCGTTGGTTGGTGGAGCCGATCGAACAGCCATGGCTGGCTGTTGTGCCACCGGTTGGAAATGGAATCTTCAGCGGTGGGTTGGTGCAGCCGGAGTGCCGATGTGCGCCTCAGCATCGACGATCCAAGCCCAGCCTTGGAAGTCACGGTCGGACACATTCCTTCGTCACGCCGCTCCCAGGTCGCAGCTCAGCTGTCGTACCTTCCAGACGCAGAGCAATTCGCGCAATGCTGGGTGGGTGGGGGGGGGGGGGGGGGGTGATACCGAACCCTGCTGCATCTGCATCGAAGCCATCGATCTTCTGCAGCTACTATTCTTGGCGTTTGTTCTCAATAACAACCAAAATTTGCCAGCCGAAATGGGGTCAGGCGCGCCTTGGGAGGCTGGACATGTTTCAGCCCTTTCTCTGTTTTTCTTTCGCGTCGTGCGCAGGCGCGGCACATTCTAGCAACATGGTATCACTACACTTTCCTCCAATCTTCCAGATTGGCCCTGCGGCACGACTCCCGCATCTTGACTTTGCCGCTTCAAAGGATCTCGTCGGTAGTCTCTCGGCGACAAACGAGTGGGTTCTGCATTACGTTTGAACCCAAAGCTCTCAGCATGTTGAACACGCCAGCCGGTAATCGCCAGCTCGTTTTAAGATACTCCGCAGAACACTGGATATGGTCAAGACGTGAATCATCCCCATGTACTGTCCGTACGGGGTATCCGTACTGCGTATTGATCGAAGGCCAGAAGTGACGGCCCTGACGGGAGCACCTGTCAGACAGCGACCAGGGTGCGCAAGGGAAGAGCACAGGGGTTCAGATTGCGCTAAACCACGGCTCGCGGGCGTCTTGCCAATCCTAGAGTCCTTGGCGCGGTTGGGTCAGCAAGCGACGGGAACCAGTCCAACTCGAGCAGTGCAATTTCGCCTTGGGTGGTGCAGGGCCCCGCAAAGGATGGAGCGCTGGCTGCTCTGGGGGCCGTTGGCGACGGGACGGAGGATTTCCGGGATTCCCATTTGGCATTTGCCATGACTGAGGGCCTGAATGGGGCAAGCTTGCTCTGTTGAGCCAGCTTGTTGAAGAATAAAGCCCGTTCCTCCCGCTCCGGCCAGGGTCGTCACGACTGCCTCTGTCCGTGTACCTGTTTCCGACTGCTGGGATCGCACCTGAGACCGCGCACGACTCCGACAGCACTCGCCCCGCCATTGCCACCGAACACCGACTTTACGACCACGACAGTATTCGATAACACGACGAGCCGGCGTCACCCCCGGATCCACGCTGGACCCCGAGTTTTTGTCCCGTCGCCGCGTTCCTCTCCGTCACATCCGTCTGTTGTTTCAGTACTGCGGCCTCGGAAATACGCGTAATATCAACAAGACAAAATGCTCCCCGGGCTTTCGTCGTGGCCATCTGCACGGGTGTCGGGCAGTCTGCCCGCTGCACTGCTCGCCATAGTGTCAACCTTCATATTCACTGCTTCACCCGTCAGGGCAGCGGATCTAGCAAGTGTGCTGGCTGGGCAAAAGAACTTGACTGTCTTCAGCGGCCTGTTGACCGAATACCCCGATCTCTTTGCCAACCTCAGTTCTGTCACTGTGAGTAATTAGTCTCGCCTTGTCCCCCTTGCGATGCATTCAGATCAACCTGCTGACGCTGCGGCCAAAGGTTTTGGCGCCTAATGATGCTGCCTTTGACAAGCTCGGAAACTGGGGAGCCGTGAGCTCGAACCCGGACTCGGTCAAGTCGATTATAAACTACCACATTATCAACAAACTCGTTACATCTTCATCGATATTCAAGGGCGCCTCGACCTTCGCGTCGACAAAGTTGACGGATCCGGCGTACACCAATGTCACGGGTGGGCAGACCCTGATTCTCACCAAGGATCCTTCGGAAAGCATTGCCGTTACCTCCGGCTTTGCCACGCGAGGCACCCTTATTGTCGAGGATCTCAAGTTTGATGGCGGTCTGGTCCATGTTATTGACTCGGTCATGCGAGTGCCCGGGTCGATTGAGGAAACGGCCCGCGAGGCGTATACGGACCTCACGGCCTTTCTCGGCGCGCTCTATGCTGTCGGAATAGTTTCGGACTTCACCCAGCTGGGTAATGTCACCATCTTCATCCCGCACAGCTCAGCCTTCCAGGAGCTCGCCGGAACCTTCTCCAGCATGGGGCAGGACCAGCTAAAGCGCGTTCTAAATTACCACCTCATTCCCAAGACGGTATTGCACTCGTGGCAGTTTTTGGACAGCTCGGCCCTCACAACGAATTCTGGGGGCATAAAGGTCAACATCGAGCTTGACGCAAACAGCATCTACATCAACTCTGCTCGTATCATCCAGGCGGACATACTCATCGACAACGGTCTGGTACAAATGATTGACAACGTCCTGAATCCCGACGTCCCCAACGCGAAACCCAACCTCACAGCCGCCACGCAGACTCCAGTATTCGACGTGTCAGGCGCCGCACAGACGGGCACAGGTGCGGCCACGCCTTTCTCGAACGATATCCCTTGTACCGTCAGCTGTCTAGTAAAACCGACGGGCACCCTAGGCGGAGGGGTGCAAAGCTCGTTGAGCAGGGCGGGCGTTCCCGCACCGAGGTGTACGGGGGTTCTTGCCGGGGCCGGCATGGGCCTCGGTATGGCCATTGGTGCCATGATAGCTTTGTAGTTTTGGGTTTCTTTTAGGGTGTTGGTTGGCGTTGTACGCGAGTACGGGCTCAGTTTGTTTGAATTCACTTTGCATTGATACCCGTACCTTTTCCAGGTCTATCGTTCGCTATTTCTCGCATTCTGTGCTTGGGTGGGGGTGCTTAAACAGTTGCCCCCTGCTTTCACCGGGATGGGCTTTTATAACTTAATAGCTCACACGACGAGCGCTAGTGGTCATACAAAGCTTGAGCAATCAAGATAGCTATCAGTAGGAAGGGTACTTTCGGGTCGAAGTCTTGAGTTACCTCATTCCCGCCAAATGCGGTTTTATGTTTCGGTTGTATGTGGCCAACCTATCTAGTTGATAGGCGGGTGTGACCACTTCGTTCCACATGTCCTACGACCAGACCGTCCTCGGCTCCAAGTGAGTTTGCGCGTGATATTGTCTTCTCGGCGGATCCACGACCCATCTTCTGGCCCCTTTCTTTTGTTTACGTGCTCTTCGGTATTCGTAGTCATGTCAACATGTCAGGCAGCCAAACCTGATCCTTCCAGCTTACCTCTTCCCACAGGCCGGGCCGATACAATTGAGTAATGTACCCGACCTGGCCCTGCACCCAACACTCGGCACTTAATGCCACTGCTCAAACCGGTCTTGGTAGAAAGTCACCAACTTCCGTATTAGCACCAGACCACACCACGGGGTTCACGGCCAGCCATGAACATGGACTGGGACAGACAACCCGAATTATCACCACACCGCCACCACCACGAGCAACTCCTCCAACCACAACCGCCGCCGCCGCAACACTATCACCCCGTCTTCGACCCCTCCTTCGCCGACATGATGTACGGCAACCCCAGCCGCGCCATCACGGCGGGCCTCTTCCTTGGCGTGGTGGGGACGCTGGCGACGTGGGTGCTGGGGCGCACCCTCTACGCGTCGCTGCCGTTCTCGCTGATTTGCGCGGCAGGGCGGTGGGCGTGCAGGGTGCAGGTGCGTGTCTGCCGGCATCTCCGAGAGCGGGCTGGCGAGTGGTGGCGCGGGGGTCGGGGACGGAGACGGGAAGGGAGGGAGTTCTGGACTGCTGTTGATGTGCGCCGGAGAGACAGCGGGTTTGAAGGAAGACGTGGTGAAGAAGAGGAGGCGATGGGCTCCTCGCAGAGCGACAATGGCCGAGGTGGTGGCGAGAAGTGGCAGTGGGTGGCGAAAATCTTTCGCACGAGAAGCCGGCAGTTTCTAGTCTGATGCACAGGGTGTATCTAGTTAGTTCTCATGGCTAAGCTTTGCTGTGTGTTGATTTGTGTTGAAGAGAGTTGAAGTGAGGTGAAGTTTGTGTTGAAGAGAGGTGAAGCGAGGTGAAGTGGTCAGTGGTGGAAAGTTTCGGATCGCAAGAAAAAAAACTTGTCACTCTTTCTATCTGGCCGTCTTCATGAATCTTCGATAAATCTGTGCTTGGATGAAGCAGGTCATGTCGTGTTAAATCTGACTGCCTGCCTGGTGCCCCTTCCGTGAGTCTGGGGATGGTGGGTCGAGATCTCTAGGCCTAGGGAGTGGATAGCGGCGCTAATGGCTTCCCGTCGCCTATATCCAGACCTCCGGACTTAAAGTCCCATGCAGGTTGGAATTAGACTTTGATGTGCAAGGCCAACTAAAACGGTAATCTTGCATTTGCTTTGGAACTAGTAGCAGCCGCTGCAAAACATTTCCTAGCCGGCTCCGCGCTAGACCCGGCCCGAAGACCGGGTTACATCTGCACAAGAAATGTGTTTGATTGGTCACAAATCTTGGACATATATCCGTTTGTAACTTCATTGAAGTTTTGCCAGAGTTCCGACTCTTTCTTTTTCTTTATTGGGTATGAATTCGTCGCTGAATCTCTACGAGCGCCCCCATCCTGACAAAACTGTTGCGCTATCAAAGTAAAATGCAGCTGCTGTCTGATACAAGTTTCAGAAATATCGAGGACAAACCTGGTGTGACAAGGGGATCTGGCTGTAGGGCAAGATGGCCTGGAGCGAAGTGCTGGTACGCAATAATCTTCTTTGGCCTCAAGCTCCTTCCTTGCAATCTTGTTGCGGGGAGTAAGGCCTATTTATGCCCGGTGGAAGACTGGCCCCGGTACTTGAAGGCCTATTTGTTGGCCCGGTAAGGGCGGCTACCTATATTCTATGATTGGATACATTCTTGGACTGTGCTGTATGCTAGCGCCCTGCTTCAGCTGAGTGAGTCACGTAGACCTCACGAAAGCCTTACGGCTACTCATTCTGCTGCCGGCACTTCTAGTACACTGTTTTCTAGTAGGTTGACTGCACTGTAGAGAGTGGTCTGTGTGACACCTGGTAAGCCCACATTCGAATGTCCTGTCCTTCGGTTTCCATGTTGACAAGCAGGGGGTTGATATCAAGGCTGGCAATTTCGCTAACTTAAACTCGCATATGACGACGAACAAACGCGAGACCAGTAAGACAGGGCAGTGGTGTCTGAACATGAGATGAAACACGACAGGTGTCACAAACAACGGCGCGTAGAAAGTGTGCAAAACGGTGCTTGTATTAGGACGTAGAAAGAGAGGTGTGCATAGCCTAGGTGCCCTGCTTTATGTGATGAAATCCGGTCCTAGGCCTAGGAAGTCGGGAATGTTGATCAGGGCTAGGGATGTAAATCATGGCTGCTACGAATGATGGGGATTCCAGCCACTAGCGCCACGAATGTACATTCAACGGCTTCTTCCGACAAAGGGAGGTCCGTCATGACAAGAAGCTACGGGCAGCCGCACCCTGCAAACCTGGAAAGCGCCGCAGCACGTGCAAACGGAGGAGAGCTAATCCGCCACCCGAGGGAGAAAGCAATGATTGACCCCGCCCAGACCGACGAGGTGGAAAAGTCAATCGCGTCTTGCGCCCTTCTTTTTTTCCCTCGCCAGACCACCCACCCGCAAACCAACCGCGGCCAAAAACGACAAGTCTATCACATTCGATAATCATCACTGCCCAGAAGGCGCAGCTGTGAAAGATGGATTACCAGTGCGGAACGTGCGACCGGTGGTTCGGCAGCTCTCGCGCCCGCGGACAGCACATGAACGCTCTGGGACACGATGCTTGGGATTGCAACAAGTGCGACCTGGCCTGGGAGACCGAGGATGACATCAAGGATCACGAGGTCTTCGCTCACCACCACTGCCGCGACTGCGATCGCGATTTTCAGAACCTGAACAATATCCGAATGGTACTTGATATTTCTCTCGAGTGATAAATTGAGGCCTCCGCCACTGCTAATCAATCGGCAAAAGCATTTGAACTCGCGGGCGCACCGCCCCCAGGTTGCCTACTGCCCCTTCTGCCATAAAGGCTTCACCACCGCAACCGGCGTCGCTCACCACCTGGAGGCGGGCGCGTGCCAGAATGCCTCTTCTCTCAGCCGCGACGAAATCTACCGAATTGTGCGGGCCAAAGACCAGCACGGACTCATCACCAAGCATCTGATCGGATGGGAGGGCAGCTTCGAGTATGAAGCCTCGGCCAGGTCATGGAACGGCAGCGGATATGAGTGCTACCTTTGCCATCGCGAGTGCACTACGCTTCGGGGGCTCAACCAGCACCTCAGCTCGCCCGCTCACCAGCAAGCCCTCTACCACTGCCCCAACCGCGCCCGCTGCGGGATGGACTTCAAGACACTGGCTGCTATGATCAACCATCTTGAGAGCGAGTCCTGCCAGTTCATGCGATTCGAGGCCGTCCAAAAACGATTCACCAACATCGTTAGCAGCAATCGTCTTATCGCTTTTTGAGGCTTTGTCTAATCACCACACCTTTCTCCATCTATTCTCTGCGGGTCCCATCTCGCATCGAATTATCACAGTTTTATCGTCACCAAACACTTGGCTTCGTGTTGTGCGATCCTGGCAATAGGGGTCGGAAGAAGCCGTCGAATGTACATTTGTGGCGCTGGTGGCTGGAATCTGCATTCGTGGCGGCCTTGATTTACATACCTGGCCCTGATCAACATTCCGGGCTTCCTAGGTCGAGGACCCGATTTCATCACAAAAAGTAGGGCACCAAGGCTATGCCCACCTCTCTTTGAGCTTCTCGATAAAAAGCACTTTTTTGCACACTTTCTACGCACCGTTATTTGTGACAACACGCAACTGTCTTTGCTGTGAGGCAGTCAAGTTTTTGTTTGGCGTCTTGCACTTTGAGCACTGGGTATTTTCCAGTGCCTCCGCTGGGCGTGGCTGGCAGAAGCGAGAGATAAATTGTCCTTCTCGAGAACTCGTAATTTGCAAGGTTTTGACATTTCTAACCTTTGACAGCGGAACTGGCGTTGACAGCGGAGCTGGCGTTGCGAATGCATGTGCCGTGGTTCGGGCTTCTGTTTTTCATCGGCGCCGGTCTCAAACCCCACGCTAATATCTACGCCCTCAGGCAAATAAAATTAGCATTAAGTTCTCTAGAAGAAGCTCCTAACATTGTATATCTTCTGGATGAGAAGCGATTAACCGGCCACTAGTGGGTGAAGGGTGCATCACTTCAATTCTTCAGGAAGCATAATGATAGATCCCGGGAAGGCTGGAATTGAATTAGAGTGACATGATCCCTTCATCCCAAGTTGCTATTATTGTTGTTATTGTTGTCATTGTAAACTCCAGTGCGTCATATCCAACAAAGGCCAGCAATGCGCAAAAGATGCAGTGACATCGGAAGAAACTAACCCCACAGGACTCGCAAACCCGTGAGCCAAAATTCCATCCACCGAGTTACATACTATGCCATCACACTATCGTTATGAAAGAAAAGATTGTCGTCAAAGATGATGCGAGAAGTACGCGGGGCTCCTGTAACGGGTTGCTCGCACGAGAGCCGGTCAATTTTGGGGTGTTTGAGCCTCTCGAGGGCAATGTACACAATGACTGCTGCTTCGACCTGATGCTTGACGCATGGCCTTGGAGCGTGCAGAGTAGTGAATTTTCTAGCGTATGGTGAATTTGGTAGGATTAGAGAGCAAGAGGAGCGGAGCAAAGAAAAGAAAGCGGAGAAGTAGTGGCAAGGAGGAGTAACAATAGAGAAAGAAGGTCGAGTCAAGGCGGCAAAATCTTCCATGAAGTTAATCAAATTCCTAACGAAAGGGTAAAGAGATAACGTAAATGAAATGCGGAGGTTGAAATCTCCGTCTAATCCGTCTAAGCGCTACGCATGTGCCATCTTTTAGCACTCAGTCTATTCTTTCCCCTTTAAGTCAGGTGGTCTGCTTATGGAACACCCCTGGATTTGGAACAAGGTTTGTCATCAAGGACTTGCCGCTCGCCACCCAACTCACCTATTTCAATCGCTTGCAACTCGACCAATTCTGCTTCAATACTTATCTTCTTTTCTCCATTCAATTGAGAAATGAAAGATGAAGCGATATACTCAGTTGGATTTGCAGAATGCGCTGGCAGAGTATGCAGAAACCGGCTTACTCCGTAGCTATGCTGAAAATCACGGCATCCCCCCTACTACTCTCTTTAATCGGGTTCGTGGTTCCGAGCCAGCCTCCAAGGCCCAAATTCTTAATCAAAAGCTTTCTCCGGCTATGGAAGAACGCTTAACCGAATGGACTCTATTCCAAGGGTCGCTCGGTCACCCTCCAACCCACGCCCAAATTCGGAAACTAGCTAGAAGAATGCTCGAAGATAACGAGACCCTCGGAAAACGCTGGACTAGCCGGTTTTTGGCTAGAAATCCATCTATTTCTACAATTAGGCCTCGGAGAATCCATGCAAACCGTGCTGATCGAGCCTGTGAGGCCGTTATCCGGCCTTGGTTTGACTATTTGAAGCCTCCAGGCGTGGAGGCTATTCCAGCCAAGCATAGGTATAATATAGATGAAACTGGCATTGCTTCTGGCATTGGAGATAACGGCCTGGTTGTTGGATCTAAGGAAAGAAAGAAATTCCAGAAAAAGAAGAAAGGAGACCGAATTTGGACCTCGATTATCGAATGTATTTCCGCTGACGGCCGGTATTTGAACCCAGTCGTCATTTTCAAAGGTGGAAGCCTTCAACAACAATGGTATCCACGCGATTTACAGCCATTTAAGGGCTGGAAGTGGAAACCCACTGAAAACGGCTGGTCTGACGATGATACTGCCGTCGCATGGCTCCGCAATATCTTTCTTCCAGAGACTCGGCCAGCTACCCCCTCGGAGAAGCGCCTCCTTATTTTAGATGGCCACGGTAGTCATACCACCGAAGAATTCATGTGGCTAGCCTTTTCTAATAACGTACAATTGTTATTTCTACCAGCCCACACCTCCCACGTTCTCCAGCCCCTGAATTTATTGGTTTTCGGCCCTCTAAAAGCCCGGTACAGAGCCAAGCATAACGAGGTTGTTTCCGGCTTCGACGAAGGCACTGTTGCTGAAAAGAGGGCCTTCCTAGAATGCTACCGGCAAGCCAGGGTCTATGGAATGACTGAATCTAATATCAAAGCCGGCTGGAAAGCTACAGGCCTCTGGCCGGTCAGCCTCAGGAAGCCCCTAAGCAACGGCCTTGTTATTAAGAATTCTAACGGCGACGTTGGTCAACTGACCTCTACGGTTTCTATAGACCTTCAAGAGGTCCATAACCCCATTCTAAATAAGAATTCGGAGGGCCGGCCTATATGGTTTACCCCTAAAAAGCCGAAGGATTTCCGTATTCAGGGGCAGGTTTTTCTAGCCGGCCAGAAACGGACTGCCAACGACCGACTTTTCATACGCAAGGCCGCAAAAGCCTTCGATTACGTGGTTTTCCAACTAGCCAATACGGCGCATCAATTGGAGGCTGCAGAAAAAAGCCTAGAACGCACAAGAGGCCGAAAGAGAAGGAAGGTCCAAGTCGACCCTAATACGCAGTTCGCTGGAATTGAGGAGGTTCGTGCCTCACAGAGAGAGGCTGGCAGAGAGGACCTTAGTTATTCTGAAAGAGAAGAATCAGGAGAATCCGATACTGAAGACTTCATCATTGTAGCTAATTAATTGACAAAGTTGTGGGCAATTGAAGTTTGTGGTGTTGTGCGGGGTCCGATTCAGGGGCTGTTCCATAGGCAGGGGTGTTCCAAAAGTCCCCCACCTGACTTAGCTATGATAGTGTCACGGCAGGGCCAAAACCCGCTGGTTGGGCGCATCGGTTTTAGGCTTTGTGGCTCGTGCACTCTTGCAGGAGCTCCACTCTCTAGCGCCCACAACTATTTCCCCACGGCCGCCCGGCCGCTCTCGATTCCTTCCTTCCTTCTTTCCTTAGCTTTAGATTCTACGAATACAGCCCGGTAAATGCAGCCTTGTCTCATTCGATCGACTGTGCGGTGATAGATAGCTATTAAAGGCCGTCATGTCTCTCGAGAATCAATCCCAAATGCCGTCAGGGTACGGGTCAGTCCGGCTGCCCCTAAGTTAGGTGGGGGGGTAAGCGAACACTACTGATTTAGAACATTCTGTATAAGCAGGAGTCCCAACTAACCCTCCAACAAAAGAAAGGGTGATCTTTTTATTTACAAAACTTCAATACAATCTTTGATATCCTCTGAATCATCCGCTTCTTCCGCATCTTCTAAAACCTCTGCTGCACGCCCTACAGCTCTCTGGGCCTCACGAATAGTCTGAATATTCGCAAAGGTGGTATTTGGATCTTCTTCAACCTTCTTCTTCTTTCTGGCTCTTATTGATTCGAGAGTGTGTTCTAGACCTTCAATCTTTCGCTTCCTAATAGCTAGTTCAAAGGCCTGTTCATCCAAAGCCTTACCAATCTTTCTGAGGAAGAGCTTATCCGCTGGCATTGCTTTGATGATGCGTGCGAACTTCTTTGCCTGCTCAACGTAATCACGTGCCTTTCTAGGAGTCCTCCACTGCACCCGATCGTCTCCATAATCCTCCGGGATTGGCATACGGAGTGTGCGAACCTCTGGGGTAACTATAGTAGTTCTTAAGGGGCGTGAAGTATTAGAATTCTTGAGGAGGAGTGGGCTTCTTAGCGGTTTGTTGACATTCAAGGGCCAAAGGCCTGATGCCTTCCATCCTGACTTAGCATTACTCTTAGTAATTGCCTCTGTGCGTGAAATCTGGTAGCATTCCAGAAACGCACGTTTTCCGGCTACAGAAGAGTCGTCAAAGGCGTTAGCAAGAAGGTCCTCAAGCCGTCTGCGATAAAGTCGTTTTAGGGGGCCAAATATGGCCAAATCTAGGGGTTGGAGGACATGGGAAGTATGGGGAGGCAGATAAATAATGTGAATATTGTTTGTGTATGCCTCCCACATATAATCGGCAGTTGTGTGGCTGCCATGGCCATCAATAATAAGGAGTCGTTTCTCAGAGGAGTTTGCTGGCTTGGTGAGAGGAATGAACACATTTTTTAACCATTTGAGGCTTGTCTCATCGGTAGTCCATCCTTTCTCAGTTGCTGTAAAGAACCAATCCTGAAATGGCTTCATATCCAAAGGAAACCATTGTTGTTGAACGCTTTTCCCCTTAAAAATGACCAAAGGAGGAAGGCAACGGCCAGCTGCTGAGATGCATTCGACAAAAGTGGTCCAAGTGCGGGTTCCAGGCTGTTTTTTTTGAAGCGCCTTAAAGGCACGGCTTCCAATGACAAGGCCGTTGGTTCCTCTGCCTTCCATAATACCAGATTCGTCCTTGTTCCAGCGATTCTCTGGCTTAATCGCCTTGATAGCTGGTGTTTGGAAATGGTTGAACCAAGGTCGAATTGTTGACTCTGTAGCGCAGTTGACGCGGACCGAATCGACTCTCTTGGCCCTCTGAGTCTTCAAAATTCGATTGCGGTTAAGAAAGGCACGGCACCACCCCTTTCCAAGTGGTAAGGAGTCCCCCCTTTAAGCTAGAATACGGCGTGCAAGCTCCCTGATCTGTGCATGTGTAGGGGGCAATCCTAAATCTTGTTGAAGAAGAATCCATTCGACTAAACGATCTTCTTGGGTCTGTGTAAGCCTTTGCTCATCTTGATGAGCAACATTTCGAGGTAGGGAGCCATGTAGACGGCCATAAAGGGTGGAGGGTGGAACGTTCCATTTTCGCGCGACTTTGCGTAATCGATGTGTTCTGACGGCTTCCTCGCAAGCCTTGCGGAGGTCTTCTTCTGTATATGAAACCATTGTCAAGAGAAGAATAAAACGAATTGAAGATGAAGAGAATTGGAAAAGAATTGGTTGAGTTATGGGCTTTTTATATAAGAGGGTTGGTTGTGTTCCTCGCTTATCTAGAATGTTCTGGATCAGTGGCGTTCGCTTACTCCCCCACCTAACTTAATGTTATCCTGCCAACTGTCGTAATCAACTGTCTGGCTAGGTAGGCTATCTAGTGTCGGCTCACAAATAGCAACAATCCCCATAGCTCCACCGTTACTGTTAAGCAGGCCCGGCGGGATCACAGGCTCCAGTTTCTCCAGGCTGTCGCCTATGATAGACATGCGTAGAGTCTTGGCAGGGTCCCAAGTCCAGTTGATATCGTTCTGGATATAAGAGTCGATGGCGTCGTTGCGATACTATAGCTGGCTACCGCCGTACGTCTCCGCTACCCAGACCTTAGAGACGCGGTCGAGTGCATCCGAGTTGGCCAGGATAACACAGTACCAGGAATATTGTGTGCCCTTCTAATCTCCAGCACCTGGTGTGGTGTAAACACCCATGCCGATTCGCGTAGTGATCTGGTTACCGTCATCCGTTAAAGTGCCCTGCTTATTATAACGCCGAGCCTGATCCTATAATCCGTGTTAATACTAGGCCGTGGAGGCATGGAAAAGGGAGGGAATATAGACACCTCGGAGCAAGTACGATAACCGATAATCACATTCTGGGCACGCCTTGCCAGTTTAGCGAGGGCCAGCGTATCCTCCAAGAGAAACACGTAAATAAGATGACCATAAAGAGCATGGTCGGGAACTCGGACATCTACTGCGTAAGGGACTGCTAGAAGTATTCATCTTCCCTATTTGTACCAGAGGGCGCATGTCTTTCTGCCGACTTTTCACACCCCCTCGATCCATTCGCTCTCGGGTGTATGGTTTGTGGAGGGACTTTTGTCTCCCTTGTGTACTTGTTCCTGTCTACCACTATGGTGATAGTCCACTTCCAGAGCAGCCGATTGGCTCTCCACGCTGCTGCGCAAGGGACTTTGTCCATTTGTACTTAATGTGCCGCTACTCTCGGCACAACGCTAAACAGAAACGCGAGATGGGAGTCTAAGTCGTCCGCCTGCGAATTCGTATAGACGGTGCGACAACACGATCCGAGACTCCCAAGACTTCCGCCCGCCGTACCCACTCGGTGCGGAAGGGCATCTCCAAAGAGCAACACCATGGCCACCGAATAGAAGCATAGTGTCCACCCACCAAGTAAAATCGGACCCTTCGGCTCGGGCACCTGTGTCTCTTCGATAGGTCCCACAGTAGGTACGCAGCCGCTTGTGCGGACCGGGGGCATCCGGAACGTGCGTCGGGTAACTCTCGGTTGCCAAAGCTCACCCACCGGTCGCCATGTAATCTGTGGTGTGATGTTGTAGGGAAAGCTGCGATAACTGTCTCAATGCGCGTCTGGCGCGTCTTGTGCGTGGCGCGTCGAGCAGTCAATGATAATTCTAGCGGGGGGTCTTGTCTCCTGTGGCCGAAGCGACGGTTGCAGCTCTTTGGTCCCCAACCTTTTTCTGGCCAAACGGATCGCGCGCGTGCAAGTCTTCATTATTGGCACGCTCTATCTGTTCTTGGTTCCTGTCTGCCATCCTACTATTCCCTCGACTTTGGTACGTGGCGGCTTTTCCGACGCTACAAACACGGCATGTTGTTAGTACCATGCTGCTGCCCATCTTGCTGCCACCCCACGTTACTTGTATCTTGTAACCGCAAAAGTCAGTCCACTCCCAGACCCGATTAGCCTTCCACCCGCTTGTGCCCTTTTGCTCGATCCATTCGCTCTCTGGGGGATAGGGTGAAGGGTCAAATGATGGTCGTAGAGTATATCGCGGTGTGTATGCTAAGGTATTGTTCTTATCACCGAGCGCGTTATGTGGTGAAAGAAAGCGGCCCCTAGTCAACGTGACAGTAAACGTCTTGGGCAGGAAGGCGTCATTGGTAAGAACGGCATCTTTGATACGGTAACGGCTCTTGTCGGGAAAAGCACACTCTTTGCTAAGTGATAATCGGAGCTTGAATTGGCCGAGTATAGCTGGGTTACCGGGGTCAAGGATAAGGTCGAGCAATCCATCAGCTGGCTCCCATACGAACTTTGCCGCGATGAACCTGCTATATTCCACACCAAGGAAGATCTAAAGAGGGGAAAAAATAAAATAAAAAATATTGGCACACATCACGTGGTAATCAAGGTAACACCCACTTCGCCGGTACCATCTTCATGGAAAGAGATGCGGTTCCAAAGAGGATGCCCAGACCACTCCTTACAGAGAAGGGAGCGCAGGCCCATGGGGAGCGGGGAGCGGGGTTCGGCGTAGATGCGGCTCCCGAGAAGATGCCAGCACCAAGAATCTTGCAGAGAGACAACATGTGCCGTGGTCTGGTGTAAGTGAAGGCAGGTACACCTGATCAAGGTGGTCACAATGAAGGTACGGAAGAGAGCGAGCAATGACTAGTATTGGTAAGAGACTTCAACCTGGCCCTCGCAAAGGAAGGGGGCGAGGGCCACTGCTTATATACTTAATAGAGTGTACTTGATAGAGTGTAGGGGGGGAGAGGTTATGACAAAGGAGTGAGATCTCGGCCGTTCGGCACGCGTGCGAGTTGGTCGTGTGTGTGGGTTGGGCTCTTTCCTTACAAAAGGGCATATTTATAAAGGAGTCTAAAGAGGATATTAGCGACGCGAGTAAGCTCCTATGCCAGAAGCTCCTTGATAGCGAATAGGAAGTTGCTAAGAAGTCGGTTTTCGACGGTACTATATTTAAGAATGTTTGCTAGAACTTATAGGTTAAGAACAAGGCCAAGGTTATTCAAGATATTTCTCGGTTGATTGTCTCTTTGGTAGAAATACTTACCCTCCGGACCGAGAGCCTCGAGTGCCTCGTTGAGAGCGTTAACGAGGGCTGGAATAACTCGATCCCTCTAACCGGGACTTGCCTATAACCCGACTACTCTGTGGGATTCAGACGGGAAGCTTTTATATAGGACCAGCTGTATAAGATCTCCCCGATACTTGGCGATTGATTTCTGGCAACTAGTCCTTCTTTATAGCCACCTATTATATGCTCTTTCTATTCTTATTAAATGAGGTCAAGTGCGGCGTTCAGGCGCTTGATATCGCAGGCCGCCAGAACGCCCACAGCATGACGCTCGCGGCGCGGGCTATCGTTGAGCTCTTCCGCCCTGTGAAGCGCGAGAAGGAACTTCACCGCGAGCTCCTCACCTTCTCTATCTCGTACGATTACTAGTCAGTTCGCATCTACGGCGAGTATCTACCGCCATCCAATCCGTAATTTCTCCCAAATGTAGACGATGTACTGCAATTTTAGCCCCTCCCAAAGGGCGGGAGGTCCATATCCGCCATTGCACATGCACTGCAATTTTGTACACAGTTGCACAAAGGGTGGGAGGGGAGGTTGAGGCGCCTGCATTGCAATTTTAGCCCCTCCCCAAGGGTGGGAGGTCCAAGTCGTCGGGGTTTTTTTTAGTCCGTCATCAATGACACCTGCACTACGTAACCCTCATGTCCACCACTTCTCCACCCCGCCATCCAACCCCGACCAAAAACATGGACCTGTGTGGAATACATGTGCCATGGTCGGGACTGCCGAATTCTGATTGCTCAGCGTCCCCTGCTGGATCTACCGACGCTAGCCAATCAGATTCTGCACTCGGGCCACCATCTTGTACCTAGACCAACAAGCCTTATTAGTACCGGCCACTTCACTGTTAAAGTCACCATGTCTTGATAAATACACCACATCCTCCACTGCTTGCTTGTTTTTAACTTCCTGATTCTTTCTCCTTCCCTCTCCTCCATTCCGGTTCTGGGCCGTACTTTAGCTAATAAGACACTCTGCAAATGCATGCAGCTAGCGTGGCCTACGTGTCGTGTTGCACGTCATCGAAGTTGACAGCGCATTGAATTGTCTGGTTAAGGTCTGGTTAAATCAGGTCTAGTAATACACGAATGAAGGCCTTCTTATACTTCAGGAAAAGGACAAAAGAAACAACGCTCAGAAGGTTGATCGGCCGTACTAAGTAAGGGACTCAGCCGCACAAAGTAAGGGACTCAGCTGCACGAAGCAACGGAGAAAAGAGGGCATTCGGAAGTCCGGGAGCCCGAAAAAAAGGCTGAAAGTAAGGAATGAAGGGATATGCATTGTTTGAAGGGATATGCGTTGAATGACGGAACATGGCGACTGTGGCCTGAAAAGTGGCTCAGAGTGGCTAAAATCCAGGCGACACAACTATGATAGCCCTTTGACCGCGAGAAGACCCCACTACAGGATTATTCCCGTACCAGACAGGGGTTTGAACCAACTAAAAGTCACGCATTCAAAGGTACATTAATTCCCTATCTATTTTGCTGGTGGAATAAGTACCAACAATCGTCCTTGTTACAAAGTGATACATTGCACTGTCGGCAGCCCGACCGGGCACAACAAAGGGCTCGAAGGTCGTGCCGGCCTCGGTGGTAGCCGGCTCGTCAGGCAGGTAGGTGCAGCCTCCAACAGCCTCGCGCTCGCATGCTGCAGTGCATGCATTAGTAAGGTCATCAGGTAGAACAGCAACAGTAATACAGTCTAGGATTGGGTCGATTGAGTCCATTTGAAATGTAGGGGAGTGTCAATTACCGCCAAAACAATAGACGCGATGCTTCTCGATTTTTTTATTGTACCTTCGCGTACCCCTGCGATGACAGGGGTAGTGTGGGATTGATACAACGTGGGGTCTTCTCGCGGTCAAAGGGATACGAGATAAGTCCCATACTTTTATTCGTCCAGTATTCTTATATTTGCTATATAGGATGACTTTATGCCGATATACTTCCTGAATAACATATATCTTTGCTCCCTAACTGCTCACACCTCTCACGGCTTACAGCCACTTCTCAACGGCCCTTTCAATATGGTCAAAGCTCTCTATAGACGTAAGCTAGCCAAGTTGGCTATTCTAACCGACGCAGCACCTGTTGACAAGATTAACTTTGTTATAAGGTAGCTAGGGAGGAGGCGTTAACGGTAAGAACCGTCAACTCGTCATTCCGAACAACGGGAATTAGCCTATCAGGAGGCAAAAAGCCCTGAGCCACCCAGAGATTCAACAAGACAGGGCGAAGACCCCTAAACCCCCTATCCCCCCTGGAGTTCCTGATACACCAACCACAGGACGTCTGCGCGGCAGAATGCGTCTGCCTGCCCCAAGCCGCGCTACGTCCCGGCCATCGGGCCGCGGTACCTGACCCACCATTTTCTCCACCCGGACAGCGTCCGCCCTGCGCAGCGGTTCATCTATAACGAGCCGCCGAAGCGGGCGTGCGGGCAGCTGCTGGCGTCGGACGAGGAGGTCAAGTTCGACTGGAGCGTCTACTTTGAGGAGAGTTGGCACTGGAAGTCGGTTTAATTTGTTATTGTCGTGTTGCCGGCTTCTGGGAGCTGTGTCTTTGGGATTACGTGATCTGTGACCAAGGGGGATGTTCAAGGGGGATTTGCGGTGTCGAGCGTGTGGATCATGTTGGGGAGTTTATTGTTGGGGTACGCTGCTGTTCAGAGTTTCTAATCTTACGATAACCGTCAAGTCTCTTCTAGGACTCTTCAACCAGTTGTAGTTATAGTTCGGGTCGTCAACTTCGCGTCAGAGCTGGCGACCCAGAAGAACTGGACACGCCGAGTCTTGTCCCAGTCCTTCTGCCACTCGTGAACACACAGCTCGGGCACATAGTCGTTGTCCACCTTGGCCGAGATGGTCTCGTTGAAGACGTCCAGCGCGTGCGACCAGACGGCCGGGTTCCCGCCACGGCGCGCATCCCGCCACGTAGCCGCCTGCAGGCGGCCCGTCAGGCCAAACCACACGAGCACGCTGCCCGAGTCGCCGGCGCCCCGTACGAAGACGCGCAGCCGCGTTGCTAGGTGTGCGGACTCCGGGCGGGCCACGGGGAACTTGGTCCACACCCACGTGTCCCAGTCGGCCCCGCCGCCGCGCGACCAGGCACCCCATACGGCGCCGTTCCTGCTCACCCAGAAGGCGAAGTCGATGTCGGCGGCCGGCTCGCCGTCGCTGAGCCAGCACTTGCGCGTGAAGGCGACGAGGCCGCAGGCGGGGCTGCCGTTGGCGTCGGCGACGGCGTCCTTGCACTGCGCCGTGGTCTGGCCCTTGGTTGGGTCGCCGAGCGGGACTCGTGCCACCTTCAGCACGCCTGAAGGGTTGATCCAAATGACGTTACTGTGGTGAGGGTCACCGAACTGTGTCTGCAGCTGCGACGGCCGCGGCCCGTCTGTCTGGGCGCCGCCGCCTGAGGCGTCGCGCGACAACCCGGGTAGCGTGCGAAAGACAGAATCCAAGGCGTTATCGAGAGACCACCACCGGTCTATGCAGATGCCCCCTTGCGGGTCGACCCACCACCTGGTGTAGCTGAGGGACGAGGTTTCTCCTGGTGGAGCCGGAAGGTGCTGCGTCGAGACCACCATCGAGCCGCCGTTGTTGGGGCACGCGCCACTGCCGTTGGGAAAGAGTGGTGGGAACTGCGGCGGGCCGCTTAGGGTCCAGGGGGCAAACGAACTCGACGGTACGTCGGACTCCCATTCGATCCGTTCAAAGGTGCGTATGGAGCCGTTGGTCCCGATCCAGTGTAGTTGGTCGCGGTACAGGCTATCGTGGACCCGGCCAAAGTGAAACACCTCAAGCGCGCCGCTGGCGGCGGATTGGCTCTGGAAGAGCTGGCTCTCGCTGCACGAAGGCAGTTCCGAGTTCCAGCCAAAGCGGGCATTCCAGATCTTGCCCTCGGTGTCTCTGGCCACGTAGAACACGTCGATGAAGGCCTTGATGAAGACGCCCTCGATCTTGACGATAGAGCTGTGGTTGGCCACCGTCTGGCTGGAGCTGAAGTTGAACTGGCCGTCTCGGATCTGCAGCGGGAACAGGTTGAAACGCAGCGTGTCCTTCCAGACGATGCCCCGAACCCGCGGCTCGTCAGGCAACACCATCTCGCAGAGCACCTGCACCCTCTCGCCGCCTTCGCTCGGGTTCGCGCGTAGGGCTGCCTCGTTGAGGACTGCCTCTGGTACGTTGAGCGGGAACTCCTTCACCACGTCCGCGCCGCTCGCCGGCGTCTCGTCGGCCGTCAGCACCGTGAACCGCAAGCGCACCCCGGCGAGCGACAGCGGGTCCTCGCCCGGGATGCCGCCACCCCAAATGACTCGTAGCGTGCCAGCCCAGTACATGCCTAGCATCGGGCCGACGCGCGGCAGCAGGGGCACCGTGCGCGTTGACGATTCCGGGCCCATGCGGCGGCCCACGCCGCCGCCGCCCTTGGCGCTCTCGAGCTTGGCGCGCACGCCCACCCGGAACGCGACCGGGATATGGGCTCGGCCGCTCGGTAGGCGGGCCGAGAACTCGTCGGTGTGGCCCTCACCACCTGGCGTCATTGCGACCGTGACGTTGGCGCCGCCAGCGCGCGGTTGCGCCGTCAGCACCAGCTCGGCCTGCAGGGCGGCCAGCCCCGTCGCGACGGCCGCCTTGACCCGCACCGAGTCGTCGTCTAGGTTGTAGTACGTGCCGCTATGGTCCAGGACCACGGTGACGGCCCGCCGCAGCAGTGCTTTCTGCGGCTGCGCGCGCGGCGTCCTCTCTCCAGGCATCGTCCACCTCACGTCAAACTGTGTCTGGGCCGAGTCGGCCCACTTGTCCGGCCGGGCGATGAGGACGCGCCGCAGGATCAAGGAACCGTCGAAGAAGCGGTCCTTCATGTGGCCTGTTGCGAAGCGAGGCGTTAGCGTCACGACGAGCATCGTCGTCGGCTGCGCTTCGGTGGTCTGTTTCTTTAGGTTCAGCGGTGCGCCCACGGCCGGCGGAGGCTCCGGCAGCTCGTATAGGCTTCCGAGGACGACATGAGTTGTGTAGATCCACTGGGCGTTGCTGTTGAGGCTCTCGACCCGCGGCAGGGTTGGCGCCGCCGCCGAGCCCGGCAGCAGCAGCATGGCGGCGATGCTGCCGCTCTGTGCCGGCTGGACCGCGGTGGCGAAGGCGATGGGGATCCGCACCTCGAGGCTGGTCGGGTGCTTGCCCTGGATGGACGTGTCGGCCTGCGAGAAGGCCAGGGAGAAGATCAGGTCGATGGGCGTGTCTAGCGCGAAGATGGTGGCGTCGCTGGGTCCGCCTGGGTCGTAGAGAGGCATGCAGGACGCCTCGAGCGGCTGCGAGCTGGGGCTGAAGGTGGCTTTTGCGGCCTCCTCGTCTGGCTTTTGGCTCTCAAGAACTTCGTGCGGGGCCGCTGCTGGGACTGCTCCCCCGTTGCCCTCTATTCGTACGAGCGGGACTGGATCGCGCGGGCCCCGAGGGAGTGCGGCAGGGGCAGGCTCGACGCGGCCGGGGTCGGGTTTCTCGTCCTCTGGCTTGGCTGCTGGCTGCCGCTTGGTCTTGGTCGGCGGTGGGACGGGCTTGTCCTGGGCGTGTTCGTCTTTCTTGTCCGGCACCGGGGGTGCCGCCAGCTCCTTGATCGGCAGGTTCATACAGAGCACTGGCCTGCATAGCTGCGAGGCTAGGAGGGACGATGGCAGGGGATCCTCTTTTTTCCACTTGAACACTTGGGTCGGCTGTTCGGGCATGTCGACGTACTGCTGCAGAATCTTGTCTGGTACGATGAGCCGTGCTGGCCAGTCGTACAGGTCGACCTTACTGTCGCTGGCGTTTATCTCCACGGCCGTGAGATGGATGGGGTCTGCTCTGGGCGGCCTTCCCCCCTTTTCCTCGAGGGGGACGAGCGGGATCGGCCGGATCGCGAATTTCAGCTTCGTTGGTGTAAGGCTCTCTCCGAATGCGAAGCACTGCTGGTGCGGCGGCTGCGAGATGGTGATGCGCGTGAAGCCCGCGTCGCCCGGCGCGCGGTCAAACAGGCAGACGAGAACGTCGTCGGTGAGGATCTGCATGTATAGCACTTCGCGGAGGCCGGTCTCCGCCTGCTTCGAGTCCGGGGGCCACGGCGCTTCCACCTTGAGGTCCGGGAAGGCGGCCACGGCGATGCTGCGGAGGAGAAACCCCCACTTGGGGATTTGGACCTTGTCGTTGTTTTTCACATACGTCCTGACGCAGTCCATGATGCCGCGGCGGAGCAGGTCGTCACCCTCGGTCCGGTGGTTGGCGAGGCTGAGACCTCCGTCGATGAGGGCGTCAACCCACTTGACGTCGATGGAAAAGGTGCGGATTGACTCCCGGGGCAGCATGTCTGGGTCTGGAACGAGGTAGTGGAGAGGCACGGTGGCGAGATAGCACTTGTCGACAACCCAGGCCCGCACGGCTAGGGCGTCGGTATCGGGCGGTGTTATTCCGAGGCCAAAGTAGCTCTCCATGACCATCTTGGCGGCCGCCTCGTACTTGCTGGCCTCATGTTGGCTTGCGCGGGACAGCCGCTCGACGGGGAGTCTGCGCTGGTCCTTGGGTGTTTGCACCCAGCGTTTGTGCGCTCCCCGGTTGGCCAGCTGCCTGGAGCCGTGCGCTTCCGCGAGTTTCTGGATGGATCCCTGAACGGCGCTCAGGAAGGCTGCCCTGTTGAGGGTATTTTCGCCAAGCGCCTGGGCCTTAGCGATCTTGACGGCGGCCGAGTGTATATGGCCGCGCAGGCGTAGGAGACTGGTCGTGAAAGTGCCGTCCGCCATCGCAAGCGACCGTCCTAGGTTCCAGGCCGCGCTATATGAGGTGTCACCGATGCCCGTGGTTTTGTCAGTCAGCGCCAGTTGCTTGCAGGACGCGACAAATGGCTGGATCATGTCGCGGCTCGGCGCTACGGGGATCAGCGGGCCGCGGAACAGTGACATGGTCTCCTCTCCGGTCTCTAGCGTATGCCGCTTGAGCGTGTAACCGCACTTGAGGATGTCGTGGAGCCAGTCCGATGAGGCTCCGTCTTTGTACTCGAAGTTGGGGTCGGAGATGCGGAGCGGGCGTAGAGTGTGGCCTAGCCCGCGCATGACCTCCCCGAAGTCGACCTGCTCTGGCGGGATGCACATCCAGTCCCAGCTGTGGAGGGATACGAGGCCGGCGTATTTCTTGCCGTTCTTGGCCACCTTAATCTTGTCCAGCCCCTCCAGGGAGATCAGGTGCGAGACGACACGGGTTGGCTTGCTGACGGAGGGCGGCCCGGTCCGTGGGCTCACGACGACTGAGAACTGCGGCTGGGCCTTGGCCGGGTCGGTGCTGGCCATGAACCCGCCGTGCGTCTCGCGCACGTGCGCCATCATGGCGAATCGGCCAGTGTCGACAGGGCCGGACCGGACGGGAGCGCCGTCACCGCCGTAGCTTGTGGTGAACAGCAGCCCGAAAGTCTCGTCCCGTAGGAGGAGGACCTCCACGGGGTCGGCAACCTCGTAGTCGCGGCTCGTAGCACCCGGGTCGAGCGGCGAGGAGACCTTGTCATTTTTCTCGAGCCTGCCTGCCGTGATGGAAACGGTACCGTAGCTCGAAAGCTTGTCGATGTCTTTATCAAAGCCAGCGTCCTGGCAAGATTTGGCATCCAGCACCAGCTCATCCTCCGTGAAGGAGAGCAGGCCTATCCATGGCACGCGGTTGAAGCCCACGACCTTCGGGGTCCCTTCTCGGCCCCAAGGTGTCGTCGGGTGGCTGAAAACGACGTGGGCCAGCGTCTGGCAGTAGTCGCTGTGTCCTGGGGCTGGATACACGCTGTGAATGTCGTCCTTGTTGGGGAGCCTGAACTTGGGCGCCGAAACCACCAGGGTCGCCTCGTGTTGTAGGGGAAGGTTGATGGTCTCGGAGCTGGTTGCGATATCCTGCGAGACCTTGATGGAGTAGGAGCCCACGATCAGCGGGGGCTCCTGGTATGACCAGAGCCTCAGCTCTTCCGGCTTTAGGCCGCCCTGGTCCGCTTTGGTGAGATGGCGGTCACTAGGCCTTCCGGAGAAGGCTGGGTGTTGTCTGTTGGTCGATGCTGAGAGCATTGTGAGCGGCTTGATGGATGGGGTCGTCTCCGCCAGCAGCAAGCATTTAGCTCTTGTTCAAGTAATATGAACATGGAAGCCCGGAAAGTCGTTGATGGAATCTGGCTGCTTCCAGTGCGTATCGGTTTGAAATCGGAGGCAGTGTGCCGTGTCAACGGACCTCGAGGCCCCACGCCCTGCCTCCCCTAGGTCGGCTAACAACTTAAAACCCGCCGACGGGCGGTTGAGACACTTGCAGGAGCAGAGCGCTAACCCGCGGTGTTCGACAATTCCTACATCTGACAACTCTCTCTGTGGCGGCCGTGCAGCAGTTGAGACAAACGACCGCCACAGTCGAGAAAAGCTTGCCCCCCAGTGGGCCGAGAGGTGCAGAAGAACTAGTAGTGGTCTAGTGAAAGGTGCGTCACAACCCCGCCGAGGCGCTGGCCAGACCTGTTGGAAAGTTTGCACCAAGGTAGGCCCAAAATCAGTTCAATGCAACAGCAACAGTCTGATTGAGTGCAAGGTCTTGGGGTGAGTCCTGGGGACCCGCCGGCTGGGGACCCCATTTTGCCCTGAAAAAGAGGGGCTTTCCTGGGCTAGGCCCAAAAGGGTGCCCTGCATGCGCCCGCAGGTCAGACTGCTAGCGGATTCCGGATTCCGCCTTGGTCAGGACCTCAAAAATCCAACAAGACTGGTCCTTTGCAGACTCCTAAACCTAATGGATAGCGTGTAGTTCTAGGGGACCTTGAGACCCTACGTCTTGCCTCCCGTTGGTTGGCTGAGAACCCTGAACTTGCTGATGGGTGTAGAGAGATTTGCAGCCGTAGAGTGTTACCTTACTGTATTCGGCAATGCTCATGTTTTATTTAGTAGCTTTTCCCGTGGCGTTTGTACTGTGTATTGTAAGACGTGCTTAGGGGAATTACATAGGGAAAGGTGTGGCACAACCCCCCGCCAAGGCGCTGGCCAGACCGGTCCAGCCCCGCGCCGATATGCGTGATGAGCGAGGGCTCGGGCATTCACAGTGTGCGGCGGCACTGTAATCGAGACCCCCAGGCGACGGGAGCCAACGACCTGCCAACGACCTGCCAACGACCTGCCAACGACCTGCCAACGACCTGCCAACGACCTGCCAACGACCTGCCAACGACCTACCACCCCCGGCCCATGGGTACATGCCGACATATGCCTGACGACCTGGAGAGCCGCCGAGGAGACGTCTTGTAACTAAGAGCGAGATGCCAAGTTTTGGCCGGAGAAAATAGCAAAAATACCAAAAAACACCAAAGATCTCAGCAACTCGCTGCACCCCGGACCAGGTCGGAATTTCGATAATGGCTGAAGAAAAATTCCCCCCGGCCACGGCCAAGGCCACTGTCGTCGTGCCCATGGCACTGCAGGCGTTTATCGTCTCGGGAGACTTCAGCAGCAGCGCGTACCAGGTTGCACCGCTCGTGCTGCCCGACTTTGCAGCGCTACGATCGCGTCAAGGGGAGATCGGCCACGACCTCATGGACCAGCTGGACATGTCTTATTGGCGGTTGCAGGCTCGCTACAGCCCGCGCTTCGTCGACGTCCGAACCGGGCGCGTGCGGGATGACCGGACCGGAGTCTACCTCAGCTGGTGCCTTCCGCGGCTATACCGGACCGGCACCACTAAGACCAAGGGCGTAACCGTAACAGAGGACGCCAAGAAAGCCCACGACGAGAACCGCGTGCGATCCGGGTTCAACAGAGCCACACTTGAAGAAGGCGACGTATACGTATGTATATCCGTACCTGGTAACTTTGCTGCTGTGCCCACGCGGATGTGGGAGGTCTTGTTCGATGCGTTTCCTTACTTTCCTTTTTCTTTGGCTGACGCGGGCCAGTTTCGGCCAGTTCCCGACCGCTGGGTCATCGCGAGGAAGAGCCGTACCCAGAACCCTCCCAACATGGTGTGGATTGTCGAGAGCAACCGCGTCCGGACTCTGGACGACGCGGACTTCACGGCCGGAGGAGCGGACATTGACGTATCTACGTCGCCCGGCATGGACCCAGGCCAGCCACTCGACGTCCAGCATAAACTCTTCATTGGTCGGTCGGCCAAACTCGACGCCAGTTTCAGGAGCGGCCCCGAGCAGTCATATCTGAAAAAGCTCAACGTAATGGAGAACGGCCACGAATTCTTCGCCGACTACCAGCCGCACAATATGGGGGTGTTTTCCTTTTTCGACAACCTGGACGGCGCGCAAGACGTCACGGTAGACTACACCGTGGTCGGCTTCCACTCCCGCGTGGCTGACGACCCCCTGGCTGTGTCCGGGACCCCTCCGGCCGGCCTCACGTATGCCCAGCTGCTCTATAACATGTCACTCGTGCCCGACTCGGGCAGCGCTGCCGACTTCCTGGGGGCGCCCGTCGGGAAGCAGGGCCGAACGCTGACGCACGGCTTGCTGAGGGAGGTGCGTTTCCGGCCCAACAGCAGTTTCCTTCACGCGCCGTCGGTCGAGCTGCAGGATCTGGTCTACAATCACCAACCCATCGCCGTCGGCCTGCACACGCTGGACGCACTAGCAGCCTTCTTGCACGTCAGCATCGGCCACGACGACGAGGACGACAGCGCGGCGGCGGCGGCACACACGATGCTCGCCCAGCTGGTCATGTTGATCGCGCGGGACGACGATGTCGACTCACAGCGCCGGGCGGCCGACGAGACGGCCATGTATGGGTGGGTCGCACTGCGGCCGGGCACGGTGTGGCAGCTACCCAAGAGCGGCGACAAGGCAGAGGGCGGGGGCGCATCGTCAAAGCCGCCGGACGACCAGGTGGCGGCGCTGGCGAGTCTCAACGAAGCCCAGTTGCGGGTCGACACTTGCCACCGGGAGCTGTCGCAGCTGGTCCAGGATCTATTTGGGGCCTGGTGGAATGCCGTTGGCCTGCGCAAGTTTCCCAACGTGCACAAAAAGCGGTGCGAAGATGTGCAGAAGGCAGCCAAGGAGATCAAGCAGAGAATGGAGGTGCTCAACCCAGCAGCCGGCCTGGCGCAGAAAGCCATCGATGGCACCTTCAAGCCGGCGCTGGAGAAACTTCTGGGCGCCACAAAGACACTAGTAGCCTCGACGGCGCGCGCCCACGGCCGCCATCAAGACCCAACGCTTCTGTTCGCCGGCGCCGAGTCGGGGTGGCCCAAAGGCTTTGCTGATCCGCTCACGGTGCGGCTTGCGTCTGACATTGCGCCGTCCTCCGAAGACGGCTCTTTCGATGCCACCATGAGGCTTCTTGATGGTGCCTCGGAATGTGTTTCGGATCCCCTGAAGCGCCTGATGCGGGAGTTTGTCGAGTTTGATCCGGCGAGGCGCGCCTCCTGGACGCGGAACCCGTACGCAGACATGGAGAGCATGAGAGACAGGCAGGGATGGTTCCCGCTCTTCATGGAGTGGGAAGTGGAATACTACCACATCCCTTTCTCGATGTGGGAATTCCGTCCCGTGGCCGCAACGGGCCGATGGCGCTACGTTATCCCCCCTGATAAGGAGCTGGCCAAGGTCGAGCCCAATGTCGAGCCCAAGGTGGGTGCGGATTGCCGCACGCTCTCGGGGCGAACCGCCATTGCACCTGAGGCGGCTCTAACACTCCGGGCGCGGCTCAGGCAGTTTTTCGACCAGAACAAGGATAACCAGACCAAGGAAGGCCAGACCAAGGATAACCAAACCAAGGAAGGCCAGACCAAGGATAACCAAACCAAGGACGGCCAGGCCAAGGACGGCCAGACTAAGGACGGCCAGACCAAGGACGGCCAGACCAAGGACGGCCAGAGCAAAGATGGCCAGACCAAGGACGGCCAGAGCAAAGATGGCCAGAATAGGGATGCCGATATCCAGCTGAAGCGCGAGGCAGTGTTACAGGCGGCAGCGGCGCTCGAATACTTCTCGTCGCCACTCGTCGGATTCACCGACCACCTCCTCACGCTGCGCCGTGGACACCTTCCCCAGCCGTTGGCAGACGATACGGAGATCTGCTCGACCCTGAAGATCTCGCAAGATCTGATGAATGTGCTTGCAACAACGGCCCACGAACTGGCCCCCTACGGGGCGACAACACCGTTACCACCCCACTACACGTCATTCAGCCCTTTCAAGCCTGTCACGCACGGCCAATTCCGGTTCACAAAATTGGCCATCGTCGACAAGTTCGGCCAGGTCGTGTCGGGCATCCAGCCCGGGGAAAATGACGGACCCGGCTCGATGCTGTACCCCTGTGTGTCTCCAGGCTTATCATGTGGTGTGGTCGAGGGCCACGACAGCGACAAGAACTACATGCCTAACACAGCGATCAAGGCTGATAAGGAGCCCAACATCTGCCAGTTCGTGCAGGTGCCCCCGCGCATCAACCAAGAAGCACGGCTGAATGCGCGCTTCCTGATGCCTACGGACACGGACGACGCATCGGCTCCGCGCCGCTCCGTGGGCGACTGGGACAATCCCATCTGGGCCTGGCTGGTGGTCAACTTCCAGAACGAGTCGGTTCAGTTGTACAATGGCGACGGCGAGTTTGCCCTCGAGATCGTCCTAGACGACAACAACAGCAAAGTTCACGACTCTCTCGGGCCCAGCCCGCCACACGCGCCGATGATCACGGGCCGTCTGGCCACGCTGCTGGCTGCGCTGCGCGGCAGCTACGCCCTAGCGCGCGCCCTGTACGAGACGCTGGCCGCCGCCGCCGACAGCGTGCGCTCGTCGAGCGCCGACGCCCAGAGTATGCCGCCGGCCGCCTTCGGCAAGCCCTTTTGCGTCGCCGACATTGGCCTCTCCATCGAGCTGGCGGCGCCCGCGCGGCAGGATACCTCGCTGCTGACAGCGCCCTCGTCGCGCCACGAGCCACTGTTGACAGCGCCCTTGTCGCCTCACGAGCCGTTGTTGACAGCGCCTCCATCGCTCCGCGAGCCGGAGATCGACCCCGAGAAGACGTACAAGTTCTCCGTGGCGCTGGGCAACCCCGGCGCCGCCTTTGACGGTCTCGTGGCGACGTTCGCGGCCGAGGGACCCATCACTGCCGTGGAGACGGCCTACGATACCAAATCAGCCAAGTCGTCGTCACCGGCGGCAAAGCAGAGCAAGCCGCTGAAGTTGACCGCATATTTCCTACCCGGCGACACGCCCGGCCTCGCCGCGGCGCACGACGCGCGGCTCCACCCCCTCGGCATCATCTTCGACGCCGCGTGCCCCGTCCACGTCTACTCGGGCAGCCTGTTCCCACTGCTGCAGGTCAGCCCGCCGGCCTGGCGCGTCGACACCGCCATGCGCCACATGCAGGCCTTCTTCGCGGCAGGGCCCACGCTCGTGCCGACCAAGCCAGAGCCAATGGTGCACACGCAGCAGCAGCAGCAGTTGGAACCAACGGTGAAGATGCCGCTCTCTGCGGCGGCGGGGGGCGGCCAGTGGAGCTGGCTGCAGCCGCGGCTGGATGGCGGGAACACAGTTTGGGATTCGGCGCAGATTAAGCCGCTGGATACCAAGCTGCAGGTCGAGGCAGCCGCGGCGAGCGAGTTAGTGGAGGGCTTTGTGCTAGTTGAGCCTGCCACTAAGGGCAGTAATAAGCAGAAGTGACAAGGCTAGCATTAGGATGCGGCCTAGCACTTTGACGGACCTAGCACTTTGACGGACCTACTTTGACGGACCTAGCACTTTGACGGACTAGCACTTTGACGGACCTAGCACTTTGACGGACTAGCACTTTGACGGACTAGCACTTTGACGGACCTAGCACTTTGACGGACCTACCATGTATAGGTGCGGCTAACGAGAAAGTGCCATAGGAAGGTACAATAGAGCAAGGACTTGGGTAATGCAATGAGTTGAACAGTTAGTCTCCCGCGTCTTTCCCGAGGTAACACGGTAACTCACACCCAGATAGATGCAGGCCCTTGGTTCAGGTTGATTACACATGGGCCGGAAGCAGTTTCAGATGCCGGGCACAGTGCGAAGTGGCGCTAGGATCGGCCATGCATCCGTTGTCATCCTCGCCACTTAGACTACTCTGTGTAGTCTGCTCTAGGACTAGCTGCATGCAGGAGCAGCCTGAGACTGTCGGCACGAACAATATCACCACCTTCGCCCACGGGCTTGTCTCTATTTGGGGTACAACGCAGCTATTTGTTGGGGAAACCTCTGGTCAGTCGGCCTAGACCCGGCCCTGTGCGTCCAGAGGCTTGCAGACCCTCTGCGAGGAGCTCGAAACGGAAAGCGCCAGATAAGGTACTGCCCGTCAGACGATAAGCCAGGCATAATTAGGTACCTTGATCACCACTCAGAGAGGTTCCTAACTTTTGGTGCGGCGGCGATGTCTGACACTGCCTACAAATTGTCTCAATTCACCGATCTTGGTCCCTACCCAGGTAGAGTATTATGTACTTTAGGGGATAGCGGCCCTTGACCCGCACATCACTCCCGACGTGTAGGTACCTGGGTATTTGTGCCTTACCCAACTCGGCGCGCGTACACCCTCCGGCAGTGTTACCACTACGGCCAGACGACAGACCACTACGGCCAGACGACAGATACAGTCCTCCAAACCGCCATGTCATTTTCGATCGCCGCCATCGCCCACACAACCATCGAGCTTTGCGGATAAACCAACATGCCGCCCAAGCCCAAGACCGGATTTGAGTATGAGGATTATGAGGTCGAGTCCTACTTCATCAACGTCGGTGTTGGAGATGGTGCCGTGCATCTTCTCCGCAAGGGCGGCGACACTGTTGGCTCGGTGCTGATGGATGGAGGCCGGCCGACTGCCCGTGGTGACTTGAAACTCGCAGTCGGCAAGCTCATGAAAGACGATGCCTCGCTAAGACGCAAGCGCTTCACCAGCATTGTTGTCACTCACTGGGATGGCGACCACTATGGTGGTCTCCTGGCACTGCTGTACCACGACATGGTCGGCTCACCCACGAATGCGAAGAACTGGACCTACGTCGACCAGAATCAGACAACCTTCTACTGCCCGGCAAGAAGCGTCAACAAGATCGTCCAGCAGGGCTGGAAAATCGATGTGGGCGGCAACCAATGCTACTTGATGTTCCAAGACGGGAAGAAAGACGCGTGGTACCAGGCTTGTAAAGCCGTCTTCAGCACCCACTGCCTTGGCATCGACCTCTTCACTGGCAAGCATTTCGACAACAACGCCGGTAATCCACCCAAGTTGAAAGACCCTGTCACGTCTCTGCTCGGCTATTACGGAAAGTGCGCGGAACTGCAGAAACAGTTGTCTCCTGTGTTCCCCTGCATCAGCGTCGATGAGAAGTTCATCAACGAAAAGTGGCGCGTTTTCGAAGAGGGCTGGAAGAAGAAGTCGGATGACGCCAAGGATATGAATGCGTCTTCCATCATGGCAGCGGTCGTCTGGCCTGTCCCGTCAAATCAGAGTCCACTGCGCATCTCGCTCTACACCGGCGGTGACGCCGAGGAAGTCCTGGAGAGGAGTTTCATCGCCTGGATGACGAATGCTGCCCCCCCCGGCGTCAAACTAGACGCTGTCAAGGCCGGCCATCACGGCTCGCACAATGCCACCCCAGAGAACCTGCTCATGTTCGATGCCCAAGCCTTCATTGTCTCCGCCGGGGACGAGTACGGCCATCCAAGTGAGTAGTGGAGCTGCCCAAGATGCGTAAAGTAGGCAATAGCTAACGCGGCGGGCGTCCCTGGTCCTGCCGGCTTCTAGGTTTCGCAACGCTGTTCTATGTGTTGGCGGTAGCACAGTTCAAGAACAGTTTGGGGAAGGCGTTCCCGCAGGTACTGGGAACTCGAGCGCCGTACTGGATGACGGCAGGGCTGGACACGCTGAGGAGCGCGGATCTGAATGTCTCGACCGTGCTGAGCTTCAAGGACGGGACCACCGCCATCCTCGATGCCTTGAAGAACATGTCGGGAAATGACAACATGTTCTGGGACATCGTAAGCAAGGCGGCCGCGGCAATGAAGACATATTACAGCCTCTCCTACTCCAAGGAACAGTTCGAGAAGCTGCAGAAGGACTGGGCCAACACGGCGCTCGGGCGGCTTCCATCCCAATACTGGAAGCCGCCCGGCAGCAACGCCGGCACGGCACAAGCGGCTTTCGAGGACTGCACCGAAATCGCACGGAACGGAGTCATACTGAGGTGGAACCAATTCGGTTCTCCGGATCTGGCAGACCAGGAGACGGCTAGCTATGTGCACATGACGGCAACGGGTAATTCCGGCGACGTGGTGTGCAGACTCGACTACCGCAAGGGCACGGCGCGAGCCACGGCCAGAAAGACCCGGCAGAAAGTAACAACGCCCAGGACGAGGACGAGGCAGACGTTGAAGCAGTACGACGCCTTGGTAAAGCAGTATGCGGCTGCTAAGAACCCTGGTACTAACTCCGCCAACCTTGTCGCAAACAAGAACAAGGTTGTGAGAAGCAGCCTGAGAATTAGAAAACAGAAAAAACGGCGCGGCCGGCGTGTTTTCCTCATGGCCGCCCAGGCCCCGACTGACCCGCTGGAGACGTGGACCAGGGACCTGTTTATCGACGAGTTCCAGGCCCTGAAGGGCCAGCCACCAGTCAAGCTGAGCGAAGAGAACTCAGACGTATGCGAGTGGCTTCACAAGTGCTTCACGGATCCGGATGGTGGTGCTAGCGGCAAAGTCTCGGTCGAAGTCTCGTACTTCACCAGCACCGGCGCACCCGACGGCGGCATCGGTCTAGATCAGATCGAACTCACGGTCACGTTCCAAGACGCTGCTAACAAGCCCGTGCTTGCTTTCACGACGGCCGAGACGAGTCGAAAATCGCAGTTCGGGCCAGCTGCCGTGGATGGCGCGGTAAAGCCGACACTGCCGGGGTATTACAGCTCGCTATGTGGCATGTTGTTCGCCTTGGACCCGGCCAAGTCTGCTCGCACGCTCACCTTCGGGCAGTTTGCTCAAGTCATGCAATTCCCTCTGCATAAGACGGCGGCCCAGCACCTCAACGATCTCCCTCTAAAAGTCCGCGCCGCAGATGGAGCCCGCTCCGGTCTGTGGTTCATCCCAGACGGGGATAACCGCGTCATCTTGCGTCTAGCCATGGAACCCGCTCTTGGCGATAGCAAATCGCCGGTCGGCGAGCTGCAGGCGCTTCTGAAGGACGGCCTGGGTCCTGTGAGCTTCGCAAATGTCGTCGTGACGGGAACAACCGTCTACGAGCTGCTCCTCGACACCAATGTCCAGATCACATCGGCGCTGGATCTCGAAGCAACGCTCATGCTGGACGATCCCAAGGACCCTCTCCATGAGCTGGGAGCGTCGCTGGAGGGCTCCATCAGGCTGTCGCTCTCAGAGCATGGCTTCGAGCTCGTGTTTAAGTTTGCCAAGGCATCGGGAGACCTCGCGAAGCTGCTGAAGATCTTCCTGGCCAGGTTTTTTGCAGGGCACGGCGCTGCTGATGAAAGCGGGTCCGCGGACTCTGCGGTAGCCAAAATCGAGGACGCGTTGAAGACTGTCATGCCCAAGAACAACATCTATATTCGCACCGTCTCGGTTGTCTTTGCCGGCGATCAGAATACGAAGCCGGCACCGGTGTCTTTCACGGTCGGCCTAGAGGCTGGCCTGCCAGTCGGTGATAACCAAGGCCCGCCCAATGCCCCCTTTTGGGTTTCGCTTCAGTGGAGTGACGGCGTCTTTCGACTGTCGGCGGAGCTCTGGGGCAAGGCCGAATCGTTTGGAGACACACCCCTCGACCTCTACCCTTACTACGACAGCTTTGTTCGCTTCGACCCGTGGACAGACAACTCCGTCGAGACCATATCAATCCAGAAGCTGATCGGTCAAGGTAGCCTCACGCTACCCAAAGGGATCCCCGACACGATAGAAGAGGCCCGCATGTCGCTGGCGTACGGCGACGGCGACGGCGACGGCGACGGGAACATGACGGTAGGGCTGGCAGCCCGCCTGCAATGCGAAAGCGACCCGCCGAGTGCAAAAGATCAAGGCGATGTGCCGCCGCTCTGGTTCGACGAAGTACAGCTCGACCTGGCCCTAAGCTACACGCCGGGTTCTACGCTGCCATCGGCCTTCTCCGTTCAGTTCAATACTACTATCGAGCTCCAGCTCGATGATGAGCACAAGGATCCGGAGACGGACAGGTTTGCGTGCATGTACGCGCGGATCAGTTATGAGACCGGCGACGGCGGAGCCCACTGGATAGTGGCGGGCGACGTCCGGAACATCAAGGTGGCCAACCTCTTCGGCCTGTTCGCTGCCGATGGCTCTGGCCACGCCATCCAAGACATCATGGCAGGCCTAGTCATCGAGAGAGCCTCTGCGTCCTACGAGTACGACAGCTCTGGCCTGCCATCTACGCTAGGCTTGAGCGGGACATTGCTGCTCGGCCCGCCCGACAAGTTCACCAAGAACGGCGACGAGTTTGTCAGGATCGACAACTCCACAAAAAGGCTGAGGCTGGCTCTCACGTACACCCACAGCAGTGGCACGGACGGCAGCTGGTCCTTCGGGGCCAAGCTTGCCTCCGCCGCTGCCGACGGCGGCAACAACAAAGTGAACGTCTCGCAGCTCCTGACGGGACTCGTCGACGACGTGGGGTCGCTGCCGACGGTTGCACAAAACCTCGAGGTGTCGCCGTCCGAGTTGTCGCTGGACCTCTCGTGCAAGAGCGTCAAGGGCGTCGACGGGCAGAAGCACGCCATCTTCGCGGTCTTCATCGCCATCAACACCAGCTTCGTGATAACGTACGCCCAGGTTCGCAGCTACGGGGACGAGGCAAAGAATCCCCCGCCGCTACAGCCGCCGGCCGGGTATGCGCGCGCCGGCCGGCTGCTGCGCTTCTCGCTGGCGGGCCTGCCCGCAGTGCCCAAGATGCCCGTTGTTGGGTCCGTTGCGCCTCCCTTCGACCAGCTGGGCATCGTTTGGACCAACCGCGAGATCACGGGGCCCGAGGTCGACGTGCTCAACAACAACGTCTTCCAGGGCCCGCTGCGGCTGCTCGTCAAGCCGAACAAGCCCGACCCCAAGACGGGCCCGGCGCCACCCGTTGGCCTTGCGGCCGGTGTCCACTTCCAGGTGGCGGCGCTCGAGCAGGGGCAGGCGCAGCTCGTGCTCGACCACGTGGTGGGCGGCGCGCCGTCCCCGCCGCCGCCGCCGCCGCCGCAGGGCGGAGGGACTGGCGGGGGTGGGCCGCAGCCGAGTCCTCCTCCGCAGCCGGGTCCCCCTCCGCAGCCGAGCCAGACGGGCGGCAGCGCCAAGGAAGTCGGCCCGCCGGCCGATGCGGGCACGTCCGTGGCGCCAATGGCCAAGACGGCCGGTCCGCTCTCGATCCGAAACATTGGCCTCTCTATCTCGGGCGCCTCGCTCAGCTCGGTGTGCGTGTCCCTCGACGCCTCGGTTCGCCTCGGCCCCGTTTCCTTCGAGCTGATGGGCCTAACACTCACCTTTGATCTGAGCGGCGTCCGGCACCCGGACGACTTCAAGAGCCTGCACCTCGAGCCCAAGCTCGCGGGCATGAGCGTGGCCTTCGAGAAGCCGCCGGCGCGGCTGGCCGGCACCTTTGCGAGCTTCGACCACGGCAACTCGGCCGGCTTCATGGGCGCCGTCGCTGTGTCCATGACTAGGTGGTCGGCGCTCGCGATGGGCGTCTACGAGGAGACCAAGACGGAGCCCTTCACCAAGTCGCTGTTCATCTTCGGCGTGCTGCAGGGCCTCATCGCCGAGCTCGGCTGCGCCGAGATCAACGGCCTTAGCGGCGGCTTCGGCTACAACTCGCGCCTGTCACTGCCGGACGTGAGCGGCGTCCCCGGCTTTCCCTTCATCGCCCTGGCCAGCGACACCCCGTCTCAGGTCGACATCCTGCAGCGTCTCGCCCAGTTCCGAGACGGCTCAAACGCCATCGTCTCAACAGTTCCGGACGAGATGTGGTTCGCCGCCGGTAAGTACCTGCTCGTGGCCTCAGAACTGCTTAATTTCCCCGTCCCTTCTCCCTCCCCACCTCTCCACGCCATCTGCCGGGTTAAATGCATCCTACTGACTGTGAACGGCGGGAACAGGTCTCCATTTGAAGGCCTTCCAGCTCGTGGACGTCAAAGCCCTCCTCGCCGTCACGCTGTCCGCGGAACCCAAGTTCGCCATCCTAGCCGAAGCCCGGGCCGTATTTCCCAAGAACCTCAAAGTTGACGACGAGAAGGAGAAGGCAGACCCGCTCGCGCACGCCTTCCTCGTCGTCGACCTGGCCATGGAGGCCGTCGTCGACCCGCTGCACGGCACCGTCCTCGTGCTCGGGCAGCTGATGCCGCCCTCGTTCGTGCTCCACCCGTCATGCCAGCTGACGGGCGGCTTCGCGCTGGCCTACTTCCTGCCGGGCTCGGAGCACGCAGGCGACTGGGTCTGTACTGTCGGCGGCTACCACCCGCACTACACGCCGCCGGCGCACTACCCCAACCCACCGGGCGGCCGCGTCGCCATCGCCTGGCAGATGGACGCCGACCTGCACCTAACGGGCGAGGCCTACTTCGCGCTGACGCCACAGGCGGCCATGGGCGGTGGGCGGCTCGACGTGGTGCTGGACCGCGGCTGGCTGCGCGCCGGCTTCAGCGCCTACGCCGACTTCTTCATGCACTTCCACCCGTTCGCATTCGAGGCGGACGTCGGTATCGCCCTCTTCGCCAGCGCCACGTTCCGCCCGTTCTTCATCACCATCCACCTCGGCCCGCTTGAGCTGTCGGCCGACGTCGCGCTGCGCGGCCCACCCATCCGCGGCGAGGCCCACGTGCACGTGTGGCGCTGGGGCGTTGACGTCGTCTTCGGCCCCGCCGACGCGCACGCCTCGCCGGCCCTCAAGCTCGACGAGTTCCTCCGCATGGTCAAGAACGTCACCGCCAGCGTGCCGGACGCAGGTGCGGCGGCCGTGCCGAACTTCGTCGTCTCCGTCACCGAGGGCGCCGTAACGCTAGCGGGCGGCGCCGGCTCGGCGGCGTCGGGGCCTACCGAAGTGCTCAGCTCACTTCTGCGGTTCGAGGTCGTCACGCGTGTGCCTGTACGCTCAGCCGTGATAGGAGACGCGCCGGAGCAGGTGATCAACTCGCCCGGGACCAGCCAGCCGATCAATGTCTTTGCGAGGCCCACCCAAAACAAGGAGCCGTGGAAGACGTCGCAGCTCGTCATCAGCCTGGAGCGGAATGGCGTCAAAGAGCCGCTCGTGCCCACGCCGCTGTGGAAGAATGTGCCTCCCGCACTGTGGGGCGAATGTGAGTTACCCTCCCTGCCTCGCGGGCATCACACGCTGTCCCTTCGTGACGTGATGCCGACGAGGAGCCCACTGCCCCCAACGTTGCGGACAAGAGTGCCACTATAGAGGCATAGGGGCATAATTAACCCCCCTTGCCAGTACCCGACTAACCCGATCACAGACACGGGAAATCCCGGCGACGACACCGCCGACCCACAAAAGACACCGCTCCTGCAGCACGTCATGGGCTATACCATCAGCGTGTGCCCCAAACCCCCGAGCCCGGATCGTCTCCCGGCCATCTCGATAAAGCAGTTCTGCATGCTCGACGTCGACAAGTTGGGGAACGTCCCGATCCCCCACATCAACCCCGTCGAGGCGCTCGCGGACGACGACCGCTTCGTGCTGGGGACGCCCCGGGAGGTTCGGGCCGGTATGGCCGAGGCGGCGGGAGAGCTGCTCGGCAAGGCCCGGGACGGCGCAGTGCAGGCGTGGACGGCGTTCAAGAAGCGTTCTTCCGGCGGAGGAGCCGCCGAGATGGCCAGCCTGCCCATTTTCGCCAAGGCGGCGCCGCCGGTAGGGAAATAGCGATCGGTAGAATCTGCCTGGTATGGTTCTGCACAGTTTGTCTGCTGAGGGAGGTGCATGTAGCCATTGAGATACGGCAAATGGCGATCCAAGGAACAGTGATAAACGGAACGCAGGTATTCATATAAAACTAAAGGTACTAAAGGTACTTACCTAGACAACTCGCGACATTACTACCTTAGTAACTAGGTATGCATTGGCGCAAACCCCTGGCATATTTACAGCAAGCAACCCGTTTAATCTCTCTAACCACACATTACTCTACACAATACCGCAGCGTCATCTACTGCTCACAGACCTCACCATCCTTCCAAAACAACCCCGTCTTCCCTCCAATATCCCCCAACGCAAGCAGGACTACTGTTCTCGAAGCCTCATCCGGCGACTTCCTCCCCATCCAAAACGTCATATCCGTCCTCGCCCAGCCGGGACAGCACGCATTCACCCGCACTTTCCATCCGCAACCTCCTCATCGGCCACTAACGCTCTCAAGAGCGCAATAACGCCAGCCTTGGAGATCGCGCAAGCCGATTGGTTCTACCCCTTTTCACAAGCTGTTCGTTTAGTGCGCGCGCGCCAAGCTCCCTTACTTCGTACAGCTAACTCTCTTGCTAAACCGTGTTTCCTTTGTCCTTTTTCTTGAGTATAAGAAGGCTTTCTTTCGTGTATTACTAAACCTGATTTAACCAGACAATTCAATGCGCTGTCAACTTCGATCACGTGCAACATCCCGATATCCAGGCATACCAAGAGAAGACGGCCGGGAGGATATACATGTCACCGAGTGGGATCTAGATATACCTAGACTAGTTAGTACTTGGCTAGGAGCAATCGAGATATAATTATTAATAACTATGAGTTGGCCGGATAGGTAAAAACTGTCACGGTTGATAGGATTTTAAAGGGCAAATGCCAATAACGTACCGTATTCATTTAGTGTAAAACTAAGCTAAAGAAGAAAGAAAGAAAGATCGCAGGAGCTGCGATCGGTGAAAAAAGGTTTGTGGGGGAAGTTTGCACGTGACCCACATGTTAACCTAATTGGGTTTCTTAGAAGATGACGTAACACGACTAGCGACAATGAACTCGCAATGCGCTGTGCCATGACAAAAACCAGGGTTTTATCGCTTCCGCCTACGGTTTAGATGTTATTACTCCTTGCTATAACCTGGTTTATCACCGAGCGGGCCACCCCACCGAGCGGGCCACTTTTCCACGGCTCCATAACCTCCACACTTCAAACTATCGCACACCATAACCAATACAATGTCTAACCAAACCCAAGAAGCCAAAATCATCCTTGCTATCGAGGCTATCCGTACATCTAAGAAAATGTCAATCCGACGCGCTGCACAAATGTACGACGTACCCAGAAGATTGGCGATCTTAGATGCTAGCTCCTCATTCCAGCAGTCACTCGGAACCACCACGAGGTTATCTTCAGTTTGCTTCGCGGCTGTTCTCTTATTCAGGGTTAACTTCTATTCCTCGATATAGTATATACAAAAGGGCGGGCATTCTTCATATGACTAGCCTGGAATCCAGTCCTCATACGGTACGAAGAGGAGCGTCTTTCGGGCAGGCCGCAACCCTTTTCACTGGGGCGACATCGCCCATGAATACGTTGACTTGGGGAACACGCGACATCGCGATATCCACGCTGCGGCTCGTCGCCACTGGACCAATCATTTACGGAGTCATCTAAATCCATTTCCCCAAAGATGCAGAGTGAAGGCGGATCGTGCGCAAGTGGCGATATCTATTCTCCGCAAAAGATGAGTCACGGAGGATACGTGTCCTATTCGGCACCAGTTAAGTGCGAACACACTTGACTACTACCATATACCAACACCATCGCTACTTAGTATATTCGCCTCCGTCACGTTAAATATAGGTTTAAGAAGAGATAATCGTTCCTTCTCAAAGCAGAGTACGCAATATACTTATTATTAATAGAAAACACTAGAATTTTCATAATATTTATAAAATAACCTGTCCTCCCAGACCTTTCGGGTGCTAATCAAGAAAAGAAAAATATAGAGGACGAGTGAGAGAGACTTGATACGTATTAAAAATATCGTGAGAAGCCAATTGTGAAAACTCGTCCCGATGAACAGCCGATGGATATCATCCGCTTTTGGACGTCAGAACATTCTGGGCGGTATTCCGGTGGTAACCACAATACGTTCTGGCCATTACAAATAACCCAGGTATTCTCCCTCCCTAAGCAATACTCATACCTATCTAGGTTATCTAACGAGAAGGCAATCGAGCGAACACAAGAGCTACTATAGCCCTCGAGCGTCTCTAGGCAGCGGCCCGAGGCCGTATCCCAGATCTTGATTGTCTTATCGGACGAGCCCGATACGAGCCGCTGGCCATCCGGTGAGAAGGCGACCGAACTAACCGAAGAGCTATGGCCCTCAAGCGTCTCTAGGCAGCGGCCCGAGGCCGTATCCCAGATCTTGATTGTATTATCGCGCGAGCCCGATACGAGCCACTGGCCATCCGGTGAGAAGGCGACCGAATTAACCAAGGAGTTATGGCCCTCGAGTGTCTGTAGGCAAGCATTCCATTTCACCTCTACTACAGGCGCCGTGCTAATCCAGTCAGGCTCTTCTACCTTGAATTTTCTCCTTACCAAGCTACTAGTTGGTGCAAATACGAGCGCTAATGCGTACGCTTGAAGGGGGGCCTGCTCTACTATCCATCGGCAAGATAGAGCAAACCGGTGTGCATCCCGAATAAAGGCTGTTAGTTGCCTTTGATTGGTACGCCCCTACATCTCTGTTAGTGTGGCTTACTAGCGTTGGTAATTTATACTTACGAGTAGTTCCTCAAGCAGTTTTACGGCGATAATACCCTCCGAAATAGCCCGGAGTAGACTGAGGGCTTCGAGCCAGTAAAGATACTTCAGGTGTTAACTATGTGTATATTGTGCTGCGCCGTAATTTTATCGGAAATCGAATCGCGGAGATGGTCAACCCAGAAGACGCATGAGCACCGCACTGTGGCTAGTGGTTCTGAATGTGGCGTCTGAACCTCGTCGATTGGGAATCCTGGTGCCTCTAAGCCGTACATATCGCGTCGTAAGACATCAGACATCGCATCAAGCGACTTTGAGAAGATGCTGTGGTTTACATACTCTACCCCCAGAGGGAAGACCCAGTCAAAAGCGTTTCTAGAAGCTCGGTGTACGGCATTTCCCTGTAGAGAGTCTTTGGCTGATTGGTGAACGAAGTAGATAATTTGCTCTCGAAGAGTCAAAAACGAGCCGCAAAGCCTTATAAGTTCTTCGAGATTCTGTAGATTTTCTCGAATGTCGTTTGGCATCTCGACAAGAGTGATAAGTTCACGAAGACTGATGGGTCGGCGAACGATAGTAGCAGTGGCAAGAACTCGCTTGCAAAGGTCTGCATTACCCGAGTTATCAATATGCTTCATCATTTACGTATATAAAGAATCCAACCCTTAGGGGAATGCCTGTAATTTATCGAGCGTCTGCCAGCTGCGAACTTTCGGATCGGCAAGTGCCTGGCAGACCAAGGCCACCCAGAGGAAGGTCCCGTTCGCGTTGGACGAGAGGTATTCATGTACTTCATTCCTTGTTGCTTCATTGTAGCTTTTTCGTCTTGAGAGATGTAGGACCTTGTTTTGAATGAATGCTTCGACAGCGGCGGTGACAGATTCAGCGTTCAGCTCGAGACTGAGTCTGGAATATTGCGCAATAGCCACCAATTGTTCTTCAATATGCGGCAAATTGCGACTAGAGACGACCCATTTAACGTGAGGGGATGTTAATGATATTTGGGTGACTAGTTCGAGAAGCTGTGGCAAATCTGTCACGCATTCATCGAGGGCATCAATCACCAAGTAGGTGGTGACCTTCAAGTTGGGATCTCCTAGCATCTCTTGTAAAACCTTCGAGAGGACGATCCATGCCATTGCGTCATTAGAGGGGTATGTGTACTCCGGCAAATGCGAGAGGAGACGTGGTTGTCGGCGGGCAAGTAGGTAGATTAACCCTCGTAGTACGGCGGTTGCGTTGTTAACTTGCCAGTCGGTGGCTTGACAAAAGAAAGAGGCCAAATTGCCCCCGTCAGCGGTAATAGGCCCCTCTAGCTCGTTAATAATGCCGCATAGTAACATGGTTTTGCCTTTGCCGGGGTCCCCCCTGATCCAGAGCAGGCGACTTTGCGGAAGTTGCTGCCATTTCTTGAAGTCGGGGTTGTCGAAGACCCAGCGGTAAGCGTCAGCCAGCAGGCCGCCTTTTGCCAGCTCAATACGCTCCTTATCATCGCACGGGTCCCGCAGGCCACCGGACCACAGCTTTGATAAACAAAAGTAATCCTCGCGAATCTTTTCTCGTAGCCGCCTCGATACCTTTGTTTTCTCTCGCCGTAGATGACCGGTATGTGTACGCCAAAGATGCCGAATAGAGCGTATACCTTGTCTTCCTCGTACCGTGTCTCGCGCTTCTCGATCCATACCATTCGTTGGTCAACGCTAAAATCAGACAGAGGGTTACCCTGGAGGGCTCTGAGAGGAATCCCTGTCCTATCGTGAATTTCCTTCTCCAAAGACTTCTTATCTCCCAGACGCTCGCCCTCTCTAGAAAAGATTTCGACGCTTGCTGGGGCAATAAGCTCTTGGAGGGTCCATCCACGGGAGAACCATCTACATTTTGGAAAACCCAGCCGCCATTCCAAGTTGCCATCAGCATCCCGCTTGCGGGCTAGGACGTCTGCGAGATAGACATAGCATTTTGCCGCATCGCGATACCATTTAAACATGGAGTTGAGGGCGTGCTCAAGCTCGACATGGTCGGACTTGTCGATGCAGCATGTATCGACCTAGAAGAATTTCAACTAAAGGTGATCAATCGCTTTCTTCTTCATCACGCCACAACTTCCTCGGAAAACCCCCGAATTCCTTCATTTCTTCGTCAATCAAGAGCTCATCCAATTCTATCTTGAGCCATGCCTGAATACAGCGAACTGGACATGCTGACGACGATGAACCTCGTCCGTGACGGGGGTTCTGTCCGTCAGGCGGCAGTAAAATATGGTGTGCCGAAGAGTACACTTCGGCACCGGCTGGCCGGCACAAAACCTCGTTGCATTGCGTTTGGACACCAGCAGACCCAGAGAGCACAGCGGATCGACTCGGCGCGCCTCAACGGCGCTACGGAGGAAGCTATCACGGCCTAGTTCGAATACCTGGCCCTCCCGGCTATTTGGGGGATCAAGCCCGAGAACCGTTGGAATAATGGAGTAGGCAATAGGTTCCCAAAGGAGAGATTGGCCATGACTCATATCCATCTATCACCAGCGGCAGGCAGTAGATAATTAATGGCAAAGTTGATACACCACCGGCTTTTATGGATACATATGTGCTCAAGGAAAGTAGGAAGAGAATCATGAGACATGACATCGTTTGCCTACTTACGATATCTAATACCCGCAAGAGCCCGAACCGGCCAACTGCAAAGCAGAGCTGGCCCCATACCCTGTAAAATAAGGTATTGATGAAGAGACCTCATAACCCTTGTGATGTGCGGCCCAAAGCTACACGTAACATTCCATGTTAGCACCGCAGAGGCTGCGAAAGTGTTGTACAGAGATGAATATGGCGATTGCCACAGCCTGTTGCGCCTCCCGAATCTTGCCCTCCTCAACCCTTGCAGACCACAACACCCCTCGCCGCTTTTGCTCAGGCGACCACCCGCGAAACACTTAGGGAGGTGACTAAAATAGGTTTAGACTCGATGGGCAGTGTCCTGGGCCCAGAAGATGATAATTAGCAACTTTTCGCGAGGGAAGTGCTTGTACCATGGCTGGGCCCAAAACTGGGACCGCCGAGGAGCACATAAGTACTTGCCCTCCCACCTTGAGAATCTGCTCGTAGGGCCTAGTTTATGGCCATCTCTACTATCGGCTTCTTGACATTTTTAAGATTTTACTCTATTATTTCCGTCTATCTTGAGCAGATCGCCGCATTAGCTCTTAGCTCTCTAGTTAGCTAGATCCACTGACATCAATACGTCACCTATTACATCGGGGAAATTTCAAATCGATTTTCTATTTTTCTCACGCCGCCAAAGACAGCTGCCGAAGATGGTCAGGAAAAGGACAGCAGATGAGAGGAGAAGATGCGCAGAAGAGAACGGATTCAATGACGACGACATGGATATTGATGACGAACCTGTCCTACGTGAGGTCCTGGACTATACTAAAGAGAGGTACAAAGACTAGATGGACCTTTGGATCGAGTAAGTAGATTATACGAACAGTGATTGATGGGAAAACTAATAGACCGTTAAGGTATAAAACAACATACCCCGAAGCTACACCTCATTAATTAAAAACCCTAAAGTATTTTGCCAAGTTTATAGCAAAGTCCGCTAAAGGTGTTCTGGACCCGGAGGGAAAGCCGACCGTTCAAAACGTTATCACCGCACAGTCAACTAATTGAGGCAAGGCTACAATATGGTCGCTGTATTCGTAGAATCTAAAGCTAAGGAAGAAAAAGAAAGAAGGAAGCAACTGAGCCCCGCACTAGGTGCGAGAGGTAGGTTGAGTGTGAGTCACATGCCCAGGCTGTGCACGAATCACTGCCTAATACAGGTGACAGGTGCGGCCTGCCGGACCCCACCGGACCTTGCCGTGACACTACCCCCGGGCCGAGAAAAGCTTCGCCCCGAAGCGTCGGTTGATCCTCGCGAACCCTCGCTGCCGAAAAAATATACGCTCAACGCCGCCTTGCCCTTCTTCGAAGCGGGCGGCCCTGTACCACTGGCCTATTGTCATCTTGGTGTTCCTCGTCGAATCTGTCCTTCTCTGCTGCCTTCAGCCATTCGCTTAGCCGTACTGGAGGCCTAGCCTTGTCGGGGTACTCGTCGTGATAAGCCTTGACCGCTAGGGGCGCATTCTTGAAGTTCGCCGCGTAGTACCACGTCGCATCTGGTGCCCATCCTTTCCACTGTACCTGGTACTGGAGCTTGCCGTAGTAAGCCCTTGAAGACAGGATTTTCTCGAGTTCCCACTCCTTTTCTTCATTTAGGACTTCGCCGTCCGGATTAGGGTCCTCCTGCCCAGGCATCGGGTTATCGGGGTAGAGCCTCAGCCTGTCGGCGTGGAAAACATCCGTGCCTCGCCAGCCTTCGGGAACCTCTAGCTTGTAGTCGTAACCGTTGTTGTCCGTCCCCGATCTCTCCAAGATCCTGTAGTGTTGCTGCGTTAACGGGAAGTCTAATTTAGTACTTGGCCGGCCGGTTGACCAGGTATTCTTGATGATGTAGACCCGATCTCCCACATCGAAGTCCGGCACGCGCTGGTGTTTATTTGCTTCCGCTGCCTGCCTCTCCTGAGCCCTAGCAATAGCCTCGCGAGCCGTGTCTGTGTAGTCCTTCAACGTCTTTGCCATCAGCTGCGCTTGTTCCCGGTTTAGCCGTTCCGTTCTCGGAAGGTCGGGGTTCGTCAGGTCGGTCCGCGCCGTCCAGTCGAAGTGTGTAGGCATAGGGAAGCCAAAGGCTACCTCGTGAGGTTGCATCTGTGTGCTGTCTTGGGGAAGCGTTCCTTGTACGAAGTCCATCGCAGGTATATATTGAGACCAATCGTCCTGGTGGTGGTCAACGAATATCCGTAGTCTCTGGTCTATCCACTGGTGTAGGTTTTCCACTTGTCCTGCTGTCTGCTTGTGCCCTGAGGATGACAGCTTCTAGTTTATTCCTGCGATCTTTGACATCTCGTCCGTGAAATCCGAGGTGAACTGTGGGCCCCTGTCGCTAATAATTTCCTGAGGTAGGCCGAGAATGCGGTACGGCCCGTTATAGTACATCTGGGCGGCTTCTTGACTCGTTACCTCTTTATTGCAGGGGATGCACCATGATAGCTTGCTGAGTCTTTCGATGATTGTAAAGAGGTTGTCGAAACCAAACTTATCTTTAGGCATCTCCTTGAAGTCCATTACCAACGAGCTCCAGATCCTCAATGGGGCTGGGATTGGGTGTAGTAAACCAGGGGTCTTATCTCGCGGTACTTTTGCGGATCTGCACTGACAATTGGCCACGAATCTGTCGACATCAGCTCCTACTCCAGCCCACCAATATAGGTCTTTGAAGAGCCTCCTAGTTTTATTTCGGCCGGGGTGGGCTGTAGCTAGACGGGAGTGAACTTCGTTTATGACCTTGGTGCGTAAGTGGTCCTCGTCAGGGACCACTAGCTTCCCGTCTCGCAATAGTAGGCCTGTTGGCGTGATCGTGAGCTTGGTCTCTTCTTCCAACAAGGCTCTCTCTCTATAGATCGAGAGAGAGTCACTCTTGCGGTTAGCTTCTAAGAGCGCGTCAACTAGGTCAAAACCGGAGCTGGTATGGCCGGGCTCGGGTTCCGCGGTTGGCTCCTCAGGTCGCTCCTCAGACTCTTCCTCTTGATCTTCGACCTCCGGTTCGTCCGTCTCCACGGCCCTAATCATAGCGAGGATAGATCTGATTTCGGCTACGAGGGCCTTACAGTCGATTGACATGATTAGGCTCCCGTCGGGTCGTTCGCTGAATATCTGTACGGTGCGGTGGGCCATCTGGCGCTCCTTTTGGGTCTTTAACTCGTGCGTTCGTCTTGTCAATGCGTCGGCTGCTGCGTTCAGCGCGCCTGGCCGGTAGTGGATGCGGAAATGGAAGTCTGCCATCTCCTCAGCCCATCCTGCTTGTCGGATGTTAAGCAGTTTCTTCGTCGTGAAGTACTTCAATGCATCGTTGTCAGAGAGTACCGTGAAAGGCTCCTCGTGTTGCAAGCCTATCAGTTCGCTCCTCCAGTGTTGTAAGGCTCGGATTATCGCCAAGAGTTCCTTATCGTGGATGAAGTAGTTCAGCTCAGCCCCCTTCATCATTTCGGAGAAGAAGGCTACCGGATGCCAGTCGTTGTCGTATTTCTGGCTCAAAACCCCTGCTACTACTCCTCCTGATGCATCGGTCTCGACTCTAGTCTCTCGTCCATATTCGAAGTACTTTAGGACTGGTGCGGACAGCAACCGGTTCTTAAGCTCGTCGAATGCGATCTGACAATCGTCGGTCCACCTGAAAGCTTCTCCCTTCTTTGCTAAAGCAGTTATTAGCGGTTTGGCGATGCTACTATAGCCCTTCACAAACTGTCTATAGAAGTTGCAGAAGCCTAGGAAGGACTGTACGCCTTTCAGCGTATCTAGCTCAGGCCAGTCCTTCACTATGCTGGTCTTGGAAGGGTCCACTGCCACTCCGTCCACACCGATGATGAATCCTAGGTATTTGGTCTCCTTTACGTGGAATTCGCACTTGTCGATATCTGCTTGGAGTCCGGCTTCTCTCAGACGCTGGAGGATAAGGCGGACATGTTTAACATGTTCTTCCTCGGAATCCGAGTAGATGAGTATATCATCTAGGTATGCGTTGCAGAAGTCGTCGAGGTACCCCAACAAGCAGTCGTTGATGAACCGTTGGAAGGTGGCAGGCCCATTCGTAAGTCCGAATGGCATCACCTTGTAGCTGTAGGTGCCGTAGCGGGTTCGGAACGTCGTTAGGTGCTCGTCGTCCGGGTGAATCCGTATGCGGTGGAAAGCTTGCCGGATATCGATCTTGGTGAAGATCTTCGCCTTTACGAGGCGGTTGAGCGTTTCATCTATCAATGGAAGAGGCATCCGGTCTTTAATCGTTAGGGCATTCAGTTTTCGGTAGTCTACGCAGAAGCGTAAGCTACCATTCTGCTTTCTGGTGAATAGGATGGGTGCGGCCCATGGTGTCCCGCTTGTCTGAATGAAGCCCTTCTTCAGAGCGCCTGTGATATATTCTTTGCAAGCCTCTAGTTCTTCCAATGACATCTTATAGAGGGGGCTATACCCTAGATCCTCTGGCTCTTTCCCTGGTAGGAGAGGCGAATCCGATGGTCCACCGGACCGCGTCGTGGTGCTAGTATGTCAGACTGTACCTTGCTGAATACGTCTAAAAAGTGGTAGTATGGGGACGGGAGTTCCTTCAGGACTCTCTCTCGTAGCTTCTCGTCGTCCTGGTCCAGCCCATCTGGCTGTTCCTGGACCTCCGAAATACGCTTTTCCAGCTCGTGTAGCGTTATTACGTCGACTTGTTCGCCCTTTGATGATAGCCTGAAGGACGCCTCGTCCAGTACGGCTATCTCGACCGGTCGTTCCTTATACTAGCCAATGCTGTCGCGCTGCATGCGGTAGGGTCCCTGTGTATCGTGCTCATGAAAGGGGTTCTTCTTTGGTGGATGACTGGGTGCCTTCTTCGGGGGGTCGGGGTTATGGAGCATGCGCTCCATGCGGTTCAGGTCCCGTTCGAGGGGGTCCTTGGTATCGTGGAACTTATGTCGCTGTAGTAACGTTGGGTGGAACATAGCTGTAGTCATGACTGGCTCCACCGGGCGCGGGTCGTGTTACGGCACGGCCGAACTATGGTCCGTGGTGCCGCAACTATGCAATGAGGCTGCAAGCCCCACTTGCAGCCCTATTCCTGATTGGGGCTAGTGCGGGGTCAGCTACATGGAGGGGTCTACAGTGGTGGCCGTGACACCTAACACCACAAAACTAACGCCTGCACACCTCGCAGGCTTTTTCTTTTTCCTTTTTCTTCTTTAGTTTAGTCACTTACGAATTCAGCCATCATCTACTTGTAGCTGTGCCTCTTGTATTTGCCTGCCTTCACAGTAGCGTCGTGGCGGGGTTCAGTGCAGCTGGGCGCCGACCGTGACACGGTCCCTGCTGAGCAAACGAATAACGTTACGATAGAGTTATATTTAGTCGGAGAAGGGGTTGGCGATAGCAGGGGGATCCTTCCGCCTACCGTAATTGACGAGAAAAAGACATATAGGAGGTTGAGGAATTGCTTGCTAAATGGGGGCGGGGCCGGGGAGTTTGGCTCCTGGTTAAGTGGAAAGGCTTTGGGGACAAATCCAATACGTAGGAGCCACTAGAGAATATAAGCGACCATCTTCTTGCTAATTTTAATATAAGCTACTTGAAGAACGGAGGAAACCATTCGGGAGTGGAATTGCTTAAAAAAAAGATATGTGTAAGGAAAGGACAACCCAAACACCAGCCGCGCACACAGGGTGCGCGCTCACCACCTGTTACCAACGGGCCGGAACACTGCCAGTTGGCACAAGCCACTACGCCACGCCATGGCGCCCCGGGCCTAGGCCCCTGAGCACGTATATAAACAGTGGCCCTCGCCCACCTTCCTTTGCGAGGGCCAGGTTGAAGTCTCACACCAATACTACTCATTGCTCGCTCACCTTCTTACCTGCATTGTGACCACCTTGATCCGGCGTACCTGCCTTCTCTTACAATATGTAGCGGACGGGTTAAGTATCTCGTAAGATAGAAGGGTCGTCGGAAAGCGAAAATTCTTGGGTGAGTGAAGGAACTATAAGTTATACGCATAGGAAGGAATTCGAGAGTACGTATAGGAGGATTAATCTGGGGTCTTGAATTCGAGAAAATGTATATAGAGTAAATTACTAAGCTATTAAAATCGGTGATAATTATGATCTATTGTGGCAGCATATTATAGAGTGTGACGAACCTGGTTCGTACTGGACCAGCTGCAGAAGGCAGGCGCCTCAGGCAAGACTGGGGGCCCCGCTCGTCGAGAGCCAATCAGACGGTGCCCGGTGCCAAGAGGGCTCTTGGCACCAGGCAAACGGAAGGACGGCCAATCAGAGGGTGGCCCGGTGCCAAGAAGGGTCTTAGCACCAGGCAAATGGCCCGGCACGCTAGCAGTGCCCGGCGCCAGGCAGCTCCTTCCTGCTGGGCAAGTAAGAGCTGCGCTCTTACTGGCCCGCCATAATTAAATAAATACGATGACCGTGTCCACGGTCTTAGATAGTTCTTGCTTGGTTCTTCAAGCAAGCAATACACATTCGCTGCACTCATACATTTTGAGTGACATTCCGATTTGACTGTATTACCCGTGTGATAGGAGTGTTACGATCCTGGTTCAGGCGCGCAGGAGGCTGCACGGAGCCTCCCGCTATTGGCTGACGCAAGGAAGTGGAGTAGTTCCCCGCTTCGCTCAAGTGCAGCCAATAACGGGGCGGTCAGTATGATCAGCATGGTCAGGGCGATCAGTGAGGGAACTGATCGCACTGAGCACACTGACCGCACTGATCACCTAGGACCAACGCTCTGATTGGTCCGCCTTAGATAGATATATACGACGACCGTAGCCACGGTCTTAGATAGTTCTTGCTTGGTTCTCCAAGCAAGCAATACACATTCGCTGCACTCATACATTTTGAGTGGCATTCCGATTTGACTGTATTACCCGTGCGATAGGAGCTTGCCCTTTGTTCTATCTTCATAATTACCAACCCCAGCATTCTGTGGAGCCCGTGCTCCCTTACAGACAGACGACCCTAACAGTCGAGTGGTTTGTAATAATACCTAGAGCGTACTATGGTATTAGCCTTGTTCAAACGTAGAGAAAATGAGATATACTCGCCCTCTTGTCACGAATCCCTGTGGATTCCCTATGGTTATGCATAAAGGTGGGGCATGCACTTTTGGCGCGAGCCAATCAGGAGCGTTCTAGGATTCCGAGCTCTGGAGCTCGGGGACGCGGGACAGGTCCGGCCGGGCGGTGACCCGGACGCGGGACCACGGGACAACGGAACCACTGTTATTGGTTACGTAGATAGATATATACGACGATCGTGTCCACGGTCTTAGATAGTTCTTGCTTGGTTCTTCAAGCAAGCAATACACATTCACTGCACTCATACAATTTGAGTGGCATTCCGATTTGACTGTATTACCCGTGCGATAGGAGCTTGCCCTTTGTTCTATCTTCATAATTACCAACCCCAGCATCCTGTGGAGCCCGTGCTCCCTTACAGACAGACGACCCTAACAGTCGAGTGGTTTGTAATACCTCTATCTTCGGGAAAACCTCGCTAATGGCCGCATCGTGGAAAGCAGCAGCCCTGCCGGGGCCCCGGTCCTCTTTGTCCCCAAGAAAGATGGAGCCATGCGTTTATGCGTCGACTACCGGGGCCTAAACAAGATCACCATCAAGAACCGGTACCCGCTACCACTAATTAGCGACCTCATGGACCGCCTTGCCGGCGCCCGGTTCTTTACCAAGCTTGACCTCAATGATGCGTACCACCGGATCCGAATCCGCCGGGCCGATCAGTGGAAGACGGCCTTCAAGACCCGGTACGGGCAGTTCGAATATACCGTCATGCCATTTGGCCTCACCAACGCACCAGCCACTTTCCAAGCCTACATTAATAGGGCTTTGGTTGGCCTGGTAGACGTGTTCTGCACCGTGTACCTCGACGATATCCTCATCTACTCCAACACTCGCGAAGAAAATACCCGCCACATCCTAGAGGTACTTGACCGCCTAGAGAAGGCCCAGCTCTTCGCCAAACGGTCCAAGTGCTCCTTTTACCAGGACCAAGTCGAGTTCCTAGGCTTCATCATCAGCCATCAAGGTATCGCAATGGACCCTCAGCGGGTTAAAGCCATTCAGGAGTGGCCAGAGCCCCAGTCCACTAGGGATATCCAGGTCTTCCTCGGGTTCGCCAACTTCTACCGCCCGCCGTGAAGAGAGAGCTCATACGTTTGCACCACGATGTTGTTAGTTCCAAGTCGTCTTCCTCAACATCGCTAGACTCTGCAATGACTTTCGCTGTTATAATAACCAAATAGCCACTCGCGAGGTTGTTCAGAGTAAATGGTTGGATACCGCTATTGCCTTCAAGGCCCATCCATATATTCTCCTCCCACCAGCCTCGTGCATTGGTGGCTTTCAAGATCGCGGCACAGCCCGAGTGAACGACATGTTCTGGATCGCCAAGATCCTCGCATACGACACTCACTCGGTTCCAGGAGCAGTGAGGGATATTGACGTGGAGAAGATGCCAAATACGGTTGCGTTGGAAGAAGATGAGGACATCGTGAGGCGCCCCTTTGGAGTGATCCCAGCCCTACTCGAACCTCTCTTCAACGGGGGCTCGATGACCTGGAAGAGGTTATGGGGGTAGCGGCGGCCGAGGATCTCTGCTGCCATCGCCGGGAAGCAGAAGGTCCACGGCGGCGGCCAGGAGGGCTAGGGAGACGCAAACAAAAGTGTTGAGCCCCACACATTTGGACAACCGCCGCTGGATTTTGTCTGTGACGCGATGCTGGAACAAATTGTTGTTCGCGATATTGTTTGGGTAACAAACCTTTTGGCATCTGAAAAGTCAAAATGTATGGCATACTAAGGTAACTTGGAGACTCTGGTTGAATCTAATTCTATTTCTTCCTTCTGTTTGTCACCAAGGCCCATCATGTTCTCTCTTTTCAATCTGTCCAGGGCTCAAGTAAGTTTGCACGGTCATTGCTTGTCGTCTGCACGGTCCGTTCAACATACCAAGTCGTTGTGCGTATTGCTCTAGGAACAACGTAAAGTAAGGTAACACTGCATTTGTCTCTGCTGCAGTAACATGACATGATGCCAGCACCGAGCTATGTTGGGAGCCGGAAACATACAGTTGTCTACCTACGAACAAAAAAAAAAAAAAAAGAAAGAAAGAAAGAAGGAAGAAGAAGAAAAAGAAAAAAAGCCCTTGCCACTGCTCCTCGTCGCTAGCCATCAGTTCATCATGCAGATCACGAGATGTGGGCTCCTCCAATCCGAAGAAGCTCTATGATCTTGTTGCGTACCTCGTCATCCTTCACTTGTTTCACGTCAACAGTCTGTCTGTTCAATCCCAACGTTTTGAGAGCCTCGGAGTCCCAGACTAGGTCTTCATGGGGGGTCTTGCCGGTATACAACTGCCAGATGCTCAAACCGAGGCCAAACAAATCATCCTCCTTGGTAGGCGGCACCGTCTCGCATCCGAGCTTTTCCGCCCTATGATGCCTGTTGGGCGACTCAATGTACCAAGTCGTGTTCCCGGCCCACTTTTTTTCGGCTTCAGTCACGTAACGCCCGTCGGCAAAATCGCAGAAGCGGATGCCGCCGAAGATCAGCATGTTTCCTAGCTTCAAATCCCCATGTACGATGCCCTTGGAATGAAGCAGTTCTGTCTGATGTACCATTTGGTGAACGTAATCACGGCGTTGCTGCGGAGTCATGGGTGCCAAGGGATTGATGGGGAGGCCTCTATCCATGAGGAAGCCGTAGCAGTAGATATTGGAACCTGCCTGGGCCAAGACCCTTCCACGCACCTGGATTGCGCAGTCTCCAGCGGCCTTTTGCAGCTCATATTCTCGAGGCGTCCCCTGGTACTTGAAGACGAGAGATGGTCGACTATTGAGGCCGTATATCGTGGCGTTTCCAGTCACTATCTCTTGGACCAAGTCCTCTTTGATGGTCTCAAAGTCGACGTCTGGTGCGATGGGCGGCCAGGGCTGGCCTCGAGGTAGCAGCGCCATGGGTCAAGGTTGGAGGGGAGACGGGGAGCCTTGTCCAAGAATGTCTAGGGCGGGGTTCAGGTTGCGCAAGGCAGAGTGTGTGCCAAGATATCTAAGTCACTTTTGACTTTTGAATGTGTGAAATGTTTGCTGCTGGAAAGAGTGAGCACCTACGAGGCATTATATACTTGTAAACCCACATCCCCTCTTCGCCGTGGCCTCCCCCTCTTCGACCTACACACACTTAAACAGTCCCCTTGAGGTTTTAATGAATTTTTTCTCACGCTCACGCTCAACGCTAACCCAAAACTGAAATATAACCATAAAGGGTGAAACTTGTGCCGCCTAACTGCTCAGGTGTCGTAACAAGCGGAACAAGCTGAAACTCATTACCCTACGAGCGTTGAGTGGGCAGCGTTGGAAATTTGGATTTGGCTCACATGCATTTGCGGCACGGTGCATTGTGCCACCGAGCCACTGTTTCTCACGCTCAACGCTGAGACAGAACTGAAATATAACCTTAAAGGGTAAAACTTGTGCCGCCTAACTGCCTAGGTATCGTAACAAGCGGAACAAGCGGAACAAGCTGAAACTCATTACTCTACGAGCGTTGAGTAGGCAGCGTTGGAAATTTGGATTTTGCTCACATGCATTTGCGGCAAGGTGCATTGTACCACCGAGCCACTGTTTCTCACTCTGGTTTCAGGTGCCTTCCATTTCGAGCAAAACTTATCTTTGCCCCCGCCCCCGCCACCCCCCCCCTCCCTCCTCCCCAACCTCGGGGATTACCTAGACGCCGATTTGGAAGAGGGTTCGAGCTGACGACGCCCGCGCCGCCTTTGAATCAGCTACTCGTGAGAATCTTGAGCTTGAAGGATGCGTCTTGGCGCAGAATGGTTGGAAAGGAACATCCCTTTTGCTGTTGTGTGGTCAGCTTTCCTTACGCATGCGCCCCAGGACGCACGTCATCTAAGTCTATGGATACACGTGCTGAAGCAGTAGTACTCGGCCCGCATGCATCTTGGATCTTGATTCCAGCTCATGTGTCATCATCTCACAGGCCGGCCGCGGAAAGGAGAGGTTGATGAAATCCGAGGAGACGGGTCCCATCAGTTCGCTTAACGAATAAAAGAAGAAGAACGGTCTACTAGCATTTGAGATATATTTAGATAAGCTACCCGAGAAGGAAACATGGAGGACGGACACAAGTCCGCGACCCCAGCCCCTCATGCCCGTCGACCGTCCTCGAGAACTCATGTGTGGTAAGCCTGGCCCGCAAGCTTGCCTCTGGGAACCTCCTTTATCTCTCAACCTCCAAGATTCAAAGCTGACGTGTTCAACACGGTTTCAACCTTCCTCTTTCCTCTCCCCAACATCACAACCCTTTGCCACTCCATTTCATCTCGGCGCGGCGGCGGAAGATGGTTTAGAGGATTGTTATAGTTGGCCCTGGACCGATCGCGGTTGCAGGCCACTTTGACATGTTCGAGAATTTGATCAACACAAGCCCAGATGTTGCTTGCTTCTCGAGGGCCGTCCCAACGTTCGTCGCCGTCTTGGTGGCTTGGGGGACGGAGGGAGCAGCCAGGTTGACGTGCACAGGGGTCGGTTTGCTGGACATGATGATGGCTCGAGCGGTTTGTACTGATCAAAGAGAGCTAGGCAAATCAGAAAGGAGATGCAAGGACTGTGTTGAGTCTGCTGACTTGGAAATCTGTTTGGATGTATGGAGTATACGGTCTTGATATCGAACAACTGCATGAGAACTCCAAGAGAGCAGCTGCCAGGATTTATATCTGAGGTCTGCTGGGCCAAGTCCAGTAGGTAAGCAGGCATTATCCCACAGCAATGGTGGGGTCTTCCTGTTACAAGGAGAGTTTCACACAAGGTTGCTAAACTGTACGGATAGGGGTACCATGGCCATCTCATCTGCCCGAGTTGGATCTAAGAGTAGAAACGGAAACAAATGCATGACAAAACCTGTGCCTGCTCCATTGGGTTCAATGGCTGGTGCTGAAATCCTCTCACCGAGTTCCACACTTGCCAAGTCGACGATTGATTGTACGTGGCTTACGGGCACAGCTGCTTCTCTTGATGAATCTGGAAAGGGTGGTCAGACTGCAAGCCACATTATTTCTTGATCGAATCAGTCCTACAAATTGACTTATCGACACAAGGCTGCTAGAGTAAACGGGCTTTGCCTCTCCCGCCCCTTCAGTGCTTTTTCAAAATCCTCATCCAGCGGCGTCAGACACACAAGCACCTCGTATTGTCACCAACAGGAAACCTCAAACCTGCATGGTATGAACTGAAGAGGCACCTGGCGAGGCGGTCATTTTACTGCCGTCAAACCTGACGTGTGCATTCCTGTTCTTATAACCACCCTGAGCGCTTACGAGAGATGACATAGAAGCACTCAGCGACCGGCGAACTCCGGCCTTGTGCCTCGATGCCATGTTCGAGTTCGACTTTCTGAAACCAACAGCGAAACGCCTTCAAGTGCAGAGATTGATGCAGCCAAACCACGGAGGCGCGGTCGTCAAACATGGGGCAAAGGCCTGGGAGATGAGGCAGAGGAAGAACATACTTAAGGCTCAGAACAAGTCTTCCTCTCGAGCATAAAATTCCATTCATCAAACAGTCCAGCAAGACTACTCAAGTGTCACCAGATCCGAGCCCCCTCCACAACAAATTCAATATTAACCAAGTCGCCATGTGCTCCTCCGTCTCCAAGCCATACACCAAATGCACCGGCCTGAACCTCCAAGCCGGCCAGGGCCTCAATAACAAACACTTTTTCACTTCCCTCGGCCTCTGTGTAAACCAGCTGAATGCGTACCATAACGGGGGTGGGTTTGTAACCTGTGTCAATGTCACCCAGCATTCCAACCTCGATACGGGCGCCAAGCTGCCTTGCCCTGTCTGTCAGGGATTCCGTCACACCATTTTTTGGAATAACTAGACTAGGCGCTGCAGTAGAGTGAGTCTCATCAATCCTGTTGGTTTCATTTCCTAACTGCCTTAACATGCCTTACTCACGCGGTATCCGGATAGTACGGTGCATGTCTTCGAGTCTTGGGCAGAACGAGCGAGCAAGTTTCGGTAATATCGAGTGCATGAACTGGACAAATGGATGAAGAGAGAGAGAGATGTGTGTGGGTGTGTGCGTGTAAAACGGCGCGGGAGTTGATATCGATTGGCCGGAGGATTGGGAATAGGCTGGCCTGGTTCCCATAGCTGTTGGATTTTGAGCAGACTTGGTGGCAAGTTGCCAAATCATTTCATTCCCTATGCTGGTGGTAAAGACAGATGTCTTAGCCTTTAGCTGGTATCAAGCAATTGACCATCTTGGCCATCAGCAACCACGTCCAAGATCCACACAAAATCTGACGCGTTTCCATCCACATGTAGCAGGACAGAGAGCATGTTCAAGACAAGGCCCGTCTACGCCCGCATCAAAACTCTTCAAACACGCGGCGAGTACGAGTGGAAACATCAGTTCTCGGCGACCCGCCCAATCCTACTGTGGCACGTGCTTAGAAGTTGCTGCTTCGCGCCTCCGCGGGAAGTTTGCCTCCCTATAGCACGTGGGTGGCGTGCAATTTGCAGGAATCGCTCCTAGCCAGTACTTATAGTTATTTCCAAGAGGAGGTCTATTCGGAGGTCGTAGCTCAACATGGGTAGAAAAAAGCTCAACATGGGTAGAACGGTTCTACCCATGTTGAGCTTTTACTAGTCGCAAATACTGGCTGATAACATGCACTCAGCATATGCTGACGCATGATAAAAAATTGTCGCATGGTACAATTAATAAGAAACAATGAAATTCATCTCCAAAGCGAATGTGTGCGTATGTGGAACATATGCTGTGCGCATGTGTAGCATATGCCTAGCATATGCTGGAATGGTTCTGGTTGGCTGGGTGAGCGGTTTCAAATTTCCCTACACTGGTGGCAGCGCAACCGGCGTTTTGATTGATCAGGTGCCGAAATCGCGTCGCGCACGCGCTATGCATATGCTAACCTTCTGCCTGGCGAATGTTTTTTTTTTCACCCCAAAAATCAACATCGAAACTGCGTAAGTACTACCACTATTTCTGCCCTTCGCCCACACAGCATATGCTCAGCTATGGCATCAATCAATTGCGCATCATGAATTTACGGAGTGTGTCCTGCATATGCTCAGCATGTGCACAGCAGACGCTCAGCATATGTTCAAAAGATGCTCTACCTTTGTAAATTACATTTCGTGCAATAAACCACTCGTAGTTACGCCAATAGGTAGATCTTCGGCCTGATCGTAATCATTCCAGAACCTTCCAACTGCATCATCAACATCGAGACCTTGCATATGCTCGGCATACTGTCCTTCCTCATTTTCGGTTTCGGAATGAGATGACGAGGAAGAAGATGACTCGGGCTCGGACTCAGAATTCTCGAAACCACCCATGCCGCGCATATGTAGTGCTATCTCTCTAGCATCGGCTGTGGTCATGCTCTCATTAATCGGTAGAGCATCCATTGTTGTGTTTTGGTCTTGTTGGTTTCGCCGATGTTCAATCGCTGTTGTGATGATGCCAAGCATATGCTCTGCTTTGTGTTCGTTTTCTCTTTTGGAATGTAATATATTTTCCACTTTGTGTGTTTTGCCCCAGTTATTTTATTATTCATTTAGGTTTATTATCGACATTTGCCCAGCATATGCGCGACACATGCGACCAATCGAATCCTAAAAAGCTCAACATGGGTAGAACGGTTCTACCCATGTTGAGCTAAAACCTGGTCCATTCGGACCGTACCAATCGTCTATTGGGACCGTAGCCACATTGGAAAAATGGGCCATACCCATGCAAAACCCACTTTTCACCCCAAAAATCGCACCAAGTTATGGGACAATGCCATGGAGCCAACTGCAAGCCACGTCAATTAGCCACACTTTCAATTGCACCAATTGACACTATTCACAACTGCGAGTAAGCCAGTCGCCCTGCAGGCGCAGGGCAGGCTAGATCGTTCAAATCTGCGGAGCTCCTTCGCAATCTCACGGTTCGAAATTGCTAGGTGATCGGTAAAGGTTACCACAAAGGCCTTGTGCTCTGGCTTGAATCTGCGGTTGAGTCCCTCCTTTTCGACCGCTGGATGATTCTCATGATGCCCGTTGACGATTTGTAAGGTCCATTTGCGGTTGTTGGAAGCTAGCGCTTTGGCAACTGCTCTGAAGGGATAGTCGCACTTGTTGGTGGAAACTTGGCGCGAGTGAGCGATACTCTCACGGACTTTGTCGCGCAGGCAACAAATCGCTACGTAAGTTGGCCCGAAATCCTTGACGATATTCGACGAGCGAAGCTTGCGAATATCGAAGCCTGCGGAAGCCGCGAAGTCGTGCAGGTATTCTATCAAGTCGTCAAGGGAGTCGTATTGGTGGTTGAGGAGCTTGTGGTCGGGCGGAGGTGCTGAGAGCGCCTCAATTGAATCGTCGTCGGAATCCATTTCTATCGCCAGTTACTCCTATCGATTGACGACGAAATAAAGGAAGGCGCTTACTGTCACTACGATAACTGCGCGTGGAATCGCTACAGGCCGCCCACTCCTTAAGTACATGACCCGCAAGACCATCGGAAATGAAGAAACCTGGGCACCCCTATCCTCCCGCACTCGAACCGGCTTCCTATGTCTAAAAGGACAGCAACCACCCGAGCCACCTCCTGAACATCACATCGTTGAAAGATCTTTTTCCACGGTTCTTTCTCCTGAGCTCTTCGCCCCGCAGACACGTAGCGCTTCACGACGCTTGCTTTGGCGATGGCTTAGTAACCTTGTAACTGTCTCGCTGCACACTTTCTGCCCTCCAAGCCGAAGTGACGGCCGTTCTTGCTCTAACATCGTAGCTGTGCTAGTGAGATTTTAGTCACCGCTCTAGTCGGTATGTTTCGTCGTCCTCACCGTATAAAGCCTTGGTCCGGTCAATCTCCAAGGACCTTTATGCAAACGGAAAATGCTGGGCCGTCTGGTAAGGACCGTCGACGCACGCGTAAGCCGCCGCACCAATGTTACTCCAGCCTTCACTGTCGACTAGCCTGCTGTCATTGTCGTCGTCATTGCAGTGGAACGCGCATCCTGCGTCTGTGAAAAGACGGAAGTTGTATGAGCCGGTCGATCTGACGGAGACGAGGCTTGTCTGGAAGAAGCTGGGTAGCTGGCAGCAGGCCTGGAACGGGCAGGTGAACGTTTCGCAGTGGCCTGTGAAACCACGGCCGGAGCACCCATACACGCTCATGCCCGGCTGGCCACGAACCAAAACAGACAGACAAAGCACCACAAAACCGGCGGTGATCATCGTGCTGGATATTTGTTGGATGAGGAATAGGATTGATTAGGGAGAGAAAAGGAAGCCCCCCTTTAATATGTACAAATCGGGCATTGGGTAACGTTGAGCACAAACTTGTACCGAGATGTAAGCAGTCTTGTCGAAGTTGCAGGGATCGAGGTCAGCCGGCGGGACCTGATAGCTAGTGGTTATCCCGGCCTGATCGTCACAGCACTGCCCGGCTTACGGAAGTTTCGTCGCGCAGGATCTACGGCTCTGCCCCTCATGAAGGCCTTCGGAGCTGCAAAGTTGCGTTGGCAATCTTATTTCGATTGTCATTTCGAACTCTGCTTTTCTTTTATTGGTGCGTTATACGTAATACGATAAGCAACGCACTATTGCGTATATGTGTGTCTTATATGCAGCTAATCATTTGATTGGGGATTGTAAAGGTGCCTAATAGATTTGTGTGCTTGTTCTTGTCACCACGATCATTATAGGAGTAGCGGTGTGGAGGCAATATGGCTGCAGTGTATTCTGAGAAGGATGACACGGTAAAGAGGGACAACTTGAAATCCGATTACGGGGGGCGTGAGTGTTATGGTACCGGATCTAGTTAGGCTGCTACTTCGTAAGCTTTCCCCGGCAACTAGGTTCATGAGCGCTAGAGGACCTATCGTTGGCCAAATTACGAGTGCGGCGGGTCGATAAGACTCAAGTCCTGCGAAATACTTCACTTATACGATTCTAGGCTAGTAGGTCTTTATACATAGAGTCTGTATTTAGTAACGCAGCGTCACCGGAAATAGGTCTGCTAACTCCGTTGCAGCCTGAGTGCAGACTACTATTAATACTAGAAAGGGCATAATCTGTCGGAAATACGGGTTAAGTTGGTGAGTGAGGGTCGCAGAGAGTAGAAGAGCCGACCCAACAACGAAATCGCCCAACAACGAAATCGCCCAACAACGAAATTGCCCCACACCATGCCCACGTCCACATTACGGGCGCAAATGATCCATTTCTATACAAAATAACTAGCAAAAAAGTCCTCAATCCTCTTCTTCGGCCTGTATATATTGCTCAAGCCCACGGGCGATTATTTCCCGGGCTTCTTCGACCGCATGTGGCTGACTTCCTGCCTGGGCCACTATTTTCCGCTTGGGGGGCATTTGACTAGCTTTTTGTGCCTTGGCGATGTCCTCAATGCGTGCAAATCGCTCATTTCCATCTTCATATACCCTTTTACGCGTGCGAGGCTTTGAAGCCTCTAATTCGGTCGTGAGATGCGTAATTTGTGCCTTCAAAGACGCGATCTCTGCATTCTTCAGATCCAGGGACCTCCCGACCTTAGTAAACAAAGCCCGCACACGCCGGCTGGCCGGACTGAGGGCATTCCGAATACTGTCCTGGTACTTCTTGATGTCCTGACTGCCGTGCGGTGTTTTGAAGAGCCTGTTATCATCATTCGGGGCCGTCGTCGGCGGCGTTGTAGGCCGGGCCGGGAGTGCCTCGTTGTCCTTGACTGCCTCCGGGTCATCAAGTAAATAAGCCGGGTTGAGAGGCCAAATTCCGGTCTTCCGGAAGCCCGAGATGATGTTACGGGCGCTCATGCCCCGTGCCGAGGCATCTCTATAGCAGAAAAGAAACCGAACCTTGTTGATAGGAGCTGACGATGTAAAGCTGGCTAGGGCCTTGGTGTTTTGCCTGAAGTAGTTCTTCAAGGGTGAAAATACCGAGCGGTCGAGAGGCTGGGACTTGTGCGATGTATGTGAGGGTAAAAAGACAAGCTGGACCTTATGTTGGAAGGCCAACAACATGAAGTCTTCGTTCATATGGCTCGAATGCTCGTCAAGGATCAATATACGCCAATCCCCCGGCCTTTGGGGCCTGGTTTGGATCAAGTAGACCTCTTTGAGCCATTTTATCGCGATCTGGGCGTTGCTCCAACCGGTAATTGAGTAATCGTACTTCCATTCCGGGAATTCAGCCTCCAGCTCGAGGTTATCGAGAAAGTGTTATCCTTGAAGACTGGCCCCGGTAAATATAATCACAGGCTTCAAACGAATGCCCTCAGCAGTGCCGCATTCGATGACTGAGATCCAGGTTGTTGCATCAGAGCTTTGAACGTAAGTTCGATTCGTCAGGGAGCTTCCTATGACCTTTCCGGCCCGGGTCTCGAGCTCCTGCATACCGTGTTCATCCATATTGGCTATGTTGGCCGGGATAACCTTTTTATCCTCGATTTGGAAGGCCAGTCGCTTGAAGAAGTCCTCGAAAGCTTCACGAGTTGAACCGCGCACGCGAGAGGATTCCAACAAGGTCGAATTCTTCATCTTTACCGCCGGGTTGCGGCGTAGAAAGCGGTCTACATACCGCTCCCCAACGGCCTTCGTCGTGCCGGCCTCATTCAGTATAGCTTGAGCGAATCTCTGCACTTGACGACGGCTAGGAGCGCGCCCTGCAGCTTCCTCATTGAGGCACCAGTCGGCTAGAAAGCTTTCCTGTGCATTGGAGAGATTTCTTTCGGTTTGTTTACTTTGGGCACGACTTTCTGCCCCGTGGATGCGTTTTCAGAGGGTGGAAGCAGGGATGCCGTATAACTTGGCCGCGTCTTTCTGTGAGGCGCCCTGCTCAACTGCAAGTATTGCAGCTTGAATGAGCTGCTCTCGACGGTCCGACATGTCGTATTTTGAAGCTGTTTGGACTAGAATTGATGAAGTTGTGTTGTGTAGAAGTTGAAGGCCGGGAAATTAGATGACAGGGGCAGAGATTTCGTTGTGGGGCGATTTCCTTGTTGGGTCGCCACGTCTAGTTATTTCAACATCCTTAAAACACGAATATAGCCCTATAAACAATGGTAATGCCTCTTTATAAACATCCACTATACCGATACTAGAGCCTTTGAAAGGTTTTCAACGAGCAGTCTCTGCAATGGTGGTCCGATCGTGTGTACCCAGATCTAGGTCTACAGGAAAACAGGAAGTCTTTTTTTTTTTTTTTTTTTGGTAAATAGCAACTTTAGCCGGGGTAGCCAGAAACGCGGCACAGGGGCTGTGCAGTACACACACCTCGCTCACCACAACTCAGGGTAAAGCAGCGGCGGCTCAGGGCCATGCCTGCCTATGGTAATTACTGAGGGCAACATTCGGGAGGCGCATAGGTCTGTTGCCACAGCCTGTGCTTGGGTTGCCGCCTCAAAAGGGGCTAGCTGGCATGGGATATTCATTTTTAATCTTCATCATACACTCAACCGTCATTCTGTGCATGAACAAAATATCTCGGCAAGTGCGTAGTGGGACTAACTCGTTGCGGTTCTCCTCGATGCCGTCGTCCTGAACAGGTGCCGCTGGCACGGTATAGGGTTCAGCGCCTGCGGCGATGTATAGGTTGGGGGACTCGGAGATGCCCCTAGCGAGACGCTTACGCGCCCAGTAGATGACGAGGTTGCGGTTGTGCTCAGTCACTCTCTTGATCTCGTGCAGGTCGAACTTGGCGATGGCCTCGGCCCGGGCCTGCTCGATTGTCCAGAAATTGTGGTAGGCGACATAGCACGGGTTGGCTGCCATGTTCTTGCTGTCAAAAACTTTGAACGCAAGACTGCCTTCGTCGTAGTTCAGGCGAGGCCGCAGGAACGCAGGAGCTCCTTGCTTGCGCTGGATGGGGATGACTGGGGCGTCGACAGGTTCGAGAGTGATACTACCGTCGGCAGCCTTCTTTTTCGCCGCCACCGACGGCGGCAGGTCCTTGCTCCACGTACCCACTAGGAGAGCAGTATCGGCGGTGGGGGCGTTGCGAATTTTGCCAGGGTGATGAATCCGCTTCTCGGTGTCCCAATGATTGAACACGGCTTCGAACAGGCTGTCTCTTCGCTGCTCGATGTCTGCGAGACTACTTGCCACACCATTTGCCGCCGCGAGAGCCACCAGAATATCGTCACAAGCCGTCTTTTGCAGCGGCGGGAGGTCGGCGCTCGTGCGAAGTACGGCTCGGAAACCAGGGGAAACTTGGCCGGAAGGTTCGTCGGGAGACAACATGGTTACAGGCACGTTTGGGGGTCTGGGTCGGAAGCTCAAGAGGAGAGCGAGCAGATGAGATCTCAGGATCCCTCAAAGGGAAGAATGACGCGGAGAGCAGAAAAGGCGAAGGAATGGAAGATGAGATCACGAGAAGAACGTTCAAATAGATTCCCGGGCACAGGAATGGAAATAGATTTTGTGCGCTAGAGTGTTTGAGAACTTTCGATATGGGAGAAGAGCACCTCTAATCAATATTCACCCGATAGCGGTCCTTCTCATTCCCATGGGGCCGACAAACCACGTCGTATCTTTTCGGCCTGAATGTTTCCTTTCATGAACTATGAAACCCAACAGACTACGCTGGCCTTGGCCTTTGTCACTTATTGTTGGAATCACCAGGTACCAGTACTGGAAACAACAGGGCGTGCTGCACGCCGAAAGCTGGTGGTTCAAGTGATGGTCATTGTTTTCTATGTCCATCTAGAAGAAAGAGGTGGCCGTAGGCCACTTATATGGAATCTGGGACCCCTACGCCTCCACCGCCACCTGTGTGGCTGATGAATGCGTTGCTACAGCCACCTCTATGTGGCTGGAATGCGCGTTGTTCCAACACTTATACTCAGTCACTTGGCAGTTTATCATGACAGAAATGACTAGAATCGAAACCACTTATTCTCGGGACCGGCCGTGTCGGGCGAAAGAAGTCTATGCTTCAATGCTTGTTCTCAGCAGAACTGCCACCGGTCGTTGCTTTGGTACTGGCCATTGTTAAAATGTCACTAACGATTGTGCATATGTTCAGGCAAGTTTTCGGCCCTTAAAAGACATTTGTACGATTGCAGGCCCATTCTGTCGGAACTCGGCTTGGGAAGGTGCTCATGGAACCTCAGGGTTGTTTTCCGCAGTCACCCGAGCAATAATTATGTATGCCGATCAGTCAGCCCGCCATTCGCACCCACTTTCTCGTATATGCTCGTGTCCGGGCCGCAAGCATGCGGATCAATTCCAGGTGGCATGCTAACGCTGCCATACCGATGATATGGAAGGGGCGGTGTACTTTTTGGGCAAGTTAAAGGCAAGCGTCCTTTTGCTAGCTCGGGCTGCTTCACATTTGGCCACTGCCACTTGCTGTTTGTTGATTTGCTGGGCCCGTGGGGCGGCCCACGATCGCGGGCGCTCCTTGGCATGCTGATTCGCTGCACCGCAGCACGGGCTCGCAGGCTCACAGCCCAGTCAGACAATTAATACCCATACACCGGGTCCATTGGCGTCCTCTTCTGCTTCATCCGGAATTAGCGTGACATTACCGGACGGGCCGAATCCGTGCCCACCGCGCTCGTATTCACCACGAGCCCATCATCCATGACGCAACAAACAGTGTGCATTGGAACACGTGATGGACATTCCCCAAGAGTCCACTCCACCCTACCGGCCCCAGGCTTCCTGGCAGTGCCAAGGTGCCGATCCATTTACCCCTTGCCAATAGACGTCACTTTTGTTGGCCACCTGTTTTGTATAAGATGTCTTGGGAGATCCGCTTTCTCGATCAACGTCAAGCCCTCGTCTGCATCCCGAGTTCCCGCGTCAATCCACAACCATAGTTCGAGGTATTTGACGATCTTTCTTTCGATAATTAATTAATTAAATTGCTTCTCGTCCTATAATAGGACTTAATCACCACACGCAACAACCACCACCATGCTGTCTCATCTACTCTTTGGGGCTGCCGTCATCGGACTCGCCGCCGGCTTCCCTCAAGTCAGCGCGCCACCATCCTCCACCATCGCCCCCATCACATCCACCACGCCACCACCAAGCGCCATCACCACCGCCCCAGGGCTCACCTGCACTGGCGGCTCGACCGTCAAAACCACAACCGAGTGCACCTACGGCCACACGTACTCGTATTGCTACAGCGCCCCGCCGCCCCTGTCGTGCGACTCGGGCTATTTCCCGGGCACGATCCAGTACGGCCACTGCGAGGAGGGCCAGATCTGCTATCCAGTCGACGCCAGCTGGATCACGACGACGTGCCCGCCCAACGGCGAGACAGCCTACACAACGTCGACGCTGTTCTCGGGCACGCTGGCCGGCGGCGTCAGCACCGTCATCTCGGTCGTGCAGTGCGCGTGCGGCGACGGCCAATACTACAGCTGGCAGTCTGAGAGCCCCTACAGCGTCTACTGCATGCCCTTCGCCGACTGCGTTGCCGGCATGACGACGAGCTACAGCACCAACGACTACTGCCTGACCGTGACTACGCCGAGCTACTGCAGCGGGAGCGTTAGCACCCCGTACTGCGCTTGCGCCACGGGTCTGCCGCAGTATCCCGCCGAGGGGGGTGCGCCGACAACGTGTGCGTGAGGAGCGAAGAATCTAGGGGCCATGTCAACAATCGCATGATTTTTGGGGGTCTAATTACGAACACGAATTTATGAAACATATAATTAGATAGCTACTGCAGCCTAGACGACTTGATGGAAGTAATGCAGATTGTGGTTCGCATGCCTCTGCCGTCATGCGGTCATTTAGAGCCTCTAAAATTGTGTCTCGACTTTGAACAGTAGCCTGAGAGCGAAGTGGTGGTAAAAAGGGACAAGGAGACTCACAGCGCGACACCCAGTGACCTGGGCGTGGCCAAACCACGATGTAGAGGCATGTGAGCAAAGATGAGATACGCTACTCGTTCGCTTTGCATGGTCTTATTGATAAACACGGCCCGATTCTTAATAAGGCCAACGCAACCAACGCTGACAGAGGAACCACCATAATAATCTGCACAGGGTACTGTCCGGGCCAGGGCTTCATCTTATTACGGGGTGAGATTGAAAGCCGAAGCTCCGTGTCGGGTCTTACCGGGGATGACAAACCAGACACTGCCCCCTCCTTACCGACGCTCCTGATCGGGGGGCAACAAAACAATGCTCTGAGATCATCTCAAGGCATAGCCTCTAAAGAAATAGCAGACAACAAGATATAGGACACTAACAAAAGAGAAGCTCAATAAATAACTAGGTCCAATTAGATAAGAGAAATAATGAGGGTGAGTAGCTAACTCGGGGTATGACAAAACCGTTTTCCAATGTGCAAATCCAAAGTCCCATATCTATACATAAGACAATCCCATTATGCCTGTCCGTCCAGACATGCCCGTCTGGATATATCCGTCACTCCACACCGGCTCCCCATTACCGAGCGGCCTCAACATCCGCTTGCCTCTCGGGCTGCACAACAGCACTGCCACCCACAACACCAGACTGATCGTCTCTGCTCATGCGCACTCTCTCGAGCTTCTTGCCCCTAACGATGCTCCACAGATAGGCGCCGTGGACGACTTCGTGGGCTGCTCCCTCGCCCTCAGCAGTCTTGTCGCGTGGGATGATCCACACATTTCCGAGGAAGGTGGTAATGATTACAATGGCCCACATGATGGGCACAATTGCAATGAAGGCCCAGTAGATGCCAGACTTGGGATCGACGTGGTTGGGACCGCTGCGGTTGTTGAGCACAGTGGACATGAGGGTCAGGGTGATGGTGCCGCCAAAGGGGAAGGCAAACGAGACCAGGCACGAGATCTGCGCCGTCATGGTCGGGAAGTACGCAAGTCCGTGCAGGGCGCCCGGGTTGAAGCGGATGCCGACGCCCACGCCCACGATCGCCATCATGGCGTAGAGGACCGCCGTCCGGGGCTGCGCCGTCCCAATCTCCACCGCTATCACCGTGATGCCCACGGCCGACGCAACGGCGCCGAGCAGGAGCGAGGGCAAAGTTTGCCGCGGCCATTTGTTTGTGAAGAAAATGGCCGTATAGGCACCAACTGTGTTCGAGATGACTGATTAGCATAGGGGACTCGAGATATAGGACAATATAGAGAGTAAATGACGTACCGCCAAGCCCAGGCAAGAAATACAGAAGAGCAATCCCGGAGCTGCTGGCACTGTTCCCCTGAACAAGAGTGAAGAAGAGATCCATAAAGTACATGATGGAGAACATGGCGGAGCCGAGGGAGAAGTTGATGAAGAACAGCAAGGTAATGTTGCGCTGCACGAGCAGGCGCCAAGGCATCATGGGCCGCTGGCGAGGGAAGAGGCGAGCCATCACGCGGCCCGGAACCATGGCGTATTGGTATAGAAGCCAGGCGGCCGACAGAACCATGCCGATAACAAGCGGCGCCAGGACGTCTGCCGAGTCCCACGGGTACGACGCGCCGCCCCATGTAAGAGCCAGGATCACCAGCCCCAGCCCCCAGAGGAAGAGAAGCTGGCCGCCGTAGTCGATGGTGGCGAGACGGAGCAGGAAGCGGCCGCGGCGCGTGGCAGCGCGGCTCGGGGCTGCCATTGGCGGCCTTTCCGTCTTTTCGCCGGGCAGGGGCAACGGCTGGGGCGGCGCCTCACCGAGCTCAGGCAGCGGCTGCGGGCCGAGCAGCTCCTTGCGCAGCAGCACGACGACGAGGACGATAGCCACAGCAGCAACTGGCAGGTTGATGGCGAAGCACCAGCGCCAGCTGACCTGAGTCAAGTACCCGCCGGCCACGGGGCCGACGCTGAAGCTGATGGCCGACACGATGGCGAAGACGGTGTAGTTCATGGCGTACTCGGCCAAGCTGACACGGTCGGCGAGGATGGTGCGCACGCATATGTTGACGCCGGCGGCGCCCACGCCCTGCAGGGCCCTGCCCAGAAGCAGCACCCCGAACGACGACGTTGGCGCGCCCGTGCAGATGGCCGACCCAATGGTCATGATGATGATGGTGGCATGGAGGGTGGCGTGCCGGCCAAAGACATCGGCTATCTGGGCCCAGAAGGGCAGGAAGGCGGCCGACGTGAGGTTGAAGGAGGATATGATCCAGTTGAGCTGGCTGACCTCGTCTTAATTACCGAGGGGGGAACCGGTTAGAATCGTGCCAAGAAACAAAAGTAAGGGGCAGGAGAGCTCACTGAAGTCCCGGGCAATAAACGGCAGGGCCGATGCGATGATGGTCGTGTCGAGAGCTTGCAGCATGAAGGGAAACGTGAGGCCAAATACAATCTTCAACCGGTACTTGTACCGTCTCTTCTTCTCCGCCTTGGCCTCGGGGCTTTCTTCTTTAGCCTTCTTCACTGCCGTGGTCTGAGGCCTGGGGCCAACGGCTGAGGCAACGGCCGTGGAATTGCCGTTCTCGGTGCCATTGACGGGGCCATCTGATTCTAGTTGTTGAGCTTGAGGTTGAGAGCGAGGGAAAGCCCCGCCAGTTGGAGTTGGGGGCCTTTCGGGGACCTCTTCAGAGGTTTCCCTTTCGCGCCGCTCCTTGAGCTTCTTCCTGACATATTTCACCGCGAGGAACATGGTGTCTGGAATCGATCTTCACTTTTCGGGATGGCGAGTCGTGGACATGTCCGGGGCAGCAAATTAATCAGCTAGAAAAGACGAGATTTCCTTATATACCTATAGGTGCCACGAGCGTCCAGTTTTTTGTGGGGGGAGTGTTTTGAAGTGGCTTTTGGCTCGCGGAATGGATCCTGAAAGGGAAAGGCGCACACGTACGTCTGGCTGTCAGTGGCTCGGGTTGGGGGCCTCCAGGCTCAATCAAAGAAACCGGCCTGTGATTGGCCATAATCTTGTGATGTTTGGCGGGGTTGTGGGCCCTCTTTTCTTCGATTCGGCCTAGCCAAGCTCCCGATCCCTGCCGAAACCCAACAACGGACAGCTTTTCTCGCTTTCGTCGTATTCGTCGCTTTCGTGACTTGTCGCTTGCGTTGCATCTCCGCCAAGCCACGTTGTAATCAAAGGCGCAGCCACGACCCCAAATTTTCCAATCCGACGAATGCGATCTGTTGCAAGCTCATTGTCCCGGTAATTTATGCCTTTGACGCGCCAATATGCAACACAACCGCCGTAAATCCTTAATTTTTTTCGCCCAACTTCAATCGATGGAGGTGCTAAAGAGCGGTGCTGCGCCGGATCCCAATTTGATCTCCTGTCTCCTGGCATTTTCTATAACACTTTACCGCCCGGACCTTTCGTGATTCTGAGTCCTGGCTCCCACAACGCCATTGCCGGTACGACCGCCTAGGGCACTCTGTGGTCTGCCAATGGGGCCCAGAAGCCGTGATAACGATTTTTGGGGGTATTAGGTACATCGGGGAGCGTATAACTTGACCCAGTCGGTCCAAGGTTATCCCGCTAGGAAAACGCTAAATGGTCAAGTTGTCCAAAAATCAGGAGCGAGTTCTACTATTCGGGGGACGCGGATCCGGGGGAAGGTGTTATTGCCGGAACTCCGGTCACCTAACTACTTGGCCATAATTGTGTCTATCATCCACCTCTAAACAATTCCAGACGCCAAGAAAGGAGCCATAACTTGACCTACTGCCATCCCTCTCCAGGTCGTAGAGAGTTGCGTCTTGCCATTTGGGTTTGGACCAGATACGCCGTCAGCCATGGCATCAGCATCTCCAGACTCGTACGAGGTACGAGAGACGGCGAACCTGGCCAAGGTCATGGGCCCCGATGAGAATAGCTATACGGCGTCCGCGAAGCGCATCCCGATGCCCGACGGTGTCGAGTTGGCCGGCGACTTCTACCAGCCCGATCTCCCGGCGGGCCGCAAGCCACACGGGCTCATCTACGTGCTCTGCCCCTATGGCCGCGCGGGCGTCATGACCCTCACCAACGCTAAGGCCTTCGCTGGGCGCGGATACATGGTCCTCCTGGTCAGCTGTCGCGGCACGGCCGGCTCAGGGAGCGTCTTTGTTGCGGCCATGACGGAGCAGGCAGACTCGCAGGCCGTCGTCAAGTGGATGCGCCAGCAGCCGTGATACCCGGGCAAGTTTTTCACCTTCGGGCCTAGCTACATGGGCTACGTCCAGTGGGCGCTGCTGCGAGATCCGCCCGAGGACCTCGTCGCGTCCGTCAACCTGTGCAGCGTTTTCGGCAACTCGCTGCTTGTCTGGACAAACGGCGCGTATCGTATGGACCGTATTTCCTGGTCCCACATGGTCGCCAGGCAGGATCAGATCACTAGCGCCGGATGCTCGAGCATACTCGACCCGATGAAACTGATGTTGACCATGCAGGCCACCCCCATTTCCGAAGCGGCGGAGAAGTTCTTCGAAGGGAGGGCGTCTTACGCACTGGATGCCATGAAAACTCCAAATGTCGATGACCCTTTCTGGGCCCAGGCCAAGCACCGCGCAGCTCTTGAACACATCAAGATACCCTTGCTCCTCCGGGGCGGGTGGTACGATACCTTGACAGTTCAGACCATGGCAGCGTACGCTCGCGTACGCGACCGCGGCATCAAGGTCTACCTGACAGTCGGATCATGGACGCAAATCGAGGCCTGCGGGACGAATGCGATGCCCGAGGTCTTCGATTTCTTGGATGAGTACTTCACAGGCCGGAAAAAGGACCACCGCCCGCTTTCGGTCAGGGTGTTCGTCACGGGCGCCGAAGAATAGCGCTCCTTGCCGTCTTAGCCACCAGCAACCCAACAGCGCAGCTTTTACCTCCACGGCGACAAGACTATCGATGAACAACTCCCGGCAGCCGACTCGCCCCCTGCATCCTTCACCTACGATCCCCACAACCCCACACCGACAGTTGGCGGGCCCCTGATGGCCCGCGGCGGACGGGTGGACGATAGTGTCTACACTTCGAGACCCGACGTCCTCGTCTACACGAGCCCACCGCTGACCCAGGACGTCAAAATGATGGGCAAGCCCGTCGTGTAGCTCGCACACTCAACCGGAGTCCCATACGCCGATCTCTGGATCCGCCTGAGCGAGGTCGACACCGACGGCGTGTCTCATAACCTCACCGGAAGCTGGCAGGCGCTGGACTACTTGGAACCACAGGACGCTCAGGGCGGCATGTTTTCGCTCGCGCTGGTGGATCGAGCGCACGTATTCAAGAAGGGCACGCGTATCAGGGTGATAGTAGCCGGCGGCTCCTTCCCCCTGATAGCGCGGAATCCGGGGACGGGGGTGAACCGAACTCTGGCGGAAGAGCTCAAGGCCGTGACGCACACTGTTCAGCATGGGAGTAGGGTCTCGATGCTCATTCTGCCATGTTCGGTTTGATCAGAAGCAATAATTACTAACTTTTATGCGGGGGGGTGAATATAGGCTCTCCAATGGATAAGTAATACCTACTTACTATTCAGGAAAGACACCTTAGTTTGGTAATCTTTACCACAACAAAGCTTGACAAGTCAAGGGGCAACCGATAGAGCAAGAAGGTAGCAGCTTTTTTTTCTCCTTTTTTTCCTTCTCTGCGTTAGTCTAGACAGACAGGCGCTTTCCCAAGTCCAGTGAGTCGTATTTTATTCTGCCCACTTTACGGCCGTCGTTTCCACCTCAGATTTCGGCTGGGATGGGCAGTGAATTCAAGTGCCAAGAGCCAAGACCCGCTTGATATGGGCTTCGCCCTTTTACTGCCAGCTTGCACAACGTCTCTAACCCGTTTAGACCAAGACGGGACTCTTCGGTGCCGCTTTCTTGATTGAAATGGCGTCAGGACGCTTTTTTTTCAAGAGTGGGTAGAAGATATTTGTTTTCAAAGTGCTTTCGGAGTGCTTAGTGTTGCTATTTGATACCCTTCTCTTCTGCCCACAACCCAAATTCATAGGAATGCAACCCAATTAACTAGGCACACAGTTTCCAGGAAGCTGGTATGATCATTCCAGTAACACCATGGCGGCACGGTTAACCCACAAGACATTTACCATCGTGGTTGCAGCAGCGCTTCTCGCATCGTCGTCATCACCACGCCACTTCCTCACGCGGGCATACCACTTCAACTACGGCGTATCCTTCCGGCACCCGTGCCTTAAGGAGGCATCGACATCCGGGCGGGCAGCCGTGCCGTTCACGCCGCTGCTCGTCGAGCCGCCGACGCTGGTGTACGCGGTGGACGAGCTGAGCCAGGCGGACCTTGAAGCGTTTTGGGGCACTCAACTTCACACCCGCGGCGGAGACCGAGACAGGACTCGGCGCCCTCTTCACCAACGCCACCGCAGGCACGGATAGCAGCACTTTACCCTCCTCGAGCAACGACTGCACGGCGGTGCTAGGCAGCGACTGCGTGCGGAACCTGTAGGAGGCTGTGGCGGCGCTCATCGTGCGCGTGCAGGCTGGGGCATGGCCAGGCCGGACGGCACTGCAAGACCTGCACACGCAGCGGCTTGAGCTACGAGGCAACCTGTCGTGCCCTGCGGACCTATTTGACGACTTTCCGGCCACTCTCGCGGTCTGTGGTACGTTACCTGGCCTGACCCATTGGCAGCCAGGATCACTGGCTTCCCCTGATCCCCACAGGCAAAGCCAAGTCCAACCGAAACGTGACTGTCATAACTAACCGCGCGCTGCGCATGAATTTGCAGCGCCCGTCGTGGCTAGCGAGACAGAAAAGTACAGCAGCATCAAGACGGAAAAGTTCAAGCTGCAGCCCACCTCGGGCAACACGAGCCTGCCGTATACGTCGACCCTCAATGTTCGCGATATAGAGGCGCAGAAGCGCAAGGCAGCCGTGGCTATGTTTATTAGCCACCCCCAGACCCCTGGGGACCGCAGCCAGATCACCCTCTTTGGGCCGAGCGAAGTGCGCGTCGAGTTTGTGTGTGTTTTAGTATCGGCGATACGGTTCCTTCTCCGTCGTCGTCGTCGTCGTCGTCGTCGTCATCGTCGTCGCCGTCGTCGTCGTCGTCTTCCTCTCTGCCTTCGACGAACTCTCCGTCTCCTTCTACCATCAGTACTGGAACTGCCACCTCTGCAACAGACTCGCCGCGATCAACAAATGCTGCGAATAGTTTATTGCTTGGAAAGCAAACGAAGGCGTGTCTGTGGCTCGGTATGGCAGCGGTAGCGGTTAGGTCGATGACGGCGTAGTTAGCTGTGAGAATGAGATTTTGTACAAGGCACTTACTTGATAGAGTGAGAGAGATAACATATGCGAAATGATACCATATTTGGAAGGCTATCTGGTGGGTATACGATACAATTCCAAGTTTGAGACCTGGGTGAAGTTTGGTTTTACTTAGGAGAAAAGACGAGTAAAGCAACCCAACCGAACTCCGTCCCTCATTTAGCACAATAACTGAAGAGGCTGTTGCCAAGAAGCTGATAATGTATACTATGACGCCGCGCTTCATGCAATACCTCTAGCCCTGAGGTCGTGGCAGGAACCGCTACGTATAAAGCGGTTGGTAGCCCAACGTTTCTGCCATGACTCAGTGCGCCCAAGCCCAGGGCTCTGTAAATGATTGTTGTCGAGGATCGCAACCTCAGTACCGGCTCTGGTTTGGATAAATCCAGCAACACCTGGAGTATGGCATGCAGAAATAAAGAACGAGGGAGGTCCCAAACATCTAGACAACTCTGGATCTTTAACTCACGCCCGCCTCGTTCACTCCTTCGAGCTCGAGCCACCTGAGACAGCATCTGAAACTCCCTTCACTGCTTTATTCGCAGCGCTTACCACGGCATCCTTGGCGCTCCCAATAGTGAGCTTGGTTGAGACCTCGGGCTCCTCCTCGACGGCACTAATACGCGTCAACTCGGTCACGAAGCTCTGACCCCACCATGAGCTCGTGTACTTAAACACATAACGCTCCAACTTGCGGAAGTTAGCCTCGCGCTGCTCGGCACTCATGGTGACGGCATCGTGAATCGCGTTTGCCAGCTCCTCTGTGTTCCACGGGTTGACGATAAGGCTTCCATTCAAGCTCTGCGCCGCGCCTGTGAACTCGGAGAGTATCATGACTCCGTGGCGCTCGCGCTGTGTAGCGATGTATTCGTAAGATACAAGGTTCATGCCGTCGCGGGTGGAGCTGACGAGACAGACGTCGCTGACGGCATAAAGCGCTGTGAGCTCTTCAAACGAAACCGACTGGTGCAGGAAGTGGATCGGCATGAACTCGATCGTGCCAAACCTGCCGTTAATGCGACCAACCAGTTCGTTGACGACTGCCCTGAGGTTCTGATACTCCTCCACGTCCTGTCGGCTAGGCACAGCAACCTGAACTAGAACGATTTTCCCGATCCACTCGGGGTGCTCCGTGAGAAACACTTCCAGAGCGTGCAGCTTCTGTGGCACACCTTTGATGTAATCAAGCCGATCAACACCCACGATCAGCTTGACACCCTCAAACTTGCGCTTCAGGGCAGAGATACGCGCTAGGACACTGGGCTTCTGTAGCCCCTCAACAAACTTTTCCGGGTCGATTCCAATGGGAAAAGCGCCGACCGTAACAAACTTTCCATTAAAGTCAACGCCGTTAGGAGTTGTCGGCGTGGAACTGTTCATTGTTAGCTCAGAAGACGAGCCAATGCAGGGAAGAGACGGTCTTACAGTATTCTCGAACAGCTGCTCAGGAAATGTCTCGCGTAGTCATAGGTATGGAACCCAATGAGGTCGCAATCCAAAACACCGAGCAGAAGGGACTCTCTGACTGGAAGGATACGGTAGATCTCGCTGCTGGGGAAGGGCGTGTGTAAGAAGAAGCCAATCTTGACGTTCTTCTTGGTGTTTCCAATCTCCTCGCGCAACATTTCGGGGAGCAGCATCAGGTGGTAGTCGTGTACCCAGACCAGATCGCCATCCTGTACGTCCTTGGCGACAGTCTTGGCGAACAGCCGGTTGACCTCACGGTAGGCAGCCCAGGCGGACTCGTCGAACGTGATCTCACCGGGGTGGTAGTGGAAAAGAGGCCATAGGATCGAGTCTGTCGGGTATTGTGGTTAGACAGCAACCAGCAACCAGCCAGGCACCCGCAGCCAAGACTTACTTGCAAAGCCATTGTAATGGCGATCGGCCAGCTCGTCGTCCACGAAGACGGGGACTGCATTGTATTCGTCCTTCAATCGCTGTACCATAGGTCCAGCCTCCACTTCGGGAACTTCGAGGCCCGGCCACCCATACCATTGGAAGCTCGTTGTCTTGGACAAGCCGCTCAGGCCCGTGACGAGACCGCCCGAAGACATGGAAAATGTGTATTGGCCATCGTCCGAGCGCTTGATGGTGATGGGCAGTCGGTTGGAGATCAGCAGCAGCCGACCGGGAGAATCTGCGGGTTCGTCGACAACACCAGGCATCGTGACTAGGTATTGGGTGGAGGTTTAGCTCGTGGAGTGGAGGACAAAGAGGCGTTCGGTTCAGGATTGCGTGTATCCGATTCGCAGTGGTTCTCGAAGAAAGGAAGGGAGAAGTGTGTTGAGCGCAAGTGGCAGTGTCGATTGTCTTTGAGTCGGCGTATGGCGGGGCCCGTCAGCGCTGGGCAGGTGTCAGGTTCGCAGTGTTGGTTTTAGTTCTGGTGATGACGTTGGATTGCAGCCAGGTCAAGATGCAAGATGGAAGGTGGGGCAGGCGTCAGCCAGGGAGGGGGGGCGGGCACGGCGGGGTAGGTAGAAATGTGAGATGCCCGCAGTCGTGTTTGAGACCCTTTCTATATTTGGAAAGAGGCCTCGACTGGAAAGAAATACGGCCGGTCACTGGCTATTGAAGCGGGACCACAGAGGTAATACACGTGGTACTTAAAGTATTGTGTCGTTGAGTTGCTCGGGTTCGAGCTTCGAGGAAGGAGACGTGATGGTTTTTGAAGAGCCATCGACGTAATTTTCCGTCGGGAATCAAGGATGGCAGGCGCGGCACAGCACAGCCCCTGCCGACCATCGACCGTCGACCACCACGATAAAACCCCGTCGGCCCCACCTTCTTGTCTTTGCTGTGCCCGGGACCGTGTTTGATCAGGCAGTTGGTCATTGTGCAACTCAAGCTTCGTACAATCTTCCCACCCAGGTAAGCTGGCGTGCCAGAAATGTCCATGCTAGTGGACGCAGATCGAATTCACCGTTGAGCTCCCGATTGACGGGGGCGCAAATGGCGCAATTGCGCTTCCTGCAGATTGCATGGTGGCATGCATTTCACCGAACCGAAATGTTTTGAGATGTTTTTTCTTCAGATGCATCTGATTTCGGACCTTCTTTCCCACGACCCGCTTCCGGGACCATCCAGCGGCCAAGCCGTTTGGAACTAATAAGTGGGATGGGTGCGATAACCACTCGATGCCCTGGACCCAGGGCAGACACGAGCGGTCCAGTGACGGCATCTGTTTGCCTTTTTGTGTTAGGACACGGAGCGAAGACACACCCAATTTTGCCCAGCAACAGCTCGTCTCGTTAACAGTGGGGCTTCTTCAGGCTGGGGCAGGAGGTGATGGGGAATGCCTGCTGCTTGCCCTGTCGCAGCGTCGTTGGCGACTTCTGCCCCTCCACTTTGGCCAGAAGGCACCAAAAGTTTAGCCATTGGGACTGTTCCACTGAGGCGGCAGGGCTGCCGACCGGGCCGGCTCTCTTCACTGGCTTGATCCACAATCTCGTTCCCGTTTTCTCCATTTTCCTTCGTTTGGCTCGGCAATGCGCGGTCGAGCGTTTTACAGACGCTCTCCTCGGTTTTGCGGGTCGTCACCCTCGACACCTTTCAGAACGTCTGCCGTTGCCAAACGCGCCCGGATTGGCTCGAGTGGAGGAAGTCGGGCCACGAGTTCGAATTGTACGACATGATTTGCCAAGACGCACCTCTGTCGGCCCCGTCTTCCATTTCTTGCGTCAATTGCGAAGTCGGAGTTCCTAAACCTTCCGAGAGCGGGATTGCATGGCCGGCAATTATGTCTGCCACTCACTGGCCATCTCATTGTCTCCGACCAGAGAAGGCGTTTTGCAAACGACTGCTTTTCATGAGAGAGCTGTAATTATTAACTATTAGTAGAACGGTTTGCTTTTAGTCTCTGCGCATACTAGGCCCTTTCCCACACTTGTGTCTTCCAAACGCAATACTCGTTCTTGTACCTAAGGTAGTTAAGGTGTTGCTCAAACCCGCTGCCTTAGTTATTTTGCCCTACTTATTCCAATTAGTCATGAGATATTTGGAAGCTTTGGAGTATAATGAGGCACGTGCGCACTCTCTACTCGTAGAACCGGCAAGTGTAACAAAGCTGTGGCATCACTTCAGGGATGAAAAGCTTGTGCAAATCTGTTCAGTGAGGTTTGCTTCTTACTTGAAAGATCTCCCCATGTAGTACCAACTCAGCTTGCAGAGGGACATGAAGGCTAATTAGAACTAGATCGATATACACACTTACAAAAGAACAAGCTCAATGTGAAGGGGAGTATTGGAAAGAGTGAATAGTTGCCTCGACAGGTGAAAGAGGAAATATTTCTCGGGTCAGCCAGATATAGCTGTGAGAATTAGCGCATAAATTGAGTGAGTGCGCTGACGGCACAAGATATCCCGCAAGTTAATGTGGAGAGCGAGCTTTACCAATCCAGCCTCCATCTTATGGTCGCTGCGAATACTTTAATCACCTGGACATCTAACAAAAGTGCATGGCGCAAGTTTCTTGCCGAGATTGGACGTTCTGCTTGCTCAACATATTTCAGCTTGTCGGCTTGCCCCTCACTCATAATCTCTTCTAATAGAAACATGGCAGAAGTCGGCCTGTGACTTATTTCGTAGTCGTATATTGATGAAAAACAGCTGCAGTTCTAGCATAACTCCTTGGACAACGTGATGGGGAAGGGCCTTACCAACACTCTATCTCATCGCTCGGGCTGGCTGAGGAGTAGATTAGCTACCACTCTGTGGTCCCTCAACAACAGCATAATATCTTGGCCCCTGCTCAAGTGCTCACTGCTCAGTCTCACTCTCCTGTGATGCAATTTTTGATATGGATAGGCCTGGGACCTGTCGTCTTCGCTGGTCTTGGACTAGTATGCTCCCCATCCTTATTCTCGTGCATATGCTGTGGGGCTTTGACTTACGCCCTGCCAACGAGAGCCGTGACTGGATGAGCAAGCAGCAGATCTGCATCCTGTGGGAAAAGGGGCCGCCGAAAGTCTTCCTCACCCTGGGGACCAGGTAGAGACAGTGACGAAACGACTTTGGATGTGATCAAGAATGACGGATGAACTTGAATTGACAGATGGGTTCAACCTCCAGGGAAGGTTCATCCCGGGGACTAGGTAGGTGCTAAGTGCATACAAAAGACGTCAGGCAGGTCTAATAATTACAGTGGACTATGGATAACTATATACAAGGGGTATCTACAAAAGCCGATGTAATCATTGTATTAACAATTCAGCCGGTGCCTGGGCTTGAAGCAAGCATAGCAGCTCCGCAGAAACGGGACAATTGAGTCCATCATGTAAGCAAATAGGCGAGAAAGGAAAATACGGCCGCTAACGGAGCGATAGCACTCCGCTCGGCGGCAACGCGGTGGGCGGCATTAGGGGCAGCGGCGTTGACAACCGGCGGCGTCGCCGCTCCATCTTGGGGGGCATTGGCAAGCACCTTCTGGCCGGTTGGGTAACGAATGTTGTAAACGGGGGTGTTGGTCAGAACGCCGGGCGTTCCGAGGGGGTGTGGGCAGGTAGCCTGGTTGGCTGTGGGCCAGTCAAGCTGGCACGATTCGTCGTAGCCCCAGGAGCAGATGGGGTCGAGGATGTTGAAGAGAATGTGGTTCTGTCCAACCCAGCTGTCTTTCTGATTGAGACAGCTGGCCAGGAAGTTCATGCTGTTAGACGCGCTCAGCGGCAGCTTGCTTCCGTCGGTGTAGATCAGGTCGGCGCAGGCCGACGGGTCGAGGTCTGCGTATTCCATGGCAGTGGCACCACCGGCCGTGGGCTTGTCCGTAGCTGGATAACCGCTGTACAGATAGTTCCAGGCGTCGTAGCTAATGTCGTGAGCGCCCTGGCTCTGGTCGATGCGAAGAAGATGGACGGTGCGCCCCTCATAACTCAGTGAGATACATATATTCGTACAGTCGACCGAACTGGGCCAGTACGCGATGCGGTCCGTGTTGACCTTGCAGCCGAGAACGCCGACCGACGACGAGTACTGTTCATGAGGTGTAGCCCAAACTGTGCCACTAGCGGCCATGACGCGAGTGGCGGCACCGGCGAGGGCGGAGAAAAGAACGAGCCAGCCCATGATGAACAGCCGGGGTGGAATAAAATGAACGAGGGTGGCGCGATCTCAGCGCGCAATGGCTGCGCGTGCGCCGGTATTGGATCTCTCTAAAAGAATGTATAAACGGAAGATGCCTGCGTATTTTGATCCAAAAAAAAACAAGACAAATGAAGGGCGTGCCGCCGTTGCGGCGGGTCTGCAACAACGACTCACGCGATGGTAGACATTGAAGCTGACGGCAAGTGAGGTCGGAGGGAAAAACTCGAGCACACGCGCCACCTGCTGTTGGTGCCCAGGCCGTGAGACAGCAATCGCCGAGATTACCTGGCGACTGTTTGGGCATAGCGCAAGGAACGGGCGAGGGGCTGATTGGCTCCCGCATCGCCCATTCCTGCGCCCGCGATTTCAGAGACCGGGGCGGTCCGGGGTGCAGATCGTTGAATGGAGGGTAAGGTGATTTCAGCGCTCTTGTCTGGCCCCCCCAGAGAAATGCACATTTTACAACTCGTATACTCGCTCCGATGTGTCCTGTCTGTACATTGGTTCTTGGCCAAACTCGACTGGCGGGACCGTAATCACTTCGGTCGCGTTCATTGAGCCCCCCCTAAACGCGTACGTGAACGTCCAACCCGAACCCGCAGCGCCGTGCTCGCCATGCCTGTCCACTACAACGATGCCGCTTGCAATGTTCGGATACTTGCGCACCATCCGCCTTACCGCGTCCTCGGCAGCTTCCTGGGGAGGCATGCCTCGCCTCAGGTTTTCCACTGCCTGGTAGCAAGGCAAGAAGCGCATCATAATGTCGCCATCGCCGGTCGCGCCACAGCCGCCCACGTCCCCATCAACATACGACCCACTCCCGACGATAGGGCCGTCCCCGACACGGCCCGGGATCTTGTGCGATGCGCCATTTGTCGAGGTGCCAGCCGCCATCGGGCCGGACGCGTGGATCGCCACCATGGAGATGGTGTCGTGAGATGAGGCGGGAGACAGCGTCGTCGCAAGGTTGGCAAGGGACGACGCGTCTACGGGCGAGGGTGTGTACGGCCCACAGGACGAGGCGGGGTTTGGTACAACATTGATGCGATAGTTGGGTTGGCAATTGGCGCGCTTCCAGGCGTCGCACTGCGCACGCGACGCTGGCGTCCACAGGCCGGCCCCGTCGTCTGCTATCTCGTGCTCCTCGCGGAAGCCGCTCTCAACGGCGAAGCGTGTGGCGTGATCGCCGACTAGCAGTGAGTGCGAAGTGCGCTCAAGCACAAAACGAGCGACCGAGACGGCGTCGCGAACGCGCCGCAGCCCCGCCACTGCGCCGGACTTCATGGTGGTGCCATCCATGAGGAGCGCGTCGAGCGTCGTCTCGCAGGCCTCGTCAGGTGAGCCACCGAAGCCGACGGTAGAGTCGCACTGGTTGCGCTCGCATGTAGCGCAGCCAGTCTCGACGGCGTCCAGAGCCGAAGAGCCTTCCGTCAGAAGCGCTAGATACGCAGCATCAGTGGCAGCCGTGAATGGCCCGCCCCAAGTGTTGATGACCATCGGTAGCCCCGGCGAGGGGAGCGCTCGCGACATGGGAATCAGCAGCAGGTGGAGCAAAATCCCAGCGCAATTAAAAGCCCCGCCCTCGAGCCAAAGACTGGCGGCCATCGTGCGCATGCGATCCCGTCGCAGTCACAAAATTGGCAGGTACACAACGCAGTAACAAGCTCAAGGTGGAGGGGAAAGAAATGTCATTGGAATTGGTCTGATAGGGGCTGCACCAGCATTACGGACGTGAGTGACTCCAGAGATGGACTTGGACGGGAGGAATCTCGAGTCTCGACCACCTGGCAGTCTTGGCAGGAAGTTTAAACCCCGGCGAAGACCCTAACCCTGCCAAGGCGCTGTCACTCTTTCGCGTCGGCAACCACACACGACGTTTCAATCGAACCAAATTTACATCGTCTCGCGAATAGCTTCAAGCCGCTGTGGTCCTTGAAATCTTTCTGGCCCTTTTACGTGAAGCTTTCTCGGCTACAGTCTTACGTTATTTTAAAGATTTCCACGCTGACACAAGGAATTCTGGATAAAATTTACGAACGGAATGTGATTCCTGTCACTCCAATCACTCCATGTTGAGTCCCAGGCTCAAGTCATTGATTATCGCCGTGGCGGCTTCTTTACGAATGCGCATAAGGCTTCGGGTCCTTACTTACATGCAGAGGTACAAAAAAAAGGAATGAAACGCCTCGGACAGGTTCACCGGCCGGCCTCTCCAGCCTCAATCGCCGATGCTCTTTCGTAAGTCACCGTCGCGGTTCTTGTCTAGAGGATGATGGCCTTTTCAAGACCCTTCTTGGCGGACTGGATGTCATCTTCCAAAAGGGATCCGTCGCTGTCGCCAGCGTCGACGGCACCACACGGCTCTAGGTCTCGACTCCGGCGACCGTCTCAAGGGGGTACATGATCCCGTCGTCGAAGCGGTAATACTTGTCGTGGCGTGGCCCGTTCACACCAAGGTCGAAGTCTCGCTGCCGCCGCCCGTGCCACCAAATGTGCGCAGCGCGTGCGACGAGTTGCCCATCTTCGCCGTGTTGCCCCCAGCCCCGTACTTGGACGTGTTCGCGCTCGAGCCGAGGAGCCGAGGGGCGACGTAGGGTTTGATTGTCGTCGTGGGCCCACAGATGATGGCCAAGTTGGATTCAGCAAAGATCCAGAGAAGTACGACGCCGGCGCCCCACGACTTGTCCTCATTATCCAGCGAGTTAATGAGGGCCACCAGTCGCATGATGGAAGTAAATGAGGTTCTGTCTCTGGCTGTCAATTCTGGAGCCGACAATAATAGCGACGAGCAGCTGACACCCACATCGCACCAATAATGAAAAAGCCAATCAGCCCAATCTTCAGCCACGTCGTGATCTGCAGCGTGACGACAATAGAGACTGGCACAGCCAAGACGAGCAAGTCAGTGACGGCACCTATGATGGCCGTGGCTTCGTGCAAGGCCACACGATTGATGCATGTGAACTCCGTGATTGTGAGGTCCCATGCGGCCGCAACTGGCTGACATGCAAAGATGGTGGCGAACATGATGGCCACCGACGAGCCTACCACAATGAATATGACGCTCTATACCATAATTTAGAACCACCTCTGCGATAGCAGGCGCTAGTAGAGAAGCGGCGCTAGCTTTGCGCCGCACTAGACTGGGTTATAGAGGATCGGTAGCTAGTACAGCGACTGCATAAAGAGCATGAACTTGCTGAGAGGCATCTCCCAGCCGTGCACCCCCATAATCCCCGAAGGAAGTCTCCTGATACCGAGTGTCAGCATCCTCCATTCTCTCAACCCTAGACTGGGCATTCCTAGAATACGGTGGTGTGGTGAACATGCGAAGTATCATCGACTGAAGAGCGGTCGAGAAGATCTGTATTCCAGCACTCAAAGGTCAGCTTTGACAAGCCTCGAGCTTAGCGTCGATTTTTCTTCGGTCCCAAGGAGAAAATGAACCCCCAAAAGGGAAATTTTAGAAATTCTGGTCGTCCAGGAATGCCTTGTGAAGTTGTGGATACGGACTTACCATCTTCTATTTGCACTCGCCGCTGGATGATAAGCTTTACATACACCCGCTGGGACATGAAGAGAAACGTAAGAAAGTTCCCGACGCTGAAGAGCCAGTATGCCTGGATCAAGCTGTTTTGCTGTGGGTGGTCGAAGTCGACCACGTAGCCCTCAGGGGGCGCGATAGCCACCGGGACTCCGTTGACGATGGCGGCAATTTTTGAGCAATCCACTGACAGCACCGCCGTGTTGGACTGGTTACTGTCTCTAATAGGACTGGCACTTCCAAAGTCCAAGGGGCTCCGAAATTCTCGCAGTACTTGGGGAAGCACCGTCGCAGGCTTTGGCCTATATACATGAGCTACCAACCCTGCCAACCTAGCCGGGTGGCTCTCTGGCAACGGCAACGGCAGCGGCAGCGGCAATGGCAACGACACTGAGGACTCGGGGACCGTGTTCGACCCCGTCGAGAGGTAGCAAGAGCTTTCAGAACCCGAGAGATCGACACTCTGACTACCACCTCCGGCGGCAGACTTTGATGGAGATTCCCGACCGTTATATTTTATAATGGAGATGGCGCAAAGGTGCGTGAAAACGGCTGCCAAGCTCCCCGGTAGTTTTGGGATGCATGTGGCCATTGCTCAGAGGGCATCAGAGGTAAGGTCACAGGGGCTAAGTCTCCATTTTTAGCGGACTAGGTGGATGTTAATGGGCTGTGGATCAGCTAGGAGCCCTTAGGTGCCGGCCGTTTACACCGCTTAAAATTTTTATTTGATGAGAAGGGTGCCGTGCCGTTGTAGAGGAGCCCGAGGGAGACGGTCCATAATCCAAGGCACTAACAGGGTGTCCGTATCCACGCTCAACGGGCCGCGAGTATAGATGTGTGAGTATATGAAACATGGAGTTGGCAGATAGTCTCGTTTGGCCAACTACTTCCGTGAGAGTTGGAACCTGCCATGACCATGCACAAATGTGTCGCGGGCCCGCGAAGCCCTCCCGCTCAAGGGGCCGACCCGCGGTCCAGGTTCAGGGGGACATCGTTACAGAGGCTCGAAGATTCCACTCCTCCTCTGCTAACCGTATCTTCTCGTTCAATACAAACTTAAATAATGCACAGTATCAGTGCAATACAAAGTGTTATTGGCTTATCAAACTCTTATAGACACTCCGGTCCTGCACGCTCTCCTCCCCAAAATCTACCAAGGCAATTATACGTGGTGGCCGTATTGGTGCTGTGCATTATTTAAGTTTGTATTGAATGCGTGGATATGGTAAGTTGGCGGGTTGTTGGTTGTTGGTCTAAGCCGAGGTCACCGAGGGCACTGAAGATGCCGCTTCTTTGAGGGTTGCTGCCTGCTGCCTGCTGGAGCTGCGTACTCATGCCCGCTCATCACTCTGAATAACTCACAGGTTCTCACGTCTGAAGCTCGAGCCCGAACACAGCGTTTCTCGCGCTTACTGCAGACCCCAACTCTGTACAGCCAGGGACAAAGGCAAAAGAACAAGCAGCCATGGCAGCCCTTTGCGGTGCGCAGCGCGGCTTCGCGTGCGACAACGTGGTGGGGTACGAGGTGGTGCTTGCCGACGGGCGCGTCGTGGCGGCCACGGCAGACGAGCACGCCGACCTATTCTGGGTGCTCAGGGGCGGATCCAACAATTTTGGCATCGTCACGCGCTTCACCATGACAGCCATTGAGTGCTCGGCTGTTTGGGGAGCCATGACCATTTTCCCCAAGCAGGTCATCCCATGCGCCATCGACGCGTTTGTGGCCTTTACCGAAGGCGTGTGCGCCGACCCGGCGAGCAGCCTCGTGTGTGTCTTCACCCACATGCCCGACTTCAAGGAGATTTTCGTCGCCACCCTCTACGCCAACGTCGACGGAATCGAGAAGCCGCCTGCCTACGACGGGTGGCGAGCCTTGCTAGAGATGTTCAACTCGGTCAAGATGACATCGGTCTCTGATATGGCGTTTGAGTACAACACCCTAACAAACCATCAGTAAGCCTCACCCCGCCCTCGTTTAGACTGCTCAGATTTGAGAACAAAATCCTGACTTGTGCATAATCAGCAACACGTGGTTCACGATGGGTTCCGCAACGGTTCACGATGGTGTTCCGCAACGGCGCGCGCATCCTGGCCAAGGCCTCGGCGTCGCACGACGTGCTCGTGTCGGAGCTGCAGGCCTTCATCCCCGCGGGCGACTTCATCACACAGTGCCTGTACCAGCCGCTGCCGACGCCATACGCGGAGCGATCCACAGCGGCTGGTGGCAACGTAATGGGCGTCGAGCGGGCCGAGGCTGGCCACAACGGCGTTCTGTTCCTCGCCGTGGCTATGGTCAAGACGGCCGAGCAGGAGGCGTTTGCGCCGCCCAAGATCGCCGCCTGGATCCAGGCCATCAGGGACTTTGCGACGAACGAGCTCGGCGAGAGCGCAGTACACGACTGGACGTACCTCAACTACGCCGACAAGTCGCAGCGCGTGCTCGAGAGCTACGGCGTCGGCAAGATCAGAGAGGCTGCGCGCAAGTACGACCCGGCCGAGGTCTTTCAGCGGCTGTGCCCGGGCGGCTTCAAGATTTCTGACGTTAAGATTTGAAGGACATTTTTACTTACTCAATAATTAACATCGGAATGCCGCTAGACGGAGCAGTTCAACTGGTACCCGCTGTATACTGCGCTTATCGCATGAGCGGCCACGATAAGTTTCCGGGGGCGGAGGTTGTGGTTGGGGGTCGTCGAACGACTACTGATAGGCGAGGTGTCGATAGGAGATGACGATCAGGTAGCGAAATCTATCTGATCTCAGAGAGGCCTGCTCGTGAAGAGAATCGGGAGGCAATTAAAACTCTTCGGCAGCACTAAAAGAAAGAAGCCATGGACCTGAAAGAAAGAATTGTTAATGGATGCCGGCCTTGTGCCAGAGCAAAATGAAATTGAAGCTGAAAGGCACGCAGCTCGCTGAATGATATGCTAGACAATCATAGCAAATTAGGAACATGATTCCAAATCCAACTCGCCAAACTCCTATTATTCGTCATCGCCCAAGTGAGCGCCAAAAGAACCGTGATGAAAATAGAAAACAAGGAGCAAAAGGGGAAAGGGCAACGGACCAGGCGTCGCGGTAGTTATTAGCTGACAAACACAGGGATATGAAAAATCCTTGAACAACCTCGTATCCGTGTTGGGTTTCCTGCGGTGGTTTCCTCTGGGATGACTGGCTCCTGGAAATGCGCGGCTACGTCAAAGCCTATCGAGCCCCTGGAGCTTCAGCTTGCCCAGAAGGATCCTGTTAAGGATCTCCTCCTTCTCGTCGGCGCGCCTCTGGACCTCGTCGGATCGCTTCCGCAAATCTTCGAGCTCCTTCTCGAGCTTGAGGCGCAGCCTCCGCTCCTCGCGGACTTGGTAGACCAGGTTATCTTCCTGCGCTGTCTCGGTCTCGTCGCTGTTGTCTTCCTCCTCCTCCTCGCTCCCGGCCGCCCCCGTATCACACCCCTGCCCTTGCCCCTGCCGCCGAGCATGGCCGAAGCTGTGCCGCAGCTTCTGGTGCCTATCTCGAAGGTCTTTGCGGGACCAGCCGTCGCCGCCGCCGGCGCTGCGGGGGCAGTTCGGATCTTGACAGAAGAACAACATCAGCTTCCTGTGCACCGAGTCGACGTGCCGGCCCAGGTCACGCCGCTGCCTAGTTGTGAACTGACAGCCTGATAGCAGTGCATAAGGACATATGATGATGGGTCTTCCACGAGAGGCCCGCTGAGGCTGCTGCTGCTGGCTTGCCTCAGGGAAGTCCTCATCCTGAGAACCGGCCGGTGTGTGGGTGGCGAAATCTTGGTACGTGTTTCTAGGCGGAGTCGACTGGGAGTCTGGAGACTGGGAGGAGGAAACGACTGGAGACGGTAGCGCTGCTACTACTTCTTCGACAGGGCTATCCCAGACTTTTCCTCGCGTGGCATCAAAACAGATTAGCATACGAGATTTGAGCTTTATGAAGATTAGTTAGAGTGGGTGCAGGGTAGGTAGGAGAGTTAAGGGGAGAGTAACATACCAAAATCCCATGCATGGGTTTCCAAATCAACCTGGCTATACTCGGCGGGAGGTGAGAGGGGTGTGGGGTGGTTATCGAACCTAGTAAGATCGATTGTTAGCAGGGGGACGCGGAAGAGATAAATAGCTGGCTGTTCGATAGCGAATGGGGGTTGCAACATGGGGCATGTCTAGGAATCGTTCAGTCCAGTGAGTGTTTTGGAGTCTTGTGGTGCGGGAACGGGAGCGGCGGGCTCGGTCGGATCTTCAGCACCATCGTGCTGAATCAAGTAGAAAGCTATAAGCAATGTAAGCACAGGAGGCTGGTATGAGTGCAGCGGGGTGAGAAGGAATGAAGGAAAAGCAAAGGGTTACATGGGTTGCTAGCTAGGTAGTGTTATGGAAATTAATATCACGGACCAAGGCCGCTAGACCCTCAGCTCATTGGATCTCGCGACTGCCATCTCATCAGATCTCGCGACTGCCATCTCATCAAACAGGACCAACAAAAGACGCGCCAAGATAGCCCCCAGAAGTGATTGTGATCCAGCGGGGATGATGGGCTGTGCTTTCAATCCAAATTGACTGAGGTAACGAAATTCTTACAGAGGTGATGGCTTATTGGTTAGCCTTTGACGGGTCCGTGGAGACTCGAATCAGATTCAATATTTGCCCATTCTAAACCATCCGGACGGATAGTTCAGTTCTCTCAAGACCGGACGGTCAAGAGATGCACCTGAAGCGAGCAGATTGCTAATGGAAATCGACTCTCGCCTCAAGCGCAAAGTCCTCGGAGTCCTGGGAATTCCGAGCACGGACGTGCCCCACACAGCCTGTGGTCCTGGCTGGCATGTCCTGTGAATCCTGAGAGGGGGCGCTCTCTGATGCTTGATTGAGCAGGGGACCGAATGCTCGTTGATCCCCTTGTGATATATCTTTGAGTCCTGAGAGGGGGCGCTCTCTGATGCTGGCCAAGGATCTGGCCGCTCACCGCTGCCGGAGCAGCGGATCCTGAAACTCCACACTGTCGCCGAGAGGGTTCTCGAGTGCAGACATGAACGCGGAAAGCTTGTTTTGACAACAAGTTACGCTGGTGGCGCCCAGTCCTCGTAACTTTACGTATGCAGTTGGGCGGTTGCGGGAATGGTGGAAGACAAGAATTACTCACCAGTTGCTGGACTGGACGTCCATGCCTAGGCAATCAGGCAGAAAAAAAGCCGGCTGTCGCACAGGTCTGCGTCATCTGACTGGAGTGAGGACGAAGGTAGCCAAGGTGGGTAGCTGGTGTTTGGGCGTCAAGTACTGTATTGCATGTGCCGCACTCGGTATTGCGGTGCACCGGGAAATACAAACTGAGAATGAATGGGGGGTTCATGGCAGTGTGTTCAAGAAGGAGAGAGGTGAGGATAAGTTCTGATTTAAGCAAAAGGTTGCCTTGCATGCCGCAAGGTCGTGCGGCATCTGCGCCGCTGAGGTCTTTCGGTGAGGCCGCCGTTGTGCGGCCTCACGGGCATGAGGCGCGGGGCGCTGGGCACTGGATGACGGATGCCCAACCCAGCCAAAACTTCAGCTCCCGAATGAATCCGGGCTCCAAAGCCAATCAAACTGCCATACAAGCCAAGCCCCGCGAACTGGCAAGAGCCACTCGACCCAATGAGGCGAGCGACGTGGGGTTGCGCAGCATGAGCACCCCATAACCCGGGGCTCGATCCAGAGCTGCAAGAGTCATCTCCATAGTACCTGCCAATGAGGGGCATCTCTCCCGATCCGCTGCGCGCTAGTCATCGTAATGTTCAGGCAACGCAGCAGCCCCAAGGGCAGGCATTGGCCCACCGTACCGGGCCATCGTCCGCAGAATGTAACACGGTTCCATTTGCTGCGCCGCATCCTCCAACGGGTGCATTGAGTTCCTCCACGGCTGCCGAATGGATGGGCAGAGGCAGAAGCCCTGTGATGCGAATGCGAGATGCTGATGGTCGTGCAGGCAGAAACCCTGCGCGAAAGCGAGATGCTGATGGTCGCGCAGACAGAATATGCCGTGCGATGCGAATGCGAGATTCCCTGATCCTTGAAGGCCGCCATCCCCAAGTGCGGTTCCACAAAAACAGACTCTCAGGCTTCTGGACTGGAGAATCGAGCGACCTAGCCAGAAATGCAAAGTATTCGAAGATGATACCATTGCTTATATCGTTCGATCGAGAATTAACAAATGGTGGTAGCATGGCGATGGTCTTGTCCTCCGTCTCCACCATCAGAATTCCCATGCGCCGGCAGTCAGCTCACGTCTGACAGCTCTTAGGCTGCCAGCCTACCTATAAGCATGTATCTAGCTAGGCTAGTATTGAATGTAAAAGAGGCATGTTCCTGAGAACTGACCTCTCGCCTAACCATTGCCTCATTGTTGAAAAGTGGGGAATCCTGAGATTAGATCTAGAACCGGTGTGCATGCTGGTATGGCAGGATGCTGTTCCCTTGACTGGTTGTTCATATGGGCGCAACATAACATAGCTTGCAGCTCAGGTTTACCCTGTGCCTTTTCGAACCGTTAAACAATTTATACCCAAAAAGAGCGGGAAAGGTCTGAAAATGATTTCTTTCAGAGACTTGGATACATCAAGAAGCAAATTAAGTTACCGGGCTAGCTTATATTCATTAATAAAAAAGGTAGTTTCACATAAAAAGGCCCTTACCAAAGTAGATTCGGAACAGATAAGATATTAACTACTTTCCGTAGCCACGAGCGGCTCTCGATCTACATAAACGACGACAGGCCAATGTCATAGTAGCTACCGAAGCCCGCCCCCGTTGTGTTCTGAGAATACAATACGCTGGCCCCATCTCAACGATGGATAGCTGTGATAGCCCCTCGGGTGCGTAATGAATTTTGTCTCGCCTGAATGTTGCACTTGGTGGTCTCTCTACGAAGTGCATATTCCGTTCCTAGTAGGGTTGTTTCGTCGTATTACGACGGGAAGAGCATACCTTTAATTCGTCACTCGGGCGATAAATTGATGGTATTTATGTCAAAGAATAGAACGCACTGGGCACCTACGCAATGCCCTGGCCGTGCGCAGCCGCACTGCCTCATCACCCCGATGGGTACGAAAATTTTTGGGCCACTGGCGCGTGAGGATTGCATCTGGAAATAGCCCGTGCCAATCTCTCGGTCGAAAACGCTCTTATCTTGCCCGCAGCAGCTTTGTTTCATCACTGTTAAAGACGAAGGATAACTACCTACGTATGACTTGCGCTTGCATATATATAAAGGGGAGATACATGATCAATAATCTTAGGTGAAGTAGTATAGGGATTTATAACTCTAAAACGTCGAGTCATCTCGCCAACCTCAAGATACTGTGTCCAAATTTATTTCTGTCCACTATAGCAAGGTAAGAGGATTGTTTCTTGGTTGTCTCAAAGTAGTATTACTGTTGAGTCGTTATGGGACCGTAGCGCCGCAGCAGTCACTGCCAAGCTTTGGTACCTAGGTGACGAGCCATCCGTTCTGATGCCGGCTGACCCGAACCGCAAAACCGATCTGAGCCAATGGTGGATGAGAAGAGATCACAAAAAATTAAGAGACTCGGCGGATTTCTTCAAAAGAATTGATCTCTGCGAGAAGGGAATGCCGGCGCCAAACTGGCATCAGAAGGGATACATGGCAGCTCTTGGAAACAGATGCCGTCCAACGCGGAGAGCATGGAAGCTTCACCTGATATTTGCATTCTATTGTGGCCGTTGGAGATTCTCTGGTCGGGGGGTTATAGAGACGCGGTACCGATGCGACCTCGGCGGTATTGAGGCCCTGTCGCCACCCCGTCGGCGGCATTGAGATCCAGACGACGGCGTTCGGATGGGACGGGACTCTCTCTATCCTTGCTGCTAGTACGCGTAACTCAGAACAACGAATAGAAACTCTGGTTTGTCTTGATCATTAACAGTTCGATAATGCACAGCCCTTCAAGCAATCGATTACGACGGTGATATCTATTCAGACCGTGTACCTGACAAGGTCAGAACTAGCATGACACTTGCATCAGCCTCCTTGATGACGAGTGCTTGATGACGATGCTGAGCTGACCTGCAGGGAACACATTTCTGCTTGACCCGCGGCTAGATCTCCAACCCTTGGCCGATCTTGTTGCATTGTCCAGGGATTAGACCGCAGCATCCGGTAACCGAATGCGAGCCGGGCAGCCTTATCAAGAATACTTTGTAGAGATGGGTAATGTTTGGCAATACCATCGTATTTCCTAACTAAGTAGTAAGTAGCGACAAAGTGAATGCATGTCGCTAAAAACAGTACAAAGTTGAAGAGAAAAAGATAAGAAGTAAATTGAGGAGAGAGATGAATCCAAGACGCTGACGGTGCCACTCTTGTTACGATGTTCGGGGTTCAGGTGGAGAATCTGACTCGCTAACTGGACCCCCATTGCACTGCCCCAGGCCCATGCTGAGATCTAGTCTGTTGACGATCAACGCTGCGGTCGACGATCAACGACTTTAAACAACCCTCCCTGTTTTCTGGACCTAAAGAGCTCAAGTACCGCGATATTCGCTTATACACCACCTCGAATACTATAGAACCTGCTGTTGGTAACGGTAGGAATAGGTAAATCCTTAAAAACCAAACATCAATTGAGATCCAGCTGATCTGGGTGTTGGGTTCCAGTGACGGCAATGTTTGTTCTTTGGTCACTTCCCCAACTGGCCACGAACATCCGTTCCGGAAATGCCTCAGCCCATTTCGCTGCTGCCAAGTGCTTGCCGCCATGATCGGTTTAAGCCTGGGACGCCCACGGCGCTGGGTCATTCGCGGGTTTCAGGCTAAAGTGACGTCTTCGTCGGTTGCTTCCAGCCGTGGGCTTCTGGACGAAGAAACTGGCCAATCAGAGTTTGCACGTGTTGTGGAGGCGCCCCAACCCCTGAATGTTTGTTAGCGTGGTACTAAGCCGGTTTTGCTAACCGTACTAGAACTAACAATATAACTGTGTGAAAAAGTCGAGAATGGGGTGGGAATTGATAGGTTCTCGCGCGTTCTATCCTTGCCCACCTTTTCCTCTCTCAATTTGCTCATCTGGCGGTGAAATACGGATACCGCGAGGTTTCAAGCCCCAGCGAGAACCCCAGCGAGAACCCCTGTAGCGCGAACTGACTAACAGTCGCGCAGAGGTGATAGCTGAAATCCCATGGGGGCCCTAGCGGCTGGAGAAAATGACTTGCCCATTGGGGTGGCTTGGCTCTGCAAAACAGGTCGAACTGCCTGTCTTTAGCCTATCGACTCGAGACATGGTGTCGTGGTGTAGTAGTGTCCTTGGTGGGCATTGAAGGGTCCAAAGAGGGCACCAAAGCGATTCTAGAATTCGAGGATGCGGGATGAAAATAAGGTTGAAAATAAGGTTATCCCCTCCATCAGATCTGACAAACCCCACCTTTCCCTTTCTGGCACTACCAACACGTAATGCCTGGCCAGGGACAAGACTGCGCCGCGTTCAACGTTGGCATCTTCCCTGAAACAATCTCAAAGATTGTCCGCGGGCCAATATGAGCTCGGTCTAGACCTTGCCACCTGATCCACAGTACAATCTTGTACCCCGTCGGGACGCGTAGGTGAGTGGTGCATTATTGGTTTGCCGTCGCTTAGCGTCGAGAGGAGATGAGACCCTCGTCGCAGCCCCTTTCGGGGGGACACGTTGTTACGCCTTTTCTGCGCGCCTGCCCGCAATGGACGCCTCCTTTCCCTCGGGCCTGGGCAGAAAATCTCGTCCTTGGAACACGCCAAGGTCCCAAGGCGGTGGCGTACGGAGTCCCTACCGAGGCTCGTCTCGTACCGTACACGTTTACGTAAGGGCCTGATCTATTTGAACGTGGGCCTTTGCTTCCCTCTTTTGGGCGACGTTCCAGACTGGTCTCACTTTCCCATATTTACCTACCACTCGCTGCTCCCTTCGGATTTAACATTCGGGTACCTGCCTCTTGTCTTTCTCCGTTTTTGGGCCAGTCCATTTGCTTTCAACGTTTTCCTGCAGTTAGCGTCCTCTCCACTTTTTTGCTTTCCTGCCTGCGTCGGCGGCATCCGTCATGCAGCGCGACGAGGTTCTGACCGCCCGGGCGGTCGAAGCTCTGATCGCAAATGGCCACATAATCGTCATTTTCGAAGATTTTATCCTCAAACTCGATTCTTGGCTCGAGAAGCATCCCGGCGGCCGTCTGGCTATTTTGCACATGGTGGGCAGAGATGCGACGGACGAGATCAAGGCGTGAGTTTCCTATTGGCCAATTGTGTCCAGATCGGAGTCTTCCGAATCAATCGCGTGCCGCACTGACACTGCTGACGCAACCCCCCTGCAGATCCCACAAGGAGAAGCAATGGAAAACCATGAAAGCCTTCCGGATTGGCCGAAAAATACCGGGAATCTGGGTCCAAAGAACACCGCCAATTAGGGGCGGCATCTTCCGCAAGGAGGAAGATCAGGTCTCTACCACGCCGAAAGATGCACTCGACTTGCTCGACGTGCCCGCATCGCCTGACTCGTATGAATCGAATTCCCTCAGCGACAGCGTCAGCAATCTTTCCGAGGCGAGTCTCCCGACTTCACTCTCCTCCGCCGACAGCGTGGTCGGCGACGTGCTCCGCAAAACCGACACGAGAACCTCGGTGCAGGATGACCTCGACGCCACCGCCCGGTCCAAACCCCACACAGCCAAGGCCTTTACTGGCAGCTCTTCCGCTTATACCGCCCAGGCCGAGCAAGACGACATTGCCCGAGATAACCTTGCTTACCCCTCGGTCGACCCTGCCATTCAGCACTCGATCGCGCTCAAGTACAAGGCTCTCGCCCAGCGTGTCCAAGACGAGGGCTACTATACTTGCCGCTACGTGGAATACGCGAAAGAAGCCTCGCGCTATGCCCTCTTCTTTGGTCTCTCAATGTTCGCCCTCCGCAACGAGTGGTACATGACCTCGGCCATTTTCCTTGGCCTGTTCTGGCACCAAGTCATGTTCACGGCGCACGACGCCGGGCACCGCGCCATCACGGGCAATTTCGCGGTCGACAGCCTCATCGGCATCTTGATCGGCGATTTTTGCTGTGGGCTGTCCATTGGCTGGTGGAAGCGCAGTCACAACGTGCACCATTTAGTGACGAACCACCCGGAGCACGACCCGGATATCCAGAACGTGCCGCTGTTTGCGACGACCCCGAGCTTCTTCCGAGGCGTCCACTCGACCTACTACGACTTCTCCTTTGCCTGGGACAAGGCCGCCGAGATCCTGGTGCCGTACCAGAAGTATACCTACTATCCGATCATGGGAGTTGCGAGGTTCAACCTGTATCTGCTCTCGTGGCTCCACGTCTTGTCGTCCAAGTCGGGGGCGCTGGTAACCAGCTCGGCATGGTGGATCCAGCCGACCGAGATTGTAGCCATGTCATGCTATTGGTACATCTTTGGGTACCTCTTGCTGTGGAAGACGCTGCCGACCTGGGGCGTTAGGATCGCTTTTGTACTGCTCTCGCACGTCATCACGATGCCGCTGCACGTGCAGATTACGCTGTCGCACTGGGGCATGTCGACATCGGACCTGGGCGAGAGCGAGTCGTTTGCCCAGCGCCAGCTGAGGACGACCATGGACGTCGATTGCCCGGCGTGGCTGGATTGGATTCACGGCGGGCTACAGTTTCAGGCGGTGCACCACTTGTTCCCGAGAGTACCGAGGCACAACTTGAGGAGGCTCCAGACGTTGGTCAAGGAGTTTTGCGAGGACACCAAAATCCCGTACACCTTATTAGGATTTGTCGATGGGAACTCTCATGTCCTGAGCAGGCTGGACGAGGTCGGGCAGCAGGTGAAGCATTTGGTCAACTGCCAGCGGTACATGGCAGAACACGGTGTTCGGGATTTGTGATTAGATTTTCATGATGTAGCAAGGGAGCGTCGGGTTGCTTAGATTTTTTCTTACTGTTAGACATTTTTCACCCTTTGCCTCGAGTATTCTTGGCAGTACATATATACATATACATACAAAGATTTCAAGACGTTCGTGGATTTTCTCCATTTTTGTAGAATTCACAACCAACTGACTATTTGTGACGGCGCCAGCTCACAGCACCCACTACCACTGCGCTAGAACCCCCAAAAGGATGCCAGAATTGCAAGTCGTCGACTTGCAACCTGTAGTGGGTTATAGTGTGCTACGGCCGTTGCGCGCCGTGACACTATTCCACATGTGGAAGGGAATCTCCACAAAGGTCTACGGTGAATCTCGATCGCCCACGCAGTCACTTGCTAGGGCCCCACAAGTCGGTTGTGAAACATGCACGTGCCTACGGTAGGAATAAGAAATTCGAAAGCAAGTTCGATGCTACCTTAGCTACCTACCTCTTACCTTAGCTTTGAGATGTCTGACTAAACTTCAACTTGTCGATCCGGGAGGTGTCAGTAAGCAACCCCACCCTGATGTCCCACTGCGGCTCAAGCCCCACTTTTTATTGCGACCTCATCCCTCGGATTTGAAGCAACGATTGTGCTGGGTAACGTTGTTTTGTGGTGTTCTAGATACAGATTTGTGATTTTATGGTCTATCTGGTAGGGGAATTCTTCGGGGGGTTTCCGTAGCTTCGCTCGGGCCGTGTGGTTTGTCGGCCTGCTCTCTGTTCACTCGTTCTCGTCTAAGTAGCAAGAAAAAGATGCGACAGAGAGAGGTAGGAACTTAGGGATTCCCGGTCTACGTAAATGTTTATTTTGCCTGCTTTGGTGTTTCTCGTAATGTGTGCTGCGCTAGTATTTGAATTAGCGTGCCATGTCACGGGCGGCGAGGAAAATCAATCCTCGATTCCTCGCCTTGTTCTGGTGGCGCCTTTTCGCGCAGAAGCGGCACGAAATTATGATCAGCTAGCAGACCTGAAGGTGTTGGTATCCTAGGTGTCTGGAGGTATCCAGCGACGCGTATGGCTTGGCCTTTGGTCCCCGAATCATTCGTAGAAGCTGATCTCGATCTTCCAAAGCACCTGCCACCGAGGCGCGTGGATGAGGGGCTCGTTTGCTTGCACTCGCGTCAAGGCTTCCATCAGATTCACGCGTTTTCGAAATTAGGAATCTAGCGTATACTAAACGCCGGTGACATCAACATTTAATTTAACACAGCTAGCTATATTGAACCTACAGTATGCACAAGCACAAGGCCGCGATAAAGCGTATCTCGAGTCTCGTTATGATGAAGAAAGTGCACGGAGGGCATGGCTGGAGTCCCAAATCGCTCTCACCTTTCACTCTCACTTCACTTTAGAAGGGAACCACTTTTTGAGATAACGAAATTTGGCTCTCCCAGCAACGTACCCAGCTTCCCCGCCCCTCTCCCTGCTGCCCGAGAAGGAAAAGGAAAAGGACCCAGCCAAGAAGGCATACATCCACCACCTCTTTGGGCTTGAATTCGACGCCTCTAATTCATAACCTGAGGTCGAAGAGCACATTATCACCATATCTAGCGAGGTGGCTACTGCCATCCTGTGAAGTCCGTACCAGTAGCCTGTAGAATGTACACACCGCGTCGGGCGAGAGTCTCCCCACGGTCTCGACGGTCATGGCACACGTCCCCGAGGTCCTCGGCCTGCGTCAGTGTCGTCATAACGAGTGCCTGCCTAGCCGACGGGACCCACTCTCGCAGTTTGCAGTTGAGGTTTTCCCCTTTCATCCCGTCTTCTAGCCTATCAGAGGCCTTCAGCGCAGGTTGCGCGATCTGCCTGCCCTCGGTGTGCTGCTCCCCGACTCCACTTCCTCAGCCAGCTTCGTGCTCCTCGGCCAATGAGAGGGCGCGCTGTGCCTGCAAAGGCCGTTCCTATTGTGCACCAGTTCCTATTGTGCACCAGGTGAACACCAGGTCGACCGGTTTAAGGCAAGGCGCCGCGCGGGCCAAGACCTTCACTTCCACATAAATATCCTGCCACCCTCCTCCTCCCTCTCTTCCTTTCCTTTTCTTTTCCAAGCAGCGACCCAGTTTCCCAGTCTTCTCCCAGCCGGGATTTTTATCCTCCGCTTTCTCGCTCGCTCGCTGCGCCGCCTTTTTTGGTTTTTACAAAAAAATATACCATGCCTCGCCATGGAAACCCCTGTTCGCGCGCGCGCTTGCGCGCTTTTCGTGCTGCCGCCGCCGCCGCTGCAGTTAGTGTATGTTCACACCTCTTTCTTCCTTCTTCATATCTTTCCAAAACCCGGTTGTCTTTTGCGTTTTCAAGCACACCTCAGACGTTTTCACACACGTCTTTGCTCCTTCTAAACGTGTCTTCGGCGTTTTCGTATAGTCTTCTCCTCTCTTATTGACTGGCATATGCTAACCACTTGATAATAGGCGACCCCGATGGAGGAAGACCCTCCCGTCGCCGCCGCCGCCGACGACCAGCTCGCCCAAGTAAGTCCTTCGATTTTTCGTTGTGTCCAGTCGGAGAATGCCATCGACTCTATTATCGACTCGCTTCGCATTTCTTTGGTCCATTTACTCTTTTCGCAGCTTTAAAACTCTCAATTTCCTGTACCTTTTGCTTTCCTGTACCTTTTGCTTTCATGTATCCTTCACACTTGTATGCTGCCTACAAACATCCGTGGGCTGTAAAAACACAGCTTGACCTCATGCGAGAGATCAACGCTTGACTCCTGTCGCCCGAATCGGACATATGCGCCGATTTGACAGACAGGGGGGTCTCTCGCATGGAATGGGCTGCCTGGGGCCAAGCTGAATGCTGTACGTTCTCGATTGAGATTCATGGATTTTCATTACTCTAGGTTGATTGGTTATCGGTTTGGCTAGGCTCTGCAATCCTAACCCAGAGTTTGCTCACGGATGGTCACTGGAAAAGATTCCGCTGGCGGGCGGTCGGCGTTTGGTCAGCGCCGGCCGGGTCGAGAGTTCACTGATGTGCTACCTGCAACTGAAATCGCGTACAGCCCAGAAACTGCTTGAGTGGTCGTCTGTCATTGGTGGGCTGAACGCCTTGTGGTTGCTGGCCAGATGACGCGGCATACATATTTCCCATTACTTGAATCGTGGCATTCTCGACGACAGACTTACCCAGCATTATGTGCACGCATTTTGCTGACTGGACTTAAGCAGGGCAACCAAGACACCGCCGCGCTGGAGGCCCTTACGTCTATGATGCAGGGCCTCTGCATCGCCGTCAAAGAGACGGAGGAAGAGGTAGAAGACCTCAAAGAGGCAGGCGACCGTGGTCGCGCTGGCGGCAAGAAACGACATGATATGTTTCAATATCTCATTTGTTTTTTTATATTACCCTGTTCTTTCTCCCAGTATCATTTACCACTCCCCTTCCCTTCCCTTCATTTGCCTTTCTTTTCTTTCCTTTTCTTTCTTGTCTTTCCCTTCATTTCTTTCCTTACACTTTTCTCGATATTGAATTGTTAGCTTGTTCATCCGACTAACTGACGGAGCAGCTCGCCGAGTGCATGGCCAAGCTCACCGTGTGAGCTCGCTCGGGCGCCCTACGGAGTTTGCACCTTTTTTCGGCGTTGGTTGGGGGGGAGGTGGGCCCGTGAGGGGCATAGATCAGTGGAGGGCGTTGGGGGAGGGACACACCTCTTGTTGGCGTTTTTGGGGGGGCCGGGGGGTGGTTTAATTGATTTATTATTTTTATTTCTTTTATACCCCAATTCGGAAGGCTTCTTTTCTTTTGCGCCATGACTCTTAAAGACTCTTTGTAAATTGTGCATTCTGTTCCTGCTTGTCTTAATTCGTTATTATACCCCAGTGCAGAATCTGACTCATTTCTTTCGCGCCAGGACTCTGAAAGACTCTTCATGAATTGTGCGTTTTTTTCCTGCTCGTCGAAGTTCAAATGCCCCATGATCTGAGGAGCAGATATCTTGGCCACATAGGATTCACTCGACGAATCCACGTCTAGACCGTAAATGAAGGCTTGTTCGAAGCAGTTTGCGTAGAAGACTTGCCTCATGATATGAGAAGATGTAATGTATGGATCGAGGTCCGAGGATGAGAGCTTCCCCAATATACCTGTCTTCCTGAGCTTGATCTAAGACGACAACGTTGGTTCGAGGATCAGCGTGGTATTCCACGTATTTGAATAGTTAAATTTCCTAGAGTGCCATACGATTCATATTATGAGACAGTCTATCCGTATGGCAGAAAGCGTCTTGTTGTACGGTAGGGTACGAAAGTGACAGGCGCGCTGAGGGCCGCCCATAAAAAATACACTTTTCGCACTGAGAGCTAGTTCTTCCTTTCTTTCCATTAATTAGAAAGGGGCCCATTGACGTAGTCAACTACTGCACAGCACATGACAGAAAGAAACGTAAAGAAATGTAGATAATACGCCTGTGATGTCTGCTGAACTACTACGATAAAGTATCTCTCATCATGCAATAAGAAAACGAAATACCGAGTATTATTACTGCCACGCAAATGGAGAATGAGCGGAAGAAAGCAAAGAACAGCCCCCACATGGCACAATATACCCCCTTATCTGCTCCTAGTGCTAGTTCTAGATGCTAGTTCTAGACATGGTCCGCATGGTTCGGATGGTAGGGAACATCTGCAGCCCCTGGATTTCCGGGTTCCACTTGATCGGATTGGCCCTGCGGCTGATGACCATGCGCAGGGACGCGTAGAGGATGAGAACAAAGCCAAAAGCGATGGGGATCAGCCAGTACAGAGGGAGAAGACTGCGTGAGGTCCCAAACACAACCTCGACGCCGGGCGTGTAGATGATGAAGGCGGCTAGCGCGGCGCCAGCAATGATGCAGTAGAACGTAGCGCGGTTGGCGAACATGTACCTGCCAAAGGGGAGCGTGAGTCTAGTCTTGCAGGCAAAGAGGTTGAACATTTGCATCGTCATGACCGCCCAGTAGTACATAGACTGTGCCTCGGCGAGGATGTCGGCTTGAGCGGGCCCGTCGATACCGTTGTAAGTCGCTCCGTCTTTGGACCAGTATTTTGTGGGGGCGCCGACACCCTTCTGCATGATGTAGGCATCATGCGGCGAGATGCCACGGCTATGCAGGACCATGAAGAAAGACGCCAAAGCCCCAGTCGCCTCAATCAAGCCAATCTCGAGATATGCCCACGAAAGCAGCGCACCGTCCACGAGGACTTCGCCACCAGTGCTCTCGAATTTCTCTACCCAATACGATCTTGTGAACAGTTCTTGTAGGCTATGAAAGATCTCTTGCAGTTTGGTTTGGGGTTCGGGGGTGTGAATAACACCCGACTCCTCGTCAAAGTAGGACCGGGTCTGACGTAGGGCTCGTCGCCGGAAGATGTTGCTTGTTTCCGGAGTCACTGGCTTGCGAGGCGGCAGCTTCATCAGGCCCTCTCTAGTCTCCGGCGGATCCCAGGCAAACGAGAGGGCAGCGATGAGCTCAAAGCCGAGATCGATGACAAGTATGAGCATAGGGGGCAGAGGGAGGGGGATCGGGATAACGACGTTGAGCAGGCTGGGGATCACTTCGGGCGTCGAGTGACTAATCGTGTACTTGATCGATTTCTTCAGATTGACAAAGATAAGGCGACCTTCCTCAACCCCGCGGACAATGCTTGCAAAGTTGTCGTCGAGAAGTATCATTGACGCTGCTTCCTTGGAGACGTCGGACCCGGACTTATTCATGGCAATGCCAAGATCGGCCTTTTTGAGGGCCGGAGAATCGTTGACACCATCGCCGGTAACGCCCACAATGTGTCCCATGCTCTGAGCACGACGAACGATCTCGAGCTTGTGTTTGGGCGAGGTTCGTGCGAAAATGATCTCTGTCCTCCAGAAGATCTTGTCCCAATCGGCGTCGGTCAAGGTGTCAATTTGTTCGCCGTGAACTACGACAGCGTCGTACTCGTGCTCGGCAATCTGGTCGATTGGCTTTCCGGTACGCTTCGCCACCATAGCCTTGGTCTCGCCGAGCATCAGGTTGATCTTGCGACCTATGGCCTCGGCAGTCAAGGGATGGTCGCCAGTGACCATAATCACCTTGATCCCAGCGGCACGGCAGCGTCCAATCGCCTCTCGAACTCCATGTTTGGGTGGGTCTTGAAGAGAAGCGAGACCGGCAAAGGTGAAATTTCCAAGGGGGTAGTTCTCTGCCTTTTTTTCGAAAACAAAATCTTCTGGATACTGATCTCCAGGAAGTAGCATCTCGGCAAATCCAAGAACACGATGGCCTCGGCCGGCCATGTGCTCGTAGGCTTCGTCGTACGCCTTTTTGTGCTCTTCTGCCAACGGAACACTCTCGTCATCTGGCCCACCGAGAATCCGGCTGCAAAGCCGCCAGACTCGCTCCGGCGCTCCCTTCATGTACAGAGTGAGGGCTCCGCTAGCGTGAGACTTCTTGTGTATGCTCATGTGCCATTTCGTGTCAGAAGTAAAGGGTAGCTCGAACACCTTTGGGTATTTCTGGCCGATGGCGTCAATGTTGTCGAGTTGATCAGCAGCGTATCGCATAAGACCAGACTCGGTCGCGTCGCCCAAAATCTCACGCTCTTTGACGGGGACATCGGCGCGGTCGAACTTTGCGCGTGAACAGAGAGCCGAAATGTGCAGAATCTCATTGACTCCTGGCTTTTCTGGTCCAGCTATGCTCTTCTCCTCGACTGCCCCTCGAGATGTCTCGTAGAGCTCACCGCAGGTCCAGATATTGGCTGCAGTCATCTGGTTTCTTGTCAAAGTGCCGGTTTTGTCTGTTGCTAGCAAAGTAATGGCGCCCAACGTCTCGACTCCCTGCAGGTCTTTGACCAGCACGTTCTGTGCAGCCATTCTCTTCGCTGCGATGGTCAAAAGCATCGTGACGGTGGCCGGGAGGCCCTCGGGGACCCAGGCCTGTAATTTTGGTTAGATCGCACAAGCTAGGAATGGAGAGTATATATATTCTACTTACAACAAACTAATTACTGAAGGTTAGCGATGAACTGCGACAAAAGGAGTGTCCAGGGATGGCTTACAATGCTGATTGCAAAATTGATAGCCAAAGACGCGTTGTTGTTGTTCACGGGAAAGGAGATTCCGAAGAAAATGAGAGCGGTTATGATGGCGATTGTGGCGATAATCTTGACAAAGTTTCCGATTTCGACAGTCAGAGGCGACTTCAGCTTCTCTTCGCCGGCCGTGAGGCGAGCAATCTGGCCAAGGACCGTGCCGTCGCCGGTACGAATGACGATGCCGTAAGCTTCGCCAGAAACAACCAAAGTGCTATTGAACATGACATTCGTAGCTTCAAGGGGGTTTCGCATCTCGTTTTCTGCCATCCGGTCCTGGGGCTCTGATTCTCCGGTCAAAGACGAGTTGTCAACCTTGCAATCCGTGGCTGAGAAGACAAGTATATCCGCCGGAGTCTTGTCGCCCATGCGGACAAACACCACGTCGCCGGGAATCAACGAGGCAGCTTCCATTTGGGCGATCTGCCCGTTCCGGATACACAGGCACTTTGCTGGAATCATGTTGAGAAAAGATTCCAGCAGAGCCTGTGACTTTTGCTGCTGGTAGAAATCGATGAAGGCATTGAGAAACGCAACAAGGATCAGGATTGCTCCAAGGTATGTCTGAAGGAGACCGGTCAGCAAGTCTTTCTCGTCAATGAACAGTGAGCGGCTCCTTACGTTCTGGAAATTGCTCTTGAAGTCGACACCCAGCAGGATGTACTCCAGTATACCAGCAAATATCAGAAGGAGGTTGAACAAGCTCTTCAGGGCGTCCAGATATTTGAGGATCGGGTGCCTCTTCTTTGGAGGGGTGAGGATGTTCGGGCCGTGTTCGCGAAGCAGCTCCTCGGCTTGCTGGGTGGTTAGACCAAGCGAATCTCCCGGTTTCTTCATGTTTATGCTCGTCTCGTACCGCTCCGCCACATCGGCATGGGGCATGAGGTGTTCGTCAATATCGACATGCTTCTTTCCGTGCTCGTCTTGGCGCGCGCGGCGATCGCGTTCCCTTCCAGAAAAGATAGGGGGAATCGAAGGGATTGTCGGTTGCACGTATGCGATGACATCTTCGCGGGGAGGCCTGACTGTCGGCGCGAATTGGATTCGCTGGTCGGCGCCCGAGGTTGGATTCTGGGGTGGCTCTCCTCCAACTTCCGACTTCTCGGGGTCCGACATGGTTGAGATGGGCGAGATGACGAGCCTAGGTTCTTAGCACGGAGGAGACTGGGTTACCTAAGTGAGCATGCTAGAAATCAACGCCGCTTGTACTTACCCTTGTGCCTGGCATGGAAATTGGCCGACCGTGGTTGACGTAAGAACCGGTTATTTGGCAGTCGGGCGCGAGGCATACAGTCCCAGACCAAGCGTCGGCAAATTGGAGATGCGAGGAGTAATTTCAGCACCAGTGGAAGAAGGATGAAAGGAGCGCAGATTAATATTACTCCAGGCAACAAGCTGCCGGCGAGAAAAGAGCGATCTAGCAGTAATTACCACGCACTGTCAGTCTGGATTCTGCAGTCCTGAGTCCCGGCATTGGGGACACTCAATTGCACAGCATCACCGGAGCACGCGATGACAACACAGAGCTTAATGATCTGCATTAACTACCGGCACTTGAGATTCACACCAAGGCCGGTACCTAAACCAAGTAAGGCACCGTCAGCTGGGTGGCGGTCGTTGGATGTTCCCTCCCGTCTATTCACTGTTGCAGAGATCGAAGCACCCGGAGAATTGCCGCTTCACTTGGGTTGTTCCATCCATCCCAACCTATGATTTATCTCTACCTAGGTCCTTCCCGAGTCATCCTTCCCGAGCCATCCTTCCCGAGTCACGTTGCTGCCGCTTCCGCATCGTCGATAGGTGTGTGGCCGGATGTTTGGTTGGATGTCCAAAATGCCTCACAAGTCGATGGCCGGCGCACACGTCCCCAATTCCCGTACAAGGGATGTTGGGCGAGCAACACGGCAAAGCGTTACCTGCCTACCACCGACGTCGAACCTACCTACCTAATCATCCGACAGGGCACGGCATCACATCACCCGATGAGCCGATACGGCACGGTATTTCCCCTCCATGCGAATACTACTAATACAGGTAGCTTCACGAAGCCCAGACCGCTGAGCTCCATGTACGCTGCGTCGCACGGCATATGCACCACGCCGTCCCCAGAAAGCTTGCCGCCGGCAGCGAATGGCAAGCCCCGAAACCCGCACATGGCGTTTTCTCGCGAGAGCATTTCCGGAAAACCACACCACCTTATCTTTAAGCTGTGCCGATAGAGATAGCGTCTTCGTTCCGCGTGCGCTTGCTGTGGTTTGCGGTTCGGGTTACCCGTTACATCGATTGCATTCCATCCCTTTATCATCGTATCCCAAGCCCCCAATAGCTGTTTCGTTCGGACGAGATAGGGCGGTTGAGCAAGACATGAGTCCTTACAGTTGGCCGCAGTCAGGCTTTGTGTCGCTTTTGCTTGGTGGTATCGCATTTCACGGCAAGCTTGAGCATAATGAGTAACGCTTTCGATGTTTGATACAGATCCAATACCGCAGCCAGGTAAGTAAAGCCAATGAGTGCCGAATCTGATCAAGCACCTCTGCATGTATATCAAAATCCTAATCGACACATGCGCTTGCAACGCCCCTCATCGTGATATATATATACATGATTGCAGTTACTAGAACTCCATTTCTAGCGATACAGACACTCCATTTCTAGCGATTCAGACACTCCAGTTTACGTTATTTTCGTAGCCCAATGGTACCACTCGTAATCGTAAGTCGTCATACGGAAGAAAAAGCGACCACCCTCACCCCAGCTGGGTCCAGCATTCTCTCTCCGAACGCTCTAATAACTCGTGTAGTACCTCTCGGAATCTGACCTAGAGCGGCTCCTTCCCGTGGATCGTGGCCGTCTCTCAGGGTACACGTACGTGGCTGAGGGCCGGCGCGGGGCGTATGCCACGTCCTTCTCCTCGAGAACCATACCGGACCCGCGGCGATGGTGGTGGTGATGGTGGCGCTGTTGCGAGTGGGAATGGCTCCGGGACCGTGAGCGGCGGACTGTGGGTTCGTCGTCGTACCATCCCTGCCGGTTGCGGTCCGGTGGTGGGCTCGGCTTCTTTTTATTGCCGCTCAGCGTCTTGACGACCCACCAGATCAGCAGCAGGCGACGATGGTGCCGATGACGATGCCAGCGATCTCGCCGCCGCTCAGGAAGCTGGAGCTAGAGCCGCCGCCGTCGCTGTTGATCTGGGCGGTGACGGTGACGGTGACGGTGACGGTGACGGTTACGCCGGCCGCCTGCCGGACCGTAAGATCGGCCAGCCGGGGAGGCAGTGTCTTTGTTGGCGCCATTCTGCCTGCTGACTGTGATGTCGAGATCGCTCGGTGTAGAGGGGTGGCGAAGAGACCCTCGGTGTCGATCGGTGGCTAAAACCACGGTGAAAGGTGGGCCAACAGAAGCGTGTCTGATATCATGTGGTGCAAGGAACGGTAGGAAGTGAAAACGAATAAGAGGGTGTTTAGGTGAGACAGGTTGGTCCTCAAATACGACGGAAGTCTGTTGCCAAGCCTGCAGGGTCTGCAGGCGATCCCCAACTCCCCAGTGGCTGAGGCGCGGCGTCCAGGGCAGCGCCGTGGTGTTGATCACTGGAAATCGCAAGAAAAATACTACGCTAGACACGGTATCCGCTGCGGCCAGGGGTCGGCTTAACCGTGACGTTATATGATGATGGGCGCGGGAATAATACTTCACTCTTTAGGTAAGCGTCTTGGCACCGTCTTGGGTGGGCTCGGTGGGATGAGACACGGTGTTCTGGTTGGGTGAAGCCAGTAGATTGCGGGGCAACCTCCAACTTGGCGATGACGTCGTACGAATCCTCACGACCTCCCTCTCCTCTTATCAAGTGTCAGTGTTGTAAATTGAGAAAGGTAAGCGCATTTTCTGTGTTTTCTATTTTTCGAAGGGGGTTCTCCAAATGATAAACCCATAAAGATTTTATTCGACCTTAAACAAATCCGTGCCCCTTTTTATTACTCTTTTGTTACTCATCAAGATTGCCAAAGCACATCTCTAAGGTCTTGTTTCGTGTCAGATATGAAGCACGTGTTCTTTTCCGGCCAAAGCACAGTCCTGTAGACTAGAACGGCTAGCTAAGATAGCTCGAGGGGCGGCCTTCGGCTGACCCCTCACCTGGCATCAATCAATCAACCCTTGCTTTCCACCACAACAAAGCCCCAAGCAGGTCTGGTCGTGCCCCACCTGGTCCCTTTGTTGAATCATCAGGTTTGGCAAACCCACCCCGACCTCGGCAACGTTTTGGCTTCGCAACGCGGCGGCGCCACTAACCCTAACTCAAGTTCTGCTATGCACGTCAATCCTGCCCCCAATCCAAAACCCAGTCTTCCTTTCTCTCCCGCACCCTGCCACCAATCATCACCAGCGCCAACTACCAACCACCAACGGCATGAGCGGCCTTGGAGATGGCGCAACTCAGCTTCTTGCACATCTGGAAGCTTCCGCGATCCTTCTTATTGAATGGGAGACGAGCCTGCAGATACGTTTAGGTTACCCCCTTGCACCAAATGGAGTAAGTTAGCGGGGTACAAGGCCGTATCCAGCTAACATCCTTGACAGAGCCGATTTTTCCTTGTCCCTGACGGCCAACTGCAGAAAGTCCAAGACATCGCCGCCGAACTGGGCTTCTCTCCAGTCCATGAGGATATTCTGCGCTCCATCTACACATGCGAGCTGTCGGGCCTGGCAGTTCGCTACCTAATCGATGACGCAACCTCTGACCAGGGCCCGCCGCGGCGTAGGCTCGTTTTCCTGCCCATGTCCTGGGCGGGGATTACGTTGGACGAGGCCATTCCGATTCAGGTTGACGACGGCCTTCAGCCCGCACTCCCTCCTTCTACCCGAACGGTGCCACTCCCAGCCGCCTGCGCTGCGTTTGCACGTATTGCCGCTCGCGAGAAACGCACAAGTCGAGTTCACCGTGGTATTCTCGAGCAACTTTCGAGCGTCATTGGGGAGAGCCTCTTCGATATGAGCTATGAGGGGGATTATATGGAAATCTTGGCGAATGACCAGCCGCTGTCCGAGGGTGAAAATCTAGAGATCGAGCAGGCTGTAAAGGTAATCAAGAGTTGGCCATTTAGGGAAGATGAAGAGTGGATCAAGGATATATTGGTTGATATTTATACGAGCAAGAAAACCTTTCTCGACTTCCCCTGGGAGAGAAGGGTAAATTTATAGCTTACCTTTAATATATTGCAGTGTAGTCCGTGAGTATTAGCAAGAGTTAAAGCTAAAGGGCTTAATGTATCTACGGCGTAGTATTGGATGGTAGGATAAAGATTTACGGGGCCTGTCCCCCAAGTAGCTGATATTGAAGGAGGATTACGTACAACCCTTGATACTGCGAAGGAGAAGAAAGAAAATAACCGCACAAGTAATGTTTAGAGACGGGGGGCTCGACTAAGGTCACTCTGGGGTATGTGGTATGGGAGGCTGATGAAGTAGCAGGCAGCCTTTACACCCGTTAGTTACGGACTTTTATACTCTAAAGTATAGAGATGCTTGCCCTCAGTTCTTCTATGTTTAGCCGACTCTCTGCTTGTAAGCACAACGTAGCTCTAGCTATTTGTAAGGAAAGAGCACCAACTAGCCAGGCCACTGCCCGTTGGCATAAGCCACTAAGCCGCACTGCGGCGTCACAACCCACAAGCTTTCACAAGCACACTCAGGACTGAGCCCCTGAGCATATATATAACCAGTGGCCCTCGCCCCCTTCCTTTGCAAGGGCCAGGTTGAAGTCTTACCCCAATACCAGTCATTGCTCGCACTTCTTGTTACCTTCATTGTGACTACCTTGATCCAGCGTACCTGCCTTCTCTCACAACCGTTTTGCCAGAAGGTGCGACCATAATGCTATCCAAGACCAGTGCCAACCTCTCCACTTCGACATTCCGTCACATACGACCTTAGGAACGTCTTCCCTACCATGGCTCCCCACAGACTCCACCAATAGGCTGCGAAGGCGCTGTCTGCGATTCTTTCGGACCTAGGTATTGATCACGCATTTATCGGGGGCTTCGCTGTCAACCTCCTCGGCGGCACAAGGGCCACAACAGACATCGACGTTGAAATCGACGCTCCAAATATCATTGACCTCCGAACGCGAATTTCGGATCCTGTGCTAGGCGGTGACGCAAGGTTTCGCTTGGAACACAACAGACTCTTGTTTTCGCCTGCAAACGAAGAGGCTCAAATCCCCATTGAAACTCTCAAGATCGGCGACCTCGGTCTGCCCAGGCAGCTGAGCGTGATTTGGCCCGGGGACGGTGGTTATTTCACTCTATTTCGGTCTTTGGGGATCATTGGCAAGGCTGACACATATTTGTATAGATAATACTCCGATCCTTCGCCCTGGGATCTTGGTTCTAACCAAGATCAAACGATGTGTCCACTTCATCGGAAGTACACGCCCCAAATCAATCACTAAACTCGGTCGAGATCTCGACGATGTCGAATTCCTGCTGAGGTAGCTTATAGAGCATGATGAAAAGATGGACTTCGCGGGCTATTCTTCCCTCGCAGTGGACACATTATACTCAGTAGCTAGATCGTTGAGATTCTGGGAGGACGCTGGGGTAGATGACTTGGTTCATCTCTTGGACTCGGATCTCTTGGACTCGGTTTTGGAAGATGACGATAAGAAGAAGGTGACCGAGAATCAAACTGGTGGCAGCACGCTCTCTATCGCATTGTAGGAATAGATGTGCCCGAGCAAGGTGGCGAGGGGCGACATGGGGGTGACTGGGGGTTAGTGACGGCAAATTTTACGCAACATAACAATCTCCCGGAATAATCCTTTTTTTATTATAAAGTTTTGCCAGCCTGCCAAATGGCATAAGCAACGTTCTTCTAATAGCCCAGGTCTTCTTCGTCCGTAACCTTATTTGGGTTAAGAGGCGGAATTCCTCTGTCGAAGACCATTTCTACTGTACCTTGGACGGCTCCGGGCCCAACAGCACCATGCACGGCGGCGCCGAGCCCGCAGGCACCCGCCGCACTGCCAGCCCGGCCTATGGCGCTGGGCAGAGCAGCGGAGTTGGGCGCTACGGGCCCCAGCAGCAGCAGCCCATGGTTGCCTTGGGCACGACAGCGGCGTCTGGCGCCGGGCCGCAGTGACTGACGCCGCACAAGTCAAGTCTGCTCAACAAGCTCGACCCGTCAAGTCTGCTTAACAAGCTCGACCCGCGCGTTGACAGCAAGACGGGCGCCGTGTACGAGAACGGCGCCCAGCGCCGCTACTAGACATATCTGTAGCCTGCTTTGGGTTCTCTTTAGGACTGGTCCAGATACCGCTGCTTTGGACGGAAATAATCTCTCCAAGGCGTGGTGTCTGTCTGGCCTTGTACAACACGGAGTTTTGCACTTTTCCGCGTTTTTATCCCGTCGAGATTGTCTCTTTGCATACTACAGCACCAACATGTGTCGATTTTCTCTGTCCGTCTGTTTAGCGGGACGAAACCCTTGGCAAAGGACACAGAATGGGTCTCTCGTTTTGCGTTGATCAAGAGATTTACTGGATACGGAAACAGGGATAAAAACCAAGCACGGGTTATTCTAGGCTACGATGATACCACTTTTCCTTACTCTCGTGTCAATTTATCTAGATTGCTATCTACCTCCACTTGGTACCAAAGGTGAAGCTGTAGCACCGCGGCAAAAAGAAGCTTGATCGATGGGTCTGTGACATTAGCACTATGGTCTATTCCTTTCACAAGAAATCCAACTTCAATTTCCACACATGATGATTCTTTAACCACGTTTTAATGCTTTGAAGGTTTGCAGTGCTTCCATATATGTATCATAGCATAAGCAGGACGCAAGGTAGGTACTTCAATGACACAGCGGATTACATAGTGAACACTCACGGTAGCCAAGTCCACATTCTTGTCGCTCTCCACCCACTTTAAACCTAGCACCGGGAACACTTCAACACGTCATGGCATCAAAAAACTGAGAGAGATATACGTAATCGTAATTCACAAAGGTATCGACCTAGCTACCGAAGAACCAGCCAACCATCCTCCAAAAGCTATGACAACGACAACAATAACAACAACAACAACAACAACAACAACAACAACAACAACAACAACAACAACAACAACAACAAACACCTAAACTCCACACTCCTCCCGTGTTTGCAGCCCACCGTCCTACTCTCGTGCCTGCATCGTCGACTTGTAAAGACCAAAGGAAAATACCGTAGAGGTAAATACAGGCAGCAAACCTAAACGGAATGCTGCTGGTTCGCAAGCCTTTGCCCGGCCCAACTAAGAAAAGTGGTTTCTGATAATGACATCCCGAATTTACTGCCAAAAAGCCGGCTGAGCAGCACGGCCCGAAAATATCTCAAACCTAAAACGCAGACTTGACAACATCATCCTTACCGAGCTTGTATCTGCCGCTATCCCGTGTGCCGATGCGGCCCGAACCGCGCCGAGCTTCGGCATTGAAATCCCCCGCGATGCTCTCCCGCGTCGGACGCTTTAGACGAGCGCGGTCGACCATGTTGACCTCATGAGGCAGAGCGACGATGACGTTCTTATCTGTGCCAAACTTGAAGTCGTCGGCCTTGACATCGTCTGTATACCGCTTGATCAAGTAAGGCGCCTTCTTCCCCGTCAGGACCTTCTTGAGACTCCATTCGATAATGTAGGGTCCCGTGGCGGTGATGATGCTCGATTCCGAGATGCCTTCTCCTGTATTGAACTTGGCTGGTGTGAAGCTCACGCCCTTTCCGGTTTCGTAGGCGAACTGGGCCACGTGCTCTGGCGTCAGGGCGAGACGGCGCGGCTGGGGCTTGGAGTCGGCGGCAAACGACTTTTCGAATCCCAACTTGCCCTCGTTCTTGCCCGACTTTTGGAGGGCATCCACGAGGAGGAGATACGTCCGACATGTAGCCAGAACCCAGCGGCCGTCGGCAGAAACATCGAGGCCAATGATGGCTTCTCCAAGCGCGGGGATATGGGTCTTGGCGTTGATACCAAGACGGTCAAATAGGCGGACATCGCCCTTGTTAGAAGCCACGGCGATGTATCCCTTCTCGGTTGTCGCAATTGCAGAAAAGTCGTTCTTGCTGGCGTATTGCTTGAGCTGCGCATCCACGAGCTTGCTTCCCGATAGACGAGGATCCACACGGTACATCGCGTTGTGGCTGATGCCCAGGAAGGTGGGCTCATGGGTCATCTGGGCAAACTTGTTCTCGGGCGCAAACGTCACAACTGGAATGTCTTCATGCACCTTCCACTCGTCCACGACCTTTCCATATTCGAGATCCATTCGGTAGAGGCTGTTCGGATCCGAATCTTTTTGCAAGATCAAATTCCGATCCTCATTGTGCAGCATCACCTTCTTGGGCGAGAACAACTCGCCCTTGGGGGTCTCGACTTTCGAAATATTGGTGCTGAACTCGAGGTGGTTGTTGGGAGTGTGTTTAAAGACGCCAATCTTGGAGCCTCGAACGACAAATAACCGGTCGTGCTTGTATCCGACGGCAATTTGTTTGTTCGCCTCGCCGTCCTTGGGCTCGTACTCGACGTCGTCTTCCTCTTCGTCACTGTCGTAGTGCTCGCTTCGCCCGCGGTCGTCTTCTGCCTCCTCCTCCTCCTCTTCTTCCTCCTCGACTTGCTCGAGTTGATCCGCGTCCTCCATGGTAAGGTCGTTGAAGGCGTCGGCCACATAATCGCGCTCTTTGTCCTTGATTTTGGACCACTTTAACTCGTTCAGTTGCTCCCAGAGGGCCTGGAGCAGTCCCTCCTGGAAGCGCTCGAGGGCGGCCTGATCCTTGAACCGGAGCAGCCATGAGTAGGCCGAGCCATCGTCCGAGAACTGGTTGAAGATGAAGGAGAGAAACTCGAAGTTGAAGACCGGGTTGATGTCCGCTATGACAGGAATCCCAAGCCAGTCCCGGTCGGCGCTACCCACTTGCAGCCAGTACTGCCAAGTGCCCGTCTCGGACACAGTCGCTGTGACCGCTGCGTCTTGTAGGACGAATGCGCCCGATGGAAAGTCAAAGAAGTGGAGCTCGGCAGACTCGGCAGCTAGAATCTCTCGTGCCGCGGGATGAGCCGAGGCCTTTGGTGGCAGCGTTTCCCTTTCCCTTTTCTTCGTGGGCGTCGCATCAGTCTCGGGCGCCTTCTCCCTCTTCGCGCCCGTGTTGGCGCTGTACTTGGCGGAGAGCATCGAGTCTGAGGAGTCAATCGACTTGGTCAGGGTCAGGGTGGGGCTGTGAATGGGGCTGGCCTGCGGAATGGGCTGCTCGTCGAACTCGAACTGCTGGAGATCTTCCTCAGATGCCGTGGTGTGCGGCTTCCGGTACTTGCGCTCGTACTGGCACTGTTTTGCGATTGCCTCGAACTCGTCGACGATGGAAGGCGAGATGCCGGAGTCGCAAACAAATTCGTAGACGTCTCCCGCGTCACCACTTAGATCCCGCCAGGCCAGGACCTTCTCGCTCCCTTCCCTGTTCTCGATCCGAAAATGAAGGGCCTCGTCGAGTAGGAATGTTTTCTCGTCGCGTTCAGCGGCGAGGATGTCGGCATCAGCTTCGGCGTCTTCGCCCTCCTCCTCAGCAAGCAGTTCCGCCTCTCCCTCTTCGTAAACACGTTGCACGACGAGCTGGTATTGGAAGTCTTGTGCGGTTCGTCGGATACGAGCAGAAGAGTCCTTGAAGATGAGCTCAGAATAGCCTTTCGGCGAAAGAGGCCGAACGAGGTATAGTTGGCCCTGGGGCAGTTCAATCATCGACTCCTGGTTGCTGGAGCCGAAGAGGAGCTTGCCAACTGGAAAGAGTGTTAGCGTGTTTTTTCCCCATCTGCGCGCAGCGACAGATGAGATGGGCGGGCGCGGAATGACCAAGGTTGTCACTGGGTTTGGAGGGGAAAGGGAGGGGGGTTGTCAGCGGGGCAGAGCTTACCGTTCCTAAGGACGAACATTGTGCTGGCCTTTGCGAAAGGCGAATAACCGATAGTGGGTTGAGTCGTTGATGCACTCAAGAAAATCGAGGAAGGAGCGACTAGAATATAATAATAAATAGTGGAGAGAGTTTGTAAGGGGTGCGCCGCCCTGAAACTCTGCAGCTAGTCTAAAGACTCTCAGCGCGCAAGCATCTGATCTTGTTGAAGGCGACGGGAAAGGGAAACTGCGTCATAACAAAAGGCAGCTAAAAATTGCCTGGAACATGGAGGGGCGGCTGGAAGGGGGGTAAAGTGGGATGTGGCGGTGCGCTTTGTTGTGATAAGCCAATCGCCACACACCATAGCAACGAGGGTCTGGCGCCACACCTTACCAGCTGAGTCACAAGACCGGCAGGGTCCAAGCAGGCTGGTCCACCTGAAAGAACAGCATGGGGCCGCCACTGGCCGCGCAAGTGAACTAAGGTATCCCTCCACTTGCACAACTACACGTGTCCAGCTTCAACGAAGACGGGTTGGATTATCTTTCTTTCAGAAACGCGATTAAGCAAGAAGCCAAAGGGCTTTGCGCAACAACTAATTGAACAACGTTTTGTGTACCCCTTGCGTCATTCGTGCCCATCCTCTTGGGTGGCCCGTTGGTTCCAGATCTGAGCCGCTTTCTTTGTTGACCAAAACAGTAGAATTCCTAGGTTAAGTAATATCAATCGCACACAGCCTCTCAGAGATCCTTCAGCATGTCTTGCGCTGGCGGAGTCTTGCCACGATCGCACACAATCTTCTGCATGCCATCTGCGACCAGGACTGAGCCGTCCTCTGAACCTGCACCGACTCCGCTGTAAATCCCCAAAATATCGTCCAGAATTAACCGAGCGACATTCTTCCCCATCAACGCGTTTGTCTCCATCGTTGAGATGAAGCTCTCCATGCCTGAGGTGTAGTAAAGACTTGGCCCAATAATGGGATCTTGGAAGGTGACTCGCGGGAGTGCCTTGGGGTACGAGTTAAAGACGTGAGGATGGTACCAAGAAATTGGGCTTTCTGTGGAATCCGTGTTTTCGGTTGCGATTGTGAATGTGCTTGGGACGTCAACTCCAAACAAGCGACTGGGAGTAGAGCTGAGTTAGACAACGACTTCAATGGCTTCAATGACAAGGAAGGTCAGCTAAGGGAGACCGGAAGACGAACCTTAAAAAGCCTGGTGTTACAGCCGCAGGAGAAAAGATCTTGTAAAGGTACTCTTCCTTCTTGGTCTTGGGATTTTGTACCTTTCTCAACGTACTAATGCTGAAGAATCCGGCTTTGCCCACCCCCTCCACGCCTGACGTAGGATCATCGTCCTTGTTGAGAGTTGTGAGGACGGTTCCTGGGATGGCCGTGGTGTCTGTCAAACCGAAAAACGCCGGGCTGAAGCGAAATGGCGTCGAAAAGATCGTAACATGAAGTTGCACATACGGTATCGCGTCAATAGAATGCTGAATTACCCCATCTCCGGCAGCAATCTTGCTGAACTGGTAAGGTGTCGCGATTACAACATCGTCGAACACGAGCGGGTATTTCTCAGCAGAACTTGAACTATTCGAACTGGGCGCAACCTCGAGCGTATATCGGACGCGGTCTTGTGTGTCCTTGTCATGGGAAGCAAGTCCAATGGAGACGACAGACGTGTTCAAAAGAAGGCCAGCACCTGATTTGTGAACCATCTTCTCAAAGATCTGCCAGTTCCCACCAGCCACAGCCATTGCGCCTTCTGGTGCCATGGAAACCTGCCCCAAACTTTAGTTCAAGTGCGTTCTTGTCACATGAAGCGATGAGAGGGCAGAATGAAGCGCTCACCATCGTGTCGAGTCCGTGAATCCTAGCAATGTTTGAGGCATAGTTGACTCGCGTGCTTGCCTGCACAATATCATGGGCATAGAGGTCCCCAACCTAACAGAGTTAGTATGATGAGGCATCGGCAGTCCCAAAGGGTCATATGCTTACGCTGTTTGCCTTCAACAATTGTTCGCCAGTCACTCCGGTCGCGTCCACGAGTCCGAGTTCATACGTTCGCTGTGTCAAGGACCTGAAAGGGAAGAAGGGTTCCTCATACAAGCGAAGGAATTTGGCGATGGTTGACTCCATGAGATTCTGGGTGCGTCGGGGTGCCATAACGCCATATCTCCATATCACTTTGGCTGCGTTCCACCAAAAGGAGTGGCTCTCGTTGATAGTAAAGACAAACGAGTCTCCGTCCCATATTCCCAGCGTCGGATCCGAATCCTCATCAGGGTCTCTCTTCTTAAGATCAAAGTCCTTGAGTGCGCCATAGAGAATGAGATTCTTCTCGATAAAGATGCTGGCGCCGAGCTCGACACGCTGGGATGGATCATCAAAGGGGTTGACGGTGAGAGTGCGCCCGCCAATGCGGCCTGTCTTCTCAAAGAGCGTAATGTTTACGCTAACGCCATATCTGCTTGAGTAGTTGTGCAGATGGTACGCTGCGGAAGACCCGGCAGCTCCGGCTCCTATGCGCAGGTGCTTGTTAGATGGGGTTTTGTGCCGAGGAATTATGTCTCTGCAATTTGAACGCAACTCTCGCACACGGAATTCGTAATCCTTTCTGTTCACATTGTACAGGAAGTTGTTGGTGTCCACGAGTCAACCCAAAGGAGAAGGACTTAGTTGACCAACGTGGATCGTAAACTCATAAAAGGGACGGCTCGGCAAAGTTCTTCAAATACATAAGAGCCCAGGCCTGCCCGAGAAACGAATAGGGAATCCCGACTTAAATCTCTAGGATAACCAACCTACCTATGATTGCAACCTGTCTCACCGATTCCCTGGCTTGCGGGCCGTCTGCGTCCTGGAGACTTTGACCAAAAACTGGGCCAAGAGGCAGGACCGCAATGGCGGCATAAAGGAGGCTGAATTTAAGTTTCATGGCGCCTGTGCATGAACCTGGTGTTTTGGTGAGGTCGTGCAGTAAATCTCGGGCCCCAAATCACTAGGTAGGCCGTAGATATGCGAGCAATCGCGAATAACCTCCAGAAATGAGCAAAGAGAACGCAACAGATGTAGTGAAGAGAGCGTCTTATGGCCGCCGGAAATCCGCCGATGGCACCATCATGTTTTCCTACAGTGGCGGCATTGGCCGGGTGTCAGATTGCCAGGGACGTACGATGACGAGCCCCACTCTTATTGGGGCAACCAGCGGCAACCTAGCACCTGAGGTACGGAATACAAACGGAGTTCATACAGCTCCACCTGCACAGAACCGTTTCTTCAACATGGCTGCAAACACAAGATGCTAGAAAAGCTGCAGTACTAATGAAACGCCGGATTTATTCAATTCACAATGTTGATATACCTAGTTGTTGGTTTATTTTTGGATATGGCTTTGACTAGTAAGGACCTGAACGTATGTTTCAGGTACGTTGCCTGCGCACACTCGTACCCAGCTTATTTCAGTTGGCCAAGAACTAGACCGTAAGATGATAAGGCACTACATTATGTAAGAACCTACCTGTACCTATAGGTACTTAGAGAATTCAGCAATCTATTAGTAGCTTTGATGCAAAATCTTATCTTGGAAAACGAAGTCCATGTTACCTGCACGCCTTCGAAGCAGATTTGACAAGTCTTAAAACTGCCCGGTGATGAAGCTTACGAAGCTCTGAGGCGGGAGGGAAAACAGTAATGAGGTACACAGTTTGTGGAGGAAATTACCGCTATTCTGTAGTACCCCCTTAACGCGGCCTGAGCTTGGCGTCGACCAAGCTTCTTTGGGCGAACCCCCTGTCACCACTGCCTGCAGCCCCCGCCTAAACGGACGCCTGGACTGGAAAACCTCGAAAAAAATATCAAGGTTAAGCAGCAGCTCCAGTTCAGCACCACCACCAACAAGGCCGCATTCACGTCGCTTTTTACCCACCCACCAGACTTGCACCCCACCACCGGTTTTGCGAATATGTCTGCTGCGCAGCTTCTCAACCCGAAAGCCGAGTCGAGGGTATGTCCAGGGTGGCTCTTGACCGCCGCAAATCGGTGCTAACTGTTTACAGCGGCGGGGCGAGGCCCTTAAGGTCAACATCAGTGCCGGCGAGGGTCTTCAAGATGTCCTCAAGTCCAACTTGGGTCCCCTGGGAACGATAAAGATGTTCGTGGCTTTCATCCTGCTCCGTGGTGTCTCTAGCTAACACAGACTGCAGGCTTGTCGATGGAGCGGGCCAGGTACGAGGCGGTGACAACCGGGCGAGAACATGGGACATAAACTGACACAACAGGCGTGCAGATCAAGTTGACAAAGGATGGAAACGTTCTACTGCGCGAGATGCAAATACAGAACCCCACGGCGGTCATGATTGCGCGGGCCGCGACAGCGCAAGACGACATTTGTGGCGATGGCACAACATCAGTTGTTCTACTCGTCGGCGAGCTCCTGAAGCAGGCGGATCGATATATCTCGGAAGGCCTGCACCCCAGGATAATCACGGATGGATTCGAGATTGCCAAGAACGAGGCTCTGAAGGTTTGCGTCCCGGTCTTTGGGTTTCTGTGACCGCTCTAAACATTCGCAGTTCCTCGACACTTTCAAGCTCCCCAGGGAGGTCGACCGCGAGCTCCTTCTTTCCGTTGCGAAGACTTCTCTGGCCACCAAGCTTAGCGCCAGCTTGGCCCAGAGCCTTACGCCTGATATTGTCGACGCCGTCCTCGCGATCTACCAAGCTCCCGCGAAGCCTGACTTGCACATGATCGAGATTATGAAGATGCAGCATCGCACTGCCTCGGACACGCAGCTCATTCGCGGCCTTGCTCTCGACCATGGCGCAAGACATCCTGATATGCCAAAGCGGGTCGAAAATGCGTTTATCCTGACTCTCAACGTCAGTCTAGAATATGAGAAGTCGGAGATTAACTCGGCCTTTTTCTACTCGAGCGCTGAGCAGCGGGACAAGCTGGTCGAAAGCGAACGTAGATTCGTGGATGCCAAGTTGAAGAAGATCGTTGAGCTGAAGAAAGAGGTCTGCGGCAACGACGGCAAGAAGAACTTTGTCATCATTAACCAGAAGGGTATCGACCCCTTGTCGCTGGACGTGCTAGCCAAGAACGGCATCCTCGCCCTCCGGAGAGCCAAGAGAAGAAACATGGAGAGACTACAGCTGGTTTGCGGAGGTGTCGCGCAAAACAGCGTGGAGGATCTGAACCCTGACATTCTCGGCTGGGCGGGCCTTGTCTACGAACAACAGCTGGGCGAAGAGAAGTACACATTCATCGAGGATGTGAAGCAGCCCAAGTCCGTCACCCTCATGATTAAGGGCCCCAACCAGCATACCATCACTCAGGTCACAGATGCGGTCCGGGACGGCCTGCGCAGTGTCTACAACATGATTGTCGACAAGAGCGTCGTGCCGGGTGCTGGTGCCTTCCAGGTGGCCTGTGCCGCCCATCTTAAGAGCGACGCGTTCGCGAAGACGGTAAAGGGCAAGGCGAAGTGGGGTGTGGAGACGTTTGCGGACGCACTTCTCATCATCCCGAAGACTCTTGCTGCCAACGCTGGTCTTGATATCCAGGATGCTCGTAAGTGGAAGCTCAGTTTGACCGCCCCGTAAAATGCCCCAGCTAACAACTCGTCTCTCGCAGTGGCTGCTCTTCAGGACGAGCAGGCCGAGGGCAACATCGTGGGTTTGGACCTGTCAACTGGCCAGCCCATGGACCCGATACTGGAAGGAGTGTACGATTCGTTCCGGGTCCTGCGAAATTCCATTGCCTCGAGCTCGGGTATTGCGTCGAACTTGCTGCTTTGCGATGAGATGTTGAAGGCAAGACAGATGAGCCGCGCGGCTGGCCCAGGGCCTGGTATGGACGGCCCTGAGGAGTAAATAATGACCCTTGGTCTGTCTCTGTAAGATACCTACTTTAACCAAAGTATTCAGCGACAGATTTAATTGCAGAAAAACATGTGGTGAGGATCAACCATGTGCCCGGCCAAGGCTGCCCTTGAAGTGACATGCCGCCAAGCATTTCAGTGGCCCACGACAGATTGGCGGGGCGTGCAGATTTTACCCCGCCAAAACTTTTAAAGGTGGTGCCCAAAATATTCCACTCACTCAGGTCCCCGCCCCTGTAACAGCGAGACACCAACCTTCGAAGCGTTTGCGCTAAACAACCAAACTCAACAGGATGGCTCCATACGACAGTGACTCGTCAGGGGGCGAGGATAACGATTTCACAGAAACCAACGTCCTGCTAGGCTACGCCTCTAGCGAAGCCAACGGCGAAGAAATCAGTCGTCTTGGAGGCCGCCCGGTTTGTTGCTCTTCCAGTCCCTCCACTCCAGGGTACTTAATATATCGGCAATGTCCTAACTGTGCGATTTGCCTCAGGACTGGCTCGATGTTGGTAATGCGCCCTCGGCCGCACTAGCCATATGCAAGGTCTGCAAGGACCTGATGGTGCTTCTCCTCCAGCTCAACGGAGAACTTCCTGAACAGTTTCCCGGCCACGAGCGGCGCATATACGTTTTCTCTTGCAGGAGAAAGAGCTGCCGCAGGAGAGAGGGAAGCATCCGGGCTATACGTGGAGTCAAGATCGCACCCGATGCGCCAAAGGTGGTGTCAGAATCTTCCAGAGATAACAAGGAAAACAAGCCGTCAAAGGAGGCCCCCGTTCTTCCCAAGGCGTCGTCACAGGGTCTAGGGGAGTCGCTGTTCGGAGTGAAGCCCGCTGCTGCTTCGGCAGTAGGGACAACTGCGCGTGTCAATCCCTTTGCCACATCTTCCTCGCCGGCTACAATATCTACAAATCCCTTCGTACCTAAACCTGCGTCGGCCACTACGACACCAGTGAACCCCTTTTCCAACCCGCAAGCAGTCACGCCGCCAGCACCTGAAGTGAAGACAGAGAACATTGCCGCCTCTACTACATCCGACGACGACGCAGCAATCAAGGATCTCCCCAAGACCTTTGCAGAGACGCTCACGCTTAACAACCCGCAGACCGTTTCCGAGCCCAGCTCACCCCCAGACCCGTGGCCCGAGACTTCGGAGCAGCCTGCGCCGTTCCCCGTGCGGTGGCTAGCGGACGCCGAGTACGAGACTCTGGACTCGACGCCGCTTCCGCCGCCGGGCAAGTTTGTCGTAGAGACGGAGGCAGATGCCGCAAGCAGTAATGGAAGCGGCGGCGGCAAGGAGGACAAGGAAGTCTTTGAGAGCGTCATGGATGCAGCCTTCCAAAAGTTTGCGGACCGCGTCGGGCAGAACCCCGACCAGTGCCTGCGGTATGAGTTTGGCGGCCAGCCGCTGCTCTACTCCAAGACGGATGCCGTGGGGAAACTGCTTCACGTCAGTGCGGACACCGGCCCCAAGGTCACGACGGCCGGCGCTGGCGTCATCCCTCGGTGCACCAATTGTGGGGCTGGGCGCGTGTTTGAGGTACAGCTAGCTCCTCATACTATTGAGGAGCTTGAGATTGAGGAGGATGGGCTGGACGGCATGGACTGGGGTACAGTCATTGTTGGTGTCTGCGAGAATGACTGCCAGGAGCGAGGCGTGGCGGCTGGCAAGGCTGGATACGTGGAGGAGTGGGCTGGCGTTCAGTGGGAAGAGCTCACCGTGAAGCGGTAGCAGGAGCATTGCCGGAAAAGTCTGGCGGTATAGAGAGCAAACGTCCCGCATAGATTGGCGCCATGTCACTGAACAATGCCGAACGGTCTTCATCACGTTGGTGGTGTCTATTGTATGTAGCAGCAGACAATCCGTCTATGACGCTTAGATCCCACATTTGATTAGAGAAAAAAAACATCCCTTGCATCCCTTGACGGCTTTGATACCAGGCCCGCCCATGATAACCCTTTAACGCCAGAGCTTTTGTTGCCGCCAGATGCAGGAAACAGCCATGTTAGACAGACGGCTCGCGTTTCGATCGTCAGTAAAAATATCGTCTTCCCACAGAACCGCCTCTCGCTTCGCGCTCCCCTCATTCGCCGCAGCTGGTGGTAGCCTAAGCCGTCTCCTCCCACGCCTTCTTGATAACCCGCGAGAACATATCGATTGTGACATCCTCCCGGATCTCGCTCTTCTTGGCCTCATTCTCGGCGTTTTTGGGGATCTGCACTAGGTCGTCCTCGCCAACCTTCCAGCCGCACGCCTCGACGGCAAACTTCTTGACTTCCTCCTCGTCGTCCAGGCCCAGCCAATTCTCCAGCACGCTCACCTGCACCTCGCGGAATGCCTGGCTGATCAGCTGGGCAATGCGCAGGCGTATCAGGTCCTCGAACCCGGCAATGTCTGTCGTCAGGTCGGCGTAGATGTCGTCGCTGTCGTTGGCCAGCGTGGCCCAGAACAGGGAGTACTGGGCGCCCTCGAGCTGGGCGTTGAGCGCGCGCAGCTTGGCCACGGCCTCGGCGAGCTCCGACGCAGAGTTCGCGTTCGGGAGCGACGTCGCCGGCGCCAGCAGGTGCATGGCCAGGTCGAACTGTGGCGACGGGAACTGCGTCATGGCCTTGACGAGGATGTTGGTGACGGCCTCGACCTTGATCCGGTCTGGGTTGAGCTGGTAACTAGAGGCCCGGGGGAAATCGATGGGTTTCCTCGTCAGCACTGGTCTCTATCTTCAAACGATAAATGGGGCATAGCGGGTGATAATAGCAAAGCAGAGCTTTCAGGTGTTTTTTTCTATCAGACATCACTACAGTTGACTTCCTTGCCGGGCGAGGGGTTTAGTCTCGGCCGGTGTCAGGTAATAGGAAACGTTGATGTTAAGTCATCAGGAAAGGAGTGCATATCGCAGAACCAAGCGAGATGCAGGACTAAATAGTAAAAAAAAGATGGCAAAAGGCTTACAGCTTGAGCAACGCCCGGTTGGCGTTGCAGTCGCAGAACTTCTCCTCACATTGCAGTTGCAGGTAAGCCTCGAGGGTGCCGGCGGCTTCGGGGTTGTATCGCTCGAGTCCGTTAATGACGGCGCGGATGTAGTCTGGCCGCTCTTGGGGGTCTTCGCCGTTCATGCTGGGCGATCTGGGTATGCTGTATCTCGTTTAATAGGCTGAGGATGAGAGTAGACAGAGAGGAAAACAGTTCGCGATCGCTTAACTTGAACTTCCCCCTCAACCAAAATCCCAATGGCGGGGCCGGCGAGGATTTCCACCCTTTTTTCGGATGTGTGTGGGCAATGTGGAGTTGCCATCGCCGGAAACGGAATAGCGCAGATGTGGGTCTGATTGACAAACCGCTTTGTCACGTGGCACCGCGGAAGGCTCGTGCGGGCTAGGCCGTCAAGCGCGCTGGGAATACAGTGGGACGTCATTGACTTTCAGCTATGAGCTCCCGACAAACATGCGACGAAAGTCTCGATGGCAGACTCTGTTTGCTAAATCTGTGCATCACAACCCCTCAATATGCGAATAAAGTCTCTGGCTCGCATATAGTAGCCCATGTCTATGCACTCGGTCATTTCGCTCCCATGCCCTGAATTAAAGTGCGACATTGCGGCGGCTCACCCAGGTCCAAGTCAAGCTTACCTTAGTCGGGTGTCGGATCGGATGCCCATGGTTCATCTTTGACGGACTGGTGATCGTGTCGCCATTTATACCCGTGGACGCCCGTGTCGCGATGGCCAGCCCGGCCAAGAAACGTAAACTCAACTCCGACACCAAGAAAGGTTCTGCTCCCGCGAAAGGCCTCGAGTACTTCTTTGCCAAACAGAAACAGAATGGCGCTCCAAAGCCGTCATCATCCAGCCAAGCCAGTGGTTCGCGTGCTGAAGAGCCAGAAGGCAAACTCACGGACGAGGAGCTTGCCCGCAAGCTTCAGGCCGAATGGAATGCAGAACCAGTTACCACTCCCCGTGGTGATGACATGAAGCCGGGGGCTGCGAAGGAAGGATCCCCAAGCGAAGAACGGATGGAGCCCGAGTCGACGTCGAGCTCTCAGCTCGTGCAGATTGAGCCTTCTTTGGCCAATCCGGGGCCCAGTGTCACTCATACGCTGTCCCTGTCTTCTGTCGCCGCAACAGATGACAAGGCTGCCTCGCTGATCCCGCTGGACGAGAGTCCGCTCACCTTTAACCCGTCCAAATACATCGCCGAGCTGCAAGAGTCGTGGGCTGGCGACGGTGGGGATGCATCTTATGCCCTTCTTACACGCTGTTTCGTCCTGGTCAATGGCACACAAAGCCGCATCAAGATCGTGGACACGCTTGTGAACTGCATTCGAGTGTTGATCGAAGGAGACCCGTCGAGTCTACTTCCGGCGGTGTGGCTAGCAACCAATGCCATTTCGCCGCCTTATAGCTCCATGGAGCTCGGACTGGGCGGATCCGCAATCTCAAAAGCCCTCAAACAGGTCTGCGGGTTGGACAACAGGTCGCTCAAGGCCATCTACGACAAGCTTGGTGATCCTGGTGACGTCGCCTTCGAGGCCAAGAAGAAGCAGAGTTTTACCCTGCGGAAGCCAAAACCACTGACCATCAAGGGAGTCTTCCAGTCGCTTGCCAAGATAGCCAAGACACAGGGCCAGGGCAGTGGGGATGTGAAGCAGCGCATTGTAGACCGACTCTTGCAAGACGCGCGAGGAGGGGAGGAGAGTAGGTACATTGTGAGGACGCTATGTCAGCATGTGAGTCCTCCGTACCGTTAAATACGACAATTCGGCTCGACTGACATCTTCTAGTTGCGTATTGGGGCTGTCAAGACGACCATGCTCATCGCTCTATCCCGTGCTTTCCTGTTGTCAAAACCGCCAGGTGCCGAGTTTCCTACAAGAAACCCACAGGAGTTGGCCAAGCTCAAGAAAGAAGAACTTGCCGAGGTCTGGGCAAAACCCGAGGAAATCTTAAAGGCATGTTTTGCCAGGCATCCGGACTACAATGACCTGGTTCCGGTGCTGCTCGAGATTGGCATCTCCGACGAGCTTCTGGTCCGTTGCGGCCTCACGCTACACATCCCCCTCCGCCCCATGCTGGGAAGCATCACAAGAGACTTATCTGAGATGCTCACTAAGCTTCAAGGCCGCGATTTCACGTGCGAGTACAAGTATGACGGGCAACGCGCCCAGGTGCATTGCGATGCGAAGGGCAAGGTCTCCATTTTCTCGAGACACCTGGAATTAATGACGGACAAGTATCCTGACCTCGTGGCCCTCGTCCCTAAAATCAGGGGCGAGGGTGTCGAGAGCTTCATCATGGAAGGCGAGGTCGTAGCCATGGACCAGGCCACTGGCGATCTAAAAACCTTTCAGACCCTCACAAACCGCGCCCGCAAGGATGTTGCCATCGGGAGCATTACCATCGATGTTTGCCTCTTCGCATTTGACCTCATGTATCTCAATGGCCAGCCGCTGCTAGACCGTTCCTTCAGAGATAGGCGAGACATGTTGAAGTCGTTGTTCATGGAGGTACCATACCGCTTCACTTGGGTCAAGAACCTCGACGCGACATCAAACGATGCCGAAGCCGTCCTCGAGTTCTTCAAGTCAGCCACCGAAAACAAGTGCGAAGGTATCATGGTCAAGATTCTTGACAACATATCTGTGGTGGAATATGGCGGCGATGTCATGGAACCGGCTGGCGAGGAGTCCGCCGCGAAAAAGCTCGTTGCTGCAGCAAAGAAAGCCAAGGGCAAGGGAAAAGGTAAAGCCAAGGCTGAGACAGAAAATGGTGCATCAGAACCAAAGTCTTCCCGCCGCAAGCCGCTTCTCGCAACCTACGAGCCCGACAAACGCCTAGATTCGTGGTTGAAAGTCAAGAAGGACTACCACGCGAGCTTCGACACGCTCGATCTAATTCCCATTGCTGGCTGGCACGGCCAAGGTCGCAAGGCCAAGTGGTGGTCCCCAATCCTCTTGGCAGTCCGCAACGAGGAGACTGGGTCTCTCGAAGCCGTATGCAAATGCATATCAGGATTCACGGATGCGTTTTACAAGGCGAACAAGGAGTTCTACGACGACGGCGAGAACGGGGAACCAAATAATACGCATCTCAAGAAACCAAGCTACGTCGAGTATACTGGCGGCCACCCCGATGTTTGGTTCGAGCCGCAGGAGGTCTGGGAGATGGCCTTTGCGGACATCACCATTAGCCCCACTTACACGGCAGCAATTGGGCTGGTTCAGGAGGACAAGGGCTTGAGCCTCCGCTTCCCGCGATTCATGAAGAAGCGAGAAGACAAGGGAATTGATGAGGCCAGCACAAACCAATTTCTGGCGGGCTTGTGGAGGAAGCAAGAGACAAAAGCGCCCGCGGCAGGCAAGGATGCGGCAGTAAATGGAGAGATCGACATGGATGAGGATGATTTTTAGGTTCATTGAGCCCATCTTGATCATAATCGCACGCAAGTTCTTTGCCTTGGTGGAGATATCCAAGCTATTGTCTCGCACATTCGCGCGTTGCTTCACTCCTTCCACGCCCGGTACACGATGCGGCAGCCATATTTCTCGCCCTTCTTCAGCAGCATCTGGCCCTTCCACTCGTCCACATTGCATGCATTGACGTACCGGCTCGGCTCGACGCAGAAGCCGCTCCGGGCGTTCCGTGCCGGCACCCCCGCCACCTCCGGGACGCTGATGTACTTGCCAGTGTAGAACTGGAACGCTGGCTCTGTGCTGTACACCTCGAGGTGGATCTTGGACTCGGGGTGGTGCGCGCTTACGAGCTTGGCCGCAGGCAGAGACCGCGTATCGATGGGCACTGTGTTGGGCGCCTCATTGATGACGAAGCAGTCGTCGATATCCGGCTCGACGGCGCCAAGCGTGAATGCCTTGCCGCCTTGGACCGTGGCGAACGCCTTGGGTCCGCTCGTCGGGATGCCGCCTTCGTCGACAGGGAGATAGGAATTCGTGGCAAGGGTCACGACGGTGCCTTCGATAGACGGCCCGCCCGTTAGGTTGAAGTATCTACACAGAGGGTGTCAGTTTGAGCGCGGCCAACCAGGATGTTAAACAACCAAGACTCACGAGTGGTTCGTCATGTTGATGACAGTCTCGTCGGCGCCGCCCACGAGCTCGGCCTCGTACTCGATTCCGAGCACGATGACGTCCTTACCCTCCTGCAATTGCTTCCCGACCGTGTAGACGACGCTCGCTTGCACAGCGCCGGGGAAGCCCTCGTCGCCGTCCGGGCTGACGAGGCTGAACTTGACGCTCTCGCCGCCGTCGAGCCCTGCGAAGCCAGGGATCTCCCTCACGCCGACGGGTTTTGGACCGTCCCAGATCTTCTTGCCCCAGCCGACCACGCCGCCGTGCAGATTGTTGGGCCCGTTGTTCGCGGCCAGCGCGTAGCTCTTGCCGCCGTTCAGGCTGTCGATCTGGGCGCCCTTGATCCGGTTGGCGACGCGCCCAATCGTCTCGCCGAAGAAGGGGTCGTTGTGGCTTTCGTACTGCGACTGCTCGGGGAAGCCCTGCACGATGTTGACGCCGCCGACCAGCAGCTCCTGGATGATGGCGCCCAAGGGCAGGAAGGTGACGGGTGCGTCTGCCATTTTCTTTCTCTTCTTTCTCTCTCGTCCGTTTTCTTTTCTTGGAGGACAATGGAACAATGTAGTGTCAATTGGTGGTAGCTATGATGTCAGAGACACGCTTTGGAGTTGGAGATGGATGAGGGGCAGATTGTGTTGTTCTTGTTCTCGGGGAAAGAATTGATACGAGGTAGTTCCTCCCCAAAGATCATGGGGCAGCTTCCCCCCTCCCACTTCTTCCCGATAGCCTCCCCTCCGATCCCGCCCTCATGCACAACACCGTGTCGCACATCACGGCATGTTGCTTTCAGCCTATTTTGCCGCAGGTAGCGCTTCCCCCTCTTTGGAGGCGTGGGTGAATGCGCTCGGTGGGGGCATGGCGGGGTAATTTGGTGTTGCACATGGAGGGAGAGAAGTTCCAAGACTGCCAAGCATTGCGCATTCAATGCTTCACGGGCAACTGAGAGTGCGTCCTGCCTGTTCTGAATTGAACATTTTCACCACAGTAGGATAATATCACACTCTATTCTATATTCGTTTTTCCTCCGCATTTCCTCGTCTTTTTACATCTTGGCGTTATTTTTGGCTTTGAGGGGAGAGTCTACCGTAAGGTAACCATTAGTACCTTAAGGAGGGAGGTCGTAGCGGTCTTAGATTTCACTCCAGCGACCCCCACAGGTCACGAGGTTCCATTCTCCTAGGTCAAGAATCACTAAATTGACCTCTGCTTACCACGGAGTGTGTTATACCAGAAAATAGTTCGGGAACCCATTGCCTAAGATGTAAGTAACCTGCTAGACAGAGATTGGAGTCATTATGTTAATTTTAACAATTTGTTAGTGATGCCGAACCCGGACCCGGCGCCTTCAGTGGAAGTCAACAACTCCCGTCGCGATGGCTTCAGCAATACGCCGTCCTGCAGCATAAGCGCTTCCAGCATCTTCCATCGTTTGTCTTTGATCATTCCTGTCAAATAATCGGCCTTCAGAGGTGGCTTTTTCGAGTTTTCGAGTGCCCAATATGGCGTTTGCAGCATTTAGCGCATTAGTTACGGAATGGCCTTGAACCTCCAGGATGGCTTGTCTGGCCACAAAAGCGGCTGTGGATTGAACCTCAAGGAGCCTCTTTAAAGCCTCTGCGAACGTTGACAGCCAACCGTTCTAGGCTAACGTGTGTGGCACCGTGGCAGGCCCAGATCATCAGGTTTAGCACAAATAGCCTGGATGGGGTTCAAGCCAATATTCCCAAACGGGGCGTGCTGCTACAGAGTAAAATAAGTAGCGTCCACCTTGATGAGATACGACACGGCGGTTCCCTACCATTCACTCTTTTTCGGAACTCACTCCAGTCGCTCTTACGCACCAGAAGGAGGATGAAGGGCAGGTTCGTCGGGCTGCTAGCCATTTCTGGCTTTCACCTGGCAGACGCTGCGTGCTGCCGCCTCAATGTTTGTTTGAAGTGACATACGTGGGCCGATAGAGATTCACTTCAAAAATAGGGGCTGGCTTACTACGAAAAGCACCAAACTGACCCGAGACAGCCATCGTCGCCCCGATCTAATTAGGCATCAACAAGATTGAGGATTCCTCGTCGCTTTTAACCTCGACTCTGACGCTACCTCCGGCGTAAGTCCAATTTTCCACGGATTTTCGAGATTAGCAGCTCCAGGCGCCGACTGACAGCAATTCGCACGCCACAGGACCGTGGTCGACACCGTTTCAGCCACCACAACTGCCAATGTCAACAGCGTCGAGACATACCTCGCTACAATCATTGAGTCCACAACAACTACCACCGAAGTCTCGACCTTCACCGTGACTTCTAGCCTGACAGCGGCGACAGGGACGGGCACTTCGGCCGCCAAAACCACTGTGGTTGTCACTACAACTTCTCTCTCGACAACAACCATCCCTGCCGTGAACGTCAAACGCCAGGCCGCTCCTTCAACCCTGGTCTCTGCCTTGGTTCGCTCGTCGTGGGAAAAGTATGTGTCGGCTTGCTCATGCGCCGGGTAATCGTCACCACGGTCACCGCATCAGTATCGACCGGGACCGCGACGGTGTTGACCGTTGATGTACGTACCTCGCGCCTTTGACAACCCAAATACAGTCCTTGCTTACTCTCCCTCTCCGTGTAGACCTCTATCTCCTCCGCCGTGTCCACTCTCATCCTCGAGATTGACCAAACAGTGTCGTTGACTGCGAAGACATCGACCACCAAGACGGACGTGCTGTCTCTCACCGCGACGACGGCCACAACAGTGACAGACGTTTCGTCTACGACGACGACAGTAGCCACGGTTACGACGGCGACGGCCGCATACGCCACTAACGTCACCCCGTTCAAGGCGCAGGCGACTGAATACCAGAACACAGCGCTGCAAATCTTTGCTCAGTCCACGAGCACCTTGGGCGGTACCTTGACGTGGGCGGCACCCTCGCCAGCCCCCGGCGCATCAGTCCAGAGCCGGTTCATCTGGGGCTTGGACTCGGCCGGCCACGTCTAACTCACCAACCCCGTCCCCTCCTTCCCATTCATTTACTATATGTACATCTCCATTACGGCCCCTGGATCCGTAGCCGTCGCTCTCGTCGACGACGGCACTGTCGCGACCGGATCCAACTCTAGCAGCCTTTCCTACGTAGCTGGTTGTATTGATCAGTTAACGGGCGAGCCCAAGGGGAAATCTGGCGGGCGGACAAATTTCTTGCTCTGCAATAACCAGGTATTCTTCTCGACAGGTGATAGATCTGATACCATACCCGGTAGCTGCACGATCATGCACCCCAAGAGTACCGCCCCGTAATAATAGCCCCATGCCAGTTGCCTGGGATGCCTGGCTTGGACGAGAGGATAGATTGGATAGTAATAAGATAAATTATTTGTAATATGTACCCCGTAATTGCCTTCGACTTCTACAGATGTCTGCCTTGACTTAGCTTAAGAATGTGACCTGGCTCTGATAAAATACGTCCACGACCAAGGCACAAATACTATTACGACTGGCCGCCGCCCGAAGCCCTTTTCCAAGTTACATTGCTTTGCGTCTTTGCCATTTCTTCAATCCCATGCCAGTATTCACACCGGTATGGCTGTGTCGGTGCCGGTCAATGGCTTGACGCTCTGTTGTACCGCGGCAAATGTTTAATTTTGTTCATTTCAGTGGTGAGTGGTGCGTGGTGATGGGTATGAGCCGTTCTGCTTGGGTGATAGATCTAATTGACTGTAGAAGTCGCTCCTTGAGTAGATGAAAGTACGTATATTCCGTAAGACAAACTCTTGAAACGGAATATCGTGCTCTAAGGACAGAAATTCGGTATTGGTAAAACTACCTTGTAGTTGAAAACAATTTAAATAATAATAGCCCTTTCTTTCGAGAAGAGGAATTATCAGTGAGAGGGGGGGCAAACTCGAAGTTATCTTCAGATGGCCGACTTTGGTAAAGAAGTGGGCTTTGTCTAAGAGGGTTTACCGATGCCGAAGTTAGGTACTGAGGGGATGGGGCCAAAAGTCTTCTTCACTCTCCTGTGACCGTCTCACGTAATGATAATGCTCAAGAATATTACCGTATCACTAGAGCCCGCTGACCGCGTACTTTCCTCCTTGCCCTTCAAACTACGTGCGGGGTCTCCAGTCTGACCTTTTCTCCGTGGCATATTCGCTCTCGTATCCTGTACCAGATAGCCTCTACACTGTGCGTCAAATGTGACATCAAGGGGATAACGTCCACAGTTATCTTTAGCGAGCGGATCGGCACCGGCATGAAGGAGAACATCGAACGTTTCCCAATCACCTGACTGCCTAGCATAGAACAGTCTTGTACGTCCGTATTTATCAGTCCCATCAACCAGTTGGCTCTTCTTCAGGAGCTCCGCCACTCTTGTACTATCTCCTTCTCAGCTCGCCATCTGAAGGGGCAACGGGATCAGATTAGAGTAGCGGATAATGCAGGATATTGTCACAATTGCAAATCCCGCCAATCCGACGGAACCGCTGGCTATGCTCAGTAGTTCTGCTATTGTGTAAGGTGCCGTTGATTCGAGATCGGCGTAGCGTTTAGGTGGATAACCAAAGTTGGAAGGGAGGGGGGAAATCGAAACAAATGCACAAGGCTCCCAATGGCTGGTAATGTAGCTGAGGTCTATATATCGAATGCCTTAGGCGATGCAGCCTCCTGTATGTGCTAACCGCCGGCAGGAAATATGATGTGGCTGAGCCAGAGGGCGCATCGTGGGCTGCTATGATTAGCACAGTGGCCCCGAACAAAGCTCCGCCAATACTCCGTGGTGTGCAATAGATTTGCTATGACATTTTGAACGAAATGCCACCTACTTTTCTAAAATTCTGTGCATGGGTGTGAGCTGGCAGGACGCGCATGAGACGGCATTCAGGGTTACCCTAACCCTAGCCCTAAGTTCGCTTAGTATTTATTACCGAGATTTTCCAGAACTTGAATAAAATGTTTAAGGTTATAGTTATAAGCTTAAAGTAGTTTAAGTAATGACACTTTCATATGCCGGCCTTTTTGCGTGCAGTTGGTGCTTTAAGGCCTGCAGCGGCCAGGTGGCTTTTGCAGGCCTTTGTATCTTTTGCAGTCCTTTCCTTTGGTACAGAATACATCATCGTCAACCTTTAGCACATCAGGTTTTAACAGATTACTCAAGTAACTGGGCGCCTGCTATAACATTTGGCTAATTTACGTACAAATCTAGACCTCAGAGTTGCCATTTGCAAGTTGCCTTTATTTCAAGGCTGACCCAGCAAGGAAGAAATCGTCAAAATGGAAAACACCACGGCAACGCGCTTTCAGGGCCTTTGAAGGTTTTGACTGCTTCAACGTTATTGACCCGGGCGGCCGGGCTGCATGGTAGCACATGGGCGGCTAGATGGTAATTCAGGATTTTACCAGCCTATATTAGCGTCTGAATATCTCAACTGCCAGGTAGGTGCGATGAAGAAGTAGGTAGGTTGGTGCGCGTATCAAAGCTCTTCGAGAAAGTCGTGAATAAATACCTACCACCAAAGTGAAATGGCTCATACCTACCTATTTGAACACTAGAATGAACAGAATGAAGAATTTGCCGTGGTAGATATAGCAAAAACAATGAAATACCTCATTCTTACCTAGGGTGCTCAATAATGTTTAACAGAGACATGGCCTTAGACAATAAATATTAATCTAATAATATCTAGCAAATTGCATTCACTCGAGAACCTCATTAAAGATTATTGAGAGACCAAGGTAATCAAGTTTGTGCTTCTTCCAAGCATTTGTGCGCGTCCCGATTATATTTCACCCCATACTTATTGTGCAGCAATGACAGCCCTAGAAGTGGAGATGCATTGTTATCTCCCTGCCCTCTTCGTTTACATGGAACTGCCAAAAGGCTAGAAAATTCTACCTTAGCATCATTACATGATATGACGCGTTGTGTCCTTCTATCCACTGCATCCACCGTACTCATCATATCCACAGCCTCCACCGCATCCATAATGCCCATCAACGTTCGAATCTTCCAAATCCTCTTGTTCCACTTTAACGGGCGCTACGGTATCTAAGTGTGGGAAGAAAACTGAGACACTTGTGGCGATTATAAAGAGCGGGGCTGATGACTGCGGAACAGTTCCAGACCGGATCTAGCATAATACCATGGAAAGCAATATAAATTAATTTGTGTATTAGAACACGAGTGTCATTTTCCACCGAGATTGAAATTGAATACAGTGTAACTATTCATACAAGAATACTTGAAAGAAATTACACGAATGTCTGTGGGAGGCAAAGCGACGACAGGAGCCGATGAAGATAAGATAAGACACCTCCCAGATTAATAAACCTAATACGGCGGACAGACATACACAAAACGTTAACATGCAGATCGGGGTCACGTCGACTTATCAAACAGTGGTGGTGTTGGAATACGGCGAGCCCGTATTGGCGGTGGCAAGATGGAACGCGTGGATCGTTTGACGGAAGTGAGTGTCGACCTGCGTCTTTTGGTTTGCCGTCTGCTGCGAGTACGAGGCCGTAGTCGGGAAGATTCCCATAACCTGGAAGAGGAGGGCGTCGACAACAACGGCCACCGTGAGGACCGCGGCGGGCACTCGGAACTCTGCCTGCTTATCGAGATCGATCAAGGTCGGAGCCGTCGTAGAGACAGCATCCGTGAGTTCGAAGAGGCCTTGGACAAACTGGGAAGAGGAAAGACGGTGTCAGTCGGGGGTGTGTGCAGGAATGAGGTTGGAGAATGGGATCGCTCCACTATCAAATGGACCAATTGAGGGGAAGACAAGAAAGAGAATGAAACCCACATTCGAGTAGGCCTCGTAGACCAGCTGCTGATCGTTCGCATTGGTGACCACGGCCGACCGAACCATGACCGAGATGTTGGACAGGCACGAGTCGGAAATGTCACTAAACTCATCGAGAATGTCCTACAAATGCGGTGTGAGCTGAGATCAGTGGCGTTCCGGAGTCGGAGCGAGATGCGAGCTGCAGCCTGCGAGACTGGAGGCTGGGCAGCGGTGCGAGAGGCCGCAGATAAATTACCTGGAAAGGGCCCGGGTTCCTCATGGCTGCGATCGTATTGACGAGATCCTTGAGATCAAACGCCATACGAGCCAGGCTGTTACACGCCAGCGTTATCTCGGGCGCAGACATGGTTGCTGCTGCAGGCGATACGAACGCCAAAGCCCCAACAAGTACCACCAGAAGCACGTGTACAAGGCCCGTCGGGCGACCCAGGTGCCAGTGCATTCTTGCTCCCTGTTCGTTGGTTCGGGATACCGCCAATCGAAGTGAGTGAGACACGAAAAATGGAATTCAAAAAATGAGTGGACGAGAGCCGACGATAAGGCCCTCCTGAACAAAACGAGCGACTGAGATAAAATAGCGACTGGACGCGGATGCTGGCAACGGATCAAAGCATCACGCAACTGCAAGTGAGAGTGAGAACTAGAGGGAAAAAATGATACCAGACTCGGGGAGGGAAAAGACGGTTGATGCTGTCAGCTTCGGCACTGAGCGTAGACGAGTCTTACTTACCCCTGAGCATTGGCCGGACGCGGAGCTTACAGGTCAACACACGGCAAAGATTGCACGCCCAGGGGTGCGCATTGGTGGGATGATGAGGTGGCCGGGCGGTCGGAACCAACCTAGTATTGATCGGAGATCTGCACCATGGATGGAGGGTCACTTTGTGATGCAGCTAACCAGGGGTAGAAGGCGCTTCCGTACTGGACACTTGGAGTCGGACGGTGGACACGTACGGAACATTCCGTAATGTTCCAACACTCTACACATTGCACTTGCAGGCAGTAGGTTGTGGTGATTGCGAGCGCCTCTCGGATTACTGATTTTCAAAACAGGAGGACTACCTACAGGTATCTGTTTCCTGAGCGGGTTGTTGCTCCGGCGTGAGCCTGTTAATGTCATGCTCTGCGGATGCGACTTCTAGTGCTGTTAATTATAATATAGCGATGTGTTCTATTGCTCTCGTTGTCAGCAACTAATTGTCTTAGCATTGTCGCGTCAGTTCCAAGTGCAATTACGCGAGGTAAGAATGATGCGGGTACAACCCGGTTACGGTGTAGGGGGTCGGGTTGCGAGATCCGCGGCTTAATACCAGGCTAGCATGTTCCAGATAGCGCTAGGGCTGAGAGACCAGGTCTGGGAAGCTCCGAGTGGCCCCTCCGGTTGGACACGTCGGAAGGCGAAGCGGACTTCCGTGGAACTTCAGCCGCATGAGACGTGGTGGGCTCGACATCCCACGCATCATCCCGCGCTTGAGGTGCCTTGGTGAAACTAACAGCCCAGTGCCGTCCACCGTTTTTTTTAGACCCGACTTATTTTCAATTGGCCGGCACGATTGCGCCTTCCATACAGACACCAATTGAAGTTCCACCTCCCGCGCAAAGAAGGATTCATCCGTGGACACACAGTAAGCCCCTACCCTAATCCCTCATTTAAAGTGATGACTGCACGGGTGGCTGGAATCGCTCAAAATTCTTAATTTCGGTGCACATTCATAATTGCAAAACATGACAAGACAAACTGCTCAGATGTGATATGTTCAGATGAGCGTGCAAAGTGAAACCGCTTGAGGGAGCTTGGCGTTTAGACTATGCCGAATTTGGCAGTTTGGCTATCTGATCTACGTGCATCGGCAGTGCATGCCAAGCCTTAGGCGTCCGTATTCACCTTCGGATGAGGACCCTGCTGAGAAACATGCATGCTAATCTGCTACGTGTTGTCATCCTTCCCGCGTATTTTATACCGATTGTCGAATTGTGTCGGTCTAGGTTCAGCGATAAACCAGGGTCTGCAGGCTTGGCGCTGACTTCTGTGGGCCCCAGGGCCGTATCTGTCTTTGTCATATCTGGGCAACCATGCTCCACTTATGTGAGTGAACTGTTCACTCGCTGTTGACCCGAATTGAACCCTTACACAGCGCCTTACTGTAGATCGGACCTACCCAAGCGTTGACCGTGAGTCAACCGAATTTGGAGCTTCGTACAGTGTCGAAGCTGCTCCTGCCGTTTCCCGTGACGATACGGTCCCACGCGTCGGTACTTCGACTTGCAGGGATTCAAAGGTTGCCAGCAACCAGCAACCAGCAAGGCGGGCCTTGGAGCCTCACAACCTGGAAGCAAGGTCAAGATTCCACCTCACTGCTCTTTCCTCGTCCCTCTTTCCTCCATTCTCCATCCTCCTTCCGTTTTTATCCTCCGACTGAACGGCACTCTGAATTATTCAAGAAAGAAGAATAAAGGAAATGCGAAATCCACAACTTAAATAACCAGCCAACTATTTACCACCTACCTTAGCTCTCTTGGTTTTCTGACATCAGACTGATCCCTCTGCACAGTCCCATATACCTTACCTAGGTTGCATTTGCAGATTGTCTACTTACGACGCACCAACACTGGACAAACAGGCAATACGCGGTAGGGGGCGTCTCGTGTTGGCGCTCAGCCTGCTGTGCTCGCGCCCAAGATGGGGCTCCCGGCCTCTAGAGAGTCTAGGCGGCGGCTCTAGGAACCACGTACTCGGTCGTGTTTATGCCAACCCGCATGGCAGCCCGCATTGACGTGGCATACCCACCTATGAAATTACGGTCTTTCGGGCTCGCCTCCGTTCTCAGCCCTATTCTATACACCTTGGATTGTGGATATTGATGTGCTGAGCGTTTGAGCCCCTACTCCGCCTCGCCTCTTGCGTGCTTGGCAAGGGTGGGCGGCTCGGGCAGCAACGCAATTCATCCTTCCAAGCCCTCCAAGCCATTCCTGTGTACTGTAGTAGGTACCTGGGCAGCCCGAAGCTATGGGTTTACGCTTGGTACACCCAAGTGGGATTGTTGTTGCTGGATCTCGTAAATCTTCCCTGTTCGGCGGCCGCCGTCCGGCTGGTTCAGAGCTTGGACAAGGAGCTTTCGAGACATTAGGGTCCGCTTTATCTCCTTCCATCCCAGCCCTTCGCTCTGGAATCTGGACCACACTGCAGCAGTCTTCAAGCCGTCACAGGCCTTCTCCTTGTGGTACTCTCACCACGCCTCTTGCTCGCCTGTCTTCGTCCTTTGACATGTTGTTGGCCCCCATCGGCATCAGTCAACCGTGATAATGGACAGAGCAGTGCCAAAGTGGCTGCTCCTCACAGCCGCTCTCCTTGCCCGCTCATGTCTCTGTCTACCTCACCTGCCAGAGTTTGAGGCATACAATCTCAACCAGAACAAGTCGGCCGAGTCACCCCTGGATTATTGGGGGGAATGGACCGATCATGAATTCCACCCATCCCCGGATAACTGGCGGATGCCATTCTACTCTCTCTTCCTCGACAGATTTGTGAACGGCGACCCGTCCAACGACAACAGCAATGGCACGGCATTCGAGGTTGACATTCTGTCCACCCAGCTGCGGGTTGGCGGTGACATCGACGGCCTCGTCGACTCGCTCGACTACCTTCAGGGGCTGGGTATCAAGGCCCTCTATGTCGCCGGGAGCCCTTTCATCAACCAGCCATGGGCCGCCGACAGCTTCAGCCCCCTAGACCTCACCTTGCTAGACCAACACTTCGGCACCATCGCCATATGGCGACAAGCCATTGACGAGATCCACCGCCGCGGCATGTACATCGTGCTTGAGAACACCATGGCGACCATGGGAGACCTTCTCGGCTTCGAGGGCTATCTCAACACCACTACACCCTTTAGTTTCACCGAACACCCGGCGATATGGAAGTCGTCCCGGCGATACTGGGATTTTAACATCGGCGAGGATCGGATTGATGACTGCCAGTACCCGCGATTCTGGGACGAGGATGGGACTAGGGTGGGAAGCAACGTCACGTCGTTATTGACAAGCTGCCTGAGCAGTGATTTTGATCAAGTAAGCAACCGTCCTATTCCCAGGCCCACTGTTTAGACATGCCCTGCTTACACGCAACGCACTAGTACGGGGATGTCGAATCCTTTGGCGTGTACCCCGAGTGGCAGAAGCAGCTCAGCAAGTTCGGTTTTGTACAGGACCGCCTGCGTGAATGGCGACCGAGCGTGCTCGACAAGATCAAGCTTTTTTCTTGCATCACAATCGCATCTCTCGATATCGATGGCTTCCGCATCGACAAGGCCCTCACCATCACCGTGGATGCCCAGGCCGAGTGGTCAGACCACATCCGTGACTGCGCTCGGAGGTTCAACAAGACCAACTTCTTCATCCCCGGCGAGATTGTGGGCGGCAACGGGCTGGGTGCTCTCTACTATGGTCGAGGCAAGGACCCCGACATGGCTAGCGCCACTGTCGACGAGAGTTTCAACGCGACAAACGAAACCAGCCCCTCGTTGTACATTAGGACAAAGCACGCCCTGGACTCTGCTTGCTTTCACTACTCTGCATACAGGGCCCTGACGCGTTTTCTCGGCATCGATGGCGTCTATGGAGCTGAGATGGACACGCGAACTAACTGGGCAGACGGGTGGGCCGATATACTCATGACCACTGACTTCATCAACGCCAATACTGGCAAGTTCGACCCACGTCACATGTTCGGTGTATCCAACCAGGATGTGTTTCGATGGCCTTCAATCGCCAACGGGACGCAGAAGTACCTAATTGGCGCCTTCATCTCCACGCTCATGCTTCCCGGTATTCCCATCATCAACTGGGGTGAGGAGCAGGCATTCTATGTGCTCGAGAACATCGCCGGCAATTACCTCTACGGACGTCAGCCCATGGTCTCGGCCGTTTCATGGGAGCTTCACGGATGTTACAAAGTGGGTTCGGAGAAGTACTTCAACTTCCCCCTCGATGCGGCTCTTTACGGCTGTGACGACCCAAACGTTAGCCTCGACCATCGCGACCCTTCTCATCCTGTGAGGGGAATCTTGCGACGCTTCTTAGAGCTTCGCGAGATATACCCGGTTCTCAACGACGGCTTTGACATGTACCAGCTCTCCAACCACACCCACTGGATCTTTCTGCCTGGATCAAACGGCACCGGAACTGAGCTTGGGCTGTGGAGCAATGTCAGGGCGAGTCACCAGAGTCTTCAAGAAGACTTGTCATCTCTACCTCGGGGCAACGAGACAGTCTGGCTTCTCTTCGGGAATGAGGACACCGCCACGGACTACAACTTCAACTGCTCTAACTCCGAGACAGCCTTGATTTCTCCATTTCAGTCGGGAACAACGGTGAAGAATCTGTTATACCCGTATGATGAGTTCACCCTAGAGCGTTCGTCTTGGGTTTTTGAAGGTGGCAAAACAGCCGGATTCTACGGCTGCATCAGCAAATTGGAGCAGTTTCCAGACTTTGGTTTCAAGGCTTTCGTTTCCAAGGATAGCTGGGTTGGGCCAGCACCCACCATCACCAAGTTTCTTCCCGGCCACGATTACCGGCTTGAGTCCTCCAAGAATGGGACGACATCTGTCGAGATCCAACTCCAGTTTTCGCAGGAGATGGACTGCGATTCCGTGTATAACTCGATTGAGATCACCTCCGATTCCCACATTGGGGATAGAGCGACTCTCCACCGGGATTCTGTCCGGTGTTGGAGCCTTGATCCCAATCAGAATGCTCCTAAATTTGTTGCACAGACACCGTCGGTATGGGCCATTGCAATAACCATCAACCCAATCCCAGACGGAATCCATCGAATCACTGTGAGAAATGCGACAGACAGCACGAAGACGCTCAGAACTGGTTCGGTCGATCATTTCCTTCTCAGGGTGGGGCAGCTTAGCAACCCTATGGTGTTTCCCCGACATGCCAACTATTCCCAGGAGCTTGTCTACCGCCAGGGCGATGACATCTACATTCACCACAGCGCAGCCGGCGCCTCGCAATTTCGGTGCTCTCGTACGTGGAGCTCTTCGTGGACCGAGTGGCTCAACTACACTGGCGAAGACTTCAAGCTTCCAGCAAAGAACTGGACTGGCACGGATCTGCAGAGCTGGTCAGATGAGCATGTTGTCTGCCAGTACTACAGCAGGCTGGCCGGAAGTAGCCATCACCAGCAAGAGGGCGATCTCAATTCGGCCACCTTTCCCCGCCGCTTCCCTCACTTCTTCATCAACGGCCATTTCAATGCCTTTGGCTTTGATTCGGGAATCCCAAATGAGATGTTCCAAACCGCCAGTAACGGGACGTGGTCAATTGACATGATGGCGGAGTGGCCTACCGCTCTCCAGTTCAATGTTTGGGGGCTGAATCCAGATGGGATGCCTGACCAGACCTGGTTGTTCGGCGACGTCAACTTTGACTACGTCCTAGACAGGCTTCCTCCCGGGTCCCTGAGGCAAAATGTGGTCAACATCACACAGTCCCCTCCAACTCCGTTCGTTGGTTGGCGATTCACGATTGACGACGCGGCAATGAAATACAACATGTATCCGGCGGGGAGTAGGGGACGCCAGATTGCGATTTTCGCTCTGTTGTGGCTTATTCCATTGTTGAGCGGCTGCATTGTGGTTTTTACCTTCACTGGGTCCTTTTACAAGGTTAAGCACAATGTCTCGGGCATCGCGAAAGAAAGCGGGCTTCTCCCCGAAAAGCTGGCCCAGGTGTTTGACATCAGGACCTGGAATCATTCCCGTCCTCCTACTGCCATGGTGGATGATGTAAACACCGCCGCTGGCGAGAGCGCCGGCGAGGGCGTAAGCGACGAAATGCTCCAGATGGATATGGGAGCGCCACGGAAAAAGGTTCTCATCGCCACCATGGAGTATGACATTGAGGACTGGGCAATCAAGATCAAAATCGGCGGTCTGGGCGTCATGGCACAGCTGATGGGGAAAGCTCTCGGGAATCTCGATGTCACCTGGGTCGTGCCGTGCGTTGGAGGGCTCGACAACCAATATCACAACGGCTACCCGGTAGATGAGCCGGCTGAGCCAATGGTCATCACGATATTCGGCTCTCAATACACCGTGGAAGTCCAGTACCACAAGCTTCGAAACATCACCTACGTTCTCCTCGATGCGCCGGTATTTCGCCTCCAAACAGCGGCCAAGCCATATCCTGATCGCATGGACGATCTCGACAGCGCCATCTACTACTCTGCCTGGAACCAGTGCATCGCAGAAGCCCTCAGGCGGTTCAACCCAGACATCTACCACATCAACGACTTCCATGGGGCACTGGCGCCGCTCTATCTCCTCCCGCGCGTCATACCGTGCTGCCTTTCCCTCCATAATGCCGAATTCCAGGGCATGTGGAGTGTGGGCACCAAGAAAGAAAAACAAGAAGTGTGCAATGTTTTCAACTTGGAACAGAGAGTCGTTGAACGTTTTGTGCAGTTTGGGGAAGTCTTCAACCTTCTCCATGCTGGCGCAAGCTACCTGAGAGAGTTCCAACACGGCTTCGGGGCGGTTGGAGTCTCCAAAAAGTATGGCAAGCGGTCTTTTGCCCGGTATCCCATATTTTGGGGTCTTTCCAAAGTCGGCAGTCTACCAAACCCGGATCCGTCTGACACGGGGGCATGGTCGGTCGAACAAGAGGCGGCAGCCCGAGCGGAGGAAATTGAAGTAGATGCGGCCGTTGAAGCAAGCCGAGCCGAGATGCGGCGTCAGGCTCAGGAATGGGCGGGCCTCGAACAGGTGGCGGATGCTGAGCTGTTTGTCTTTGTGGGCCGCTGGTCGATGCAAAAGGGAGTTGATCTCATTGCAGACGTGTTTCCCTCCATCCTCGAGCACAACCCCAAAGCCCAGTTGGTTGCAGTGGGCCCCGTGATTGACCTCTACGGAAAGCTGGCTGCTATTAAGCTGGAAAGATTGATGGAGCAGTACCCCGGCAGGGTCTACTCGAAGCCCGAGTTTACCCAGCTTCCGTCATATCTCTTCAGTGGAGCTGAGTTTGCTCTCATCCCCTCGAGAGACGAGCCGTTCGGTCTGGTAGCCGTGGAATTTGGAAGAAAGGGGGCTCTGGGCGTGGGAGCTCGAGTGGGTAAGTCAAGTAGAGGAGTGTCCGAGTGAAGAACGCAGCTAATCTCTTGCAGGTGGCCTTGGAAACATGCCCGGATGGTACTACACGGTCGAGTCCACATCGGCCAAGCATCTCATCAGTCAGTTCAAAGACGCAATTCAAGAGGCTTTGGCGTGTGACGCCACCACAAGAGCCAAAATGAGGGCTGTTTCTGCCAAGCAGCGCTTTCCTGTGGCCCGGTGGGTCGAGGAGATAGGAGAGCTGCACAGTACTTCGATCCGCAAATCTCAAAAACATCGCGAACGGTCTACACGCCTTCCTCTTTCAGGGCTGTCGAGGTTCTCGAGGCCGCCGTCGCAGGGCTCCTCGGAAGCCCAGGAAACTCGTCCAGTGTCCCCGGCCTCTTTCATCGGCACTCCGATTCACGCGGCATCACCGACGAATGGGAACAATGCAGCGAACTGGCCACTGGCTCCTCCGGATTTGAACGACAGAAGAATTTCCACCGTGTCTGTGGTGTCGGTCACGCAAGGACGCACAGATTTTGCGCTGCAAAAGGTTGATCCGTTTTTCACCGATGCTGACGGCGAGTACACTGAAGAGTTCAAGAAGAAGCTCGCACACCTTGATGCCAAGAACTCAGAGACAGACCTCTGCATTGAGGAGCACCTCATGCGATCCGAGAAAAAGTGGTTCGAAGACTACAAGATTGTCAAGTTCGGCCTTGGCTCCTCTCGCAACTCCTCAAAAGTGAACCTGACAGAGGCAACCTCAGTCCCGCCGACACCAATCACTTCACAGTTCCTGGAACCCCCATCTCGGCCTGACAGCGTATATTCTCCTAGCGTCATGTCTTCTGCCATATTGAGCGATGACCCTGAGGAACAGCGAGACAATTCCCCTGAGCCGAATGTTGCGACATCGGACGAGGAAGACGGCCCAACAACCACCAACCTAGCACTGGCCTCGCCGCTGCAGAAGTTCATGCTGCGCAAGATTTTCGATTGGCCCGTTTACACCCTCATCCTGGCACTTGGCCAGATCCTCGCGGCCAATTCGTACCAAATCTCACTGCTCAACGGGGAGCAGGGGCAAACGGCAAACAAGCTCTACGTAATTGCGTCCATCTACGCGGGGACCTCTATCATGTGGTGGGTGGCCTTCCGCCATCTGAAGTGTGTCTGGATCCTATCCGCCCCGTTCTTCGTTTACGGCGCTGCTTTCACGTTTGTTGGCTGTGCCCCTTTCGCGCCCACAGAGTTTGCCCGCGGGTGGTTGCAGAACGTCGGGTCCGGGCTCTACGCTGCGGCGTCGTCCAGCGGGTCAATGTACTTTGCGCTCAACTTTGGCGACGAAGGTATTCATACGCCCAAACTACTTCTCCATCCTGAGTGTTTCCGCAAGCTGACATTGTAACCTACAGGCGGCGCACCAGTCAAGACATGGGTCATCAGGGCCTGCGCCGTGCAGGGCGTGCAGCAGATCTATATCAGCGGTCTCTGGTACTGGGGCTCCCTCCTCTCCTCGTACGACAGCAATGGCATTCCCATGGCAAAGGCATCCAGCACAACCATCTCCGCGATCTGCCTCCCCGTCGCCGCGCTTCTTATGGCCTTGTCGGTCGTGACTTATTTCGGGCTGCCCGAGTACTACCGCCAGTCTCCTGGCTCGATACCATCTTTCTTCAAGTCGATTTTCCGGCGCAAACTCATCATTGTGAGTGCGGAAGTTTGCAACATTGCTACACAGAACAGTTGCTAACCATGCCTCTTCCAGTGCTTTCTCGTATCCGTCATTGTCCAAAACTACTGGCTCTCCTCGGTCTACGGACGGAGTTGGCGGTTCCTGTGGACAACATCACACGCGCCGGCCTGGCAGATTCTCATTCTCGTAGTCTTCTTCTTCGGCGTTGTGTGGATCGCCCTCTTTTCACAGCTCGCACACCTCTCCCGCGAGCACAGCTGGATATTTCCCGTGCTGGCCATCGGCCTCGGCGCGCCGCGCTGGGCGCAGACCTTTTGGTCCGTCTCGGGCGTCGGCACCTCGCTGCCCTGGGCGTTCGGCGGTGATTCCTCCTCGTCCTCCATCATCGGCGGCGCGCTGGTGTCGCGCGCCCTGTGGCTGTGGCTCGGCGTGCTCGACGCGCTGCAGGGCACCGGCGTCGGCATGATGCTCCTGCAGACGACGACGCGTTTCCACAACAACTTCACCCTCATCGCCGCGCAGGTGCTCGGGTCGCTGGCGACGATCGCGGGGCGCGCCACGGCCCCCGACGCCGTCGGCCCCGGCCCGGTCTTCCCGAACCTGGCACTCAGTCTGGACGGGCTGGGCAATGCGTCGTTCTGGGTCTGTCTGCTCATGCAGCTGGCCATCTGCGTAGCATTTGGCACCTTCTTTAGAAAGGAGCAGTTGAGCAAGCCCTGAGGAGACAGGTGGTGTTGTATATGCTCACGTCTCGTATTTCGGGCACGAGAGTTTAGTTTTGGGGTAATTATTTGGGTAGATAGTTTGCTTGGGATACATATGCAAGGGTGTTACTAGATATATTTAGCTAGACTTAGACTTTAATCGTAGACATAATTACAGCAATCCTTTGTCGTTTGTTGCCTGTTTTGTGGAAGTTGTCAGTCAGGGGTTCGTTTGCCTCAGGTATCTAAACACGAACCCGCACGCAACGAGTGTGTGTTTTTTCCTTGTCACATGCATCTCTAGTCTCTACGACTGGGTGATAGCAGGCTCCTGTACGGAGTAACTAGAACAAAAATGGTGGACAGTCCATGTACTCGTTGATGCATAGCAGAGAGCTGCACTCGACCTCGGGAGAGGTTGTAGGGCGACGGCACCTCACCGGGACTTTGCCGGCTGAGCCAATCGCGCCAGCGCCAGCGCGCCTCACGGCAGCAGATCACCGCCGCCACTAGTTCATTGGCGCACCCAGACTGCCGGGTCTGTGCAACCACCCGGCAGGAGCACCTGACAGAGTCTTGCCTTTAATGCAACGCCTCCCTGTCCCGGGCTGTGTCTGGAATTTTGGAGCGAGCGCGTCGAACCTATTCGTGTGTCTACCATGTGGAGCAAAAATAGCTACCCAGATAGTAGATAGCAGAAGAAATACACGCAGTGTATTTCTTGAGAGTTGGGACTTCTCCTTTTAGCTTTGCTGCTTGCCGGACTACCCACGCAAGTGGCTGCCGCGGTTCATGCACTGTCCCATGGCGCTGGGTTCTCGCCACGTCGGAATCGCGCATCTCCTGTGCGACGGCGGAAGCGCGTCCCCTTTCAGCGGTCGCACAAAAGACTCTCGCCAAGCTGCTTACCTAGGTTGGTAGACGAGCGACCTTTAGTGGAATCGTCTGGATGTCTTGTTTGCACACCTTGGGTTCTGGTGCTTGCTGTCGTCCCTCCACCATTTTGACTTTGGCATTGAGTTGCCGGAATGCAGCTCTGAGACACTGGGCTCGGGAACATGCAAGCACGCAGCAACCTTAATCATCGTCATCCTCGGGCGGTCATGGGTGCAAAGTGTGCGGCCCGCGGAGACTGCAGACTACTGTCTGCCTGCATGACCGCCCGTCAATAATGGCCCACCCCCTCCCAAGGACCGCTTGCTCGCCGTGTCATGGCGGGTTTCTCTCTGTTCGAGTTCCTTTTTTCTTCCCTGCCGGCTTGCTGTCTGGTCGGACACACTACCGTGATTCCAGATTGAGCGTGGAACCTTGCAATCAGCTGCAAGGTAAACCCACTGCCTGGCACTGGGGTCCCGTTCGCTCGCGCCGTGTCATTCAGAGTCGTCAGTTGAAGCTTGCTGCTCCCCGGCTCCGCGGCTCTGATCATGATTGCCGCATCGGGCATCCACAAACTGCCGGACAATGAGGAGCGCGGTGGCCCTCTCAACTACAATGTCGGTGCCAACAACATCCACGGCTGGCCCGTGGCAACACCTCGCCGTACCCGCTACGGCTCGACATCTCGCATCACTGCCCATGCCACGACGCCCGGAATAGCCGCCGCCAGTGCCAGCATCCCCAGGCATCAGCAGCGTCCACCCCGTTCTGCCATTAATAACAGTGCGCAACCGAAAGAGAACAGGACCGCGATAGCGGCAAGCGTATGGCCAGCAGTCCCTGCCACAGCCCCTGGCAGAATCATCAGTACAGGCGCGAGCGCAGTCCCCGACGAAATCCCGGCCTGCGCAGGACGCGCTGCTGTCCGCCATCCTATGTCGGGGCCGCCGCCGCCGCCGCCGCCCGCGCTGCCGCCGACAATGGAGGAGAACGACCCCATGTTCGACTACCCGCCGGAGAACTGGATCGCGTCCATGATCGGGACCGAGGGGCTGGTGTACCGGTTCAGCGACGCGCTGGCGTACAAGAGCCACGTGACGCCGCGCGAGGTGGACCTGATGGAGGCGGCGGGCGGCGACCTGGCCGTGCGCGTGCTGACGCGCGTCGTATGGAAGGGCGCGCGCCCGCACACGGGAACCAAGTCGGCCATCATGGAGCTCGGGCGCCGGTTTAGTTTTCGTGATGATATGTCTGATGGTGCGGACCGCCACGCCTGCGTCGCCGACATGTTCCTGCTGCTGGAGCGGCTGCACTGCGGGGCTAGTGGCGGCAAGGGCCGCGGCCGCGGCATCGTGCACGGCGACATCAAGGAGTCGAGCTTCGTGTGGGGGCGCGACGGCCGCCTGCGGTTCGTCAACTTTGCCAGCGCGCGCTTTGTCGATGAGCCGCCCGACGCGTGGGACCCGGCGCATACGACAGAGGCCTACTTCACGCCCAAGCGCATGGGGTGGCGCGACCAGCAGATCCGGCAGAGCGTCGCCGTCACCGACGACGGCAGCGGCGCGAGCACAAACGGCAGCGGCGGCACGGCGGTGGCCATGATGCCAATGGTCCCGCCGCCGAGAGTCTTCGACGACTACTATGCCCTCGCCGTCACGCTGTGGAGTATGTACACGGGCAAGAAGCCGCGCGGCCGCCAGTTCAACCAGGTCAACATCCGGCGGTCCGACCTGGCCGAGGTCGACGACGAGATGGTGCGCGCATGGATCCGCAAGGTGTTCAAGATGGCTGGGTGCAGGTTCTGGTCGCCGGCGCACCAGGAATACGGCCAGAATGATTAGGTCCCGTCATTGAGGGGTCTTTGGGCGCGCCTGTGCATGTGTAGATTTGTCGATGGCGTGTTGAAGGTGTAATTGAGAATCTTTTTGCTCAGTTGGGTGGGCTTGTTTCCTGTTTCTGAGCTCCTGTTTCTGAGCTTGGCTGTCAGCTTTGTTGTCAGGCTCCTCTGTTTTTACCCCTGAAACGAGACCCCCGCTCTCTGAAAATGTGAACCAAAACTGGGCTCGCCCAACCCACCCACCGTGTCTCTGCCAGCATCTCCACACACCTCCTTGCTCACGTGCAGAACTCTTTGCAACGGGCCAATCTCAAGCGCAACAGGCACGATTTCTTCATCAAAAGCATCCATCCAGCCCGGTTAGCTCAGTTTAGTTAGCAGCGTCGTACTAATACCGCCGAAAGACTGTATCTTGTCATGCGAAGGTCAGCAGTTCAATCCTGTTACTGGGCACGGTTCTATTTTTGCCCGTGGGTCGTGGCCAATGGAGCGTTTCCTTTTTGCTTTCCGAGTAAGACTGCACATGGCCCTTGCAAGGTGAGGCTTATTCCCTGCCGCTGATGAGTGAACTTTACTTGTAGTTTTTTGCGTTCACGGCGTGATTAGGCGCGGTGCAACGCAACAAGCAAGAAGTGAAGTGGAAGAAATTCGACGCGTCGAGCTGGAGTCCGTCTGGTCAGGGGCTGGCGGTATTGTTTAACCGTCTTCACCTCCCTCTCGGCTGCCGTCCGGAGGTATTATTACGCAGACATACGCATATTTCCGCTTGATTTGGAATCGACACGTCAGTGCGCGTTGCTTTGCCCAAAAGAAGAAGCATGCCGATGGAACCTACCACTCATGTCCAGCTGCCCAGCTGCTCTTACGGATGGATACCCGCACGCGAATCTGTCTGGGGCAGCGACAAGGAAGGCATTCGCCAAGACTTCTGGATTGAGCCGCACTGCACACAAAAATAGAAACCTAACCCTTGCCCCTGGAAAGGCAGGCAAGCAATTATTAACCGAATAAAGTCTTTCCAATGGCAGCTTCCAAAGTTCCAACGACACCTCGGTCTGGCCAGCCACGAGGCTCGTCACCCCAGGGGAAGGAGGAAGGACGGGCTGGACTGACGCGACCCTGCTGTACTGTGTTGTCTGCTCACTCCAAGCGCCAAAGCGGCCTCGCCGAGCCAGAAGAGAGAAGCAAACAGAGACGAGCCTGTCAACTTCCAAGGGGATTGTGAAGTTTGGTGATGGCTCCTGTAAGGGCACCTTAGCTGTTGCTATTGTTGTCGACCTTGGCGGTCTCCGCGCTTGGTTGCATGCCCTGTCTTGCGATATCTTTTCGTCTTTTCGTCTTTTCGTCTTGACCGTGTGTCGCGGTAAAAATGAGCGGTCAGATTGGATTCCAAGTTCAAAATCCCTAGGTAGCGCGGTAGTAGCGCGTGCTAATGCGCACGCTGTGGCTGGAGGAGTTTGCGGTGGGCCTGGCAAGCATGCGTGATGCCGGATCACACCTGCTCGTGACTGCTGCGAGGCCGAATTAAAAGTCTTCAAGTCGGCAAACTAGCACAGCTCGCCCTGCATTTTCACCGTGATTGCACGGGGGAGCATGCCTTCTTCTCTCGACGCTTTTGCTCTCTGTGGTGCGGAATATTGTGCGTTTAGCGCCTGCCCTTGGGCACTGCATCCTTCGCTTGTTCACGTTGCAAGCCAAGCGAAAGGCCGGGACACGCTAGCCCAAACCGGATAGCTCTAGGACGGGAGGGGCTAGGCCAGCCGTGACATCCCGTGCCATCACACCTTGCCCGCCAATCGCGGCCTGGAAAACCTCGCTGGGCATGTAGCCATGGGCGCCAATAATCGGCGGACGGGCTGCTGCACATGTGCACCATCTATTTTTAAATGCGCCCAGGAACTGGAAATCCGCGAAACCCCAGGTTGGCCCGTTCGCGAGGCCAGAGACGTCGTGTTTGCTGTTCCATGGAAGCCGTTGGGTCGATAATTTTAACAGCGCCAGGCTTATCAGGTTGAGGGAAAGGAGAACCTCCGCCGGAAGGAGCGGTCGGCGGTGAATCACGCTGCGGATGGCCTCCCGGTGAGGCGTCGAGGTAAGAACGTTGAGGGCCGTCGGGACCGAGACCAGCCTCCACCTCCACAATGGATGTCTGCCCCGCAATCCATACAGCGAGCGAGTGGCGTGGCCAGACCACCGCCAAGGGTTCCCCGAGGTCCCAGCCATTCATTCCCCTGCGCCGCCGCCCAGCGTATGTCAATTGGAAGGGGATCCAATGTCAATTGTCTGTCACCTCACTATCAACGACAAGCCTTGGCTACTCCACAACGCCGAGCACGCAGGACACCGAGCACGCAGCACACACCTCACTTGGCAGTCGGTCTGATGCGTGAGCTGGATACCGTATAAGGTAGGGTACCATCCCGACACCACCGCAGCCGTGCAGGTCCCCTCCCCTGTCGATCACTCTCCCTCTGTCCCTCTCCCTCATCAACAACACAACACCTCGCCATCATGTCTCGCAGTGCACCGTCCTCAACCTAACCGCGGGTTTGACCTTGTTCACATACCTACTACGCCTTGGGTCAGTTGCGACTTGGACGTGTCGAGCTCGCTTCTGCCCGTCTCCAACTCTTACATCCTCCTTCGCTGTCCCTTGCCTTCCATCTTCTCCCCCCAAGATGTGCACCTTTGACTACACGCCCTACGCGGGCTGTGTCGAAGGGCAGCAGCATTTCTACCTCCAGTGGATGAAGTGCAACAGGGCCATCGCCATCCAAAAGTACTGCTCCATCGAGAGGTCCATCGAGATGCAGACCCTCAGGCTGCTGTCCGGCAGCATCATCTGCTGCCCCATCCACAACCCCATATCCGTCGAGCAGCATCAGTTCCAAGTCGTCCACGTCAACGACGAACAAGACGACGAAGACGAGTCGCTGTCTCCTCTTGCTGCCTCGCCCAAGTCATATTCCTCGCAAAGACGCCGGGCCCGCACCCTGACCCGGCCTGAAAGCGCGACCCCGAAGCACGACAGAAGCATGCTTTCCTTTGAAGACGAAGTCCGAGCCGTATCGAGGAGGAGAAAGGCAGCGGCGGCGGCACGCAACGCTTCGCCTGTCGACTCGAGAGGTTCGCGCGAGTCGAGCCCCCGCCCTGCTCGCCCGAGAACCTCGGGTGGCGAGAGGAGAGCCAGAGACCACTCTGCCGGCACCGACTGGTCAGCCATGCCGCGCGGTAGATCTCACAGGCGCGTGAGCTCTGTCGATGTGGCCCAGCCTCCTGCCCGGAGCAAGACTTTCCACGGCAAGCCCCCGCCGTCATTCAGACAAGTCGAAGAGAAGCAAACCCCTGCCAGAGAGGAGCCCCGCAACATGGTGCCGGCTCAGAAGTCACCCCGGCCCGTAAGCGCCGTGGGGCAGCCCATTGGCCCCGGGGCTGGTATCGGACTGCCATCGAGTCCCGATATTCACCGCCGCGCGAGTATGGCGCTCCGGAAACCAGCAGAGCAGGATTCGGCCGCCAGACAGGCGGGTTCGGGTGCCGCCTCGTTGGCTTCTCGTGGTGATAGCTCCCCAGAGGACAACTGGGAGCCTCTTCCACCACGGCCCCTGACCAACCGCGGAAGAAGCACTCCAGACCTCTCTCCGATACAGGGCAGGAATGAGGAGAGGGCTATGAGAAGGATCGAAGAGCATCGCGGCCCCGAGGAGGAAGGCGAGCAGACCGCTGCGGGTAGAGGAAACAACAGGCTACACCGTCGCGAGGGCAGCGACTCCTCGGGCAGGTTGAAGGAGCTCCTAGTTCCGGAGCAACGTCCCAAGCATGTGCGCGACGTAGCCCTGACCATCAAAGTGCCCGGCGGTTCCGAGCAGAGTGCTGATGCTCTTCGGCAAAACCGAAAGTCGATGCGTTTGGATAACCGAGCGGCTGCCTCTCTCCAGAAAACCGAAGACACGGGGCGAAGCAGACGATACGAAGACCAGGTCGAAGAGGGACGGAAATGGGTCGCGGCACGCGAGTACATGCCAATCACGACCATGGGCTCTGTGGTCGGCACCGCTAGCCCACCACAATTCCACAGCCCGCAACAGCAACAGTCCGAGTCCAGCTTGACGAGCCGGGAGTCCAACGACAGCGGCTACCTCAGCGGCGGCAATCAGCGGAAAGGCCCAGGTGGAACCCCCACGTCTCCACTGGCCGCTGGGTTCGAGAGGTCTGCCACGCCCTCGGCGGACGCAAAGTCCATCCGGAGCGTCTTGCAGAAGGCGCAACCTCATCGCCCGCCGCCCCTGGAGCTGTCGGGGCTCCCACCCGTCGCACTCCCCGTCGTCTTGATGCCAGACCAGTCTGCCCAGCCGGTGACTAGCCCTGGAAAGTCGTCTCTGTTGCACCGCATGGGATTAAGGCGCAAGATCAGCGGGCTGCTGTGGGAGAGGAACTCCCCAAACGCAGTCGGCGATGTTCGAAGTTGATCCCCGGCTAGCGGGTTGTCATGCCTTCCTTTGTTACGCACTATACCCCGTTTGGTTTCGTTTCGTTCTGGACTTTGAGCTGGTGCAGCAGCGGCCCAACACCCCTAGAGTATTTCTTTCACTATTGCATATTTCGTTACATTTCTCACCACATTAAACTCGATCTTAAACTACACAAGCGCGTGTCCTTTCGCGCCTTGCATCGTCTTTGAAGTGGTGGATACACGCATACTTGGACAGGGTTTGGGGACATAAAAAGGCATGTTCGTGTTTGGGGTATCTGCAATAGAGGGGAAGACCAGCAATGGGGGTTCAATACGTATCTATTTGTACAATACCACAGACATCGCCAACCTTGACCAATATAATACCCAGATTCCACTGCCCAGATTCCCCATCTCATGCATTTATTGCTGCACGCTGCCCGCTGCCCACCGCCCACTACCCAGCTTACCGTCGACGATTTTTCGGGTCTGGTTTCGTCGCGCTTATGGACGCATATGCCCAATGTTCCTGACCCACGTAGCCTTCTGTCGACGCCGCGGCGTTGGGAAACAGCTTCTGGAGACGGAGAAGCCGGACGACGTGTCGCGTCATGCCGAAGACGGACAGGAACCGCAGCATCGGCTGGATGTTGTCTGAGTAATTCCTGATCTCCACATTCTCGTACCCAGCCGCGTCGAGAATCTTGGTGAAATAGGCCTCGAGTCGATCAAAGGCAAGAACCCCGCCGTCTTGGCCCTTGCTTGGTCTTGGCCTGGCCCGCTGCCACGAGCCGGGGAACCTCGACGACCGTCTTGTTGATCTCGCGCGTGTAGCCGGGCGATACGGCCTGGTCGGCAAAGTCGTGGTGGAACTCGTGCATGACGAGCCGGCCTCCGGGCTCCAGCACGCGCCAGAACTCGGCCATCACCGCCGCCGGGTCCGCCGCGTGCAGCAGCGCCTCGGACGTGTACACGGCCGCGAACGACGCCGCCGGCAGCGTGCCCAGGTGCGCAAAGTCCAGGTGCTCCACCCTCACCGTGCCCTTTCCACCACTGCCACTGTCATGTTCATCGCCGAGCTTCTGCGCCGCGACCGCTCGCTCCACGTTGCGCCGCGCGTTCGCCACGTGCCGCTCCAGCACGTCGAACGCCGTCACGCGCAGCCCCCCGCGCGCCGCCATGAACAGCGCCACGTGCCCGTCGCCGCACCCCGCGTCCAGCACCCGCGCCCCGGGCTAAGCGGACAGCGTGTTGAACAGCTACTCCTCCATCTACCGCTACGCCGCCGCGAACGGCAGCGGCCACCACGTGTCCGACGCGTAGTACCCAAAGTGCCGGTTGCCGCCGAGCAGAAAGTCCCACCCGAACCGGCTCTCTACTGAGGCGTAGTTGGACGCTAGTAGTGCGTGGTCGTCGATGATGGGAGCTGCTGCTGGTGTGGAGTTGGTGGGCTTGGGAGCGGGGGTTGGGGTAGTCATTTTGAGAGTCTAGGTGTGTGTGTTCTTCTGTTGTGGGGATAGAGCAAGTAAGTAGGCTAGGTGGGAAGAGAACTATCTACAAAACAGGTGGGTGTCTAGAGGGGATGGAGAGGCGCCCGGCATCTTGTTATATGCCCGTCAGACAGCTAGCTTGCATAATACAACACAAAAAAGGATGCCCTACTATCGTGGTAAGATAAAGAGGTGCATCCCAACTGGCAACTGGGGATGTTCTGGAAAGGGGCGAAAGGGGCGCCACGAACGCCACGGCGAAGAGCTGATTGTCTGCCCAAGTTCTTTGCCAGCTCCCACCTGGCCGCTTTGGGACATCGAGTCCGCCAAGCCGAGCTCGAGGTCCTGGGTGGTGTTCCCCCCTTTTTACTACTGTTGGGGCCTTTTTTGCGGGCACGACGAACAATAGTAAGCCCCCGGGTTCCCGGTTAGTATTGTTCTCCCGGCTTCAAAGAGGATGGCGTTGGGGACGCCATGGGGACGCCACAAAAAGGTCTTTCACCGAGCCGGTGACGGGGGACAAAGACAAAGGAGCGAAAGGTTGTCTGTTAGACACACACACGCTGGACCAGGTTCTAGACCTGGCCCTGGCATTGGTCAGGGGCAAGTGCTGTGCTTTTCGGAGCGAGGTTTATCCTCTTTTTTATTTATCTTGCGCTTGTGGATGCTGGATGGTTGACGGGTTGTCGTCCTAAAACTCCGCGCCACAAAAGACAACCCCATTTTTCCCGTTTCACAAAACCAACCCTAAACCTGACTCCAGTCCATGTCGAGACGCTTCAGGAACGAGACGAAGGCGCGCCGGGGCACGTGGCCGGAGTGCTGCGCCATCCAGGACGCGGCAAAGGAGCCTTAGTTGCGTCGAGATTCCACAGTTAACCATCAGCAACCTTGGACGATTCACTGGCTAAGAGTTCCAAGTCAAGACGGGCGAGTGGAAAGATGAATGTGTGTTGTGTGGTCTAGACTAAAGAAACAAGAAGAAGCGCACTAGAATCAGGCGGCCCTAGCCCGCTGAAGCCGAGCAGGCGTACGACGATCGGCAGCAGACACGCGAGGATACATACCCAGGGCAGTGAGCTCGAGCACCGCAGCCCAGACAGCAATATCAAGAGGGTATTTCTCAGCGTGGGCGACGAGGTGTTCGAACTCGTGGACGACGGCAGCGATGGAGCGGTGGTAGGCAGCCGCGAACACGGCGTCCCAGCCGGCAACCTGGCGGTAGTAGGCGAGCGAGTACTCGGCGGCCGGCATCAGCCGCTCGACCAGGGCTGCCGTCCAGCCGCCCGCCGTGCCCGCCGCCGCGTCCAGTTGCTGGTCAGCTGCTCGTGCGCCTCCGACGCCCGCGTCTGCCGCAGGATGTTGAGGATGTCCTCGGCCGCCGAGTCGAGGCGGCGTGTTGAGGCGGATGGTTTGGTCGGGCTGTGGGGGGTTGGGAAGATCGCTGCTCAAGGCTGCGTCGCCATGAACAAGGCTTGCAGGAGGCGGCGCTGCTCGCAGACTGCGGCGGGCGGTCCGAACAGGGTCGGCACGGTGAAACCCATGTTGAGCTTCGGGGAAGGCTTGGGGTTTCTTGGTATGTAAAGGTCTCGGGGAAGGTTCTTTTTTCGTTCCTTCCTGTTCACTCTGCTTCGAAAGCGAGCTGACAGGCCCGTCCTCATGCGAAGTGTGGTGTGGTTTCTATACCATGGCGAGGGCTCAGGTTTGTGAGGGAAATATGAGGGGGGCGGTCCCTCTCAGGCGGCGAGGCTCAGGCGGCGAGGCTAAGGTAAGTTCCTTACCGGCCATGTCGAGCCGTGTGACGACTAGTGGCGGTGCATACAAGCACCTAGGACACAAATATCCTAGTTGCTTGGCTGGTTTCCATCAACTCCGCAAGCCACCCCCATCAGATCGGCACTAGTTTCGCGTCATCTCTGCTTCCCCCGGCGGGTCCAGGAAGAAGCAATCCTGACAAGCTAAACTTGTTTCGCTCTTTCTACGCCCGTTTCACCAAAATGTCTTGGAGGCACTTAGAATAAGAGGCTAGGATAATGACCACCCACTCTGATATTTCTACCCAGCTCTCTCTATGCTGCCCCAGTCCCGGCTCGGGGCGCACTCCAATCTTGGCTGGCCTGCATGAGAGGTGCATGTCAGTTGGCGTATGTAGAAAGGATTTGCAGGCTGGTTCGCCAAAGCCGCATACACTTGCAGCTTTGGAAAAAGCACGCCATTGGTTCCGTCTTGCATGATGCGGCGTTCGGTTGATTTTCTAGCGCTTTGTTGGCCGCTGTCCAGAGACGCAAGCACGGCTGGCAGACACTCTGATACGCTCTCCGTCGGTTCCAAGCGGGCATCGACGGGCCGGTCATGTTTTGGCCGACTACGGTTGAGTCTGAGCCAATCCCCGACTTTAGGCCCTCGAGGTCGAGGATCCCGCCATTGCCAACACCCACCCTCCCTCCCAGCACCTGGGCCTCGGTCTCGGGTGTGAGGCGAAGCTCTCGTCTACTGTGCAATTCCGCATGGCCGAGCTGGCTCCTGGGCGCCTGTTTCAAACCGGCTGCTCTTCATTTGGCCCTGTGGTTTCTCTTTAGCAATGGCACCATGTTTAGAGATTAAATATTATCGCTTGCAACGGGATATGCACACGGGGCAGATTTGAGAATTTAAATTGACATTACTGAAGGAAGGAGACTTCCGAAAATGGAGTGTGGGAGAAGAGAAGAAGGCCAAGGAAGTAAAAAATGCAAGTCATTTCCAAATGACTCAACTGGATTGAGTTGCTGGGAACAAATAAATAGGGGCCACCCGGGGATTGAACCCGGGACCTCTCGCATGTTTTGCTCAGGATACAACCCTAAGCGAGAATCATACCACTAGACCAGCGGCCCTTGTTGATTTGTTGAAGAGAGGGTGTCGTAAAGTCACTGATATTTAGCGGCTCCATCCGGGTTTCTGGGGTCGCGTTGCCCTTTTTTCGTGCGTGCGTGTGTGTTTTGATAGAATTTGGGAAAGACTGAGTCAAATTCCGGAGTCGCAGCGGGAGTGGGTGGGGCTAGGAGGGCTCACGTTGGCAGCCGATGCGCTAAGGACCCACTGGTGCGGATGCGGGATTCACCCGCAATTCAAGGGTTGCCCTGGAACCATATCTCGGCGTGACCTGGGAAACTGCAACGTTGTTCGCTACGATGCAAAATTGTAGCTAATTCACAATTCCACCAGACTTTGTTGATCTAGGCCTAGCTAGTAGTCACTAGTCAAGCACTGCGCCGAAGTCAACGTTTCCAACCCTTGCAACCTGCAGATTCTCTCCGGCGGCATCGCCAAATGGCTCCAAGTCATTTCTTAATATCGTTGCCCTTGCCCTTTCCGCTATCACTGTTTTTCTTTTCCTGCTTATTGCTACAGTCGAGGTTAGATTCTCTCGTATGCAGACATTGCAGTGGCACTTTGTTATTTCACCCTCGGGTACTACACATACGAGATGCATGTCACGCACTCGTCGGCTGTTTACCCTGTCGACAGGTCTGTACCGCAGCCGCCAGGGCATTTCCAAACACCGCTCGGCATGATGGTGGCCACTACTGAGACGAGAACCGGATTATAGTATCCGTAGTTGGTCTGGTAAGACTTAGCATTCGTTAAAATCGGTTGGGGAAAGAATACTAAAAGCGCTAGAGATTTTCTCAGCGAACTGTGATATAGAGGTGGCTACCTTTTGGCTTAAATTTAGTCGGTGAGATTGTGTGAATGTAGATGTGAGAGCTCGGCCTTCTTCAAGAAAATCGAGGAGATGGTTTATATATTTTGCGACGGGAAAAGTGCCTTGGAGATGCCGGTGTGTAATGGTCCATTATAGCACGACAAACAAACGCAAGGGTCAGGGCCGTAGTGTCAACCTGATTCCAGCCCAAATATTTCTGTGCTGTCCGGATCTAAGCAACACAGGTGGCAAATTTTCGTGATGTGGTTCAGCGAGTGCCTTGAGTTATCGACTGACCTCAGGTGGCCCCTTTTAAAGGAGCTCTGGAGTCATGGCAACATTGCAATTTCACTATCTCGTCTGCCCTCCCCTCTCTGTTTTTGGTAAACCAGAAACCATGGGACGTGGCCAGCAGTAGTGGTCTTGCAAGTTCCTCATAATTAATTTAGCCCTACTAATGAGGCGTCCGATCTTGCGACTTTAGCTGATCTCGGTTGCATTTCTTCGGGAGTCCTGACATGATGTCTTTTCAACTGTGCTATATATTTGTTTGTCAAACCCGAACAACAGGCAGTATTGTACCCATTTTCCACCACTTCGTATGTTACCTAACTGTGGTTTTGTATTTGTGCCGATTAATATGAGGAGACTCTCGGTCTCTCGTCAGGAAAGTGACGTGTCCGAATTTGAAGAGGACAAGAGCCTGGGCAACCATTATGGGTGGCACCACCATGACCTGGAAATCACATAGTCACCTTATTTAGAATGCGATGTAATAAGATAACCGGAGGTCAGTGTTTCTATTTCTCGGGCCACCTAGGGTAACATTAATATCAGTTGAGCACACATATTTAAGGGAAAAGAAGCCTGTGGAAGGGACAGAACCAAGCCTCTCCTTCTTATGTTGCACATTTAACCGTGTTGGAATGACAAGGACATCCGTGCTAGTCACTATAGTAACTGTTGCGAAAGGGTGGGGTGGTTGTGTTGCTCGTATTCTTCTATGTCTACCAAAAGGACACGAACTACCGGGACACGAAGGCGCTCAGTCAGGGTGCCCCGCGGTCATGTGCTGCGCCACGTGTTTAGGCGGGTGTAGCCCGTGCACTAAACCTGATTGATGGTAATTCCTACAAACCGTCCAAAACTGCACAGTCGCATCGGTCGTTCGATTTCAGACTTTAAGATGGCCACCCACGACAAAATAAAGAAGCTACACGAGCCAGCCTGTTGGTCAATTCTCCCCGATAATTAGAAAGCATCTCGATGCCAAGAACCTGCGCAACAAGCGCAAACCGTCATCCTTTCGGACTGTTTCGGTGCACCAAGACGTCGTCGTGCACGCCCGAGAATTCTGCAATAATACCTCGTGTGCCTAATGATGGGTACAAGCCTAACTGTGGAAGTCGCTCCGACAGTAGAACAAATGAAACCTCAGAGACGCCACTGTATAGAGTGCTGTTTCGTCACTATCTGCAGACGCCAATGATACCGTGTTCTATGCCAGCCACAGAATGTATTGGGAAACCGGATCAGACCACAGCAACGGGCAAGGACTGTCTTGCGGCGCTTGGCTCAGCGCCGAGACCTCCCAGAAAGAGTAGACGTAAGTTCCGGGCCAGGCAACGAGCACAGCCAGCATGGCCTCCATAACCGGCGCCACGATATCGAGGAGCACAACCGGCGACAAAATCGAAACAGCCGCAGCCAAAAGCGGATAGAATAGCCACCACGGCACAAACAGCCTGGGGGACAGCCGTACTCCAGCACCCATGTCCTTCCCAAGCTCTGTAAACGGGGCCACGGCGAGCAAGACACAGAGAGAGACAAAGAACGGAACTGCCGTGACGAGGCAGGTCTGCCAGGAGTCAATGATTAGGAATTCTGCAAGGGTTCCCGCCAGGACTTCGCGATAAACGACCCCAAGAATGATCGCCGACGGCAGCAGATTCCGGGCCGCCCACGTCCAGAAGCGCATGCCAACCGAGAGCTGGAAGGCGGCGAGTTTCTCGTGCGCGCCGCCCCGCCAAAAGAGCGCGAAGCGGTTGAGCCGCGTCGTCGACGCGTCCGGGACCGTCCTGCCGAACGCGCCAAAGCGCAGCGTCTGCCCGACAGCGACCACACCGATGAGCAGGCCCGCGCAGGCCAGCTCAAACGTCTTCTGGTCGATGGTGGCGACGGCGTCCCGCTCGATGCGCCGGCCGTGCAGAAAGATGGTGCCGGAGCACTGCACGAGGAACAGCAGCGCGGCAAGCAGCTTCCCGACGGTCCGCGCGGCCGCCTCGAGAGAATGGCGCCGTCTTGCGCGCCTCGCCGTGTCGTCCGCCGGCAGCGGTTCGTAGTCCGAGCGGTCGTCGCGCTGCTGCTGCTGCTGCTGCTCTGGCCCGACTTTTCCAAACAGCCACTGCAGGCTGGCGGCTGCATCATCCCAGTCTGCCGTGCCGGGCCGGCCGTGCGCCCAGTCGTTGATGACGCGGAAGCTGTAGACGCCAAAGATTCCGAGCAGCGCGATGGCGTATTTGAAGACGAAGCCGAGAGGTGCTAGGTAGAAAAGCAGGACGTTCCAAGACAGCAGCCGGCCCTCTTGCTGCTGGATGGTCTTGAAGAAAAAGGCCAGCGCCGTGAAGCTGACGGCGAAGAAGCTGACGTAGAACTCGGGCGCCGAGCGCCGGTCGTCGAGCGGGCAGAGAGGCGTGGCTGGCGGGATGCTTGGAGATTCCATGGCTGTGGCTATGTGTCGAGGTTGAAGGACGAAACGATATGTACGAGCCCGAGGCATTTTCGTGGCCCAGCCTCTTGGCTTGTGCTTCCGTGGCTTGGCGCTAATCGGCTGCCAGCAATTCGCTGCCTGCTCGCAGCTGGAGATTCGAGGGCTGAGCACTTCTGCAGCTCACCGAGATGAGATGGCTCCCTCCCAGAGCCTAGCGAGAATTTTTTTTCTCAGGCACCTCAGACAAACAATACTAGGGGCGGGAGACTGCGTCAATCATATGGATGCGAGCAGCCACCCGTATTCATCTTTGGGACGTCCCAATCATATAGTCACGATAGTTGCTCATGATGTAGGCTCAGTGCATTTGTGCAACCCCCCCCCCCCCCAAAAAAACGTGGTCCAATACCGAGAAAGAAATTTCAGCAGCAACTTACCGGTTAGAACAAACAAACGGCTCATTAAAGCCCAACCGGGTCCACAGGATCAGGCCCTGGGTTTTCTCCCATCAAACCTTTCACAGAGTATCTTCAATCTTGGGAATTTCTTGTTTCGAGCACACCCCTGATCAGCCAGCCTGGCACAAAAGTCTTCTTCACCCTCGTTGTACGTACGTGTGTTACAGTGAACTCGCAAACAACGACGACCCTGACTAACTCAACAAGGACTTACCTTACCAAAGCTCAGCTTGCACCCATCCCGTCAGCAATGAGCGAAGAAACCACGCCCACCTACAACCACGACATACTCACCCGCCAGCTCCTTGGCGAAGACGTCGAGCTTAGCGAGAACGGCCCGCCCTGCTACAGCTGCGACCATGCGTCGGGCCTCTACACGACCGGTCCCGGCAACCGTAACGGCAACGCCGGGCGCCGGTACTACCGATGCCGCACGTGCCCGTACGCGTTGCGCTGGGTGACATGGGCCGACGCCGAGGGCGTGCACAAGGCGAACCCGAAGTGCGGCTGCAAGGAGCCCAGCAGGGCCGATTATAGAGGTGTCGACGGGTACGGCGGCGGCGGTCCGCGCAACAAGGCGAATAGGTTCTGGACGTGCGCTGCCGGCTTGTCACTAACCCTTGACCAGGTAGGTAGTCTAGTCGTTCCACGATGCTCCCCAATGAGAGAGGACATCTCCAAATCCGCCCAAGTGTTGCTTCTGTTGTTGTCTCTCGATAAGAACAGCCAACTCCTCGGCTGCGTTCTTTTCCAACCGATTGCGGAACATGTGGGCGAGATCTCCGCCAGTCTTGGGATCCTTTATGCTCAGATCTGCGCCGTGTAGAATCATCAGCCTGCACGCCTCAGGAACCGACTCCTCGCAACCGTAAAAGCTCCCGCGCATGAAGTGTTCTATATAGATTTCCCAAACCGTCATCCGCCGCCGAGGACGGCGCGTATCTGTCCCTGGGCGCGTATCTGTCCCTGGCTGGTCGTAAGGAGACGGGGCTGTAATATTTGGCGAGATCCCAGACTCGAGCAGCTGCTTTAGCAAAACTGTATTCAGAGGATCCGGGTTCTGTAAATAGCCTACGAAGCCTTCGTTGCGGATCACGGACGCCATGTGCAGCTGCAATGTTTTCTGCAAGACTGTGGCCTGCGCTTCCTTGTCTCCCACCTCTTCTGCGTTGCGCGCCATCTCCATGATGAAGCGGTTGAGACCGCACCGGATGGCGACTTCGACAACCGACTGTGAATGGAGTGGGGTAACTTCGCCATTCCAGCTATCGATACCTTCGATGGCGTCAGAGAGACGCGCCCTACTTCTTTCGTGCTTGGCGAAAATATACACTGGGACTTTGTCGTCGCCGAACGCGGCTTTGCCGAGTTCTTCCAGGATGATAGATCGGTCATGGTAATCGTTATTGTCAAACTCGCTCTCGAGAGCGTAGTAGATGACGGCCCACACCAGACTGGCGGTGTGTCTCACTATATCATCTCTGAAGGCGAGTGGTGACGCAGGTAGACGAAGTAGGCTTGGAGTCCGAGAGTGGAGGTTGATCTCAGCAACAAATGCCTGGCACAAAGACGCCCTGATGTCAGTGTTGGGCGGGAGCATCTTATCGAGCAAGCCGCCAATCCCATTCGATGATAGGAAGTCGGCCACAGTGCGGTGCAGGAAGCCAGCCCGGTTTGTAAGCGTGAAGGGCTGGCTTCTACTGACATCCCGCGACACGTGTAGCAAGTCCGTACACTGGGCTATCATCTGCATTTTCTTCTGCTGTATTAATGCTTCGATCTTTGCTTCCTCGTCAGGGAGGTTAATGTGCCCGCGAAAATAGTTGGGGTCCATTTCCCCCTGGTCCATGAAGTAGAAGGTCAAAACCGGCAGCGGCATTTGTGCATGAATGAGTGCTCGGAATGTTCTGGCCACCCGCGCCTGGTAAATCGTGTCGATGGCGTTGAGCATCATCTGGAAGTAGGGCTCGAGGTCGGCGGGCAGCTCCGCGACCCTCCGTTGCAGATCTTGAATGGTGTCGAAATTCCTCAGTCCCCGAAGTAGTCCTCGGATGACCAGATAGACCCAGAGAAACACACCTTGTGCTTTGTGCATAATTTCGGACTGCAAAGCACCGGCTTCCAAGGGATTTGATCGCTGCAGATCTCGGTATTGGGCGTTATGTTCTAGATGGTCCTCTATGTAGACGCGGATGTCGTTGGCGGTGAGGTCATGAACATGGAGCTTCCATGGACTCTGGTCAAAAGCTCCGAGGAAATCCACCCACGGCCGGCTGGACGCACAGACTTTGACATCGGCAGACTCGCCCAGCGTCTTGAGAACGCCGATCAGCTCGACATGGTCGCCCTTGTACTCGTCCATTCCATCGATGAAGAGGCAGATCCTGATGGGTATCTCGGGGAGCCTGGCCACAGCTTTGAGGGCATCAACCAGCTCACTTATGCTCCATGTCATAAAGCGGCCTTGCGAGTCGAATCGGCTTTGGCAAACGATCGGGATACTTCTGGGGAGCTTCTCAAATATCTTAAACAGCAGTGTCCTCAGAAGGCCTTCTTGCGTCTTCTGCATGGGCAGGCCGAGGCTCCAAAAGAAGTGGCTGGCGACTAGAAGCTGCTTTTGTCCAGCCCACTGTTGCAAGGCCGCAATAGTGCGAGGGTGGTCGTGCAAGAACTTTACGAATGTGGACTTGCCGCATCCCGCTTTTCCCGCAATCCAGAACAACCCGTCGCTTGGATCTTCGGATTCGCACCAGCGGATGATGCACGAGTCTTGCCCCGGATTATCTGGTTCAAAGGCCCATGAGAAGGTTTCCCGGTGAGCATCAGGTATCTCTGACTCTCTCTGTCGTATTTGATCGAAGTGAAGGCTGTGGAGGACTTGCTGTGATGTTTGCATATCTTTAATTTCCATGACGACCGCTTGTACTTGTTGCATGACTGCTGTGATCTGGAGATTGGCATCATTTCTCGGAGCACTAGTGCTCCCCTGGTCTTGTAGGCGTTTTAGTTGGGCAAGGATATCCTGCGTCTCGTTTAATTTGCCCATAGCCTCGTGCTTCCAGCTGGCATCGACCTGCATGAAGGAGCCAAAGAGCGATTTCATCGCGGTGTGCTGTGCACTATGTTTTCCTTTTTTGTTAGTCACCCTACATAGCATTGGAATCCCAAGTGTATTAGGAGCACAGGCTTACGAGATGTTCTCGGTCAGTAACGAAGTGACCTGGGCCCGAAGGTTGAAGAGTTTGGCCTCCAAGTCCTTGAGCTTGTTTCTCTTCTGGACCGCTCTGACCACAGCTAGGGCTCTTTCGATCTTGGTATCCCGCCGAGGTCGCAGGCCCGTGAGAAGACGATTGAGTTCAGCATTGATATTCTCACACGCTTGCAAGAGTGCGCAAGTGCTCGGGTCTGAGGGAACGTGATGGCTATCCCTAAGGGGTTGGACTTGAGCTTGAAAACTCTGTACGACAGCCTCAGAAGCCCTGTTTTCCGTCAAGACGCCGTCTGCGCTCGCCGAGATGTCGCGATATGTTGAGACGACGTTGATAGCGGCCTGAACAAACTGCATGAGGTTGCTGGCCAGCCCAATACCCGAAAGGGGATCCATGATGAGCCGTGCGATGATGGAACTGATATTTACCGACGGAGAGAGGTAAAAATCAGTCTGGAAAATGCGGGGCGAGCCAGACTTGAACGAACTTGACCCGTCCAGTGGGCAGCTCTTGGGGAGCCTTGGGGAGCCTCTGGCGGTGTCAGTCTGCCCCACGCGACGCTCAGCCTCAATCCTCATGCAACAGCCCCGCCTCTCGTGGGCAGCTCGTCCACGAATCAATTTTGAGCTGTGAAGCAAAGACGGTGTGCTCGCTGCATTCACGTCCTCACTTCCATCTAACCACTCCGTAATGAAATGCTTCATTGACCATCTGGTTTATACAAACAAAGCGGTTCCAACAAAACCAAATAGAACATAAACTTAAAACAATAATAAAGCGCGCTGCCAAACATGGCCCTGAATCAGTTCAACCAGGGTTAATTACTTGTCGGGCCCCACATTTCATTAGGTTTACCCAATCACTGCACGATAGTTCGCACACAGGCCACGAATCGCGGCTCGTTTCTTCACATCGGCACCATCATCTTCCGCGTACAAAATATCTTCCCAGCGGAATCACATCGAACCCTAAATTCCCATTTTCGTGGCGGTCTCACCAAGAATTAAGGGACAGGAAAAGAGAAAACTTGGGTAAAAAAAAAAGGAAGAAAAAAAAGAGAGAATGGAGCAGGCAAAGCAGAAGCCAGTCCTTCTCTTCGCCTGCCACCCACTAACCGGCCACTTCACGCCCGTATGCCGCATCGCCGCCGGGCTGCGCGAGCGCGGATGGGCCGAGATCAGATTCCTAGGCTCGACCTCGTACCGGGCACGGATCGAGGCGGCGGGGCTCGAGTTCATGCCCGTGGAAAGCGGAGCTGACCTCGACGACACGACGCTGTTTCCAAAACAGCTACCCGTCCCAGCAACAACAGACGTTGACTCCAATAACAGCAACACAACAAACGGAGATGCCCTACCCCCGTCCATCATCGACTCGAACCACCAAACCCTCGACGCCATCCCCGCGCAGTGGTCAAGCGTCAAGACCGCGCTCGCAACACTGCACGCGCGCGACCCGGGCCGCGAGGTCGTCGTGCTGTGCGAGGCTTTTTTCTACGGCATGATGCCGCTGCGGCTGGGCGCCGCGCTGCCGGCAGGCGTGCCGCGGCCGCGGAGCATCTGCATCTCGATCACGCCGCCGGCGATCCGCAGCGCGGACCTGCCGCCGTTCGCATCGGTAAAGGTAGGGTTCGATCCGTCGCCGGCCGGGCGCGCGCGCAACGCCGCGCTGTGGGAGCAGTGGACGCAGCGCGATGCACCAGAGCTGACGGAGCGGCTTGCGGCTGCGCTGTGGCGGGCCGGCGCCGCGAGGTCGCTGGCCCCGCCGCACGACATGTTCATGAGCGGCGGCAACTACGTCGTGCACGATGCTGTCCTGCAGGTCGGCCTGCCGGCGTTTGAGTACCCGCGCGCTGACTTCCCGCCGGGGTTTAGGATCGTCGGTGTCCTCCCGCCTGTCACGCCGGCTGCGAAGAAACTGCTTTGGGGATGGTGGGGTGAGGATGTTGTTGCGGCGAAGAAGGATGGCAGGACGAGGAAGATTGTGGTTGTGGCGCAGGGCACGGTCGAGACGGAGCCGACGGAGCTGATCATTCCGACGCTGCAGATCCTGGCCGGCCGGGGCGTTGGAGACGATGGCGATGGCGATGGCGATGGCGATGGCGATGGGAACGAAATACTGACGATTGCGATCCTTGGATCGCGCGGTGCGCGGCTGGCGCCCGAGCACGTCCCGGCGAACGCGCGCGTGGTCGACTACCTGGCCTACGACGCCGTGCTGCCGTACGCCGACGTGTGGGTCCACAACGGCGGGTATGGCGCCACGATGCACGGCATCGCGCACGGCGTGCCCATGGTGATTGCCGGTGAGGGCCAGGACAAGCTCGAGAACGGCAGGCGCGTGGCGTGGAGCGGGCTCGGCGTCGACCTGGAGTGTGCGAGGCCGGCGAGGGACGCGCTGGCGGGAGCCATTGACGAGGTTCTACGCAATCCGACGTACAAGGAGGCGGCCAGGCGGATGCAGGAGACGGCTCGGAGCATGGATTGTTTCAAGGAGGTCGAGGACGAGATTCTGAAGCTCGCGGGACATGCTGGACATGCCAATGGCATTTAGACCTTATAGAAATTTCAGAGATACTTGTAAATTAGGTACGTGACTATATAGCCGCTTTGCGTCGTCGGCGAGATAAATACACGCAAGCACCAGGACTACGACACAGTGCCCCATGTCCATCTCTGGTCCCATTTGGTTGCGGCAGCAGCAATAAGCTCCACAGATCTTCTTCGTCCGGCGTTTGATCTCTGCGCAGCGGTCTTATAGAAAGCGAAAGCCCGATCTCGAAAACAATAATATCTCAGAAGCAATTTTTGAGGCAGACGCGGTACTCTTTATATCTTAACGTATTTGGCTATCCTTGGGTCTTGACCCCTTTCTTTCGCATTTCCTCCGTCCAAGCTTTTTCCAACACCGCCCCCATTTTCACCATTTCCCAGAGCTCAAGTCCATAGAGGTTACACAGGTTTATCCATGGGTGTCGGGTGTTTGACGTCCTTCGCCATCGAAGCAGTAATGCCGTTGAGGCCGAAATGTTGGCAATGTTAGCGATTGCAACAGTGATGGCGGCGGCGGCTGGGCCACGTCGGGCCAAAAAAAGGGCGCCATCTCTAATAACGGCCGCTACTGCCTTAGTGACGGCTGACACCTCGGCAGCAGGCAAGGCGACGGCGGTGGTGCACATTGCAGTAGCGACGGCTGCCATACAGGCAACTGGGTCGCTATACAGGCAGCTGGGTCGCTAATTTTCAGGCCATTATACGGTGGTAGGTCCGTTCTAGGAGCCAGGGCTTAGCATGGAGGGCGAGCTGTTACGCCTTGAGGCTTCTATTCCAGTTCAAAGACGTATTCCCGTATCGTTATAAGAGTCGTTGTTTGTACAAATGCCTCCAATGGTGCACCATATCACTAGATTTTTGATCACTGTATATGCTGTGCCTAATAACTCCGCCGATCCCAAGATAAATGACTGAGGACGCCTCGCTCACTTTGTACCGCGATGAGCCCGGATGGGAAGCATGTGAAGTCGATATAGAAGAAAGGGGATCGAAAGTGGACATCCATCCTCCTGTTCAATTTGGATAAAGGTTCCCCCTATCCCGTACTTGCCCCCGCAGTTATCCATCAATCAGAGGTGCACGATAAGGACGAGTCCACCCGCTACAGCCATATCTAGTCCATCGTTTGCAGGTTACTACTGTGCGTTTACGTACGGAGGCACATATGGTGATGGTATTGGTCAAGTGGCTGCATCAATCACGATAACAATCCGAGCCCTCCACGTTAGCAGATAGCCTGCCCGGCGGAACTCGTATAATAGTTTGATTCGGCCACGGCTGCCCCCAGACGGCCAACTTCAGCAAATCAAGCTCCAATTTGCTTCTTTGCACCTCTGTACGGTCGACTAATTTCTCATACTACCAAATACTGTCGACATTATGAATACTAAGGCGGCAAGCCATGAATTCGACCTGGTTATCACCAACGGCGTGTGTGTGACGGCAGGGGACGTCGCTCCCTACGATATCGGTATCAAAGACGGCAGAATACACCTCCTCGCACCGTCTGGCTCTCTCAATCGTGCCAACTCCGCCCGCATCATAGATGCCGAGGGCGCATATGTTACAGTCAGTCTCTTGCCATAGCCTGCGTCTCATTTCTCACACTCTCCAGATCTGACAGTGTTGCCGTTGCAGCCAGGGGGCGTTGATTGCCACGTCCATCTCGAAGAGCCTGCCCTTTTCGGCCGGGGTTCTTCTTCGGACACATATGAGACCGGTATGAACAAGCTTTGGTGCTAGTTGTGAACGATTCTAGACTAACACAGTCGATCCAACCATGGGATACAGGAACCCGATCTGCCATTGCCGGAGGCTGTACCACCATCGTTACCTTTGCACCACAGAACAAGGTAGAGCCATCCTTGCTCAAGGCCTTGGCAAACACGCACATCAAAGCCAGAGGAAACAGCTACTGCGATTACGGCTTCCATATCATGGTCGGAAACCCATCGGAACAAGCCCTGTCAGAGATGAAGACGCTCGTCGAAAACGAGGGCGTGACATCGATCAAGATCTACATGACGTACACTGCCCTTCAACTCCGCGACGACCAGATCCTCTCAGTTTTGCTTAAAGCCCGCCAAACCCGCATGCTGACCATGATCCACGCTGAAAACGGCGACGTGCTCAACTGGTTGACCGACCAACTCGAGTCGCAGAATCTCGTCGCCCCAAAGTTTCACTCTAGTTCGCGCCCACCAATCCTCGAGACCGAGGCAACCAACCGTGCCATTGCCCTGTCTTCTCTAATCTCCAACACTCCTATCCTCATAGTCCACGTCAGCGAGCCTGGTGCTACCCTGCGCATACGCCAGGCGCAGACCAACGGCCAGCCCATCTTTGCCGAGACCTGTCCGCAATACCTCTTCCTCACCCGCGACGACCTGGACGCCCCCGGCCTCGAGGGCGCCAAGTGCGTGTGCTCGCCGCCACCGCGCGACAAGGCATCCCAGGACGCCATCTGGACCGGGCTGAGCAACGGCACCTTTACCGTGCTGAGCTCAGACCACTGCCCGTTCAACTACGAAGACGCCGAGCGGGGCAAGAAGACGTGCATCACCGTAGCACACCCGGCGGGGCGGTTCCGCGAGATCCCCAACGGTATCCCTGGCGTCGAGACGCGGCTGCCGCTCGTGTTCTCGTCCGGCAGGCTGCCCCTGACCAAGTTCGTCGAGGTCTCGTCCACCGGCCCGGCCAAGCTCTACGGCCTGTACCCGCGCAAGGGCGCCCTGCTCCCCGGCGTGTCCGATGCCGACCTCGTCGTCTGGTATCCCGAGGCCCGACGCCCGGACATTGTAGTCAGCAATGCAATGCTCCACCACGCGACCGACTACACCCCCTACGAGGGCCGCGAGGTCGCCAACTGGCCGCGCTACACGGTGCTCCGCGGGAAAGTCGTCTGGGACAGGGATGATGGGGGTGTTCTGGGTCAGAAGACGTTTGGCCAGTTTGTCAAACGAGGGCCGAGCTTGCTGGGCCGGATTTGGGAAACAGTGGACGAGCAGGGCGAGTTTGACGTGGCGGGCCTCTAAAGCCAAATCTAACTCCAAGTTTGTCCTTATCTTCCATCAGCTTATTTGATAAGGGTGCTTGCAAAGTATCTTGATATCAGTAAATGAAGCGATGCTATCATGCCACCACTCCACGATCAACGCCTCCGTGCACACCGCTGATGCCGGCCATGGCGTTTGCTTGCTCTCGGTGGTATAACGCCGCACCAGGATGTGAATCACTTGTGCTTGGGGCGTTCGTAGTAAAGATTTAGGAGTGCCAGGTATAAACAAACAGAACACTACAAAATGGTCAGTTTCACACATTTATTGAATAGTTCAAACTTTTCTCCTCCCCTACCGGTATTGACCATTTCCGTCTACTGAAGTTATATCTGCACTAGTGGTTACATTACTAGATTCATTAGCGGCACCCCTGCGGCACCCCTGTTACCTATTTCCACTATTACATCACCGACGATCTAACTCCGGCCGCCGGCGGCGGTGATGGCCTCGTAGGCTACTTCAAACTCTTGTGTAGTGGTCGTCTTGATTTGACTGATTGACCGTCGTGTAGACGTGGCGGCTTGTAGTTTTTGGGGGTTAGGTTGGCGTGGTTGAGGTGTAGACGTTGGGAGTTGGATCCTATCTGAGTTTTTGAGTGCTCTCTAATCTACTCCAAGATAGTTTGGCCGAAACTCTCACCATGTAATCGACCATATCACCGACCATATCACCGGGCGCACTGCTAACATACACATCAACTACTGTAATTAGTATCGAGGACTCGGGGCTTGTGCAGCAGGTGTACGCCAGGATCACCACAGCTCAAGCTAAAGTAGCGGCAGCTCAGGACCATCCCTGCCTGTGGAAATTACTGAAGACAACATTCGGGAGGCGCACGTACTGTTGAGCCTCTGGCAATCATCCCGGTGTCCGACGGGCTGAGCAAACAGCTGTTAACACCCACGATAACTGGTAAAGACAGCTCGTACCAGTGTGGCAGATCCTTGAGATGACTCCTACCCCCAAACAACCATAAAAGGAGAATATAAAAACATACACGGAACACCGCCAAAAGCCCCATTCCGCTTGAATATTTACCGCAAGAAACATGAACATTTTCATTCCAACTTCAGCGCCAACTCGAACTCACCACTCCCGATATCAACCTCCATCATGTCCGCAACCCCACAACCCGCCTATGCCGGCGGCAGCAGCATGCAGGCCCCCATACAGGGAACCAACGAAACCAAATACCAAGCCTACGTGCGGTACCAGACCGACTTCACCAGCTGGGTCTGGGATACAGTCGCCTTGCTGCAGCGGACAGGCCTGCACAATTTCGCGTACGACCGTAGCAGCATCTACGACCTGGAAGCGGCGGTAGAGCGCATCGCCGACGCCCTCGACGACCCGCTGGCGATCCCGCTGGAGCGCATGCACTCGCTGCGGCGGGCGATCCTGCTGCTAAGCGAGGGCGTCGACTTCTTCCACCGCGACGTGCGCACGCGCGGCGGCAGCAGTAGTAGCAGCAGCAATGTGTCGGGTACGGGTCGCGCGCCGAGCCGCTGCGAGCTGCTTAAGATCCTCGACGAGCACGAGGCCGCCGTCCGCATCTTCCAGCGCATCTTCCACCACCTGCGCCACAGCCAGCGCACCGCGCTCGCCGAGCTCGAGGCCAAAGCCAAGCTGCAGCGTCACGAAGAGAGGTGGAGGGAAAGCCACCGACAGCGTCAGCTAGCGGCTAGTAGTGGTGATGGTGATAATAACAATGCGTCGGGGTCCTCGGGCGATGACGGCTGGTGGGATAGCGACGTCGAGGAAGACGACCTCAACTTTAACCCGTACGATGGCCTGGACAAGTTCCGCTTGGTCGTGACAGACGCTTGCGGCGCGGTATCCGTCACGGATCGAGCTTCATCTACGACTCCTTCAACCAGGGACATTCTGAGCAACTACTGATAGTTAGTTAGTGGTTCTGAGTTACTTCTCTTGTTGTTTGTAGGCTTGAATCGCAGAGATATGTAATATCAGAGCGAAGAAAAGGGAATGAAAAGGGGCCCGGGCATATTACCGTGAAAAAAACACGTAGCTCGTGTTTCCAGATTTTTTTCCAGGCCGTTTGCAGCTGTTTAGCACTAGAATTTGGGGTTGTTGAAACTCATGTAGCCGGTCTCCTAAATGCACTCCACCTCTCCTAGATTTCCGAGGTTTAGACTTAGCACGGTCCTTGGTGTTCCCTTGGGGGCTGTGATCAGAAAGGAATTGATTTCTAATCATGTAGATACTGATCTGGTTACCAGACTACCATATATCAAACTGTTTGCTATCATTTGAACTTGTCGAGTCCACGTGTCATCTTCGTTTATTCTTGATTTCTTTCTTAGTTAATGAGATTTCGCGATATCTCAGAAATCCTACCGGAAATCTCGGGTATGCCATTGTTCTGCAAGGCCCTGGAAGTCCGAAGGAAATAATTTCAGATTTGGCCAAAGAAGTCATGACGATCAACTCGCGAACGGCGAGAAAAACAGGCTAGTTAGAACATACAACCCTGACGTGTCGCTGATTTCGGCAGAGGAAATTTGAATCATTGTGGCGTCTTTTGGCTTCCACAAGGCTTGCAAAGCAAGGGCCGCCCCAGGTCGGAATGTCAGCCAATCGATCGCTGTGCTGCCAGTTCGGTCTTGTGGGAAAGGCTCGGATCGCAGCCATTTTAGCGGCGGACCCCTTCGCCTCTATCGATCAGTGCTATCTGCTCTCGGCCGGAAGCTAGTGGCGTCTGTCGACTAGCCACCAATCGTGACTCCCGTTCGAGGCTGCTGTCCTTTGGCGTTGCCACGCGAGAGAATTTTTTGCGTCAATATGCATTTGTTGATCTCCGCAAGCAGCAAAAACTACCCACCAGGCATTACTGTGGCGTCTTCCATTCCTAGAAACATGATGGCGCCACCCTCCGATTTCGAGACTGGCGGAATGTCAACAAACGAAAACGGCTAGACGCTAGTTGCAATAGCACATTAACTGCTCCAGCTTCTAGACGCAGACCCAGTCTAATTGACATCGTCACGGCTGAACTCCGTGGCAACTGAAGTGGGGAGGCCACGTACGTCAACTCTTGGGCATCCGCTAGATGCATTGTCGCCGCGTCGCGAGGCTAGAAATTTCGGCGCCGAGAGCCTAGAACGGCTGTTGCTAAGAGGGTGGATATAGAATGTAGGCCGCTGCTTGCAAGAAGCATGAAAGCCCAACGGGACCGGTCTCGACGGAGACCTGCGGGGCATCACCCTGCGTCTAGCCTGCAGTATCTGACGTCGACGCCATTCCCTGATTTGTTGCCTGTATTGGAGGGTGGTGTGTAAGACGGAGATTTGGAGGCGTTGCTAAAAGTTTGCTGCGGGTCCTTTTGCACATGGCAGAGCACCGTCCCTTTGAGGGTTGTCTCGCTACGCCGTGTTTTCGACCCCAAACCACCTGCGAGTAGCTAGGTGGTTGCACTGCATCTTCGAAACACGGACGTAAAAGCTGATAACTACCTTAACCCGTCCGATTTTGAGACCCACTGGGAGGGCCTTGTCTTAGCGCAGCGAGTGGCTTCCGGCCGAAACTCGAGCTTCAGTGGCGCGATGCTCCGGAGGCTGTGAGTCAGGGGCAGCTGACGTAAAGCACCTCGCGTAGAGTCTCAGTTCCATCGCGGAGATGTCCAAGGCGTCGGCATATCGGCGGGAGCGAGACCGATGTGGGAGGTTTCCAAGAAGTAGGGGCTAAAATGGTCCTTCAAAATCCTGATCTGCAGGTAATATGCAGGAGCCAAAGACAGCGCCAGACACTGGGTCACACAGCCATGTCTAGCCCCAAAAGGCCAAAAAGACATCTGCACGTAAGGTCAATCTCACTCACACACAAACGCATTCGTGGACTGGCATGCGCGCGCATCAACACTGATGCGTACTGTACTCGGAGCTTGGAATGCCAACCCAGTCAGCTGAACTTGTTATCCACACGAGGAGAATTGACTTCGGACGGCGGGAAACTAGAGGACCGAGCCCTGTCAGTAGACCGGGCTGGGCGACTGGAAGAGTGGGCTAGAAGGTCGCGGACAGACAGCTCAGCTCCAACCACACGGAGGCTAGCCCGCGTCTAGACTCGGCCCAAGCGAGTCAACCAGACCCCTTAACTAAAGGCACGAGAGAAAAACAACTCAGCGCTGTGGGGTTCGACGCCGACGCCTGCTCGCCTGAGCTTAGCTCGCCGGATGCGAGTTCCCATGTCGCCTGATGGCACGGGGAGATGCGCCACTGCCACGAGGCGGCGCGAGACAGGGTTTTCCGTTTGCCCCTTTTGAAGACAGGATCGGCACACCGTGGGCGCCCACCACGGAGGTTTCTCCGTATATATGTCAGACCTGCGAACTTCCACCCTCAGACAGCAGTCGGACTTGCACAAAACCCTCGCTGGCGACATTTGTATTCGACTTATCAGCTTCTCAAACATATTTCATCTGTTGTTCCAGAGCACCGGCAAGATGCTTCCCCCAAATAGCCTTATTCTGATTACTGGAGCGACGGGCCATATTGGCTCATGCACGCTGCTGCACCTGCTCAGGGCGGGACACCGCGTCCGCGCTGCAGTGCGGTCGGAAGCGAAGATTGTTGCAGTATTGGCGCGGCCGCAAATACAGGCGCTCAATCTCGGATCCCGACTCACCTTTACAGTCGTTCCAGACATCACAGCCGCCGGGGCGTACGACAATGCCGTGCAGGGCGTCACACACATCATCCACATCGCATCGCCGCTGGCCACCAGCGGCGTGCCCCCGGACCAGCACGATGCCTACTACATCCAACCGGCGGTGCGCGGGACAATGAGCATGCTCGAGGCTGCCAACTTTGGCGGCACAGTCCGCCGCGTCGTCATCACCAGCTCCTTTGTCGCCCTGGTGCCCGTGGCGGAGATGGAGGGGGCCAAGAAGCGAGACCGTCGGCGGCCCGTGACGCCGAACGACCGCATCCCGTTTATCAAGGGCCCGTACCACTCCGAGTTCGCGGCGTACGCGGCGTCCAAGGTAGCGTCCCTGCGGGCGGCCGAGGAGTGGATGGAGCGGGAGGGGCCGGCGTTCGACGTGGTGTACCTGCACCCGGGGTTCGTGCTGGGGCGCAACGACGCGGCGACGACGCACGCGCAGGCGATGCAGGGCACCAACTCGGCGGTGCTGGCGCTGCTGCTGGGCAAGAAGTTTGGGCCGTACGCGGGGGCGACGGTGCACGCCGACGACGTGGCGCGGGCGCACGTGGCATCGCTGGACGCGGCCGTGCTGGGCAACCAGAGCTACATCCTCAGCCAGCCGACGCGGTGGAACGACGCGCGCAAGATCGCCGAGCGCGAGTTCGCCGACGCCTTCAAGACCAAGGCCCTCGTCAAGGGCGGCAGCGTCGCCACAATGCAGCTGCCTATCGACACCAGCCTGACTGTCGAGACGTTTAGCTTCACCTTTGCTTCCTACGAGGAGCAGGTCAAGAGTGTCGTCAGCCACTACCTGGAGCTGCGCGCGCGGAGGATGTCGGGCGTGCACATGGTCGCGCCGAACTCGCACTCGCACTCGCATTCGCACTCGCACGCGGTTCCGACAAAACAGGACGTCGTTGTGAGCGTGACGGCGATTGCGTGTTGATCGCGATTAATTCCCTGGGAAAACATCAAAAACGGAGGGGGGTTTGTTTGTATTTTAGTTTTTATTTTCTGAACGATTTTCTTTGGTTTGGCGTCCACGACGCTCGTGAAGTACCTTTTAAGGGTCTGTTGTCGGGGTTTGGGCAGGTCATGCTAGGTCGGCACCGCCTGAAAGAACAGAATCGCTCCATCCAGAGCGTGAGCCAATTAGAAGCTCGGCAGGAACAAGAAGTTTGTATATTAGGATATCGAGATACCCAGGCTTCGTCAGGAATCCACCTTTCCCTCTTTCTCACTCCAATTGCTTGATGAGACTACATGTAACTAGGGTGCTAAAATGATATTGAATGAGAGGTTCTTGTCTTGATAGTTTCTTGCTCTCCTATTTGTCTGGGACTGGCTCTCCGGTGACGTCTGCTGCCTCTGGGCTACTGCCCCGGAACTCGCATAATCCGTTATCCCGATACCCCCGGGTGGCAAGCCCAGTGCCTGTCCTGATAAGATAAGATAGTCGCGCCAAAACTTTGGACGCCACCGTACGCCAAACTGGCAGGCACCAAGATTCAAGGCCCGCGAGCACCTCGCAACATTCGGCGCAACCCCCCACCACCACACATTATGGCTCGCCTTGACGAGCTGCGCTTCGATCCCGCGAGCCTCAACAAGGCGAGCGCTGCGGGCTATTCGTCGTCCGAGTCGGATGGCGGCGAAGAAGACGAGTACTTAATGCCGTCGCGCAATCCACACGACAGCGAGTTCGCCGACCACAATCCCCGGAAGCGCCGCCGCACCGCCCGCGACGCGAAAGAGAGCGCCGCCCTGGGCATTTTTGGCTCGGAAAGTGAGGATGAAGGTCCCGGAACTCGGTGGAAGCGCAAGAACCTCCGCAACAAGGGCGTCAGCTTCATATCGTCTGCCAACAACAAAGCGCGAGCCTCAGACGAAGACGAGGATGAAGACATGGGCAAACAAGACGAAGACGACGAAGAAGACGACAATGATGACGAGCGGCCGCAAATGAAAGCCGCTGCCACGGATGAGGACTACGACGACGACGACGACGAAGAAGATGAGGAGGTCGGCGGTGTTGGTTTGGGGTTTGGGGCCGCCACCGCTGGAGCCGCAGCAGCTGCTGCTGCCACTGCCGCCGCCGCGACACAGGGCTTGGGCTGGGCACCTGCGAACAAGCAACAAACACTCCCTCGGGACCTGCAACCTCCGCAAAAACCGTTCGCCAAGTCGACATTTGACAGCAGCAACCCTTTGGGCAAAGGCTTCACGCCAATGTCGGCACGCGTACCTATCCTCTTGGTCAGAGATGACGAACCAACAACACCCCGGGCGCCGATGCCTAGCGCCTTCAGGCCGGGCAAGGGAGGGAAGACCAAGATCAATACCGGTTCTTTTGGCGCCCGCATGATGGCCAAGATGGGCTATGTTGAGGGGAAGGGCCTCGGAAAGGAGGGCCAGGGCCGAAACATCATCATTGAAGCCAACCTACGGCCGCAGGGTATCGGCCTCGGCGCTGTCAAGGAGAAAACCGACCAAGAGAAGCTGGAGGAGAAACGACAGGCCCGTCTGCGTGGTGAGGTGGTGGTAGACTCTGACGAGGAAGAAAAGAAGAGAAAGGCTGCTCGCAGAAGGAAGGCCTTGGGCGGTGGTGTCAGCAGCGGTCCGGCCAGTGGCGCGAGCACCCCGCGACGCCAGAAGCCAAAGTACATCACCATGGATGAGGTGAAGAAGGCGGCCCCGGGCCTCAAGATCCCTGATGCCTTCACGCCAATACTGGATATGACTGGGCCGGGAAAGAGAATGCTCACGTCGTCGTCCGGGCTCATGACGCCCACTGGAGGAACTGCGCCGGCAGAGTCGGCCGAGGCAGCCGAGTCTCGGAAGCTCACCAGACGTGCCCAGAACGACTTCATGGCAATTCTGGAGGAGTGGAAAAACCTGCAAGAACGCAAAGCCTACCTCGACTTGCAGCTTCAACAAGAACAACAGGAACTTGAGGAGCTCACTACGAGTCTGCACGGCAACAGGTCCGTCACGGCGGCTTGCGAAGAGATTTGTCAGCCGATGGAGAGCGGAGAACTCGACAAGAAGGCCGACCTTGAATACCAACTGGGACGTATCATTTCCGGTCTGAAAGCCGCTAGCGACAGCTTGTCCGACCGCATGCTACCTGAGATCAAAGAAGAGCTGGCCTCACTAGCCGTTGCAGCTATCAACCCCACCTTCGTGGAATATCTCCCGCTCTGGAAACCTCTTGAAGAACCTAAACCGAGCTTTGTCGACGGTCTGGTATCTATCAGAGGTCTGCTTGGCCTTGGCCTTGACCAGCCCGTGAAGAAGTCTCGTCGTAAGATAATGGCAACTCCATTCGACACCATGATGTACAGGAACTGGCTTCCAGCTGCTGCGAGTGCCGTTCGGGAGTGGAACGTACGAGAGCCTGATCGGCTGATTGCGGTCTTCCAGGCATGGGATAAGCTCATGCCTGCCTTTGTTCGCACACAGTTTCTGGAGCAGGACGTCGTTCGCAAACTAGAAGAAGCCGTGCAGAAGTGGCAACCCAAGAATAAGCATACCCACAACCTTCCTCATGGCTGGATTTTCCCCTGGCTACCCTTCCTCCCCTCGACGCAGCTTGACCCCAAGGCTTCGGTTGGTCTTGTTGCCGACGTGAGACGCAAGTTTCGCCAACTAATCAGTGTCTGGGAGTTTGACCGCGGTGTTATTCCTGGCCTGAAGCAATGGAAGGCGCTCTGGTGCCAGAGTAGCGACCAGTGGGCGCCGCTAGTCGTGAACGATGTCCTGCCCAGCATGGCCAAGTATATGAAAGCCAACTTCCGGGTTGATCCCCAAGACCAAGAGCCTTACATCGGTATGCTCGAGGGCAGCTTCAAGTGGCTTGATATCATCTCGCCTCGGATGATTGGCGAGGTTATGGTCTTGCAGGTATTCCCCATGTGGCACGAAGCGTTATACCACTGGCTCCTACTCGACGACGCAAACTACGAGGAAATCGGGCAGTGGTTTCAGTGGTGGAAAGAAGATGTCTTTCCCGACGAGATCAAAGCCCTCCCGTCCATTGCCGCCGAGTTCGAGAAAGGCACCGCCCTGATTGAGCGAGCTCTAGATCTTGGCGACCTAGCAAAGTTGGAGCTCAAGGCACCGGAGAAGGGACCGGCCCTTCAAACATCAAGATTACCCTCTCGCCGCGAAAGACACCACCACAAGGAGCGAACACGTCACGATACTCGACAACTGCCTGCTAAGCAAGCAGAGGAGGTTTCATTCAAGCAGATGATTGAAGACTTTTGTCAGGAGAGCGATCTTCAATTCATTCCCGAGCGCAAAAAGGTTCGCGCCGAAGGCCCGTTATACAGAATTACTGCGCGCGGAGATGGCAAAGGCGGTGTCTTGATTTACTTCAAGGGTGAAGTTCTCTTTGTTGAGACGAAAACGGGTGCTCCAGTCGAGATTCGCCGCGACCGGGAAAGCGACCTGGGAGTGTTGGTGGAAATGGCATCCTGACTGCCCGGGCTTCCAGTCTCTGTCTGACAGAGAGGGTGCGGTAGTAATTATGGTACAATGATACAGGACAGTGGTATCGAAACAATTTAGGGAGCCGCAGGAGAACAAAATTGCTTCAATGTCAATTCTTCCCGAACCTCCAAAGTGCCCTACATACCCGATCGGGTTGGCAACTCGATAAATGCAGGCAGTCGATGGCGCCCTCTGCTTATCATGGCATCTGGTCGGGAAGCTCGCACTATTTCTATTCTTGTCTCCGCGAGATCCGGTGACGGTCGCATTGCTTGAGCTTGATATTGATTGCCTTCACGAAAAGCCCCGGGCATGCTTCATGATGGCGCAGACCGCCCGCCCTCGGTCCTTGCCGTATCTGCGAGCGATCATACCCAAATTTCTAGCAAGATTCAGAGCAATTTCTAGACCGGACGCTGTGGCCGGCGAATCAGTCATCTTGTATATCGACTGAGCGAGGCAGACGATCTCCCAAGCCAGCCTTACGGCCTTGAGCCCGACTCGATCCGTGCGTGAGGCAAAGAATGAGACGAACACGGACTTGAACCAATTTTGCGGGTTAATTCCACGGCCTATGCGGTCGATGGCTCATCCACAGAGCGGCCACGCGTGGGCCGCCGTTCCCCAAAAAGCCCTCCTTCTCCAATCCTTCATGCCTACCCACTGTCGAGATTGGGGAAGGTGACCTCATCTGTGCAACAGCCCAACGTGAGCCCCTTAACCCTGTTTGAGCTTATTTGGCTCGCTTATTATGCCACGCCGTGACAGGCGAGATGCAAGGAGATTGGCGAAGTCATTTGCTAGCTGCGGTGGGGGGGCGTGCCAGCGAGTCGTCCCCTCATCTATTCCTGATATCTTTGTATATTAAGAGGCCACCCCAGCATTCTGTCTTCGACCCTGCCAACACCATAGCGGCCTTGACTACCCTCCCACCCAGCACGCTATTTTCCTGCTTCCTCCTGGTCGAGTGTGCTGCCATCTCATCTCGACATTGTTTGATTTTATCTCGCGACATCAAGCCTTTCCGACGCCCAGAGCCAACCGCTGCCACACCCCGGGCGCTCTGCATATTAACGCCGCTGATATGCCGACCTTTGACTACCTCCAGGGAGGCCACGCCGCTTGGTTTCCTGGCGCGGGCGTGGGATTTTAATTGCGGCCCAGTCGTCTGCTGCTCTGGTTTGGGCTCTGACCCCCTTTTAAAATACCCGTCGTGGCCGTCGTGACCAGGGAGGTGGTATCGCCAAGATCCTGTGCCCAGTATCCATCGTTGGCGCTGGTCACCAGTCCCTTCCGTCAGGGTCGTCGCAGGCAACAGTGTTGAAGGATGTGGTGCTCCTCTCCTTCCCCTTTGTCGTCTGTCTTATCGTCGTGTGCTACGCGCTGCCATGCACGCTGTCCTGCGTTGGATGGCTCGACATGAGGCTTACGCTGCGGCATGTCTCGATCAGGAAGCTCCATGTCGCCATGTCCTGGACAGAGGGTGGGCTACGTGCCCTGCGCTGCGCCGGACTGGCATCGGAGCGGGCCTCCTGGTGCCTTCGGCCGCCCTTCCCGCCTGGCAGAGCCCTCGTCGTACTAGCCATAGAGCACCGGCGTCTCAATCTGACAGCATGAAAAGGAATAGGTTGTGACAAAGTGGTCACGCTCTCGTTTCCTGGCGAGCGTGGCTCACAGGATGGTGCGAGATCGACTGCGATCGTGACTATAAAGATCGCCAAGGGCCTGTTGTGATGTCAAGTGTCTCAAACGACTCTTCACCAGCAGTTGCCTTAGCTTGCCGTTCTTCCCAGCCCCCCCCCCCCCCCCCCCCCCCCCCGATTTTAAACAACTCTTGACGAACCCTAGATCATTCCGGTACCATGGTTGGCCTTTGGAGATTTTCGCTCCTTGCAGGGATCGTCGCGTTCACCCCTGTTCTGACCGCACCCCTGGACAAACTGTCACCGGAGATCATCCCGGGCAAGTATATTGTCACGCTCAAGCCGGGCGTCTCGCTGTCAGACATCGATGCCCACTTGATCTGGGTCACCGATGTGCACTCTCGGAGCCTGTCACGCCGCGACAGCAAAGGCGTCGAGAATGTCTACAGCATCCGCGACTTTAACGCGTACGCGGGGTCCTTCGATGCCGCCACCATCAGTGAGATCCAGAGGAGCGACCAGGTTTGTTGAAGTCCAACACTGATACGAAGACAATTCGGAAACCGCGCTGACTCGTGATTAGGTCGCTGCCGTAGAGCCCGACAAGGTCTGGCGGCTCTACGACGACGTCGGCAGCCTGGCCACGCAGAAAGGGGCCCCTTGGGGCCTCGGCAGCATCTCGCACAAGAAGCCCAACTTCACAGATTACGTCTATGATTCGGCGGCAGGCCAAGGCACGTATGCGTACATCGTAGACACTGGTATCAGGACGACCCACGTCGAGTTTGAGGGCCGCGCCCAGCTCGGATACAACGCCTACCCGGGCTCCGACTTTGTCGACAACTACGGCCACGGAACGCACACGGCCGGCACCATCGGCTCCAGGGCCTACGGCGTCGCCAAGAAGAGCACTCTCATCTCGGTCAAGGTGTTTGACACCGGATCTGTAAGTCGGCAGTAATATTCGCCACTGCTGGCCCAAGTACTCCTACTAACAACCTTCCCAACAACAGTCAACCACGGCCATCGTGCTTGACGGGTACACGTGGGCAGTCAAAAACATCACCGCGTCCGGGCGGGCCGACACGTCAGTGATCAGCATGTCGCTAGGCGGGCCGTATTCGGAGGCGTTCAACACGGCGGTGCACAACGCGTTCGCCGACGGGGTGCTGTCGGTGGTGGCCGCCGGCAACGACGGAGTCGACGCCAACAGCACTAGCCCGGCGTCAGCGCCCGACGCCATCACGGTCGGGGCCATCGACGTGACCAACACGCGGGCGTACTGGAGCAATTTCGGCGCCCTCGTTGACATCTTCGCGCCCGGCGTCAACGTGCTCTCGTGCTGGAACGAGAACGACACCGACTCGCTCGAGGAGGACGGCACCTCCATGGCCACCCCTCACATCGCCGGCCTCGTCCTCTACCTCAAGAGCGTCGACAAGGCCGCCAACGCCAAGGCCGCTGCCATCACAGCCAAGATCAAGAGCCTGGCTACCAAGGGCGTCGTGCAGAGCGCTGGCACCGGCAGCCCCAACATGATTGCCTACAATGGAAACGGGCTCTGATGTCACGGGCCGGGTAGCATTGTGGTTTGGCATGGAGCCCAAGTTCAGTTCTTTGCCAATTTACCCCAGTTTAGGGGTTGTTAAGCTATAGACTTTGTTCTCACCTCGTGGCTTTGGCGTGTGTTCCTCATTCTCCGGTGGGAGTATAGCAGAGAATAGAGTCGATTGCTTCAAACATTTTCATCATCCAAGTACCTACCTACGGTACTAGACATGGCATCGGGACTCGGATAGCCCGTGTGAGGGGTTAGCTACATGTAGGTGCGTAAATGGCCCGCCACTCTATCGACCAGCATGCTACCTTACACGAGGCCCATTGCAACTGCCGAAGGTCAGCGGCTTTGGCGGCTATGAGTCGCTCCCCCACCCCCCATTGTCCGTTCTCAAGCCTGTGGCGAGATTTTGAGTGTTTCGCGCAGCATGACGTAAAGCTGAGATCGTCACGACAAATTAGTACAGCGCCATGGAGATAATCGACGAGGGGCAGACGCTTGAGAAGATGCAATGGGTGATAGTAGGTTCAAACCCCAAACACCGGCCATAGATGAAGAGGGAACAAACAAAAGCAAGTCAGCTGCTAACACGAAAACCAATTACCAGGTCGGAGGGTCTCTGGGCGGATTGGCCGCCGGAATTGCACTGAAGGCACTGGGCTACGACACCACGATCTTGGAGAGAAACCCGACGCCCTTGCTGCACGACCAAGGAGCTGGTATAGTGGCGGGGGGAGACTCGCTCGAGTTTTTCGAGAGATACAACCGCTGCAAACAGCCTATCGCAGTCCGCTCAATAAGGAGGCAGTACCTAGACCGGGAGGGCAACATTGTTCACCAAATAGAGTCGGAACAGGACATGAGCTCCTGGGATTTAACCTACCACGTCATGCGCGCAAACTACGACGGCACCGCCAGCGCCTACTGCGACGTCCCGCCGCCAGACCCAGCCCACGGCAAGACCGCCCACTACCACGACCGCACCGTGACCGCCATAGAAGAACTCACCGGAGGCAGCGGGATCCGTGTCTCGTGGCATCAAACCAGTGACCCGTCCACGACCGGCTCCCTGACCACGGACCGCGTCATCGGCGCCGACGGGCCGAGCTCGACGGTGCGCTCCCTCTTCGCCCCGAACGTGCAGCGCACCTACGCCGGCTACTGCGCGCTGCGCGGCACCGTGCCCGAGGGCGAAGCCACCGCCGCGACGCGTGCAGTCTTCTCCGAGCGCTTCACCTTCTACCACGGGCCGGGCGTGCAGATCCTCGCCTACCTGATCCCAGGCGTCAACGGCACCGTCGAGCCGGGCCACCGCCTCATCAACTTCGTCTACTACACCAACTTCCCCGCGGGGTCTCCCGAGCTGGACGCCATCCTCACCGACCGCCTCGGCCGCCGCCGCACCATCACCATGCCGCCGGGCATGACGGACCCGGCAGCGTGGGAGCGGCAGCGCGACATCGCGCGCGCCGTGCTCCCGCCGCCCTTCGCCGAGGTCGTGTGCAAGGCGGCGCGGCCGTTCGTGCAGGCGGTCACCGACGTGCTGAGCCCCGAGCACGAGTTTGCGGGCGGCAAGGTCGTGCTGATCGGCGACGCCATCGCGGGCTTCCGCCCCCACACGGTCGCGTCGACGGCCCAGGCCGCCCTCGACGCCATGCTCTACGCCGACTACGTGGCCGGCCGCATTGGCCGCGCCGAGTGGAAGCGCGAGACCATGGGATATGCGCGATACATCCAGCGCCGGGGTGTGGATATGGGCACCCGCAGCCAGCACTTGCGCCTGCCCCTGAGCGAGTACATCCGCGACCGCGACGTCGCGTCGACGCCGCGGCGCGATGAGGTGTATCCCGAGTGGGCTACCGCGGTGGATCTGGAGTGATGTACGACGTGATGGATGGGATTCGTGCTTCCTGATTATTGCCACTAACACTGCGACCTACTTCAGAAGCCTCCGCGTTGCCTTGGTCTAATCACGCTGAACTAGCTACTAGGTCAGATTAATCAATTACATGACCATCCTAAAATCCGGCTCCCGGTCGTCGCCCTGGCCCGTGTACTTGTCGTATTTTCCGTCCGCCTTGTCGCTGTTGATTTTGGCGCAGTAGAGGACGTTGGCAAGGATCCTATCGATTCGTGGTAATTGATTAGCCCCTGGAAAGCCCCTGGAAAGCCTTGCCCTAGTCTCCGTCGTCCACTTAGGCCAAAACTCACAAGAACCAGCCGCCAATCAGCAGCCCCAGGACAACCGAATGGCCGCGATGAAACAGCGTGCCGTCGGCATCGGGATAGAGAAAGACAGATAGGATGCCGCCGCAGTTGGCGACGGCCAGCTGCAGCGCGGCGGCCGTCGCGCCCTTGTAGTGCCCGGCCGAGTTGTTGGACAGCCACGCCAGCACGGGCGGCACGCTGCTGTAGATGCCCGTGGCCATCAGGAAGGTCATGCCGTACTTGACGCGCGGGTAGTTGGGCACGTTGGCAATGACGGCGTACCCGACGATGGCCACGGGCATGGTCCCGAGCATCACGGTGCCCCGCAGCTTGAGGCGGTCCGAGACGAAGGCGACGGCGACTAGAGAACAGTTGTTGGTGTCATAGCTTTCGGTATTTAGACAAGCCGGGCTCGGGCTCGATCAAGATTGCCCGTCATCGGGGAGGACTGACGAGGCCAGACTCACGCGTGGTGCACGCTGCAACAGCGTAGGGGATCACGGACCACAGCTGGGCCTCGGCCGTGTATCCGAGCCCGGCAATGATGGTGGGAAGCTAACAGTTGTTATTTGTGGGACCGTGTCTCTTGCGCTCGTTTGAACTCACAAACAGCCCAAACGAGTAGATGGCGGAGAGGAGACCAAAGTAGGCGCCCGCTGTCAGCCACGTCTGGGGGCTCGGATAGCCCTGCCCATCTCGCCCAGCGAGAACCGTTCCTCACTAGCAGACGGTTAGTCGCTGCTTAGGCTCAGCGGTTAGTGTCTCAGAGGTCTAAGGTTACCTCTCCTTGGTTCCAGTCCCGTGCTCAACTCCCCTCAGCCGCTGTAGGCCAACGCTGCGCTCTTACTCGGACAAGAACCGCACCGAGGCGATGTTTTTGGGCAGCACGAGAAAGGTAACGGCAGCGACCACGACAGTCTAACAGAAGGCTAGTCAGAGAAAGGCCATCGAAAGATTTCGCCGTTGTCTTGAAGAGTGACACAAAGGCAAGGCACTCACAAACAGGCCTTCAATCACGAAAATCCATCGCCACGACGAGAGACCTCCGCGGGTCCCTATCTCGGCCAGTACCCGCGCCAGAAGCCCTGTTTTGTTAGTGTCAAAGGCAGTCTCAGACCCACAATGAGGTTGCCTTACCCCCAAATGCCCCAGACAGCGACGTGGCCGTGTATAGCACGCCGATTCTCAACGCAAGCTCGGCTCGCGTGTAGATGGTGGAGAGGTACAGAACCTGAACATGAAGGAAGTCAGAAATAATAACAATGCAAAAACAGCCTCATCAATGGCAATGGAGATATGAAGTTTCATGGGGGAAATCACCATCCCGGGAAACAAGCCTCCCTCAGCGAGGCCAAGAATCGCGCGCAGACCAATGAACTGGGGAAAGTTGTGGATCAGGCCGAGGCAAATGCACACGACGCCCCAGGCAAACGTCAACAGTGCCATCCATATCTGGGGCGTGACGCACTTCAGCACTAGGTTGCTGGGCACCTCGCTGCGGAGCACGTCGACAGTGCCCAAGTCAGCTGCCTAAACGTGTACAGCATGACTGGATTGACAGAGAGCAGACAGGACGCACGCAGCAATGTAGAGCGGGTAGAAGGCGGCCAGGCCCTGGCTGTACTGGCGGTTGGTCATGCCGAGGTCTGCCTCGAGGTGGTACAGCTTCGCGTTGCCCACGTTGGTGCGGTCGAGGAACGAGCACAGCACGAGCAGGATCAGCACGGGCAGGATCCGGAGGTCCAGCTTGCGTAGGAGTCGCTTGGTGGTGGTGCTGTCATTGCGCAACTCTTCGCTGGCTGCCGCGTGGGTGGACTCGAGGTCGTTGGATACGTGCCGGGCGCCGACGGGAGAGACGTCTCCCTTCTCGGACGCTTGGGCAGTCGACATGGTTTACTGGCTGCCGCTGGGCTGTCGATTTTGCTTTTCGCCTTGGTTTCTCGTGATAATTAGTTCCCACCACTGCTCAAACTCGTTCGCCACGCCAGGCCAAGATTCGCGGACCGAGTGATAATTACTACCGGACTAACCATCTAGAAATACTTGAGGAGTACCAAGCATACCCCCTGTTTTCTTCCACTCTCTCTCAAGCTTCATCCCCCAGGCCTACTCGGCACTTCAGATGCGAATCACTGAACGCAACTTCGTAGGCCTACGAGTAAGATTCTGGCCCCCAACATGAGGATAATAATCTGTGTTCCTCTGCCCCATTCCACCCCCCCACTGCCGGTGAGCGGCCGGTGTGGTTTAGATACCGCGACTGCATTAAACCGCCGTAACTGGTGTGGCATAATACTGTAGTACAACACAACCGTCGACCCTCGTCCCATGGGCCAACGCTGTTTTATTCGGTAGTTGCACTCATTCTTGCAACCCGCAGCCCCCTCGAGTATGGCTGCCTGACGAAAAGCATACAGCAATTTCGTCCCTCGTAAAACAGACCTATCGCGTGCCTATGTTGCACTGCTTTAACCACAAATTTGGCTTGCTCATTTCAGTAACACATCGGCCCTGATGACATGCATGTTAACTATGCTGGCGGGTCAAGAGGGTGACTGGGAAGACAAGGAGCTTCATGGGAAAAAAGGATATCGAGACAGTTGCCAGGTAATGAGGCACGAGAAAGAGCAGATTGATAGATATGGGAAAATGAATCTTGGTTCTATTAGTATTATATTAATTGGAAATGTTGTGACTGGTGTCAGATTCCTACGTATTTCTGTGAGATACCTCAGCAACTGCTTCAAGACGAGACAAGTTGTGCTCCGCCCGAATCGTGTGCCCGCTCTCCGTCGACACCGACAAGGGCAAGGGTCAAGCTCGCGTCCCTAAATAAGGAGTTTGTTGCTTCCATTATTATTTACATGATTTTGAGGTTGGCCAGGTACGATATCCAAGGTTAAACCTGAATTTAATAGACATACCTAACAGCTTGTGTCGCGGAGTCGAGAGACAGGAGTCGAACATGAGGAAGCGCCATCAGTGGAAGGGGGTGTAGTGTTTGGCATTCCGCCCGCCCAAAAAGCTCAAGAAGCAAGGGCAATGAGTTCTTCACGCACATTGGAATTTCCTGGCAACTCGTCAGCCCCTGTCATCGTCAGTCACGTGATATCACAGGCATGTGGCAAGGGAGACGGCGACAGGAGACGAGACCCCTGCTGAGGCCAAAATCATCCTCAATTGTCAATGTGAATTGCACTGCTCTGTGATTATAAGCTTCGACCACCTGAGACCCAGCAGGAAAGCGCTCCGCAAGACCAAGGGCACAAAATCGGGCCGAGATTCCTGCATCTGCGTCTCTTCAAACTGGAAATATGTGAAAGCCCCCTTTGACCAACCCGCAATGCTTTTCGATCGAGAAGCCAATGTCGTAATACCAAGCCATGAGCTACTACTTCATGATATTGGCAAACTCTTGGTCTAACAGACACGCGTTAGCAAGGGGTCGCTGACATGCTGAAAGAACGGAGCAGCTCACAATCGATATGTCCGTCGCCGTTCTTATCGGCCAACTGGATCATCTCGTCAAGCTCGGCGTCGGTCAAGTTCTCTCCCAGCGATCTAAGCACGTTGCGCAGCTCTTCGGACGAGATGGTGCCGCTGCCGTCCTTGTCAAACACCCTGAAGGCGTTGAGAAGCTCCTGCTCCGTGTCGGTCTCCTTGACGGTCTGCGACATGAGGCTGAGGAACTCTGCGAGGGCGGTTAGCCCCGTCATCCGGTCACAGAAAGCAAACATCAGACGAACCGTCAAAGCAGATGACCCCGTCCTTATTAAGATCCGCCTCGTTGACAATATCCTGCAACTCGGAGTCGCTGGGGTTTAGGCCTAGCTCCTTCATGACCTTGCCCAACTCGTCGGCGGTGATGTCGCCTAGTGCGGGCAGCGAGGGTTAGTTGGGGCAAACTAGGTGTCGATCGCACGGCTGCTGGGGAGAGACAAATGAATCGGGATTTGCAACCCGAGGCTCTATCGCCAAGCACGGCATGGCCGTATCCGGGCAAGGGTCACGCATCGCAGATGTAATTATTTCACTCACCAGTGCCATCCTTGTCCTAGACGACGAGACATACATTAGCAAAGCGTGGGCAGCAGCAGCGTGGGCAGCAGCAGCGATCGCATCAGACGACCAGGGTGCAGTGTTTATGATTGCGAGTTCGGGCGACATACAAAGATGTCGAAGACCTCCTTGAACTGGGCGACTTGGTCGGGGCTGAGCGCCGGGGCGGGGGCTTTAGTGGCCTAAATCCAACAGAGCTGTCAGCGGCACCTTCAGGCGGTTTTCTCCGCCTTTACCCAGCGCCAAAGAGCCGATCGCCATGGCGTGCGGGCAACAGCAGCCGCAGCCGTAGCCGCAGCACAGCGACCGCGACGCTGGCATGGGCCATGGAGGGCAGAACGGGGCAGTGCAAGCTGACTGACCATGGCGGTGGGGGCAAATGCTGGGTAGTGGTAGCGCTTTGGTGGTGTCTTGCCGAGCGGGTGTGGTGGTCCTGCCGCGGTTGATGAGGAGGAAAATGTCAGAGTTAAACCTTAAGGCTCGATGAGGGGGAGGGGCAATCGTGCCTTGCGGCACGTGCCCCGCTTGGCCGCCAGGCCAGCAGCTGGTGCTTGTCGCGGCAATCTGTCCGATCTGCGACACCAACCAGGTTTCAGGCCCGCCAGATGATTCGCCCGTGATTGCCGAGGCTCAGCCGTTATCTTCAATCTCTTCAACCCTAACCCTTGAAATGTCATGATGACTTATCCGTAGGACTCCATAGCTTCTGAAATATGTGCTCAAAATCCTCGTTTGTACCTGCCTCACCTTCGGAGCTCCGGACTTATTCGAACAAGCACTAGAGTCAAAGCTGAATAAAGACAGAGAGGTTTGGTTGCGGGCAGCAAAATAGGGTTGTCCGCCAGCACACACTACTTTTTGATGGCAGAAGTTAAAATGAGCTTCACGACTGTAAGATTTTCGGGAATTCTGTTCTTTTGACGATGTCCGACGAGGCATAACCCTTTGTTTATCAATACTCTCTGAGCCCTCGATCAACGTAAGGTTCGCCGAATTTCTCCATTGCCGTTCTCACGAGGGTTTGTGTCGCCTGGATTTGAGCCACTCTGAGCCACACTTCAAGCCACAGTCGGCATGGATCCCTCAAACCACGCATGTCCCTTCATTCCTTACTTTTCAGCCCTTTTTTCGTACTTCCGGACTTCCGGACTTCCGAATGCCCTCTTTTCTGCCGTGCTTCGTGCGGCTGACTAATCTTGCTGAACGGTGTTTCTTTTGTCCTTTTTCTTGAGTATAAGAAGGCTTTCATTTGTGTATCACTAGACCTGATTTATTAACCAGAAAATTCCATGGGCTGCCAACGTCGATCACGTGCAACAGTTTGCAATCATGATTGGACTAGGAACCCTCTCCGGGTTTCTTGCGGAAATCGTTGAGAATATTCTTGACGGGCTGTGCACTCACCACGTCCGCCACTCCCAAGACTAAGTTAGGTGGGGGAGTAAGCGAACGCCACTGATCCAGAACATTCTAGATAAGCGAGGAACACAACCAACCCTCTTATATAAAAAGCCCATAACTCAACCAATTCTTTTCCAATTCTCTTCATCTTCAATTCGTTTTATTCTTCTCTTGACAATGGTTTCATATACAGAAGAAGACCTCCGCAAGGCTTGCGAGGAAGCCGTCAGAACACATCGATTACGCAAAGTCGCGCGAAAATGGAACGTTCCACCCTCCACCCTTTATGGCCGTCTACATGGCTCCCTACCTCGAAATGTTGCTCATCAAGATGAGCAAAGGCTTATACAGACCCAAGAGAATCGTTTAGTCGAATGGATTCTTCTTCAACAAGATTTAGGATTGCCCCCTACACATGCACAGATCAGGGAGCTTGCACGCCGTATTCTAGCTGAAAGGGGGGACTCCTTACCACTTGGAAAGGGGTGGTGCCGTGCCTTTCTTAACCGCAATCGAATTTTGAAGACTCAGAGGGCCAAGAGAGTCGATTCGGTCCGCGTCAACTGCGCTACAGAGTCAACAATTTGACCTTGGTTCAACCATTTCCAAACACCAGCTATCAAGGCGATTAAGCCAGAGAATCGCTGGAACAAGGACGAATCTGGTATTATGGAAGGCAGAGGAACCAACGGCCTTGTCATTGGAAGCCGTGCCTTTAAGGCGCTTCAAAAAAAACAGCCTGGAACCCGCACTTGGACCACTTTGTCGAATGCATCTCAGCAGCTGGCCGTTGCCTTCCTCCTTTGGTCATTTTTAAGGGGAAAAGCGTTCAACAACAATGGTTTCCTTTGGATATGAAGCCATTTCAGGATTGGTTCTTTACAGCAACTGAGAAAGGATGGACTACCGATGAGACAAGCCTCAAATGGTTAAAAAATGTGTTCATTCCTCTCACCAAGCCAGCAAACTCCTCTGAGAAACGACTCCTTGTTATTGATGGCCATGGCAGCCACACAACTGCCGATTATATGTGGGAGGCATTCACAAACAATATTCACATTATTTATCTGCCTCCCCATACTTCCCATGTCCTCCAACCCCTAGATTTGGCCATATTTGGCCCCCTAAAACGACTTTATCGCAGACGGCTTGAGGACCTTCTTGCTAACGCCTTTGACGACTCTTCTGTAGCCGGAAAACGTGCGTTTCTGGAATGCTACCAGATTTCACGCACAGAGGCAATTACTAAGAGTAATGCTAAGTCAGGATGGAAGGCATCAGGCCTTTGGCCCTTGAATGTCAACAAACCGCTAAGAAGCCCACTCCTCCTCAAGAATTCTAATACTTCACGCCCCTTAAGAACTACTATAGTTACCCCAGAGGTTCGCACACTCCGTATGCCAATCCTGGAGGATTATGGAGACGATCGGGTGCAGTGGAGGACTCCTAGAAAGGCACGTGATTACGTTGAGCAGGCAAAGAAGTTCGCACGCATCATCAAAGCAATGCCAGCGGATAAGCTCTTCCTCAGAAAGATTGGTAAGGCTTTGGATGAATAGGCCTTTGAACTGGCTATTAGGAAGCGAAAGATTGAAGGTCTAGAACACACTCTCGAATCAATAAGAGCCAGAAAGAAGAAGAAGGTTGAAGAAGATCCAAATACCACCTTTGCGAATATTCAGACTATTCGTGAGGCCCAGAGAGCTGTAGGGCGTGCAGCAGAGGTTTTAGAAGATGCGGAAGAAGCGGATGATTCAGAGGATATCAAAGATTGTATTGAAGTTTTGTAAATAAAAAGATCACCCTTTCTTTTGTTGGAGGGTTAGTTGGGACTCCTGCTTATGCAGAATGTTCTAAATCAGTAGTGTTCGCTTACCCCCCCACCTAACTTTATCTCCCGGAACTTATGTCCCGCAGGACCCAGGGCCTTAGCTTTCAACAGCTCAACTTAGCCTCGCTCGCTCGCCTTTGCCGCGTGTCAAAACTATTCAACGAGTACACAAGGTGGTGCCTCTACCACAGCCTCATACATTCTAGGACCAAATCAAAATGGTTCTTAATTGTGCGGACCAGCGTTACGCGAAGGGATCTCGGCAGACTCGTCAGGCACCTCGCTCTAGCTAATCCAGAACCGAATGATCCCGAAGACCCCGCCATCTTCTATCCAGAGGTCCTGTCTTATTGTACCAAACAAGTCGCTCTGAATCCGGACTGTTGTTTGCCCCTAGACGCCCTTAGTTTTACCGATTGGAATGGCTCAGAGAAGAACGCCATCCTCGCTATCATGATCAGCCTCTGTCCCAACTTGTCAACCCTCAATCAAACAACACGCATCAGTTCTTGTTTACACGCTGGTCTCGGTCTTTTGTCACGGTTGCGCCAAGCCGTCCATTCGCGATGAGTCTTCTGTGCCACCGGGACCGGAGAACCACAGCAGTAGTGGCCCGAGGACGAGAAGAACCAATATGCCGCCTATCCTCGGGAAGACTCTTCCTCCTCTGCGGATGAACTTGATGACGAAGGCTCTTCGTGGGAGATAGCCTCGACCAAGAGCCGGACGTCGACCGCCTCAGATGACGAATGGCAGAGTTTCTTGCGTCGCAATCCTCGCGGTCAAGTGGCAATGAGCCACCACCACGGCCACCTCCTTCACCAGGATTGGCCGGTGGTCCATCGACCGTCCCTTAAACCTTAAAAGTGCAAACAGTGTTCCCTGCAGCTGCGGGCTTATTCACTTCGCTTGGCCGAGGCTTTCGAAAAAGAGTGTTTCTACTCCGAGATTGTCCTCAAAATAGCCAAGCTATACGGGAATCCGCTGCCTGCAGACTCTCGCATCCGCTAGATCTCAGATCCATGGCATCAGATGAGTGTCCCATGCGGAACTTACGGCAGTGTTCTGCTGTTAGACTCGAGATATGAAAGCTATCCCGTAGGATTGTTTGTTCTGGCTGGTATAATTAATATCCTTTTTCGTCTCTAGCAATTAGAGCACATACAGATGAGCTGATTGTCATTCGCAGATGACCCGAAGCATTTTCGAGACTTGCCGGTTTACAAGACTTTTGGCGCCAATGCGGGCTCGGAAATAGGGTTTCTGAAAGTGCTTCACTGGATGCAAGACTGTATTGCTCTCCACCAGCGCTGTGCGAAAAACAGTAGCACACCGTTACCCCGCCGAGTCCTCGATCTCGAATCTCTAAACGCCAAAGACAATCTGAGCGTGCACGAGAGTGACAACGAAACAGGACGATACATGTGTCTGAGCCACTGCTGGGGCGGCTCCAAATACCCTGCCAAAACGACATCTCTCACCCTTGAGCAGAACAAAGAGAGCATTCCTTGGGACAGCCTGCCAAAAAAATTCCAGGATGCCATCGTGTTTACTCGATGGCTCAAGGTTAGGTACCTATGGATAGACTCTCTTTGCATTATTCAAGACAGCGGACAAGACTGGTTGGAGTCAGTGAAGATGGTCGACATATACCGGAACTCGTTCCTTACCATCGCATCCACGAGCGACGGCGGCGGTCTATTCTACCCCACACTACCAAAATACCAGTCTCAGATTATTTGGCTACGGTCCGGATGGGATGCCGTGCAACCTCTACTCTCGCTCCACAATCACTCAAATACGGACAGGGTGGACTGTACACGCAACATGGAGACGAAGGTCGCCAAGCCTTTCCGCTCCTCAGTCGCGCCTAGGTATACCAGGAAATCCTTCTCGCCAAGAGTCGCGCATTTGGCCAAATACGAGCGGAGCTGGGAGTTCATGGAACAGACGGCCTGCGAGTGCGGCTTTCCCGACGCCGACCCGCTGATGATTGGGCCGCTTCGTCCACATAAATCCTACCACAGCTAGTCTCTGGAGAGCCAGTCAGACAGCCAGGCACTGTAGGATAGATGGTGGAAGATTGTCGAGGAGTATTCAGGCCTCAAACTTACGGTGGGCAAAGACTGACTGCCAGCGCTGCTGGGGCTGGCGAGACAGATGCAATACCATCGGCCCAGAGATCGCTACCTCGCCGGCCTGTGGGCTGGATCCCTGTTCATGGATTTGCTTTGGAGGGCGAAGGAGTCGTGGGGAATGCCGACAGACAACTTCCACGTACAGGAGGTTATCGACCAGGGGAGTTCTCTAACTCTTGTTTCGAGACTCGCTGGCGAATGGCGCGCTCCCTCTTGGTCATGGGCCAGCGCTGACGGCCATGTATATTACATGTTGCAGGAGGACGAGGTCGAGACAGCCGCATACGCCAACTTAGTGAGCGTAAATTCGGTATTTACGTCCCCGGGTGACGAATCCGGCCAGCTACTGAGCGCCGAGATAGTATTGGAGGGGGGGTTAATTCCCGGCACCGTAAGTCACCACTCTTTCCCATCGACTCTTCTTCCTAATACGAAGGATGCTGATCAAAAAAAAAAAAAAAGTGGTATGAGCGCGTTAATCCCACCGGTCCGAGAGTGGACACGCACCTCAAAATCGGACCGACGGATGTTACAGCGTGGAGCATCGACCTTGAAAACTCTACAAGGTCTACGGCTTACATCTCGGAGTTCAGCTATCTTAGTCTCAGCGAGGCCGAGAAAGAAATGCCCTTTATTGACCGACCCTCGTCCACCGTCAGCCCCGAGGACCCCAGGGTGTTCCGCCTGCCAGTTTCCTCGTTCAATACCAGTAGCAGATATAACCGTAGTCGCCGCAGGGACTTCGACTTGCTGTTGCACGAGGTAGAAGCAGGATGTGGCGGTGAACAAAAATACAAGAGGGTCGGTTTGGCACAGGTGGATAGGGCGGCCAGAGAAGCGTTTCCGTTCGAGGACTGGCCGATGATCAGGTTTACCTCTGTCTAACAGCTGATTGTTTCTCATACTTCACCGGGCCTCTCCGTACATGGTTTGACGCATCGGCTGTCCAGGTGGCCACTGCTACGCAGTTGTGGGCGGGTATGTGGGGGCCCTTCCCTTATGATAGTGCAGTGGTTGAAAACAAATAAGACATGGACCACCTAGAGAGCTGTAGATAGATAACGCCATAGCTAACCACCAGGTTCAAAGGGGCTCCAGTCGGCGAAAGTTTCAATGTCAACTTCCCAAGACCTCCCAGCAAGAATCCTAGCACAGCCCACATGGCCCAGAGCCGGGTTCAGATTCCGCGAGACTGAGACATGGACAAGATGCCCGTCTTGAAGTCTCCATATGTCAAGCCCATCCCGAGTTTCCAGTTTGGCAGCATTAAGGTGGTCGCCAACTCTCCCCCCTTGAAACCATTTGAGAAAAGGCGGGCAGAAAATTCCGGATCCTGCTCGTTAATATTGTAATATGCTCCAACAAAACCCATCTCCATCCCAAAGGAATTCGACTGCTCCAAGTTCCCGTAACAAAACAGCGCAACAAAAAATGGGGCGCCCAATCTTTCTCGATGGCGGAAGGAAAAAATAGAATCGTTTTGTCTTTGGATAAACGGCGATATCTTGATGGACACTGGATCGTCGTAACTGTCACCTGGACAGCACCGTACGATGATGTATCCCGAACTCAAGGATGGGAAACGAGCGAAGGCCAGATAATTTATTCTGTTTTCGCGATAAACGTCTAATCGGTTTTGAAGATCGGTGCGTAGAGTAATAGTGACTTCCTCGAGGTCTTCGGGCAGCTCGTTGGGTTGGATTACCGTGATTTTAGGAGACCCTCTGACATACTCTTCTAGTCCTGTACGGAGGCGTTTGGGTGTGAAGTAGCAAAGACCATGATAGCCAGAGCGGCGGCATTTGAGAAAAATACGGCTGCGCGACGGGGTCGACAGCACCCTAAGAGACATGCCTTAGTTCGTGACCAAATAGCCGTTGCTGACGCTGTTTCTGGAGGCTCGGGAACCCGGGGAAGGAACCCACCCGGGACTAAATTAGAAGAACGATGGAGACGAAGTGAGCGGACTCCACAGCGAGGCTGTACCGAGGGAGCTCTGGGGTATTGACCATGCAAATATAGACTGGTTGTTGGAGTTGCATAGGATCTCGTGTTGGAGACGGAAGAACGCTCTCTGGCCGCCCTCGCCGTATAGCAACGGCATATTGATCCCGAAGATGCCCAGGAGGCAATAGCCGAGATCCTCCGCCCTAGTTGTTTCCCTTCTAGATGCCCATGAAATCCGACTTGCGATGCTGAACATCCGAATTGGGTTTCCCAGAAGAGCTTTACAGTCGATGCCCGTTATGCTGCTTAGTTGGTGTGCAAGATGCTTCCTCTCCCCAATCACGTCCCAGCTCTTGTTGAAGAAGATCACTGTCTTCGGAGCAATGAGCTCTTGAAGTGTCCAGCTGCGGGTAAACCAGCGACATCGCTTCAAGTCCGAAGACAAGGGCACAGATTCCTTCTCCGATGCGAGATCCTCGAGGTACGCATAGCAGACAGCTGCCTTGGCATACCAGTGGTACATCGAGTTGATAGCTTCTGTGATCTCGGCGCTGCTTCTCTCGTCGATGCAAACCGTATCGATCCAGGCGTATGCATATCCATCGCTTAGCGCTCGTGCGCAGCATGACTGAATTTTAAGAAACCCATTCTTGTGCTCGTGTTGCTGGCGTTGCTGATAATTTGAAAAGTCTTGGAGTGACAGTTCGTCCCCGCCCTAGGTATGGGACAAAATGGTAAACAGCGGCAAGTCAGAACCTAAAATAAGGGCTGGACCGACGACGAAATCGCCCTGGAATGGCTTCGCGATGTCTTCATTCCGGCTACGGCTCCGGAGGGCCCTAGAGAGGCCCGCTTACTAGTCCTTGACGGCCACCACAGTCACACAGCCTTCGACTACATGTAGCTATGCTTCCTGAATAACATCTACCTTGTTTACCTGCCCTCACACGCATCGCACGTTGTACAGCCTCTCGATTTGGGCGTCTTCTCGTCCCTAAAGCAACTGTACAGAAAAGTTCCTGACTTTGACGACCGTACAGTTAGAGGCTACGCTTGTGGGCAAAAGGACGATGCTTATGTGTTATTACAAGAGTGCGTCTCCTACTACCAGCAAATCGTCCCCGCATACTGTAGGTACAAAGGCGCCCAAGCGTTACAGCTCACACCGCCCAGGAAATTACCAAATTTTACACCCGAAATTTCCGCATTCGCTGGCTGCCCCGCTCCAAGCGCTGGCAACGCAGTTGTACCGCAATTACACCTCGCCGCCGTCGCCAACGTGAACATACTTCCGAATGCGGTAATTCCACCTCAGGGCCGTAGATTCACTCAAATCGTTCAAATCTGCAATAAAAAGCAAAGCTAACTTCGTTGAATTCGCTTACGTAACAGGGCCAAAAATGCAATAACTATCGTTAAAAAACTACAGCCTGCTTACACTACTCACAACTACATGCAACTGACAGCCTTACTGATCTATGCCTTCTAATGCCCGGGCAGTCAGTCGCGAAACCCTTCCACTTCGTGTAGGCCGTACAACACGACCTTCAACCACTGCAGAGGCTGTAGGGCCATGTGAAGCTCGTGATGTTGTGCCCCCCCGGCTAACACCCTGCGTACCTTGGTGTTGAACACTGCTTGTTGCTGTTACGGTACGGCTGAACTATGGTCTGTGGTGCCGTAATCATGCGCTAAGGCTGCAAGCCCCACTTGCAGCCTCACCCTAATCGGGACTAGCGTACACGTGACCCCATCCCACCACAAGACCAGCGCTTGCAGGACTCGCAGGCTTCTTCCTTTTCCTTTCCTTTCCTTTGCTTAATTACTTACGAATTCAGCCACTATTTACTTGCAGCTTTGCCTCTTGTATTTGCCTGCCTTCACAGTTGCCCTGCCAGCCCGGCTCCCTGTGCCACGGCCACCCCGGCTCCCTGAGCCCCGGTTACTACGGCGAGCCGGGTCCAAGTTATTGAAAGTACGGCGACGAGGCTCCACAGGCGCCTGGCTAAGGTCGTCGACGTCGTCGTCGTCAACATCGTCGTCAACATCGTGGTCGTCATCGTTAAGAGTAACGCCCTCCCACTATGAGACCGAAGTTCTTGACGTAATTAGAGGGTCGTAGTTTGACTGTGTTGAAGAGGGCAGAAGCGGCCCAGTCGTTCAAATCCTCGATAAGATCATCGAGGCTGTCATATTTGGTGTTGAAGAGCTTATGGGTGGCCGGTGGGTTCGAGAGTGGTGGTGGCGGCGGCGCATTTTCATCAGGCGCATCGCTAAGATCGCTTAGATATTCAAAAACGGACATTTCTATCACTAGTTTGTACTCCGCGACGAAGTAAGCGATCAAGATTTGAAGCTATACCGATGCATCGATTGAATGCAGTGCCGACAATGTTTTTTGGTGGTTGTGGAAGGTCGGTTGTAGTGGAAAGGTGTAAGGTTCGGTTGCATTGTGGTAAAAAGTGGTAAATTACTGCGCGGCAGAAAGTTGCCTGTACTGGCGGGCGGGGTATACAGTCAGGGTTAGGGTTATATGTAGTGAATTACAGTATGCGGGAACGATTTGACGGTAGTAGGAGACGCACTCTATTTAAAAGTCTTGAAATGGCCGCTATTCTTCACTAATCGTCAAGTCCTCAGTACCATCTCCCGGACACTTCCACAGCTCCAACGCTTCCATAACGCCAACACTTCTATGACCCCAACACTTCTATAACCCCAATACTTCCACAGCCAAACTCGCTCCCAGCCATCCACTCTGCACTTCACCACGCCTGTCCTCTCAACCGGCGTTACTCTGGCCCTGGCGCCCACCGGCGCTTTCGCTTGGGCCCAAGCGGGCGACGGAGTCTAGGTCGCCAATAATGTTATCTACTCCTGGGTTGGGAACTGTAAGTCTACTGGTAGCACTAGTTCCAGTCCTTGAGAAATAAGGATACTAGTTGCGCTAATTACCCTTCATTCGGAGCTCGTCAGACAAGAATTTTCACGAGTCGTGCACCAGGAAGTTAAGCGATATCGTCCTAACTAGTGCCGAGTGCGCATACTGGACGGATGCTCACGGCGGCCTAGGCTATGAATGTAGGTTCTCGTTTTTTTTAATCCGACCTAAAATCGCCCGCCTGCTGATGTGGGTGACCACCTACCTTGGACTGTTCTGTTACCAATAACTCGGTCGACTGTAAAGGGGCTACCCCGACCCCTTCCATATATGCCAGTACAACAAAGAAGACGGTACCTGCGACATCGGCTATTCGAGATGCCTCCAGTAAACGGGCTGTGACGGCCGTAGAGGGGGGACCTATTGTATCGAAACTGCCATCGGTGCATTTTCTTGCTTCCACTTGGTCAAAGCTTTTGTCTCCGAGTCATATCCGGCTAATATCGAGATGCCAGGTTGCGTAAGATGCAATTAATAGGGCTCTGCTTTCGGGGAAAGGGGAGAGGAATGTTGGAAAATAAGGAGAAATTTGGGAGCAGAGTGGTGTGGTGATGACGACGTATTCAGTAGAAGAGCTACATGTAGAGGAAAGAATTTGAAGAGAAATCAAGTATCACAACTTGCCCTTCGTGGAAACGCTCGTGACAGACCGTGGTAGACTTTAACTGGTCTTTCGCGAAAAGCTGCCACCTGAATTTACAGAGCTCCGATGAGATACAGAGGACTGCTTATTCGCCTAAACCAAGTTTGGGTAGGATTCCTGGTGGTGTCCTGAGCATCGCCTAATGTTGGAACAACGCGCTAGTCAGCCGCAGATGTGGCGGTGGAGGCGCAAGCAGCCACATGTGGCTGTGGAGGGGCAGGGGGCAGGGCCACCGAACCTAAATAAGTGGCCTACGGCCACTTCCACCTTCCTTCTCAGAGATACACATAGAAAACGAAATCCAACACTTGAACCACCAGTATACGGCGCGCAGCACGCCCTGTTGATTCTAGTACCGGTATCTGTTGATTCTAACACCTAAGTAATGTCTGAGCAATAGTCTAAGTGCCTGGAGGCGGCGGGGATAATTTTTGCGCAAGACAACATAATAGGTCAATCCCTTCAAAGGCTCAGCATTTCCGCACGAAGCGTGAATGCCATCAGCTTTCCGTTATGTCTTTTTATTGATTCTCAAAATTTGACTCTCCTTCAACCCTCAACCCTTGACTCTCATTCAACTAGCTGCCACAGTAGCCATAATGATGGCCTCCGGGGATGCGTTGCTCCGCTTCGTAGCCAATGTATCAGTTTCCGTCTTTTATGAGGTCCTCTTTCAGCCGCTGGAGGTGTTTGCTGTAACATGTGCCACACATGGGGGCTTTTGTATTAGTGGCTAACCTCATGAACCTGCTGTAGACACATATGTGGGCTCTGGACGTAAGGGTATGGTTGTCACGGTACCTTGCTAGAAGTTAGTCACCTACGGAAGCGGCCAAATAGGTGCTATTAGAGGAGTACCCACCAGCTCGCACAATTCCTTTCCGCCGCCCGATACACCACCTAATCTCAACAACTGTGTTAGGGTTGGACTTGTTGGAGATATCTGCTAGGTATAAGGCCCATTTTGTTAACCGCTCAGTAGTGATTATACTGAGTAAAAGCACGTGACGTGTTGGCCTAATTCTCGGCCCACGGTAGGTTGACTTCGTTGCCCAGAACTGGGCCAAGACACACGGGCCAGTCCTTGCAGTCCCGAAACATGGACCATTTAAGGCATCCAGCATGCGCGTAAATCCGGAACTGGATGCTACCTGGGAGCTACTCCTGTAGATCACGCGTCATCTACGTTCCATCGAAAAGCAACTCTAGCCGGGGGACTGAAAGCGGTCCTCCAAGGCTGCGAAGCGGCTACGTTTGGGATCATCAGGGAAAGCTTAGGGCAAATCAGCCATAGCTCACCCTAGCTCACCCCAGCTCAGGAGTACGAACTGAAAAGAAATTTTTGTAAGCCCAGATTCGTCTCAGACAACCAGGCTGTTTTGAATGTGGGGACTTTATTTGTCGTGAGTCATCACAGCAGCAGCCTTCCAAAAACAAATCAACATGGCAGACACGAGCCCGCAGCAAACGAGAAAAGCGAGAGAGAGAGAGATGGAAGGGTATCTCGGAATAAATAACACAGCAAAACCAGCAGAACCAAACCTCATATCTCCTGCCCCTCGAGCTCCTTCTCTGTCCATTCCCACAGCTTCGCGGCGAGCTCATCATCCTCCCCACGCGCATGTTTCTTGCCCCCCTTCTTGCCGACCGGGACATAGTACAGCCCGCTCTCGACATGCGCAGCCGGGGCCGTCGCCGCCCACAGCTGGCTCCTGGCGCCGGTCTCGGTCGACACGGTCAACAGCGCATTTGCGACGGGGAGGACGAGCAGGCGGATGGCGAGGTAGCGCGCACTGAGATTGTGCGCGAGGTTGGTGCTCACCAGGCCCGGGTGCACGGCGGCGGCGCGCAGCTGCCCGGGGAAGCGGCGCGCCAGCTCGCGCGCGAACAGGATGTTGGCCAGCTTGCTCTGGCCGTAGCGCGCGACCGTGTTCAGCTCGGCCGCCTGCGTGCTCTTGAGGCTGTCAAACAGGATGCCCGGCGGGGGCGCCATGGCGTGGCCATCGGATGATACCACTACGACGCGCACGTCCGGGTTGGGTGTGGTCGCGGCGGTTTGCAGCAGGAGCGGTGTCAGCAGCTTGGTGAGGAGTGCGTGGCCCATGTGGTTGGTGCCGAACTGGTCCTCGTAGCCGTCGGCGGTGAGCGCGGCGGTCGTGGCCATGATGCCGGCGTTGAGCAGCAGGATGTCGAGGCGGGCGGACTCGGCCACGACGCGCTTGGCGGCGGCGCGGACCGAGGCGAAGGACGCCAGGTCGAGGTCGAGCGCCTTGATGATTGTGGCTGCGGGGGTGGAGCCGGCGGGGAGCTGGGCGGCGATGTCGTCGGCGGCCTGCTGGCCGCGCTCCAGCTTTCGCGCCGCCAGCCATACGACGGCGGGCTTGCCGTACCGCGCGAGGTCCAGCACCGACTGCTTGCCCAGGCCGCTGTTGCCGCCCGTCACGAGGACGACCTTGCCCGCGAGCGACGGCATGTCTTTGGCGGCATTGAAGGTGGTGGCGCCGCCGAAAAGGGATGAGAAGGCCATGATTGGTTCGTTAGGGGCTTGGCGTAGTGTTGTTGGGCAATTGAGAGCGTGCAAGAAGTTGACGAGATTGATGCCTACTTCGGTAAAGGTGGCTAGTGATATAAATATAGAGGGAAACCGGGATTCCTCGGCAGCTCGAGGGCACCGACAGCCGCTCAGTTCGGGGAGATGCAGGTCCCGTGGTCAAAAGTGGCCGTGGCGAGTGGGGAAACGGATGAATTAAGCCCGTCATTGATGCCATTGTGTCCGGGCTCCGACGGGCGGCTGTCTTGGTTTATTTCTAGACTAGCGTGGTCACTGGTAGCATCAAGCACCGTTGAAGACTGTATGCTGCGGAGATCTGCGGAATACCGCTAAAGCTGAATAATGGCGTGCTGCACTGGGGGGTGGGGAGGGATGCCATGATTGGTAATTGCCACTTCCTCGACATATAGCATCGGCCGTGGCCAACCATTGATGCGAGAAAAGTTCTCGCGGGAGGGATCTTAAATCCAGGTCTAGTGCAGAAGCACGGCTAACCAGCCAACCATCGACGAGAAAAAAGTTCTCGTATCATCGTATGGTCATGGTTGTGAATGTGGAGAACCCATCCGTAAACCGGAGTTAATTCCGGCCCGACTTGCCAAGTTTTGCCAAGACAGATCGCCCTCTAAACGCAGTTGCACCGGCTTACATCTTAAACGTTAGATTAACTTCACATTAACCTCTACCCCGACTCGAGCAAACCACCTACATACAGTCACCGTGATATCTTCCTTCCTAACCTCTTATGCGTAAAAAAGCAGGCTAGGCATGTAATCGCGTACTAAATTAGGTAATATCCCCCCTCTACACGAGCCTTCCTAGTTCCTTAACATCACCCCCAAAGCCTAGACTTGATTCGACACTGCCCCCCCATGCGGCTCAGACACTAGGCCTTGCAGGCTCGCATCCACCGTCTCACTCTCGAAATTTTATCAGCGGCATCCATCGGATCACGTATCGGCGTGTTGGAATTTTCTTGTACCAGACCCAGCACAATGTCGCCACCACTCCAATGAAGACGATGCCCAGCGAAACCGACAGCCCGATCTTAAGATTTAACATGGACGACTGCTCACTGCTATCACTACTACTGCTGGCGCCAGCTCCGCCCGTCTTGTCCGGCGTGCAGGTGGTGACGATGTCGTCGTCGGGCGGCGAGGCGACGCGCGGGCTGAGCGAGAACGAATTGTTGGCGTAGTCCACGCGCAGGTAGTTCTGTGACAAAAACACGCCGCCGAGGACGGGAGTGTCGCGGCCGAGGTCGCTGTCGCCTGTTTGCACGGCCGCCATGGCGCGCGAAGCGTTAACCACAGCGTACTTTCCCTGCGAGTCGCTGCCGCGTTCGTTGGAGACGAGCTCGTAGTGCGGGATGACGGACGTGTAGCCGTTGGCCAGCCGGATGGTCAGCGTGCCCATCAGCGGCTCGCGGTCGAGCGGGTACGTTTGCTGGGTGAAGTCCGGGCCGCCGTCGCCGGGGCTGGCGACCCAGTTCGTGAGGCCCTGCCACTTGGCGAACATGGCCGGCGTGAAAGCGAAGGCGTTCTGTATGGTGTCGATGCACGCCGTCACCTTGGAGTCCGGGTCGCCGAACAGCGAGTGGTTGCCCGCGGCGTTGCTCAGCACCACGTCCGCCAGCAGCACCTGCAGCGGGCAGTTGATAGGCGCCGACGCGCTCCACATCTGGAAGTGCGCCGTCGACGCGTCGCCGCCGTGCCGCGCCGCGTTGTGTCCGCCTACGACCAGCTGCCCGTCGCGCGGGTGCGCCTGCGACCGCGAGCCGTAATCGATGCCGAACGCGCCGCTGGGTGCGAGTCCGCCGCTGACGAGCCGCTCGAGCACGGATGACTTAGGGCCCATGGCCAGCGCGCTCTTGTTTAGCGCGTCGTGGTTTCCCCAGACTTCGAGGGGAAAGTCGGCGATGGCGGCGGGGCCGTCGGTGAAGTTGGCCCCGACGTAGCCCTGGAGAACGGTAGTCCCGTCGCTGGGTCTGGGGTCGATGGTTCTGGCGCTCTTTGTCAGGACTCCCTAATCAAGCATAGATTGGGGCCATGTCCTTTTGGACGTACGAAACATTCCAGTCCTTGGGGTTGTAGACCTGCTTGAACGAGCTCCCGGTGGTCTGAAACACACTCCCCGACGAGCCTTCGCAACCAATGACACCGGAGGTATTGGTGGTGGACTGGCAGTCAAGAAAGTTTCTCACGCGAGTGTTGTTGAGGATGGTCGATAAGCGCAGCCCCTGAACCTGGTCGCCGCCGAGAACGACCCGGATGCCGCGGTTTATGGCAATACCATCGGGAAAGGTGACATTCTAGTTATTCCGTGGTTAATATTGATCCACAGCCAGACGGCGTTGCAACTTGACTGCGTGCGTCACAGTTGGGTCTGGACTCTGGACTCTGGAGGAGGGCGACTTACCGTGATGGGCAACACCAACGGCCCAATGGAGCAGTTGTTCGCGTGCGCGACCTGGGCGTCTAGAAGCAGCCAGACAAAGAGGTACTCGGCCAGCCAGAGCAGAGTCATCGCTTAATTGGGCAAGGGATGATTCAAGTCCGTCGAGGATTGCGTGGCGATTCGTGGCTGTGGCACGGGCGGTTGCTCCGCTCTCTGTGTTTTTGGGAACTGAGAGCATCGCGAGTGTGGGACCGCCAGCTTAAGACACAGCTCAAAGACCGAGACTCCCCCCATGCCGTGCATGTGGTGTAGTAGGACACAGCTTCCATTATCGCGTGTAAGAGGCCTCAGTACGCAGCCTGATGCTGTCCGACGAGGCTGTCGAGAAATAACTACTGCAGAGGTGCCTGGAGCTGATAAAGGCGTATTGGAGGATTGACATGTTGATTGGCGGCAGGTCTGAGGCTAGCCCTCAACCAGACAGGTACATCGCGACAAGGCGTATTTGGCGGTGGCGGAGCAGCGTTAGGGTCGGCGGCTCGACCGCGCCGTGATTAGTTGCGGCTAACGCTTTGCCCGAGTTTGGAATAATTGCATGGTGGCTTTCAAGCTGAAGAGAATGCGGGATTTCAGGTCTTTGGGCTAAATCATTGGGACAGGGGGGTGTTACTACCAAACACCAATGAAATGAAACCCAAGAAGTGCTTTTTACGTCTGCTGGTTTTTATGCGCTCATGGAAGTGGAATCATCGAGATTTCATGAATTTACTCCGTAAAATTCCTGATGCGGCGACACCAACTATTTAGACGGAACTTTAAAGCAATCTGCCGTCTCGCAATAACGACTTGAGTATAATCGTGCTTCGGGTAGCCGGTGATACTATCGTGATTCTACACAAGCTCTTTCAAACTTAATTATTTTCAAAGCTTCCGTTCAGCAAGGGCGTGGCTGATGTTTTGGCTAAATAGCCCTCTGCTTGGCTGGGCTTCCCGCCCCTTCCTATGTGCGTCGTTCGAGTATGTGTGCGCTATCTAGAACATCCCTCAAAACATCACGGCAGCCGACACACTTCCTCTACAAGCCACTAAGGAAAAGCTCAAAGCTACGCGTGGGAATCGCGCTAGTAAAGACAAAACGAACCCTCACGTCCTAACCCAGGACATGATCCCGATCAGACAACGAGAGCCGCGGCGTCAAGTGGGAGGACGAATATCCCAAGCGGGAGAGCACCTGGTAGGCGTCGCAAGTCAGGCTCGGAGATCATCGCTCGCATTTTCCGCCGGGTGTGGCCACCCCTTGAACCACCTAGCTACTGCCCCTGCTAATCACCAAAGCCTTTTTGGGTTGACAAAACAGTTTACAGAGTCCATAGGGTGCCAGCAGGGATGTTGGGCAGAGACGTTCGCAAACCAAGACCCCCCGTCCAAAAAGAACTCCAAAAAAAGAAGGACGAGAAAGACAAAAAGGGAAAAAAACTCAGTCAAACTTCAATGCATTATTGGGACTGTGGAAGAAGCTATTTGTGTTGTTCTCAGTGAATCCTCTCGCGACTCCGACTGAAGCTGTGGGCCACCCTCCCAAAGGTGCCGTGCTGGTCTGCACAGGGCGGACGGAAGCACTTACTACATCGGCACCGACAAGAAGAAGCCTATTGCTGTGAGTATAAAGAAGGAGACCGAGTCCAAGATGGCCCGGTTGTCACGATCCGGGGACAAAAACACGCCGCCGTACACCTAGACGAAGGGAGACAAGAGTCAAGGCGCCTGACGGACCCGACTTCAAAAGTTAGAGAAGACGGGACCCGCCCCGCGCCGAAGACTGACCCTCTACCACTCTGCGCTGCTCTTGAGACCTACTATACTATCAGCGCCTACTATATTATCAGCGACTTTGGACTTGACCGGTCCTTCGAACGGACCCTGGTCGTAGAACGTAGTGCTTCAATGCTGAGAGGTACGAGAACCTTCATGTCGAACGGCGACAAACCCCGCTCGGCTGGTGTTGCAGCTCGGTTGCCTTCTCTCTATTCTCTGATCGTCTTGCGCTTCAAGTTCGCAAACGCGTGCGTCAGTGGCAAGAAGAGCAGCGACCGTTGGCTAGTCCGTCTGCCCTTCCTAGGGAGGTGGCTAGAGCTAGCTAACGCAGAGCTCCGTTTCCCCCCGCTGACATTAATTAGTAGGCGCCCTAAGCCTCCAAAGTCATACAGTTAGATTTTACTGACAAACGGAGGCATCTCAGTAATAATTCCCCCGAGCGTGAGATAGGCTTGATAGACGCACCGGCCTCAGTAATCAAGCCGCCGGCAGGACGTGTCCCGCGTCGAGCATTGGGCACCGACGGTCTTGCACCAAGCCTGGCAGTTGATGCGCTCTGGTGCAACTCGTGCCGCAGCCGGATTTGCGCTAGGACCGAGTAAGCCTTCGTGACATGCTGGTTCCAGGCCACGGGCGGCTAGCCAATCATTAATGAGAGGCGATGTGGAGAGACTCAGCAACCCTGTGGCGGGGGCTGAAGGCTCGGCGCTGTTTGTAGGCCTGACCAGCCACGCGAGCCTGGTGGGGTGACCCTCTTGTTCGAGGCAGCGGGGGAATGGATGGGTTACGGGCACTAATTAGCTTGCCTGGCACAGAGACGGGACGGTTCACAAACATGGCTGATCTGCATCGGTCAAGCTGAAGTTTTCCAAAGCATAGCTAACTAAATAGTAAAACAGGAAATGAAATATCCAGCCGTTTTACTTCAGGTCAGCGGGGAACTTGGGGCTCTTCTTGATGAAGTCGATCCAGGTGGTCAGCTTGTCCTCGACCAAGGCGTGCGTCTCGTCGAGGCTGGCGCCGCCGTAGTAGCCGAACTCGTCGAAGAGCTGGAAGTTCTCGTAGAGCTCGAGCGCGGCAAAGTCGGGCATGCCGACGCTCGTGAGGTAGTTCTTGAACGTGTCCGCGGGCAGCTGGTAGTACGTGGCCGTCTTGCCGGCCTCGGGGAACAGCTTTTTGAAGTCCTCGACGACCTGCGCGGGCGACGTGTATTCAGTGGCGCCGTAGATGCGCTTGCCCAGGAGCTTGTCGCGGTTGAGCACGATGGCCTTGACGTACTTGCCCGTGTCGGCCGTGTCGAAGATGGGGATCGTGGCGTTGATGGTGACGGGGAAGCTCAGCGTCCATGCGTTATTTGGCGGGCTTGGCCGGAACGAGTCTGGGATGTTGGAGAGGTAGAAGCCCGGCATGAAGAAGGTGGACGGAATGCCGACTTCTCTAGCATATTCCTCTACGTCGGCCTTGCTGTCGAAGTGGTAGACGTTGGCAAACTTGCCATTCGAGACTTGGGCAGTACCATGTTAGCACACTTCTGATTGACGTCTCGTCCCAGACTGAGTAATTATATTGATTGCAGACTTACGATTGCTGATGTTGAGCAACGAGCTCCAGATGAAGTGCTGAACACCAGCTTCCTTGGCCGCATCGACGATATTTTTGCCTTGCTTTACCTCGAGGTCACGGTCCAGCTTCTCCCAGTAGTTTGTGACTGCGAAGACGGCGTAGGAGCCGGCAAGCACTCTGGCGACCGATGCCTTGTCGTTGAGGTCGGCCTGCCAGATTGTGTTAGCAACGGCGTTCTAGCTAAGCCAAGTTGCAACCATGTTAGTGCACTGGGTGGTCGGTGACTTACGGCAACGACTTCTGCTCCCTTGGATTCAAGCTTCTTGGCCGAGTCCTTGGTCACATCGCGCGTGACGGCGCGGACGGCCCAGTTATCCTTGAGCTTGGGGTCATTGAGGAAGATGTCGGCTACAGAGCCGCCCTGCGCGCCAGTGGCGCCAAAGACAGTGATGATCTTCTTGCCTGCCATTGTGTGATTTTTGTCTGCCGGACACGTAGAGAGAGGGGTAATTGCGGCGATACAGTTGTGGCGGCGGTGGTATCGTCGGACAGTTGCGGCTGTTTGATGGTAGTTATGATTGTTGATGCGTGTTGGAAAGTGAACTGATGATGGACAATCAAAAAGAACAGCGTGAGGCGGGGTGAATGGGTGGTTTATATGGCAGTTGGAGGATTAGACAAAAAGGAAGTAGGCTCCACTGCCTGCCGAGCACGACATTCATGTTTTCGAACGGCCCGTCGCAGCTTTGCGATGGGGCGTAGCGGGCCTGGAACCTTCGAGCGACTAGCTGTGCAACACACTGGGTAAAATGCACCCCCAGCCCGTTTGGGCAATGCGCCCTCGGGCCGGCAAAGTCCAGCGTTTAGTCCGTAATCTGTACGCCACCAACGTGTCTGGGCCGCCCAGACAAAGTCTTCCCGATCCCAATCAACGAGGTTGTCGCTGCGTCTCAAAACGGAGCGTGACTTACGTAAAGTGGGGCTGCCGCTCAATCGGCATTTGTCAGGAACGCTGCACTCGTAATCATTTCATCAGCATCTCAATCATCGGTATGTCAGTGTTGTGCCAAGGCTGCTGTGTCCCCACAATTTACCCGCGCGGGCACTGAAAGGGGTTCGCGTTTGGGCGTGCTTCAACGTATAGAGGACCTCCATGACGAATACGCGTGCGTATAGTACACATGGCCGACGGAGAACCTGAATAATTAGGCAGCACTGGCTGCGGACTGCGGGGTGCTGCGCGCCCCGTAGAGCATTACAAACATGCACACCAACCATCAGCCCTTTCCTAAAAAGGGCAATGCTAGAGATGTGCGAGCCCGCGTTGGAGCCCGTCCCGATACCTTAGATAGAGGCTCTGCCTACAGAGACAACTGCTCACCCAATGCAGAGTAGTGCAACCATAACATGAGACGACTTTCAACAATGCTAAATTTGGGCGCAGGTCTGCCTGCAGAGCGGATGTTCAGCGTGCATCCATGTGCGCATCTTACCCATTACAAAGGCTTAGGCCACAAGTGGGAATTGCACGGCTCAAGCGGCACTACAACATTCTGCAACATCTCCTTCCTCCACGACGGCCCTGAAGCTGTCTTTCGGCACCCCCGAAGACAACACTCAACGGCATCAGCATATTCTAGCCCGGCCTCGCTCAAAACATCCCAGTACCCCTCCAACGCCGCGAGCAAGTCTAATGCAGCCGCTGCCTCAAAGTTGCCAGACCCTGCATTGTCAAGTTTCTTTCTGGACTCGTACTCTTCAATCGGCTTGCCGAAGCACAGTTCAAAGAGGATGACATCTAGCACGTGAATTGCCGCGAAGTCAACCACCCCAGCTGACCGTGTTTCGGGCAATGATGCTGTTGGTTCGAACCCGCACGCAATGAGCGGGCTTCCGAGTTCAGATACGGGCTCCGCGGCTCTAAGACCATGGTGGCTGAACTCGATGGTCGTCTTCCGCAGCGCAGCCGTGATCCACGGAGTAGACTTCAGCTGGACAAGGGAAGACGCAAGGTCGAGCGCGACGCGATATCTTTGCCTGCGGCTGGGCTGAGCCTGGCTGCCCCGCGAGAGAATCTCAGCAAGGGTAATGAAGGAGTCCCCGGCGGTGGGCGGAGCGTCGTCGGTGGGATATATCGCACCTCGTGCCAGGAGTCGAGCAGCTCGGCCCCACGGCGGGAACCTTGAAGCGCTGATATCGCAATCGGGAATGCCCCGAGAACGACGCCCACGATCTCAAAGCTCGACATGTCGGGCTGTTTTGGCGCTGCCTCCAGATTTTTCTATTCTTGGTTCTCAGCGACACAGCCTGCAGAAACCAAGTCGAGGTGTAGTCGCACGTGAGGTCGGTTGGGTAGCGATCCGGTCTGCCTATCGGCGGTCCTCTGGCGCCCGCAGCGTGTACCATTCCCTCCTCTGCTGTCGCTGACACGCTTGAACATCAACCATCAATCCTTGGTTCACTACTTTGTATCATCGTTGACAACTATGGAGCCGACTCGAGCGGCGTCGGCCGCAGAAAGGGCCTCCGAAATTCGGTGCCGACTTAACAGTATATCGGCCGTCACAAGCGCCGGAGCCCCACTCATCTCCATTGAGGATGTCGGTAATCTAGCCGACAGGTTCAAGCTCTGGGCCGGGAACATAGGTGCCGATCATCCTCCAAACTCCGCGATGTCTTTGGAATATCGCCCTCGAGATGTCCCCGAGGTCTTCCGCGAGGTGTTGAGTTTACTCGATGAACTCTCCGAAGCCGTCGGTGATGGTATGTAGCCAATAATTCCCGCAGAGAAACTTGAGTTAGATCCAATGTGTTGACCTCGCTGGTGGTGCTTAAAATTGTCTCCGGAAAGCGAAAGAATCGTGAAACATGCGACTCCGCTATGCTCGACTGTGAGGACGAAGGAAATGAGAGCGATTTTGAGGACGACGACAGAGAAGATCTCGGGGCGGTTACAGACGAAGCGCCTGACATTCTTGACATTGCATCAGACTGTGTCGGCAATCTATTCAGAATCTCGATGCTGATTCGGAAGGCGACGCCGCGAGACCGGTTCGCCAAGACGCTTCAGGACCGGCGACACCCCTTTATGGACCAGTTCGATATCAACTACGTTCAAGAGAGATATCCACGATTAGCGCATCCGGGGAAAAGATGGCTACTTGAGCGCCTGGGGCGCGCCATCACAAACCGGAGGCAGTATTTGCGCTACTGCCGTGAGCACAAAGAACGACTTGAGCAACCATGCATCGAACGGAGCTCAGCTTCAGCCAATGTGGCGCCCGTAGCAGAGCTTTTGAACAATTTGTCTGACCCAAACAGAGTTGGGCCTCATGCAGCGAGGCAGGAAAATTTTGAATCTGTTGAACAGCCGTCTACAAACCTACCCAATAAGGCGCCGCAGAGCCTGTGGGCGGAGCCCTCGACCAAAGCATCGACACTGGACAATACACGCCTTAAGGTCATAATGGGGCAGCCAGACGACTACAACGGTGATGAGGATGAAGATGACGGTCGGACGTATTCTTCGGCCGCCTCGTCGGTTTGCCTCGAGGAAGACGGGGCCCCTCTCCTCCTTCCGTCACTAGGAGATGTCAGCCAAGGCAGCCCCGAATTCGAGTGCATTCTCTGCCGCGGGATTAAACGATTTACCCGAGAGAAGACCTGGAGGCGACTCGCGTATCGCGATCTCAAAACCTGTGTCTGCACGCTCGGGGATGGGGAATGCAGTCTCGAGATGTTTAGCGACCAAAAGACATGGTTTGAGCATGAAATGGAAAGACACCGGGGGGTTTAAGTCTGCAAGATTTGTAAGAATGGCCCCTTTCGGTTGCTGGGTACCTTCCAGGCTCATATCGCGACTCGTCACGCCGAGCTCGACAGCGCCCAAGTGTCAGCTCTCATCAGCGTGAGCAACTCAATGCCAAACGCCATTCCAGCTCAGGACTGTCCGTTTTGTGGCGAGTGGGAGCAGAAGTTGAGACAAACGCTTTCTGGGAATGGCAGTTCTCGTTCAGGTGATAATTCTGACGAGGTTGTGACGGTGGACCCGCAGCAGTTCCGCCGACACGTTGGGGAGCATCTCCGTCAACTATCTCTGTTCGCAATCCCTCGCGCGCCCGAAGGTTCTGGCAAAGGAGGCAGCTTCAGTGTTGGTGGCAGAGCCCGGAGCTCATGTAACAACCCCAGTCAGATGTGGTCGTCGAATGGCAAGCTGTCCTTCCGGACCGTGTCTGTTCCTAGCGTGGAAATCGAAATGCCTCTTGGGCCTGAGACCCGCGAGTCAGAGGGAATCGAGTCAGGGGAGGCGAACCAGAAGAAAGCGACCCGGAGGAAGGAGAGCCAGAGGAAGGCGGGTCAAATGGTCGCAGGTCAAAACACCATGATAGCAAGGACAGCGGGACGGGGGCTCGCGAGTCAAAGCCCCGCAAATCAAAGCTCAATGAGATCTTGGCCGCGCTATGGGGTGCGACAGGCTCCAACAAGGGCCAAACGAAGGATGAGACTCAAAAGAAGAACCAGAAAATGATCATCATATCGAAGGCAGGGAAGATCCGGAGTATCGACCACACGATGCAAGAGGTCAGGGATAAGAATAGACGGAACAATGCCTCACTGAAATTCATGCAGTTCGAGTACTGGCTGAGAAACGACCATCGCATCCCCACAGGCGTTCATCTAAACTGTATTCGCCACCTCGAGGGGTTGGGAAAACATTGGGCGTGCCTCGAGGTTGACTCCACGAATGAAGCGCTCTGCCTACACGACGATTTGTGCAGGAAAAGAAATGTTCGCATGCATAAGGGGAAATTAAGCCTCTGCTACTTGATTGACACCCTCTATTTTTCCTGACCTCGGATGCCTGATGCGTTCTCGCTAGGCCTTTATTCTATCAGCGCCAGATTCGCTCTGCGGGAGACTTGCCGAGTTCAACTCCTGAATCATCGCTACAATTCGCGGCATGGTGAGGGGAAACGGCTGTCTCTAGCCAGTGTCAGGCAGGCATGGCAAAGTAGACCATAATCAAAACTGCCAGCTGGTTCTGATATCGAGCTCAGCAATTATCACGTGGAGGGCATCAAATCACTCCATGTTATCTACCTAGTCGAAACAGAGAGGGGAAAGGTAGATAGGGGCATCAGCAACACCACCGGTTTGGCTAGAACCGGCTAGCGAGATTGACAGGCACGGGCCTGAGTGTTTCTTTTGTCCTCCTTAACAGAATCAAGTCGCGCTGACTGTTGGCCTGCTGCTACGGCCACTGTCGGATGATCATTATGCGTTTAGTTTTCTGACAGTAACATGTATATGATATATCGCATTGTCGCATTGTCGAATTAACCGTGTACATATGTTCCTTGGATGTAAAATACTTCGATCGTGTGCTCTCTTGCAGTTGCCACGCACACTGCAGTTCAGTCATTGCTGCCTGCGTCGAACTTTGGCTCGGACCGTCTCAGCTCTTTCTGGGCATGATGACGTCATAACCCGGCAGCCTTTCCAACATGCCGCAAGTTCGCGACTTAGACATCGCGACTTAGACATCGCGACTCGTACATCGCGACTCGGACTTTGCCTGTCCTCCCGGCAGCCAATGGGGTTGGATCCACAGGCAATTGGGCCGCCTTCTTCTTTTCTTTTTCCTTCTTTTACGAGTGACTAAGCGAACCCGGCTTCCGTCTTTTCTGCCGGAGGGGCCCCCAGGGACGGGCCCGGGGGCGATGCCTATCCGCCATTCTCACTTATTAATCGCAGAAACAGGATGAATTAGTAAACATTGACTAGACTTAAGCTACAATCACCTCGTCCGAGGGAAATTTTGGGTTACGTTGCTCATTATAACCCCTTCAGGATCGTGATACCATCTCGCCTGCTATGGGGCAAGCCTAAACGGCCTGTTCACGAGAGCGTCCCAATATGTATTCTACACGAACGACGACGACATGGCGACTAAGCCCTCTCGTTCTCCACCAAAGGCGGTGCATTGGGGTTCCTGATCAGCGGCGGGGCGTTGGGATTTCTGATCAGGGGCCTAGCATTTGGGTTTCTCATCAGGGGCGGCGCGTTCGGATTCCTCACCAGGGGCGGCGCGTTCGGATTCCTCACTAGGGGCGGCGCGTTCGGGTTCCTCACCAGGGGCGGCGCGTTCGGGTTCCTCACGAGGGGCCGTCCACCAGCGCTGGCGGCAGGTCTGGCCGATGCGCGGGCCCTTCTCAACATCTCCCGCCTCTCCGCCTCCCTCTCCCTCCTGTCCTCCATCATGTGCCTCTCGGCGATCTCGGGGATGCCAAAGGGCGAGTGGTCTGCGGGGCCGGGCGAGGCGTCGCGCACGTGGACTGTCGGGAAACCCGAGTTGTCGTCGAACAGGGCCAGCGACACCCAACCCATCTCGACCTCCATCTGCGCCTTGTCGGCCGTGAACGACGCCTCGCTGAAGTCCTGCAGCAGCGCGCGCCCGGGCGAGTTCGGGCCGCCGTCCTGCACGATCAGGAAGCTCTTGCGGCGGAGCCTCGGCCCGTACACGATGCCGAGGTCGTGCAGCGCGGAGATGGCGGCGCGGCACTCGTCGAGGTCGCTGGGCATGGGGAAGCGCGCGTGCGGGAGGTGCTCGATGGCGAGGCCGATGATGCGCTCGGAGCGGTCTCCCTTGTTCTCGACGAGATAGGCGAGCAGGCGAGGCGCGATTTCGTTGCCGTGGTCGTGTATGACGGCGTATATGCGGGCCGTGTTGTTGAGGTCGCCCAGGTCGGGCATCTGGCGGTGCCGGACTGGAGTCACGGTGTCGGTGACAACAAAGACCTTTTCTGCGCCGAACAGCGTCAACTTCTCCTGGGCCGTCATCTCTCTGAAGCCGGGACCCTGGCCTTTCCAGATCATGGGGCGGCCAGGATCCCACCACCCCTCCTTCTGAGCGCCGATTTCAGGCATCAGGCGTTGGTGTGGTGGCGGATAGTCGACGCGCGGGACATAGGCAGGGCAGGGGCCCTCGATGCCGGGAAACCGCTGGCGCTCGGTCGAGGCAATGGCCAGGCTGTTCCCGCTCCGCTTCAGGTGTGCAACATTCCAGTCGCCGTCCGGGAGACTCATGAAGTGGAAGGGCCAATGTTGATTTCCGAATCCCTCCCTGTGGTCCAAGTGGCAGGTGAAAAAAAGGTACTTCACCATTAGATCCCGCTCACCCAGACCGCATGACTGAACCCGGTAGTAGCCTTCCAAGGTGTCTTGTGGCAGGCCAGGGGCTGGAGCCAACTGTCCGGGTGCCACCTGATGAGATATGGTAAACTTGGCCTGATACTCGGGCCATCTGCTTTCTGGCCCCGACCCTGGGGACTCTGCTGGGTCCCAGTCCGAGCCAGACTCTGAGTCTGAGTCGGCGAGCTCGATAGGCATGTTTTTTTTCCTCTCTTTTTTTGGTGCGTGGTCTTGCTGGAAACTTCCAATTGAAACTCCTAGCTCGGCTGCGAAAGAAGAAGGCCGTTCGGGTCCAAGTCGTTGCAATGTGAATGAGGGGATGAGTCCCTGCGGTGAAGAGTTGGGTTATATCCAAGGATTGCACCCCAAGGCTCCTGCGCCCCAGTCCCCGCTGCAACAATTGGCACCTAGCCACCACGCTAGCAACAGTTTGGGGACTGACCAATTGCAATCAGCGTCTTCCGTGGCTGTGTTGGACTAGCACTCGATTTGCGTGCATACACACAGTGTGCAGCGCGCAATTGAAGGCAAAAATCAGAAAGGGTTTCCACTGTCTAAATGCACGTCGGGCTCGGAAAACAGATTTGTTACCTGATTACGGGAGGGAACTCCGCCTTGATGCGATGCGTTCGGTGTAAGCAGTGCAAGCACCATCTGGACTGGACGGACGTCTTGCCTGACCCTAACCCTGCGCCGCCCAAAATTAAGGGTACCTAGATCGGAGTGCTAATCTCTAACATCGTCCTCATGAGCAGGGGAGTCAAGCGCAGTGGTCTTTCAGTCTAGGCGGAAAGATTGGCATTGGTTTAGGTGGAAAAATAAAGGTAGTTGTGTGATAATTACACTTCACAGGTCATATGAGCGGCGATGGCGGTCAACCTAAATAATTCAACTACGGTTGGAAGTGGGCAACTTGGGATTTTGATTTCCTGTTAGACGGTGGGCGCAGCGTTGGCGCAGCGTTGTGAAGGGTTCGATGCGTCAGCCAGCTCGTGATGAAGAACAAAGCGGATAAAATTGATTCACATTACATGGATAACATATGCATTAAGAGAAAGGAGAGAAATGGACAAAAGCACAACGGATATCGTCACAGGCAAATCATGGCGAGTCACCCGTGTGGTAGGAAATCACGCAAGACATTGGTGTCTCTTGGAACTATCTACTAATTGCTATCTAATCTAATGTACTGAAGTGGCCATACAACTAATCTCTATTCCGGTGCTGTGTGCTGGTGTGTGTCTATCTATCCCCTATAACTGTCTCTTGATTTGTTGAATGATACATGATGTTGTGTGTACATTCTAGGCACTCCCGCCGAATATCTAATCTAATTATGCCGAATGTATGATGATGATGCGCCGAATATGTCATGCTGCCGAGTCTGGAATGCTGCCGAGTCTGGAATGCTGCCGAGTCTGGAATGCTGCCGAGTCTGGAATGCTGCCGAGTCTGGAATGCTGCCGAGTCTGGAATGCTGCCGAGTCTGGAATGCTGCCGAGTCTGGAATGCTGCCGAGTCTGGAATGCTGCCGAGTCTGGAATGCTGCCGAGTCTGGAATGCTGCCGAGCCTGGAATGCTGCCGAAGAAGTGAAATCGCTGTGTTGCCACGTCCGTGTAAAGTGTGCTTATATGTTGTGGATGTGGGAAATCAATGCCCGCTCATGGAAAGGCCTGGCAAAGTTGTTAACATCTGGAGTCCGGACTACGCTCCCTCGACTATAAAGACAAGAAGAGCCCGTTTTGGGAAAGAACAAAACACAAAGTACTTACGGAGAGATGGAATATTCAGTCTGTGTCGCTCATCCTGTGTCTCCGACGGTGGAAAATACTGCTATTCACGAGTCGTACTTCCAGTATTTGTACTGGCCCGAGTGCCAGTGCCGCTCCTTGCTCCGCTGGTACTTGAGGTCGGCGCTGCAGCGCTTGCAGTAGCAACGGCTCTTGTGGTCTTTAACGATGACGCGCTGGCAGCCCCATCGCGTGTAGTAGTCGGGACATGGCTCGAGAGTCCAGCGCGTGGAACACCCGCAAGACCAGGAATCTCTGTCCTGTCTGCACATGGGCTGGCTCTGCTGCTGGTTACTGGAGGGGTTGTCGAGTCCTTGGTAGGTTTCCGAAGCAGATGGGCGCTCTGGAGAGCGTTGGAAGACTCCTGATGCTGACGGAGATGTCTTGGTCCCGCGGATATCGGGTAACGCAGCGAGACTTGTATCGATCGAGTCGTATATGATGATTTGATGGCTATGGTGGACCTGCAGTAGCGGCAGGGAGAGGGAGACCCGCAAGACCGGATCTTGCTTGAGACATTTTATATATGACAGCTCCGGCAAGAGGCAGCCTCTCTCGGGCAGTGTCCTCCCAAGGAAAGCCACTCCGCCGCCTAGAGGCCATCATCACGGGGCCTAGGTGCTATGTGGGAGGGCTTGGTGAAGATGCACGAGCACAGTCTGTGTTTGTTGGGGCGGGTGGTCAACCGAGACGGCCCGGCTTCTTGCCAGAAAGAGAAAGAGAGCATGTGCATGCGTGTGTGTGTGCCTGGGTTTCCAGGCTGCTCTTCCGAGCTATCAGTTTCCGAGCTGGGTGCCGGGGCTCTACCCGCGGTTTCTACCTCATATCATAGCCACGGCGGCCTGGGTACGGCGCTAGAACGGATTACACATGGAAGAATTCCATGGGAATTCTCCATCGACTCCAGCGAGTGACCGAGTCGCTGGGACACTCCCGACTAGACTAGGGGCTGGGGGTACATGTCCGAAAAGCAATGCACAAGAGCCGCGAGTTTCGCGGCCGGGCGTTGTGGCAGGCGGAATGTCGACATCGGCCACTGGATTTCGTCAAACGTTCAACGTCTGCAGGGGTTGCGGCCCGATCGGGCGGGCCGCTCAGGCAGGGTCCAGGCACATCGATTGGCCACCAGGCGTCGAAACGGGCACGCCTGTGACGACAGGCCCCGTCCCCGTCCCCAAACATCAAAAAAACGAGTGGATCAAAAGCTCCCCAACGATCCACCATTGGCGCTGGCGCACATCGAGGCGGACTCTAGACTACCGGCCTTGCAGATCACGGATGATGCATCGCCTACATTTTCCCATCCGCGAAGACCTGCTGCTGGTAGCGGCGCTGGCACTTGCCCGACCCGACAGTCTGGTAACGGCCGCTAATTGGCCGGCAGCCACTTGTAGCCGCCGGGTTCAAGAGAGCCTCGAGAGTCACCTTGGGCCCACGCGGCGAGTGTCCGGCCCTGCCCTAGGGTCTCCGAACTGGCCGGATGTACTGCGCACTGGGGTCGGGTATCACATGATATCCCGGCCATCCTCTCTGCGCTCTCAAGCTCCCTCCTGCCTTCCTAGCAGTTGTTCAACTTGCTGCCCTCAACTTGCTGCTCTCGACTTGCTGCCCTCAACCTGCTGCCCTGACCGAAGTATTAAGGCCTCATGGCCCCCGACGTAATTTGTCCGAGGTTGCTTCTGAAGGCTTTCCGTCTCTCTTTCTCACTCATCCTGGTCACTTGGTGGTCATTGCTCCCGTCCAAGAGCCCTCGGCCGATGCCCAACCCGGGCTGAGCAGCAACGGCACGGTCACTTTTCCAGGCTGCTGGCCTACGCGGCGGACCCTAGAGCCGAGTCTAGCCCGCGGGCACTGAACCGAGACCTCGACATATTACTGCTATCGACAAGCAAAGGTTCGAGAGGCCAACCCGAGCACTGTTGCTGACAGTCTCCTTTAGGCGCCCAATCTGTCGTCTTTCAATCTCTACATCCAATACCTCTTGACGTCTACCTAGGTACGTTCCAGTTTCTTACTCCCTCCCACTTCTCATCATGCCGACACTCTCCGGATCTTCTCAAACGCCTTACTGCCTCAGCAAGTTGGAGTACATCCTACCCTGTCAAGCGATCCTGAACCATCACCCCCTCTCGGCCGTTACTGCCCCGTTGATCATCGATACTCGGAGAAGGGGCCGAATCACATGCAAACACGGAACGTGATTGATGACAGAGACCGAAGGGGGCGCAGCCAAATTCCAGCCTCTGGATCTATTAGGCACAAAGACTCCAAGCGCGGTCTGATGATTGCCCCCTTCACCTCTTTCAATCCTCTATTTATTTTCAGCCACAACAAGTTGCTAAATTACATGTAAATGCAAAGGCTGATTGACTACAAGGTCCAGTGATCAGAGAAGTGCAGCCTCGCCTGGATCTAGGCACAAAGACTCAGAGCGTGGTCTGAAGACCGACCATTACTCTGTACGATCTCATCGCCGAACAGCAGTCATCAGTGTCATCCTCACGAATCCAAACAGCCGCAGTACCTCGACAACCACAACCGCTCTGTAACCAGGATTTCATCCCCATGCCACAATCTCTCTAATTACAACCAACCAACATGCTTTCCATTCCACAGAACTACTCAGCCCACGCTAACCTAGCCCAGACACGTACCTGATCAACAGCTACCTGCCCAATCAATGCCACATCCCCGCCGTCTCGGCAAATGCCATGACGCGCGCATGCAGCTCGCCCGCGCGCAGCGCCTCGTAGATATCGCCGGCCATAGAGCCGAGGATGCGGCCGTGGGACGCAAGGCGCTGCTGGTGCTGATCCGGACCGGCATAATTCACCCCGGCCGCGGCCGCGGCATTCTTGAATAGCATCTCGTTCTGAGCCCTGCGTAGTAGTAGCGGCGGATGGTCGTCGACGCCGCGGTTGAGTGGCACGGCGAGGTCGCGGCGGACGAAATCGTAGACGACGCGTGAGGCGGGGCTGATATAGCGGTGCGTGGTGGTGTCTGGCGCGTCTTGATCGAGGAAATGCGCACGTATTTCCAAGAATTCGCTGAACAAAATTGACGACGCCCGTTCCATGAACTTTCCTATGAATTTGTGGCTAATGCTTTCCTCGCCCGTTCCCCAGTTTATAAGTTTCAGAAGAATGGCGCCGAAGGAGTCATTGACCGCGGCCCCGCACCGCTCGGCCAGGTCGAGATGCGACAGCTGGTCCCAGCGCTGCAGTATGGAGTCGATGGCTTGGTTCCCCACGCGCTCGTCGAACGCGTCGAAGTTGTAATCGGCGTTGCCAATCTGGCGACTTTCGGGATCAAGCCAGGTGCGCGCTGTCTCGAGGAGCGGCTCTCGCACGCGCGCGCGGAACTCGAGCTGCATGCACCGCAGGTCGAGCGCCTGGCACAGCGTGTAGATGTATGTCGCCGCCATGAGCGAAAGGACCTCCAGGGCCTCGAGGGCGTAGCGCGCCGTGGCGAGCGCCATCGAGTTGACCGACTGATTGGTCATCTCGGCGACCTGGACGTGGGTGCTCATGGGGTGAGCTAGATATGCCAGCTCAGACATGTAGGCCGCCATATTAACGTCGAAGCCCTTGAAGGTGAACGAGTCGCTAGGGTCATCGGCACTCAGGTTGGGCGGCAGGCCCTTGTTAGTCTGGTTGTTGATGAGCTCGGAGCTCTGGGCGAAAATCAGCCGGCCCAGGTTCTGCAGTGCCGTCATGGTCTTCTCCATGGCCGACGTAATGGCCATGGCCTGGAAGTTGCCGCCGTGGTGAACTTGGCCCGTGGCTGCGTCGATCAGGGGGTTGTCCGTCGTCGAGTTGAGCTCCGTCGACACCTGGCGCGTCGCTAACGCCAGATCCTCGAGCTGGGGGCCAATCCACTGCGGCGCCGTCCTAAGAGCGTAGCGGTCTTGGGCCAGCCCGACACGCTCGGGCTCGCGATCTGGCGAGATCTTGGACCCGGCAAGAAAACTCAAAATGTTCGCTGCGGCCTCGGTCTGGCCATCGTGTGGTCGCACCGACGAGATGAACGGGTGGTAATTGTGGGCGGTACCAGCGAGCGCTTCAGTGCCCATTGCCGTGAGGAGCTGCACCAGAATGGCGAGCTGGTTTGCCTGGTGCATGACAATGGCCGCTGCCGCGCAGCTTGGGGCCGTTCCATTGGTGATCCCGAGGCCTTCTTTGGCCTGCAGACGGACGGGCTCCAGGCCGGCCAGCTTCAGTGTTTCGTTAGCTGGGAGAGTCATGCTCTTAGCCTGCTCGCCGCGAAATTTGACGAAAATGTCCGGGTTTCCCTCGATAGCACCTGCCACATACGACAGGGTAGACAAGTCACCCGAGGCAGAGATGCTCCCCCTCAGCGGCACCACGGGTGTCATGTCCCGGGCCAAGAGCTGCATGATTGACTGTATGACACTGATGCGCACACCCGAGTGGCCGCGCAAGAGCGAGTTGCAGCGGATGAGCATAGCGGCTCGCACAATGGGGCCGGGCAGGGCGTGACTTCGAAGCAACTCATTGGACCGTCTGCGAGGGTCTGGCCGCCCATCTTCCCGGCCCTTGCTGCGCTTGTCGCTCTGCAGCAGGATTCCAACATTGAGGTGCTGGACAGCAGCGCTCTGGAGGCGTTCAAAGTCTGCGGTGCGGGTGTCTGCGCTGCCGCCGAAGCCGGTATTGACGCCGTAGATGACCTGACGGTCGTCAAGCTGGCGCTTGAGCCAATCGACGCTATCGGCGACATTCTGGAGGATGGTTGCATCGTTGGTGAGTTTGGGTGTTGCCCCGTGCCTGCCCGAGAGAAAAAGAAGCGAAGTGAGCTTTGTGTTCCCTTCAATCATATCTCAGGTTGACGGCCACGGCGATTGTGGCGTCCAGTTGAAATACTGACAAGGAAACGGCAACGACGTCAGCGATCGACAAATCACTTCCTGTAATCGAGACGGCGTCTTGTGCTGCAAGCGTCTTCTGCAGCCGCGCCCATTCTGCCCGTGCAGCTGCCGCGTGTGGAGCACGAACACTGCCGGCGGTTGCTGATTGCATCATGTTGTGCGTCCACCTTGCCGGATCTAGCTCTTGGGTTTGTGTTCGGGTTCGGGGCGGAGACGGAATCAGGTTGCTAGGCTGTGGGTTTCGGGCTGCAGCCGGGAGTGCCGCAAGTCTCGACTGTGGATTGAAGAAGCACAAAGGTGAGCAATTTTAACTAAAGTGATTGGAAAAAGTGGGCAGTTCTCCCAGGGAAGGATCGAGAAGAGGGAAGTTAAAAATAAAGCTCGGGCCGAACCGGGGCGAGGAACTGCTCTGCAAGCCAGCAGCTCGTGCTTTGTAACGTTCTAATCTGCTTGTATTTCTACGTATCGAGTCGTTTTGCTGAATCTGAACTCTAAGCTCGCCCTTACACCGCGAGGTATTTTTGCTTCCTCACGGCAAATTTCGGTCCGTTGGTGTCCGTTTGTGCATGCCTGGCGTGCATATGCGAGAGTATTGGCAAGTTCGTTAGACCATTGGCACTCACCGCCACACTCGTTGATGGCCAATAACATCACAGACCACCCCATAATAATTCACCGGTCTCAAAAGCTCCGATCCTAACGGCGTGGGGGGTAGATAGTTGTTGTGCGGAATTATTTATTGCGGTTGCTCTTTCCAAACAAGAACAACTCCAGAGATCTCTCCGTTCTGTGCTCGCTGTTAGCCTCAGAGTCAATCCGTATCTGAACGAATATTGCGTGCTCAATTTCTCAGAGAATAATAGCCCCAATCTAACAATACATGAACTCAAAGTGGAGGTAAAGTCAAGAGGTATTTTAGTGACATTGCCCATAGATAGTGACATTGCCCATAGATAATGACATGGCTAGCTCCCGCAAATCACTTGAAATGCTGCACTAGAGACTGTTCATCTCGGGTTCTAGATCGAATTTCGTCGGATTTATTGCATCTCCATTCCATATTATGGCCGGAAGCTGCCATTCCATACTCTGATGCCGTAGGTGCAAGCGACGTGGATTGACTGATGATGCGAGAATTGAATCAGCATTAGCTACTATCATTATCATTCATTAGTTGCAATGAAGTTCTCAGCAAACAGTAGTTGCCTGGGTGGAATGAGACATCATTTCGTCTTCCCCCCAAAATTTCACATAGTAAGGGCTTAGGCTAGACAATAATTGCATTTTTCACCCACCACAGAGCCGAATAAACTTTTCGCTACTCTGGAAACGGATAGTGATTAACTGCAACGAACCCTCAATTCATGGGGCAAGGGTCAGGAGGGCAGATTGGAGAGTGAAAGGATCAGACAACAACCATTTCCGACAAAGTCTAGCCAGCTTAGGTAGCTCATAGTACCGCTTCTTCTCAGCGAAGTCGCCTTTGCACTAGCAGTCTCAGGGATTAAAAGGCATCAGATTTCGCGATCGGGATCGTGGGGAAACGAAGGAAAAGGGGGGAATTCTCATGGGCTGGTTGGTGTTGACACTGGAAAGGAGAAGTGTCTTCTTTTCCAGTCCTTCAGATATTAAACTGACCCGCTTAACAGCCCAGCATCATTAGAAGCCGAAGAGTCTTATTATAGAACTACACCTCGGGCATGGCAGTGCGACATCGAAGCCCTTCCACAGTTCAGTCTACTACCAACATTCCACGAATCGCACATTAGTGTCTTAGCGGCAGCAGCTACGGGTTTAGCTGTTAGGCTCCGAAATTACAAAAAAAAAACTTCCCCCGGTAGGGTACGGTCAACTGATCGTCGATGATCTTTGGCATGTGCATAACCCCTGGTATTATGGTCGCATTTCTGTCGAACTTCACGAATGACTAGTGCGTCGAAGTAGCCTCAGAGAACCGGTCTGCTACCGGGACTCGAACCCGTAGCCTTAGCGGAAGGTGTGCGTTTCAACGCACCACTATTCCGCTCGACTATTACCCCCGAGGCCCGCTGTTAAGGTGAGTGCTCGAGCTGATAGATATATCCCGGTACGTCTTGTACTTGTACTGTAACGTATTGGACCTAGCCGAATGCCACCTCTGCCGGGCCGGCGACAAGTTGCAGCCGCACATAGGTACTCTGTATTCATCCCCCGCCCACATATTTTCCCATCCTTGGACCTTGAACATGTGTCGTCGCGACTCGTACAGCCGAGCTGGATCAGTGATACCGGACGTAGAAAAGGAGTGGAAGTTCCGCCTTTTAGAAAACCACCAAAGTGAAAACAGGGCAAGCCTCAAAGTAAGAAGCGGTAATATCGCATATTTGACATGTCAAAGAAAGGCAAAGGCGCGTATATAGATCCGAAAGCCGTCGTTCTCGTACTTTTGCGTCTTAGCCGCCGGCGCGAACTAGTACCTCGACTCGAGGTTGTGGTAGTGGATCGTCGAGTTGGTGTTGTTCGGGATTTGCATGATCCCCACAGGCATGATGGCGGCTGGGTGTCTTTGACTGTTGGGAGAACGACGGAATGGAGTATCTGGAGTGCGGTTTGAGCAAAAGGGAAGTCGAAAACTGTGCGATATTGTTCAGAACAATTAAAGTCTTGTTGATAGATGGGGAACTGCAACGCAGATGGAAAGGGAGGAAGGACGCATCCACCTATAAAGCAGTGAGCCGGCTCCGGTGTCCAGTCGTATTACTATTTGGTGGCTCAGACTTATTCCACTACGGTCTATGGATTTTTGAGGTACGCCCGGAATGTCGCCGGCGTCAGACCGATAGACATGTATGGCAAGGTTCTCTCAGTGGATGCTATCTACTGTCACAAGTTATTCCACTCCTGCTCTTAGTCATAGTGTCTGGACAAGACTCAAAACACCAACGCCGACGAGATCTTACAAGTTGGACCTAATGCAGCGAGTTTATTAGCACGCAAACCACGTAGCTGGGATATTTTGAGTCTTCCCTCTGGTGTTCATTGTCGAGAAGAACATTCGCCGATTTTCGGGCATCCCATGGATGACCCTAAGGCAGCAAGACTCGGAAAATCGAATCCCAAAAAATCAAGCAATAAGCGGAGTAGGCACATAATTATTTCACAGAAGTTAATACCGGTAACGTTATCGGTAGCATTTCCTCCTAAACGTAGTTGTGTAACTCGGCACATTCAACTTGGCGTAGGATTTGTAACTAGACTTAATTATCATGATAAAAATGAAATTGTTGTGACATGATATATAGGGATCTCCCATTCGGTAAACCCTGGTTTCTCGCGCAAAATATGAAGCCAAAGATTGTATACTCCGCGTTCCACAATGCTCGTGAGCATGATACTAGCTCTTTGCTCAGTTTCCCCGGTAATCCAGCCCATCCCCGTCTCATAAACACCATCTACATGCAAGCAGCACCATCGATTCCGATCACCTTCCCGTTTACCCATTCACCGTCCTGGGAGGCGAGGAAGCAAACAACACGGGCGATGTCGATCGGCAGACCGACACGGTGGAGGGGGGACCAGGTTGCGGCGAACTGTTACACATGCGTCAGTGATGCTGATTAAAATAGCATAGATTGTGATTAAAATACCTCATCAACACCATCGTCATCAAGGTTGGCGCCGTTGGGGATGTACTCCCTGCAGACTTGGTGGTACATATCGGTCTTGATGCCACCAGGTGCAACGGCATTGACGGTGATCTTCTTGTCGCCAAAGTCTAATTCAAATGTCAGTAAATAGGAAAATATACACCCGGAACGGAAATTCTACGCACCAATGGCCATGCACCGGACAAATGTCTCAATGGTGCCCTTGCTGCCAGAGTAGACGGCGTGCTTTGGAACGCCCTTGGCCTGTCCGGTGATGGATCCCATCAGGATAAGGCGCCCGCCAACCTCGAGGTGCTTGTAAGCTTCCCGAGCGACGAAGAACTGGCCCCGCGTGTTGATGTTGAAGACGCGGTCAAACTCTTCGGGGGTGACGTCCTTGACGTGGCCGAACGAGACAACGCCGCTGTTGGAGCACACGATGTCGAGCTTGCCGAACTTCTTGACGGCCTCACTGAAGAGGCGCACAATCTGGTCGACATCTGACACGTTGGCCTTGACGGCGTGAGCGTCGGTGCCGTTCTTCTTGATCTGGCTGACCACCTCCTCAGCCGCCGAGTCGCTGTTGGCATAGTTCACGATAACCTTGGCGCCGCGACGTCCCAGTTCAAGGGCCATCTCTCTGCCAATGCCACGGCCTGTCATAGCCCCCAAGGGGCAATATTAGCACTCGCACATACATTCCAGTTCCAATCGGTGACGGGGTGATAAGGAAGCCAAGAATGATATTTGCCACGGTTAAACACCGATGAGGCGCGCGCTTTCAGGGGTCCTATTCGGGTGGGTGGCCGGATTTGGTAGGATGTGGGGGAGTGGGGTCCCCACCCCCTTGACGTCGTCGGACTTGAGTTGGGGAAAAAGTACCGACCCGTCCGGCGGTTCGAGAAGCCCCCACGACGGTAGGGCGATGCATTGACTATGCGTGCCCAAACGATACCTGCAAGAACGGGTGAAACGAAATATGCCACGACGTACCTGCTCCAGTCACGAGAGCAACCTTGCCCTCGAGGCTGGCCGATGCCAGACCGAGCGGACCCGGGATCTGGCTAAACTTGCCCGGGGTGTTGGAAGTAAGACCAGGCATCTTTGCGGCGGGTTTAGGAAGAGTTGCGCCGGAGGATGTGGTAGATGGAGCAGGTTGTGGTTTGGCCTCTCTTGTCTCTGAGGGGGACGGATCGGGATTGGAGAAGTGAGACACGAGACGGCGGAAGATGTCAGATACCCTCATTCGACGGCAGACGGCGACTGTATACAAGAATGGGAAAATGAAGAGGGGGAAAACGACTCCAGAGATGGGGATCTGGACTGGGAGTCGTGACTTGGATGAGGGTGGGTGGTCAAGAGGCCAAGTCGAGGAGAAGGCCGGACCTGCATCTTATACGTGAAGGGCTATCGGCTATTTGCTGACCGTCCGAGTGCGCTGCGCAACATGTGTTTCGCGGGCGACGGGCCCCATTCATTGTGTGTGTGGTTCTCTATGGCGGCTGTCGGACCACGTTGGAGACATGCCGGACTGTCCTGGGCTCTCCGGACATTGTGCGACCCTGGGGAGGGGCGCGCCGACACTAAGCTGTCAATTGGGGGCATTGTGCTGGCTCTAGAGATCGGCCCGTCCGTCGTTTTGCACTAGATTGGATCTGCATTTCCTGCAAGTTTTGGGCATGACAAATTTTCACGTTCCTGGGAAAGACCGGCTTAGGTTCCTGCACAGTAGAGTGCCGACGGTGAAAACCTTGGATGGTCGTCCTTTCCACGCGCCGCGAGCCGCCCCCAAACCGCGCCAATGAGGGGAAGGGGCCACCGCTGCAGTTGCGGACAAACGAGCGCACCTTCCTTCCTCCCTGTTGTTTTTCGACCCACCTCCAATAGGGAAATATCAGTAACATTGGAAGCTGCGAACGGCCAAGTGCCAAAACTCACGTTGCACTCCGTCCTCGCGGCGACTTCGCGTCTTTCCTCGCACTCTGGCTTGATGTCCGGGGCATTCCACCCGCGCTGTCTCCCATCCCGCCGCATTATTGGTCTCATTTTATTGGTTACCTTGTGTCAATCTTCCACCACTCCTTCGTAATCTCAGTATTAGGCTGGAAAGGGTGGCGTTCACCCGCATTAGAGCTGTTCCACCGGTAAGCGGTGGCGTTCGAATCCACAGCCGCTATTCATTCACATTGCTGTCGAACTGCTCTCACCTCTCTATCTAGGCATTTACCTTGGGTAATGCTAATGAAGTGGCCAGCTAGACAGGCCAAGTCCAGGCCAGTCCGAAATATCATACATGTCGGTCCGTTATTACACTAGCCTGGTGTAGCCCTCCGCGCTCGCGACAAGCCGCGACCCGAGCGGCTCAATTGCGTCAGGCAAGGCCGTGTCAAGTTGCTTCCTGCCCAGTATTGCTCGCAACCCCGGCCGCTTCCGATCTTCAAGATCCCATCAAGCTTTACTAGTACGGTGATCTGAGACGTCAACATCGGCATCTGGAAATTCTTGGCCTCAGAAGAATACAGGCTCACGACCAATCGTTTGCTTCTGTGCACTTGTTGGAGCTATTTTAAGCCCAAAGAACCTAGCTTTGGCAGTTCAGGCTTGAGCGTTTCATATATGGCTCCTCTGCATTGCGTACGTGGCTGGCCTGGGCGCATGGTTCACAGCGAATCTGGCACGTGAAGATAATCGTCTCTCTAGATTAAGCGCGAGTCTAGAACCATTAGAGTTCAGACATTTCTCGGTCGTCCCGCCCTAGTGCAGGGAAGAGCCGACCCGTGGGGTTGTATTAGAAACGCTAGCGCTTAATCAAACTGACGAACAACGGACCCTGCCAATTTAGCAAAAACAAACATCTGCAGCTATGGGAAGTCACAGAAATGCTGACCTAGGCTGAGTGCCGGTTCCCAAGGTGTCAAGCCTGCAAGACTCTGGTGATCTAGTGCGGGCGATGGCCATGCTACCCTGCGACTGTGTTCGATCACGTACAACTCAAGGGCTGCATATCTGCGATGAAGTTGTCGGCCACACAACATAGCGAGTCGAGTAGGCATATCCCATTTACGTATGCCATCGAGGCTCATATCATGCCTTAGCTTGCCGCCTCGCTCATGCAACACAGTACCCGGCCTTGTCACGGACGCCTGTCGTGTTTCCCCAGCTCAAACATGACTCCTCGCAGATGTTCACTTGCCGATGAGGGGCAGCATCTGCCCCCTCAAGTCGATGTGAGCACAGTTTGCGCCTCAAGACATTGGATCAGAAAGTCCAGATAGACGCGACCCCATGGATTGCATGCACACTCCATGAATTAGCAGTTCTACAGACAATGTGGCAGCGGCCGTGAACTCCCACATCGTCCTCGGCCATCAACAAGCAGCATCATGGCGGTCCCAGGCCCAGGAATGCAAGATCAGATGTCCCGAGGATCAGCAGACAATATGCATCGTGCAAGGTCTTGCCGACAGGATGCAGGCGCACAGCGGCTCATACTCGCAAGGCTTGGTTCTCGCAGGGTGGTGGTGCTGGGATCCTGGAGGCCGGAACCATTATAAGGATGGCGGTCCTCTCTTACCGGGTTTCGCTGTCATGCTTCTCGGCTTCAACGAAAACCGAAGCCGCGCCCTATCCTGCCGCAACAAACAAACTGGAATGACAGGCCCCTCTAGCCCTCTGACTCTCTAACACCTAGCCAGTCAGCCAGCCAGGCTACGTGGGCTGCCAACCGTCCCGCGAATAAGCCCCCAATAATTACCTTCAATCTCAACACCTTGGGTCCGCAGGGGGAGTTCCGGCGTGGCTCACAAGCTATGCCCCCACCCCCGAGTCCGAGACTGCCACGTATTCCCGCTTTGGGAAGAATTAAGACGGATGTGCAACCATGCATATGCACGCGGCGGCCCCTGCCCCTGCCCCCGCATCCCCGCCCTCCGGACCTCCGGCCGTTTTGGCCACACGTCGGCACCGTTCTTGACTCGTATTTCGCTTCCACAGTCGGACCCGAGCGGTCGGGTGCTGTCCGCCAAGGAGATGTCAATCGGCCATCGGGGCATGAATCCGGCCCGCTCGGGCGACCGACCAGCTAGTGCCCGGAGGCTTCCACTCAAGATTCTTGCTGCTCGGGCTATTGATGACTAGTTGGTAAACTTTAGCCTGGAATTGCTTGGACTCGCTTGAATGCACACGGCAGCCTGAAAGGCGGCTCAATCACGTTAAATGTGGCGGTGGGAGTGGCTGGGTATCACCGGTACCTTCTGAAGTTTCAAGCGCGCTCCACGTGTTTTTCTTCCTTTCGCCTTCTTGGCCTCATTCTTTGTCTAGTACCAAAACAACAGCTATTGATGGTGTGCTACGTTTTTGGCCATCGCTGGAAAATCAGTGCGGGCAAAACGCAACCAATGAGAGGGTATCGGGAGCAAACGTGGTTGCTACTACTGGCAGTTCACAAAGGTGCATATCAACTCGTACACGCAAAGTACAAAAATCAAGCCTAAACGATTCCTTCATTCGAGGTAGATGCTGATCAACCTCCGGAGTGGGTGCCCGGAGGATCATGTCTGGGTGCTATATTGGACACCCGAAGTGCCCCGGATGCCCAAGACAAAAACAATCGACAACCGAAGGTTCAAAAAGACAAACTCGCCGCCGGGAATTGAGCCCGACGTGGGGGTCGAACCCACAACCTTGAGATTAAGAGTCTCACGCTCTACCGATTGAGCTAGCCGGGCGAGGTTCTTGACTTGTGTTGGAGAGTGGAATCCATAATGATCGTCAAGAGCCATGCGTCTCCCGCTGACCCAGCAGCATTGCACTAGACCCACCATTCCTTGTAGTGAGTGGGTACATGCTGGATTCAGGATGCCTAGTCACATACATACACAGGACCAGTCAGTCCTAATGCATACAGTGTTACACGGGGCGTTTGCTTAGACTATATATAGCCAATGCTGATATGGGGCTGACTGAGAATCAGGATTAGCGAGGTTCTTCTTGGCAAAAGGTGAAAAAGGTAACCTCGAAAGTAAAACCCTAGAATTTTCATGAAATCACGTGCCATTTGGCAGGATCAAAAACAGTTCCTTGGCACTGAGAAGGAGAAAAGCCAGGCAACCAGAGGAGACCGACGACTGATTACCAACTGTGAACCGATTTTGAAACCCGTCGGCGTTTGCGACTGACACGGTTGTTCCGCCAAGGCAAGACACGCGGCACACGGGAGCAGAATCAGGAATCCCGGCTCCGGAGCCCCTTTTTGTTTCGTTTCCCTTAATAAATTTCTTCTTGTCAGACTATAATTAAGTGGTAGACTCACATTGAGTCTTCACTTGGCATGGTCCTTTACATCGCAGCTTTAGATGGTGTCCGCGTCAGCTTCGTCTCAGTCACCATTAGATCAGGCTACAAGATTCGAATTGGTGGTTTGGGTGGGGAGGGAGGGTTTCAATCGGTGGGCCTTTAACGAGAGAAAAAGGTGAAGAACTACAGAAAAAAACGTGGCTATGGACAAAGCACTACCACCGCCTTCCAAATGGTTTCTAGAAGCCTGGCCAGGAACAGATTAGTCCCGAACCTTAAATCCAATCGATTCTATGTGTTACCTAAGTAGATGCTTGGCAGGCCATGGACGGCATGCCATCTGGAAACAGGCGTGCATAGCCGACCCTCCCGTATTCCGCATCCTACACCAACTCCTGCCCATGATGGGAACACAAACATCTCATGGATGATGATCAGGGGTTCAGGGGGCCAGGCAACAAGGGGATTGTTTACACCCTTACCTAAAATAATCTAGTGTACTTTTTTCCTTTTTTCTTAGCCGCCTACCCACCTCGTATAAGGTGAGTAGCCTGCCCCCCCCCCCCCCCCCCTTAGATCAGAGGGAGGGCATCGATCTTCCCCCGGGCCCTTGACTTTTAGGAAAAAATCACGTCCTTTTACCATGAATTGAGATCCCCAGACTAGCGCACGCGGTAGTGCCCTTTTCTTTGTTTACGTTTGACTTTCCTGGCTATGGGACTCTGTGCCTTTACTCTGCTTCAAGCCCACCAACCTATCGAGCCTACAGCTCGATCGCTTCCATTGAGCCTGCTGTTGTTGTTGTTTTTGGTGTTGTGGTGTCTTTTCACCGCTTCAATGATGGATCCCCACACTTCTGTGCAGCGTGGAGTTGTTCCTTCGCATCCTCCCCGCCCATCCGATTTTTGATCCACTAACACCTTCACAGCCGTCTTGGTCGTCCATTCTTGGTGCCAAGATCTTAGGGCTGATGGAGGAAGACCAATCAATCACCTGGGCCAAATCCCTTTTTTCCCTATTTATGGTGGGGACACTCGATTATCTATTTTCAAAGTGGGCTCATCTTTCGCTTAGCCTTACCTATTTTTTCTTCTTTTTTTTTTCTCTTTTGGCGTCAACTGCGGCACGGCCTATTCTATGGGGAAGCAGAATCTCCAACGGAATGCCTCCCGATTTCTCTTGCAGGTAATATTCGTTCATCCTACTCGTCGCCTCGCCAATGTCGACGCACCAACGCACCACCCATCTCTGCTGTGCCCTTTCGCAACAGGTTTGGGAGTTCTGGTTTTATCGTCGCCTCCATTTTTGGGAGGGAGCTGTGGCACATGTGTGCCTTGAACATGGCAGAGAGCATCTCCATTGATTGATAATCTCATCTGCGGAAACTTATTAATTACAGGGATTGCCTCCAATAGTAGGAGGCGGGCCGTCAAACGGAGCTAGGATGGTAATCTGAAGGGCTTCTGGACTTGTTGGACTGTCCCTGCAGGCCCAACCGCCGGGGAGGCGACTGCTTATCGATTTGGGGCAACAAGGTGTGCTTGAGCCACATGGTTTTACGGCACGGTCGTGCGCTTTGCCGTCGACAAACACGAACAACGGCCACTCCAAGGGCAGTTATGGGCGCTACCGTCATCGTGATCGTTACGGTTCTGGCAAAATTATGAGCTTCCTAAAAAGAAAATCTGCCTATGTCACATAATTAGGCGTTGGGCCGCCGTGCGGTTGCCGACTGTTCTGAGATTTTGACCCTGTCCAATGTCTCCCCATGTCTTTGACGCTAATTGTCTGTTGACATGGTGTTGGTTCCGACATCAAGTCACCATGGAAAGTGACAGGGCATCGACAAATCCGGCAGGGTACAACAACCGTGACCAAGCCAGCAAATATTTTAGTGCCATAACTAATGAGGGGCGTTTCCGAGGTCAAGACGGTTGGTACAGTATCTATTCATGCAGAGTTCGTAACTGGGAAGCCGGAAACCTTCATTTATTCTCATGCATGCCCTCGGCGGTCGTCACTGCTGGTGCTGGCTCAACGCCATGGACTAGGAACCGCGAAATGGCCCATTCCAAAATCGGGTTTGTGAGTGCCGGGGCATGGAATTAAAAAATCACTTTGCGTTGAGAGAGGGGCGGTTTGGGCCTGCAACTTCTCGTGTACATTCACATCTCGCCAGTAGCAGGGTTCTAGAGGTCGAAGATGCTCTCAATTTTGTGCTCGTTTCCGGTCAGCCCCTTCTCCTTGAGGTATGTGCCTCGGCGCTCTAGCAGCACACGATAAGGCTCCTTGGGAAACGTCATATTGTCATCCTTCCAGACCTGGTAGCCTGTCTCCTCCCACACCTTGAGCTGGGCCATGAAGCCGGAATTCGGCTGTACCTTGCGTTTCTGTTTGATTTCCTTGAGAACTTGATCCAGGGGTCTTTTGTGTTTTCATGAGATAGGCGATGACGACGGCGGCGGAGCGTGAGATGCCCTTCTCGCAGTGGTCCAGGACACAGGGCGGGATCTTCTCTTGCGTCGCCACGACTTTGACGGAAGGGTGCATAGGCGGCTTTGGGATAGGCGGGAGGGCCAGTTGGGCGTCGATAAAATCACAGGTTGTGGACATGTTGGCCAAGAGGCCCTATTACGAGGTATCCGCTGCATTGATGTACAGGTAGCGCTTGCTAGGCACGAGCCGAAGGTATTCAGTGCGGGGGAACATGAGATAGCACGCGAGGAGGATGGATACAACAGAAGTGATGTTGAATTGCCGGATGGTGGGGATGTGGAGAGCCGTATCTACGTCTCCCAGGAAGAGCGATTCCTCTATCTGCGAGATTGATGGCTGGACCTGGGGAAACACATAGGGCAGGGGGGTCGGTGCCGCATTTGCACTTACATTTGCATTTGCCTTATCTGCGGCGGGGACCATGATGCACACTAAAAGAATCGGGCTTATTAGGAAATGACATCACACGGCTAGCGATAAGGAACCCGCAATACGCCATTCTGTGACAATTACTACATAAGTTGTGCTCTTGCTATAATCTAAAAGAATACGCTAGATTAAACGACTCCACTCGGCGACGGCGGCCAAAGACGACAATGTGTATGGATGCTCTTCGCCAAGCACTCGCCGCCTTGCCTGGGCACAATCCTCCATCAGTGCTAAAGCATCTCCGCGTCGACCTTGATCTTCCCAGGTAAAAGCGAGGTTGTTCATGCTCGTTAGCGTGTTTGGGTGATCGGCCCCGAGCTTGGTCTTGCTCGTCTTCATCACCTGCATGAATAGCTTCTCGGCATCCTCCCACCGGCCCTGGTTCCAAAATATCGACGCTAGGTTGGCCATACTCGATAGCGTATCTGGGTGATCGGCCCCGAGCTTGGTCTTGCTCGTCTCCATCACCTGTACGCCCAGCTTCTCAGCCTCCTCCCACCGGCCCTGGCTCCTATATGTCGACGCTAGGTTGGCCATACTCGATAGCGTATCTGGGTGATCGGCCCCGAGATTAGTCTTGCTCGTCTCCATCACCTGTACGCCCAGCTTCTCAGCCTCCTCCCACCGGCCCTGGTTCCTATATGTCGACGCTAGGTTGGCCATACTCGATAGCGTATTTGGGTGATCGGCCCCGAGCTTGGTCTTGCTCGTCTCCATTACCTGTACGTCTGGCTTCTCGGCCTCCTCCCACCGGCCCTGGTTCCTATATGTCGACGATAGGTTGGCTATACTCGTCAGCGTATTTGGGTGATCGGCCCCGAGCTTGGTCTTGCGAGTCTCCATCACCTGCATGAATAGCTTCTCGGCCTCCTCCCACCGGCCCTAGTTCCAAAATATCGACGCTAGGTTGGCCATACTCGATAGCGTATCTAGATGATCGGCCCCGAGCTTGGTCTTGCGAGTCTCCATCACCTGCACGCCCAGCTTCTCGGCCTCCTCCCACCGGCCCTGGTTCCTATATGTCGACGCTAGGTTGGCCATACTCCATAGCGTAGAAGCGTGATCGGCCCCGAGCTTGGTCTTGCGAGTCTCGATCACCTGCATGAACAGCTTCTCGGCCTCCTGCCACCGGCCTTGGTCCAAAAGGACCCCTGCAAATAATGATATACTTGCTAGAGTCGCCACATCCTTCTTTCTAAGCCTCTTCTCTTGAACCTCTCTCGCCTTGCCTAGCATATGCTGTGCAACCTCATATCTTCCTTGTGACCTTGCATACCATCCTCCGTTATATAAAAGAGTCGCCCATGTTTCAAGCATATCCTTACCCGGTTGGTAACCAAGGGCTACTTGAACGTGTAAAAAGAGGCTTTGACAGGTTGCCCAGTTTTTGTACTTTCCCGTTGGGAACGACGCGGCTATTCGCTCGATATATTGCTGCTTGAACGTCTCCTGCTGTCCAAACGCTTCCAGCCACTTTCTCGTCGACAGTTGCACGAGCCCGTGCATCTCAAATTCGCCGACACCCTCGTCCGCGGCGATGAGACAGTAATCCCTTAGCATCGCCATATCATCTTCAAATCCGCTGTCCATCTTGTCCTCTATATCGTCTAGATGGGACGTATAAGTAGGGGTCGAACAACGGCGGCAACGCCACAGATGGCGACATGAATGATAGTTTCTTGGTGTTGGTATTGCATCCTTGACAGTTCTGGGGGATTTTAGAACATACTCAGGGATACCTTGTCGATCAAAAAAGCTCATGAGTGACAGGAGATCCGCTGCAGACTGCCGCTTAGACCGGATGTACTCAAAAGATATCTGCCATGTCGTAAGAACCGCGTTCGACGCGCCTCCATCCCGCCGTAGGTCCCCAGCATCGTACTTTAAAAGGCTGCTCTTTTTGCCCTCACTCTCTCGGAACTCTGTTAGGTACTTCTCGGGTGAGCTCCGTGGCGCTCTTGCCAGTATGTAAGCGGCAGCCTAGCTAATGGCCAGCGGAACGAGGTCGAGCGCCTGTACAAGGCCGACAGCCACATCAGCATCCGGGAGCGATCCTAGCTTCTTCTCCAGAAGCGTAAGGGCGTCCGTCTGCGCCATTGGCCTGACTTCAATCATGTTCTGGCGGTGCCCCGTTAGCCTGGAAGCCAGGTCCTTATTGCGTGTTGTAATGATGATCGATCCGTTTCGACTTTGTGGAAGGTACGTGGCAAGTGGCTGCCTACTACGTCCGTTGTCGCTAGCCGCGTCGTAGAATACGTCATAGTCGTCAGCGCTATCGAAGATCATCGTCCATTTGCCATGTCGTTCGTTGGACAGCTAGCTATATACGAGCTGCGGAATGTTGGCTTGAGGTTGGTTCCGGCCGTACAGCTTGACGGCGTCGGCAATCGCCCTGAAGCCCTCTTCGACACGCGCCTGTGTGCCGGCGTGGACCCAGAATACCCATGTGTTGGGCTGCCCCGTGGCGACTCGGTGAGCGAATTCGATGGCAAGCTGCGATTTGCCAACGCCACCCAGGCCCACAAGGGCCACACGAGCGGCGGGCTTGGAACATCGCTGGTCGATTTGGTCGAGAATGTCTCCACGGTTGACAAAATCGGGGTCGCGGGAGAAGGGTATGATCGCGAAGGGGGCTGGCGGAGTTTCGGCTCGTTCTGCAGAAGTGTTAGCGTGGGCTAGGCAGGCACGGATGGCGCTAGCCTTACCTGGCGGGAGATGGAACTCCGCGTTGACCGTCCCGTAGTTCTGCCCCACCTGCTGGCCCCAGTTTCCGGCTCCGAAAGACCTGGATTGCATCATGTGCCGTTGGACGGTTGCTTAAGAGTCGATTCTCGATAGTAACGAAGCAGAAATGCTCTCTAACTCGTGCAGCTGAGTGGCTGCAGGCATCAATTCAGCTGCACGTGATTGCTGCCCCTCAGTTCTAGTATGAGGCATTTGCGTCTCTCTGCTGACGGGCGCGCAACATCATCGCAGCCTTCGACCAACTCTTCGCCATGGACCCGTTTAGTATCACAGCCGGCGTCGTCGGCATCCTCGGACCAACGCTGCACTGTGTTCGGCTCTTGGTAAAGGACCTACAAAACATTGTCGACGCGCCTGATGCCGTTACGGTGCTTACCAACGATCTGCAATCAGTGGGCCTTGCTCTCGCTTCGGTGCAGGCAGTTACGGACTCGCAATGGAAATTGCTGGGCGAGGCCGTTACTGTCCAGTCGAGAGCTACGATAACTTCCTGCAGAACTTCCTGCGAAAGGTTCAAGACCTCTCTCGGTCGCTGGACCCGGCATAGCACGGATGGAACGCTCTCCTGGCGAGACCGCGCAACCCTGGGCGTCTTTAGACAGGGCCACATCAAATCCATGTCGGAGCAGCTTCAGAACTGCAACATCACGCTGACTTCTATAGCGAGCATTGCAACCTTGTATGTTAGAGTTTAGCTCTAGAAAAGATAGGTACTAACATGTCCCAGACACAGCTCCCTCCAGCAGACGCAAGCGGCCGAAGAGATCAAGATGATGATATCAACGAAGGAGACGGCGGTTAATGATGCAATAGCAACGAGAAACGATCAGTCGGCCGAGGTTAGTGCTAGGCTGGAAGCGCTTACCCTAGAGGAGCCAGACGAAGGCGAAACGGAAGCCGATCAGACCAGTGCGACCAAGCAGGTTGCGATGGAGAAGAAAGCCCTAGGTGAATCGCGCAAGGTTTTTGAAGGGCTGCTCTCAGTGATCCAAACGGCAGCTGCAAATGCGCAAGCAGGCCAGGGACCAACAGTCACCTTTGGAAGCAAAAATAGTGGCCAGCAGGTAGGGGTGAACAGCGGCACCATCAGTGCTACGTTTGGTGGAAGGGGGTAGGACTTGTGAAATCTCTGGTTCTGTATATTTGTCCTCTTGCTTGCTTTGCTGTTTACCAACAAGCTCTTAAATCCATGTTAGACAGGTATTGATCGTCTTGTCATACGAACCTGACTACGGATTCAGGCTCCGCGGGTTCGCAACGTTGTCAGCGCCCACGCCCGGCCAGATTTGTAAACCAGGGTCTTCCAGTTAAAAATTGCGACCATCTCATGCACTGCAGACTTATAGAGTAGCTGCTGTGCGGGATGTCCCACAGCACAGAAGACAAGCGAACCAGCTTCCTCCTGTCTTCAAATCGCTATCTCGTAGGCCTAGTGGTAGACATAGACGAAATCGGTATAATATCGAGAGAAATCGCGACGCGCGGGGGAGCTCGTAGAAGGTAGCACCTAACGACCTAGTTAAGGATTAGGATTCGACGACAGGAGTTATGGAAGGGGCCTAGAAACGCCAGGGGAAATCTGTAATCGACGTATCCGTGGTAGCGCCATCTTCGCGGCGCCGTCTTCACAGCGCCATCCTCTAACAAAGAAGTGGCGGCCAAGGGCTCCGAGGAGATTTGGCAATCGAAACCGCTTCGATAAGCTCGAGCACGAGTGCTGTTGCTAACTAGCCCCCGTCGGTTTGTCGGAAATTCGTGCCTTGGCCGAACTTCGCGATGCGATCGAAAGCTTGAGCGCAGGGCCGAGAATGAGGGGCCCAAGGCGGCTGTTCTTCGGCTAAAATCGATGCGCAAAGGCCGCTAACACTTGCCAATCTCTGTACCGTTACTGTTACTGTGAGTGGCTCTGCGCAGCAGTGACTGATCCAGTGTGAAAGGACGGTTACCGGGGACGCCTGTAAGATTGTATTAGAAGAGGATCTCGATCTTGAGCGGCTCTACTCCACTCAGGATGTGGAAGCCAAGTCCCTCGTTGGGAAGGCCATTAAGCGAGGACTTGCCATCCAGTTTATCAGCAAGGTGAAGGCTTGATTAGAAGAAACGTAAACACATTAGAACTAAGTTAGTCTCTGTTACAGACTATGGTTTGGTGGGAAAATGCCCGCCTACCTACGGCAGGGCGGGCGGGCAGGGGGCCCTGCCCAGCCCGCTGCAAATTCGGCCATTAGCCTTGCATCGTAGCCAATTTATATCCAACAGAGCTGAGAGTAGTACTGTTAGAAAGCCCTTAAGAAGGCCGTCATTTTGGTATTTTGCTCATTTTCTATAGCCTAGCAGTTTAGGCTACGCTATGGAAGAAAGGTAAATTGAAAAGGTGGACTAACGTTAAAATCTTCAGAAGGTACTCAGACCAGTGCTTGGCGTTTTTTTCTGGTGTTGTAATTGGCTACAGACCCCCTTGTAAGCCTGTGGGTCCGGAAGATACAAAGCGCCAAACCCGAGTCTGAGCAGAGACGCTGGACACGCCGCACGACCCTCACGGCGCATCGACTCATCCTAGGCCCTGGCACACAAAATTTGGGGCAATCAGCACGCGACTAATTACCTTAATACCTAAGGCTACGCGGGGCATAAGTCGTCTCAAGATTCTGGGCGCGTCCACTTTTGGGCTCACTCCGCCGCCAGACTGCGTTTGTGGGCCATCATAGCCCAGGTACAAGAGGTCGGAGAGGAGGGGGCGTGGTTCATTGCACTTTGTCGAATGAAACCTGCTTAAGCTTGACGTCGGGTTGGGTGTGGATGGTCATTAATCTCGCAAGTTTCCAACATTATGGCGGGAATTCGTTCCGCGGAACCTCCACCATTCTAGTGAATCACTCTGGACTGATTAGGAGCAACCATCTTCTTGACCACAAGCTAGGCTAGGCCGAGTACCTTGAAGCTGTGCCCCTTGAGCTCCCTCCTATTTAGCTCGAATAATATCCTAATTAGTCCCATGTCACCCGTAGTCCCGGGATGTCATTCGAGCCCTAAAAAAAGCTTCCCACCCATCAACAGACACATATTTGGCATCTCAGTCTAAATTCTGATCCTAAAACAGGGGAGAAATTTTAGCAAATACATTCAAAGTTCTGTCCAGGGCATTCGTGTGGGCAAACCACGGCTCTGGAGTTCCAATTAATCACATCGGGGGTTCAAATACTAGTTAACCCAACCCACTGTCCGAGGAAGACGACATTACCTTGAGCACGAGCCGCAAAGATGCTAGGCCCCCACAGCTTGGACATCCACACGGCAACAGTCCTTCAGGCATTGGAGGATGATGAAAAGTCCAGATTCTCCGCGATCCTGCTTAGCACAGAGTTATTACCCACCTAGTGAACGAACCCAAAAACACGCCTTCCACATACACTCCCTCCCATCCCGTACCTACACCCCCTACCATTCCAGCGTTGCGTTGACTACGGCACCCTCAACTTAGCCGCACGTAACTTGGCCGCACGTTGTGCCTCGAAAATCAGGTCGAATCTAGACAACGACCCCGTGGATTCCAGATGTGCGGATGTGGAGGAGGCTGTAGTTTCAAACCAGAACAGCTCATCGCCGAATAGCCACATAATATTTCTTCCACACACTCACACACTCACCAGCTCTCAACAACAGCCTATTCACTCTTCTTCTCTCAGATAAACTCTCACTACAATTTCTCAAAATGACCAAAGTCTCCGAGCGCGAAGCTTTGTCGACCGCATCGAAAGCGAGTTTTACGACGACTCACATGTCAACGTCGAGTCCTCCAAGGCCGGCAAGATCATGCAGAGCGCCACGCTTGGGGTTGCTCTGTGGGCACAACATACTGGCGGCTCCGGCGACATTTTGATCCTGATGCGCTCGCCCGCCTCGAAAGCATTCCTCAAGAATCTCGCCACCAATGGTTTCGGGTATTCCGGGGTACATAACGGCGTCACGTACAAGCTTGTCTCACGTAAGTGTAGCCAGACCCCCCACCCCGTTCTAGGGCACTCATAGAATCGGACTTGCCTGACCACTCCGCGCCGGGAACAGAGAATACTACTGGCAGCACCACCACAACCATCTCCAGCTTGTGAGAAGCTAGACGCTCCCTCTCATAGCACATGAGGTGTTGAGTGGAATTCTGGATGGACGAATGGCTTGTCCTTGGCGAACAATGACATGAGAGATGGAATGCGCTTTTTCTTATCAGGCTGGCCCTGGCCATTGAAGATGTGGTGCAATGTTTGTATCGGGCTGGCCCTGAACCGGAGTTGGGAATAATTACAAAATAGTCTGAGAATCAAACAGTCACCTTGGACTCGTTGCTCTCTCTGACCCGTGACTGTTCCAAGACTTACACTTCAACTGGCCCTTAAGTCCAAAACTGGTTCCAACATGTGATCGTGTAAGAATGAGAGAAAATCGGAATCTCAATCCCAAAAGCAAATAACTGTTTAGGTGAAATTGAAAATAGTGGAACCTAGCTTCGAAATTCTCAGCAAGCTGTAAACAATGCCCACGTACACAATTTCACAGTAAATACAGTGTCTCGCTGTTTTTGGCTGCGTATTTCGGCGAAAACTGAAACCACGGCGCTGCTGCTAGTTTACCCCCTTTGGGGCACGCACCCCCGCTTTTCGCCCCTATCCCACGAGCATGCCGGGCAATCAGTTCGTACAGTTCTGGTTTACGGACAAAAAACCCAAGCTCCACCTATTTTGATTTTCTTTGGTCCCTATCGTTGGCGGCCAGCTCAAGGTCAAAGAACTGCACCAAATGGTCAACCACCTTGGAACATTCATGAATCCTGAGAAAAGCAGCAAGATGCATGTTTGTCCCGGCAAAAATGCCACGCAAACCCCAAACAATTCCCAAGCCATTTACTTCAAGCCCAACGCCTCCTTCATGACGTGGAGCGCGCCAAACAGCTCATTGTCATGGTGCCTCCTAGCCACAATCTGCAGCCCGACCGGCGCGCCCTCGAAGTCGCCCTCCCCCCACAGCTGCCTGACATGTCTGCACTCGTCGCTCAGCGGGACCGCATGCTCCGCCGCAAAGCCCTCCCCACCCTTGGCCAGCACCGTGACAGGCGTCGGCACAGCCACTCCAGGATAATCAAGATAATTCCAAAACGCCGCATAATTCCAGTACAGCCCCGTCTCATGCACTGGCGCGGGCCCGACAAAGGCCGGACACACGACCACGTCGACGTCCTGCGCAGTCCAGTGCGCCGCAAAGGCGACACGGAACGCATCACGCGCCACACGCAGCGCTAGCACGCCTGTCGCGCTCATCTCGCCCGTTACCTCTGTCGCCGCGGCACCGTCCCGGATGATCCACTCCGTCAGCGGGAACATGGGCTCGCCGGCGGCCGCCAGCGCCGCCTTGAGCCCGCGCCCGCCGTCGGGCCAGTACGCCGCGCGCTGGCTGGCCATCACCTGCGCGCTGCCGTACGGCGCGAAATCCTTTGTCTCGAACTGTCCCGGCGCGGCCGCGTCGAGCTGCGCGCGCGCCCAGGCCAGCGCGCGCAGCACGGGCGGCTGCGGCACGATGGCGCCGTCGTGCGTCATGAACCCGACCTTGAGCGGTTTTTTGGCAGAACCTGTACCCGCTAGCCCAGACCACGGCAGCGGCGCGAGGCTGGGATCCTGAAGATACGGGCGGGCGGCGTGCACCACAGAAGTAAACAAATCTATGCCGCGCAGCGACGAGGCGATTGGGCCGGCAGCCGCAGGCACGGTCATCGTGGCCGCGAAGCCGCCCTTGACAAAGTCGTGGATGGGGAACAGGGCCGCCGACGTCGACTTGAAGCCGTAGACGCCGGACAGGGCGGCGGGCCCGCGCACGCTGCCGCCAATGTCGGAGCCGATGCCCAGGACCGACCCGCGCAGCGCCACCAGCGCGGCCTCGCCGCCCGACGACCCGCCCGCCGACAGCCCCGTGTGGTGCGGGTTCAGCACGCGGCCCGCCGGCGACGCGCTCTCGTACGACATCACCGCCTGCGGCTGCGCCGTCTTGCAGTAGAAGACGGCTCCCGCGGCGCGCAGGATCGCTACCAGCTGGCTGTCGGCGTCGTCGACGTGCCGCGTCACTAGGAGTCCGGTCGAGCTGGTGTGGCCGGCGAGCGGGATTATCTCTTTGAGGCTGACGGGCACGCCGTGCAGCGGGCCGACAGTGATGCCGGTGCGCGCGAGGTGCGCATCGAGCTCTTGCGCGCGCGCGACGGCCTCGTCCATGAACCACTCGCTCAGGCAGCTCGTCAGCTGGTGGGCGATGATGGCGCGCTTGGCGAAGGCCGTGGCGACGGCGACGGCGGTGAGTTTGCGGGTCCGCATGGCCTCGGCGAGCGTCACGGCGTCGTAGTTTTCCGTGATGGCGAGCTCCTCGGCCGTCAGCAGCCCGCACTCGCGCGGGATGGCCGTGACGTTCCTCGGCGCGCTGTCGAAGACGGCCTGCGGCAGGAACAGCTCCCGCAGCACCTTGGCGGCGAACTCGGCCAGGATGGACGCGCGCTGCGCTTCGTACTCGGGCGGCCCCGACGGGACGGGGACCGGCTGGAAGACGGTGAATTTGGCGGAGGCCATGGCGGGCGAGCGGCTGACGCAGTGGGGCTATGTGATGTGGGTGATGTGGGAGGAAAACTGTGGCGATTTGTCTTGCTCATCGACCTGTCTTCGTCCTGTCTGCTGTCTTCATCTTTCACCACCCGAGTCCTAACCACCTCTCTTTATAGTCTCAACGCCGAAAAGGGGCCGGCTCAGTCGGTTCTAAACTATCTTCCGCGGGCTATTGATCAGCTTTAATTAGTAAGGGCTCTGTACGCGCGAATACGAAGACGAATGACAAATGCGTATCCAGAGATATTCCCACAACCAACAAGCCAATCACGACACGGTCCCCAAAGGATCAAGCTTTTGTGTTACGTCAGGGCTAAGGAGTCGAATCCAACATGGTTGCAATAAATCCGCCTTATAGCTTCCCTAATTCTGGTTAATTATGAATTCGGCCTTCCGTCCGAGAGATGCCCTGTCCAGCCCGCCCTTTCACAGAAAAGGGGAAAGGGGTTTATTTACACCCCTGCCTTATGTACTCTAATTAGTACGTTTCTTTCATTTTTTCCATTCTAGGCCAACCCACTTCGTATAAGGTGGCCCCTCTTTATAAATCACGTTCTTCCACCACCAATTAAGGGATGGCAGAATATCTCTAACCTATCAACCACCCCAAGGAGACGAAGCTGCATTCTAATATTTAATTCTAGCTAGTACTGGTAGACACCATGTAACATGACATCGTGTAACACGCAAAAAGAACACAGGACATGCAAGTCAGCTGTCCAGTCGGATGAAAGGTCCATCAAAAGACAGGAATCCCATAATCCAACCGACGTCGTCCCAGTGTAATGGAACACCTCCAGGCCTGTATAGAAAGCGGCTCAGGTCAAGGCCAAGCCTGAAACTGGACAACAGTGCAACGCATTGCAACCTGCGCATGTCACAAGCTTCTACCAGTAAATCACAGGTTCGGGGGGGGGGGGGGGTTCGCATCGGTGGCGGCTTCAACTCTTCCTCCGTGGCAGCACGGCTACCGAGGGGGTCGTCTGGTCCATCGAAGGAGGGCGTGTGACCATATCCCATCATGCCTGCTCCCCTGGATCTGGTGGTTGAGCAGAATCAGTGACTCGGACAGCAGTGGCTGAGAATCCACAAGCATGAATGACAAAGTCGTTTATTAGCTCAATTTGGGATGATTCTCTGGGCTGAAGCCGTGGACGAGGTCATCGCATCCAGGGGAGACACCATTCCCACCAGATCCATCACTAGCGTTGCCGTTGGGCCGTCGATACCTACAGGTCAATACCCTGCCTCCGCATAAGACACGTGTTCGCGAGATCTGATTCCATGCAGATCACCTTCCCACTCGCCGGTCCAATAACCACTCTCTCCCCGCTGACCTGAGTGACAGCCAGAGGCGCTCTATATCTCAGGGGAAGTCAGATCAACCTCTCAAACCCCTGTGAGATCCATTCACCCGTGACATATAGGCAGAAATAATCAGCATTGGTAGCGCCGTCGGGTTTGAGGGCGTTATCGCTCGATCCCGGGAGTGGCAAGCTGCCAATGGAATCCACCAGGCAGCGTGACTCGCTGTCGAATTGAATTCCCATTGGTATGGCATCAATTTCGTAACTTCCTATTTTCCCTCCGGATCTCTCATCCCACACGCAGATGAATGTTGTTTCCTGTCTGACCTCTCTAGGAGATACGCCCGCGACTAGTCCTGTTGTCGAGATGGCCAGATTGCTGACATGAGAGTCCGTTAAAACTTCACGTCAGTCTCGTTTTTTTGAGACGTGGTAGGAGATCCCGGGAAGGAGATGCTGCTGCATCCCCCCCTTGGCCGCTGAGGAAGCCTCCCCCCCCTTTTGCCGCTGGGGAAGCCTCCCCCCTCGTCGCTTGTTTCCGCGGAACCAACTTTTGCCTTGGCCTTGGCTAGGATGTGGAGGAACTGGGCTTGCATTTTGTACGTAATGGATGGAAGTGTGTGGGTTTGTTTCCAGTACAAACTATGGTGTGGTTGGGTGGAAGACGTAAGGAGTCTGAACGCAGCTGTTTGGAGAAGATGCGACGGGAGTCGCTCTTCAACTCTTGGAGGAAGTACCCGTAACGAAGTATGCTACCTAATCGCCAGCCCGACGGAGCCTCGGAGACACCCACCCTGAGGCTGATTCGGCAATGGCAAGTACCCGTGGTCTACGACTTCCGTTTCTAATCGCTGACAGAACGCGACCTACCTTAACATTCGTACCACCTAAGGCACTGGGGGCGAGACCAGCATATATTTGCTGCAGTGGCGGTTCCATGCGGGGTCTGGTGCGTGTTGGGTGTGTCTGGCTGCTGCTCCTAGTAGTCCAGACTTCTCTACTATGTAGGCTGTGTTCACCGACCACCTCCACCACCATCTGCTCGCCTGTGGTCACCATCATCTCGACATATCCTGCACCGCACCTCTCGATGCTAGAGAGCGACAACGCGTGCAGTAAGTTGGTTTAAACATCTGACAGCTCGTCTAACCCAAGGTTTGTGCCGCTCGGATCGATTCTACCAGGGGTGGGAATTTGTTATTGATCTTTTGCTTGTTAGATTCGTTAGACGAACTAATCAAGTCTAATAAGACCACTCAGCCATCAAGACACCGCATACCCGAATCTGCCACCAACAGCGCTCAACCTGTGTTGAGCTAGAGTCTCTTTTTGGCCCGTCCAGACCTAGCATTTCCCATTAGAACTCCCCACACTCACTGCACACACTTTACACTCACTGCACACACTCTTTGGCAAGCCGGCACCTACAGCAAATACTGTCCCAGCTCCTGCGCAGCACAAATCCTGTCCATGTCGTCCACCCGCAGCGCAACAGAGACCTCGCAGTCGGCAGCGCCCGCGGCGCCGCCCCGGCGCGGCAGGATGTTCATGGAGCCCTCGGTAGGCGAGTACGTCTTGCGAACCCAGCCGGGGGGGCCGGGACGCACGCCCGGGACGTAGGCAAACACAAGATCAGCGCCCATGCGGGTCGTGATGGAATTGCTGAGCCCCGTGCGACCCTTGTCGAGGTCGTACGTGAACGCGTTGCTGCTGCCAGCAACACCACACAACCGCACCGCGGCCGCCACGTCCTGCGGGTCTCCGAGCGTGGCGACGCCGCGGCGGACGAGCCACGCCGTCTCAGCCACGCGCTGCAGCGTGACAGGGCGGCGCGCCTCGGCCGCGGGCGCGAGGTCGCGCACCGTGCCGCTGGCCGTCGACCGCACGAACATGTTGCCAAAGTAGGCCGGGGGCCCGGTGATGCTCGGATCTGCACTGCGCGTGCGCAGGTCGCACGCGCTGGCGAAGCGCGCCGTCTCGTCGGGCTGCAGCCGCGGCCGCCGCGCGCGCAGCACGTGCTGCCACACCAGGCCGCCGAGCACGTCGGGCCTGGAGAGGAACGCCGCCGCGTCGTGGCATCGTTTGACGTGCTGCAGCGACTTGGCGTGCAGGCTGTCGATTGTTGCCGCCGAGAAGGCGAGGATCCGCGCAACGCTCGGCAGGTTCGCGTTGCGGGGCGCTAGGGGTGTTGTTGTGGGCACGTCGAGATTGGGGAAGTGGGCGAGGTCGGCCACCGCCGTTCCACCCTGGATAGTGTTGATGGCCTGTCTGCGCTCCAGCAGGTCGTTAAAGTACGCGGCGTCGAACCCCGCTGTCTCGGCGCTCGAGAAGAAGGTGACGAACTGCACGACCGACACGCCGTTGACGACGCGGTGGTCGAGCGAGAAACACAGCAGCAGGCCGCCGTCGATGAAGGACACCCGCAGCGCGGCAGGGTAGTTCGGCCGGCCCACGGCCGGGTTGTCGGGCTCGAGAGAGAACACGCCCCTGGTGAGAGCGGACGGCAGGACACGGTTCATGCTGAGCTCGTCGTATGTCCACGCAAAGTCGCTCGTCCCCAGGACCTGGAAGTCAAAAACTTCGTCGGGGAAGCTGTTGATGCTGAAGTCGTCGGGATCGTGCGAGAAGACCAGCTTGTGATGCGTGTCGCCCTCGTCCTGCACGACCTGGCCGGCGAGGAACGGCCACCGCTGTAGCGCCACGTGGAAGCGGTGTCGGAGGTACGACACGGCGGTCTCGATTTTGGTTGGATCGGGAAACGGGAAGCCGTAGACGCCCCGCGCCATGACCTTCGGCGCGATCAGGTCGACGCCCGTCAGGGGCAGCGTCTCTCTCAGCTGCGAGATCCATCGCCGCTTCGACTCTGATGGGTCCATGGCTGGGTCCCGAGTCTTGAAGACGAACGCAGGATTCCAGAGTAATGCAAGCGGGCGAGATATGAGACATAAGACCCGGTGCAGACATGATGTTGGCTGTTGACGTATGCAGAGGGCTCAGTGCTTTGTAGAGATAGACTGACGTGTGACGCTGTTGTTTGTAACACTGAATCAGATGTCAGGGATGGCAAGTAGTGTGCAGCGGGGATTTAATCGTATGTCATTTCTGAGATTTTCCTCGTACATCTGTCGAGAAGTTGTCTGAGGCGCGACCGGATGAAGCCGAGCAACGACAGCGGTGCTTCAAGAAGTTTCGAACTGGTGATTTGCAACCGGATGCAGTATCACAACTGAGAGAAAAGCCGGTTTAGTTACTAGTAGAAGAAGAAGAAAACGCATAATTGTAGAAATCGCTCAACCATGCGTGAGTAAGAACCGAATGATGGCGTGAAAGGATGAAAGGGAAAAGGGCTGGGTGGGAGTCAAGATAGAATTTGAGCATCAGGCGGGGGTTATAAGCTAATACGGTCAGGCCACCTTACATAATCAGTTAGCAAAGACTCAGGGTTGTTGGTCTAGAGGTATGATTCTCGCTTTGGGTTGCACTCAGCATGCGAGAGGTCCCGGGTTCAATCCCCGGACAGCCCCATTCATCTCGTCCTTTTTGCTATCCGCCACTTCCCCCTTTTCATCCCATTGTGTGTCCCAAATGTTCACATTTCTTTGGTTCTTTTCGCCTTTGTTTTTATCTCTCATCAGCTGCCTTGTTTAAAAACGAGCAATCTTTGAGAGACTAGAGAGCAGCACAAACCCAACACTTCACAGATCGTTGTTCGTTGACTGCAGACTGGTTTCAAGACTTGAATGAAATTGATTGATTTGACCTTTTATCTTTCTCCTTAATTAACAGCAGTTAGACAAGCATCTATCATCAAAATAAAAGCCCAGTCCCAACCCCATGTAGAAAACATCTCAGAAAACCACAACCGCAACCACCCCAACCAGCAAACCGACGACACGCATTCCTGAAGCAGTACCAAAGCTCCCTGCGGCGCCAGCCGTGACGACGGCTTGCGACGCCGTGGCCGTCTTTGTTTGATAGCCGCCGGCCAGGTTAATTCGAAGAGTCGTCGCCGTCTCTCCATTGCCGCTGCCGCTGGGTGCAGGCGGGTTGGCCGCGGGAGCCACGCTTGCAGCCGCACTAGTTACGGTGATCATAGGGGCAACGGTACCGTTGGGTTCAGTGATGGGGACCTCAGTCACTGGAGCTTCGGTGATAGGGCACACAGTTGTCGAGACGGCCACGACTTCCGTGACGATCACTGTCGACCCCGCCGGACAGGATGTGACCGTGGGCGCGCACGACGTGATGGTTTTTGTGGTCGTGATGTAAATGGTCGATGTCGCGAACCTGTATGTCGACACCGGGGAGTCACTGGGTCCGGCATTGCTGTTGCTGGCCGAGACAGCGTTTTCGGTTGAGGCGGCAGTGGTGGATGCTGATGTCTCGGCCGCAGACCCGCTGGCTTCGATGGAGGAAGCTGTCGCCTCGGCGGATGACATGCTGTCGTCTGGGGTCGAAGAGGGACTCACATCGCCCGAAGACACGACGCTGGCAGCTGAAGTCGAAGTAGACGTCGATGTTGAGACGATGCTGCTGTCAGGGGCGGCAGAGCTCGAAGCCGGGGCCGAGGAGACTCCCCCCGAGGACATGTCCGTTGTGGTCGACGTCGAGATCACGGTGCTGGGCGGGGGCTCCGACGTCGAAATCTCTGCCGAAGTTGGAACTGTGCTCGAAGCGGTCGAGCTTTCCAATGTCGATGCCGCAGTTGAAGCTACGGTGCTTGTAGGCACAGTTGAATCCGCGGTGCTTGCAGGCACAGTCGAAGCCACAGTGCTTGCAGGCAGAGTAGAAGCCACGGTGCTTGCAGGCACAGCCGAAGCCACAGTGCTTGCAGGCAGAGTAGAAGCCACGGTGCTTGCAGGCACAGTCGAAGCCACGGTGCTTGCAGGCACAGTCGAAGCCACGGTGCTTGCAGGCACAGTCGAAGCCACGGTGCTTGTAGGCACAGTCGAAGCTACGGTGCTTGCAGGGACAGTCGAGCTGTCCGTGGCGGTGATTGTCGAAGACGAAGCGGAATAGTCGACAGAACCAGTGCAGGTGAATCCGTTGGGGCAGCAGCCATACGAGACGCCGTCGTCTGAAAGGGAGCAATATTCAGTTTCGGGAGGACAACCCCCTGTCAAGTCGGGGCAGCATGTTTGGCCGGCTTCGATGCAGACGTCGCCGCACGATTGCAAGTCATAGCTTTCGCAAGAAACCGAATCCCCGTCGGACTTGGACTGCCGGCTGCGGAGGAGCGGCTGGTGCACTGCCAGGACGACGGCGGGCAGCGCAACAAGAAAGAAGAATGTGCGCATTGCGAGCAAGATAAATGAGTGTCTACTGCAAAATCCGCAAAAAGGAAGGAGTGTGGCTGTCCCGAGGGACGTTTGGGCGCGAAAAAAAAAGGAGTGACGGGGCCCAAACCAGGCAAGTGATGCTATCGCCAGATGCTATCGCCAGACCAGAAGGACAAAAACACGGCGACACAACAACATCCTCGCCTGTGTATTTGATAAGGAGGAACGACACATTGCCTCAAGACAAGAAAGTTCTAATCTCCAAGGGATTTATCTTGGTGTGTAAGGCGCATCCGCCCCTCATCCAGCTTACAGGAGTCTCATTTCATCTGGGTGCGCCAGGATGGTGAGCCAATGGCACGCAGCTTTCGCAGCCCTTTTGGGTGCTGTGCCGGCTGGGCAGAGCCGGTAAGCAGCGCAGGTGCGCGGGCTGCTGACTGACGAAATTGCAGGCGACCGCCGTGCGACACCGCGCCGTAAAAGCCCTTCGTTAGCGCTTTATTGCATCCATGGCCGGCCTTGCCCGCCGTCCGGCCGCGTTTCCATCCCCTGGAATTTCCACATGGAGGTCCTCGGCACCTGTCAGCATCGAGCCATGAAGGCCTCTTGCTTTCTTCGCTCATAGCCGGCTTATCCGCAATTAGATAATTTGCTCGAATTACCACGACAGGTTTTTCGGTGCCGAGGGCCGGAAGTTCTTCCATTGATGGGATGGCGAAACGAAGCAGCCCCTCACGCTGTTTTGTGTGCGGGACAGTGCAGTTCCTCTGGGCGGCGGCAGCCCCTGGGTGGCCTGACACACCCGACCAATCTGGCGTATTGTCGAGTATGGCAAACCAGTAGAAGGCAGGACACCGAGAGGAGATATTTCGGATGATAAACAAGCTCAGGTAAGCGCAGAAATGCGACATACGAGATGTCGATGGGCGGCGGGGGCTTATGGCGCCGAGACGGACGTTACAGAAGACGCACAGATGACTAACGCTAGTGGGACAGTGGTGGGGGAGGGCTCGTAGATGCCCACTGTGGAGAGCACAGCACAGCCGACCTCTCCAGATCAGTGATCGCGCCTGCCGCATCACACCCAGCCCGCCGATGAAAAGTCATGCACACAGGTGACTGCCATTACATGGAAATGGATACCCATCCAGTGCATGTTTTGCGGCGCAACTGGACTGGATTGGCCGGGTCGCCTGCTGCCATTGACCCGTGGTGTCATCCCCATCGCAGGGGTTGGAGGCAATCGGTGCCTCGTTATGTCGTCGTGAATGGATGCTGCTGCCGACGACGAATGCACGCTATCACTGCCTTGTGAAATAGATGTGCCTCACAGGAAGACTTCTTGATGGGCGCTGAGGATGAAGCGATTGAAGCAACCTCCTACCAGAGTCATCTTTGCCGTCAGGGGCCACTGCGACCAAGCCCGCTCGAGGGTTTTCCGAGTCCGAGGTCGAGAACCGACACGTCCCCGGGCTCCGGGGCCTGGCAGCCGAGTGCCAGGACGCTGCGCACCAACGCGAACAAACAGCAGCGCCCCGGATTTGCAATGGGCAGTCGTCTGCCGACAACTTGGCCCACAGAACATTTCCCTGTTGGTTTCCTGTTTCATCAACGCACCCGGGCGAGCGTGTCGGACCCGGCTAGGCCGGCGAATGGGCCTGACGGTGGCACAAAAGAACGGCGCAGGCTCGCCAGTAGCGCAGTGCACCCAACCGAAATCCTGCCAACAGTGGCCAGCCACCCAACTCGGGCGTATATCAGCACAGCGAGTCCTCAACTATCCCAGCAAACCAAGCTCGACTTTTTGCACCACTTTATCCTCCCCTTCGCCTGTCGTCCCAGGTTCCGACGAGGATCTTGCACATCCACTCTTGGATTTTTCGAGCCACTTTGTGTGAGAGACCGACTGCCTCGGTGCTATTCATCATGGGATCCGTGTGCTCAGTGCAAGACGTCAAAGGTGAGATCGCAGAGGAGCAGAAATCAAGAGGGGAGAGAGAAGCCAGGGAAGCCAAAGATAAAGAGGGAGGGAAACTGGGCAAGGTTGCTCCCCCTACCAGGCAAGTCCCGCCGAGAGACGACGACGAGATTAATGTCAAGGCAACCAGGCCACTCGAGGATAGGAACCCGAGATCACAGTTCAAAGCGGTGCCTGAGAAGGAAGACCTTAAGCTAGGCGCAGGTGGCCCGCCTCGGGTAAAGGCTCCGCTCCTGTCGGATGAACAGGATGGAGAAGAGTTGACAGCCTCAGCGCCGCCTTTGCTCCATATTGGGGCTGTTGTCTTGGAAACGTGGATACGATTGGACGAACAGCTCCCCACGGTAGACAAACCATCTGGACTGCTGAAGCTGGAACAACGACCGGAGACGGCTTCTCGTGACCAACGGCAGAACCCGCCACAACCCCGAAATCCACGGACGGTCCCTGGCGGGACAGAACCAACAGGTTATAAATTGGGAGCGCAGTCACTATCTAATCAAACCCAGGAGAATGATGAGCGTGTCCCCGAATCTTTCGAAACCTTCGTTCAAGCCTTGTATTCAAAGGCTAAGCCACTCACCCCGCCGTCGGTTCAAGGGGCCTCGGTACCAGTTTCCAAATGGTCGATCCACCCTGCCCTTCCAGCTTCACTCACAAAATCCAAGCCATGTAAGTGCCCAGGTCTAGCCGAAATGTGTTTGTCCCTCGAGTGTTGATGGTCCGTATCCGCTGACATGATATGCTTCTCTTGCCAGACATCATGAAGCTAGTATCGCCCGTCTTCCGCTGGTTGCCTGCTGAAATCGTCTCGGTGGAGGTGGTCGGCACAAAGAGCCCCCCCAAGCCGAATGAAAAAGCGGCAAAGTCCGCCGAGGCAGATGTCCCGGCCGACCCCAAAGAGGTCGACGCCACAGTCAGCAACATGTTTGGGTTCCTTAGCAACAACTACGCGATGATTAAAGACCCCAATGACGACTATTTCGACACCCGCGTCCTGTTATCGGTGGTCGGGGACTTGTCCCTGTCGCATGTGAAGGTCTTTGCTCAGGCTATAGTATACTTCGAGCTCGCGCTGGAGGCAGCCTTGACCAAGGGCACGGACACGAAAACCGGCCCCTTGTCACAGAGCGGATACGAAATCTGGCTGACGGCGCCATCTAAATCCAAGGCGCCTAAGACCCTAGATACGTTCATGGCACTTATTAAGAATTGCCCCTCATTGAGCCAGTTGATTGACCTGATGAACCCACATCCCCCAGCCCTCCCACAGGGCGTCCAGGCCCCGCCACGGTACTTCCGGTGGGACCTCCAGCGTCTCCGCATCCGCGACCCCAGCGACCCCAGCGACCTCAGCGACCCCAGGGACTCCGAACCGTCCGTTATCGTGTTTCACTTGGGAAATTCCTGTACATCTTCCGATGACCTCCTCAGGATCTTGGACTTTGCGGCCACTTTCGTTCCGTCCGCCCTGTTCGTCTTGGGCCTCACGGATCTGAGGAGAGAGTACAGCAACAACGTCGACGGACTAAATAGATTCATGAGGGATAGCTTCGTGAAGCAGAGGGATATACGGCCCCTGAATTCAAACACATTGAATCTCTTAAACAGCAGGGTGGAAGTAACTTTACCAACTGGGAGAGCCGGCAAATCGGACGATATCAAACCGGTCAAACAGAGACCTGCATTGGAGTACAATTATGGGGACCCTGCGCTGGACAAACTTAGGAGGTGCCGAGCCAGACTTGCATAGATTTGCATCTTGATCCATGAGAGCCATGTGCTGGAATTATCTCACCGAGTGGCGCAGAGCCCGGAGCAGGTCGTTGGCTTGACAGATTCAGCGGATTGATTCTTTTACCATTGGCTCATAATGAATATCCAGCTGGAGGCTGCTTTAATTTGTCGTTTTCTTTTTTTTCTCGTTGCACCTACCCTTCCTAGTCTTTTTTCATTCACCACATCCACTTCCACCACATCCACTTCCACTTCCCTACTCTCAAAGTCATTCGTCATCCTTCAATCAGACAGCCAGAGCATCAACCACAGAATGGAATCGTCGTAACTCAATGCCTAATTACCTTACATATTACTCCGTAATTACATACTACTCCGTAATTGATTATATACTACTCCGTGATTGATAATGCAAACCATCTGAAATTGGTCGGTTGTCCTTCTCGCGAAATTGAGAAACGCATCATCCTGCAATTCCATCGCATTGTATGCCCGTGAGCTCAACGGTTTGGGAATGAAATACGCGACTGCGTGTGGGTGTGGGTGCAACTGAGGGTAGAGTGAAGGGCATTCATTACTGTACCTTGGTTTGACTCGGGGTGAGTTAAAGAGAGACAGAGACAGCACGAGATAAAAAGCCACTGCTCCGCAATTCCCGAGTTGTTTCCCCTCGGCATGCGAGTTGCTTTTAGCCAATAAACTGTAATGTTACTCCTAATTTTCTAGCATTTTGTTGTTTTAGGTACCAGATACCTGGTAGATTGGAAGATTGTAATCGATATCCGTAGTTCCACTCTTCTTTGACTCCACTAAAACCCTAACCCTGTGACTTCCCTAACCCCCACCACGGTGTCAACCACCCACCCTGATACCACTTCCACTTGAACTCGGGCGATTGACGGAACCGTTGTTTCATGATGCGAAAAGGCGCCACAGCTGATGATGGAACAATCCGTTCAAGGCTGAGCTACTTGCGCCGCCAACACCATCCTCCTAGCCCCGTTAGCGCGGCCAAAGTGAATCAATCCCGTGGACATTTGGACATTTGACACCCCATTCCCAATGGCACCATTAGGCGAGAACGTCGAGCATCGGCCGCCATTAAAGATCATGGTCATTGGCGACTCCATTTCGCAGGGGCGCGAAGGCGACTGGACATGGCGATACCGGATATGGGAGTGGCTGCGCGAGGAGAAGGTGCCTTTTGTGTTTGTTGGCCCGTTCCAGGGCACCGAGCAGCCTGAGCAGCCGTCACCTCCGCGCCCGCCGCCGCTGCCCTGGGAACCGGCGTGGCCTCCAAGCCCCTTTCGCTCCAACGGCGAATACGCGAGGGGCGTGTCAGCCGCCTTCCACGCCAACTCGTGCCATTTCGCCGCGGGGGGTCGCCAGGCCGCGCAGGCCAAGGACCTAGTCGCCGAACAGGTCGCCGCCCTCCAGCCAGACCTGTGCCTCGTGCAGCTGGGATTCAACGATCTGAGCTGGTGTGTGAGCGGACCTGAGGATACGCTCGCCAGCGTCAAGTGCTTGGTCGACTGCGCCCGTGCCGCCAGCGTCAATCCCGGTGGCATCGCCTTCGCAATTGCCGACATTCCGCACCGCACCCCAGTCGAGGGGCGCGAAGACCTCCCCGCCAACACCAATGTCTACAATAGCTTGTTGGCACGCGCCATTCCCGCATGGCGCACCCCCGAATCCCCCCTTGCGCTCGTGCGATTTTGTGAGAATTATTCGTGTAAGTCTCCAGACACCCAACCCCACCCCCCCCCCCAACCACGACCTCACCACCACGCGACAATGCATCTACAACTAAACGCTAACCACCGCACCTCGCTATGCCGCGCAACACAGGCGGCACGGACACATCGGCGGGCGCCTACGACGGCCTCCACCCCAACGCGCTTGGCGAGTACGAGCTGGCGCAGGCGTTTTCGCGCGCCCTGGTCGACGGCCTGGGCCTGGGCCGCCGCGCCCTGCGCGTCCCGCCGCACATCCCCCAGCGCCCGATCCCGGAGCCGGCAAACGTGCGCGCGACGCCGTCGCCCTGTGGCGTCGTCGTGACCTGGGACCCCGTGTTCGGCGCATATGGCTACGACGTGCGCGAGCGGCTCGCTTCTTCGTCGTCGTCATCGTCGTCATCTTCATCTCTAGATGGTGACGACGACGATGATGACGGCGCATGGACAGCGCAGTACTTTGCGCACAGCAACCGGCATGACACGACACGCTGCGTCGCTGGCACGGCGTGGGAGTACCGCGTGCGTGCGCGCGCCGGGGACCGCGTGGCGTCGACGTGGAGCGGCATTGTGCGCGCCGTCGCGAACCCGCAGACGTTACCGGGGCCGGCCCGCATCGTCACGCACGCCACGGCCGCCGGGTTCGCCGCCGCCTGGGACCCTCCCCCCGAGAGCGGCGGCGACGAGATCGACCGGTACGGCGTCTTCTGGCTCGACCTCGACGTCCCCGGCGCGTTCCCGAGCGCCGTCGGCGTGCGCGCGACTGCCGTCGTCATCGACGCGGGGCACGGCGTCATCAAAGGCCACCACTACGCTGTCGCCGTCGACACGTGGACCAAGGCCGGCGGTGGCCTGCCGGCCGGCGCGCGGTCCGTGACGCCTGGCTGTGGGACGCCCAATCCGCCGGTGCGCGTCCGCGCTGTGGTCGTCGACGCCACGACCGTCAACCTCGCGTGGCTCGGCGACGACGCCGCGGCTGGGTACCGCGTCTGGGCGAGGAGCCGGCGGTCTAGCAGCAACTCTGCCGCCGCTTTGTCGTCAAACGCGCATGGTGCCGGGCCTGAGATGGCGCCGCCGCCCGCACGGGTTCTCTGCGACGTCGGGCCAGATCATGCTAGCTGTGGTCCCCGGGCTGCTGCTGCAGGGAGCCAACGTCTGACAGGCCTGCTCCCGTCCGCGTGGGACTTTGAGTTCGCCGTCAGCGCTTACAACGGCGACGACGACTCGGACGTGTCCGAGTGGGTGGTGCCGCCGCCGCCGACGCTGGGCGAGCAAAGCTCCATCAGTATCGATATCGAGCTCGTGGGCAACGAGCCGGCGCAGGGAGTGTCGGCGTGCCTTTTCTGAGAGGGCCCGCTGTTGCAGGCACACCCCGGCTTGCTTTGCCCTCCCGCCCCGAAAAGGCTAATGCCTGTCCCTCCGTGGAGCTCGAAAGCCGGCGCATCCTGCCGCTATAAGGTTCGCGAGAGCAGAGGCTGCCTCCATCGAAACACAGCTCAAGCCTGTCAAGGTCCGCTAGCTCAATCGGTAGGGCGTCTGACTACGAACCAGGAGGTTCCAGTTTCGAGTCCGGGCGGATCGAGATGATCAGCTTCGGCTTCACTTTTTGGTCCTGCACTCTTTCTGTTCAGTCCGTGCTTGCAAGTTGCTTGCATTTACGGTTTCTCGCCTGGTTGGCACTTGGGACAGCCGTCGCTACCTTGCCTCTCTTTGCTTTTTTTTTTTTTTTTTTTTTTTTTTTTGCATTTCCTCTGGCTTAGACCTATCTCAGGATGCCGGCTTCTGGTACACGTCTCCCGTGCGCTCAATCTCGAGCGCGGCGTCCTTGCCTCTCCCCTCGGCCTCTCGCTGTCTCACCAGCGGCAGCACCTCGCGCCCAAACTGCTCAATCTCGTCCTCGTAGTGCAGGAACGCCGTCAGCACCAAGTTCACGCCCAGGCTCTTGAGCAGCACGATGCGCTCGGCGACTTGCTCGCGGGTGCCAATCAGCTTCGTCTTGAACCCGTCGTTGTACTGCACCAGGTCGTTGAAGGTGCTCGTCGCCCACATGCCTGTCTTGTTCCCGGTGCTGGCGCCCGCATGCTTGACCTCGCTCGCGAAGGCTGCCACGGCGTCCGCGTCCGCCTTGCCCTGGATCTCCTGCAGCACGCGCACGGCCTCGGCCTCGGTCTCGCGCACGATCACGAAGCCGTTGACGGCGAACCGCACCTGCGCCTCGCGGCCCGCCCGCGCCGCCCGCGCCTTGACGTCGGCGATCTGTGCCCGGAAGCCCTCGAGGTCGTTGCCGTTCATAAAGTACCAGTCGCTCACCTCGGCGCCGTTGGCGCGCGCGTCGTCGCTGTTGCCGCCCTGGAAGATCTCCGGGTGCGGCTGCTGCACCGGCTTGGGGCTGAGGCGGTAGTTGCGGAAGCGGTAGAAGTCGCCGGCGAACGTGAAGCCGTCACCGTCGTCGGGCGCCGTCCAGATCCCCCGCAGGCAGCGGATGAACTCGTTGGACCGCCGGTACCGCTCTGCGTGGTCCAGCCACCACTCGCCGATGGCCGTGAACTCGCCCTTGAACCACCCACTGACAATGTTGACGGCGACGCGCCCGCCCGAGTAGTGGTCGATGCTGGCCAGCTGCTTGGCGGCCACGGCCGGGTTCCACGGCCCCGGCAGGATCGCCGCGATCACTTTCAGGGTCGTCGTCCCCTGCAACAGCGCCTGCGAGAAGGACACGGACTCGTGCTGGTTCGCCGCCCCGTACGACGCCGTGAAGCGGATCTGTGTCAGCGCGTACTCGAACCCGCTCCGCTCGGCCGCTGCAGCGTATCGCAGGTTCGACGCCAGGTCCCAGTTCGTCCGCTGCGCGATCTTGCTGATCACCAGCCCGCCCGACACGTTGGGCACCCAGTAGCTTGGGACCGTGTTAGCCGCTGCAGGTTGGTCTGCGACTTGGGAGGGATGGGATGAGACCGGGAAGCTTATCCCCGAAGCAGCAAGAGTCTTTGCCTGGGGGGTGTGTGGGTAAGCTGAATTGGCTAGCTCCAGTAAGTACTCACGCAAACAAGAGCCTGTCCGGGTCGCTGTTGAGCTGCGCTGCATCCGCCATGTTGCACGAGTGGGTAGGATAGGTAAGTGTTGGTAATTATTGCACCTTGATCAAGGTAGTCTCTGATGTGTAACCTAACAAGGTCTTCAACAGTCAGTCCATATGCTCACTTTGAGATAGCCAGCCAGCCACATAGGTACTGGAAGCTGAATCACCCAGGTTGTTAAATACTAAAACAATCAGGCCACAGCCCGAGCCCCTTGTGGCTATCCACGTCCTGCAACAACGCAGCAGGACTGCTTGTTTCCGCCATTGTGAAACAGTATGGTGCCATCCACACTTGTGCCCGACCAAGTGGGTGCCGTATAGGCTTGCGAGATGCAAGACGTGCCCTTGCCGCGTGAGGACATTTGCATCCGTTGATCTGCAGCGGGCATTGCGGAGAACTGAGCCGGGGTGGTGGTAGCAGTGAGGGGTTATTTGTTCCTAGACATCATATACTATCCGAGACATTCCCATCTCTCGGCGATTTGGACCAAAAGATTGACCATTCCAGCCAGCTCTTGCGCAATCGATGCACCTCGACGACCCCGCCAACCACCGTCCACCATCCACCATGCTGCTCTCTGCCAATCCCGCCATCGATATGCCACACTACAAACAGGCAACTTGAGCTTCATGCAGAGCACTGCGACTGGACAAGATCGTCGGCTTTGTGGGCTCTGCGATCACGTTCTCGCGGACGCCAAGGATCAGTCGTCGTGTCCTTAGCCCGCCGCAGGGCGGATTACCGAGGAAAGTGGCCCGTGAGGACGGTAACGGAATCATGGCGCCCAAGTTCGCAATCGACGTGCAGAGAGCCCGAGACGCCACACGCGTGCCCTCTGGTCTCGGGAGAGTCGAGTTTGAACTAGGCCAGGGTAGTGCTGTGTTCGGATTGCCTTGCGTTTCGACCTTTCCTTGTCTGTTTTGCTCGTTCTTCTTTTGGCCTAGAACTAGATAAGTCCCATCAAGTCTGGCTTTCTGTCTTACCCTTTTCGCCTGGGACGAGAGAGACGAAGCCAATGAGAGAGGAAGAATGGAGGCTAACTGTCGTCCAATTACAATGACCAATTAGGTCAAGACGAGCAAAGCAGAAGAAGGGCAGTCCGAACATGGCGGTACGTTCGTTTAGTTCAGTTTTGGTTATTCCGAGTGGAAGCAATACGTCGCAGAGCTGCACCAGTGTATACATAAGAGGACGGTTCCTCACGGCGCGCAAACCTCCGCCTTTGACCCATCAGATTGTCCCTACCATAGAACCTCCCATAGTCTAACCGCCTTGACACCCTGAGTGCGCTCCCCCCACTGCTTCCTGTCTCCATCCCCACCATGGCCACCGACGGCAACAAGCACCCGAGCAGCGACCCCGCTGTTTACCTAGAGTATGAATCAAAGTGGGCAGCTCTGCCGACCGACGAAGAAGGCTGGCTGCAGCGAGCCAGAGACGTGGCCGCCGTCCTCGCACAGGATGCCGCAGAGCGCGACAAGGCCAACAAGTCGCCCAGAGCCGAGGTCGCCCTCCTCAAGCACTCGGGGCTGACCAAGATCCTGGGGCCAAAGCAGTATGGCGGCGGCGACCAGCCCTGGAGCGTAGCGTTCAAGGCCATCCGCGAAGTTGCCAAGGGGGACGGGTGCGTATGGCCGGGATTCCGTCTGCAGTTCTCCGCCACTAACTCTGCGACAGGTCCATCGGCATGATTCTCGGCTACCACCTGCTCTGGTCGCGGACCGCCAACGTGGTCGGCTCGCCCGAGCAGGCGGACCGGCTGCAGCAGCTTATCATCTCGAACAACTATTTCGTCGGTGGCGCAGTGAACCCGCGCGACAGCGACCTGACCATCACGCTGGGCGACGCCGGGTTCACGTTCAACGGCGCCAAGCACTTCAACACGGGCGGCGTGGTCTCGGACCTGACGGTGCTCGAAGGTGCCGTGGCTGGCCGGCCCGAGGAGCACATCTTCGCCGTCGTGCCCACGGTCCAGCCCGGCATCGTCTTCGCGCACAACTGGGACAACATTGGCCTGCGGCTGACCGAGTCGGGCAGCGTCAGCATCAACGACGTCTCGGCGCCCTGGGCCGACGCCCTCGGCTGGGACCCCGAGCTCAAGAAGCCCGACCCGGCCGTGCTGGGCATCAACTACGGCTCGCTGCTGCTTCCCACGTGAGTCCTCACCGCCGTCATACGAAGCGCAAGACACCTGCGTTTTCTTTCAATTGTTCCTGGTTTAACAAACCCAATACAATGCAGAATCCAGAACGTGTTCGTCAACTTCTACCTCGGCATCGCGCAGGGCGCCCTCGACACCGCGGCGAAGTACACAGTTGCCAACACACGGGCCTGGCCGTACGGCGGCGATGTAAGTGACACCAACCAGCGCCCTTTTCCCCACCCCCTACTCCGCCTCGCTCCCCCTTCATGCCTCAAAAACAAGATCATGATTAACACGCCCCCGCGAACAGAACAAAGAAAAAGCCACCGACGAGTTCTACATCCTCTCCACCTATGGCAACTTCCTCGCGCACCTGCGCGCGGCCGAAGCGCTCGTCGACCGGGCCGGCCTCGAAGCCGACAAGCTGTACAGCCAATACTCCGACGCCCACCAAAACCGCGCATCACTCACAGCGCGCGAGCGCGGCGAGTACGCCGAGTGGGTGGCCAGCGCGAAAGTCGTCACGACGGACACGGGGCTGCGCGTCGCGGCCGGCGTGTTCGAGGTCGCCGGGTCCCGGGCCACGGCGTCCAAGGCAGGGCTCGACCGTTTCTGGCGCGACCTGCGCACGCATACCCTGCACGACCCTGTTGCGTACAAAAACCGCGAGCTTGGGAGATTTTTGCTGCTGGATGAGGTCCCGGAGCCGACGTGGTATACGTGAGCTGGCCTAGCCTGTCTTGGGGTGGGGGATAGGGGGTTGCTTGGTTTGAGATCAGTGGGCAATGAAGTGGTGAAAAGACACCACAACAAACAACAGCAAGCAGGCGAGCCTTGCAGAGTGCTGATACATGAATCCATAGCCTGGGTAGTCAAATATAGCAAAGAAAAAGGCACTACTGGGTGCACTGGTCCAGAGATCTATCTCAATCCATGGTAAAAAGATGTGATTCCTGAAGAAAGGCTAATTAGAAAAAGGCAGCTAAGGAGCGATGCCCACCTGACCCCTAATCAGAGGGAGGGCGGGATAAGTGAAAAGGGGGGGGGATGTTAGATTACACTGGGCAATGGTATGAATAAACCCCTTGTTACCCTGGCCCTTGAGCCCCTAATTAGTGAGTAATTGGCTTGCTAGATCCGATAGTTGGGCTTCTAGAGGATGGTGATCGTAATAACAAGACTCACTGCCTTCAAGACTCGAGCCTGAGACGTTAGTGGCTGGTCTGCATTATAGTTATTGTGAGGCCCGAGACAGGTGCCATGCGCGGTCGAGGAAGGCCTGGCGGGCATCAAGCGAACTTGAAGAACGAGTCTCGCTCCAAGTGTTGTGATTAATTCGTTTTATCCCGCATTGGCTATGCCTGAAAGTTTGTTGAGCAGTCGTGAATCCATTCATTGCCAGGCTTGGAAACGTTGTTCTACAAGCTTGTCATTCGTGAACCCTAACAACTAGTGAAAGAAATGATACAGCTTGATTTGATTATAGGTAGGCAAATTCTTCCTTTTTTCTCTCTCTCTTTCTCTCTTTCTCTCCTTCTCTCCTTCTCTCCTTCTCTCTTTCTCTCTTTCTCCCCTTTTATCCTTTCCTTCAATTTTATTTGTAAAATTCTCATCAACTATCGTTTTATTTCTCTTACTCACGCCTCAGTTCGACTTAAGCGAAGCAAGTACTTTCATGACCCATTCGTACATGTCTCTCATTTTTTATCTTTAAGAGTTTTCTGAAGCTATCAGCAACGAAGAAGCGATTTTCCCCCCAAACACCTTCTTCCCAAGGTAATTAATTGGTTTGGGTTTCCTTTTCAGTTTCTTCACGGTCTAACCTCCTATACGTGATCCGGACAAAACACTGAAACCCAAAAGGGCATTACCAAGCAGAAAAAAACTAATAGGCTTTTTTTGCGTATAACCGTTGAAATATCGTCACCCTCCGGTTCTCATGAAATATTCGCGTCGCTGAGTCATCGACCACAACCCCTGCTCAAGTGCCACCCACTGTTCGGCAGCCCGCCATCTGCGCGAGTGGGGCAGTGAAAAACGTGGCAAGACATACAGGTTCGCGCGGCAGAGTGATCGACGGCTAGAGACTCATGCGCCGTGATGAAATACCATTCTCAGGCCCATGGGTGATTAACCTCCCGTCTTGCGTGAACAGGATTTCACCAATTTGCCAAGCTGCGAATCAACATTACCGGCCTTGGCCTTAAACCTGGCCAGTGCCCAATTCTGCCTGGCCAAAGCAATGGCAGGTGCAACCAGGTTAGCGGGGGAGGGGAAATGCTAAGTGGCCTATAGAAGCTTGGCGCGATTATTCGGCTGAGAAACAACCCGATTTGGATGCAAGACATGGCGCGTGCAGAGAGAAAAGTCGAAAGGAGGATGACACACTCGAGGCGTGCTTGGAAATTGCCTGTTTTTTGTCCATTGCCAGGCAGTCATTGTCCCTGTTCCAAGCGCCCCGTCTCCTTTTCCAGAGCTAACGTCGAGGCCAATCCCCTTCCCAGGAAACTACCCCAGCCTGGAGATGGCCCAAGCGTCCCAATCATCAAGACCCAGTTCAGCACAGTGCAGGATCCAATCAGAAGCCGCTCAATGTGGGGCTAGGTTCCCAGGCAGTCGACCTGCTTGCGGCTTTCCGCGAAGAAACAGGCCCAACCTGTGCTCGACTCCATTTCATTTCGAACTACTGAGCTTCGCAACAAAAACGCCCTTTCGCATCACCCCCGCGCCTTTCATTCTTGCTGACGATTTCGCTGGCTGTCGCTCATGACACTAGAGGCTTGCTTTCTTCGCCGAATCGCCCGCTCGGCACCCTTTTAATTGTAACTTTACTGGCATCCAGGAAATTTTGGTACGTGGCCCTCTCCCCGTTCTCCGACCCGTCCCCGTCCCGCTCTCCCCATTTGCTGTTGACTGGCGCCGTTCCACCACCGTGGCTCTCGCAACACAACAATCCCAGCCAGACCTACGCGGTGGGTGAGCAGCAAAAAGTTTTGCATCGCGCCTGCGCAAGTCCTGGCATTCACCACACGACGGTCCGGTTGCATACGGAGCTCCTTTGCGCCCTTCTCCCCCGCCCTGCCACCTCACATGTCACCTGTGGGCAATCACTTTGCCCTACCTTCTCGCCCGAATCCTACCACCCTTTGCGCTTGGCCGTCTGCATCTTACATCATCGTCTCTTCGGCTACATTTGCTCCGCCACCAACTAACTGTCTGTCTAGTCGACTGTAGACACTAGACATTGAGATACCCATTTCCTGCCGAGCATCCCCGCCGGCATTTGCATGTTGCTTGGCCCCGAAACTTAGACATCATCGGAGCCGGAACGCGCCACCTTTAGCTTTTGGGGCGTCTCGCAACAGACTCTACCCCTTTCTCTCTCGCCGTTCTACCACGACGCCGCCGTATGCGCCCGCTCCGGAATCCCTGGTACCGTCCAAAACGCGACATCTTTGTCTGGTGTCAGTGCCCTACCACTGGCGCCGTAACATAAGGGAAGCGAGTTGCCCACCATGTTTTGGCGGTTTGGCGGTTACGCCAACGTCTCCACCATCGATAACATTCTTGAAAAGGAAAACTTTACACTCGAGGACCTTCTCGACGAGTCCGACCTCATCCAGGAGCTGAAATCCCACAATTCAAAGCTGGTCGAATACCTCCGAGACCAGAAAGTGCTCGAGAAACTTCTCGAGTATGTCGTAGTGCCTAGGCTCGAGCCTGTCGCGGTCCCCGATACCAACGACGATGACGACGAGGGGAAAGGCAAGGGCTTGTCGCTCCCCTTTTCCAGGCCGCGCGCGACATCCCGGGCGGCCGATAACGGCAATGAAGAGGAGGGCGAGAAGAAGCGCAACAAATATGCCTTCATCGCAGCCGAGATCTTATCGTCGGACAACTGGTCTATTTACGAGGCTCTTATGGAGAGCAGGTCGCTGTTGCGCGACTTTTGGCGATTCCTGAAGCGTCCGGTTCCCCTCGACCCTCTCCAAGCGAGCTATTTCACAAAAGTCAACGAGTCCCTGTTCGACAAGAAGACGGAGGACATGCTAGAGCTGCTCAAGTCGCTAGACAGTGCTGTTCCTGACATGCTCAAGCATGTTGATTGCCCGATGGTGATGGACCTGCTGCTCAGAATCATAAGCCTAGAACGGGCAGAGAGCGGGCAGGGAATTGTTGAGGTACGTGCTAGTATTTGCCATCTACGCCTGTACATTCTGACCGGTGACCTGTGTGCAGTGGCTGTATACGCAAGATGTTATGCCGACTCTACTCTCCTTCCTCGGGCCAGAGCACAGCTGGGCGACTCAGACCTCGGCGGGCGACTTTATGAAGGCGATTATCACCGTCTCGGCCAACGCGTCGCAAAACGAACAAACTTGCATCGGCCCTAACGAGCTCACGCGTCAGCTGGTGTCCAAGCCATGCGTTGAACAACTCATTAAATACATGCTCGGCGGCGGAAATGCATTGACCTGTGGTGTTGGCATTATAATAGAAGTTATCCGAAAGAACAACTCCGACTACGACCCAGATGGCGTCGAATCCGGATCTACACCATCGAGCCGCGATCCCATTTACCTCGGAACTCTTCTCCGCCTCTTTGCCCAACATGTCCCCGACTTTATGAACCTCGTCACGACTGCCCCGGCCCAGAAGGAGCGCCATGTTTCCACCTTTGGCGCCAGAATCGAGCCATTGGGTTTCGATCGCTTCAAGACATGCGAGCTCATGGCGGAACTGTTGCATTGCAGCAATATGGGACTGCTCAATGAAGTGGGCTCGGAGGAGTTTATTGCCGCACGCGATGCGCAGCGTCGTCGCCTACGTGACGAGGGCCAGCTACTGTCGCTGCGTGGAGAGGACGCTCCTTCGACCGAGGATCTCGCCATGCGCATGTCACATTCGTCTCCCACAGATGAAGGCCGCAGGCTCGAAGTCACTAATAGTTCCGCCGACGACGATGGCTTTGAGGAGGTGACGCACGGCGCCGACGAGGACAGCTCGCACGGTGTCGAGGAGCTCCCAGAGGTCCCGACACAGGGCCCGATATCAACGTTTTTGGATAAGGACGAAGACGATTTTGTCGATGAGCCCTTGAGCTCACCGAGGCTACATGTCCGCGAGATCGATGAACAGAGCGAGGAAATTAGCCAAGAATTCGAGGAGCCGGATTTGGTAGTCCCGCCTCTTTCCCCAGTCAAGAAGCAGGCTACACTGAGCACGGAAGAGCCTGCCTCACCGAAGGCCAATTTTCTCGCTCTCTCCGACGAAAAGAAGCCCCAATCGTCGTCTGGGGAGGCTCAACAACTGGCAGATGTTGACATGTCTGGCGACGCAAACGCAGAGCCGGAAAATGCGGCCAAAGCCGATGTCGACCAGCCAGACTTTCTTCCACTTGTGCCAGCTGTCTCGGAGTCGGCTGTCTCGGAGTCGGAACCGGCGAGTGTAAAACAGCCAGCTGACGAAGCCGTCGAAAAGAAACCGGCAACTTCGAAGGAGATGTCGCCACACCCAGAAGATACCCCCGCACCGCTCTTCTCAACCCACAATGCCCCGGTAGTCCCAAACCCGCCGACTGGTGAGGGTGGTGCACCATCGGCCCCACCCGTGTCGGAGGGATCAGCGACTGCCCCTACTGCTCCTGAGCAGCCAGCAGCTCTTGACATCAGCCAGACAGAGGCTAGGGAGGCCTCTATTATTGTCGGCCACATGAGCGAACCTACCACGCCTATTGATGACAGCCCCATCAGCCCGAAACCCGTTGTGGGTGACTACCTGAAGATGCAGTTCGTCGAGCACCGGGTAGTTCCCTCAATTCTGGGCTTCTTTTTCTCCTACCCCTGGAACAACTTCCTCCATAATGTCGTATACGACATTGTGCAGCAGGTTTTCAATGGTCCCATGGACCGTGGATACAACCCTACGCTTGCTATTAGCCTCTTCGAAGCCGCCGATATCACCAACCAGATCATCAGTGGACAGCTGGCAAGCGAGAAGTCGCAAGTTGAAAATAAGACTCGCATGGGCTACATGGGCCACCTGACTCTGATCGCTGAAGAGGTGGTCAAGTTCACAGAGCGGCACCCCCCTGAGCTTTTGAGCGAGACTGTTTTGGAGAAGGTTATGGCGCAGGACTGGATCAACTATGTTGAAGGTGCCCTGGCCGAAACGCGGGAGCGTGATAATGCCATTCTCGGCGGAGTACGGCCTGAGGTTGCTATGAGCAATCGTTTGGGTGCATCTTCCCTGGCAGGTTCTGGGCTCTCCGGCCTAGGATCTATCGGTCTTGGAGTTGGCGCTGGCTCCAATGCTCTCGCCGAGGCGGGGCTGAATGGGGGCCAAGATACGGCCGAAAACTCCGGCAACGGCGGGCTCGGACCTTTCGCCATCAGCGCCGGGACTCTTATGAGCGGCTTCGGTAGCTCCAGTGATGAAGACGAAGACGAGGAGCAAGAGAGCGAAGAGGATGTCAATAACGAGGTTGGTTTCTTTCCATATATTTTCCCCCATGGACAGTTTCATAGTCATGCCCCAAGTCCAAGCGGGCAATCATGGTCGGCCTCAGGAAGCTCTCTCGTCAATGAAGAGGCTCCGGAGGTGAATTGTGTGGAAGATGTCGGCAGCGACGAGGATGGCATGGCTCTTGACATGCCCCTTTCCGAACCGGAAGCCCAGAGGCCAGTAGCCTTTACTGAGGACGACTCTTCCGACCTTAACGAGGATATAATCATGGTCGATGACCCAGAATACGACCGCTTCTTTGACGACTGAGCGCAATCTGAACCCGACCAGAGATAAGCATTGAGCTGGGCAGCGTCTGACTACATGAGCCGGTTGATGGATTTACCTATTGGGAAGCGAGAAGACAGTGAAGGCTGGCCAGTGGAGTTAGAGCTTGGTGCTAAGTGGGATTTCTTGATTTTATTCGTCTTGTGTGCCGAGCGATTTTACGATATGATGCTCGAAAGCGTTTGCGTCTGGTAAAACGGGATGACTCGGCCCAAGGGGCGATGCTTTTTGGTGTGTCTGGTGAAGATTCAGGAGGCGTGACTGCCCTCAACATCTTTCCCCAAGCCGGACCGCCCCAACCAAGCCACGCCTGCTCAGCAATGATCGAAATTCGGACCTCCCACCGTATCTGCACTTGGTCGCGCCTTCCATTCCATCACGGCCCAGGACTTGCTACTTCTCCGATTTTGATCTCCTTGCCCCCTGAACTCGCTGTCTCGTAACCCTTCGTCTCAAGCGAGGCTACAAACTTGCAATGACTTCCCACGTTCCTCGGTGCATACTCTGAACCAAGCGGCTAACCGACAGCAACAAATAGTTTCGGGCATATACTGACCCGCTTAATGCAAACTCGTCAACGTCAATGAGCCCGCCCTCCATCCCGCCCCCACCACCGCCACCTCCGCCGCTGAACATCCCCCCCTCGCGCGCACGCCTCCAACTGGCCGCCCGGCTGGCCATGAATAAGCGCAACGCAGTGGCAGCGGCGAACGGCGGCCAGGAAATCGGCTCCCCAACTTCAGATGACGCCAGTGGATCTGCAAGTTTTAACCTGCCCGCCGCCAACGACCGTCTGCGCAATCCATTCGCAGATGACGAAGAGGACGAGGATGGAGCCGGCAGCGGGTCTGGCAGCGATGATGGGGAGGCAGAGAACGTGGAGGGTGGCGGCGATGGCGTGGGCGGCAGCGCTTGGAATCGCGGCTCATGGTGGCGCGGTGTTGTGCGCAGCGCCCAGCGCGGCGGTCGGGGCAAGGACGCCGGCGTTGGTGGAGAGCGCGGAAGCCGCAGTGGCGGCAACAGCAATGGCAAGGAGACCGAACGGTTTGGTGACGGGCGTGACGACAGCGACGAATCGGATGGTCCCGGCGACGAAGAAGACGAGGTTGACGACGAGATCGAGGACGAGGAGTTTGGCGACTTTGCCATGCCCGAGGTCGTCGAAGGTGGGCATGTTCCTGCTGTGCCCACTCCTCCCACATCCGGGTCTAGCGACTTGGTCTCCGGCATCGATCCCGCACGCGAGAGAATCCTCGTCAAGCCGCTACCGGTGCACCCGAACTCGCTCAAGAGCAGCGTCAGCCCCTTTGGCAGCCTGTGGCCCTTCTCGTCACAGGGCTTTGGCCTCAAGGACAAGAAGGACGAGACCGAGGCAGTCTCGGGCGACAGCGCAAAAGACGGCGTCCTTGCTGCCCCGACTGCAAACGACGCGGCTGCCGTGGACAAGATCACGGAAGAGCCGGTCGAGCTGGGAGCCGACGAGGGCGTCGTCGACGAAGACGGCAAGAAGATCGACCGCGCCATCGAGGCCAAGCGGAGGACCAGCATCGAGGATCCCGACGACGACGACGATGACCAGGTCGATGTCGGGGAGGAGATCATCGTGGGCAGGTCCGGGATCGCCTGATTGTTATTGATTTCGGCTCTTGTGATCAATGCAATGCATATGTGCTCAACTCACTCATTGCGATCTGCCGAGGTCTATTTATGCCAGTGGGACGGACGTGTATGCCTCTGACGTGAGTGCGGACTGCCGGACTGGCTGGTTGACTTGCCACGGCGGCGGTATGGCAGGGCGGGGCAGGGCGGGCGGGGATAGAAGGGCGGCTGGCGAAAGGTATATATGATGTGTTTGGACGGCACAATGAGGGTAGGCCTGGACGGGTAGAATCACTGTTCTGGTGTAGGGATAGATGGCTGGGTGTCTTTCACTCGCCGGTCGTCGCCCCACTTCCCTGGCGGCGGACGAATGGATCTTCTTTGATCGTGTATGTTTACTGTAGTTTTAGCTCGTCGCATTTGTTCTGTCTCCCTTTCGGGCGGCTTCCCCTTTTGCGGAGCTCGTTGAATGATGTGAGAGGTCTTCGGTACACGCGCGCAACTGTGTTACAGCTTTGTCGCTCAACAAGGCAACAAATGGTATTAAGAGGCGAGCTTCCGACCCTAGGTCAAGCGGTAGTACAAGTTGTTTCACACATCTATCTTTACTCGAAACTCTCACTACAGCATCGCAGAAAATGCGCACTCATTCTTATCCAAAAGCCAGAGCCTGCAGCATACCAGGACACACGCACATGGTTCTTATCCAAATTGTTATCCAAATTGACGCACTCGGAGCGACTTCCAACAGCCGGCCGCCTAGACATGGGAACGCATCCCAACTACCAACCTAGCCCTCAATCCCGAACCGCCAGCTTTGAGGCGTGCTCACTGAACCCATAAGATATCGTACCGGCCATGGGTTTGCATTTCATCCGACTATTCAGGTCGGGGTCGTCGGGAAGCGCGGGCTTGTCATCAAGATTGCTTACAAACATGACTCTTGCACGGGGGGGCTGAAACCAGAAGAAAACACGAATGGGCTTGAGAACGGTGACGCTGCTGTCCACGCCCACACGCACCTGGCCCAGCGCCGACGACGCCCCATTGTCGTAGTGCAGCAGGATCCCCTCGGGCATGTCCTGGGCCTCGGTGTAGAACACCTGGGTCGCCACCACCTTATTGAGGGACGCGGAGCTGACGTAGTTGACGCCCCTCACGAGCAGATCGTTGAGAGGTCCGATTTCGGCGAACTGTCTCTCGTGGTGTGCGCGCGGGTCAGACGGGGCAGAGAGCGAAGACGACGAGGGGGAGCTCCCCGCCGCCAAAGGGCGGCAGTAGGTCCCGAGGTATGGGACGGCGCTGCCCTCGGGGGGTTCGCCGTAGACCAGTGTTGTCGGGTTCTTCCGGCGCCAGCTGTCCGCGGCTAGGCGGCGGCTCCCTGGGCCGAGGATGACGTCTCCTGTGAGGTGTTTGCGAACCTGGGCATCAAAACATCAGCTATTGCAGAAAGGGGGGGGGGCCCCTAAAAGTGCGGTGCACCGACAAGAATGTTCACCCCAAGGGTGACGGGGCGGACGCCTATGATCTCGATCTGGTCTGTAGTAGACACGGGCAAGTAAATCCAGGCCGCGTTGGGCTTGTGCCACGGTTTGATGCGCTCGAAGGAGGTCGCGGCACAGGCATCGCCCGGTCGGTGGGCGTGGATTCCGACGAGGAGACCCTTGGCGTGGAAAAAGGTAATGCCTGTGACCGAGTCGAGCTCGATGGTGTGAAAGTGCAGCCACGGTCGCTTCCTGTCGATAAATATGGTGCACTGGCTCAGGCTCGGAGGCGATGGTGTGTCCCAGATGCGGAGACCCGGAGCGTTTGGCGGCGGCTGAAGCTGGAGGAGGCCGTCTGTGAAACACGCCGTGAACCCCTCCAACGCAGACACCTCTTCGACGATGAAGGCAAAACGGTTGGTCCTCCTCTCCCGGCTGCACGACGGACGCTCGGGGAGCCGCTCCAGCTTGCAAATGCCCTTCGCGTCGATGGTAAACCGGATCACGGCCTGCGAGAGGATCAGGGGGGAGACGGCCTCGGAGGAGCCGGCCGGATCTATGATGACATCGTCCGGGCGACACAGCCGAAGCGCGCCCCGCCTCTCCCAGCTGGCAATACTCGATACGGGCATGCTGGTGGCGGGCTCTGCCGGTGTGTCCGACAGGTGGGCGGCCAAGGCTAGCGTCGAGACGGCCCTCCAGAACAGCAGGTGCGGGCAGTGCCGCTGGATCATCTCGACCAGCTCAAGAGGCAGGCGAGTGAGCTCCCCGAGGTTCCAGATCGAGGCCATCGTGTCTAGGGCGGCCGGGGTCACGGGAGAGGCGCCGGCAAGGCGCAGGGGATGGGCCATGGGCCACGGGCTCCTGGCCGCGCCGACAGTGAAGAGGCGGGCGAGGGCATCGCCTCGCTCCAGAGTGCATTTGAGCAGGAAGATGGCAAGACACTCATGGTGGACGGTGACGTTTACCTGCCGCTCGCAGTTGCACCCCGACCTTAGGCAGAGGGTGACGCCACCGACGACAATGTGCTTGGCCTTGTGCAATGGGAATAGGAACGGCTGCTCGACGACTAGGCAAGTGTCTGAGCCTGCCTTCTCAGAGACTAAATTTCATGTTATGGGTCGCAAGTCAGCCGAAGAGCGACAGAACAGCAAGGGCGACGAGACTGTCGACGGATGGTGGTTGCCTTACGTGCGACGACCAATTCAAGACCCAGCACATCATCCCCACAGGCCCCGCAGCGGGCTTGAAGCTCCACATGTCTTTTCAGAGGGACGGCGGGCTGTTGTAGCCGCTGCTCTAGCCCCTGTAGCTGCTCCGGTGAGATCAAGGACATGTTGGTAGTGAACAGGAAGCGGCGCGATGTAGGTCTTGATTGAAACAGCTCTCTCTTGGTTTTCGGCCACGGTTTGGCAATGCTGCGCGTGAGTCACTCCTTTTGCGGTTGGAAATTTAAACAGCCAACGAGGTAGCCAAGGCTGCGCGCGGCACTGCTTGGAGAAGTTGCAGCTCTGGTAACTTAAATGGAGCGACTCCTTTATCTGTTTGTCACCCCGCCATTTTCACTTGTTCGCAGCAGTCACGGACAGCGGAATGGAAATTACGGCTTCCTACATGGTACTGGCCATTCTCGAGATCATTCCTTCGTCATGTCATCACCAGTGCCCAATACTTGTGAATGGAAATCTTGCACTCTCCAGTCTCCCTCACAACGCGGTGCGGCTAGGTGAACAATTTCTCCATTAGTGGTCTCCGTACGAATACAGTAGTAACGCGTAATCGGAGGCGTCTGGTGGGATCGGATTCCCAAGGATTACTGAATACGGAAGTACTGTGTAAGATATTTCGTAATCCACGAAGGTGCCAATTCAGGGCGCACGCTTGGCTGTGGGGGGGGTCTCGCGGCAAGACGGTGTCTCCACCTGTGCCATCCACCTGTGCCATCCAACCTGTGCCATCATATCATTGCCTTCCCGACCTGTCGAGCTGTCGACGAGCTCTCCATCCCATCAGAGCCCTGGCTGCATGTTTCTAGGCCGGCCCGCTCACACCGAAGTAACATCCAATGCGCCCGGAAAGGCCATGTCTTGGCGGCCGTATTCCGTAATCCACTCCGAATCGCTGGCCGCAATGCCTCGGGAACAGACAGTGCATACCCCTCCCTCCTCTCAACGGCGCGCCGCACACAGCCCGGCCTCTGTCGAAGTGGAACGGCCGACGTGGCTCGTTTCCAGTGGAAGCTTGCACCTCCCGCTGAATTTGGACGGCCCCATACGGCCCTGCATGCTGCCGGCTAAAAAAGCCGTGTGTCGTCAATGACTGACTATCCCGGGCGACGGCCCGCATCTGCTTCGGGCATCATTTTTCTTCTTTGCGCCTTTGAATGGCTCTAGCGTCGCGTTGCTCTCAGTCTGCGGTCCATTGGCCATCTCGGACTTTAACCAGTAGGTAGGTCCTGCCTAGCGTGCGTTGTAACTCTAGCACTCCTTCCCTAAACCAACCCATCCATCCTTGGGCCACTATAGTTGCTAATCGGATTTGCTCGGACTCGCAGACACGCTCTACAATGCGTCTACCTACTTAAACTCGCGCGACCTACCATCCGATCTTGCTCCTCGTTGAACTTTGATCTAGCAACGGGCATTGCCAGCTAGCGAACACCCTTCATTCCGATAGCATCACGATAGCAATCCTCTCGCGCCCATTGCTTCCGCCGCCACCTCGAGCGATCCGGATCAAGCATGGCAGCCAACCCCACCAATGGGTCCTCCCAGCGCTCGCCGGCCGAGCGTGGCGCCGACACGGAGGATACTGTGCAGTGCGAAACACCAGGCCTGCTGTCGAGGCTGGCGCATGCAGGCAAAATATATACCATCAAGGGGTTTGTGGCTCCCATGATGTGGATGCGCGAGTGGAAGGAATACTTTCAACCGCCCGAGGGGGGGCCCAATATCGTGAAGACATACGAGTCCCGGCCAACACTTCCAATCCGGTGAGTTGGTTCGTTCCCGACACACGCACGCATCGTTCAGAGCCTAACCAAGAGCATCGGACAGCATCTTTTTTCCCGCTTCCTACGACGTGACCTCTCACAACCCACTGCCAACCCTCTTTACCATCCACGGAGGCGGTTTCTGCCTCGGACACGTCAGTGACGACGACGCGTGGAACCGCGCCTTTGCTGATGAAAACGACTTACTCGTCGTCGCCCTCAACTACTCTAAAGCGCCCGGCTATCCTTTCCCCACCGCAGTGCACGACGTTGAAGCGCTGCTTCTTGCCGTGCTGGCCGACGAGTCCATCCCCATCGACCGCCGCCCCCGCACGGCTTCTTCCGGCCTCAGTCGCACCGCGTTGCTTGGCTTCTCGGCCGGCGGCAACCTGTCGCTCAGCGTGAGCCAGCTGCCCAGCGTTCGCTCCCATCCGCTCGCCCCTGCGGCCGCACTCAGCGTCTATGGCGTGCTAGACCTGAGCGTGCCGCCGAACGAGAAGCTTGCCAACCGCCCCTGGAAGCCCTCGCTTCCCTCCCCTCGCGGTGACTCTACCGACGGACTCGTTGGTCTTGCCCCCACATTCGATTGGACGTACATTCCATATGCCCACGACCTGCGCGACCCGCTGCTCAGCCCTCTTTTTGCCCAGCGCGCGGACCTGCCGCCGTTTGTCGGCATCGTGGCTGCCGAGCTGGACATGTTGGCATTCGAGAGCTGGCAGCTAGCGTGTCGGCTTGCGCGGGAGGGCGCCCAGTCCCACGGTGGCGGCGGAAACGCGGCGCGGCAGATGCCCGACCGCAAGAGCAAAGACGCAAAGTTGCGCGTCTGCGGGCGCGAAACAGAACCCTCGGCCCGGACTGGCGAGCTGGAGGGCATTGCGCCGGCGGAGCCCGACGAGCGGTTCGCGTTTGAGGAGAACTGGGATGGAGGCGGCGTCAAGTGGATGCTCGTCCCGGACGTGCTCCACGGCTTCGACAGCGAGGGTTTCAGGGCGCTGATGGGCGGCAAGGAGGCTATCGCGGACGCCGTGGTAAAGACAAAAGCATATACCCCCGAAGTTGGAAGATGGTTGAAGGATAGGGTGTGGCGTCTGTAAGGGGTGTAAAACAGTCTCGCATGTATTCGTATGCTGCCTAATCACTTTTTTATAGGTAATTCCACTATTTACAACAACCTGCCCCTGGCTAGGGGTATGAAGCAAAGGAAATGTCCACGTGGTCCAAAAAGAAAATAAGCCGGCCTGAGGCCTTGAGGTGCGTTATTCCAAACAGAAATCCCCGCTTGCCCGCCATGCACATGTCCTTAAATGAGTATATCCAGGAAAGGGGGAAGGAAAACAGAACAAGAACAGCTAAAACAAGAAACACGCCACATTTTATATACTGGGCTGCCCGCCCTGCACTCTCTCCCCCAGTATCCTCCCTCTCGTCACCTTGCCGGTCCCGCGAAGTCTCCGACTGCCTATTGGCCGGAAAACAGCTGCCTACCGTGGTCGTCCAGCTGCATTCCCAGGCTCCCAAGCTGCATGTCTGGGACGCCATATCCGGGAGCCTCGAGGTCGCTCACTGCCTGTCCGTTGGCAGGCAGCGGCGGCGGCGGCGCGTCCGGCATAGCCCCTTCCGTACAGGCAACCACGTTGTTGTTGTTGTTGTTGTTGTTGTTGTTGGGCTGCCGCTGCGCGGTCGGCATGACCCCTTCCGTAAAGGCAACCCCGTTGTTGCTGGGCTGCTGTTGCACGAGCGAAAAGGTAACCCCGCCGTTGTTGTTGAACACCTACTGCACGACTGCACTAGACTCGCCCTGAAAGGCAACGCCGTTGTTGTTGGCCAGCTACTACTGCTACACAATTAGAAAGGCAACCCCGTCGCTGTTGTTGAACTGCTGCTGCTGCTGCTGCTGCTGCTGCTGCTGCTGTCCTGGGCCGCCGCCGCAGCCGCTGTCGTCGAGTGCCGTATCCGGGACTCTAATAAAGTTGAAGTCAAATGCGCGGCCGGTGAACTGTAGTTCCGGCGCCGCCACTAGTGCCGCCGCGTAACCCCCCTCCTCCTCCCATCATGCCCACGCCGCTGGTAGCTGCGCCGCTGTTATACCCCATCTGCTGCCGGTGCAGCCGCTGCTGCTGCTTTCGCTGCTATCGCTGCTGGTGGTGGTGGTGATGGTAGAGCTGCTGCTGTTGTTGCCACCCACTCTGTTCCAGCCCCTGATGCGGACCCATTTGCATCTGGCCTGCGTGGCCCGGGAAGGAAGCCGCCATCTACCGTCCCGGGTATCCGACGGGGGGGTGGGAAGAATGTATCGCCGGCTGTGACGGATGCATCGCTGGCTGGGAAGGGTGCATTGCCGGCCGGGATGGATGTATTGCCGGCCGGGAACGAGGCATCCCCGGCTGGAAACGACCCACTCCTGGCTCGACACGACGCATGGCCTGCTGTTTCCAGTACTCGTATGGGCTCGGGTGCGGCTGCGGTTGCAAACCCGCTTGCGGCCCGGGTCCCATCTGCCCCTGCGGCACGTCGTATCCGAGGACAGGCTTTCTGCCCGGCAGTGCCTCCTGCGGCACGCCCATCTGCCCCTGTGGCTAGCCGGAGCCTGGGAGCATTCTGCCTGGCATCGCCTCCTGGTGCATCTGCGGCCCAGCCTGCATTTGAGGGCCTTGCAGTCGGGGTGGCCAGCGGCACGAAGTGTTTGGCCCAGCCCAGTCTAACATCAAAGATGACTTCGATTCGTACCCCGGAGAGCATAAGCTCTCGGACTCCGACCAGGGCCCGAACGCGTTCGACGAAGCTCGTCTTGGCCCACATCTCGGCTGTCTCCTGGGCGGTTGGGATTCGTTGTGGCGGCTGCACACGCGCAGGCACCCGCGCTGGGGCTGCGCGGACCTCTTCCGGCCTTTGCTCCGCGCCGCCATCCGACGACTCTTTGACCCTCGCTCCGCGGCGCCTTTGAGGCTGCGGCGACGGGGATGGCTAGGCGGCCTGCTGGGCAGGGGCAGGTGCAGGGGCGCGGGCGGGCAGAGGCATGGGCTCGGGTGCTGGCTCAGGCGCGGGTTCGGAAAGTGGACGGACGGGGTTTTGATAGAGAGTGTTTGGTAATTCATGACGCACCTTCCAAGGCTAGTGGGTGCCCTAGGAGTAGAGGTTTACTATAAGTCGCCTCGTGCAACGACCTCATCCCTTTCACGGAATCCAACGAACTCCATGAATTCTCAACCGTCGACATCTTGACGGCGACGCAGATAGATAACTGTTGCGTAGACGTCAGATGTTGCCCCGCCTATCCGTCGATCAAGAGAGATGAGGGTGAGAGGTAGCCGCTGGAAAGCAAAACTTTTCTGCTGTTTGTTACAGAGGAAGATGGGGGAGAGCAACCAGGAAAGGGGGGGGGGGATAAATAAGGAAATAAGGGAAACGAAGAAGCAAAACAAGTCGTAGATTTGAGTAGGAGCTGTATTCCCTGCGTTGGCTGGAGTGGTCTGGATAATTGCTCGTAGACACAACTATCCTGCTCTGTCGTGAAAGGTGATGGATGACTGGGTTCCGGATCAAAAAGAGGTTAGGAGGTCGGGGGGGGCCGTCACATACCTATATATACTGCCACGAACGAGGCTTAAAGTTCATCAATCTCTGGTCTACCGGCCAGAAAGCCACCGATTCTGCTAAAGTCTTGCTCGAAACCTCGAGGTATGTCCGAAACGGTGAAAGAGAGGCATCTCCGAAATAGTGGCAGCAACAGGCAACAGGTTATCTCTCCATTCTCCACCAAATTCGATGACACCAAATCAATATGTGCTTTTCCCCCGGTCGTGTAGAGAGATCAGTCATACTGAACTTTCATATCCGAGTCTCGATAGCACGCCTCGCCTTCAGCCTCAAGCCCGGCCTCACAATATGCCTCTTTCGGAAATAAAGGTGGACCTTGGCGGGTTGATTGCTGGGGAATCTCCGAGACCTAGGTAAGCCATCCGCACGCTAGATGTGTGTAGACACAGAGTGGTCCCGGCTAGGTCAGTGCCTATCATAGCCGATGTAGCTGGAGCATCTACTCGGTACCCAGGTATTTCAGACGTGGAGTTGTGTAACTAGAAAGTGGCTTTGTGGAGATGTCAACGAGTTTTTAGAGCACAGCAAGCGTAGGCATGCTCCCAATCCAACGACGATTGCCTAGCTAGCTAAAAAAAAAAAAAAAAAAAAAAAAAATAAGGCGTTAAACAGTGTTTTTAACAGTCTACCCCATCGTCTTTTTGTTAATTCTCTTAACAAGCGAACAGGAGTTGTAAAATGCAGTAGACAAGTCTCGATAATTCGGCATGTAAGTGGGACGTTTTGCCACTAGTAGGGGCCGGTTATATAAGCCCCAGTTTTTGCCCTTCCCTTCAACGAATCAACTCCCTGTGGTGTAGTTGGCTATCACGTTCGGCTGTAAATGTCTGTTTGTATACCGAAAGGTCACCGGCTCGATTCCGGTCGGGGAGAAATCTCGATTTTTTTTCTTTTTTCTTTTTCTTTTTGCGTTGGACAAATTTTTACTCAAACAGCCAAGGTTCCAAGCGTTGACATTTGCGCATTCATCAATTCCAAAGGAGATGGAATTTTAGACAAATCTTTCTCCTCTCCTAGGCTGAGTGGGTTCCTCTCTTTCTCTCGAGTCTGTAGGTACGGAAGTGCAGTGCTCCGCAACGCGAAACCTTGATACCCCGCCACCTAAGACAGCTGAAAGTTCGATCAAAAGAGAGTGAGAACAAAATTCGGGCGTCTCCACAAGACCTTCTCTGTGACTCATTGGCAGCAGAATTTTCGATAAAACAGCATCACCATCACCAAAATGAAGGCTAGTCACAATACGAATCCTGTGAAAGCCCCGCTGCTAGTTGTTAAAGTTTCTCCTTCTTGGAGTGCTTTTCTTATCATTTTTATCTGTTCTTGAGCGATTACTCGGTAGTGGGTGGCCGCTGCCGAAACACTCCACCACTTGCAACAAGGCCCCAGCCCTACCCGCCCTGGAGAACAAGCTTCCCACAACACAACAACACTCTTCAACTGCACGGACGATAACGTCTTTAAATGTTGTCTCTCGTCTTAATCTTTGCAGACGAGTTCGGAAACCAATACTCAGAAGCTTGACGGATTTAATGGGCATTAATCGCCGTGATGTCTGGAGGACGACGTCGTGGCCCGGCATCGGAATCTGCTTGTGACAATTGCCCTGTTTTTTTGTGATTTTTTTTGGGACGTTGTTGCTAGTTTGAGGCCTTTCCGCGGCCGACGACACGAGAACATACGATGCCGATACTACACATGGGTGGCAAAATGGGGATTCTGCTGGGCGAGAGCCTCGTGCCTATTTACAACTGCTTTGACGGCTCAAACAGTCGCCGTTATTTTAGACATTGAGAACCCGTGTCCTCCGAACCTAGTACGACACGGCGCCGACATCTAGGTGACCGGCGGCGGACCCCAGCAGCTAGACGGCAAGGGGCCGGTGGGTGGCGTCTTCGACGGGTCCACATCCACCTCGCCTTCGAGACGTGCAGCGACAAGTACTACTATCTCAACAATATCAAGACCTTCGCCATGGTCACCGTCGGGAACGGGGGTGCCTATGTCCTCGTCGAGGCCTGGAAGCTCGAGAGTCCCCGGGGGGCGAAGGAGTGAGAGGGGGAAGGTGGTTAGAGGGATGATGGGCCGGTGTGTGGTTTTGAGGTCTTGGAAATTTGAGAGCGAGCGTGCGAGGCGGTTCAGAACTTTGGATGTTCGTTTTATTCCCTCTATTCTCTTAATCCATGTTTATATACCTATACCGAATCATTCTTCCATCCCCATGGTGCTCAAACTACCCAAATCAAAGTCAAGCTGATTATATTCAAACACGTTATTAGAGAAAGTGGTTGAGCGTGTTTAGGGGCTGATAGTATTGGAAAGCGGGAATTAGATTGTCCGCATAATTAGACACGCTTTGTATAAGGAAACAAGTTTGAACTATCAAGACGTCCGTTGGTTAGATAGTAGTTATCTTATTTAACCTGGCTTCAGCCAGCAACGGTTCCGGGACGTGATTGGAGTTTTGAGCGAGTGAAATACAAGGTTCAACTCTGACCAATCAGGTGGTTCGCTTGCTGGAACTCGGGGATGCGGGCCTATAATTCGTGGTGTGGTAGTCACGGTGTGGAGGCGACAGGGGAGGGCGGCTTCTGAACGAGAGGGATTTGCGGGGTGTATGAGCATGAGTTTGTTCATTGCTAGGGGGCGTGTGCGTAAGAATAATAGAATACGGCGGACATGACATGATCTAGGGTTAACGTTATCTCTTTTCAGTTTTAACCTAGCTCGACAGCAGTCCCCTTTTCAGGGCGGAGGAGAATGAAAGCCCCAAAGCTCCTCAAGTATAGTTGCACGTATGTCATGAGTAGGTAGTCTGCCGTCTCGGCTACAGTTCCCATGGTGACAGACTATTGTTTTGTTGTTGACAACAATGTATAAGCAGATGCATGAAGCTGGGAGAGACTGTCTCTTTTCCTTTCCTTTCCTTTCCTTTCCCTTTGGCTGTCCGGCCACCGGCACAGTCCATACCGCCTATTATGCACACCGGTGTACCTGTACATATATATACACGCGCACGTTGAACCAGGAAGCGATATACCGTATTGCATATTCCATACCATATACGCATGCACCCCAAAGTGCAGTTGCGCTTCCGCTGTCTATCCACCCTCGAGCCCAAGTGCTTCGCAGCTAGGTCCGCTCGACGCGGTATGACTCGGTGACGGTGATGCCGTGCGGAGGCTTGGTCCGGCTCTCGCCGTCCTCGAGATCCGACGTCCGCCGCTGCTGCTGCTGCTGCCGCTGGCTCTGGCGGTACTCGTCGAGAATCTCCTCGTCGGACGTGTTGTCGGCCACGCTGCTGCGGCGGCCGCGGCCGACCGTCGTGCGCGTGAACGGCCCATTGACGCCGATCTTGACGTCGGTGAAGCTGATGTCGTCGCTGTTGCGCTTCGCTCCGTCATTGTCTGTGGCTGTGTCGACGGTGCCGCTGGCGCTGGCCGCCTTCTTGAGGGGCAGCGGCTTGCCGTCGGCGCCGACGGCGCCGCCCCCAATGGTCCGCAGCACGTACGACGAGTCGTTTTGGTGGGGGTTGTTGTTGTTACTGCCCGACTGCTTGTGGTACCCCCCCGACGATCCCTCGCCGTTCCGCAGCCGCTTGAACACGCGCTTGTACAGCGGCCGGCACACAGGGATGCCGATGCAGATCAGCGTCACCGCCATCTCCACCGCCGACCACACGATCAGGCCAACGCTCGTCTCTATGGGTGGGGTGGATGGGTTAGCGGGGCAGAGTGAGAGGCAGTGACAGTGATAGGGGGCAGGGACAGGTGCATGTGCTCACTGAGATAGTCGGGCGAGTAGAGCCCCTCAACCTCGGTGGTCCGCTTGATGCCGGCGGCGGCGGCGCTATTGAGGCAGGCGTGTCAGACGGCCACCAACATGACTAAGAAACAAAGGGGGGACTAACATCAAGCCTAGGCTCATACTGCCGGCAATGGTGAGCTTTTCCCGCTTCTCCATTTGGAGAGGCCAGACGATGATCCACGGGAAGGTGGCGTAGAAGAAGTCGGCGAGAATGGTCGACACTATACAAGAAAGGGGCAACGTGGTAAGCCAATGTATGCAAGACAATGCTGCGCTGCACACTCACCACAGAGAATGTACGACGTCGGCCGCGTGTCGATGGGGCAGCGACCGCCCGGGATGCGGCGGTCGTAGACGTAGTCCAGCGGGATGCAGCTGAGCCAGAAGCACAGAACCTGAGCTTTTGGGGGAGGGTCAGCTTGTTCTGTACATATGTGAGAGTCAAGACGGCAGAAAAAAAGCACACACCGATAGAGGCCAGCACAACCAGCGTCATCATGGACCAGATGGCGATGCGGTGCCACTGGATGGTGACGAGGCGGAGCAGGAAGAAGCCGAGCGAGGCCTTGGCGATGGACATCCCGACGATGGCGAAGCCCTGGCCGATGCACTCGTACAGCGTGGCCTTGACGGCACGCTCCATGTCGCCAATCTCGGCGAGCGTCTGCCCGAAGCCGTACGTGCCGGCCACGTGGATGAAGATGTTGTAGATGAGGAGGAACACCTGTGTTAGGGAGAGGGTATTAGCACGAATCTCTGGCCTAGCCGTCGACAGGACAGAAAAGAAAAACGTACAAAGGCGACGAGGTAGACGTGGTCGTCGAGCCCATAAGCGGCCAAGCACACGATGCGAGTGTACAGCCGGAGGAGCAGAAACACAAATACCAGCGCCGTCAAGAACCACATCACCCCCAGTGCCCAAGGGGCGTCCCCGCCGAAGCCCATCGTTTATCGCGTCGTCGTCGGACGCTGTGCGGCGTGCGTGCGTGCTTGGCTCAGGGGCGGTTCTGAGTTTGTGTGTCGAATACGCGTGCCCCGGTAGACAAGTCGAGACACTCGGTCGTATAATGGTGATGGGGCCTAGACGAGAAGGACTTGCTTCTTGTCAGGCGGGTGCCGTGCCGTGCCTTGCCTTGCCTTGCCTTGCCTTGCCTTGCCTTGCCTTGCCTTGCCGTGCCGTGCCGTGCCGTGCCGTGCCGTGCCGCGTCCTGCCCACTGCCACTGCACCGGACGTCGAGCCTCTTAATAAGGATTTGGGTAAGCCCATGGGAAGGTAAGGTGAGGGAGGTCAAGCCTGACGGACGGGGAGAGCCGCAGGAAAGAAGGGCACGGAAGGAAGCATAAAAAACGCCTTCCGGCTGGGGGGGGGGGGGGGGGGGGTGCTATCACAGGGCCCAATCGGGGCATTTACGCCCCCCTCCCGACATTTCACTGGAAACTGGCAACCTTCACTGGGACACTGGCAACCCCCCAGGGTCTTGACAACGGTTTATTAGTATCCGCCAGAAGAGGCAAAGAGCATCATGGAGAACTTCAGACAAGTGAAGAGGCCGGGCTGGACAGAAGGACGCGGTGCCCCTTTTGCAGTCTTGCATTTCAACCTTTTGCTGGTCATCTCCTCGGCATCTTTGGAGTTGACTGATTGTTTTCTTTTACAACTTCAGTGCCTATACGGATATCGCCCCTGTATTGCCACTGCTGGAGACCACAGTCGAGGCATTAAACGAGCAAGCCATCACGGTCAGTCGGTCGAAATAATCAGTCACTGGTGACCGTGTCGACGACGAGGTGACAATGTGGATGTGAAATGTGAAACCGCAGATTCAGACAAGCCCCGGCGTGACGTGCCGTCACAACCAGCTTGTCGAACTGGACGGCGGTGGCACAACGAGGGGCCGACTAATTCAGTTCGGTCATCAGGGTCCAATGACAGCAGAGGGGAGCGGTGGGGGTCCTCGGACAAAGTGCCTTGTTTCTTTTTCTGACGGCTTGGCTTTATCTGCGGAACACGACCGGCTGAGCCGTGGTGCCAAGGCTCTGGGAATGGCAAGGACAAGCCTTTGATCCCGGCAGGGTGGTAAAGGGGGTCCCCGCCGTCAGCACCCGACTAGGTTGTCGTTCTCTGTGGCCCGGGGTCTGGGGCGGGGGAACTTTGGCGTGAGCCAGTGAGGTTCGAGGTGATAAGGTGGTGACCAGCAGTCCCGGCCGGGGTACTGGCGGGCGGCCCAATCACCACACTGCCAGTTCGGAGCATTCTCCCGGGGCACGGATGGAGCCATTCGCGGCAAACAATGCCCCCCGCAGCACGTTCCAGTTGCTTTTCAAGAGGGCACATGTCCCGGGATAGCAGCACACGTCCTGGGATAGCAGCACACGTCCTGGGATAGCAGCACACGTCCTGGGATAGCAGCACACGTCCCGGGATAGCAGGAGTCGAACGGACCGAATGGCGTCTATGCTTGGTCGGTTTGGGGAAGAGATCTTTGTTGATTCTATGGCGAGAGAATGTCTTCAACGCCCTCGGTGAAGTGGTCAACCGGTCGACCTGTCCAGGCCCTCTGCCGCCTCTCCTCTCACCGCCGCCTTTGGTTTTATTATCATCCCGTATTTGGAGTGTGCTGCATCTGACCCCAGGCAATGGCGTTTTAGAGGAGGTGGTGGTGGTAGCCCTGGTGGAGGTGGTGGTGGTTCTGGTGGAGGTGGTGGTGGTCCTGGTGGAGGTGGTTCTCCCAAGATGGCAAGCTGTTGCCGAGCTATTCTCTGTGGTTTGCTGCCAGTCAAGGGCGGACCGGCTCTGGATGGCGCGGGCAGGGAGGAAAGCGGCACACCCTAGCTAGTGGGTGCGGGCGGACGTTTCCGCGATTGGCTCCCGTCGCTGGCAAAAGCAACCATCCTCATGCAGAGCCTGACAAGGTGAGGGTGCTGAGCTTGACTTTTCTCTTCCGTAATCTCTCCCACGTCTCTTTTCTTCTGCAGCAACGACGATCACCATCCTGCGGATCACTCCGTATCCGGAAGGAAATTCAACAGAGAGGGAGTGCGCCAGTATATTTACCTACGAATGGCGCCTCCCGCCGACATGTTGACCAGCTCATCCAGCATGGCCTCTGTGTCTGCCATTGGTCTTGGGCCGGACGGGTATGGTTACAGCACAGGACAGGAGCACTGCACAGTGTGCATGGGATACCGTACGTATGTAGTTTTGGGGCTTGCCGTCCGCATCCAACCTTACCGCACTGAGCGAGCAGCACCTCGCCACTGCACTGGGCTTCACCCACTAGAGCACAACAGGAATCGTGAAGCTGTTGGACAGCGTTCGACGATGCTTACACCCCGCTTCCAGAGGCCTATCTCCCCCAGAGTCCAGAGCCCTTCATAATAATGCGCTCGCTCGCTCCCTACTGTGTGCCATTCTTGGGTCCGGCACCGCTGGGCCAGCTTCCCCTTTCTCTTCTGAACCCGCCAACCAACATACCCACCTAACTCTTGCCCCCGTCTCCGTCTAGCTAGCACCAGATCTTGCTTACAAGTGCACCTGAGACCGAGTCTGGCACCGTGACGTGACCCAGACCAGACATGGCTTCAGCGTCCCAAGGGCGGGCCTCGGACTGGGGGTGGGACTGGGCCGTGGTGATCGGCGGCGCCCAGACCCACAAGCTGGGCGCCCTGGTGCTGGCCTCGGCCGCCGCCCTCTTCTCGTGGTTCTTCATCTCGTACCAGACGTCGCCGCTGAAGCGGTATCCCGGGCCGTTCCTGGCCGGGTGGACCAACCTGTGGCGCCTGTGGCAGGTCGTCGGGGCCGACTACGGCCCGACCATCAAGCGGCTGCACGAAAAGTACGGCCCCGTCGTCCGCATAGGCCCCAACCTGCTGGATCTCGACCTGCCCGAGCTCACCCGGACCATCTACAACACCGACGGCAAGTGGGTCAAGGTATGTCATTGTTGACATGCCCCTTTATTGGTGTGCACGGTTCTGATTGTGTTCTGTCCAGTCCGACTTCTACAAAAACAGCAGCTCCGTCATCAATGGCAAGATCACGTATCACATGTTCAGCGAGACGGACAATGTCGAGCACGCCCGCATGAAGCGGCCCGTGGTGCGCCACTACTCGGTGCCCAGCGTGTTAGCCACGGAGCCGCACATGGACAAGGTCATTCAGGAGTTCATCGACCTGCTGCAGGAGCGGTACGCCGGGCCGGGGAAAACGTGCCAGTTTGGCGACTGGCTCGGCTACTACGCGTGGGACTTCCTCGGCATCGTCACGTTCAGCAAGAAGTTCGGCTACATGGACAAGGGCAGCGACTTTGACGGCACGCTGGCCATTGGCGACAAGTCGATCGACTACCTGGCGCTGTGCGGACAGATGCCGTGGACCGACTACTGGCTGGACAAGAACCCCGTGTACCCGCTGGGGCCGCCCAACATCTCCAACGTGACCAACATCGCCGTGGCCAACCTCACGGCGCGCCTGACGGGCACCGACAAGAACTTCGACCCGGCCAAGCCCGACTTCCTGCAGTACTTTATCGAGTCTAAGTCGACGCACCCCGACATTGTCGACGACAGCGCCGTCGTCGGCTACCTCCTCCTGAACCGTAAGCCTCTTCCTATCTCTCTTCCGCACAAAAAACACACCAACCCTCTAACTGTCTGCCTCCTAGTTATCGCCGGCGCCGACACGACGGCCATTACGATGCGCGCGCTGTTCTACTACACGCTCAAGAACCCGCGCGTGTGGAAGAAGCTGCAAGACGAAGTGCGCGCACACATCGCGCCCGGAAAACCCGCGCCGCACGCACAGGCCCGCGCGCTGCCCTACCTCGAAGCCGTCGTCCGCGAGACGCTGCGCTACCACCCGTCGGTATCCATGATCATGGAGCGCATCGTGCCGGCGGGGGGGCTGGCGCTGCCGGACGGCAGCGTGGTGCCGGGCGGCAGCCACGTGGGCATGAACCCGTACATTGTGGGGCGCAACAAGGGCATCTTCGGGCCCGACGCCGACGAGTTCAACCCGGACCGGTGGCTGCAGCGGGCGGGCGAGAGCGACGACGCGCTGCGCGACCGCATGACGCTGTGGAACACGGCCAACCTGGCTTTTGGTGCTGGTTCGCGTATCTGTCTTGGACGTAATCTGAGCCAGATGGAGGTCTACAAGGTCGTGCCGACGCTCATTGCGACGTTTGATATCGAGCTGGCCGACCCCAATGAGGTCTGGTGGTCGTCGGCCCGCTGGTTCTACCGCACCAAGGGCGTTGTGTGCAACCTGCGGCCGAGGCGCGGCTGATGATCGTGCGCATGGTTTGGTGGGGATTTATGGATATAGGTATGGAGGGGATGGCTTGACGAGAGCTAGCTGGCGGATACCCCTGGTAAACAGTTGGGGGGGGGGGGGGAGGGCTCAGTCTTTGACTCCGACGTTTCGTAGACTGCTTTGGAGTTGAGTGCCTTATATGATATATCCATATGATATATCCACGACTCCAATGATTAGATGCCGTTCCGCTTGTGAAAATAAGACCCCGGAACCATTGCCAACTGAAACCAGATCTATTTCCCGCTGGATTAGATTGAAAATGCAGTCGGTGCCCGAGTCCGGGACAGCTGAGCTGAGTCGCGGAGACTTGATACCAAGATCTCCATGTATTATTATGTCCAACTAACTCAATGATCTAGATAGCCAACCATGTTGAATCAACGACAGCCATACTGATATGATTCTCTATTGAAATCTAGACCCACAGCCATCTGAAAAGACTGCTCCAATCCGGGTATCTCATGCGAATTCAAACTCTAAACAATGCTCGGCCGGGCAAAGCCAAACACATGAAAACAAGTAAATTGCGAGCCTAATCGCACCTCTATCGACCAGTACCCCTGCCTACCCTCAGTCGTAGACCGACGCCTTTGACCACTTGGACGCGGCGCGGATGCGCTTGCCGTAGACGAAGAAGACAAACGGCACCGGCACCAAGAGCACCGCAAACCCGCCCGTGATGGACGAGCCGGGGCCGACGCCAATGTTGTGGTAGAGCGGCATGACGACGAGCGGGAACGCCGAGGCGAAGGCAGAGCGCAGGAACGTGTTAGCAGCAACAGCCGACGCGGCGTACATGGTGAAGGTGTCGACGAGGTAGTTGAGGGCGGCCTGGAAGATGGTGAAGAAGCCGGTGCCCAGCATGACGAGGCCCAAGCACGGCGCGATCCAGTGCACGCTCGGGCTCGACGTCCAGCCCACGACGAACTGGCCGGCCGAGAATAGCACCGACCCTAGCATCATGGGCGGCAGGCGCTGCTCGGGCACGGCGCGGTTGCCGGCGGCGCGGTACGCCTTGTTGTAGTGCAGCTGGTTGTAGACGTTGATCGCGGCACCGATGACGGCGCCGATCAGGATGGCCAGGAACGGCAGCGTGGCCACCAGCGGCTTCCAGCCGCGGATCTCGCCAAAGATGATGGGCACCGCCCCCAGCTGCATGTACAAGATGCCGTAGCAGAAGCTGGCGTAGAGCGCCACAAGGAAGCAGATGGGGGTGCAGAGCAGCTGAACGGGGCGGAGAAGGAATTTGTGGGCTAGCTCTTCGATGCTGACGTCCCACTCCTCGTGTCTGGCATGGAGAGCCCAGTTTCCGCTGTCGACGCGCAGGCGTCGGGCTTTGTAGACCAGAAGCAAGGGCGGGTACGTCTCGTCAATGAATACGAGCGCGAGGACCAGGACAAAGGACTGGAGAATGCCGGCCAGATATTCTGTCCAGCGCCAGCCCAAACTGGGCTGTGCCACCACGGCAGCCGATACGATGGGGCCTGGCGTTTGCGAGGCGGGGTTAGCAGAGTACCGCAACACAAGGGGCTACATGAGAATCAGCCATATACCTAATATTGGCCCGCCAACCACGGCCATCGCGTAGCCGGCTATGGCGATGCCCCGCTCGGTCGGGGCGAAGAGGTCTCCCAAGACGCCTCCGGTATTCGTCACGGGCGCCGAGGCGAAGAAGGCGGCGAAGAAGCGCGTGATCATCAGGGTTTGAAAGTCCTTTGCCGTGGCGCTCCCGAAGCTGAAGGCGATGGCGACAAACATGGGGGCCATGACGGCCACGCGCCTGCCGTAGACCTCGCTGAGCGGAGCCCACAGCAGCGGGCCCAGTCCGAAGCCGACGAGGAAGAGCGAGGTGCCCAGCGTGGCCACCTGGGTGCCGACGCCGAACTGTTCGGCCACCTGGAGGGTGCCGGCCGAGTAGCACGACGAGGCCCAGGTTGCTGTCATGGTGGTCAGGCCGTAGAGCATGGTGGCGGTGACTTTCTTGCCCAGGGGCCAGTTGATGGGCTTGTAGGGATCGTCTGGCCCGTCAAAGTCGACGAGGTCGTCCTTGCTTGTGCGGACGTGGGATAGCGGATGCGTAAACTGGACAGGCTGGCGAGACCTCAGCCGTGAAAGGACCGTGTCGGTTCTCGACATGGGGCGGGCCAGGTCGGTCCTATTCTTACCTGTCGAGACCGAGATCGAGGCTGCGGCGCCATTGCCGGCGGTGCTTGGTCTTCTTCTGCTTCTGGATCCCGACCCCGATCTCCCCGACCTGCGCGACCGTATCTCACGGAGGCTGGGGCGGTGGCCATCGTAGTCGCCGTCGCTATCATCGTCGTCGTCTGTGGTAGCGGGCCCATCCTCGCCGGGTGTCTCGGATGAGGCGTGGCGGATGTCTGGGTCTGCAGGCTCGCGCGCCTTCTCGTTGAGGGCGAGACTTAAACTCGACATGTTGTTGTCACTGGCATGTACGCCGTGTTGGTTGGTTCAATTGTTGGTTCAATTGGGCAGGTGCGGTACCTGAACTCGAGTCGCGACGGGTCACTGGCACTGCAGGCCAACCTTGAAATTGGCCGCGAGGCCGAGGCGCGGGGTATGGCTTCCATTTTAATTCCCAGTTCAAACGCCAGTGGAGGCGATTTTGGCCGACCACGACCTATTACCTACCTGACGCACTAGCGGTCACTGCACGGGAATGGGAACATGTTGGGAAGCTAGCCGTGCGGCCGTTTTCGTGGGGCAGGGTGGAGACGCGATTAGACGAATGCCGACGTCATCGCTACACAAGACCCCCAAAGAGCGTTGGTCTCGAGGGGCCAAAACCCAATTACAGAGAAATACACCAATGAGACGGAGGGAAGGGCGGTCGGAAATAACCTCGGCTGCCCACAAAGGCGCGGCCAAGTCCGACAGGAGCCGGCAACGGCAAGAGCGGCTCTGGCCCTACTTCTCGGCCCGGGCATGAGGGGGCGCAGGGCAGAACCTGTTTGAATCCCCGTTAAAGGGCAAAAAGTTAAAATTGCCTGTGCTGTGGTCAACTGCACCTTCCTCCGGTGCTGGATCGGCACCGCGTGCTTTGTCAGACAGACTGGCAAGACTCCTGACGGCTGTGTCCACCAGAAAGGCAACCAAACTGGCTGGAGACTGCCTTGTCGTTCAAATGTCGCGTTCATTCTTTCCCCCGCTTTCCTGACCAGTCATTGTGTAATCTACGAAGTACTTGGACTTACAAGACAATGCAAATCAACAAACAAGTGTCACGTGCTCTCGTGCAGCGCTGAACTCGAACCTTGAACCACTGACTAATAATAATGGCACCACAAATTTCGAGCGACGGCGGGTGGAGTTGCCAAATCGAGACGACCCTGGCCTTGTTTGACGACCTCGAGTCACTGCCGGCAGCATCTCCGACCCACTATTCACCAACCCGGTGCAGTACGCATCCCGCGATGAAGGAGAGAGACCAGAGCCGCTTCGGCGCGCTTGTCAGCTGGGCCCAGCAGCACGGCGCCGAGCTGCACCCGTCGCTGGAGGTGTACTGCGACCCCGTGACCAAGTTCTCGATCCGCGTCAAGGAGAAGGAGCAGCTGCCAGCCGGCGAGGCGCTGCTGCAGCCGGGCTTTGCCGCCTTCAGCTGCCCCTTTTCTATTACGCTGTCGCACCTGAACGCGCTGCCTGGCAGCGGCCCCCCTGGCTCTTCCCTCGGCGGTTCATCAGCAGCAACACCAGCGGCATTCCCGCCGCGCTTCATGGCGACGGTGCCGCCGCACGTCATCGGCCGCTTCTTCCTGATGCAGCAGTACCTGCTGGGCGCCGAGTCCTTCTGGCACCCGTACATCGCGACGCTGCCGCAGCCGGAGCAGCCGGCCGCGTGGGCGCTGCCGGCATTCTGGCCTGACGACGACGCGGTCTTCCTCCACGGGACCAACGCGCGCGTGGCCGTCGACGAGATGCAGGCCAACGCGCGGCGCGAGTTCAAGCAGGCGCGCAAGGCGCTCAAGGAGGACGCCGACATGTTTCCCCAGTGGCAGGACTACACGCGATTGCTGTACAACTGGGCCTTCTGCATCTTCACGAGCCGCAGCTTCCGGCCGTCGCTCATCGCGTCGGCGCACGCGCGGGACGCCATCGCCCAGGCGCTAGCACCGGCGGCGGGGCGCTGCGGCATCGACGACTTCTCGGTGCTGCAGCCGCTGTTCGACATTGCCAACCACAGCATGACGTCGCGGTACACGTGGGACGTCAGCTCGGGCCCGCTGCCATGCTGCCGCCTGGTGTGCCTCGACGCCTACGGCCCGGGCGAGCAGGTCTACAACAACTACGGGCTCAAGACTAATAGCGAGCTGCTGCTGGGCTACGGCTTCGTCGTGCCTGAGACGGCCGCGCTGCATAACGATTACGCGCACGTGAGGAAGCGCGGCGGCGGTGGCAGCGACTCGTCGTCCGAGTTAGCAGGCGGTGGCGGCGGCGACAAGCCAAAGGACTTCCTCATCTCGCTGCGGCCCCTGACGGATCCGAGCTCGGTGGTCGGGCGCGCCAGGCCGCCGCCGTCGTGCACCCTCCTGAGCACAAGCCGGGGGCCGCTGCACCTGCTGCCTGAGTTTGCGCACTTTGAGCCTGCGCTGGTCTACGACCTGGCCGAGGCGCTCTCTGCCCGGCCTGAGACACCGCCGGCAGCAGCCGGGGAGGAGCCAAGAGCAGGAGCGTCACAGGCCGTAGAACTAGTAGTAGAAGACGAAGACGAAGACGCGCTCGTAGGACGCATCAAAGAGGCGCTGGCCGCGAAGCTACAGTACGACTACCAGCAGCTCGAGGAGGCGGCCGCTGCGGGCGGCGGCGACGGCGCCGAGCCGGCGAACCAGAACCAGCGGCTGGCGCACGAGTATCGCCGGCAGTGCGGCAAGGTGCTGCTCGCTGCGCTGCAGTCACTGGCGGCATAGTAGCCAGCCAGCCAGCCAGCCAGCCAGCCAGCCAGCCAAGCAAGTAATACATCCGGTCTGCGTTGTCCTGACACGCGCACGACCCCCTTTGATGACGATTTGCCCGCGCGGCGCTTGGTAACTCGTGATAGATGGCGTGATGACACGGCCCAATAACAAGAGTCGTTGGGTATGGATTGCAAGCAGCGCTTGAAATCCATCAAAGTGTGTCCGGTTGGGGTGTTGCTACCTACGTTGGTGATATGTCCTCCATGTCCTATTCCACTGTCACGCACCCGTGAAGGTGGGGTTGCTGCACAACATGAATGCGCCCATTGCAACCGCACCCACCATACAACAAGCCGTTCCTTTTTGGAGGAAGGAATCGAATCGTAGTTTTACTCCAAGATTTCGTGAAGCACAGCACATAGTGCCCATCAAGCACGTCGTGACAAGCCAGCTGATACCATGTTGCCTCATTTCACAGCCCCAAAACCATGAGACTTTCCATGTATCTTGGCAAAGTCGGCAGCGGCACGTTCAAGCACGGCGAGAATGCCCTGGGCAGAGTCCCATCCCATACAAAAACTGCCAGGAAATGCGCGCTGCTTGCCATTCGACTCTGACTGCACTGGTCTGTCTGCCACCTAGGCGCTCGCAGTTTGCAGGTTGAATGCACTGCGCATCCGACCGGCAACATGCAAGGCTTGCGCAATAACCATGCCTCTCCGCTCTGGCACACTGATACAGGACGGCGACGATGCATGGCCTGGGAAGCCGGCAGCCCAGCACTGTGTGGGGCCATTCTGGTGTTCAAGATGAAAGACACACCCAGTCCACACGGCAACGGGCCAGCAGATGGCGGGCTAGCCATCTCGGGCACTGCTAGAACGTGCCTGCCACTGGGCACGCAACCACCCGCCTGTCCCAGCACAGCGACAGCTCCCTCTGCCAGAGGTCTGGGCTGAAGGCCGGGAAATATACTGAGAATAAGGCGAGACGTCCGGCAGAGACCAAAACCCGACGACGTAAATAGCAAGGCAGCTTTGCGAGTGACGTTGGAAGCGGCTGCAAACAAGAAGGAAAAATAGGGGTTTGTTGCACAGGACGATCGATCGACCGATCAACCAACCAACCAACCAACCCAGCAACCAACCGGTGCGCCAGCCGTGTTGAGCCCTGGCATTGCATCTGGGGGGCATGGCGGGGGGTCACGGCACATTGGGAAAAACAGAAGAAAAAAGAAAAGGACAGGACAAGCGAGCAAGAAACAAATCTCCGCCATCGGATCAATGATACAGATCGAGAGGTAGAAGGAAAAAAGAGAGGGAGAAAGGCGGCGATAACCTCGCACCAAAGGGGACCGCAAGCGCAAGCGCGATGAAACAAGGCTAACGGCGGAGCGGTGCTCTGTTTGAGGATTGCGCGGCGGCAGGATTGGTTGGCTGGGTGGGCGGTGGTGCAACAAGCCAGAGACAAAAAGAAGAGATAAAAGGGCAAGCAAGGAAAACAGAAACCGAGGGCCGCGTAACACGCGCACGCCGTGCCTCACTCTGCCGGGAGTGAGTGCGAGCCCGTCCGATAATTCCCTGTTGGCAAATACGCAGCGAGTCGACGATCCGGAAGGACGCCGCAGTAGTTAAAAATCCGCCACCCTGCCCAAACGCATGGGGGGCACTCGCCCGGGGGGATCGGATTGCTGCGCTGGATTTAATAAGCCTGCTGCTGGCTCGCGAAACCGCCGATGTTGGGTCGACAATCCAGAGGCCCAGCGTTTGAACGACGCGAGCAAGCAAGCAGGCAGGCAGACAGACGGGAAGGCATGCAGGCTCAAACCCGTGCGAAGCGAACAACAAGATCCTGCGATTTTGGGGATTCAGGAAGAGGGGCCAGCGGCCAATATGTAAATGGACTGCGCCCTTCCGCGTTATCGTGGGCCAGCCCCAGCCAGTCCAGTTCAGTCCCTCACCCGGAAAGAAAATGGCTGCCGCAGCGAATTAGCGTGTCGCTGACAAGAGAGGGCCAGTTGGCGGCGCAGTTGGGGGGATGCCTTGCTCTTGCTGTGCAAAGCAAAGAGGCGCGACGCAAATGTGAAACGAAACAATCGACGTGAACTTGCTCTCTCTGACACCCGGGCGAGCCACGACCCCGGATGCCATGTGGGGTGCAAGGGTGCGTCCTGTCCTGGCGGAGGCTCTTAGCTGTGCGGAGCTTGCAAATCTCACCAAAAAAGTGAACACCACGCCCGTTGCTGCGCACAGCGGAATTCTGTGCCCGCCAGAGCTCAAACCCAACAGACAGGTTGCCCCTCTTGGCAAACGGGCAGACTGTGCCGCCTACTCCACCACCGAGATGGCCGCCGCTGACCATGGCAGCCAGCAGAGAGACTGATATAAGACAAGAGTCGATCCGGGCCACCCGGCCGAAAAGCTTCCATCTCCGACAAAAGCGCCTCCTTTTTTTTTGACCTCTCCTGCCAGTTGAAACCGCCCCATCTGATGACGCGTCAGTGGTGAAACTGAGCGAGCAAAGCACAAAAAAAGAGGCCAGCTGATGACATCAAACTTGTTTGCGCCCCTCGACCGAGTGCTCCGAATGGCGTCCACCGGGTTTGCGCCCGCTCTTCCCCAGATCCTCGACGTGGACGAGCGGTCACGGCTTCTGCCCGATCTCGACGATGTCCTGAGCTCTGTTGGCGACGATGGCACCGTGGCCGGCGACGACGACGAGTCCCGGCGCTCACAAGCAAGCCCCTGCCCGGCCATTTCGTGCTCCAGCCAGCTGACTGGCCCGACCAAGGTCTTGTAAGTTGTTGTCCCTGCCCACACCTGTCCATCCACCCACCTCGCCTGCACTTTCCGTGCCACCAAGACTGACCAACCGCCTCTCACAGCCAAGTACCGCTCAGCGGCGACAACAAATCGGTGCTCGAGTCGTGGACCATCACATACCACGCGCGGACGAAAAAGGTGTCTGCCTGGTACCACTGGCTGGGCATCTGCTGGTGGCGGCGGACCGAGGCCGAGGACTCGCACGTGCTGTCGGTGGTGCCGAACGCGCACTTCTCGCAGGCGGAGCTAGGCGTAGTGTGCGCCAACGACCAAGCGCAGTACGCAGCGTCGTGCAGGAAGAAGTCGGCGACGGCGGGGCACGGGGCGGACCTGGAGCGGCGGCTGCGCAAGCTGGACTGGAAGGTGCAGGACGAGATCTACGACCTGCTCAACGACCGGGTGCAGAGCAGCAGCAACGCGTTCCGCCGGCGCGACTGGAAGGTGGTGGTCCTGGTCGAGGTGCCCGGCGGCGAGATGACCGACGCGGCGGCACAGGCGCTGATGGCGCCGGGGAGAACGCACAAGTCACAGCTGAGGAGGAAGCGGCTGCTCCGGCCGCTGCTGTCGAGAAAGAAGCGACCCAGCATGCCCATCACCGAGTATCGCCTGATCTTGCGCGGGACCGAGACTAAGGCTAACGACGAGGGCTGGGGGTCGCACAACCGATACAGCCGCCCGTGGAGAGCTGTCGACGAGAAGGAACTGGCCGACAAGAGGCTGTCCAAGGAAACACAAGGGAACGAAAACAGGTGGTCAAAGGAGACACATGTTGGCGACAAGTACGTCGACTTTTGAGGGCCGGGCATGGCATGGCATTTCGTGGTGTGGCAGTTAGCTGTTCCGTTCTGTGACATACCTTTCTCACCCCTTTCCCGGCGTTGGCGCCAGCAAATAGACACGTAGAGACTCATGACTTATGCATTACTGGGGGTTCTGGGCGGTTTACTCGAATAGATTTCCGGTCTGGGAGTTTTCGTCAAAAATATTCTCGCAATTTTCGTGATCGCCTTGCCGCGTGTGTGCTTGCCCGCTGCCCGTGATCCTGATGCGTGATTCCGTGATCATCGGGATTTGGTACGGCTCTGATGCCGATCATGGGGAGGCCAAGCCACTTTCGTCATTTCGGGGTTTCGTGAAGACCCCCACTAAGAACAGCCAAGCTCGACAGCACCGTTCCGTGCCACCCGAGGGTCACTGAAAGTGAGACGCATAGCCCGTCGAACCTTATCTGTGCCCCGCCATGCCCACCAGAAGCAAGCCAACAAGAGTGTGTCAGCTCTGGCCCGCTCCTTGCGGCCATCTCACCTTCCAATCCGGAGTTTTTTGGCAGGTTTCCGGATCTTGACCCGTAGATAGAACGAGCCACATTATGCCACGAAGGGGAGCCCCGGAGACCAACAGCAAGAGATGGAATTCTGCAAGACGAAAGGAACCTAGAGAACTGAGGAACTCGGCAAAGACCCGGCAATTCTTGGCCCTAGATGACAGCAGCTTTGGAAGGAACCAGGTCGCCGTACACAGCTAACTCGAGATCATTGTAAAGCTTGACTACTACTGAGTCTGGCTGTGGGAAAACATTGACAATGAGCGTCGCCGCGATCCCCGTCTCGCGGTCGATCCACTGTGAATTCACGTATCGCATCGTCAGCCACTCTGGTACAATTAGGATCTCGTCGTAGGGTAATTTCGGGAAGGCCTACCCAGTGCGCATTGCACATGCCCTGCCACATCATGCTGCCCTTCCTCCTCTTCCCAGGGACATCTTCGGTGTTGATGACGCCGCCCAGACCGTGGTCAATTCGGGTGTCTACTGGGAACTCTGGTACTATACCATCGTGAAACCTGCCTGCAAGATACGTGAGCATTCCACGCTGGACTTCATTAAGCTGTGGCCGGAACATCTCATCAACCGTTGCCCTGCTAACCAATCCCCCTTTCTCGTCGGGGCTTGACGCCTTCAGCAACGCCTGCAGGACACTGACATGGTCCTCCGCTGTTGTCCAGAGTCCGGCGCCCCCGCTTTCGATAGGCGGATCCACGGGAACAGGGAACGAGCCACTTGAGAGCGTTCCCGTGGACGAGTCGCGGAAGGAGCACGGCACGGTTCGACCAGCTGCTCGTTTGGTCATGGTGAGTGAGCGGAAAGTCGTGTCACATAAACCAAGGGGCTTGCAGATGTGCTCGGCCATGTACGCGCCGAGTCCTTGACCTGTCACTGTTTCGAGCACCTGTCCTGCCCAGTCGATGGCGCTGCCATAGTACCAACCCTCGCCGGGCGGAAACTTGAGTGGCGTCCTCCAGCCCTCAAGCGTGTATGACAGGTTGTTTGTCGTGCGTCCTACAGCATACGACCAGCGGGTCAGGTCTGGGTCGACAAGATCGTAGCCCAAGCCACACGTGTGGGTGAGAAGGTGGCTGTGCAGACATTAGCTAAGAACGTGGATTCCAGCTGCGGGACCACAGTACCGGAGCGTAATGGGCTTGACGTTGTCCTCCAGTATGGGGCTCCCGTCGTCGGCAAACCCCCACAAGATGCGCATCTGAGCCAGATCAGGCACCAGAGGCCGGACGTCGTCATCCAGGCCGATCAAGCCGCGCTCAACAACTTGCATCACGCATGTTATTGTGACAATCTTGGTCAGTGACGCAACCCAGGTGAAGGAGTCTGGAGCGAATGCAGACGAGTCGACTGGGAGGTTGGTGCGGCCTGCGGCTCCCTTGTAAAGTATCTCTTCAGGGGCCAAGTTAGCGACGGGGCTGTGCTCGCAGCGGCAGATATAGCACGGCTACCATTTTTGCTAACGACAACGAAGGCGACTCCCAGCAGCTTGTCCTTAGTCGCATCGCCTTGTGCGACATATTCGTCCAGGATCCGGTCGATCTTGTCTGCCATTATAGGGCGGGAGGGTGTAAGCGAAGTTGTGGGAGCGTTTCTTTCTCAGAGGCCGCGGCGATTTTTAGCGCGGGAGATTCCTCGCCCTTAAAGGATAATTGAGAAGATTCGCGTTGTCAGCTAGAGATCTCGGGTGGAAACTGTTGGGCTCGGTTAGGCAAGTGATGGGCATTCAGCAGTCGCACTCAGCAGTCGCACAGGCGGGCTGACTTGCATGGAACTACCGAGCCCTCGCATTTAACGCCGCTATCGCCTGACGACATCCAGAGACACGGAGTCGATAAGCTGCAGGCCTGTGGCGTATCGACGAAGCAAAAGTTAAAGAACAACTAATGTCAGGAATTTCTGGTGAGTCGAGAAGTGTCGTCAAGCTCGAATTTGGGAAAAGACAGTTAATTATCGTTGCTACCAAATTTCTCAGATAGGTATCGCTCCTGCGATTTTGGAACAATGAGAGCCTTTGTTCATGCCGTCGAAGCGGCCTCGTCCTTGCCTTTTTCGAGCTTGGCCAGTTGCGCCTTGCATACTTTGACCAGAACATCGACGATTGACAACTCCTTTTCCTTGTAGGCCGGTGATGCTAGATCTTCGCTGAGATACAGAGGCAAGCGGCAGAGGTTGGTAAATTGCCCGCCGCCCTCATAGCCAACTCGTCGTTGCATCTCTGGCCCAAGTGCATCGTTGGTGGCCTTCAGCAACGCGACCGACGCATCGAATAAGCCGAAGTAGTCGAGCGTAAGCAACCCTTCCAGTTGAGATGTAACGGTGCCGTCGAGCAGTTGCAGCATCTCGAGGGGCGACAGCTGAGACATCGCTGCCCTGCGCTGCAACCCCCTTTCCTTGTCATCGTCGAGACTTGCAGTCGCTGTCGAGCGCCTGACCAGCGCCTTTCCGCCGATACTCCCATTGGGATGAGCACTGTCGCTCGGTTCGTCCATTGAACCAACAAGCATTCCGCGGTTTTCTCGCTGCTCCCAGACACTGCGCTCGATTTGCAGGCGGTGCATGGTGAGCTCCTCGAGATACTCCATGAAGTAGTGGTTATCCCTTTCTTCCTGGGCATATCGATTGTAGAGACTTTTCCGAATGCCGATCGCTGACGTGAATAGCCTGCCACCATCCCCAGTATCAAGGCCCGTTTCCGTTTCTGGGCGGGAAGCCAGCACGTCCTCGAATTTCTTCAAAAGGGCTGCAGGCTCTGATGGCTCCCGTAACCCGGTCCTGAACTGGGAGCTATCGACATGTGTCTCGACAAACTGCCGCATCGCGAGCCACTCAGGAAGGCCAGGTTCCGCCAAAAGTGCAGCGTGGTAAACATACGCTGCGGCCTCCACGGCGGGGGCGAGCATGACAAACTGGTGACCCATTTGACTATGAACCAGCTTGGCCGGGAAATCGAGCAAACCCGTCCACACTGGCTCGTTCTTCATCAAAGCGAAGGTCTCGGGATCCTCGTCGATGCCTTTCTGGAGAGACCTAGCTTTCTTATCCATAAAAGCAAAGTCCTCTAGCATGTAGTGGTTGGTTTCCTTGGCTCGTGTGAGCCACTCCTTCTTGAGGCCTCGGTTCTTGCTTATGGAGCTAGGATTGTGCGACTCAAGCGCCTCTTTGAGCCTTGCGGCAGTTGACTGAAGCTGTTCAAAGGGGCAGATAACATCTGTCTCCATGATGAAGCGAATGTCAACCCACAGATGCAGGGAGAAGGTAAGCGCAGCTGTGATTTCGTACGTCCTTAAAAAGTTTTGGAAATCCACCAAAAGCTCAGACTCAGCCGGGAGGATTGGCGGTTCTTGCAAGTTCGTCTTGAGGGCTTTGAGGTGAGCACCTTCGCAGATGATAGTTTTGGTAATGCTGCTCTGGAAGTCCCGCCATGCCTTCACATCATTGGCACCATAGACGATTGGTTCTAGCATGGACGGAGGAAACATGGGGACTTTCCGCGGCGGGAACTCAGTCCGCACCATCTGCAAGGTGCTGTAGGATGTGAAAGCAAGCCAGTCGGCTTCGTCTCTCCAAATTCGCTCGTTTTGTTCGTCTTCGGTAAGTTCTTCGTACGACTCGTAGTCGATATCTATACCCTCATGTCAGGCTTCTGTCTTTCAATCATCCAGGCAGTGTCTCTGGGATTCGGTAGATGAGAGGGCGATTACCTACGTTCGAGGCCAAAATTGATGAAGAGCATGTTCAACATGAATCCGAAATTAGACAGTTTCGAGCCCAGGGGCTTCAGTGTCTTGACCAGGTCCATCTCCAGCAGATGGAAGAGCTCAAAGGCAGCGTTGGTAACGACAGCTAGCGTGTCAAGTGGCACTGAGCGATCATACCAATAATCGCACCACCGCTCCGCAACATAGCTTCGGATGGCATTGAAGTCTTCGAAGAAGCAGTAGATCATCATGTAGAGATCGAACTCGTCCTCCTCTTGGTCGTCATCCATCGAAGTGGTGCCGAAACTGACTTTGTCAATCCAGGAGCCCTTGCCCTTCTTCTTGGCCGGGGCTTTCGAGGACTTCCTGTCGGGCTTCGCCGTCTTTTTTGTGGCCGTCTTTTTCGCTCCCTTTTGGGGTCGCATGCCAGACTTGGCGACCTTGCTGTCGTCGTTGGACAATGCTCCGCTATCTTCATCTGCAGAGTCTGGAGCTGGCTGTACCTGGAGGTGGGCGAACATATTGGTCAAATCCGACGTGTTGATCCTGGCCTGGCCACCCGACTGGTTTTTGGGCTCTCTGCCGCTTGCATTTGATACCAGCGCCTCGAGTTTTGCGAGGACACGCTCGAGGACGCGGATGATGTGTGCGTGGTTTTCGTTGCTTTGCTTCAGCTTGTTGTCGTCGGCATCTTGGGCAGCGCTGGTGAAGAAGTTGAAGCTCTTTTTGCGCAGCCCGACGACGTCGCGGAGGATGTTGATTGCAGCATCGGGGATTTCGTCTGGTTCTGCGTTGTCGGCGACATGCTGGGCTAGAACTTCCAGCTCGCTCCAGTGCACGAGTCTGGCATTCTCTTAAGCAGGGCCAATCCCAGCGACAATTGCCGCTGCTCTCTTCTTCTGGCGGCGCGATTGCGATTGCTGTGGTGGTGCTAGTGCTGTCGCATCCTCGTTTGCCTTGTTGTCAGTGCGCGGCGAGAGCTTTTCGGCAGTCCGTTTTAGCCAGCTCGTGAACTGTGCTTGTCCGAGCTTGTATCTCCGCCACGTGCCGGCGCTCTTAAGATTTCCCGAAGACTCCATTGGGTCGCAGAGCTACTTTCTGCATGCATACGGCAGTGACGATAAACGAGTCGCGGCTTCTAATATTGTTGAGCTTTCCTGAACACGTCGGGCGCCATTTCGAGAAACATTGGGCCATTCCGCTTTGAGCTAGCCCGAGTGCGCCGGGGTGCCATCAGGACGCTGACAGCGCGCCATTCCGTGCAGGGTTGGGCCCTGTATCAGCATTATATAATGTACATGTACTGTACCGCGCTGTAAGGGAGCCACGCGTGTCCTGAAGCCCAGAGAGAAATGGCAGGGATCGAGATGTCGCGTCTTTATCTGTACGAGTCGCAACAACAGCCAAACAAGACAGAAACCCACGGCCTGAACAGATGGAAGGAAGAAACTTGGAATGTAATGGCAGGAGTCTGTATTTAAAATGTAGTACTGTACTTTCGGAATGGAAGTTAAAGAATACCGGACTCTTCACCTAAGGATGGAAGGTGCGATGCAGTGTGGTGTAAGTCGTCAATGGAGCTCGATTGAGGGTTAGCAGTAGCCACACCACCTTTTTCGGGCTTTCCTCCACTGAAGGATGCCCAGTTTCTGTTTCTCTTTTTGCCAATACCTTCACGGGTTATTGGTTTTTCATCCCTTTCTTCCATCTCACTGTGTGTGTATATACATACTGTTTGGCAACGAGTCCGGTTGCACTGGGGCAAATACCTCCTCTAGCTGGAATTTTGCTCGTGCGAACAACTATCACACCAACCCAGATTACAAGGAAACATCAGCCCACATGGAAACTAAGAAATACCCTTGCTGAATATTGCCAGTCAAGTCGCTCCAACTTCCAGTCTCAGCACCTCTATCCCGTCAAAACTTTGCCTTTATCAACCACCAAGATCGGGTATCGATGTTGAGAAACCACGAAACGCCATGCCGAATTATGCCGAATTATGCCGCATGTTTGCGGGCCCCGACGACATCAACATCACAAGCAGCAAAAGGGCCAATCTCGGGCCCGGTGATTCACGTCCCTAACTCTCATGCTGCATGCCCGTTCCTCTTTTGCATGTTCCGCGACATCACGCGAGGCTTTACATCTCAAAATACATGCTGGTGTGTTGTTGCTCAGCCTTAGGACATCTTCAAGCCCTATTACTTGTCCCCAGTTGGGAAATGGGAAACCTGGAAAGTCGTTACCGCTCTTGAAACAGCTGCTCTCATAAGGTGAAGGCATTCAACTGGGGTCCCCTTTCTTTTGCATTAGTAGCAAGCTAGCACTCACTAATCATACTGTTTGTCGTATTTGCTCACTCTATCTATTCTAATAAGAATAAATAGCTGACCATGCGATATATCAGGGTATATTACCGAGTGGCAGAAGCAAGACTCCGCGATGTTGTGTCCGCGAGTCTGAAGCAAGCAGTCCTAGTGTCCCCCTTTGCCATGGCTGCATGAGGGGAAGAGGCAAGAGTGAGCGGTTTATCAGTCACGTCGGCAATGCACGCCAGCCGCGGTGCTTCTCTTGCCCACTCAGCTCGATCACCCCGCCCCAAAGCCAATTTCTTGCCTGTCATCTATCTGTTCAGCGTCTCCCGCCTCGAAGAGACTTGGACAATTGTGAACAAAACCTACGGCTAACAAACCCAAACCTCACCATGGCCGCCCCAGAAACCCAAGACGGAATCCCCGCCGCCAACACACTACCCGAGCCGCCTGTGCTATCTGCTGAGGAAGTGTTCGACGCTGTGGGCCCCGCCTACGAAGACGCCTTCGCGGGCATGCCCGAGCAAGACGCGTCGATCGAGTGGATAGTGTCGCAGCTGACGGCGGCGGGTCGGACGGCGGCGCGCGTCGTCGACATTGGCTGCGGCACGGGGCGGCCCGTGTGCTCGGCGCTCGCGGCGGCAGGCCACGACGTGCTGGGCATCGACATCTCGGGGGCCATGGTTGCGGCGGCGCGGGCGCGGGTGCCAGCGGCGCGATTCGAGAAGGCCGACGTGCACGCGTTCGAGGCCGCGCCGGGCTCGTACGATGCTGTGACGGCCTACTTCAGCCTCATTGCCGGCGAGACCCAGAACAGCATCCGCCTCGTGCTGTCAAAGGTCTACGACCTGCTGCGGCCCGGCGGACTGTTCGTGTGGGCTACTGTCCCGCTGCCCGCCGACAGCTTGCGCATCAGCTGGATGGGCCGCCCCGTGCGCGTCTCGAGCCTCGCTCCCGACAACGCCGTTGCCGCCGTCAAGGCAGCAAGCTTCGACGTGCTCCGCCACGTCCAGACTGTCTTCAGGCCTAAGGCTGCCGAGGCCGGCATCTGCAAGCCTGAAGATGTTTGGGACGAGCCGCATCTGTATATCTATGCCATCAAGCCTTTCTGATTGATTAGGGCGGACATGATGTGGATCAGGGGTGGGCTACGATTGATTATCAGATAAGATCTCCATCAGGTTGGATTTGTTTTCGTTTGAGCACGCGTCGGCCGACTATTTCGGGTGCCACCCTTTGGGTGCCCGATAAGTATTCCACTTTTCATATCCTGTTTTGGCCTTTGACCTGTGGAGCTGAACAAGAATTATGTCTGACATGTGCGGATCACGCTTGCAGGGTGGCGCGCGCATGGGGAATCAACCGGAGAGAATCAGGGCGAGCTATATTTAGTCGCAGGCGTTGTTTGCCATCTCAATCTCTTTTTCACGGGATATTACGATTTGCCTTCGGCCAACCACATTCCGGGCACATAAAACCGCTATGGCTGTGCGTCATGAGATTCACGCAAGCACACGAACTCGTAAGGAAGCCAATGGCTGGGGACACGACGCCTAGACGACGACATCGGTCCACGACCACGTACCCTGGCGGCTCAAATCTATTGCTAATATATTCCCCGGGGTCCTATGCTAGCCCGAAGACGCGTCCATTGGTTGCGCTTGTGGGCGAGGGCTGGTAATGGCTGGCAGCAGACCGGGTTCGTGGAGGGTCGCTTAAGGTACATTATTGATCAATCTGGCTAAAACCAGCACGACGGCCAGCTTACCGACAATTTGGTTGTATACCTTACCTTATTAGATGGGGCGGTCCCTGTCTGTACTGGTGTTTGTTTCGTACATCGCAAGCAGGTATCGTGGACCCTTTCTCGAGCTGTTCAGATCAGATCTTCCACTGGAGTCCCCTTGATTACGAGGTACCTTGTCGATTTTATCAGGTATGCCTTTGCTTCGCGCTCTCGCTTTTTTTGGTCCCCCGTCTTTCAGAATCTCAAGCTAGATCCCGCAACTGCGTCGGGAAACGCTGCAGCAGCTCGTCTTCGTAGATCGCTTAATGAACGAGCTTGCCGAAGATCCGACGGCACAGGACCGGTGCGGCGTCCTTCCGTCTCTCGTGCATGGCCTTCATGATGGCCCGGGCTGCTCGACGAGAGCAGTTTTGTGTCTGCCGGTCGTCCTATCATAGTGGTCCATGAATTCGCGCCACCTCTGGCCGACCCCCCATGCCATTTCCCGGGCTCCTCGTCGGTCACGCTCGCACACGACCCTGGGGCGCTATACATCGGCGTCCCTGGATTTTGGGGGGCTGCCGCTCTGCTCGCAACCGAGCCAGGGCCCGAAAAGGCCGAGCTCCCGACCGCATCTCATTGACGCCAGACTAAAATTACGGCGTAGTTATTTACGCCACACGCTCGGCCGCTAGTATCGGCCGACTTGCGCCTCTTTTGCAAAATCGCCTGGAACAGGATCAAACAAGTACCAATCAACGTGCACCCTCTGTTTTAGGTGTCGGCCGTTCGAGCATGCTCGATAACTGGCTCGGATCTTGGTCCGCCCCTGAGTTATTTTGGGCCTCTGGATTAAACTTCATTCTTTTATTTCTCTCACTTCAACTCTGTCCCAGAAGGAATAAACTCGAGGTAAACAGTAACTATTTCAGAATCCAGCGAGGACGCCCCGGTCGGCAGAGAATAGATGGAGCTGAGCGCCACAAATTAAGCCACCAACGAGGAAGTGGGAGCTTATTAGCTGGCTCCTTTCTATCTCTGGCACACACCCTTCCAAATTCCATCTGCGCACGTACTCTGGTTGCTGGCCCGGGCCTCTACATGGCGTCCCTGCTCCCGTCTCGCAACCAGGAAACAGTTGGGCAGCTAGCAACGCGGCCGGGAGCTGGCTGTTCCGGAACCGAAGTCGAGTCTTTGCTTGGCTGCAGTGCCCGCCATGTACCCCAACCAACCTCTGCATCCGCACCTGCGCCTGTCTGCACCTCTATCATTGGTGCGTCTCTATTTTAGATGCAGTGGGCTGGGCGGCGCAATATTTAACCGTCATATGGCGGTTACCCTCTGCGCGTGTTTTGGGTATCAGCTTGCAACGCGAGGGGTCGTATGGGCCCGAGTCTAATAAATGACGACCACGCGTTGGGCAACATGGCCCATTGGCCTTGCAGCGGCCTTAGCTAATTATGTGCCAACGACGAGCAGAGGCAGTTGGAGCACGCACGAGCTCCGGTCCCTTCAGATGGCAGAAGGAGCAGTAATCATTGATGCAAGGAGGAGCTAGCGCAAAGGGGCGTCGGCCTGCCACCATGGCACGACAAGGATAGGGGGTGGTATAAAGGTGGCCTCGAAGCCACCAAGTGTGGTGAGATGTGGTGTAGTTCCTCTTGTGCTCGTAACACTATATCCTCGCCTGTCGTCACTGCTAACGGCCAGAGGCCAGGTTCAAGCTTGTTTATATCTCCTGAGTCTCAGATCCAACATGCCATCGGCCACGGCAAACGACACCACCGAGGCCATGGCAAACGGGGCCGACTTAGTAGCCCATGGCGAGAGCGAGTTCCAACCGAAGGAGGCGAAGCAGACCCCGCCCGCTGACCCTCTTATCTACGGTCACAAGGGCGGGGACGAACAGCAACTGCCTCCAGAGCAGCCGCCCATCGTCCAATCCCGACCTGTTCAAGGCGGAGATGTTGTTGAAATAACCCCAAGCTCGGCTGCCATTCCAGGCCCAGATTCCGCTCCGACACAACATCCGATTCCAGCTCCAGCTATATTCGAGCTCCCCGTTCCTGAAGAAACTCCCGTCGACGTCCAGAACGGTCACTGCAACGGTCACACGGATTATCACACGAATGGTCACACGAATGGTCACACGAATAGTCCCAAGAATGGTCACGAACCTGAACCACCGGCCGACGTACAGGACATAGTCGACGACGCGCTACCAACAGGAGCCCTGAACGGACACCACGCTGCCATGGACATCACCACCAAGCCTAAGCCCGTGATCCTCGTGCTCTGCACGTCGAGCACCGCCCCCGGGCACGTACTACCGCTGTGCACCATCACCAAACACCTCGTCGGGCGGGGCTTCGAAGTGACATTCGTTGGCGGGGTGCAGCACCGCGCGCTGATCGAGGCGAGCGGCGCGGCCTTCTTCGCCGTGCACGACAGCATCAGCCTTGCCAAGGGGCCGTTCCGGCAGTGGGGCATGGAGCGGGCGCGGTTCGCCGAGGGGCTGCCGCGCATGCGCCACGACTTTGCGACGTTCTTCGTCGGCCAGGTCGCCGGCCAGTTCGCGTCGACGCGCGCCGCGCTACTGCACTTGCGCCGCCGCTACGGCTTCGCCAGGGATATTCTGGTGATCAACGAGTGCATGTGGTTTGGTTACCTGCCGTTCAAGTTCGGCGCCCCGCCGCCCGAGGGTTTCTTCCCTGATGGTGATGATGGAGCGCAGAGGGCCATGCCCAGGAGCCTCGGCGTCAACGTCACGCCGCTCATGCTCGACAGCGTCGACACGCCCGCCATGCCGCTCGGGCTGCTGCCGGTGCCGTCGTCAGAAGCCGCCTCCAGCAGCAGCTCGGACCTGGTGGCCGCCGTGCGCGAGCGCGACGCCCTGATACGCGACCTGCTGTACAAGTACGTGGTCCGCGAGTCGTACGACGCGTTCCGCGAGCAGCTGCGCGCGTGCGGGGCCACGGCGGTGCCCGACGAGTGGATGGTCAACTTGAGCGTGACGGCGCACGACACGACACTGCAGCTCTGCGACGCCGCGCTCGAGTACCCGCGCTCCGACCTGGCGGCCCACGTACGCTTCGCCGGCAGCCTGCCGCCGCGCCCGCCGCCGCCGGGCGGCTTCGCGCTGCCCGCGTGGTGGGAGCGCGACGTGCTCGCGCCGGCGGCAGCCGTGTCAGGGGCTACTACTGCCGCACCCAAACAGCCGAGGCGGCACGTTGTTGTGGTCTCGCAGGGCACCCTCGCCCGCGACTACTCGATGCTCGTGGCCCCGACGGTGGCCGCGGTCGCGGGCCGTGAGGACGTGCTGCTGGTGGTGCTCCTCGGCAAGCCCGGCGCCGAGCTGCCGCCGGGCATCTTACCACGGGCGGTAGTAGCAGCGAATAGCCACGGAGCCAATAGCGCATGTCCTATCACCAACGGCCACGGACACGGCGGCGAGAACACCAGCAAGCCCAGCAACCACGCTGCCGAACTGCCACACGACAACATCCGCGTCGCCGACTTCATCCCGTACGACGCGGTGCTGGCGCACGCGTCGGCCATGGTGTTCAACGGCGGGTACGGCGGGTTCGGGCACTGCGTGGCGCACGGCGTGCCCATGGTGGCGGCGGGGCTGACCGAGGACAAGTGCGAGGTGGCCGCGCGCGCCGAGTGGGCCGGCGTCGCCGTCAACCTGCGCACCGGCCGGCCGTCTGCGGCGGCTGTCGCTGCTGCTGTCGACCGCGTCCTCTACGGCGAAGCCGAGGCTGGCGGCGTCTCGCGCTATGCTGCCCGTGCGCGCGAGTTGGCGGCGCTGGTGGCCCGCGGTGATCCCCTAGGCGCTGTTGAGCAGGAGGTGCTGGCTTTGACTTCCTAACTAGTCGGCTTTTGTGTACATAGGCAAGGGTGTCTGAAAACAGGAAGTGGGTCAGGGGCTGAGAACCCCTCTATTTGAGGTCCTGGGTACCAGGCAAGGAAAGCGAGTAGTATCACAAATCTGGGTAGGAAATGAATGACTATATTGTTTACTGGGAGGCAGTCCGGGTAGCTATCTAGGCCACGGGGGAATATCGGCGGAAGACCTTGATCAGGTTAAGCATGTAACCTCGCAAACGAAGTCGTATATGACCTTCGGGTCTTCTTCAAGTTGTGACCAGCCGTGTCGATAAAGGATCTGAGCAACTTCAGGGTCGCTAAGCGAAGCAAGGAGGATCAAGGCCGCTCTGCAGCGGCCTGCAAACCACTCCTGGCATTCCTTCGTTGTGGTGGGGGTCTCCTCCGAGGGCCATGCAAATGCCGATTTCCCAGGCCTCCAAGTTCTCCTCGCCCCTGAGGGTTGGAATGGTCGTTTTTATCTTCATCTTAGGTCTCGTGATGCTGTTGGAGGTGTTGAAGGTGCGTGTGGCCTTTCGGGTAGGTCGGGCGGGTGGGTGTTGCGGGCCGAGAAGCGAAAGTTGTCATCCCTGGGCCGTTGACTTCCGTCTTGATTTCCGGGGCTCTAGGCTCCACTGTCAAAGGGATGAAAGGGCTTTTGTTTACAACTCTAAATAGCTTCAGCTGTGGAAGCAAAGGAGCCGGTAAATCTGGGTGGAAAATGGATGGCGGTATCAAGTCCAGCTATACAGGCCACGGCGGACTATATGTAGGAAGGTATGGCTAGGATTGCATAGATCAGGCCGACCGGCCTAATGCACTCAAGCCGAGGCATACATAAGTGGATCCATAATTAGATCCATTTTCCAGCCCTAACCTTCACTTACCTATAGATAGGACCATTCCTCCCCTCTGTACCTAGTCGTCCAGCTCTGTCGAGACAATAGACATTGCTCTCCTGCCCACAGAAGGTTATGATCTGGACTGGGGATCCCAATGTGGATCTACATGCCTCGGCTTAGGCCCACACCTAGGCCTAGCCATAACATACAGCTGTGAGGTTTTGCGGCGTGTGATAAGTAAGGGAGAAAGGAACTAAAGAGCCGACTTTTCTTTTTAGAGGTTAGGCTGCCGGTTACCTAGATACCTACTTTCTCGCAATTAAGGTGGCATGTCTCGAGTTTGCGATACACAAGAGTGAATCTTTCTCATCAGAGCACCACGGTATGTCCATTTTCAAGCCGTAAGATATCGAGGTTATTGATCATCGGCAACTGGCATCAACTCGAGCTGGGCAGTTAAGCCGGGCAGTAACCAACCCCTTTCCGTTGTAATGCAGAACACGCTGTTGCACCCGCCGGGAAAGGCGCCCCTCCCGATCGGGTATAGCGCCGCGCTCGCAGCATAAATAGAGCCCCCCCTCCCCAACGTCCATTTCTTGTACTCTCGACTTCTCACTTCCCTCTTTGCTTCACTCTGGCCCCTGCCTCTTCTTCTCCCCCCCATTGCATTCATCGCCCGCGCCTCTCTCATCCTCATATCGTAAACTGGACGTGTCCTACCTATCCCTTGTCATCCCCTCTTTCCAGCGCTCCAACAAAACTCGCGCATCTATCTCCGAGCCCTACTCCTTCCTGCTTGCCGATTGAGGCCGTCTCGTCTTCCGGCTCATTCTGACTATCAATTTCACTCAACTCATACCGCAACTCCAGCTCGAATTTGCGCTTCGTAGACACTGAGCGATCAAGTTCCGCCTGTCATCTCACCTCGTTCATCCCCTTGCTCCACCTACCAGGGTGTCCCCCCTTCGTCCGTGGGATGACTCCGTGTCTGCCTAGCAAGTCCCCTGTGCAATCTGCAATACACGCAGCTTTTAACTACTCACAAAAATGCCGCAGTTATCCATCTCGTCTAATACCAAAACAACAGGAGGCCTCCTTGTCGCTTGGCGTATTGGGGACGTCTCCGTCTGCAGCTCAGATAATCCTGTTAGGCATATTCGGACCGAATGTTGGCGTAGATTCGGCGGGGCCTGCATGAGAGTGGTCATGAGAACAGCATATCCGCGTCCTGATTCGACTGCGATCTATTTCTGGGTCACACGCCGTGATTCAGCCTGCAGCGGACGGGGATAGGAACACCGAGCTGACGACGGCCCCTTGGCGACTCGGCCCAATAGAGACCAGTTTCAGAGCAAGAAGAAGGCGGTCCTGGCGCATCAAGGACAGCCAGTGAAACAGACAAGGGGACGAGGCAGCCCAAGATGACGTGGCCTCTGAGCTGCTGATAAGGACTCCTGGCGCGTGGCAGGCGGATCCTTGCCTTCTTGGGATTGACGGTGAGGCAAACACGGAGGTGGAGGCGCAAGCCCATGCAGAGGGGTGGGTAAAAGGGAGATGACACGCCTCTATCACAGCGGCCGACCTGGGCGACCTCCGGCAACGCCATAGATCATGTGGCATTAAGTCAAGTTCGTAATTCGTGGCGATACTATGTCATTCTTGGGTTCTCTTCTCCGGCCGTCTCCTTTCTATCTCGGAATTTACGTTATTGGTAGAGTTATGAGAGACCGGTGAACCGATGTCTCGTGCCCTCCAAAGCGCATGGGGACAAGGCGTTTCACGACTAAGCACGTTCCTCACGAGCCATGCCGTTAGGATTAGCAAAGCAGACAGGAAGTTGGAGGCTGGGTCCGGCTGCTTCCCAGTTCTGTGGTCAATCTCCAATTTTCGCGCACGCAGATATATTTCGTTGCCCCGTCCCAGAAGTGCGAAGATGACCAGCTTACACACCAAATACTCCCGGGAATTGTTCTTCCCGTAGCCTTTGACATCTTCGCAAATCAGTGGCGCAGTTTTACTGGCAGCGCGATAGCAACAGTCTGCCTCGACGGCCAGATCTTTTACACCCCCTCTATAGCAGCGGGCTCCGAGCCAGCGAGTCGCCGCCTTCTGGTTCGGAAGAGAGATCCCTCTGCAGCTATTCTTGAGGCTCCCTTACATCCGCCGCTGCCGCAGGATGCACACGATGCTCGACGTGGTGGTACCGGGGATTCAGTGGACGATGCAGTCCTAATCAGCGATGGCGAGTCCGATTGTGGCGATTCCGACGACGGCCGGTCCGATACTACTTTCCCGCCACTAGAGGAGCTTCCGGCTGCTCTGCGCTACAACGCTCAATCCAACTACGCCGCTGGCACTGGTATATGCCTAGTTTTCCTATCCCTGAGGTGGGCTATTACGCTAATACGCCTGAGTAGATAAGGATGTTAACGCTACTCCCGGTGCCACTGGCGATAGCGACACCAGGGAGCCTTTGGTCTCCGGTGGAGCCAACTCGGACTATAAATTGGTGTCAGCCTAGCAGCAGTAGTCTCCTGGCCTAGACTCTTCCCTAGCGCCATCGTCTGCCTCGCCCATGGCTCTATACGTAGAGTAGAACCAATCAGCTCCGGAATCCCGCCGTGAAGCCGACTGCGTAGGGATATCTTGTCGTCAGAGTCTTGGATGTCTCAGGCACCCTAGGCTGTCTGCAATATACCGCCAGTTTCGAAACGCCAAGTCGCCCAAAGCTAAGGCAGAAAACTCACTCTATCATCCCGAAACTCTGCCTGGTGGCTCTTCCGACATCGGCAAGATAGAGCAGCTGAACGGCCATAGCCTGCCTCGCAAAGATGAACGTCCTGCTGAGACAGGCGATACTAATGACTGTCTTCCTTTAGCCAGAAGCGGGAGTCGCGAAGGCACCCTTTGCAGTGACGAGGGAGGCGAGGGCGATGAGCCCAAGCTGGCCAATGCTAAGCTACCTTTGCATCTGCCCGACAGTCAAGACTAGATCGACTTTCGGCGCGATGTTGGCGGACACTGCATTACCAATCTCGGAGAGGACTACCGTCCTTTAGTTCCAGGCAACAGAGGAAAGCAGCGTGAAGATGGTTCTGTCGTGCTACCACAAGTACAGGAGAGTCAGGCAAGCATACCGAGGTTGTCGGACAGTGAGCAGAACGACACGGGTGAGGTGGCCAATGCCGAGCCATCCATGCAGTCGTCCGCCAGCCAAGACTAGGCAAACCTTCAGCACAACATCGCTCGTCGTCAACGTTGCGATACCGGCGACGAGGAGAACTGCTCTCCTATTGTAGGAAGTGACGCCAAGCAGGGCAAGGACGAGGTCACCCAGCCACCGCGCAAGCGCCGCAGCATACGCACTTCAGCCCCTACAACCCGCAGAACAGCACCCAAGCGGCAGACACGTCTGCATTGCACCAACTCCCAATCACTGCAGGCTCAAAGACTACCAGCCTAAGGCAAGGCCCAACGCGCCGCCAAAGTCAGCGCAACATTTCCAAGCTGCGATCTTCAGGGGGGTCCGCTTTGGAAGAGGAGACAGTCAAGGCCGCTTTCGCAAACTTTGAAGAATGGCCACTTGAAGCGGTCCTCAAGCGCGTTTTGGTAGATGGGGTAGCGACTTTTCAGGTGGAGTTCACGTGGAACCCTTGCATGAGTCACAGACAAAATGACCCCACATTTGAAACCCAGCAGCGCAAGTTACCAGCAGGGAGGACTCCCTCGACAGGGTTCGCCCTCTCTTCAAGAGTTGCCTCCACGATCGAGGAGGTTCGAGGAGATGAGTATTTTCAGGTCGAGGAGATTTTGGACTCACGGCGACTAGGAAGGCAGATAGAGTACTGGGTGAAGTGGCAAGGTTACGGGCATGAGCAAGATAGTTGGGAACCTGTTGCGCATTTCGAGAAATGCCCTGAGATGCTGCAGCAGTTCCACCAGAGGACGAGATTGTCTACAACCCCTTGAATGTGAATTTCCGGCTGAATCCAGGTGCGGGTAGGGTGATGTGTACTTCAGTCATTGAGGGCATGCCATCTACGAGCACCCGAAGATCTAAATAAATAGACGCCGATTCCTTAGAGCGACGCAACAGGTCAAAATGGGGCAGAAAGAGGCTGTATGCTATTAGTGCGCGATGAGGTGGGAAGAATTTAGAATAAGGACAAGAGAAGAGCTAAGAGGTACCGCCTGTTTCTGGCTTTCGGCCTCAGGCACTAATAAATTTCGTGCTATCCCTTCCGGGCGCGTCTCTGGCTTCGCCTTTGCTTTTTTGGCACTACCCCGCTAATCTGCCACTTATCACCGCCTTGTAGATCGCGTCTGCATCTCCTGTCGCGTTCTATCAATTGGGCTTTTTAACGAGCAGTTGCACCAACCTCCCGCCAGAGATGATGATGGAAATCTGCTCGAGAGCAGCGAGCAATATGGAGGCCTCGAGGTGGCGCATATCCTCCCTATGCTTTGACCAAGCAGAAACGCTAGTTGTGAAAAGTTGCACATGACAAGTCTTGGTTGTGACTTACTATTTCGATTGAGAAATAGAAACTGAGCAAAATAAGCTCAGAGCTAGAAAGAAAAATCCAGGGGTTCTTTACTTGTAATTATATCTCGTTAATAATTATTATTTAGGTAGGGGCTTTTCTTTTCTTTTCCTTATTTCGGTATCTTTGTTTTACTTCTCTATATTTAGTTCAGTTCTCATATCCCCTGTTATAGTAATGTAATTCCTCAGTGCTGAGTCTGTCAATCTAGCAACCTAGTTACCGAAGAAGTCCTCCTTACGAGGATGAGGGTCATCTTCATCCCCGGAATCGAAGAAAGCATCCTCTTTAATATTAGCTATATTCTCCCAAAAGCGCCGTTAAAAAAAGGCGGGTCGTCGGTATTAATAGTCCATATATCGTTAGGTCCGTAAATCTCAGCTTCATCGTCCGAGCTGACCGAGCCCGTAGGCAAGAAGTACTTACGGCACGAATAAGCCGGCGGGGGCGAGGGAGCCGGGGACGGCAAGGGCGAGGGAGCCCGCGACGAGGTCGAGGAAGCCATGTGACGAACCTGGTTCATACTGAACCGGCTGCAGAAGGCAGGCGTCTCAGGCAAGATTGGGGGCCCCGCTTGTCGCCCGGTGCCAAGAGGGCTCTTGGCACCAGGCAAACGGAAGGACGGCCAATCAGGGGTGGCCCGGTGCCAAGAAGGGTCTTGGCACCAGGCAAATGGCCCGGCACGCTAGCAGTGCCCGGCGCCGGGCAGCTCTTTCCTGTCGGGCAAGTAAGAGCGCAGCTCTTACTGGCCCGCCATAATTAAATACATACGATGACCGTATCCACGGTTCTAGATAGTTCTTGCTTGGTTCTTCAAGCAAGCAATACACATTCACTGCACTCATATACTTTGAGTGGCATTGTCACGGCGCGCAACGGCCGTAGCACACTATAACCCACTACAGGTTGCAAGTCGACGACTTGCAATTCTGGCATCCTTTTGGGGGTTCTAGCGCAGTGGTAGTGGGTGCTGTGAGCTGGCGCCGTCACAGGCATTCCGATTTGACTGTATTACCCGTGCGATAGGAGCTTGCCCTTTGTTCTATCTTCATAATTACCAACCCCAGCATCCTGTGGAGCCTGTGCTCCCTTACAGACAGACGACCCTAACAGTCGAGTGGTTTGTAATAAGCCACCGAGGGCACCGGCGACGGCGATGGCGACGGCTAGGGAGCTCGAATCGTCAGAGGAAATCTCGATCAAATGCATCATGAAGGCTGTAAGGCGGAATGGTAGGTTGATGATGTGTTCTTTAGCATAGGCAACATGGCTGGTACGGACCTTAAAACTCTAACTACGCGCAAAAAGCCCGGTATATGAAAGTGTAAATAGTGTCATTTTTACTTTACCGGGCTTCCTTTAACTCCTTTAACTTCCTTAGTGCCAGGTAGGGCGTTAGGTAGCTGCCATGGAATACGGCATTTTACAATACAAAAAGCGGCTCCTACGTTGGCAGTTGCCAAGGACCTATAGGTAGGTGGTATGAAAAAGTTGGTGGGTACGCGCATCAAAGCTCTATAAGAAGGGGGCTTCCTGGCACTGCGAGAAAGCTAGATAGAAGACACAGAAATAACGAAATCCAACACTTGAACTACCAGCATACGGCGCGCAGCGCGCCCAGTTGATTCCAGTACCGGTACCCTGGTGAATCCAACATTTTCCGTATCCTATTTAACTACTAGTCCGTGAACAACCTGGTACGTGGCCTATATCACCACTTATTTCCTCACGTCCTGCGCTGAGCCTGCGATACCTTCCTCTTTTCCTTCCTTAGCTTTAGATTCTACGAATACAGCGATCATACTGCAGCTCTGTCTCCCTGAATTGACTGTGCGGTGATAGATCGTTTAGGCAACTGGGCGCCTACTATACAATTTTGCTAGTTTACGTACAAATCCGGGCCTTAGAGTTGCCATTTACAAGTTGCCTTTATTTCGAGGCTGACTCGGCAACGAAGAAATCGCTAAAATGGAAAACACCACGGTAACCGCGTTCTTGGGGTTTTTGAAGGTTTTGACGGCTTCAACGCTGTTGACCCGGGCTGCCGGGCTATATGGTAAGTACAAGGGCGGCTAGATGGTAATTCAGGATTTTACCGGCCTAAATTAGGCTCTAAGTATCTTAATTGCCAGCAGGTGTTACCCTTCAACCTTACCTGTGTGGTTCGCCGCTTCGCATACAGGGCCTAGCTCCATGAGATCTCGAGTCTCAGATTGTAACAGTATGCCGGATAGTATTCGTGCAGATAATTAGGGTTATATAATAATTGCTCCGATACTCCAATGTAAGGGAAGGCAGGTACGCCTGATCAAGGTGGTCACAATGAAGGTACTGAAGTAAGAGAGCAATTACTGGTATTGGCAAGAGACTTCAACCTGGCCCTCGTAAAGGAAAAGGGCGAGGGCCTCTGTTTATATACATGACAGAGTGTAAGGCGGGCCTTTGACAAAGGAGTGAATGGGTCATGTGTGAGGGTTGGGGTTTCTTTCTTACAAGATAAGTACAGAACTTGCTGTTGTGACCGCCGAATTTGGCAGGGCAGTGCCGCCATTTTCGGGGGCCTCGACAGTGCGGGACGCTGGGTCACAGCCAGGTACTTGGTACCTCACCGCGGGCTAGCGCCCTCCAACTAATTCATCCAGCGTAGCCGCGACCCTCCGACTGGAAGCCGAGGTGATGACCGGTCTCGCCGCCCTGGAGCAAAGATAGCGGCGGAGCCATTTTTCCGGGCTGCCGGTGCTCGCGGAGAATGCTGTGAGCCCCCGCGCCGCGCCGCGCCACCGGCCGATGACAAGCACAGCCCTCCGGGTATCCCCGCAATATGGGTGGTAGGCCGGCTCCGCTGGGGCGTTTCGCTGGGCGGCGGGTAACACTACTTCCTCAGGACAGCACTAGACGGTGAAGATGATATCTTGCTGTCTGGACGTAGACGTCATCATGCAATGCTCCGTGAGGGGCGGGCTGGCAGGCTGCGCTGGTAGTGAACGAAAAGGCAGTGGCGGAAGTTGCGTTGCTGAAGGGACCGGGGGTGGAGGAGGAGGAGGTGGTGGTGGTATTGGTCGGGGAGGGTGCTGTTGAAGGCAGGAAATGTGAATCCCTGGCAGGACGCGCTGGAAAGGAGCACCGGATTTGTCATTGCCGACGGCGCAGTAGAAGGACGAGATAAGGATGGTACATCCGAGAAGTCGTCTACCGCCGGGACCCGGCGTCATGGCCGCCTTTGCTGAGCAGCTCGCCTGAGAGTGCGCGCAGAATTCGAACTCGGCGCTAGTGTACTTGCCCTCAACAACGGCGTATGCCGAGGCGGATGAGCCAGGCGGCGGTAGAGTCAAGACGGAAAACCAGCCCTCGCGCCGTACGCCGCCAAACTCGACAAAGTCGAAGGTCGAGAACGGCAGCATCGACTTGCCAAAGAGAAGGCGTCTTTAGCTAGCTAGTGGAGGCTTCAATTCGATACAGATACCTAGGTTCTATAGACTCGCCCGTGTTGTAGCTGGGCTTTGGCTTCGGATAGATAAAGCGTGTTATAACTCGGCCACCTTCGAATCCTTTTGGGCTTCCTGAAGGATCTGCCGCATCCGAAAATATAGCCCTCCGTCCTCCCTCTCCCACCTCCCACCATTTGGAAACACAGCTTTCCGCAGCCGGTTAACCCAAGGTATTAATGGCTGATAATAGGGAGTGAAATTATTCTTAGCGGACTTGATGAAGTCCTACTCATGAGATACTTCTCCTTTCTTCTCCTTCACTAGGCCCCTAGCGTCCATGTAATTCCACTTATCGAATTCTTTAACGACTCTAGTCTCGACTAGCCCTTCACAATGAATGCATATCCAAAAAAGCACCTAGAAGAATGACTCGAGATCATGTATGAACGAGTGCTGTTCGCTGAGAAGCACCCCGATGGCCATGAACGCTCTCGTACCGGTCTTCCGTTTAGCCCCCGACGCACCTTCTCGATCGTCTTTGATGGTGAGATCCAGGTCAATCAGAAACGAAGGCCTGGAGGGATTATTCGTATCCTCGTTGATCAAGAGGTTGTTGATAGAGATGTCTCTATAGAGGACGCTAGCCTTATGCAGGGACTCATGCCCTTCGATACAGCCGCTGAGCGCAGCAAGCAGTGACGTTCGGGAGCTGGCCTTATAGATTGGGTTTCCATAGTCGCGAAGAATCACACGCCGATGCACCTGATTAGATAGATCACCGCCGGCTTTTACTGGAGATGTTGAACAAGGACGATCGTTTCTTGCCAGCAACAGTGCTGCTTCTGCGACCCCGTCTCATGTCTACCCCCTATTGGTCCTCACAGCAAGACGGCCGAACCAGAGAGGCAAGCCACGCAGCCGTCCGCGTACATATCGCTCCACCTCTTCTACCGTTCCCTATCGTCACTCATTTACCTATCAGTCCAAGAGGTAAATGAACTGCCTTGCGAGCTCGGCATGTGGAGCGGTGCACAAAGTCTCGCCCTAGATCGGCGCGAGACGCTACGGCCAGAAGGGCGCGGAATGTGGACTTACCTTACAGCAGTTAAGATGCCAACAGGTATAAGACGAGGTAAGGCACGTGGGCACGTGCAACCTGTCGGCTATGGCCAGCTCCTGACGACTATTTAATCCGTCCGAGTCCCCCCTCCTCTGGTTTTCAACTTCTTCTCCTTTTTCTCTTTTCCAGCCTGAATACCTTCTCGCCAGCTTCCATCACCTTCGCCCTCCAACTGCCACCCTCTCTTTCGCTAAGACACTATGGATTCCGAATCCAATCCCGTCAACAAGTTCACACTAGAAGTCCCTCGCGCTCAGCGCAGAGAGGACGCCCTTAAATCGCTCGGCACGGCCACCATCATCGACCTAACTGATGACGACAACCCTCCCTAGGAGCACCTTGAAGTTCGCCCCTAGTCGTTAATATTATCATCAAGCACAGCACCGTCTTATACGCTAAAGAGCGGTGGCTGGACGAATGATAATGCTAGTTGCTTGCTCAGAAGGCGCGTTGATCTTCGCGCCATCAGCTAGGTTGTCCTTCGGCCTAGTAATGGGTATCCCATTAGCTTTCGTATGAGTCGTGAGGAAGGAGGTCCTTTCACGGGGAAGTATGTAGAAGGGGGAGCGGCAACAATTTCGGTTAGTCCCGAGACGGTGGAGTCTATGATCCGGCAGCCATGGGGAGTGTTTTTAGCCTCCGTATGGGGTTTACAGGAGTAACAGTTCAGGATTTACTATATACAGGTAGTCCGGTGTTAACTGCTTCTAACTTGTAATGGGAAATCATGGTAGTGATATATTCTTCTACTCTAAGACTACCAAGCGCTTTCTATCGCTTGTCTGGTAGCAGCAGGACCCCGGGGTTAGCACGTTCCATGAGAAATGTCACGGCACAGCGCATTGAATTGTCTGCTCCATAGGTCTAAAAGTACAGAAAACAACGCTTCCTTATACTCATGGAGAGAGGGCAAGGGAGGCGTTGTAATCAGCCCGAAAGAGGGCATTCCGAATGAAATGAGGACATTCCGAGTCAAGAATGAAGGAAATAACAAAGAATGAAGGAAGCTCAGAGGCATGTCAACCAGGGCCTGTCCAATTCCATGAAAAGTGGGTCAATTCCAGACGACATTGAGCGTAGGAGGGTAGAGAAGGGAGACAATGTCGGTCGCCGGAGCAGGATAGGCTGGTAGGCGATAGACTCGCAATCCTTTCCACGAAGGGAATGCATCGCTGGAGAGCCGCAGGCGCGGCCTCTTAAACATTGGGTTGGGAGCCATTTTTGGTGGCTCTCCAGCATCCAGTAAGGTGGTGAGTAGGAAACAGAAATCTGGGAACCAGTTTTGGACTCTCGATATTTGGAAGCGGTTCGCGGGGTACAAAGGCTCAGTACTTGCGGTACATGTCTGGTACCTGACGTGCCTGAATGCGCGTGGCTTGGGCCCTGGCCGTGTGGTGTAGTGGGGCAGCTTGGCGTGGGGCGATGCTGAATTTTTGGCGAATGGACCGCCGCAATAGGCGGCAGAACCCACTAAAAACAGCGGCAGACTCGCCGTCACATTGTTTAAAGTAGCTATAAAATTATAGGCTGTGGTTTAACTTGATGTCACGATCACCAAAGGCGCATTGGTGCATTGGCGGGGCTTGCTCGCGGGCGCGTAAGCACCCCGCCAATGGTGGTGAATGGGGCCTCAGGCAACAAGAGGGAAAGGGCGCTAGGGCCCGAGGGCAGTCAGCAAGTGTTCGGGCCTGGCCCGAACGCCAAGCAATTCCTGCTCGGGCCCCGTTTGATTGGATGCCCATTTATAGATACATACAATGACCGTAGCCACGGTCCTAGTTAGAGCTTGCTTGGTTCTTCAAGCAAGCAATACACATTCACTGCACTCATACACTTTGAGTGGCATTCCAATTTGACTGTATTACCCGTGCGGAAGGAGCTTGCCCTTTGTTCAATTACCACACCTTCAGGTGCCATTGCGCCGTACAAACAGACGACCCAGACAGTCGAAGCGGTTTGCAATACTTGAAAGTAGAGAAGGAACCACAGACAGCCGTACCCGTTGATGGCGCCCCCAATAAAGCCCAGGGAGCTCCTGCCCCGTTTGGCCACCGTCTATAAATTCATGAGAAAAGGGGCAGCATGGCAGATGTACGACGGCACGGCGGGCGAAGTGGAAGTGAATATTATCCCTGAACTTTTTGGAGGACGGTCACATGATCAGTGCATGTTTTGGAAGGATATCCGAGGAAGGGGTTGGTGGAGACATTCATTTCCCTCTTGTACGCCATTCGGATAGCGGTACAACATGGGTCGGCGTTGTGACTAGCCAGCTCGCCAGATAAATACATTGGTGGTGCGAATGGGTCTCTGAGAACTGGGGCCCCACGGAGGGGGAAATTGTGCTGGTAGCTCACCCTGCACCATCGCTGCTTCAAGCAAGCTTTGGTTGATGCTAGAGGTGAGCATTTGCTTGGGGTCGCGCGACCCAACACTGGCACATTTATAAAACAGAACACCTGCAATCAAATCCAAAAATTAATTGCAGATATGCCGGTATCGAGGGTACGAGCATTAAATGCTCGTTTCGGCGCCCAGCGCCCCCATTCCCTTTCCTTCCCTCTCTGTTCTGTCGGGAGCCGCCCTTTAGCCTATATCTATCCGGAAGATGCATGCTAATTAAACCTATCAGCAAGACCAGAGAGAAACGCTTGAAGGACCCCGAGAAGGTCATTAAGGTTGCGGAGAGATTCTGAACTGAATAACCTTGCCGCTCAAGGCCTCGGCACGCGTAGCATCGATGCAAGCATAGCCCTCCTGTTTGGCTTTGGGGTACTTGTCATATTTGGTGATTGAGTTGAGGTGTTTGGGGTCTGCGGTACACTCTGTACTTGGCATCATAGGTGATGTAGTTACACATGATTATGTGAGGGAATGGGATTAGTGAGGTAGAACTTGTCGCAGGGAAGTTGTTGGAATTGGGGGGCGAGGAACACAGAATCCACTTCAGTACTCTCTCGGGCGATGAGCTTTTTACACTTGCGAGCCTCGTCCACTTTCCCCGCATCCAACAGCAGTCAGTGCCGGCGCTAGTACTAGTTGCTTAGCCACATGGCTGAGCAGTAGGGTGGCATGGTATCTAGGGCAGGGCAAATCAAAAATGCTGTCAGAACTCCCTCTCCAGGACAACCTATCCCACCAGCGGCTCGACCCCCGAAACGTCAACGCATAGATGATTTCGTGACCGATTGCGACCGCCTCGACCTCGCACAATTCACACAGACGCTTTGAGCGACGATTTCTAACCGCGGGAATCTTCCTACGAGCGCTTCCTTCCCGACGAGTCATAACTCGATCAAACACACAAGCAGACCCCTTTGGCGACGATTTTCCGACCGTAGACTACCGCCAAGCAACAACCACACACAAGAATTACCCCAGAAATAGAGAATACGGTGTTCTGGCCGCCGAATTTGGCTGGCGCGTGTCGCCATTTTCGGCGGCTTCGACACCAAGTGCACAGGCCTCTTATAAGTACCGTGTGGGTGCCTGTGTCATAGCAGCCTTTCTAGCGCGCATCCCATGGATGCATAGCCCACAACAAGGGACCTGTATGTACTGTAAGAAGCCTAGCTCCCCAGTTGGCTTATGCCACGCATCTCCGTCACGGTCTGTCGTAAGTGGTTGGCTAAGCACGAACTCAAAGAGAACATCTCAACACAATTAATCATATCATAGTTATGCTGCACTACAGCAAACAGGCGACCAGCGGAGTTCATCCGTTTAATGGTCATTCAGAATCTAGGCATGCGCCGCCCCGTTTTGAAGTGACCAACGAGCCAACTGGCCGCCGGCTATGGCTCCTCAAGCTTCAAAACGTCTTCCTGTGGCAGATGCGGCAGGGACCGAGGGTAACGCGTCTAATTTGTCCATGTAGTTGTAGTATACAATGCATGCTGACCCTCCATTAAGTGGACGTAGTTGCAGCCTAACGATAAGAAACGAGCGGATGTCTTCGACGTAACGCACAATATATTGTACTTTCTTATCGGCAAAAAACACTTTCACGCGCCGATCGGAAGTCCCCTTCCCCAATCCGTTCTTGATGTCGGCACTGGTACCGGTATTTGGGCCATAGATAAAGGTAAAGTAAGAGAACCCGACCCGTTGATTTTTGGTGCGATAATCCGCATACTCCGATTCCCCAACTCGCCACGAGCCCTTTCTTCGGCTCATGCCGGCATTCCTCTGATTTGGTGGCGGCTTCTCTCTCTCTTTCAGAAATGACTGTCGCGGTTTTGGCTTCGTCCCGCCAAGTCGTTTGGCGCTATCTTGGGGCTAAAGGTATTTGGTCGTTAACGTTCCCGACTTTGATATGCCCGGAGAGACAATTTGATGAGGTTATACTTGTACACGCCCTAATTATCTGCGATCTGCTGCACCTTATAACGAGGCTTGTCCTTGACCTCACCCTCCTTGACAACCTCATCTTCTTTTTCGTATTCGTCCCAAGGCTTGGTCATTTTGCGTAAAATTCTTGTAGAAGAAATACTATTAGGAGCTGTCGATCTCTTGGGGTAAGGCTTATAGTGTGAACCAAATATGGTGCTAACGGATGAAAAATTCTACTGAAAGGGAAAAGGAATCTCAGGTCTTCTTATGTTCGTACGCTGCCTGCCGCAGCCAGCACATCGGCTACATGAGCATATTACCAGGATTCCTCCCACTCAATGTGACATCCCCACCATAACTGCTCACCCTTGATTGGTTCCACGTCGCGGCACAACCGGACCACCAGTCGATTATGCGAACATCAGTAAACATCTTTTTCCTGTGGCAGATGCGGGAGGGACCGAGGGCAACGCATCTAATTCGTCCATGTAGCTGTAGTGTACAACGCATGCTGACCCTCCATTAAGTGGACGTACTTGTTGGAAAGCTAGCCCCAAAGTAGGCCCAAAATTAGTCCAATGCAACAGTCTGATTGTGTAAAGTCTTGGGGTAGACTAAGCCCTGGGGACCTCCCAGCTGGGGACCCCATTTTACCCTGAAAAAAGAGGTGTTTTTCTGGGCTAGTGTAAAGGAGGAGCACCAACTGGCCAGGCCACTGCCCGCTGGCACAAGCCACTAAGCCACGCTAAGGCGCCACAACCCACAAGCTTTCACAAGCACATGCAGGACTGAGCTCCTGAGCATGTATATAAATAAGTGGCCCTCGCCCCCTTCCTTTGCGAGGGCCAGGTTGAAGTCTTCCCCCAATACCAGTCATTGCTCGCATTTCTTGTTACCTTCATTGTGACCACCTTGATCCGGCGTACCTGCCTTCTCTCACAGCTAGGTCTAGAAGGTTGCCCTGCATGCGCCTGCAGGTCAGACTGCTGGCGAATTCCGGACTTGGTCAGGACCTCGAAAATCCAACAGTAGTCGTGTTTCGGACTGCCATGATGTCCAACAGCGAAAGAGACTGTGGGGCGCGGGATGCACAGCCTCCCCCGCTTCCCTTGCCAATCGAAGGGGACCCTGCGGATTCCATCCCAAGGCCCGGGGCCGAAGGTCGAGGGACTGGCAGAAGGTTCCGAGAATGGGGACGTTGGTGTTCGGCATGGCAAGAAAGGAACTCCCATATAGTGAACTGGCTCAAGCAGCGATTGAAGACTTAGACTGTCACGGTCGATAGGAATTTAAAGGACAAATGCCACTAATGTACCGTATTCATTTAGTGTAAAACTAAGCTAAAGAAAAAAGAAAGAAAGAAAGATCGCAAGAGCTGCAATCGGTGAAAGAAGGTTTGTGGGCGAAGGTTACACGTGACCCGCAAGCTAAGCCTAATTGTTTTCTTGGAAGATGACGTAACACGGCTAGCGATAGTGAACTCACAATGCGCTGTGCCGTGACATGGACTAGCCAAACAAGCAGTAATCATCTTCACTTTTGCAAACTGCAAAGGCACTTGTTGTCACTTGTATTCTCATTTCATCAAGCAGCCTTGCTCAGTCTTCTGTTACGATCCTGGCTCAAGTCTGCAGGAGGCGCTGGAAGCCGACTGCTGATTGGGCAGCACTGGCGGGCAGGACGGGCCCCACATGAGCTCGGTGCGGCCAGTCAGGCGGCGCTCAGTGCGTTCGGCTGCCAAGACTGTGAAGACCCACTGAGCAGGAAGAACAGCCAATTAGGAAAGTGCTCAGTTACCATTGAGAGCTCAGTCGTCCTTAAAGACTGAGCGCCCCGGAGGCACTGAGCACTGTAAGGGAGAACCCTGATTGGTTGCGTAATTGGATAAATACGATGACCGTACCCACGGTCTTAGATAGTTCTTGCTTGGTTCTTCAAGCAAGCAATACACATTCACTGCACTCATACACTTTGAGTGGCATTCCGATTTGACTGTATTACCCGTGCGATAGGAGCTTGCCCTTTGTTCTATCTTCATAATTACCAACCCCAGCATCCTGTGGAGCCCGTGCTCCCTTACAGACAGACGACCCTAACAGTCGAGTGGTTTGTAATATAGGGACCTTGACAGGTTGCTCTTTGGTCCGGGGGAACTGTGGGTTGCTTTTTGAGCAGAATCTGTCCCCGCGGATCATCCAGTATTGTTCTGCCTCCTCTTCTGGCCACTTGGGAGCCTTCTTGCTCTGTGCTAGGACATGGAGCTGTTGTGAGATCACGCCTCGGTCGCTCATATATGCTCCGTGGTCTGAGGAAGTGCTTGAAGCTCGTACGGAGGGTCTTGTCGAGGGCTTTGAAGTGGTTTTCGGTCCAATCGATGAAGTCGTTCTGGAATTGAGCGAAGAGGACTCCGTCCTGGAGCTCTAGATGCTCGTATATTTCGAAGCAGTCGACTAGGTAGGTGTTGAGGCGTTTGACCGCATCCTGGTTGTTGTCGTTAGGCGACAAAGTCTGTCCCTTCCCAGGTTGGGTCGGTAATGCCGATGACGCGGTCGCTCTTGCGCAGGGTCGTCATCTTGTTGTCTTTGTCGAGAGGCGTAGGTAGCTGAGTAGGTTCAGAGCCTTTCTTCCTAGCTACCGGGTCGCTCGCGAGGGGGGGAGGTTTTGCGTGATGGACGCAGGTAGCCAAGTAGAGCGCAAGGCCTTTCTTTCGGCTACCCTTGAGGTCTTCGTCTCGGTTGTCCCATGCGTTGAAGAGCCTCTCTCGCGCTCTTAGTCCTGCGTTAATTGAGTTTTCTGCGTATCCAGTGTTCTCTCGAATGCAGTCCTTGGTGCTGCTTCCTGTCCAGCGATTGCGGGGTGCAACCACTGCCGCGGGAGCAACCACTGCCGCGGGTGCAATCACTGCCGCGGTTGGGATCCTTGCTGTTCTGCGGTTGGCCTGGTCGGTCAACCACTGATTAGTGTTGGAATGACAAGGTCACTCGTACTAGTCACTGCAGTAACTGTTGCGAAAGGGTGGGGTGGTTGTGTTGCTCGTAAAGGATCACGAACTGCGGGGACACGAAGGCGCTCAGTCAGGGTGCCCCGCGGTCACGTGCTGCGCCACGTGTTTAGGCGGGTGTAGCCCGTGCGCTGAACCTGATTGATCGGTAATTCCTACAACCAATTAAGGGGGAGCTGGCGGCGCCACAAGTCCGAAGCCATAATAAAAAAGCTTGAGGTTGTGGCTGAACAGCTTTCGAAAGGCTTTTATTAGTTTCGGAATAATACTCCGTCCGTACTCTATACTCTGACGGAAACTCCCCTCCAGGAATCTCCGACCTTCGGGAGTTTGATTCAGGTAGAAGGTCTTTGAGCGCGTTGGCGTGCAGCCCCGCGCCACCTGTGAGGCTCTCGGTACTATGCTTGGAGAGAAATCTCAGACCCTCCCTACGTCTTTTCCCTTTCTTTTTCTTTTCTTTTCATTATACTACATATCTACGGAATACGAGCGAAAGGAAATCTCATTTAGCATCGCGGGTGTCTGCCTGCTCAAGAACCGCGTGGCTGCAGGTAGCTGGAAATATTGTCTCTGTTTCTTCGTATCACCCCGAGCATCGCGTGGGGGCTCTGCTTATCTTCATGCCCTGGCCCGACCAAACTGACGTGGTACCGCTGGATGATATTGCGCGGCTGTTTGTTAGAGACGAAGAGGAGCTGTTTTGTATGTATCATGTGTAAGACTCGGGGACAGGAAGACCATTCCGCCGATCCCGCTTCGGTGATCCTGAAGTCTGGGAATTGGCCAGCCAACTAGGTACCCAAGTACCCAAGTACCCCTTCATACATAAGGTGCTCAGTTGTCTTGATACGTAGCCCATCACCCTAGGACTCCAGTGAAGGCCTCGGATGGCAATCTTGAGCGGCTAAAGTGTTTGTGCCTACTATATTTTCTACCGTTTCTGTCCTCATCCGACGTGGCAGAAACCTCTTTTCATCGTCGTCAGGCTGTGTGGGGCTGCGTCTGCGCTTTCCCAGATGCGGAAATGCGGTGAGCGAAATGAAGACGACCCACTTTTTGGGGTGTTTCATTGGATGTGTCAGATAATGGGGCTGTGCATATGATATGGGTGGTACAATGTCTGTCTCACATGCAAGAGACGGGACTTCGGTAGTAATTTATGCTCCTCTTTTTTTTTGGGGGGGGGGGGAGGGGCCAGCCCGCAAGGTCGCTGTTTTAATCAAGCCCGTAACCGTCACCTCGCGGAGTTGCAGACCATTAGGCATTAGGCTCTCATGGTGGGTGCTAGAAAGGCAAGGCTAGGTGCTGCGCCTCTTGCGCCTCAGCCAAAGGCTTCGTTGGCTTGAGACAATCTGGCAGGGCTTCAGGGGGAAACTACCCCAGCGGGAGGGATATTAGTATGTACACTGCCCTGTGCCTTCTGATGCGCCAGTTGAGCTTTATGTCCACGTCCACGTCCACGTTGCACCTTTGTCGGCCTCGAATGGCAATGACCAATCGGCACTTTCTGGTTGTGTGACGATTGCCTATCTGCACCTTTTCCTTTGGGGCATTGCCTGACCCCCCCTCGCCAACCTTGCATTTGCAATGGGCAACATCCAGTCGCGCCTTGACTGGCGACGTCAGACCCCACCGCGCCCATTGTCGGTTGAGGACGAGCAACAACAACAAGTTCGTGAAGATGATACGGCTGAGACTTTACCCCAGGGCGCAAACTTGCCGACGACGAAGATTGACGAACAGGGCAAAGGGCCAGAAATGACAGGCCCCGAATGGCTGGATGTGCAAGTCGACCAAGCATGGGATAGGGTGGAAAGAAGGGAAAGAACTGATCAGACTCGGAGACCATTGAGTAAGGCCAACTGTTGCGTTCATTGGTGCCTCTAAGCACATTAAGCTGATGTTGGGTCGTGGTTTACCAGAGAAAAGCTCGAATCCCGGGGTCTCCCCCAGTGTTGCTGCCATGATATTTGACGATATCGACCAGGGAAAATGAGACAATTCGCGACAACACCTCGTCACGTCCGATGCCGTACCACCCTTAATTACTGCTGCATTTGCGATACGTTGATGGACCGGCATTTCTGTGCTTTTCTGGCGAGGATTGGAAGCGCGGTTGAAACAGAGACGGGTGATGAAGAGGTGGAAGCTCCGCCTTCTACACAGCAAGAGACGACTAAATAGAGGGCATTCGGGCGAGCCGAAGGCTCGAAAAATAGGGCGAAGGTTGTTATTTTCCTATAGGGGGCCCACATATATGCACAATACCCCTGACTAGAGACAAGTGGGTGGGCCAGGTATCCACTCATCAGTGGATTGCATAATTATAGTCCAAGGGTTGTTCACGGCTCCCTAGACTCAGCTGCGGGGAACATCGGTACAACTTGGTGTGCTATTAAGGGTCAAAGTCACACATCTCCTGGGGAAGTTACACATTACGGACAGATAGTGGTTATAGTCATCAATATAATATCAATAACTTGAGCTGGAGAGGGAGACTGCTGCCGCCAAAGTGCAGTAACCAAGGTGCGTTAGAAAATAAGACCTTCGTTGGGACCAGAAAGGAAACCTTGACAAGAAGCTGGTCTGAGACTTTGGTTAATAATGTAAGAAATGGTATAAGAAATTGAGATGGTAAGCGTGTGGACATGACAAAACAGATTTGGTGTCATGACAAGCTCGGCCAGTTTGCAACGAGCTTCCGCCCGCCCCTATTCCCATCAAATGAGTGTGTCGACCCCTTCCTAGGCTGCCTTGTGAATGGGCGGGGGTCTCCTCTTATTGACCTTCCGAGCGCTTATCTGGCTTCTGGCAACAGCGTCGGCGACAAATTTTTCGTTTATCCTCTCAGACGCCTCGATGACCTTGAACGCCTTCGAAGGTGGGACAAAACCAAACCCTGAGCCTTAAACACGTCTTGTTAGCAGATCTCATTCAAGCGGCTTTGCACGGGCGTTTCACTTACCTTGACGGGTATGCTCGCGCCTTGGTTTCCGTTTTTCCAACACTCTCCTCTCAACCCTGTCGAATTGATCATCGATCAAAGCGTCAACATTAGACGGCGAGGACGCAAGTTCAGATGTAGCTTCAGCCACATCAGTGCATGGCGCCATTTTCCATGTGCCAGTCGCTTCTGAATGTAGAGGAGGCGAACCAAGCTGCTGAGTTGGCGCCGATGAAGTCAGAGTCTCATCGAGATAACAATATTCCAAACCCCAGTCAAGATGCAAATACGACGAGTTACTGGTCGGGCTGTTCATGCTACTCATCGAGGCTCCAAAAACGCCTGGGCCAAGGGGTCCTGGACCTGACCCAGTTGCTTGCGACGGAATTATGGCCTTTTGGTAGCCCTGACGAGTACCGGCCACACCCCCGCCATTCTTCCTAGTCAGGACTTTAACACGCGTTGACGACGTATTCATCGGAGCGCAGGTTCTGTCTCATGAAAAGAATACGGAACGAGCGCAGTTGATGCAGGGGGGGGTCGCTGGTTGATGTAGACGAGTAACGAACAATACGAACTGACGATGGCAGACCAAGGGAGGTAGGTAGTGAGTGGTAAGTGAAGCGGAAAATGGATGGGAGGAGAAGAAACCGATTTTGCCGCTCGAGGGGGTGGGCTGTGTGCAATGTGCATGCATGCAGATTTGGCCAATGACCCAAGCTTGAATCTGCCTGGGGCACATGAATGGGTATTCCCAGGCAAAGAAAGTCTCACGGTTTTGACGGGCTGTCTCCTCTTTCGAATCCGCCCCCCTTTAAGGCTTTCACCAACCAAAAACCCACATAATTACCGCCCCGTCCCCGCCCGCCATTGATGCCACGCTATCGATCGACACTCGCCAACCTTTTCGGCACTTTTTTGCCTCATTTTAATGATGTGGTTCTAAATTTTACAAACACCCACATCACCGTCTTAAATTCGTCCACGTCGCCAACGGGTTCGCAAGCTGCAACGTCTCCCGTTGGAGCCTAGTTCTGGACCTCGGCCGTGGTTCCATGTATTTTAGAAGTCTAGGATAGTCGGATCACGAACCTGGCGCCCCCAGTGATTATCTGATCAACCCAAGGATCGGTTTCACGATGGACCAGCAACTGACGCCCCAGGATTTGTTCAACATATGCGATAACCAGTGGCGAAAGGCGTTTGTAGAGGGTCCGCACACATCCTTCAAGATGGTCGAGGCGATGCGGGACGTAATGGGCTTAACCTACCAGGATATTCTCACCCACCCGGAACGCCTCGCAGCTTTTCAGGAAGACTCGGTCCAAGAAGAAGACATATACCCAGGCGGGAGATATTACGATACATGGGGCTCTCTGACGGGAAGGTGCACGTCGTTTGCCATCAAAGTGGTGTCGAATCTCGAAGACCAATACCCAGGATACTTTCATTTTGGGTATTTCAACATCGGACCACATCGTCTTGGACGCTGCGATAAAACCCAGATTCTGATTGACTCGACATCCAACAATGGTGTGAAGCGCCAGCCCGCACGAATGGAGTACGTCTTTACGCGAAGGAACAGGACGACGGTTCAAGGACATTGGACGCCTGAAAGCTATTCCAATTTCATAACAACTAATGGCGGCAACTCCGGGGCAACCATCCATCGCATATCTCCCCGCAAAGCCATGGCCGCCTGCCTCAAGCAAGTCGCGGACGCCGCGGTTCTTGTTTGCTCATTTCGGTAGGTGCAACAGTTCTAACAGCTTGCGGTTGATTTTAGCAGAAAAGCAGCAGCCGATAACTGTTTATGACCAGGGTGATGCATTTCGATGCGTACGGCAATCCAGGCCTTCTGAGCTATGAAGGTCTCATCAGATGGAGGCTTAGCCACCATCGCATAGAGTTGAGTCGAGACATGGACAACGGCCAAAACATGTCTTACATAACCTTCGACGGCAGTCGAGGGAGCGCAGAGTCGAACAACGAGTGTCTCGATGAGCTCTATTATTTCATCGAGGAATGTGGTGGCGAAGAGCAATGGAAAGCTGACGAAATCAACGTGGTCAACAGGGACCTTTGGAAAGCGGCTGTCAGGGAATGGGGCTGGCCTGTGTGGACCGAGGACGCAGCGCCTCCGCCAAATTCAACGAATTGAAGCGTTACAGGATTTCATCTAGGTAGAATTTGGTAACTATTAGTTCCCCTCAGCATGGTTCCGGAGCTGTCAACCACGTCGGGCAGCTGGCGGGTTCGTGCGCCTTCATGAGCACGGAAACTCGTCCATCACGCATTTACCGTTGCGGGGCACAGCAAGGCAAGGTCATTGGAAGCACCCAAAGAAACACCACAAGGCTCTGGGATGGCGGATTATTAGTTGTCGAATATTAGTATGTACTAATTATGTCGCGATGAGGCTCAAACCTTGGGTCATCAGATCACACAGACTGACCGAATATCCGATACCCCCAAATGAAGTTGTACAAGGGCTGAAATGGTGTCACGTCGGAAAGGAAGATGCCCAGTCACATAGTGACCGGTGAAGGGCACTACACCCTCTTCAAAACCTCGAGGGCTTATCTATAACCAATAGTATGTTGGGGGTGACTCATTTTTTAGCCAGCCCTCCATGCGTCTCGCAGAAATGTGGCACGTCACATGTTCAAGCCCGTTTCCCATCCGGAGCCTTCTCATGCACGTTTTATGTGAAGTATTCAGACTTCAGAGCGAGAAGAAAGCAGAGCCTCATTAAATGAACGAGTACTTGACCCGCCCCGAATTCCACTGTTGTTGGCCTGTCAATGGATGGAAAAGCAGGAGAGTATGAATGCTTCGCAATCCTGTACATCATGAGCCCAACACTTGTGTACCCTGCCCCATCTGGCCCGCTCAAGCTGGAACATCTCCCTGTCGACATTGGTTGGACATCGTTGAGTACAAGGTACTCCTCCTTCCCATCCCCAGATATCGAATGGGACCCAAGTCTAGACACGCACCTCGAGCGGGTCAAGAGACTGGCGAGCCTTGGAGAGGCTCTGCCACGCACACTGCCTCTCGGATTCCCCGCATCCATCCCCTCTCCTCGTGCTTGGAAAGGCTCTGAGTTTGAGGACGGCTCCAAGTACATCTACGAGCTTTGCAAAGATGACTTGGACGAGATTGATGCTGCAATCCGCACATTCTCGGGTAAGAGCCCCATCTTTCTGACGACCCAGGTCAGAAAAGCATTCACTTACATAGCTAACCTCTATCGTTTCAGATCAATTCAACGATGCTGTCCACCCTGACCCGGACCAATTGACCCCAACAACCTTCCCTCTACCGAGGTTAGGAAGGAAGTTAGAGCAACTGTCCAACATCATCCACTTCGGACAAGGTTTCTTTGTGGTCCGCGGCCTTGATCCGCATCGCTACTCGCCTTCAGAGCGGGTGCTGGCCTACGCCGGCATCACCAGCTACGTCGGCAGCACCAGAGCGTGTCAGGATGCGGGAGGCAGCAAACTCAGTAAGCAAGCATTCCAAAGCACTCCAGTTTTGCCTTTCTTTGACCTTTTTTGCCAATTGATTGTCTGTACCAGTTCACATCAAGGACAGAGGCATGGCCTTTCCTGGGGCTGAGATGAGGCAAGCCCCCTATTCCAACGTTGCGCAGGTAAGACGACACCAGGGACTTCCTCCCATGTCAACCTGTCCTCAAGGGACTTTGAAGCCTGATATATATTTCTAGCCATTCCACACGGATGTATGTGACATCTTGGCTATGTATGTCCAGGAACTCGCGGCAGAAGGCGGCTATTTCCAGCTCGCCTCTTCGGGCCAGGTCTACAACGACATCGCCGCAAGTCGGCCAGACGTCATCCAGGCACTCGCGGCCAACGAGTGGATCTTCGACAAGTAAGTCGCATCCCTAATCCCTTTGACGGTATATCCCGAAAGGGGGGCTGGACACTAATAAGAAGTTGTGTTTCAAGATTTTCCAAGAACCTAGCTTGGGACGTGCGGCCGATCCTGCTGCCATTCGGCCCCCACGGGCCATCCTTCTTCTTCTCGCGCCGGCCCTTGACAGGATCTCTCGTGTCGCCCCGCACCCAGGGCGTGCCGCCCATGACGGAGCGGCAGGCCGAGGCGCTGGACATGGTCCACTTCTCGGCTGCGAAGCACCAGCTGCGCCTCGATGCGCAGAAAGGCGACGTGATCCTGGTCAACAACCTGGCCGTGATGCACGCGCGGACCACCTTCACCGACGGCGTCCCAGGGAAAGGCGCCGGCCGCCATGTGATGCGCATGTGGCTGCGCAACGACGAGCTGGCGTGGCCCAAGCCCGACATCGTCAAGCCAATCTTTGATCTGAAGTACTCGCCCGACTCGCCTTGGTGCGGAAAGCCCGTGTGGCATCTCGAGCCGCCGACGCTGCCAGAACGGATGTTGGCAAGGAAGTTTTCTTGTTCTTAGCGGTGAAAACGAACTGAGTTTGCTAGGTAAGTGCGTGCGCAGATGGTAGAAGAAATGACGGTCGGGGTTTATTTTGTCCTTGATTTTCATGCTGCCCTATTCTCACCCAACGTTTCCCCCTCTTTGAGTCTGTTTCCCCGCAAACTAAAAACCAGGTTGTCAACAATGCTTGGGGTCCTAATAATCTGTTCAACTAATTTCTGTCAACTAAATCTGCAGCGCTATCCAAGCAACATCTTAGTATGCCTAACATGTAGTTTTATATACGAATGAGAGAAATTGTGACTTTGTGCTCACCAAGGATCTCATGCACTGTTGATACTGACAGGTTGCCGATAACTACCCTGTAATCTCTCCCAAAAATGTGAGAGAGGTAGACTTCCTAGGTACTTCCAGGCTGCAGCAACACCTACTCATAGCCCAATAGCGGTGTAGCCCATAAGTAACTGCAGAAACTGCCTTGGAGCCTTGCGAAGCATGATTGGATAGCAAGGCACCACCCCCACACTCATAATTTGGCCGGGCGAGCCATTTTGCTGCATCTGAAGGTGTATCAAAACGCCCGACAGTGCCCCCCAGAGAAGGTCTCTGCATATATGCGGCCTGAGCCTCATTCGGGCAGCTAGGTTCGGTCCTTCTATGTTGAACTCAGCAACACCACACCGGGGAAGTGGTGAATGGCAATTGGGACCGCAAATATGCCCCCAGCTTCACCTTACTACAGCACTAGGAAAGAAGCCATATTTCTCTCAGTTGTGGGATGAACCTCTGGCGAGACAGAATTGAGGGGCAGACTGCTCCGAGCCTCGTCCGCCATTCCACCATCACCAACGACAATTTCGGACTCGACGTACTCTTTACCGGAGATAGCCCTGTCGCCGAGTAAGTTTGATCTGCGCTCCAGCTTTAAATAAGACCAATGCATGCGGCCTGCCTTCTGACCGAGACTTCTCAGCATCGTCGCTGTACATGGTTTAAATGGCCATCGCGAGAGCACTTGGACAACCCAGGCGTCTCAAACCAACTGGCTTCGTCACTTTCTGCCCCAGGACCTCCCCAACACAAGGATCCTGTCCTACGGGTATAATTCTCGGACCCACAACGCAGAAAATCTGTCGGTTCAGTCAATTTACGAACACGCCATCACTCTTTTGCAGGATCTGTGTGCCTACAGGCGCAACACGAAGGCAGGTTCTTTCACTTGAAATTCTGGAATATGAACCTGGAGCTAAATAGCAAGGGATTGACTAGACCGAGACACGCCCTATCATTTTTGTCGCTCATAGCCTAGGCGGAATCTTGGTAAAGAGTGTGAGTTGCAATCAATTGCGAGGAGTTCCATCTATTGTGCTATTATCTCCCTCCCTTGAACTGATGACTGACAAGAGAACCAGGCATTAATCCACTCAAACCTTTCAAAGTCGAGCCACCATAGTATAAAACTGTACACCAGCGGTATCGCCTTTTTCGGCACTCCGCACGCGGGTAGTAGCGCGGCTAGCTTTGCATCGATAGCTCTTCGCATCGGGTCCATTTTTACGAAAACCAATACGATAGTGATTCGACATCTGCGCGAGAACTCCCCCTGGCTGCACATGCAGCTTCAGCAGTTTAATCCAATTAGCTCCGACTTCCATATTGTGGTGTTCTACGAGACGTACAAGACTAAAATTGCCTTCGGAAAAGGTGTCACTGTGAGTTGGACTGGGGACTTTATGCTGCTGCTAATATATACTCCCTTACATTCCTACCTACCTGCCTGCCTTACTGACACTTTTTTCATGTATGTCACGTGTCTAGCTTGTCCCATTCCGCTCGTCTACACTGCCTGGAAATCCGACTAGCTTCAGCATTCCTCTGCGAAAAAGCCATACTGAGCTTGTCCGGTTCACCAGTCCATCCGACTCGGACTATCTTGTGGTCTTGCATCAGTTACAGGCACTTGTCACTAAGTCAAGCCACATTGTCGAAGAAAATTTGAGCATGTCGAGGGCACCTTCCCCGAGTGCAGCATCAGTGAGTTGTAAGCAACCTTTCCTTCTTTTCCTTGTCCAGTCCTCTACCGCAGGCTAATTCAGACATGATACGAGTAGCCCCCTTCACACATATTACTAAACAGCCGGCCATGATACTTCCCTTCTCTCTACCGCTACAGCCGAATCCTGGCTTCGTGGGTAGAACGTCTGAGCTCAACACACTCGACAACTACTTATTCAGAAGCTTAAAAATTAAGAGCTCGATCGCCGAACAAAGTAGGGTGGTTGTGATTCACGGTCTCGGGGGGGCTGGGAAAACCCAACTAAGCGTGGCATGTGCTCAAGCCCACAAGCAGGATGTTGACGCCGTTCTGTGGCTAGACGGCTCCGGCGAGATGAACACACTATTATCGCTACGAGATATTGCACAACGCCTTGTCGATGCCGCAAGGCAGGGTGATACGGCTGATGACTCTCGGAGTTCTTTACTCTCACGCCTTCCGATTGGCGAGTTTCTGTCTTCGGCCGGCCAGCTCTCTACGGACGAAAAGGACCTCGCCAAAATCTCCAAGATTTTGAAGGAGTTCCTGCAATCAGAGAATGAATCTTTCACGTGGTTGATGATTATAGACAACGTAGATGATCTTCCCAGGTACCCCCTCGCCAAGTTCCTCCCTCAAAGCAGCAGAGGGAGGATCATTATCACTACGCGACTGACGGCTGCCACACAATTCGGATATTCTCTCGAGCTTGGTCAGATCGAAGAGAAGAGTGGCGTCCAGTTACTCCTGAATGCCGCTTCTATGCGGACAAAGTCTCCCACAGGTCGGTGTGCTCCAACTGGATTCCAGGCAAAGCAAGATAGAGAGAGAGCACTAAGTAACAAAAGAGAGCAGATCTAGAAGATGCCGAAACTATCGCAAACTTGGTCGGCTATCTTCCTCTCGCGCTGGAGCAGGCCGGTGCATTCATCAGCAAGACACAGATGCAGCTCGGGAAATATCCTCAACTCTTCGAAGGGCACCGCCGAGAGCTCCTTAAGTATCTAAGCCACAACCAAGTCTCCGTCTTTGCCAGCTGGGAACTATCCTTCAAGCAACTTGTGGCAGAGAACAGCGACGCAGCCGAGCTTCTGACTCTCTTGGCCTTTTTCCACCATTCCAGTTCTTGGGAAGGATTATTCGTCCCCTTTGCGTCAAAATCGGATTTTCCATCGCCACCCCCCACGCTTGACAAGTTCCAATGGCTGAGAGACATGTCCAGCAGCGAGTTCAGGCTCGGCAATGCTCTGGGGGACATCTTTTCCGTGTCTCTCGCCAAGCGGAACACGCGCAGCGGCAACATCTACCTCCACCCCCTAGTGCACTCATGGGGCCGCGAGAGGCTCGGCCCGAAAGCCAAGAAGGAAAAGCTCGCCCAGGCCGTGGTGGCGGTCGGCAACGCCCTGGAATGGGCGTACACGCCCGGGCAGAAAACCAACAAGGCCGTCCGCGAGTTCATATCGCGAGTCGTGCCCAACGCCGACCACTGCATGACCCTCGCGGACCAGGAATTGGACGCAGACATGCCCTCGATCCTCCTCGCCGACCCGCAATCCGCCAAGGCGCTGTTCTACATTGGCGTCCTCTTCCAGAACGTCAGCAAGCTCAAGCAGGCCGAAACCATCTTCGCCGCGATCGTGGCTCGACAGGACGACAACCCCTCCGTCTTCACGCCCTTAATGTTGGCGAATGCCCAGCGGCGGCTTGCCCATGTCGTGAACCTCTTCTCGCGCTACAAGGAGGGAGAGGCCCTCCTCCGGCAGTCGATTCCGCGCCTGGTCGGGCTCGTCGGCAAGCGCCATCCAGACACTCTAGCTGCGCAGTTCGAACTCGGAAACGTCCACCACCGCTGTTTCAGGTACAGCGAGGCCGAGGACCTGTTGCGGCAGGTCGTGGAAAACGACACGGACGCGTCGACCGGCGCGATAGGGCGCATGGGCCGCGAGGCGACCTCGCTCCTCGGGCTGGTGTACAAGCACAAAGGCCTGCACAAGGACGCCAGCCTGCTTCTCAGACGAGTCATCGACCAAGCATCCGAGGAAGACGACGACGGCGCAGCACACCTCCTGACGCTCAAGTACCGCCACGCCTTGATCCTGCAGGAGCTGGGCGACTGGAAAGTAGCCATGGAGACATATTCCGAGGTCTACGCGGGGCTCAAGGTGGCAATCGGGCCCAACAACCCGCTGACGCTGCGCACGGCCAACGCTCTGGGGCGGGTGGACTGCTTTCTCGGCCTGTACCGCGAGGCGCGCGAGATGCTGGACATTGCGTGGAAGGGGCAGGAGGCGCTGGGGTTCGGGCGCGAGAACGAGACGGCGCAGCTGCGCACGCTCTTCAACATCGGCGTGCTCAACCGCGAGGAGGGGCTGTTTAGCGAGGCGCTCGACTGCCTCGACCGCGCGCTGCGGGCCGAGATGGCTCTCCACGGTCCCCACGCCCACTCGACGCTGCGGTGCCAGACCGAGCTCGGCGTGCTGCAGACGGCGCGGGGCGACGCGGCCGAGGCGGCTACCACCCTGCGCCAGGTCCTGCGCAGCCAGCTGGCGCACTATCCCGACAGCCACATGGAGCACGCGCAGACCAGAACGGCCCTCGCCGAGGCGCTCGTCCGGCTGGGGCCTGCTCACACGGCGGACGAAGCCGCAGAAACGCTCAGGCCGGCGCTCGAATTCGTCAGAGCCTCTCTCGATCCTGGCAACCCCGTCAGGCTGAGGGTAGAACTCGCCCAGGCAGCCTATCTTGCGGCGTGTGGCCGTGGAAGTGAGGTTCTGGATGAGACGAGGAAGCTTGTGTCGCTGCTCGAGTCGACATTTGGACTCAAGCACCAGACTTCGGTGCGTGGCAAGGTGCTGCTTAAGGATATCGTGGAGCAGATGGGCGAGGGTGAAGCCGACGGGCCAATTTAGAAAAAAAGCTCGTTATTTTCAAGGCGAGCACGTCAAGACATGACGTGTCTTCACCCTTTTATTCAGACAGATTCCTTTTGTGTGTTCGAGTGTTGTGCGCTCCTTCACCCCGTCCTCGCTCATACCTGATCTCCATCACCGCTCTTTCGTCATTTTCCATATTCTGTGCCTACTGATACTAGGTGGTCTCCTCACGTTCTGGAGCTTTCTGTCCCTTCATATTCCTCGAGGTCTCGGCAGCCCAGCTCTCTGCTCTTTTCAAGTGTGTTTCTGTTTACTGTCTCTAGGAGTGGGTTCATTCCTGTCAAGTATTACATACCCTTTTGGCCGCGGCACGTATAATGAGAGATGATTCATGTCGAGTACGTTAGGAGGCACTGCTTCAGCTTGTTCGCTTTGCTACGGCAGCTCGATTAATCATCCCGGAGAATTTCGACCGAGCTCACGGCCACTAATCAATAATTAGAGCAGCCCTAGCAAATTAAGGTAAGGCGGGCAGTAAGAGCTAATAATCAGTGGCAAAAAAAACCTAATCGGTATTGTTTCCTCCCCGGGAGCGGCGCGGCGGCCGTCCATCTCACGGCATGCGGCTGACGATGAGCTGCGCAAGGATTGTTTCGACTCGATGACGTGCCTAAACCTTGCTGCAACTTGTCAGCAGCTCCAAAAGGTCTGCGTATTTTCCGACTTCACACACACCCACTGACTGCTAAAGTCCGAAGCGAGGGCGTTCTGGACTTTGGCCGGCATGCAAGCATGTAGGCAGTCAGATATTAGCTGTGCAAAGATTTTTTGCTCTCTGCCATTCTCGTCCCACTCCGCAGCTTCCTGAAATGAGAATAATGAAAAAATGGGACGAGATAAGAGCCCGACAGTGGTACCACGGGGCAGTGCGTGCTCACCGGGGGGGGGGGGGGGGGGGGGCGAGTTTGGGGGCCGAGAAGAGGGGGAGAGAGTGAAGGACAGAGAACCCAGCGTCTCTAGAGTCGACCCGCCAGCATCTTCTCTGGGAAGGAAGAGAAACTGACGATATTCTGCAAGGGACTTGTAGACTATTAGCAACTCCCGGTTTTGTTCGTCTACTGTCTCGTCTAATTATACAAGGGGCAACGGCATTAAGCGCATCGAGAGGATCTTTCGGCGGAAGGGAAACCCCGAGAAGGAATCTATAATTATAACCCCCATAATGACTCCGGACGGCGTGCCAAGCCCGTGACCAGAGGTTGTCGAGGTTCGGTTGGGTCGCCGAACACGCCCCCACACCCGTTTCGGGTTTCTCCAGTTACAAGACCGGAGGCCGACCGGGCTTGGCGGGACCGAGAAACCGAGAATGCTGCTGCGCGCGTCTGGCACAGGAGGCGAGAGCGTTGCACCGAGAGATACCAAAGCGCCGGGCTGGGTTGTTTGTTGCCTGCTGGCCTCCCTGCTGCGAATCCGAAAGCAGGGTATGTTGAGGTGCATGGAATCGACCAAGACAGACAGGCGGCCAGCACAAATGCGACCATGGCGTGCCGACATATCCGCTACAGGCACCGCCCAGTGCACGTGTCTCCTCAGAACATGTATAGATGCGAGGAGATCCTTCTGTGCATCACGGGATTTACACGTTGCGCTGGCCGAAATGAATGGATAATATGATCTAAGATCAGATCCCCCCACGAGATGCATCGCTGCTTGTGTATATGTGCCATCAGTACGGACCACTCCCGCGCATTGTGGCGCACACCACCTTGATTCCTGCGGAGCTGGCCGCCCAAAACGGCTCGGGGCGGTGCAACCCATCCTTCGGCTTTCAGGGGCTGAGGTGTGCCTGACGCGACTCCAAGAGACACTGTTGGCGCGTTATCACACAGACGGAGTTGGTTGGCAGGCCGTGTTCTCTGCGGTGGGCTCTGTCGTGTTGGAGTATGTGTTCCGGATTGTGATCGAGACTCAAACCCAAATGGAAGGGATCTTCAGATTAAACAATGACATCAGCTCGTCCAGGGTTGTGGCATTTGTCACAGAATCGCCTAGTGTGCCAAAGCGCTGATAAGACGATGCCAACCGCGGTGCGAAATGCGAGGGACAGGACAGCAGACGCCAATCGAAGGCAGAGAGGTGAGGGATTTGACCGCTCAACGCTCCCTAGCTTCTCAGAGCGGGGGCCTGGGCTGGGCGAGGGTAGAGGACAGCTATCATGAGGATATGCTTGCCGCTGAAAAGAGATTTGACGGCGTGGGGGAGACGGCCAGAAAACATTGCATCGTCAGCAACCTTCAGGCTTGCACACCGCATCGTGATGGATCGATAAGCTTGTGACGCCGCCAGCAGAGCCGTCATTTTGTCGTTTTCTAGGCAAATCCGTCAATACCTCCAATGGGGTCCTGTCGTGCCAGTGCGCTTACCTGCGCCGACACTGAGAACAGGATAGTAAGAGCCACGGGCTGACAGTTCCTACGTGTCGAATAGCAAGCCATGCCACAATTTTCTGCGTACGGTTAGCAAAAGTGTCGCACAGCGGCCAAAAACTACAGGATCGGCATCGAGGATGCAGTACTTGGTACAAGCAACGCCCTCGTATCACCTGAATGGCCAGACGGGAGCAGATATGGCGCCTACTCTTCCGATTCTTGAGATAACGGCTTTGGTCGTGCCGTTTTATTATTTGCCGTTCAAGCTCGGAGGTAGGAGCAAAGTACCTACAGGATGCAAAAGTGCAGCACGGCTTGCCTGGTCCAGTTTGGACACGGGGGAATCTAGAAGCACTAAAATGGTCTTAACGTGACACTGATATACCTCGGTGAACCAGAAGTGTGGGAGCCAGCCCCTCACGAATTGGGAATTCGATCAAGTTGTGGGGTCTTAACATGGCCCTTTTAAGACGGCCATCGTTCCAAATGTCTTCATGGTCGGGCGGTGTTGGCACCATGTCAGCCGACTCCCTGTCCCTTGCCTTGGTGATCCGCACGCTATTTTCCTGGGGTAGCCGCTAAAGGACGGCCCGAACAGAGGCATATGATGACTATGAGAAGATTAACGCTGCGTGAAATATGCACATGTGTTTCAGGTCCTCCCCAAGGCCGCGGATCCACCCAGGACTCGGCTGCAGCGTCTTGGCATGGCACAAGAGACCGCCTCCAGCGTGCAGTACAGACGGCAAGATGGTATGTCGAGCACATGGCCGAGGGAACAGATGCCATTCGATAAGGGATTTAGAGCTCGGCAGTAAGCGAGGCGGGTCGATTACAACCAAGTGTAGAAGCCAAAGGAAGGGAAACTGCTTATTTCCCTCCTGGTCTTCCAAGGCTCCTGTGTTTCTAGGGTTTGTTACTACAGCAATCCAACGTACCAAACAGTCGAGGAGCATGTATAATGCATGCCAGACCGAGATATTGTCAGAGACTCGCAACCAAGAAAAAAAATTTGCTCTCGGAGGCATCGACCGAAGCATGGTTACATCTCGGGCCAAAGACCCGCGAGATAGCCCTCATCTGGTTAGCTGATACCACTTGCCGGCATTCGCCGCTAAGAATAAACGGTAGAGACAGGGGCAGAAGCAGGCTTGCCGCTCTGGTCTGCGAACTGTCCATTTTGAGGTGACCTTCTCGAGTCAACTTGGCACCTAGAAGCCCGGGAGGACAATATCGAAGATGCCTGGAGAATAGGTTGGTTCGCGGAGTGTCAGGCTTGCTGTCGGGCAACTGAGACCTCAATTTAGGCTACACGAGGCACCCAATCCTGGGTGGCCGCATCATGGTTAGAGCCCACTGGGATTGTGCAAAAATCTGGAGAACCGCTCAAAACAATGGATGGGGTCTGGGAATCTGGGGACGGCATGTGAAAATTTCGGAGTGGACACACCACGGCGTGGGCGCCGAAAATAACGAAGGTACCGGTACAGAAGACAGTCGAGTGCGCCTGGGCGGGTGCACAAACGGGATGGGCTTCTGACGGGCGGGTCGGCACGGTTGAGGGAACACCCAGGCTTCGTTGGTACTGCTTAGCACGGGCAGAGACGACCCGTCCTCCCGACTTCGGGCTAGCGGACCGTGTAGAACGAAGATGGAAGTTATAGAAGTGCCATGCATGTGCTTTCGTGGTCTCGGTTCATCGAGAGCGCTTGGACGAAGAGGGGACGAACCTCGGAAGAACCGGTGATGTGCGCTCCACGTTGCTTGCCGACCACAATCCAACACAGTATGCTGCATGAGTTGACGCTTGGCTGCTCAGACAACGGTCGGAGAATTTCCCATGGTAGCAATGCCTTGAGGTTGCAGTCTGGCAATCCGACCAGCAATCCGTTTGTCTGTCTCAACCTATGCCTAGTCTGGCAAAATGATCAGCGGCTTCCGGTCCAACGCACAGCGAGCGCACAGCGGAGAAGGTGTCGGGTGGCCTGTGGGTGGACGCCGACGCACTGAACCATCCCAGCGCTCGCTCGTCAGCCACTGAAAGCGCTGACCCCAAAATGAGGGGCAA